ATGAAGAATATATTGAGGACAAGAATACACTTCACCTGACTTTTCGCACAAGAAAAGAAGCAGAAATCGTAAGAATAAATATTTCTTTCTTCTTGAAGCTGTCATAGTGTGTGCTCTTTTTCGCAGTTTGACCATGGATAAGCAGTAGCTGGAGCAAAAATTATCTAAAGAAAATGGGAATAATTAAACTGTGTTGATAGTAATGCAGGAGAGTATCTCAAGAACTTTTCAACAAGCAAATTCCTGTCCTTCAAATTAACTGTAAACTGTTTCACTTCATGGCAGTGTATTTACTTCTGTTTTGTTGTGCTAGGCTTACAACAAAGGGAAAATATTCAAAGGAAGAGCTCTGAAAGTTTCATGGTTTCGTGCCTCAGTCCCTCCTCCTTCTCCATCTACAGCTGTTCCAACCACTCCCACCACACCCACCACCCCTACCACTCCAACAACACTGAGGAAAGTTGAGGAAGAGCTAGGACTTTTTGATGCAGAATTTGTAAGTTGATGATGGCTTGGTTGAAGCACTTTGAGACTTTGAGCATTTTGCTCTGAATTCCTGTTAGTTACCAGTCGTGATGGCCCATTTCTTGAAATACCTGGCAACTTGACAGGCCCAAAAAGCTGATTCTTGTGTCTTTTGTTTCATTTAATCTCCAAAATTGTCTGTTTAACCCCTTTACACTCTATCATCAATGTGCATATTCTCCCCACTGTTTTCTGTATATTTCCAATGGTACTGACAAGATGAATTTTTTGATAATCAGGAGCTTCTTTAATTGGTAATTATTTCCTTTATTCTCATGACCTTTGCATTTGATTGAGGCAGATACTGTGAGGAGAATTTAGAGGCCAGTCACTGTTATCAGTTTTTAGTACATTTCTTTTGTTACTGACAAGGATTCTTTTGATAATGATCAAAGCTTCTTAGGATATCGATCATTTCCTTTGTTCTTTTGACGTTAATGTGTGCTTGAGGGGTGATATCTTGAGGGGTGATATCTTGAGGGGTGATATCTTGAAATTAGATTCTACTCACTCTTAGGGGTCAAAGGGTGAACAGTTGTGTTCCCTTTTCAGGGAAAACATGAATTTGATCCTGAGACAGATGAAGCTCTCCTTTTGGGGGAAGACTTTGATGAGGAAGAAGAAGAAGAAGATGAGCGGTCATGGAAAAGATAGTTACAGCATGACTTTGAATGGAAAAATAGGACTATTACATGTTGTAACTTAACATTTTGTGACACGGATAGGAAAGCCACTCTGCTATCTTCCAGAGTAACAGTTTATTTATGTGAGCATGCCACATAATTCTGTAACCAAATTGAGGTACTACTCAAATTTTAGATGAAATGTAGTTATCTTATGTTGTTATTGCTATTTTAATTTTATTTCATGTTGTTATGAACCATTGTACAGTGAAAAAGTCATTAACTTTAGAAGAGTGAAATGATTCTTTAAAAAAAGAAAAATGGAGAAAAAAGACAATGAAAAGAACTTCTACAAAGAGAAAAGAACAAAAAACAGTTGCTTGACTTCAAGCTTCTAGAAGAAAATTATTCCCCTCGTGGAAAAAAAAGTGAATGAGACAAAAAAAAAATGTTTTGCACTTCTGACAAAAAAAAAAAAAAAAAAAAAAAAAAAAAAAAAAAATTCTCTCAAAAGTCAATAATCAATGTGATTGTATGGACACTGGTGGTCAAAGATTTGTGATGAAAAGCCTGGAAAATGCTTGACATTACAAGGAGGAAGAATGGAATGGAAAACAGTTTCTTATGGACTGAAGAGGAACTGTCTTAAAGATCTTACATCATTTGCAGGCAAGGATATGCAAGGTCAGTGTTTGTAATTTTTCTCCCTTAAATCATGGTTCTTGATATTATTCACTTGAAGACGGTAAGTCTAGATGACAACCCTTATAACCTAACGTCAGTAGGCATACTCTCAGGCAGGTTGTCATACAATTGTGTGCACCCCAGTTTGTGAAGGGTTACTCAAGGTTTCACATACTGTCTGTATGAATAAGCAAGTACACGTGATTTTCCACCAAGATCTCATTAGCAATTCCCCTTCCTGTCTGCTGTACATTCCTTGTAATGTTAATTCTAAGAATTTGGTGTTGGATCAACCTTTCATCCCCTAATTGATAACTTTCTTTATTTTCATCCTTGTCTGCTTGATATCATATTAATATTGCTAGGAGGAACTATGTGTTAATCACTCATGAGGGAGAAAAGTCAAGTACCATATTATATAGAGTACTGCCAAAGAGTTAAACAATCAGAAAACGGAAACCAAAAACTTTTATTTCACCACTTTCAAAGATGTTAAATTGCCTAATATGTTGTACTGCAGTTTACAAATATCTCTTGTAGCGAATGTTTTAACTTATTTTGGTAAAGAAGAAGGAAAGGTTTATTTTATATCTAGCACAGCAATGCCCTAGGAGAGTGAAATCCTTCAGTGATGGGACTCCTGACTTCACTTTATCAAGAAACTGGAGGAGAAAAAAGAGGCACATACATCTTAGTCAACAATTGAGTATCACACAACAGCATGCGCATTGGAAGGAACAACTCAAAATAATATAGGTATGTTTAGATTAGAGTCTGCAAACATGGTTATAATGCTTTAGATTCTTCTGTATTAGAGAGGTATATTTTGAACAAGAAATACATGTCTTCTTTTCTTGTGTTATCATAGTCTCTAAGAGAATTCTTAAAAGTTAACAGTCCAGGGGCTCCTTTCTTAAGGATCTCAGTAACTTAACAGGCCTGTAAAGCTGCTCTGTTCTCATTCAAGATGGGGGTTTCAAAAGTTTTGAAAATTATTCAATTAAACCATCAGGTAGAGAATCAAAGTGGACTGGTTTGGGTGCCAGAACCAGATTATTTATTCTTTAAATTTTGATTTCAAAATAAGGCTTTGGGCCTATTAATTTACAGGGATTTTTGAGAAACAGCCACAGAATTCTCCCCCCACCCAACCCCCCCTCCTCCTTTGTATTGAGAGGAGGTTAAGTAAAATGGAAAAAGTTCTCCACTGCTGAGATACTATTTCCTGTGACAGAGAGCTGCCTTTTCCAACTCAAGTTTTTAGATTTGATGTGGTGGTTAATTTACTTCTAAATTCATGACGAGACATGCATCAAGTATTGCTAATGCAATGCAATTTCACACTATTGAATCTAAAACCACTGGTTGCACTTGACAGCAATTTCCAAAGAACATGGTTGAAACTGCACAATTTCTTGGATTGATTACCTGTAAGGATATCCATGGTACTTGGAACGAAACACAGACAGCAGCAAGCTGAAGAACAACACCACAAGACCCAAACCAACCATAACTACAACTGAGAAAGAAGATCCAACATTAGTTCAATATGGTTACAATGTGGACATGTATGGAGAACTTCAAAATTGAAGCACTACAAGAACCACTCTGGTCTGTTCCAGGCATTTAGTTGGTAAAATGGAGCTAAAATTTAACAGTCCCATAGTAGTGGTGGAGTGAAACATCCAAAGGTTTAGGTCTGGGCAAGTAAAACATGCTCTTTAAGCAACCCAACCCTAAACTCCCTTGGTTCTCACTTGTCCAAACTCGTGCTTTGTTTTACTAACTGAATGCCTAGAACAAGCTAGAACCACTCAGAATAATCAATATTTCTTCATCTCCTTCAAAGACAATGTCAGCTATTAATTCCAAGCAATACCCACTGACATATATATCAATTCTTGGTGAACAAACAATAGTTATTTTACCAGTGTCCCTCCTTGCATTTTCTCTCTGTTTCAGGCAACAGATTAACAGTGTAAGAAAAGATTTTACAGGGAAAGAACAGACTTAAACTTCAAAAGCAAAGGCAGTTAGAACACCTACTTCTACGTTTTCCAATCTCTTTGACTTCAAATGCCTTCTCATTGAGAAGAATCATTCCAACAACATACAAGGCATCTTTGAAAATGGGTCAAGGAATAGGCCAAGATATAGCAAAACTTTTTAAATAGTATTTTAAATATGAAGTACATTCCTTTTTTTTTTAACTCACAGTGAATATCAATTAAACTGATGACTCAAATAAAATAAAACAGCCATACTTCTCTAACAAAATAATTAAATTAATTAAGACCCTTCTCCAGCCACACTAGAATTACCATATTAGCATCATAGTTGCAATCCCAGGTCTGGTTTTTCCTCTTGTTATACCACATTATGGTAAAAACTCCAAGAAAGAGGAGAACAAAAGTAGCTATTTTAAACCCTAATTATGTCAGGATTTACAAATGTTCCTCTATAGGCATGGTATTGGTTATTTCTAGGAACCACATATTATTCAGGTATTCATTCATTTGCTAAATGTTCAAAAGGTTTCCTTTGAAGTTCTGAAGTTTTACAGCTGATTTAAAACCTTTTCTCACTTGTTGTTTATTTAAAAAAATACATTTATTTATTGCTACAAAAGGATACTCAGAAAAATGACAATATGAGTTTCAGCAACAAACTGTGCTTGACTGCTGCCATGTATGTAGCTCTAAATAAAAAAACATATATTTATATTTTCATTTAGTACCACCTAGGAGAAGTGAAATAAACTTTCATATGTTTAAATCTCAAACAATGAGTGTATATCAAGATGCATGACTACTTTACCATCCATCACTTGCAACTTACCACTTGTCCTGTTTGTGGATTCTTGTGGGCATAAGGAGGTCCTCGGATGTGATTCCACATCTGACCAGAAGTCATGACAAATACTACACACTGTTTAAGGACAAAATGTTTTGATTTTTTTAAAAATATTTCAAATCTCACTAAGTTTAAGCACAATTGCAAGCAATTAAGTTTAGGTTTCTTTTCGGACTCTCAAATGACAGCAGTGTCATAATTTGATAAGACAAAAATTGCATGATTTGTGGAGTACATTTAGATGTTTTCACGTGAAAATAAAAGAAACAAAATGTTTACCAGAGCTCCAATTGCCCAGTACGTCTTGTTGTAGAGGAACTCCAAGTTTTTGCGTCGCACATAGAGTAGTCCTCCAATCAGAACTACTAGCAAACCCATTATAACAGCACCCATGTAATTGGGTGGACGGAATACCCTGATCTGCAAAAAACCAAAAAACAATAACACGTTTATTTGATAAGTAATAGCACAAAAAGAAGGTTAACAGGTTTTACCATTCATCTAGTTTTGAATCAACCAATTTAAATGCGCACCATAAAAATACTACTACAACATAAAGTTGTAGCACAGAAGCAACATGATTATAAAAACTTGTTGTTCAACATGGATAGTTAAGACAAGTTTATGGAAACCACACATACATTAACATCTGTTCGTTCTGCAACCCATCTGGCCAACTGTTCTGCAGAGAAGCCCATTCTACCATGAAAACAACAAATGTTTAAGTGAACAATCAAAAGTAAGTAAAAGGGTCACTAATAAAATGAAGGAGAAGAACTAACATAATGTATCCTGTCCATTACAATCAGTCCCTCAAAAATTTAAAGGGGTTAAGTTTCTAAAGAAGCTGTGGTGCTGTGTCAGTGGGAGAGTATAGCAGGGTTATTTACTACTATTAACTAAGTTGATAATGTAAATAGGCCACCATAATGAGTTTAAAAGCTGGCACTTCCAGCGTTAGTCCTTCATCAGAGCAATTGATGCTAAATGTAATCAGTTAGCATTGCAATGTAGATATTTTACCTTTGAATATCATAAGTGTCTGCCTTTTTGGGTTTTCCCTTTGGCGGAAAGTGCATGAACATTGGTGCAGAATTCAATCGCAGCTATAAACAAAAAAACAGTGAGTTGTGTCAAGACACAAAGAAGCTCCAAAGTTTTACTGCAACAGGGTGGGTACCATTTGAAGTAAAAACTTTAAAAAAATTACTTAAATGACTAGTCTTACCGCACTAAATACATCTGGACCTTCGTCAAAATCAACAACTGCAAAAAACACTTTGTTGGAATACTGCTGTGAATAACGCCAAGAGTTGGCAAGGATTGTAAACTCGTTATTAGCTTCTCTGTTGGATGAAAAAAGAAAAACACAGTTTAGAACTACAGTAACAAGATTTAAACCTGTGTCATTAACACTTTTCATACCCTAACATCAGCATGCATATTCCCTACAATGTTTTCTAAACATTTTCATCAATACTAACAAGGGGAAACTTGCTCACCCCTTTCCCATGATTTTCTACTCCTGTCTCTCATCCATCTCATTAATTTAACCCTTTAACCCCCAGATCCAATATGTGATTCTCCTTACTGTCTGTCATATGATTCTTATAATGTTAGTTCAGAGAATTTAGTATAGGGTCAACTAACTAGCCCCAAATTGATATTTTTCTTCATTCTCAACACTTATCTGGTTGATGTTGTATTGATATTGTGAGGAGAAATTCTGTCTTGGTCACTCATGAGAGTTAAAGAGTTAAGCTAAAAATTTGGTAAGCTAAAAATTTGGTCAACTTATCAACATTGAATATAGGGTTAACCCTTTAACTCCCAGATCAAATTTGTAATTCTCCTTTCTTTCAACCACACAATTCTTACAATGTTAGCTCAGAGAATTTAGCGTTGGATCAACTAATTATCCCCAAATTGATATTTTTCTTTATTCTCATCACTTTATAATCTGGTTGATGTGGTATTGATATTGTGAAGAGAAATTCTGTCTTGGTCACTCATGGGAGTTAAAGGATTAAGCTGAGAATTTGGTTTCAAATCAAACAATATCTCCTTAATGATACTCAGGCATCCTTATAATCTTTCTGCATGTTACTGCATTGAAATTACTTACAAGTTACTCCTTGGAATTAAAGGGTTAAAAATCTGAATCGACAGCTTCTTTAGACACTGTTCAAATTGGTTATTCTCCTCACACGATATCCCCTTGATGATACTCATGCATTCTTGTCACCTTTCTGCATGTCACTGTATTGAAATTACTTATTAGCTACTCCTTGGAATCAAAGTGTTAACAATATGAATCAACAGCTTCTTTAAACACTGTTCAAATTGGTTATTCTCACGACCTTAATTCTTTAACTCCCATGAGTGACCAAGACAGAATTTCTCCTTACAATATCAATATCACATCAACCAGATTACAAAGTGATGAGAATAAAGAAAAATATCAATTTGGGGATAATTAGTTGATCCAACACTAAATTCTCTGAGCTAACATTGTAAGAACTGTATGGTTGAAAGAAAGGAGAATTACAAATTTGATCTGGGAGTTAGAGGGTTAACCCTATATTCAATGTTGATAATGTAATGAGAAATTACCTACCTACAAATGGTACATTGTCTGTGTGGTGCAAGAGCTGTAAGCATAAGGATGACAGAGTAATTCCTTGGTGATGCTCGTAAGTATGTTCTGTATTTGTCTCCATTTAATCTAATGACTGGCTTTCTTTGGTTCCAGTCCATAAGCTGTTTGACTCTAGTTTCCAACAGAGACTAAAAATTTAACAGAACAGTGATTCTCAGAACTAAGTTCATCGTTGAGTTCTCCTGTGTGTCTAGGCACATGAGGCCTCGACCAAAGAACAACTTTGATCTGTGTCAGCTACCATTCCCATCAAGAGTAGGCTTTTCATATAAATGTTTGGTTTCTCATTGACTTTTGTTCCAAGGAGGGTTTGTTGGTTAGGCAAAAAGAAAAACTTGGAGAGACCAAATAATTTACTGAGGTACTTTTCCAAGAACTGGGTCAGTCAGACATTGAGAGACTTACAATTTTGAGGGGTTAGCCTTAATACCAGTATGTACCAACTTACATGTACTGGCTAACTTGTTGGTCATTATAAGGAACCATTCACCTCCAAGAAGAATGTGAAAAAGATAGTTTTGGCAAAAGATTTCAGTTTAGAGCAACTCTTGTTCCAGAAAACAAGTGACTGTTAATCAGTTAGGTATATTTTAAATAATTAAATTCAACTTGGAAACTATGAGAGCAAATTGACAAATTTGCAGGGCTAATTAAAAAATTGCACATCAAAAAAAAGGAAAATTTGCAAAGACGCCAATTCATTTTTCTTTTTCCCGGCTCGTTCTCTTGGTTATAAGTAGATAAACCGTCTCTGGGTTCAAAACAAATTGGAACAAAGCAGTTTTAACTCACAGAGTGACTATGATTATCACGAGGGAAAAAAGCTTCAATTAACAGGGTTACACAGCTGAAATATGGAAAAAATAATTTCCCGAAACGCTGAAAAGTAAAATTATTCAATAGCCTTTTGTCAGGGGCTCAATGCGGCATCTGTCAATGAAAGCAGGTTATTGACAGGAAGGCCGCAAATTCGGTCTACCGAATCTAGCATCTGTGTTAAGCGTTTTCGAAATATTTGATAACTTGGGTGATCTTTCTTAGCTTTTGTTCATTTTAAAAAGTTTCTTACCTCTTTTGAGACTTTCTTCTTGCCATAACAGTCTGAAAGGCCGAGTATAAGTGCTAAGAGAAGCAGCCAACCGCGAGACGCCATGTTGGAGCTTCCAAGTTGGTAACCAGACCCCGTAAGTGTACTCCGATACTTGTAAGGGAGGGTGGGGTGGGTGCTAAGATTGGCGATTTTCAGTGTATCACTGCAAAATTTCAACATAGCCTCCTTTAGTAATTCTGGTTCAAACCACAACAGAAATAGCAGGGTAAAAAGACTCGGGAAGGAAAGCAACTCATGAAAGTGTTTTCAAATAACTTTCATCATTGGCTGAGTTTTGAAAGAAAGGCAGTTGGTAAAGTGGAGGGCAGATGGAGGAGGGGGAGGTGGGGGGGGTGGTTGTCAACAAAGATATTTAACAGTTCATAATAAGGGGTGCAACTTCGCTGCCTGGTTAATTTAGTTTAGTTTAATAAAGTAAAGCTCTAGTGTTGACCTAAAGAAGAAACACTGTTAGGAAAAAAAAAAGTAAAACAGAAAATGTAAAAAAGAGGAAACACCAATTGATGTTAGCATACCCAACCATTTATTGACAGTGTTACGTTAAATTTAAGGGAAAGGCCTTAATCAACAAATATTTCAAGGTAACTACAGTGAGTTTCCAACATCTAGCCAGTTTCTGCTTGATAAATATTATAATTCTCCCTATAAAAAAGACGCTGTCAGACAGGCAGAAATTACAGAAAAAGAAAAACAAGAAATAGATTAAAAGAAGAACAAGTAATAATATTGCCAAAGGATTTGGTAATGCCGTATAAAATTCATAATAATTTTACAAAAGAATCTATAAAGGAATCCTTACAGAAAAATTACAAAACAGTCACGGAGGAGAACTTAGATATTTCCATCGTGAAATTAATAGGCCTAACAACAACATCAACACACACATTCTAAGCAAATTCCTATGTATTTTAGAACTATACATTTGCTGTAAATATTTCACAGAAAATGCCATTAGATAGCAAAAAGTTACAAAGATTTACAACTATTATCTTCTCTACTTCCATGACTGAAGCCTAAAAGTAATCAAAGTTACTTTTCACACCATCTCTATCCTAATAAATAATAGAATAACTACCCCGATAACTACTTTCAAAAATAAGCATTTTTTAGCTATCAATGGTTTAACAGAACTTTGATGAAGTACCCTTGCACATTACTTTTAATGTAAACAATTCCTCTCTTCTTTAAAAAGAGATGCACACTTAAAACATAGTCTTTATCATGCTGAGGATAAAATACCACATCTCGACCAATAAAGTTGGATAAATAATGAAATTCTCCTTTTCACTAACACAAAGTGAGTAATATTGATTACAAAATGGCACCCAAGCAGCTACAAAGAAGTTGCAAATATACCAACAAACCTGGCTCAAAATGCCACTAGAAAATATTCTCTTAAAAAAATTGCCTTTGAAGTATTAGCTCTAACATATTTATAACAGGAAAAGGTCTTATGGTAAAAGAGGCCAGAGAAAAAATGCCCAAAGCTTTTATCATTATACTTTTGCAAATACTTCAAAGCCATCCAACCTAGATGCTTAAAACTGTTTCCAGATTATTCAAAACTATAACAAAATTTGAAAACATGGTTGCCTTGTACACACTGTTTTAACTCTGAAGCTCTTATAAGCTCTTTTATGATCTTGGAAGTGAAAGAGTCAAAGACTTTTAGAGTCATTTTCTTATGGCAAAAAATTCAACTGTTATATTTATAAATCTGATTTCTTTCATCCAATGGGTGTTTTGTTTCTCAAGCTTTGCTATAGTTTTAATCAGTTTGCAACAGGACTTTGAAACAGGACTTGTGATTGTCAAAACACACTTTTTCTTTTTGCAGTTTTTAGATTTTGTCCATCACTCATATGATTACAGCCTGAATTGGACTCCAATGAGTCCTTGTTACAATGTCAGTTATTATGTGTAATCCTGATAACAGCTATCAACCCAGCTTTAATACAAAATTAAACCATTCTTCCTGCCATGTTTAGGCAAGTCGTTGGAAGACACCATGACATGATCCATAGGCTCTTTGCAAGTCACATGGATTATAAAAAGTTTACTCCAGAACACATTAATCACAAATACTGGCACTGCTTTGGCAATGGCTTTGAGCTGCTGCTAAGAAAATCTTTCCATTTTTACAAATGCAAACTTCACGGGCATTGGCAGCAGGTGAGCCACCGGACCCTGTGTAAATTTTTAGATTTTTAAATGACACATCTTCTGCATCCAACACAACCTACAGAGGAAATAGAGGAAGATCAGTTTTTTCGGATTTTCAAAAACTTCCTTCATGTTGATGGAGACCAGTAAATAATACTCAAACCCTTTACACTCTAACATCAGTATGCATATTATCCATACTGTTCACCATACACTTCTTTAGGAGAATTTGTTTAACCATCAAGAACTTCATTCCTTTATTCTTGTGACCTTCATGTTTGATTCAGGGGTTATATTGTAAGGAGAAATTAACTGCTAATCATTCTTTGGGGTCAAATGGTTAATTAATGAGATGAAAGACCAAGAAATTTGTCAGTAGTTATACCTTTCCACTCATAGATTTAATTGTCACATCCTGTAGGCTTGAAATTCTTACACTGCCAGCTGCAGATTTAAAGCTCATGCCATCTGGAGCATCCATGTGCAAGGACCTTGTCAAGGAAGCCAATCGCAGGTCTTTCTTGGGAGGGGCCCGAAGACTCTCAGTCTCAACTGAACCACTGAAATGAGCTCCATTTGGACCTAAAGCATCAAAAGAATATCTATGTTATAAAATTGTGAACATGCCTACTTTTTTCCTTAATTTTTTTGGGAGGAGCAATATGTGCAGAGGCAAGAGTACTCATCTGTCATCCCTGTGACTCATGTCCCATTCCTGCACCTAACATCACAAGTAGATTAAGTTTGTTGTTGGTGACCTCCTTACTTACAGGCTTTCTCCCCACTCCTTCAGTTTTCCTCCCTCCACAAAACCCAACCATCAAAAATCCAGTAACACCCTGGAAACTGTCATGAAAGAACCAGGCCCTACAAACCCCATCACTAAATTCCAATTCATTTATCACTTTTTTTATTACCTATTTTAGAGGGTCATATTCAAAATGATCTGTTACAAGCCAAGAAACCTAGGCTAATGATCAAAGAAAGGGCTCTGTTGCTTCAAATGTTCATGCAAGAATAATGTGAAAGGACAAACTTAAGTATCTTCTTAACCCTTAAACTCTTATAAGTGACCCAGACATAATTTCTCCTTACAATATTGATACAATATCAAGCAGACAAGTGATGAGAATAAAGGTAAATATCAATTAGGGGATCATTAGTTGATCCAATACCATATTCATTGAACTAATATCATAAGAATTGATAGGCAATCAGTAAGGAGAATTACTAACAAGATCTTGGAAGCAAAAGAGTTTACAGACTAATATTACAAAGGTCCTCCATGGAACATATAATCTCTAAACCTTAAACTAAGAACAGTTCAGTGGTTTCCTCAGACTTACTTGAAAACTCCAACTTATCAGCTGCAAAGACAATTTTATCTTTGTCAGCATAGAGTATATTTTTTCCTTGGTCTGTCTTTATAGAAAACTTCTGGTTACGGGCCACAACTTCATCATTTCCTATGAAAAGTTGACCTGTAATATTTCCATCTGAGTTGCGGGCATTTACAGTCACATTTGCCGTGGACTGAAGAGTAAGTTCAGAGTTCTGAAAGTGAAGAGTTAAAATTAGGAATATGTCAGTAACTCTGATGCAATGGCTACATGGCTCATTGACACAAAAGTACTTTACCTGTCTTGGTCGTATCATGTTTGCACGTAAGTCTTTGACAAATTCTGCTTCGCCATACAGTTTCAACCCTTGATCAGTTATTCTTAGTTTGCCCATACCATCCTAAAAATTAAATGAAATATAAAAAATTTAAGCAATAAGACATAAAATTCCCACATGGAGGTTTCCTTAAGAAAAAAATGTGAAAACATTTTTGAACATTGTTGAGATAAAAGAAAAGACTTAAACAATTACCAGGTTGAAGTCCATAACTCTCATGACCCAAATGACAAGAGAAAGATTTACAATGGTAATGACCAACAAGACCAAAATAAGGAAGTAGATGAAGCGTTTTCTCCAGCCATAGATACCAATCATGTAAACTACAGTTGCTGGGTCTTGGTTGTTCCAATCAACTTCCTCTGTCTCTCGTGACGGCATTTTGAACAACCTTCAGCTTTTGCAACCTAGAAAGAAATAAGCAATGAGGAGTTACATTAGTACATAACTCTTACTAATCAAGTTCAGGTTGTTTAAAGGTTAGTTAGTGCTAACCCAAGGTTAAATTTGAATCCATTTTGGGATAGTTTTCTCTATTATTTTTCGAGCATCCAATAATCAACTTCTACTCAAGAAGAATTATAATGAATTTTTTGTTAGAGCCTTCAGACCTGATATCAGATAATCCACACTAATCCTGGGTCATCTTAACCCAGCTTTGAACAACCTAACCTTGTACTGTAAGTTTAGGATGGAGCCAAAAAAAATACAAGGTTGAATAAGTTATATCACAAACCATGACAGCAAGGTTAGAAGATAGCTATTTTATCTCTGGGTTCAAATAGAGGAGGAAAATCTCAATTCAAACAAACTTTTGAATTTAGCAAGCCACAAAGCAAAATACAGCCCACTGATTGGCCAATCAAAGCCCATGTACTGACTGAGAGATGTATGAATAAGTCTGAATTTTTTCCTTATCTTCCTACTTATTTTCCCCAAATGTTCTGTTGAGTCCTTCAGAGTTCAAGACTTTGTATTATAAGTAACAGACCTACAGCAGTTTTTCTTTAATAATTTATGGCCCATATGAAGCTCATAAGTCAAAACAGGAAAAACAAGGATCTGCAGCCTACTGTACAAACTAAGGAGACAACACTAACCCACTGACCCCTTAGAGTGACTAATATCTAATTTCTCCTTACAATATCACCCTGAATCACACATTAAGGTCACAAGAAAAAAGGAAACAATCACTAAAAGCACCTAAGGAAAAGTATTGAGAACAGTATAGAGAATATGCATACTGATGTTAGGATCTAATAGGCTAATAAGCCATTTATCATATCTCTAATATGCATCTCCTAAGCTCAGGAAACAGTTTCTGGGTTTGTCAAACAGCTTCAATAATTTGCTTAAAAGTGAATCATTTCTACATCCCTGTTCAGTCACTGACATATTTTAACAAAACATATGTTAACATGTCATAATCAAATTTCCTAAATTTCCTAAATTTCCCACTAATAACCTCTCTCAACAGAAAAAGAAAGTATAGCAGAACATCTTTTCAGAGCAGGTGCCCATTTCTTGAGAGTCCCAGTAACTTTACAGACCCAAAGTAATATTTTTTTAATCTTATTCAAGAAAATAGAATGTAGATTTTAGCTTAGGTACCACTCTACTCTATCTCACTTCCTGATATTTTAATTGTATACATTTCAAAACTGTCAATATCTTGATTGCTAATGAAATATGAAGAACAAAAAATCTCCCATCCAGGCTTTAAAAGTTACTGGGTCTTTCAAGAAACAGCCCCCCAGGAGTCAATGATTTTGCAAATCTTAGTCTCTATTATCAGCATTTTACCTGTCATAAAAATTTTTGCTCATTTCTGAAGAGGGCAAATATACCCAGCCTCTACATGAAAGACTCTTTTAAATATGTTTATTGTCCATCTGAAAAGAGTAATTACTGATCAAAACAATTCCTTTTACCTTCATCTTTGAAACCTAATATCTAAAGAATGCAAACAAAATTTTAAAAAAATCTATGCCAAAGTCTGCAATTATCACCTCTGTCCTTCTATTTATGAGCTACATGATAATACTTCCTGTGGTAAACACCCCTATTCCCATTTTGATACATGGTTTTCAGCTATAGTAAGAGTTGATTCCTACCAATTACAAGCTTCCCTACCGATTTGCAAGAAATAACAAGCATTTTTAACAGTATGAAATAAGTCATGATACCCATCCTATATGTAGGAGGTATACAATTATCAAAGTTACAACTGCTACACTGTGAAATTAGTGAAAAAAAACTTGGGTGTTGTGAGAGGAATCTCAAATTTAGCTTTCAAATGTCCTTGACAATTAATTGCGATACGTGTTTACATCGATTTAATGCAATTATTAAGCTAATGTGCTCAGTTATTTTCAAACTCGTGATGAAATATTAGAGGAAAATTTAGCGTACCTCTTGCAAGGAATTCAGAAATTTATCCGATGACAGTACGGCAAGCAGGAGAGATAATGATATCTTTAAGCTTTTAAGCGACTTAACGTGTGGCTTAGGTGTACACGATATGGAGATATGAAGAAATGTAAGCCACCCATTTATATAACGTTGAACCTAATATTCGACGAAAGTAATTCCCTAATTACAAACACTCCGTCACGAAATTAATTGATATAGTAAACGGCGATAGTTTTCTTCCAGAGCTCTAGGATACAACGAAGCTTCAGAACATTTAATTTTGATTTCGTTTTTGCGGTTACCGTGGGCAGAACTTTCCAAACGCACAGCATAGAATTTTCAAATTTGCCTCATTCGAAAACTCTATGATACGCACGTACTCTAACTATGTAACGACAGATTTCTTTCGGACACATCGACTTGTTTTGGTTTCATTTACGTAAAAGAAGTCCAGATAAATATTAAAAAACTTAGTGAACTACAAAATGTTCTCTGCTTCAAAATGAAAGATGACAAAAAAAATCATTCATGCAACTCCGATCATTGAGAATGGAAGCAATAGATTGGAAAAAATTGAAAACTGCGCTCTCACTCTTGTCACTAACTCACAAAATCGACATGACATAACACTAAACTAAAATTTGCTTACCTAAATGACACTTGTCTCGTCAAGAGCTCTTGATGTAACTGCTGAAAACAGAACACACAGCAATAGACTACTGCGGTAGGAACTGTAAACAATCGTTAGGGAACAGCGACGCGTGAAGAATTTTTGTGGTTTGCGAGGCTACCAAGCTAAGTGGAATTTCGCGCCCTTTGGAATCTTGTTTCCGGAGATCGGGGAGGGGGTGATATCCTTACTAACACAACTTAAGTGATGTTTGGTTTTTTTGATAGGGAGATACCCCTGCTGAAACAACATCGTCCTTGGTAGCCTGTTTATAAATACGAAAAAAGGATGAAATTTTGTCCTTCCTCTTCGTTGGTAAACAGGCGTAACCCGCTGGCGCTGACAGAAACCTCTCGTTGGCTTACACCTCCCGTGAGCGGACAATAAGCAATTGCTGAGGCTTGGTCCCAGAGGAGGAGGGGGTTTGACTGCACTTTGACAACTGGCAGAGATACATGAAGAAAAATTTATTCCATCTGATTGGCTGAGAAAAGTGTTGTTTCACTAATACTACACACAAGGAAGATAAAACAAAGCAGAAACTGCGTGGCTCTGTGCAGAAAAAGTAGAAAACGTATTTTTATATTGGACGACCGTTGTTTAAACCGAAAGCACAATGATATTTGTAAGGCTTGAATGAATCATTTTTGCATGTGACTCGCGCACTTTGCCTTCTGCGTAACTAGGAAAAGCTATCTCAAGTTCATTTTTCATGTGTTTCATTTGTGAGTAATCACGTGATTTTTCTCGTGCAATTTCGACAAAATTAGCACCCGAATTTTTTTTTCAAATGCTTTAAATCGCACTTTTCCTTTCGACTCGCGCTATTTCGTTATTCTTTGAAAAACTCTCTTGTGCTTCTTCACTCAAAATCATGTGATTATCTGTACAAAGACTACAAAAAGTATAGAGTCGAATGTGAAAAAGGAAACAAGCACGGTTGTCATATTCCTCTATAAAGTTAATTATTACACTTCTTCATCTTAATTTATTTATTATTATTTAGAGTCTTACCAGGGGCCAGCATTAATTTCTACTAAGAGCGAAATGAAACGAGTAAATCCACAGTCAATGTGATGTTTTTACAACACCGTGAGAAACTAGATAAAGAAGCAGCTCATTGCGCACGGTATAAATCATTGGCAAGAGATGACACTTCATCACTCTCACCAGCAGATGGATAAATTTTATCCTGTCATCTTTTGCTGAAGTATAGTAATGTATAAAGATTAACTTGCATAAACGTGTTATGAAATAAGACACTTCCGTTACAGTTGAATGCAAGGTTCTGGAGCTTTCAGCACAAGGGAGAAGCTTCTTTGTAAATCATTAGACTTGCGTGAAATATTTTCTATTTTGTCCGCGTTCCTTAGCTTATTTCACGTTGCCAAGCAATTTACTCAGAGTAAATATCCTTCAATTTCATGACATCCATGTTGAGAGAGGACAGTTCCGTGACATAGTAAAGAGATCTGGGTAGAACTTCATCAACTCATTGTAAACAACACTGTCGAGTTCAACGCCATGGAGAAATAGAGAAAGCTGTTATTTTAACATCTGGAAATGAAACTACACGTTGCAACAGTAGACTAGTAAGTACGGCTCAATGCAATGAAACCTTTCTGGTACAGAGATCTCATACTGAGAACCTGAAAACAGTAAGTATGATGAAAATCGACTGAATTTTACCTTCGAACCTTCGCAGCTTCGCCTTACGTTGGGATTGTAAATAGAAATTTTAAACCTTATTAAGTTTTTCTTTCGATTATGGCAAAAATTTCGTTTTAAGTTGATAGTGACCTGTTTCAATTCAGTGTAGTTTGCATGAAGATGCGAAGCTCGCATTTAATAGGAAGCGTAAGTTGTTATCCTTCTCGTCCTGCGGAGGAAAGTTAAATAAAACTAAAAAACGTACGCAAACTGACATTTGCTGTTCGTTGTATGAGAAGTTAAAACGAAATGCATATCACGAATATTGACCACTACAAAGACAAAATTGCCTCATAAACTCAAAGGAATCTTTTATCCCAGGAATAAGGTATGCCTTGTTCAAGACGAAACGTTTTTAACAGCTCTCGCGAATGTAGAGAGGAGCTAGAAGATTTTATGTACTCAATAATCGATAGAGTTAGCCACGCAAGTTGTAACGGTTCATTGAATTCTGTCGCGTATGACGCTACAAGACCTCTTAACCTTCAAAATTAGCAAGTAATCGTTCAGCCTCAAAATTATTCCTTTCCCTTAGCAAATGGCGGAAAAGAAAATAGTGTAAATGTGAGTAGATCTGTGTGGCCTTCACACCATCCAGCTTTTAAGGGTCTTCGATTTTAAAATGCCGACGATCATTAAATCTATCGCTAGCCTGTTTGTGGGCCAATATAAGTGATATAGCTTCACTTTTTCAAATTTAGTAATTAAGTTATTTTTCATAATAAACTTTCTTCGCAGCGGAAAAAATTTCGCCGGTCAATTTGAATCAATTGTCGCAGTAAACGTTTGTGAACATCTTTTTAACCTGGAGTTCCCAGTTCATATGTCAGAAAAATTTTTGAAGTTAATCAAATTTTATTTTCAAAGTTGTATACTTAAATGAATACGTAATTATTCTTAAAGAGAAAAGCTAATATAATGTAGACCCCCCGCTTGTGATCTTTGTTTCAATGCACGTAAATTCGTTTTCCTTAGCGCTGTTATCTTTTCATCCCACGCACAAAGCTTTCTCTCAAACTGTTCAGGTTTTTATGATATTCAAATGAATGCAAGAATCGTCAATAACCCTTAGCAAACTGAGAAACGGAACCGGAAATACACAACATCGCGGGGTATTCTTAGCTTCCTTCTCTCTTCTGACTGACTGTAAGGGGTGATGTTTTTCTGAGGGGAGGAGTGTTTGCTTGAGAAAATGTAACCACTGTTACCATATTTTAGATTCACGCGTATTTTTGACAAATATTGCATAAAAGCAATGGAGGCCATTTTCCGTGTTAGGGAGGCCTGGTCTAAACACTTGAGGAGTCTCGAAACTTTTGCACACACTTTCGAGAATTGTTTAAGGCCCCCCCCCCCCTCTCCCCACGCGTTTAGAAAAGGTTGTTTCAATACGGAAAAGTTCTTGATTGCTTGAACAGCTCATATCATAATCATGCTAATCGTCTTTCAACCTGGTTACATTAGATTTGAAATAATAATGAAAAAACATTTTGTCCAGAGCATGACGAGATCAATCCAGTTTTAATTATTCTCTCTTTTTTTTCTCTTGCCAAAACGTATCGTAATGGCACAGAAATCGATACATGGGAATCATTGTTTCGAGAAAGAAGAAAAGCTCTCCAGTTTTGACGCAGCCCTCGTCCGTCACCCATTCACCTCCATCTGACCATTTTTCAGCGAACGAAGATCGCAGACAGCATCTGTGTGACGTCATACAATTCGATAGCGATGATGAAAATGAATCGGATTTCGAAAAAAAGTTGGAAACGAACGAGAGCCAAAGTGACTTGCAAACACAGAGAAATGATAAGATGTCCAGTGAAAGTGAAGTCGACGACCATCCCTCGGGGTCAGCGGCTTCCGTAAGTTCCAAGAAGACTGACAAGGAAGATCCAGGGACATGCGCAACGAGAAAAAATGAAGAAGATCCTTCAAATGAATCTACGGAAGTTGAAGAGTTTATAAGTACTTGGAAGAAAGCTCTCCTAGATGACCTAGATATCGAAATCTCTGACAATGTAAAGATTGTCAGGATATTTACAAGTTCAACATTCACAGGTACTGGCATGATCAGTTAAAATATCAGTAACATTAACCTGTGCATGAAGAATGACGAGCTCGTTTCCATGATCATGGGAATAAGGTTAGAGGAATCAGAGAATAAAGCAGCACTTAGTGAACTTAACTCATACTTGAGACTACGTTTATGGAATTGGATTTCCAGCTTAACGTTTTGATTGCTCTTTAGATACTTTTGTGGAGCGCAACATATTAATGGAGCGAGTGTACCCCCGACTCAAGTCCTACTGTCAGGGGAGAGGATATGACTTTCAAGTGGTGGACATGAGATGGGGAGTCCGTGACGAGTCCACTGATGATCACATGACCACTGAGCTGTGCATGAGAGAGCTACGCGCATGTCAAAAGCTGTCTACTGGACCCAACTTCATCGTAAGTTGGATTAGAGTTTCAAACGCAGTATTTCTCTATAGGTATGTAACCCAATTTGTATCACTTTACTTTCAGACTTTTTTGGGCCAGAAATATGGTTACCGTCCTTTTCCAGTCAATATTTCTGCCTCTGAGTTTGAGAAGCTCCTTGGCACAGTTGAAAACCAGGACGATGTTGCGTTACTGAAACACTGGTTTTGGCGAGACGACAACGCAGTTCCCACCCAATATCTCTTGCAGCCAATCATTTCACTGCTGCCCCACTACAGAGACTATGCAAATGAGGAGTTACGTAAGAAGGCGTCGGCCGAATGGTGGACGGCATTTGAGAGAATGCAGATTGTTTTGAGGGCAGCCGCTGACAATGCACTTGAAGAGGCAGAGCGGCACAAGTATCATATGTCAGGTATTGCGCGAGCTGCCTCAGTGCCTTTATTATGTTTTGCTGATATGGTATGCCTTTCTGTCACACCATCCTGTAAGTGCCCGAGCAAAAGGGTTCGTCAAAGAAAAGGTTAGGTCTCACAAACCCTGTACCCCCCCTAAAGTGGGAATTCATACCAAGCTCTACAGCATAAATAACTAGGAATGAGAGGGGATTAATGTCACTCCTAAACAGATGCAATTCCTTACGTCGTCCCTTCCTAAACACGTCAGTTTGTCCGAAAATTTGATTTTACCCATTTAAACTCCTGAAAGGGTAAGGGTCCTGGGAGATTAAATTTGCTTGCCTCAGAATCCAACACAACACCCCTCCCCCCCTCCCCCCCCTTCGTTCCAGGGCTCTCCAGTCAAGGTGCAGTGCGCCATAACTATATTACCGCCTCTTCAAATAGCAGAGGGCTGTTCCGTAAAAATGCCACCTTTCAAACAATCGACGAAATTTTTTTTGTAATATGAACTTTAACGTATTCCTTATAGTAACAGAAGATGAGATTCGTCGAGGGATAATAACAGCTACGGAACCAGGGAAACACTGTTTCTGGTTCAAAAGAGTCATCACCGATCTGCTCCAAAATGCGCACGATCCTAATGCTGGTAAGTTCGTGGATAAGCCTTACGGAGCCGACAACTCCGCTATTGACGAGTCTGCGCAAAAGCTGTTGGAAAGTTTGAGAGAAAAAGACCTCTCAGCGGCCTTACCAACAAAAAACGTAGTTCAATACGATGTCAAATGGACCAGTGAAGGCATTAGCCCAGAAGCGTCTTCAGAGCATGCGCAATATCTTGAAGAGCTTTGTGCCGACGTTTACAATGTTTTAACCAGAATGATTCAGGAAGCTATCAATGAGAAAGAAGGCGACGCGAGAGAAGACTCACTAAATGAAGAGATATTACAGCATGCGCTATTCTGCCAAAAGAAAGGCCTTGCTTGTCAAGGACGAGACGATTTTCTTCAGTCTGTGAAGTCTTCTTTACTCGAGCACAACGACAAACACACAGTTATTCTACATGGAGAGTCAGGTTGTGGTAAGACGTCAGTTTTGGCCAAGATGGCTGTGGAGGTCAGAAATTGGCTGGAGGACGACTCCGCCTTTGTGGTACTGAGATTTATCGGGACCTCTCCTGAATCATCCAGCATCAGACTGCTACTGAGAAGCGTCTGTCAACAGCTATGCAAGATCACCAATAATGATGCAATACAAATACCCGAGGTTAGTGTCTACTCTATATCATTGACCTACAACCATTATAAAGGCATAGTAATAAAGAAACTAGCCTTTTGAACACTTTTTTCCTTGATCCTTGATTAGATATTTCTAGGATCCCAGTAAAAATGAATAAATGAAAAAAGAGCACCTTAGGTTTCATGATTATAAACGCGCAAAGGGAGCTATGGGGCAGCCTACGTCAGGAGCGGCTGAGCTCGCGAGATTCGTGCTGGCGAACAAAGTGAGCGTGTGAGGGGTCTGTGAAGAGGCTGGCACGATAAAATTCGTGCAATGACTCTTACTTTGCCCGCCGACTTGAAACATGCGGGCTCAACCGCTGTTGTCGTATTGCTAATGCATGCCTGCTCGCAGGCAACGCCGACGAACCACTTCGGGACCAACAGAACGAGCGAGTGCATATCGATTGGAATTCACGTTACGAATACCTCTCGTCAGTTCTTTTCGTTCTTCCTCTCGCCTCGATTCTCTCCCACTCCCCTGGCTCTTTAGCTCGTCCAACAAAGTGAGCGCCTGGAGCAGGCTATTCCACTTCCTTACGTGGCCCTCGATACACATTTTTTAAGACACAAATCATTCATGGTTTCTCTAAATCTAATAGCATTGAACAACATCACAGAGCGTACTTTTATTGTTAACTCCTTACCAACGTAATTGCAGGAAATCATGGAGTTGTTGGAGTTCTTTCCAAAATGTTTAGAAGAAGCTTGCGCATTCCGTCCTGTGGTGTTGATTCTCGATTCCCTGGACCAACTACCCGCCGATGAAGGAGGAAGACGTTTAGACTGGCTACCCGGAAAAATACCCGATGACTGTTACTTGATTATGTCTACCTTACCTGGTTTGGAATATGAGTGTCTACCACATTTGAAGGTAGAGATAGCTCTCTCGTATGTTACGTAAATAGTATGGATTGTTTCTTATTGTAGACAACAGACACATTAATGTTTTAGTCTAGTTTTCAAGCTCTTTAAGTACTATTTTTCTTTTCGCCAGAATATATTTCCAGGGCGATGTTTTAAAGAGATACCCACCATCCCCTTGAATGAGGCAGCTGACATTTTGGAGTGTTGGCTGAGGTCAAGTAATCGCGCGTTGATACCTTCGCAGAAGGAAGTGGTCTTAAATGCGTTTCGGGAGTGTCCATTACCTTTGTATCTGAAGCTGTCTTTTGACCAAGCTATCCGCTGGAAATCTTATACACCAGAAGATGAAGCAACATTAGCCTCTGGCGTGAAAAACGTCATTAATGACTTTTTAGAACAGGTTGAGCGACGTCATGGCAAAATCCTCGTCAGCCACGCTTTAGCTTACATCACTGCATCGAAAAACGGCCTCACGGAGCCAGAGTTAGAGGATATCTTGTCACTGGATGACGAAGTCCTCGATGACGTCTATCAGTACTGGACACCCCCATTTCGCAGACTTCCTCCGCTATTGTGGATTCGTATACGTTCCGACATTGGAGACTATCTCGTAGAAAGAGGAGCAGATGATTCCCGAGTGATATACTGGTACCATCGCCAGTTTATCGAACTGGCAACTGATCGGTACTTAGGTGCTCGGCCAGCGGATGTTCACTCAAAACTGGCAGACTACTTTTTGGGGAAGTGGTCAAACGGTGCTGAGAAACCTTACATTGATAAAGATGGAAACACAGTGCTCAAAGATAGGTTGGTGGCCGGACAACCCTTGATGTTCAGCAACGATGAAGAAAAGAAGACAGTTTTTAACTTACGAAAATTGAATGAATTGCCTTATCATCTTTTACAAGCAGGCAATCTTGAGAATCTAAAAAAACACACTCTTTGCAACTTCGAGTTCCTTTTAGCTAAGCTTCGTGCAACTTCTTTAGAATCAATCCTGAACGACTTTACCGCCTCGCTTCTTCTGCATCCAGATGATGAAGACCTGGTCGCTTTGGAGAAAACGTTGCAGCTGTCATCCGCAGCTCTCAAAGCTGATGCTAATCAGCTGGCACCTCAACTTCTTGGAAGACTAATTCCACAGCACAATCAAGCCGAGCTCACTGGCATTAGCCTCCTGCTACAACAGACGTATTCCTCATCGGTCCCTTGTCTGATACCAAGTGACAAATGCTTGACATCTCCGGGCGGACCACTCATTTCGTCCATGAAAATACCAGGCAAATCTGTCTTCAAATGTTGTGGTTTTAGCTGCGATGGGAAAACAGCGTACATTACGTCTTCTTTTTCTCAACCACTTCATATTCAGATATCGAGCGTGAATTTATTGAATGGGAAAACATTCAGACGAGTGACTCTTCCAGGATCGCTGGGGGTAGGAGTCGTGTGGGTCGTTCAGGGAAGCAGTATCAACGAAGATCTCCTGCTGTTGGTAGGTTCTACTGACATTTTTCTCATTAAGCCATCAACGGGCCAAGTGCTCCAGAAACTCGCAGCCCTCGTCAAGGAAAGAATGTACAATCCAATGCCTCCTGTTTCGTTTGTGGATAACGAAACTAGTGTCATTGCCATAACAGACAAAGACATCAAGATATGGACGGCTGAAGATGGAAAAGTTGCACATAAGATTGATATTGGCAAGATTCCCACTGATGAAGAGTACGGCACTATAGGAGCATCAGGGTGTCACGCAGTCTTCAGCCTCCACGGTTCTAGAAGTTTCACAGTGCTCAACTGTAAAACGGGAGAGAAGGTTCGCGAAGTTAACGTGTTCAGCGGGGCGGGTGCATGTTTTGTGGGCGAAATCAAAGTTACCTCCAAAGAGCAAGTGGTCGTGACATCCTCGGAGAAAAATGGCCTTCGATTGTTTGACCTCCACACCGGAGATTTTATCAGAGAAATATCTCAGTTTAAAATCAACAAGGGCCTACTTCGGACCCATATTACAGCAGACGGAACAAAGGCTGTGAGTGTAGCTGACTACGAGATTTTGGTGACAAATCTGGAAGATGGAATAGTTTGCAAAACTTTGAAGAGTAAGTCGTTCGGAACGCTTATTATTCACGTTAATTTTTTCACAAACGACGGAAAATTAGCCATCTCCCTGGCTCAGGATGATGTAATCCGTATCTACAACCTTCAGCAGGCTCTTAGAGAGGGCACCGAAGACGTTTCCAAGCCATCATCTTACAACAAGGCCGTATCTTCAATTGATTCCATTAACTATCTAAACACGGGAACAGATGCAAGACATGTAATTGCGACAGCCACGGTCAACAACTCCAACCAAATTGCTATTTGGGACACTTTGACTGGAGTAATGGTGCGAGCGTTGAAAGTATTCCAAGAATTGCCTCCCACTACGATAAGAATTTATGGAGCAAGTCGTGCCGTTGGCTATATTCACGATCAAGAGTATCTTCATTTTAGAGTTTTTGATTTGAAAGAAGGGAAGGTTGAAAGAAATCTGCAGGGCAAAGCGTCCAAAAGAACGGAAGCGTTTGGGTTCATTGACGAGAACCACATCATCGCTTTCTCGCGCGGAAGACGTAACCTCAAAGTTTGGAGCATCAATGATGGGAAGCTCACAAAGCAATTTAAGTTTGGACAAAAGCATCGATTCGAAGACATGCTTATCAGTAGAAGCGGAAGAGTAGTAGTTTGTAGTCAAATATGCCCAACTGTTAGCTACGAGGAGGGTACCTTGCCTCTCTTTGCCCTCAACACGCAGTCAGGGGAATATAAAGTCTTGGAAATTGAGAACACCCAGCTAATGCTTTGGAATGGGTGCTTATCAGACGACGGGAGCTACCTCGTTAGTCTTTCCAAAGACTTCAAGGCATTGCTGTGGGATTTCACGAATGGTACTTTAAAGGGTAACCTAGTCGCAAATGAAGAAAATCCAACCGCAATCTGCACGGCCATATCAACAGCAAGCAAAGTGGTCCTAACCGGCCAAGGTGATGGGGGTATCACCGTTTGGGACATTGGAAATGGGCGTGTCCGTTCCACGATGGAATGTGCAACCGTTGATTCCCTTTTTGTCGCACAAGATGGCAAAGTGGCATTTTCAAACTATCGGTACACAAACAGCAACATCGATGCATGGGATCTAGAGACAGGCTCGAAGCTGGCCACTTTCACTTCAGATTGGAAACCGGAACGAATTACAATATCTGGAAATCGTCTTGTGGTGGCTAAAGCAGATAAACCAGAGCTGTTGATGTTCCGAACACATATTCCTAGAAGTTCAGAAGGTACCAAGCCTGTTGATTCTCCATTTAAGGACTGTCCATTGGAAAGTGTTCTGCAAGCTGATCAAGACTTGGTTCATGCTCGAGAAGGGGACGAAGATGAGGATAGCGAAGATGATTTTGACAAGACTGATTTTCAAAAAACTGAGTTCACAAGAAAAGCGGTCCATGCAAAACCCAACGTAATAATTGGTGGCGGTAGCTCGGTTTTTGCTTCCAAACGTGTTTTCATTTCGGAAAAAGTTTACCGAGACAACTTTATGTGAAGCTTCCATAGCAGAAGTAAAGTTTGCTACGTAATCTGTCATGGCAAAAATTTGACGTGCAGACCTGTAACACGTTAGTCCTCCTTTTTAAATCGAAAGGGTCTTGCATAGATTGCTCTGGTTAGATCGTTTAATAGTTAGGAAACTAATCTTATACCCAAATCCTACCGTACAGCTTAACTAAAAGGCGTAGAAGGTCTGGGTATGAAAATATTAGGAAATTACATGGTAGCACCTTCGAATTACGTGGACCATACGAAGCGTTCATTTCCCTAATTTTAAAAGAAATACATTCCAAAAAAAATCAATGCTACGGAGAAAGTTAAAGATAAACCGTACACAGCCGCGCTCAAACGCATCACTCTAAATATTACAAGAAAGGAAAATGCAAATCGTTTTGTTCTAACTTTACGACACTTATACGATCGAAGAGAAGTTATACCTCAATTTTGCATAGGTCAATCTATTGTATTGAAAAATCCAGCGACAAAAGTATATGAACATCGCATTTCGTGGATTTAGTGAGTTTTCGAACAATCTAATCGAATTTTTCAATAGGACTTGCTTCTAATGTAATTAATGTTCCATTAAAGGATTAGAAACCCACCCCTTTTGTAGACTTTCACACCAAGTCCTATAAAGTCAAGCAATGAATAATCATGCTTCGATCCCTCAAACTTCTACTTGATGCGGTGAGGTTTGAAAAGAAGTGAAGTTTTTACCATTGTTTTACTGTAGAGGTGAAAGAAAGCTAGCATCGTCTCCTTCTACACCTTCATTGCATGCTGAGAACTTAAGACTGACACTACTCACTAGATTTTCTTATTGGGTATGAGATCCTACAACTTTTAGATCCATAGCTGTCCTTATAGTTTATTGGTAAATATTTATCAAAATTTGAACATCCCTCAAAAACACGCAATTTGCAGCATACAAATACAATGGATCTGGCAAGTTTCGCTCCAGAAAATAGCGCACGTTTCTAGAAGCAGATATTATTATTATCTATGACGCCAATGCTAATAACCTTGATCCAACTCACTGAGCAAACGGAAAATCTTGTCAACGTATTATGCCCGCCCCGTGACATTAATAACGCAAAGGCGTCGCCTGACGAAACAAGCTTAAAAGTCATCTTTGCTAGATCAGAGCTCAAGCAAACTTAAGCTGCCAATAAATCGACGTACATTGACCACTCTGAGGATTCTTTCAACTGTGCTGCGAGAGGTAACCCGTAGAAATTTTGTGTCGTGACATGGTGTACCCCTGCATTCCGAGGGCACTGAGGGTGATCTTAACATCGTGTCGCCATGGTGTCAAACTCTGATGACAGGTTTACATTACTTATTTATTCACTTCTAATAATCATTAAATTCGATTCGCGCTTCGAACTTAGAAACTGAGACTTACCGCTAGTGGGTTATTTTGTTGTTGCTATTGTTGCTAAAAAAAAGATCATCGTTTGTTACTACGCACGGTAATATCGGAGAGAAGTCTCTTCCATTTAACGAAAGTGTCAATTTTCAAACTTGAACATTGGGAGCACATGCAGGTAAGCGCCTAAAACCTTCTCTAACGGACACTTCGCGTTATTATTTGATTCGTTACTACGAATGAGCTCTAACTTAAAAGATTTCATTATCTTGCTGAACAAAGCGTCAATAAGTAAAAAAAAAAACCACTGACACCTCTCGAAAACGGACACGATGTCGAAAATCTCTGCTTGAATAAAGCACAGAATTACAATTATCTAATTCATGATTATTGAGAAAATTCAAGGGATGGAAAATTGTTTTATGGATCGGGGTAATTTTGTGGCTTTATACGTTTCTTGGTTTTGTATTTCACAAGTAAAAAAGCGGTTTTACAATGAGTAATCTTTAATTGAACCTACAACACCTGTGATCGCTTTAAAATTTTCAAAAATTAATCTACATATTCATCACATGTTTACAAAAGTAATAGCTGCTGGGGTTAAAAATGCAAATTAGTTTTATATTTTCAGTTCGCAGCAAGTCACGCATTGTGTTTAATTTTTCCAAAAGAAGAAAGAGAGGGAATAACGCACTCATACCTTTGTCTCTTGCATTAAATTTGTCACAAGCTCTTTGGGTTGGTGTACTTATTTTAGTAAAGTACGCCCCACATAACAGGTTGTAGTTGCGTTATTTTCTGTATAAAACTTACTTAGAGGTTGATTTATAACTTTCATCACAGTCCTGACAAATCTGTTGAAAACATCTCGATTTGTCGGTCAAGTTAGAGGTTATCATACCGCCTGACAATGCCGGGAGCGCTGTTTCTGCGAGACGAAAGAAAAAATTAACAGTAGAACATAATGAAGTATTTTCATGTTACATTATTTCTAAACTAACATAGGAATCGCATATATAAATGGACTTCCAAAGCCACCTCAACCGAAATTTAGTGATTCAGACACAAGCTCTTGGATAAAGAGACTGTGTCGCTTTAGCTCAGCTCTTAATAACGACTTTATAGTAATGATTACATATGTGGTCATCGTAACCGAGAAATAACTGAAAAATATATTTCAGCTGCTGGTTTAAACTTCAACGATAAGTTTTCTCCAAACACAAGCGTCTGTCAAGAACGATGGGTGTTCTTCTGTCCAAAAAGAAAAACAAGGAGCGACATGGCTTCCAGGTAACGGAAGATGACGACTCCGAATCTCAGAGGAGTTCCGAAGACGAAAGGGAGCCGAAAAGTGACGATGATCATTCCGATAACGAGGAGAAGGACGAAAGTAAATCTGACCAGGAAGAAAGCGCCAGTGAAGACAATGAAGACAAAAAAAGCAGAAGCAGTTCTTCGGCAAGCAGCGAGAAAAGCAAATCATCTCAAGAAGATGAAGGTGTCGAGGAGGAAAAAGACGAAGAGGTGGAAGTAAAAGAAGGCAGTCTTAAAGATGTCGTCTTGGCTCGGACTGAAGTGAACTTAAGTTACGAGAAAAAAGTAGAGAAAGCCCTGGTTGGTGATATGGATTTTGAATATCCAGAGCAAGCGAAAATCGTGAGGATCTTTACCAGCTCCACGTTCACAGGTATTTTTGTTTCGCATTGGTTCATAAAATAGTTCAAGTTTTAGACCTGGGGATGATATAAAAACAACGAAATCATCCTTACAGGTGACCTACAAATGACGAAATTGCGAAAAGCACATCCTGTAAAATTTCATGCATCGGCAGGATTCGAATCCGTGCTAAGGAGAGGCTTTATTCAAAAGATGAATTTTCGAAGACTACAAGACTTATTTATATATAGTTTTTAGACTTAAAGAGTCTGGGATCACATAAAGCGGGTATGTTTATTCTTGTCAGTTTTGACCAACGTACGTTTCGCAGCGCAGATCAGCTAGAAGGAAAAAACTGATTGAGAGCTCTACATCTAGCGATTGGGGTGCTAGTTGTGCTAGTTCATATGTTTTGCTATTATGGGCTAGAGAGCTCCACGGTAGAGGGGTCCGTGGAACGTTTGTGCTTGGTTTAGCGGAGACGATTACACAGTGCATGACATGCGCACGTAAACCTAGTTATTTCGTTGCCTTTCTTTGCTAAATATTGAAGACTTTATCAGAGTTGCTGCTCATAAATTTCAGAATCCTTAGTTTCGTGCAAGGGAAAGTTAGTAAAGATCGAACTTATTGACTTACGGTCTTTATTTTACTTTTAGACACTTCAGTGGAGCGCAACACATTGATGGAGCGAGTGTATCCCCGACTCAAGTCCTACTGTCAGGAGAGAGGACATGACTTTCAAGTGGTAGACATGAGATGGGGAGTCCGTGATGAGTCCACTGATGATCACATGACCACTGAGCTGTGCATGAGAGAGCTGCGCGCATGTCAGAAGCTGTCCACTGGACCCAACTTCATTGTAAGTTAGAGTAAGGAATTAAATAGACCAATGAGCTCTCGCAAAAAGGATCATTTTATACACATTGGTAAGTTTGGTACCGATAAAAAGCAAAATAGCATGTAAAGATTTTGCTTTTTAAAGGCAGTTTTCAGACCAACCGGTTTTGAAATTTTTTTTGACTTGTGTGATTGCAAATCCTTTTTTATTTTTTACTTTTTTTTTCAGACGTTTCTTGGACAAAAATATGGTTACCGTCCATTTCCTACGAAAATAGTGGCCTCTGAGTTTGAGAAGCTCCTTGGTGCGGTTGAAAATCAGGACGATGTTGCGCTACTGAAACACTGGTTTTGGCGAGACGACAACGCGGTTCCCGCCCAATATCTGTTGCAGCCAATCACATCGCTACTGCCCCACTATCGCGACTATGCGAACGAGGAGTTACGTAAGAAAGCGTCTGCCGATTGGTGGACAGCGTTTGAGAGAATGCAGGTTGTTTTGAGGGAAGCCGCTGACAAGGCTTTGGATGAGAAGAGTGAACGGCATAAATATCACATGTCAGGTATTGATATGACTCAGGAACACAATTATATGTTCTTAGCACATTTGACAATTTGATCTGTGATCTACTACTGAACAGACGCACGGTAATAAGGAATTCGTAAAAGAGATCATCCTCGCAGGTGAGCCGTAACTAACCCTTTAACCCCCAGAAGTGATTCACATGTTACTTCTCCATACAATATCCATGCACTATCCAGCAAACAGGTAATGAGAATACTCAAATGTATCAGGTAGAAGTTGTTACCTTGATCTAATACCAAATTCTTGTAACTAATTTACAAGGAAATGTTTAGCAGCTAGAGGGGAGGATTAAAAATCCGATCCTGGGAGTTAAAGGATTAAAGAAACTGCAAAAAGGAAACATGTAAATATTCAGGAAGCCTGAATTTTTTCAGGATACTTTTCTGTCATTTCTTTCATCGCTGCTTACCTGCGAGGATCATTTCTTTACCTGTATGATTCAGGCAATTGAGGTTCTAAGAGGTGACCCCATCAAAACATGCACAAAACGTTTTGACGTAGTTACCTAGGTTGATCACATTGAATACCTCTTATGGCCATAAAATACCTTATTGTTATACAATTATTTGTGTCCTTTCATAGTTACCGAGGACGAAATCCGAAGAGGCATCATAGACGCTTCACATCCTTCAAGCCATTGCTTCTGGTTTAAAAGAGTCATCACAAATCTCCACGACAAAATTGAGAGTAAAAGCGCTGGAAAATTCATTGATAAGACGTGGGGAGCCAATTCATCGGTAGATGAAACTGCTCAGAAATTACTTAACGTTCTTCGGGAGAACGATCTTCCTCAGGCGTTATCAAGCGCAAACATTGTGAATTATGACATCAAATGGTCTGAAGATGGCGTCGACCCATCTACCTCAGAAGAACATTTTCAGTACATAGAAAAACTCTGCAAAGATTTTTATGATACCCTGACTCAGATGATCGATAAAGGGATTAAGGAGAAAGAAACATCTGGTGCGAGAGATTCATTTGCAGAGGAAGTATTTCAGCATGGTTCATTTTGCCAGAAAAAGTGCAAATCATTTCATGGTCGTAAAGAGTTTTTGGAGGCTTCGAAAAACGTTCTAGTGAATCATGAAAATCAAGCTGTTGTGCTCCATGGAGAATCGGGTTGTGGAAAGACGTCGATTATGGCGAAAATTGTCTCCGAAGTTAAACAGTGGCTTGAAGACGACTCTGCTATAGTGGTTTTACGTTTTATTGGTACCACACCCGAATCGTCTGGCATCAGGCCCCTTTTAAGAAGCATATGCGTTCAGTTGTGTAGAGCGACCGATCAGAATACTACAGATATACCGGAGGTATGGTTTGCAATTATTGTACCTATAACTGGAAGGGTCGAAAAGATTATTGATGTGTCCATAAGAATGAATGAATCATCAGTTAATTCCGTAATATATCGTTATATATCACGAGGTTAACACATATGTTAAGTCAGCAATAGCGGGAATAAGGGCCTTACTGTGTTTAGGTCGAGGAAAGTAAAGGAAAAAATTATTCAAAACTGTTCCATTTTATGCTTAGGATATTAAATCCCTGAAAGACTACTTTCAAGAATGCTTGAAGAAGTCGGCTGAAAATCACCCCGTTGTTCTGGTTTTGGATTCATTGGATCAACTCTCCATAGATGACGGTGGCCGGCAAATGGACTGGTACCCAAGACAGTTACCAAGCGATGTATACGCCATTCTTTCCACGCTACCCGGCGAGGAATATCAGGCCTTACCAAGTCTCAGAGTAAGTTGAAAGCAGCATCGGGAAAATTCACGCCTTTGTTCTTTTCTTTCCATGTCAATAAATTTGGATACTAGGACTCCTGTAATTTGGAGTCTTTATTTAAAAGTGCCTAATTGTGTTGAAAAACATATTTGTCGTGTCAAACGCCTCCACCACAAAGATAAGTACTGTATTTCACAACTCAACCATTTATAATTTTTTGTTAATCACGAGGTCGCGTAAAATCACATGACCATAACGTCACTAACTCAATGGCACGCAATGCGTGCAAACAAGATAAAAAATGTTAACAAAAACAATTAAATAAAATGTCAATGTTCGGTCGCAACAAAATTAAAGCAACTATCTGTTCGCTTGTGCTTTCCTCGCATTAAGCTTCTGCACAGAATCGAAGAATATAATCTTAAATGCTTTCTGTTTGAGCTTTTACCATAAGTCTATGATATATTTTTTTAGTTAGAAGCATGATTTTATTGATTCATTTTCTTTGCACATGGTAGACAATCCTTCCGAGTGAATGTTTTTTGGAAGTACCAAAGATTCCTCTTAATGAAGCAGATGTCATCCTTGACAATTGGCTCAGAGCAGGTAATCGAGCAATCCTACCAAAACAGAAAACCTATGTCATGGAATCTTTTCAGAAGTGTCCCCTTCCCTTGTACCTTAAGCTGGCTTTTGACGAAGCCCTGCGATGGAACTCGTACACTCCTTTCTCCGAGCTTTGCCTCGAGCCATCTGTGCGGGAAATCATTGATGACATGTTCAGCCGGGTTGAAAGACGACACGGGAAAGTTTTGGTCAGTCATGCGCTGGCCTACATCACAGCATCTAAGAACGGCTTGACAGAGACTGAGTTAGAAGACTTGCTCTCGTTAGACGAAGAAGTCCTTAATGATGTCTATCAGTACTGGACACCTCCAGTGAGAAGACTTCCACCACTGCTGTGGATTCGCATTCGGTCTGACATTGGTGACTATCTTATTGAACGAGGAGCTGACGGCACCCGGGTGGTATTTTGGTATCATCGTCAGTTCATCGAAGCTGCAAGGGAAAGATACTTGGCAGGTGATCAAGCTACTAAAATTCACGCCATTATGAGCGAATACTTCCTCGGGAGGTGGTCTGGCGGAATCAAAAAGCCATTTCTTAACAAAGAAAGCAAAGAGATGTTCATGGACAGATTGGTACCAAAGCAACCATTGATGTTCGACTCGAGTGACGACAACGAGATCTTTAATCTTCGCAAGTTGAGTGAGCTTCCATTTCACTTGTTTCATTCTGGAAACCTAGAACAAATGAAACAAGAGTGCCTTTGTAACTTCGAGTTTCTTTTGGCAAAACTGAGAGGAACCTCTCTACAAGTTCTTATGAGTGATTTTTCGTCTTTCCTTGACGCAAAACCGGAAGATAATGATGTGGATCTCCTTCACGAGTGCTTACAACTCTCTGCTTATTCGCTCTCCCAAAATGGTAATCAACTACCCACACAGTTGATAGGCCGCATGTACAACTTTTTAGAGAGACAGGAACAGTACCCTGATGTGCACAAGGTCTTGAAGCAAGCGCTGAATTCTTCGACAGCTTGTTTTCTTCCAAACAGAAAGTGTTTGACAGCGCCTGGTGGAGCACTGCGTTCTTCCATCGGATTAACGCAGTCTGGCAGCGATGTCATCAGCATGGCTAAAGATAACCGCACTATTGCAGTGTCAAGCCAAACATCGGATGGCCTTGTTGTCAGAATCATTGATTACGTTAGTAATAAAGAAGTAAGAAAGTTTACTCTTCAACAGCCGGTCGAAATGTATAGCACAAATTTTAATCAAATAAGTCAGAAGAATCCTGATTTATTGCTGCTTGCTGGATCGCATAAAATCTTCCTGCTCAACACACTGTCTGGACAAATAGTGCAAGAATTTCAAGTTTCTGATGACGATTGGTTTTCTTACAACCCTTATGCTCCAATTTCATTTGCCGATGATGAAAACTTGCTGGTTGCTATCTGTCCTGACTCACTGAGGGTATGGCAGGTAGAAAATGGTACACTTCTCCACACCCTACCCCTGAAAGGCGTCAACACAGAAGACGAAATTGGTGCCATAGATGCTCGTGGAAGCTTTGCGGTCTACAACGTACGGGGGACAAACACGGTGCACTTCATCGATTTGAAAATTGGCCGAGAAGTGCGAAAGATCACCATCTCATACCCTAAGAGTAAAGGTTCCAGCGAAAAAGTCTTTGTCAAGGAAATCAAAATAACATCCCTTGATCAAGTGGCTGTGATCCCATCTTCATTTGATAGTTTGCGACTTTACGATCTCTCAGCAAACCTGATTCGTGAACTAACAAATTTCAAGATGCAAGAAGGTCTTCATCGAATGCAGATTACCGATGACGGCACGAAAGTCGTGACAGCTGATATGTATGAAATCTGTATTCTGAACCTGGAAACAAACGAAATGGAGAGATGTCTCAGAAGTCCAATTTTTCGGATGCGAGTTTACACACGTGATGGAATCCACATATTGGCAGTGGGACAAGACAACATCCTACGTGTCTACGACAAAAGTCGAGAGGAAGATGACGAAAACCAAAAGGATACTGCTCTCAGCACAATACAAGGCAACACGATTGCTGACCAACTCACAGCCATTTCGCCCAGTTTTGATCAACGCCATGTACTAACATCTGCTGTTATTCAACTTCGGAACGAGCTAGCTGTCTGGGATGGGCTAACTGGTAAAAGAGTTCGCCGTCTAATGAATCTTACGGTGTTTCCGAATCCCATTCGCATGTTCACCGCCACCCGCGCTGTCGGCTTCATCTACGATCAGGAAATCCCACATTACAAAGTGTTCAACTTTGCTGAGGGAAAAATTGAGAGAAATCTGGAAGGAAAAGCATGTAAAAGGATGAACGCGTTTGGATTCATTGATCAAAGACGGATGATCTCGTTTTCTAGAGGAAGGCGATTCGTCAAAGTATGGGATGTTGACAGTGGCAAAGTGCTGAAGGTGGTGAAGTTCAAAGAAAAGCAACGATTCGAGGACTTGTTGATCAGTAATAACGGCAAAAAGGCTGTGTGTTCACTAGCAAGCCAGATGACTCAGCATCGCGACAAAGAACTACGCTTGACTGTTATTGACACAACCAGCTTCAGCAGCAAGAACCTTATGTACAAAGGCGAACAGTTAAGTCTTTTTAACGCACGGATATCAGATGATGGAAACTATCTGGTCAGTTTAGTACAATATTCTCAGCCACTACTCTGGAACCTCCAAACTGGCCAGCTGATACAAAAGCTGTTTGACCCGGACGCCTACGAAACGGCCAGCACCGTCGCAATTTCGGGAGCATCGATGACAGCCATAACTGGAACGGGTGACCAGAAGATCAAAATATGGAGCATCGAAAGTGGTGAGGTCTTGCGCTGCATAGATACTTCGCCAGTCCTCGAGCTTTTTATTTCACCAGATGGGGAAGTGATCATTTCCAAATCTCAAGAAACAAATGGCTTCGACGCCTGGGAGACGAAGACTGAGAAGAAACTTGGCTCGTTCACTACTGACGGTTTCCCAAATCATGCGAAAAGTTTTGGAGACAGGCTTGCATTGGGACTTGGCGAAAACCCTAATCTGATGATTCTCCATTTGCATCGTCCCGCACTGAAAAACAGAATGGAAGAAGAGAATTTACAGTCTCCATATGACGGTCTACCCGTGGAAGCAACCGTGGAAAATTTCCAAGAAAAACCTACGCGTGATGACGGCATTGATGATGATAAGGATAATGATAACAGTTCCATAGCCTAGAAAACCGGTTTGGATAATCTGGGATGACTTATTAGGTAGTAAAACTGAAGGACTAAACTATTTCTAGTATGTTAAGTTCTTGCGTGTTGTTACTCTTTCTTTGAGCTGGTGACGTTTTTCTTCACCACAGACGCTTTGAAACGTTTCAAAAGCAAAACATGATTGAACTTTGCTTACCACATTACCAAAGCTATATATTCACAATATATTATTTTTACATCAGCACCGTAGCACCTGTAGCTGCTTACTATTACCTCTGAAGAAATAATAAATCTCTTCATTTTCTGTGATTTTTCACTAGTTTTCTTTTGCGTTCGATATTTCATGTTATGTTTTCTAGAATTCAATTTATTGTGGGATATATTGAAAAAGCAGGCCATGACTCTTCATTAGCCCTTTCACTCCAAAGATCTGATTGTTAATTCTCCCCTTTAGTTTCAAAACATTTCTTTGTAAATTAGTGACGAGAATTTGATGTTAGATCACGATTATGACAACTTCTACCTATTAAATTTGAGTATTCTCATCACCTGTTTGCTGGATAACGTATGGATATTATAGGGAGAAGATACATGTTAATCACTTCTGGGAGTTAAAGGGTTAATTATTCCCTTGTCACGGTGACGAACGTTCAAAAAATTGATCTGTCAAACGATAGCCAGTCAGCGCTTATCAAATCGTTTTTGTTAGTTCGGCCGTGTTATAAATTGATTGCTTTACTCTTATCGAACGGCCTCCTCACTTATTTTCCAGTCTCTAAGGTCTTCTTTAGCCCGTACGGCAGCTTTCTTCTAGAGTGATTTATAAAATGAAAGTTTTTCCACTAACATGACCAAAACAAAGCATTTGGTCAGGAATGCAGTAGCAGGGTACTCCAGGAGACGGGCCAAATGGCCTACACTGTCGCAGCTTATCTCAGTTTCTGTAGCTTAGAGCAACTTAGATCATACTTTTCCTCCACGGGATGGGATGGTTGTCGGTCGCATGGCATTCCTCCCACCCCTCCCCCCTCCTCACCCATCCCTTGGCTAGGATTTCGTCACATTTCTCGGTTAATTTGCCGTTAGACCACCTTGTCGCACACTGTAATAGATTGTGTTCAATTATTAAGTGTGGTCTGCCTGTGGTAATACCAAAAGCCAACTTAAGTAAGAATTCCTAATAGTAATTTTTCTTATTCCCTGCCATACTACTCTTGTGATGTTACTTCGGAGATTTTGGTACTGGATCAACATTCCCTCAATTGATGTTTTCCTATATTCTCATCACTTGTCTGCTTGATATTGTTTTGATACTGTAAGGAAAAATTCTGTCTTGGTCACTCAGGGGAGTTAGAAGGTTAAACTAGTGGAGTAGAAGCAGTAGGTGGTAGGAATAGCACAGTCTGTAGCAGTCGCAAGTCTAAACATGCAAAATTTTAACATCGTCGGCCATAGGACGAGAGAATTCAACGTTGATCTTTCTTTCAGCTGAACAAATGATTTCTTCGTACCACTTGACGATACTTAAAGCTGATGTAAAAAAGTATAAAACGATCACTCAAGTGTGGTTCTGCGACACTTTTTCGATCAAAAAGGCGTCGGTCGGCCCAACCCTCCATTCCGCATTCGTTGAAAGATCAATATCTTCGCAAGACTTTCGCATCATAGACGTTTGCGTTGTGCTTTTGAAGAATTTCTCGTAATTAAAGGGTTTCATATGTTATGTTAGCGGTCGTTAGTGCATGTAGTGTGTTGTGTTCATGGCGTCGAGGCGTTGTAATTCATAAGTGCATTTTATTTTTGATGATTACAGCTTGAGTTTTCTACGGCTCCCTGTGCACACCCACAACGGTTAACAATAAGTTGAAACAAAAGATGTCAAATCGTACTGTTTTAATTCAATCTTCCAACCGTAACCCTAGTGGTTGATCTATCTTGATCTACTAATGAAAATGATGCTGTAACCACAAGTTTTTTGTTAGCACCGAATCTCGACCTTTCCCGACAGATGGCACCGAGTAAACTATCTTTAATTCCGGCTTACAACACAAGATGGAACAGCAAATTCATATCGCGTTTTATTTCATATTTTACAAACCGTGACGACTAATTGACAAATCAGTCTTGCGTGACATGTTCCTGTTTTAAATCGTTTTCTCTTTTGAATGTTAATGCTACGCGAAGAGGTTTCTCTTTCGTAGTTATCAGGTGCACGTTGGCGCCAGAAAAACTGCAAAGTTGTACAAACAGTGAACTAGACCATTTAAGGACAAGCCCACTATTTAAGGTTGGTCTGTTCTTTTTTTTTTTTCTTTTCTTACACCGCCTGGAAGTGTTTCGAGCGAATGCTTCATTCACGCTATGTTGACAACGATATGGAAATCGACGAAGCATTGAAGATTTCGGCTGTCGATTGAGCTTAAAACACGATCCGCGAGCTAAATGATCACGAAGAACTTAACTGACAACGCTCGAAGAATGCTTTTGCTTATAACGAGGACACAAATCATCAGAAATGTTCGACGAGAAACCGCAGTGATAATGCTGTCGAAAAAATTGTTTTTTATTCGTAGATAGTGCGTTTTATGGTCTTCTTGAATAGATTAAAAGTTACCTGTCTTCGGCGGGAAGATTGTCACAAAGAATTAAATCTAGTTTCGTCACTTTTTTTTCTTTTCTCTCCCAATAGAAGAAGAAAAGCATAGATCAGGGTAAATAAGGTAAAGGTTTTTTTTTGGGCTTTAAAATAATGCCCGAGGTTGTTTTGAATTTATCAGTAACCATGAATACCGTTTCTAACATATAAACTTAGCTTATTTAATTAAATCACCTATTAAATACTGGAAGGATGATAAATATCTTATAATTTCTGTCGAGTTGCACTAAATTCGTCTTTTCTTTAATCTTTCTTTTTTTAACAGAGATCACGCAAATGTATAACTATGAAATTCATATGTCGATGAAACAGCTAACATTAAATCAAAACATCGGGAAAATTCCGAGAAAACGAATATTTTCTTCGGGATTGGTCGGGTTTTTCTATTTACGATTGAATTTCCTCGCTGTATGACCCGTTTTTTAAGAAGTTTTGTCGACTTTATTTTTGTTACTTTCGCATGATGTTATTTGATCAAAAAGGCTTAGGCGTTGTATAATCACTTTTAAAAAGCATTTTAAAGCATCTGTGATTCCCGCGAATTTCATCGAAAGCATAATTGTCATATATTGTTTTCGGTCTTTTTCACGGCTAAAACTGGCCTCGGCCCTGTAGTTCATATTCCACAGCCACCTTCACTTCTTCAAATACTTCACCACATTCAGTTTTAATGATGTAAAGGGGACTCAGAAACTCCCGCCCTGATAATGATTCACGATAAAAAGTCGACAAAACCTTCTTGTCCCACTGAGGAATTAGCAATCATATTTTCTACGGAAGTAGATAAACTCCTCCTTAATATCTTTGTTGATGCCTCAAACAAATTTTAATCGATTAATACAAAGGGGACATTGCGGAACAGAAACTCAGTTGGCGAAGTTAAAAAGAGGAGGTTGTAAGTCTCGATTATTTACCCTTGAATGAGTGATGGAGACAGAAATTCTCCTTACAATATCAATATAATATCAAGCAGACTCGTGCTGAGAAGAAAGTGAAATATCAATCAGGGGATTGTTGGTTGATTGAATACCAAATTCCCCAAATTAACATCATAACAATTATATGGCAGACAGTAAGGAGAATTACTAATGAGATCTTGAGAGTTCAAGGGTTAAGGGGGGTAATCTAGGGGCATGTTTATAAGGGCAATTCATTTCTTTCTCGCGCGAAACAAAGGGGGGGGGGCTGGTGCGTATTTATGCAGAAAGGTCATTTGATAATATCTTTGTTATGACTTTTATTAGTTAACAGTATTTAAAATCATGCCCCTTGAAGCTCATCGATAGAGTGGCTGTGCCATTCGTCGCCTTAACTCAGCTCTTAACTTTTTAACTCCCATGAGTGACCAAGAGAGAGTTTCTCCTTACAATATCCAGAGAATATTAAGCAGACAAGTGATGAGAATAAAGAAAAATAGCGATAAGGGGATTTTTACCCGATCAAAAGCCAAATTCTCCAAACTAACATCGTAAGAACTGCATGGCAGAAAGTAAGGAGAATTACTATTGAGATCTTGGGAGTGAAAGGGTTAATAACGATTTTATACTAATGGTTACATATGTGGTTATCGTGACCGAGAAATAACTGAGAAATATCTTTCAGCTGTTGGTTTGAACTTCAAAGACAAGTTTGTTCCAAACACAAGTGTCTGTCAAGAACGATGGGTGTTCTTCTGTCCAAGAAGAAAAACGAGAAGCGACAGAGCTTCCAGGTATTAACGAAAAAAACTTGTTCAAGTATACTGAGATGGCTGTAGTTTAACTTTAGAACAGCGATATATCAGCTGCGTGTTGTCACCCCTAAACCGAAGTGTTTTAAATAGAAATTCTGACCAAAAGAGGAAAACAAAGTGCACCAAGAAATAAGTTTGGGAAGGACACGGGTGATGTCACTGGAGATAACTCTTGGTTTTGTTTTATTTTATCACTTGTCATTAGGTCAGTGCAGCTCCACAGGACGAAGACCAAACGAGAGAGGAGGCCGCTGGCCCAAGTGATCGGGAAGACCCCACGGGAAAAAGGAGGAACGAAGATGACGACTCAGAATCTCAGAAGAGTTCCGAAGACGAAAGGGAGCCGAAAAGTGACGATGATGACTCCGAGAACGAGGAGAAGGACGAAAGTAAATCTGACCAGGAAGAAAGCGCCAGTGAAGACAATGAAGACAAAAAGAACAGAAGCAGTTCTTCGGCAAGCAGCAAGGAGAGCAAATCATCTCAAGAGGATGAAGAAAAACGGGAAGGAGTTGAGGAGGAAAAAGACGAAGAGGTGGAAGTAAAAGAAGGCAGTATTAAAGATGTCGTCTTGGATCAGACTGAGGTGAACTTAAGTTACGAGAAAAAAGTAGAGAAAGCCTTGGTTGGTGATATGGATTTTGAATATCCAGAAAAAGCGAAAATCGTAAGGATCTTTACCAGCTCCACATTCACAGGTATTTTTTCTTACCATTTCGTGAAATAGTTCATGTTTTGATCGGAGATGATATACAAACAACGAAATAATCATTAAAAGTGATTTACAATTAATTGAATTGCATAAAAAGAATCCTATAAAAATTCAGGCTTCGACGGGATTTGAATCCGCACTGAGGAGAGGCTTAATTCCAAAGATGAATTTTCGAAGACCACTTAACTTATTTAGTTTTTAGACTCAAAGAGTGTGACATCACATAAAGCGGGGGTAGTGCTTGGTTTAGCGGAGACGATAAGACAATGCATGAGATGAGCACATGAGCTTAGTTATTTCTTTGCCTTTTTTTGCTAAATTTTATAGACTTTACCAGAGTTGCTGCTCATTAATTTCAGAATCCTTCGTTTCGTGCGAGGTAAGGATCGAACGTATTGGCTTACGGTCTTTGTTTCACTTTTAGACACTTCAGTGGAGCGTAACACATTAATGGAGCGAGTGTACCCCCGACTCAAGTCCTTCTGTCAGGAGAGAGGATATGACTTTCAAGTGGTGGACATGAGATGGGGAGTCCGTGACGAGTCCACTGATGATCACATGACCACTGAGCTGTGCATGAGAGAGCTACGCGCATGTCAAAAACTGTCCACTGGACCTAACTTCATCGTAAGTTTGATTCGAAGCGAGATGCAGAATCCCTTGTATGCTGTAGGTGATTATCCTAGAAGCACGTCTCACATGTTTGCTTTTCTTCAGACCTTTCTAGGACAAAAATATGGTTACCGTCCTTTTCCAGTGAAGATTCATGTCACTGAGTTTGAGAAGCTCCTCGGCGCAGTTGACAACCAAGATGATGTTGCACTACTGAAACACTGGTTCTGGCGAGACGACAACTCAGTTCCAGCTCAATACCTGTTACAGCCAATCACATCACTGCTACCTCACTACAGAGACTACGCGAATGAAGAGTCACGAAAGAAGGCGTCTGCTGAATGGTGGACAGCATTTGAAAGAATGCAGGTTGTATTGAGGGCAGCCACTGACAAAGCTTTAAAAAATGAGAGTGAGCGACATAAGTACTATATGTCAGGTATGTGGTAACGGTGTTCACCTCATTAACATCCTTTCATATTGTCCAATCAGAACAGAGAAAATATCACAACGAGCCAATCAGATCTAGAAGTAAAAACAAGAAATTTGCATGGATCGCGGGAAAACTCGAATTAATCATTAGGCTTTGGCTTGGGATTTACATCTGATTGATTAAGTGGGTGGCACGAAATTTCTTGACCAATCACAGGGCAAAGTGAAGGAAAACTAATAAAATCTCAGATATTTTTCGGAACACAATGGAAGTTCTGACTGATCAATATGTTGCAATGGTACGAGTCCGTTCAATAGCTCACTTTTCCTTCGGCGATGAAGGATTCTGGAAGACTTACCAGACAAAGATTGTAAGAGGTTGTTTTTAGATGGTTCTATCAGTTCTACTGGATTTCCAAAGAAGGCTTACTCTGCTCAGTCCATACATATAGACTTCAATACTCAACTTAAGATAGAAAGCGATTCACCTAAAATAAGCCGTCCCGTTTTTCCTTTTGAAACATAGTCGCTCAAAACGTGTAGTCCGATAGCTCACTTGTATTCTCCAAAATTCTCATCTGTTCTTAAATTTTTACTATTCCTAAGCATTCCAGTGGGTTCAGAGATTCTCCTGGAGTGCAAATTAGTCCCCTTTCTTAGCACTACCTTGAAAACAATGGATAAAATATACGCGAATATTTACCTGTTTTCTTTAGCGTATTAAAGTGCCTCCTTTCTTTTCTTCCTTTAGTGACAGAGGATGAAATTCGACGAGGGATAATCGACGCTACTGGAAGGGACAAGCACTGTTTCTGGTTCAAGAGAGTAATCACTGATATCAGTGATTTTGTCGCACATCCCAACGCTGGAAAGTTTGTTGACAAAACTTGGGGAAATCCCTCGTCGGTCGATGAGTCGGCGCAGACGTTGCTAGCAAACCTCAGAGAAAAAGATCTTCCCGAGGCGTTGAGCAATAACAGCATTATTCACTATGACGTCAAATGGCATACTAATGGTATCGATCCGAGTGCTTCACAGGAGCACAGGCAATACATTGAGAAGCTTTGTACGGATTTTTATGACACCTTAACTGACAGAATTGAACGAGGTATCGCGGAAGACCAACTAACCCACACAGAGGATCTTTTGATTGAAGAAGTGTTCCAACATGGTTCGTTTTGTAGGAAGAAATGTGAGATGTTTCAGGGCCGAGACGAATTTTTGACCGAGGTGAAAGACACAATCTTGCAAAAACGAATTGCTGTGTTGCATGGGGAATCAGGTTGTGGGAAGACATCTTTGATGGCTAAAATTGCCATGGATGTGAAGAAATGGCTCGGTGGAGAATCGGCTACAGTGGTGACTCGATTTATTGGAACAACTCCAGATTCGTCTAATGCAAGATCATTGCTACACAGTATCTGTCAACAAATTTTAAAGGCTAATGTGGATTCCCAGGGTGCAACAGTGCCGCAGGTGAGTGATGTTTGTAAGTAATCCGGGATTGCATCTGTAAAGTTTTTCTTTTCCCCAACACCCTAAGCCTAACCCTAACTCAATTATCACATTACAAATTAAAGCCAATCGCGATTGCAATTTTGTGGCGTCTCTCTCCGCTTATAAGTACTTATTTTGGCTTCTCAATGGCTCCTTACGGTTACTTTATTTGCTCTGACTGGGTTTGATGATTACCTAAGTCTTTTTCGAAAACCGCTCCAATTGTCTTTAGCTCTATGTAGTGTGGAGTGGTTTTAAATGGGTCATCTAATGTTTACCACATTAGTAACCATTAAAAAGAGAAGGCACTGCTCAAAAATTCGCAAACTATGGCTGGCGCTTTCCAGATTTCAAGTATCTCAAAGAGTTACACGAAATTCTTTAACAAAATGGGCTAATTAATTTTCTTCAATAGGATATGAAGTCTCTACTGGAATTTTTCCCTACATGTTTGAAAGAAAACGCCTCGTCGAAGCCTATCATCTTGGTACTGGACTCCCTGGATCAACTGTCGGATGATGACGGAGGTAGAGAGGTGGACTGGGTGCCCAAGGAGATACCGAAAAATGTTTATATGATTTTGTCAACACTTCCTGGAGAAAAGTACATTTGCTTCCCCAAGCTTCAGGTAAATGCCCGCGTTTTAATGTAGAATGTCTCTGATCCCATTAATAAGGTTTTCGTTAACGAGCTGAATGCAATTGTTTAACACTAAAGTTGTGAGAGATTCAGGGAGACCTACGCAAACTGCCAACCCCCGCAGGCTATCACTTAAGTAACTTGGTACATAACAACCATTTATTTTTGACCTTCGAAAATAAGAAAATATTTTTTTTAGTGTCAATGATGTCAGTTCATGCTAGGAAGTACAGCTGCACATAACAATCTCTCACGTTATTCAATAATGTTGACTTTATTTAACTCTAGGAAAAATACGAGGCCTCTGTCCTTCTAGAAGTTCCAAAAATGCCTGTCGACACAGCGAAGCAAATACTTAACAACTGGTTCAAATCAAGTGGACGACAGCTGCAAATTGAGCAAGAGAAGATTGTCTTGGAGGCCTTTGAAAAGTGTCCGTTACCTTTGTACCTAAAATTATGTTTTGATGAAGCCTGTCGATGGAAATCCTACACGACTCCAAGTGATACCAAACTGACGCCATCTATAAAAGGAATAATCCATGACCTTCTTGACCGTGTTGAGAGACTTCACGGTAAAATCCTTGTAAGCCAAGCTTTAGCATACATTACAGCGTCTAGGAATGGGTTGACGGAGCCCGAGCTGGAGGACATCTTGTCCCTGGATGATGTGGTCCTTAATGATGTCTATCAATACTGGACACCACCTATTCGACGGCTGCCTCCTCTACTGTGGATTCGAATCCGATCCGACATTGGAGACTACCTCATTGAACGAGGTGCCGATGGCGCTCGAGTCATTAACTGGTATCATCGGCAGTTCATAGAAGTTGCTCGCGAGCGCTACCTTGGAGACGAACAAGCAGCAGTTGGGATCCATTCAAACATGAGCGAGTATTTCCTCGGCGACTGGTCAGACGGCGTGAAGAAGTCTTACGTGGACAAGGAGGGCAAGAAAATGGCCGTGGATCGACTGGTGCCCAAACAGCCGCTTATGTTCGATGTAAGTGAAGAAAAACCCATCTTCAATTTGCGCAAGCTGAGTGAAGTACCGTATCACCTTCTTCATTCCAAACAAATTGATAAGCTCAAGCAAGACACGTTGTGCAACTTCGAGTTCCTTTTAGCCAAGGTCCAAGGTAGTTCTGTGGAAGCAGTGCAACAGGATTTCAATGCCGCTCTTACCCTTCATCCAGATGACAGGGAGTTTGACCTCCTCCAAAAATGCTTCAGTTTGTCAGCACACGCACTCAGGCAGGATCCTCGTCAGCTGTCTGTGCAGCTCATAGGTCGCCTGTACAAGTACATGCAAAAGCAAGAATGCCCATTTCTGAAAAAGGTGTTAATAGCTGCACATACTCCATCTGTACCTGCTTTCATCCCAAACCAACAGTGCTTGACACCCGCTGGTGGCTCTCTGATAAATTCCATATCAAATGAGGAATTCCACGGCGGTATCGAGCATGTGAATTTTACGAGTGATTCCAAGACAATCGTGACATGTAATCGAGGCTCAGAAGGACTATGTTTGCTTTACGTTGATGTGAAGGGTGGCAGGAGGCAGAGAAAGGTTTGCTTCGACTCTTCCGATACGGATGTAAACACATGCTGGTGTGCAAAGATAAGTAAAAAGAACGACGATATCTTTATCGCATCGGGGTCCTCGGCCAATATGTACCTTATCAACGCGAGGGCGAACAAGATTTTACAAGAGTACAAACCCATGAAGGATCAAGGGAACTGGTTCCGAGGATTTCCTTCCGTTGCATTTGCCGAGGATGATAAGCTGATTGTTGCCCTTGGGGATTCCGGTGTGCGAATCTGGGAGACTGCAAGCGGTAAGCTTCTTCATGACGTGAATGTCAAAGGCATCAACGTCGAAGAAGAATTTGGATCTTTGGACGCGAACGGAGGACTTGCTGTTTATTGCGTTCGCAACACAAAGACGGTTCACGTTCTAAATGTGAAAACTGGAGAGGAAGTTCGCACGGTAGGTACACTTTAAACCCTCTTGCTTCATATTTGAGAATTTACTTTAAAGTTCGTGACCGTGAATAGATGACGCTTTGCGGTTTGGCTGCAAAGGGCGATTAAATTGATCAATATTTGCCTTCAGTTCAATTTGCCAATCTTTTTTTTACCACTGGATAGATAGCGGTGTTAGGCCTGAGTGGAGTCCAATTTGGTCTGTAATCATACGATTTATAACAAAATCAGACGACCGCGCAGCGGGAGTCCGATTTATTTATCACGAGTATGATTACCGACCGAATTGGACGACACGAAGTCTTATTACCAATTAATCATAAAAATTACATTTCCGAGAAAAGAAGAGAAGATGAGTTGCGAAAGAAAGGGAAACTTTGTATTAAAAGACTGACAAAGGAGGCGTAAATTGTTTAATGTCGTTCTAAAATTGACTACTTTGACAACTTTGAATGTGATTGGTTGAATTAAACCACAACTTTGAATGTGATTAGCTTCTTGAAATGTCCGATAACAAACTGTCCGACTTGGCAAGTTAATTTGTAGAAGAGTTTTTAAAACAATCACAATCGAGGAAATTATAATTTTTATGATTAGGATTAGAGAGCCTTGTCCAGGTGTATGTTTGTCTTTCCACTTATCATTTAGTTCTCATTACCTCCGACTCTAATATTGCCATAATTAAGTTGGTCATCGCCTGAAACGTCAGTTTTAAAGATGCCTCCCCCTCGACTACTCTACTTAACTTGCCCACATAGTTTTAAATCTTTGCAGGCACCATCCTACCATATCACGACTCAGTTAAATTCCAGGAACTGAATATTGTTTTTAGGATACTTACTCCAACATTCACTTTCAGATAAACGTGGCGTTGGACAAAGAGGAGATCCGAGGGGAGATGCAAGACACGAAAGTAAAAGAAATCCACCTTACTTCCAGAAAGCAGTTACTTGTGGTATCAGAAGCCTCTGTTAAGTCACAGCTGAAGGTCTACAATGCTGAAACGGGCGAGTATATTTTAGACCTCAAAGAGTTTGGAATCGGTTACAACAACCGCCTCATCGTAACTGAGGATGGAAAGAATGCGATAGCTATCAGAAACAATTATGAATTGGTGAAGTGGGAAATTCACACGGGCGAACCTACCATCGTAGCGAGGTTGCAACCAGCATTTGGTACTTATGGACGTAATGGAGATGTCGTGGCAACTGCCGGATCAGATGGAGTTCTTCGGGTCTACGATACAAGAGAAAATGTTGATGAGGACGAGACGGATGTCACAGCCACTACGGCAGGTTTTGCTGATTCAATATGGACGCTGACAGTTGCAGCAGATAACCGGCATGTGATTGCGAGCTGCACTGTGAAGATGATGCCTGAAATTGCCGTGTGGGATGCTCTCGCTGGGGTCAAAGTCCGCTCTATCAAGGCTATGAACTTTCCTCAGCCACTGCACATGATAGACGATAAGGTCGGTGTTGGTCGAATGGCTGTTGGAGAAGCTAAGAAGGATCACTTTGATCACTTCAAGTTACTTGACTTTGGTCAGGCGAAAACGACTCGTGTTTTGCAAGGGAAAGCCAGCAAAAGACTGAATGCTGTTGGATTTATAGACAAAAAGAATTTCATGGGGCTGTCACGTGGCAGACGGAATTTAAAAGTTTGGAACGTTGACACAGGCAAGGTACGCAAATATTTCATGTTTTACAGTCTTTTTATTGCTATAGAAAATCAAATAGTTGGTTGGTGACAAAGAAAGAATTATGAACTCCTCTCTTTACTTTACAGAACTCAAACTTAAGTACCTCTCTTTTTTCTATTCACTGTGCTCACACAACGTTCATGAGATAGCTTATCACAGCAATATGCAGGACCTTTGTCGCATAAAAACCCCTTTATGGCCTAGCTTAATGGCCGAATTCTCAGTAGCTCAGCGGTATAGCACCGGAGCGCAAGCCCCAAAGGTCTAAGGATCGATTACCAAAATGACCTCTCTTCCAAGGTTGCTGAAATAAACGCACTTCGAAACCCACCCAGTTAAGCTCGTAGTCAGTGCAATATTTATCTCCTTGGCTCAAGACATAGCTTCGGTTTGAATTACACTGTTTTGAAATAGTGTAATTAATCCCATACCCCGCCCGCTAAAAAAAAGACACAATACATCGGAGATTACGAACTACCTAGAAAAAGTTCCATGCCCTTACCGTGACTGGTAAAAATTAGGTGGAGAATTCTTATGTCGTAAGCTGTTGGTTAATCAATATTTGTTTTACGTGCAGGTTGTTGGACAATATAAACTTGGCCAGAAGTATCGCCTTGAGGGGATCTTAATTTGCAAAGATGGCGGCACGGTGATCTGCTCTCAGGCCAGCTTCTACGTCGAGCAAGAAGATCAAACAGTTCCCCTTTTGGTTTTTAACACCAAAACACACGGGCACAAGACTATGGAACCCATTAAAGACGAGCAGTTGGGATTGGATGGTTCAGCTATCACTGAGGATGGTAAATACTTCATCTTGCAGCTTAAAAACGACCAGGTAAGTGCAATATGGAACACAGAAACCGGCAAGCTGATGCACACCTTAGAGGAAGGCTCAAGTGGGAGGAATATGGTTGCAATATCATCGAAAAGCATGCTCGCCTTAACAAGCCACGAGAGCCTTAAAGTTTGGGAGATTCAAACTGGAAAGCTGGTTCACGACCTCTTTGCCACGGACATCGACAAAATTTATCTCAACGAAGAAGGCACAATCGCCATTACCACTGATTCCAAGGGGTATCAGCCCCCATCCTTCGAGGCTTGGGATCTGATAAAGGGCAAGAAGCTCGCCTCCTACACCGTCGACACAAATCCGTTTGCAATCTGTCCTCTCGGTGATCACATCGTCTTCGCAGCACCAGCTAGTGTTACAGTTACGACGCTCAGATTGCATATTCCTGGAAGTGAGGAGAAGAAGCCAGCGCTTTCCTCGTATGGCGACCACGTAGAGCTGAGCGAATTTAAAGGAATGATGGGTCCCTGTGATCCTAATGATGATGACGACGACGAAGATGATGATGATGGCGATATTCAATAAACGCAATATGACTCTAACGTAATCTTAGAATTTTAAGTCATTCGTTGTACTCTTCGTTGCATGCAAGTTCTAAATGCTGTACCCAGATCCTAGTTGCTTGTTTGGAATTGCCTTAGGTAAGCAAGATGTTAGTCGAACTGTTAAATGATCTACCAGTTTTTCAATCGAGTGGCGAAAACATTACGGGATTGCTTGGACTAAACTGTATCACGCATATTATAATGCAACGCAGATCTAGAGTCAAAAGAAATTTAAGATATTGGACGATGATTACGACGTATTTATCAATAAACCACAAGAAGCTCAGTGCTAGTATTAGTTACGGTAAACTAAAACTGAACCTGAAACTCAGTGAATGATAGAATTTTGTTCACAAGCTTCTGTTTAGAGATTGAGTAGATTCTTAGTTTTCACCAGAGAGATTGTGCCAGGTGACAAAAAATTCTACTTTTTACTAAAATAAAATTGCTTTGTGGTTTTCAGAAAGATTACTTCCGTAGAAGCTTTCGATGTCAGTTAAGATTTAAAAAAATGTCGCTGAGTGTAATATATCTGAGGCATTTGCCATTAAACAGAAAAAGGCGGTAAAACTTCTCATGACATTTTGCACGTATCTTACAAGAAACATACGCGATGAGACTGCACGCAAAATAACGAATCCAACACAGTATTTATGTTAATTATCAACTCAGTTCATAATACCAAATTATCTTGATACACCGTCCTACCGACGCAGCACCACACCCCCTTTATTCACAGCGGTCAAAAGTCGGGCATGCGCAGGGGCCAGGTATGGCCGGCCGCGCGCCAATTTCCCGCGGAAGATCCGCTGTCGCGCGAAGTATGCGAAAAAAAAAAACAAAACGTTCATGGAAATCTGTAAATAAGGGTAAACGGAAACTCAAACTTTTCGAACATTAAGCGATTCAATCGAAGGTATCCTGTTGACTTGCCACTGCGTTGTGAGTTTTATAAAATTAGGTGCGCAGTTTTAAAGTAGCTAGCTGGTGGAGTTGTTCATAATTCCTTCATGAAAACTCGGTCCTGACAACACAATCTCAACCTTTGCACATGCGTTCACGTATGACCGCTGGGTTAACAAACCCAAACTTAGCTTGTGTATCTAACAATTTTTCGAGCCCACGATATCATTTGAGTCAGCAGAGAAGTTAAAACGACTCCATCGCTTAGAATCGCCATCTATACACGCGAACGATAATTAAACCTGAGGTCATTATTTAAGTATTCATACCGGAAGGAAGTGATCGCATCGATTAAGATAAAACCTCGAGGTAATTTCAAGAATGCTCAACAAAAATAGATCATCCGTACCTTTCTCTCACACTCTTTTTGACCTCTTAAGAGTATTTTTTGTAGATTTTTATGGGCTACCGAGCGTGATTTAAAGAAAAAGTCTTCCTCAGTGATGTATGCCACGGAAATTACGTGTGCCCTAACAAAGAACTACTAAGTTGTAAGCGGGTTGAATCGCTATAAACCCGGAAATTCTGACGTTAACACAGCACGATTCATTTTTTTTTTCATCCAAAAAGAATTTGTTCTAAGCTTCTTTTGTAAAGATAAGAATAACGATTGTCTCAGAAGAAACTTCTTTTGAACTCATTAGACCAGGAAAACATTGTTAGGTTGGTCACGCGACACTGTTCAGTGTTGCGTGACTTAAAGAAGTATGTCAATAACGAATAAAAATGGTCACTTTGGATCAGAAGCAACGGTGAATTTTTTAATATTAGAAGAGAACTTAGCTTTTCAGGATCCAGAGCTCATGTATTTGCAATAGTAGGCGAGCTCAAGAGATAAAACCATTAAGAGTTTGTCACGCGAACGTTCCGTTGCACCCGTAGTGACTCACGGGAGGAAATAGCGGAAGTTACGCATGCGTAAGTTGTGGTCGTTATTTCTACTTTTTTCAGTCTTACTCAAACGGAGACTTGATTAGGCTACAATAAAGCAATCAGAAGATGTAAAAGCTCTATTTTTGGAACAAGGGTTTTTGATCGTATTGTTTTCACTACTGGAAGCAGGATGGGGGATAAATTGAATCCAGCTCCCAAAGAAAGTGGTGGCGGCATTGTAAGTTCAGTCAACATCTAATGTTGCTTATTTTCCTCAGACTAATCGTAAATTGCATGGTGACTTTCGCGGTCTGTATGGTCTAAATTGCCCTTAAAGCTGCAGTGATTATTAACGCAACCGATTATTTTTTAGCTGAATCGCATCACGTCAATGCGAAAACAGACAAAGAAGAACAAGGAGAAAGATGTCAACGGCCATAAGATGAAGGAGCGTTTGAAGAGCACTCAGGAGGAACCGCTGTTTGACCAAGACATGGAGGAGGAGATTGAAAGAATCAGGCATTTATCGCCGGAGGAATTCAACAAAATGTTTGAGAAAATGCTGGTACGTCATTACTTAAGATCGTCATCAAGTTAGCACCTTTCGCGAAGTTTCAAACTATGTTTGCAATTGTGATAACACACCGTAAATTCCGGTCCTTCGGGCGATGCGTTATGCAAATTACTTTCGAAATTTCTGGGGTAATTTTTTTTGTAGCACTTACTCTAATCACAAACAATCAAGTTTTATTGTAGTGGCTCAGACGTATTAATTTCTTAATATCATTTTTTTAAGCGGCAAAAACGTGGCACCGCATTGTAACTATTCACCTCAAAAATATCGCCCGTATTTTCGTGCATGTGAGCATTTAAAATAATATTGGATGTTGCTAAATTGTAAATGTCTGCTCATTAGAGCTGATATTCAGCGAGATTAAGCTAACTTCAATATTCAGGATAAATTAGAAATTATCTTTATTTCATCTAAGTCTCTGCATGGATAAAATTATCATATTGCTGTGTGTTGAAAAACTAAGTCCGTTTAACCGTAATTTACGTTTGCAACTCTCCATTACTTTGTGTAAACAAGTAAATATATTCTGCGACTGATGTTCAAAGGTTTGATCGATAGCAGTGTCATTCTTCAATGCAAGGCACGTACCAAAAAAAATTGCCAAGTTCTGTATTGAAATAATATAGAATGTTTTCTAGAAGTTGGTGGCTTTACCGTTTATGTATCAGATGCCTTTTTGAGGCTTTCTAATGACTTTTTGTTAGAGAGGTATTAACCCACAACGGCCATTAGGCTACAAGGTCATATAAGATATCTGCTTACATAAATGTATCATTTTATGCAGTTGTACATAATGTCACTGATAGCTTTTGTACTTTATACAACATACTTTTAAAGACAACTCCTTGTTAAATAACTTAATGCCAAGCCCTGTCTTATTTGAATTTGCCCTGTCATGTGTTACTACTGAAGATAAAATTTTTACATATGTCAGGAAGTTGTTATTACATAGCACTTAGAAGTGTGCCAGATATATGTGATATCTGTGAGGTCCACCATTATTTTGTGAGTTTTGTTTTGGTGAGGGTTTCGGAAAAGAAAACTAGAGAACTTTGTTTACCATTTTGTGAGCTAGGCAGAGAAATGAGGAGTTGTAAGCACTCCAGATCTACAACTTTTACATTTAACTCAAATTTCTAAAATTGGTCTGCCACTGGCAGCAGTAAACATGTTGGAAAATGTATTAAATTAGTGATACAAATTTTTGGATGAAAACAAATTTTGGTATCCCTCAAGCTCACTGCTGCTGAAGTGGGTTTATCATATGTCAGTGTAGTTCTTGATATTGGATGACCTCGCCAACTCTAGTTAAACGGTTAATACTGTTCTGAAAAAAAAAAACTGTTTCTCTCTCTTTGGTATATAGGAGGACATGAACCTGTCAGAAAATCTACGGGAACCAATTCGCAACAGAGAAATGGAAACAAAGGTGGATATGTTGTGCAGCTTTAAAAGGAGACAAATGGCATCACAGGTAAAGTGATAAATGAAAGCAAGTAATGCTGACACACTGCATGCTTGAATGTACATGAGCATGTTCTTTCATTATTAATAATTACCTTTACAATTTTCTCAAATGTGATTGGTGCATGAGCTGCTTTATTTTTCACTTTTCATTCTGTAAAGTTGTAATCCAACAGTATAATCAGACAGGTGGCTGTGATGGAATGTTTTTTTCCTGATCCATTTTGATTAATCGGTAACAGGACTTTGAGTTGTCCAATTCTGTTGGAATCATACTGGTAATTGACAAATTAGTCTCCTGCTATGTGATTATCTGACTTTGTTAATCACCTGTATGATTACAGACTGAATTGGACCCCACTCAGTCTTATTACCATTAATAATAAAGGTAATACAACTTAGTGGAGTCCAACTTGATCTGTAATCATATCAGTGGTTCACAAAATAAGACAATCGCAAAGGGGGAGCCTGATTAATCATGAGTGTGATTTCATTCTGAATTGGATGACACAAAGTCTTGTTACCAATTAATCAATACTATGACAAATTTGAGAAAGAAAATAGACATTGCTTATTATTTTTTCATTAAAAAAAAAACCTACAGTTAACTCTCTGAAATGCATGACAGCAATGCATGCTCATGATGCATACTGTCCATTTAGACAAGCATAACATCTCAACTGTAATATTACATTGTCCAATTACAAGCATGACGTGTTCACTGTCCTCCTAGTACTTAAAGCGGGCTGGTGATAACCAATCGCATTTGAGTATTTTGTTACAGTTTTGATTAATTGTGTAAACGTGACAATATTTTATGATGATTATTTTCTTACATTCTTTGCATCTGAAGAAAACTTCACATGCTGGGCCGACATCACCAGATGATTATATAAAGGAACTCAATAAGTCAGACATGTCACCTGAACATCTCTTGAAAACACTGCAGTCTGTGCGAGTGTCACTCACAGGGAGACCACTTAGGTAGGTTGGTTATCCTGTGCTCTAAGTAATTCTTAGTTTGTCAAAGTAGTTGAGTGGTGTTAAGAACTCAATATGGCAGAAAAAAATGTACATTTGTTGGAAATGAGCAGGTTATCTGTTTGATGACAGGTGAATTTTTCCCTGGTTGTAAGGCATTGAGCCAATCACGTTTTTTGAGGGAGAGGGAAGGTAGTGTCCTCATGGAAAACAAAACAATGAAATGTTCATATTTTATAAGTTCAACCATACTTTACTTTTGAGGAGACTTGCATTAAAAATGTAGTATGGTTGTTTTTGCTTAATTATTTTGGTTGAGAGTTTAAAACCAACCCCTCAAAGTTGTCTTTACAGCAAGTCTATTTCCCCCTCCCTAATCCTTAACCCTTAAACTCCCAAGATCTGATTGCTAATTCTCCCCTTCAGTTGCTACACATTACCTTTTAAATGAGGTATGAGAGTTTGGTGTTGGATCAAGATAACAACTTCTATTTGATAAGTTTGGGTATTCTTATTTCCTGTCTGCTGGTTAACTTATGGATATTAAAGGAAGAACTTACATGTTAATCACTTGGAAGCTAAAGTGTTCATGAAATCCCTGGCTCGATCTTAAGCCTTTATGACATTATCAACTTCTTAATTGTTAGTTGGATACAAGAGTTTGGTGAAGAAGGGCTCCAGTGCTTAATCAAACACCTGAGAGATTCCTGTTCAAAGGAAGGAAACATTGATAAACGAATACAACACGAGTGTGTGAGGTGTTTGAAGGCCTTCATGAATAACAAGGTACATGTAATATCAACGTCAAACAAGATTCACAATCATCAGTTTGTTAGAGTTGGTGACAAAGTCAATTAAGGAGTTGGTTGTCATTTGAATGTTAGAACCCACATGGCCATCAGTATCACTGCAAAACTGATCAATCAATTTTCATGAACCAAGGTACAGTTATTCAAAGGGCTGATAACCTTATGCAAGAGATAAGTTGCTATCCCGAAGATAAGTGTCAACAAAATGTACTGTGCTATCTACTGAATAAAGATTTATCCAATCAATGGTGTTATTCACCTTTCAAACAACCAGGGCATGATATGTAACATCTCATTGACAAACAACTCCTGGTTTAAGGCTGATGATGCCTTCCACTCAGAAAAGTCAGGCATGTTCCCAAACAACTGACAACAGGAACATTTCTTGACGAGCATTAGGTTAATGATTAGACTACAAGATAATCTGCACCATGAGAAACTGATATTTAATTTTGATTCAATGGTGGAATGCAGTGGATTTATTTTTCTACCCAACCATGCAACAATACACATCACTTTTGCTCAAAAGGATCTCCAGTTTTCTCAATCATTCCTTTGCTCAACAGTATGGTCTCAATATGATGTTAAAAAGTGACGACGGTTTGGTATTGTTGGCGAGATCAATGGTTCCAAGCTATCCCAGTATGATGGCTGATGTTGTCAAGGTGGTAGCTGCAGTGTGTCTTGTCAAGTAAGTCAATCCATACATACAGGAATTTGTTCTAGAAATTGGTCAAAGAGGGTCCAATAGGCCCCATTCTTTGATTATTGGGGGACCCCTGTCAAAAAGGGACCCAAATTAGGGGCTACTCAAAAAGGTGTTGGAACTTATTTGTACAGGGTGTATTGTTGTTAGTGAGAAAACAAAGAAGAGAAAGGCAATTGAGATGGTAAAAGGCAGTAAGTTAAACTTTACTTGCACTTTTGTTTGCAGACATGATAAAGCCCTTGAGGCAATCACTCGCTGTGGAGAGCTTGAAAAACAGGGAAGATTTGTTAAGCTGGTCGAAGCACTAGATGACGATCACACAAATCTAAAGGTGAAACCTCTTACCTATATGTTCATTGTTTGTATTTCTTTGTTAGTAAGAGTAATGTTTTGTTGAGTGCCATGAAAATCAACTTGGATTTACATGCATATTTTTAGTCATGGCACTGACCCCTTCACACTTTCAAAGAGTCATGATTTTAATCAGATTTAATTTGTCCATCATTTCTTTAGGTTGCTTGTGTACAACTTATCAATGCCCTTGTCAGTACTCCAGATGAATTGGATTTCAGATTGCATTTGAGAAATGAATTTGTTAGGGAAGGCTTGAATGAGCCATTACAGGTATAGCAAAGAGAGCTTATCAGTCTGTCTAATTGTGTGTGTTTCTGTCTCTCTTTGTTTGTTTGTTTGTCTGTCCACGGTCTACAGGTTTATCTCCTATTTTTCTATCTTATCGATAAGTATCTCTGTTTTCATTAGTTATCTACCTCTGGTATACTTGCCTTTCATTGATTTACTTGCTGTTCAACTCTCTGTTATGGGTTGGTTTACCTCTGTGCCTTCCTCTCTTCAGGTCCATCAATCTGTCTTTCCTGTCAACTGTTCATCTATCTTTTATACTGGTCTGGTCTATTTAACTGTCTTCCTCTCTGTCTATCTGTCTGTTTAACAACCATTGCAACTTCACCAGCAGTTTTATAAATTGATGTTTTTATTTGATATTTTTTAGGAGCTTAGAGATTTAGAAAATGATGATTTGAATGTTCAGTTGGACATTTTTGAAGAACACAGAGATGATGACTCTGCTGAATTCCAGCAGAGATTCACCGACATAAAAATAAACTTTGAGTATCCTTCGCATTTCAGTATAAAGCATAACTAGGGCATGAATAATGGCCAAGTGTCTGCTCAAGAAAGAAGTACCATACCTCTATTTTGTTACAGTCAAGAATTTTGTGTGTGTTTCACTGAACTTGTTAAAAATAGAAGCATTTAAAAATTAGATATCAGGTCTGTGTTCATGTTATCCGAGATAGCTAGAGAGCCACAGAAGGAAATTAACTGATCATTTGTCTTCATACCTTTAACTTTTGCCTTGAAACAAAAGGAAGACATGTGAATTTAATTTTTGTCTGAAGTGTTCTTTAGAGCAAGCTTTCTGGCCAGTTTGACATGATTTTTGAACTGTATATGAGAAAACATAAAAATCCTGTAAGGTTTGAAGACAAGCCATATCTAAAGGTCTTGTCTTTCTCCTCACATTTGGTTGAATCAAGATTGAAGATTGGTAGTCTCTTTTAAAAAACAGGGTTACAATCACCTTAACTTTCTATCAGGGATCGAAGTGAGATTATACAGATAATAACAAACCTCATTCAGGACACTCCATCAGAACCTATGTTCCTCTCCATTCTCCAGCACTTGCTGCTCATCAGAGATGATGTTTATGCCAGGTACTGTCTCTGTGTGGATTTCAGTTGTTGAGCCCAAGCCTTGACAATATTAAGCCTGTCAAGTTGTAAATCCAAATCTATTTTTGCTCAGACACAACCCATATTTGGTCGGACACATATTCATTACTTCATACCTCAGTAGGAATGCCCCCTCGTATCAAAAAAGGTGCTTTTATTGTACATCAAGCCTCAAACTTGAAACAGGAAAAGTGATGCAGGCATATTTAAAACCTAAACCACACTCAGGAGTAAATCAATGCATTGTTTTTTTAACACATATCTTGTATTTCACATTATAAAGTGTTCGATGCTTTTACTAAGACTATAAATTGATATTTACATTTTAAACTCATCTGTTTACAAATTGATAATGAATATTCATATCAATGGATAGAATGCTCTTTGTGAAAGAGTGTTTTCTTCAAAATGCACATTTCTCAACTGAGCCATATGGTCGTTGACTTTTTGCCGTGTTTTTGTTCACAGACCTCAATACTACAAATTAATTGAAGAGTGCATATCTCAAATTGTCCTTCATCGAGGTGGAGTTGATCCAGACTTTGGTCATAAAAGAATTGATATTGATGTCGAACCTCTCATTGGTGAGTTTCCTCTTGTTTGTTTGTTTGTTTTGCAATTTTCATTTTTATGTGTGGATTTGAGAAGCATAAGCACAAATAGTGTGGGGACTCCAGGGCATGAAATTAAAATTTTTTCTGATAGCCACTTGGCTCCTAAATTCTTCTAAGTGGTTGCCAATTCAAAAAAAGTTGGTTGCCATTTTCAAAGACAAACAAAACCTTTTATTACGCTGTCATCGTTCTAGAAATTAAGTTAGGGAAAAGATCTTTAATGTGCTACAAAGTGGACACTAGGATGGATGATATGTGACATTCAAGCTTACCTAAATCCAAGATGGCATCTAGTTATCGATCGATATGCATGTGCTGTGTTTTGGAAACAAACTTAATGAGGAAGTTTGCAGCAGATTTATCTTTGCAAATCTTTTTAATTCACTATATCTCTTGATAAGGTTATGATGAAACATTCTAGTTGCCAATTTGGCGACTACTTTTCAGGATTTGGTTGCCAAAGTGAAAACTTTAGTCACATTGGTGCCTGTATTAAGTGCAATTTCACAACCTGGACTCTTAAGGGCAAATTTTGTGATGGTAGCATGGTCGTAAGAGTCTGCAGAGCATGCATTGTATTAAAGATGGCAGGGCGATTGTCATACACATGAGATTAGTTGGGGGGATGTCTGTGGGGATGACAGCTATTATTGAGCAGAACATGTACTTCAGAATAGCTCAGAAGTGGAACTACTGGCAATTCCCTCTTAGGAACTTACTTATTTCTAGAAGGTAGTAATTAAATATCAAGTTTATTCTTCAAACTTAAACTTGACCTGTCAAAAGTTGATTTTGAACTTGTTCTCTTATCTGTTCATTGAGTAACAAGCAGGGAACTTGACAAGGAGAGAGTAGAATGTCACAATTGTGTTCATTTTTGTATTTTCCACAGAAAATCTGGTTGAAAAAGCTCAGTATGAGGAAGCAGCTGAAAAATCTATGCAGCTGGAAACTAAGGTTTGTAGACAGGAGAGTTTTTTGATCTTGAGTAACTTCATTTATTTAAAGAAGTTGAAATTTATTTAGTTGCTTTTACTTTATTGGAGCTAACATTTAGTGATGGTGCATGTGAACACTGTGGGTCAAACTTTTCTCAACTATACTAATGCTGCTAACACTGACAGGGTAGGTCTTCTTGTATTGAATGACTTATCATGCAGTACAATTTCATTTTTTAGCTGGAACTTGAAACAACAATGCGACAAGAATGTGAGGCTAAATTAAATTTAACGTCAACAAATTTTGAGACCAAGATCGCTGCCCTGGAGAAGGAGCTTGCTGAAGCACATGAACAGGTTCAATGATAGTCATTTTGTGTTGGTTTTATGCGCAATGGTTATTATGTTATGTTAATAAAATCGTTTTTTTCTGTTTCAGGCTAAGCGAGGTGGCCCTGTAACAGGTAGGCAAAGTTTCATCTTGTCAAACTATTTATCTATTGTTGTGCCCATGCTTTTAAGATGAATCAGAAAGAGGAAAAAAGCTTAGTCCAAGTGCTGAATAGCTTCCATACTGTTTGTTATGAGTAATTTTTGAAATTTTCTAATCTTGCTTTAGTTGTTTAAATTCTTAATAATTTTCATAACAATTGAAGCCTCTTTCTCTTCAATAAAAGTTAATTTTTTGATTTTAATGCTGTCAGAAAAGTTCATATGCATGCTGTATTACTACAAAGTGTAAAGTTCCTTGTTAAACTGATTGCCTTTAGCCTCTTCTTACTTCTAAAACTGGAAAAAACTTGGAAGACTGATTGACTGAATAATAGGCACCATAATGATATTTTAACTAATCAATTAAATGAAGTAATTCAGTGAAATGTAACAATAACTGTCAGTAGCTTTCCACCACTGTCTCTTGCCTGGAACAATGAATTTAACATTTTTGTTGTCTAAATCTATCTTAAATTTAAACTACATTATTCTAATTGATGGAACTGTTACCTTGAATCTTTGCACCAAGTTGATTGTCAATAAACCCTGATTTTCATTAATATATTTAGTTTTCATACAACCGAAGAAATTTTTTGTGTTAAGTTATACTAAACTTAAATCATAAATTGCTTATTCTAAAAATTAATTTTTGACTTGTGTTGTAATCTACATTTTGTTATTAGTCAGTCAATCACAGCCCAGAACTGAAGGTGTTGCTCCGCCTTGCTCTCGAGTTTTTATGATCCCTTCATCATCCTCCACAACCCCTGCACCGCCTCTGCCTCCTCCTCCGCCTCCTCCTCCGCCTGCCCCACCCCCGCCTGCACCCCCTTTTCCCCCTTGGGCATCTCCTTCATCAGCAAGTAAGTTAATTCTTCTGGATGCCCACATGCTAATCTTTCTTTCTTAGCATTGGTCTTGTGAAGTTTTTAGGGGAGAATAACCCTAACTAAATTGAGTAAGCTGAAAAACATAAATTTTTGGTGACCTCTTCATGTCCATTGTGAAGAAAGACAACCTGCACCACACCTTCTTGTAAAAACCTTGAAGGAAGCTGGTGTTAGTTTATTACTTTGTATACACTCCAGAGGTTCAGAAATATGATTAGAACATTTAGAATATACTCAACAAGGTTCTACAAAATGCAGTATGTTTACTCTTTGGAATGCTTGCTTTGTGATAAGACGTCAGTCATCCCATTCTCACACTTACACATGATGTGCCATGGCTTTCAGAGAAGGTCATTTTTGATTTCACACGTGATATTTAAAGAAGCTTAACCTAAATATGTCTCTTATTTCAAATGGGAATTTATCAGCGAAATAAATGAGATTTAAACAAAAATGAAATTTAAGGAAGGTGCATTTAACTCACTTAAAACTTAAAAACATTAATTTTAGCCTGTTCATAAATTTTGAATTTATGATTTAAAAAAATGACTGAAACTGTTGAAGTTTGCTTTCTTGTGGAAAATAGTAGATCCTAGTGGGTCAGAAAATATGTTAAATTAATACGCCAGCTACTTCTTGTTTGAATTTGTTTGTTTTTTTGTTATCAACAATTTAGATTTTGAAAATAATTTATTTTTCATCTTTTTAGGTGGCCCCCCTCCACCCCCACCACCACCGGGTGGAGCTGCACCCCACCCCCACCCCCACCTCCTCCTCCTCCTGGAGGTCCACCAGCCCCTCCCTTGCCCCCATTCCCCGGTGGGGGTCCGCCTCCTCCTCCCCCACCGCCACCTCCTGGTGGTGGTGTACCACCTCCCCCACCTCTTCCAGGTGGTGGTCCACCACCACCACCACCACCTCCACCCCCTGGAATGGGTGCACCCCCTCCACCATTTCCTGGCATGGGTCCCCGCATGCCGTTTGGGTCCTCTGCGCATGTGTTACCTCCTGGTGTTGCTCCGAAGAAGAAATATAAACAGGACGTGCAATTGAAGAGAGCAAACTGGAATAAGGTTTGTGCCGTCAGCTGGTCATTTTCCTTACCATTGTGGTTTTCACCTGCCTGCTTGGCTGTTTTGTGGGAAACAAAGCCGCAAGAGGAATGGGAAGGAGAATGAGAAGTTCTCCATTTGGACCTTCACTTATCATTTTCGCTCCTCTGTCCTCCTAGCATATGTCGAGCGCTTGAAGACGGGTTGTCGTCTTTTTTTAGTATTCGCTGTCATTTTTTGCCATCATTATGTCAGTCACGGATTTTTTCTATCGTTACAACCCCGTATCAGTCTTTTCCCGTTATTTTATAGAAGTAAAAGTTTTATTTTACCTACTTCATGTAAGAGAATAGTGTTAACAAGGCGTGTCCCAATTTCCAGATACAATTCTGTGGGGCTATATATCTCATTTAGTAGAATAAAAGCGAACACGAAAACCATTAGTTGTTGCGACTGCAAGCTGTTGCTTCCAGGCCAACTCATGGACATCACACGTCAGTTTGGTCAGGTGATTGTATTAACTCTGTGCTTTGATCTCCATTGCTCAGATTAACATGAACAATTTCACAGAAAATACATTTTGGGCAAAAACGAAAGAGGAGAAGCTGGAGAAGCCTGGACTATTTGATGAGCTGTCGAAGGCGTTTGCCGCAAAAGGCGGTCCGAGAAAGACAGAGAGCGGTGACGGACTGGAAAAGAAAGCAGCGGCTAAGAAAAAAGGCAAAGATTTAAAGATTATCGATCCAAAAAGCGCACAGAACTTATGTAAGTGTCGCAAATGTTTTGTCCTAATTTTGTTGTAGTTTACAATGTATATAACGTGCCCTCTGGTTGGGTAGCAGCTTCTTCAACACGAGCTCTGATTGGTTCTGTAGTATTTCCCTGTTATGCCGTCTGATTACTGAGTTACCCAGTGAGTTAGCTGCACCGAGGAAGTTGATGGCCTGTTTCATCTTCTGCTCTGGACTTGCATCTTAATTAGTAAAGATATGCTTTGTTCGTCTTGCAGCGATTTTCCTTGGCTCACTTAAATTACCACATACAGAGGTCAGGAAATTGATCATGAACTGTGATCAGGTGGTTTTGACGGAAAGCGCCATAAACTCACTGCTGAAGTATCTTCCATCGCCCGATCAGGTGGGGCCAAGAAACGAGGAAGTAGAATGGAAAACGAACGAGGGATCGAACAAACGAACGAGGGACCGAACAAACGAACGAGGAACCGAACAAACGAACGAGGGACCGAACAAACGAACGAAGGACTGAATAATAAAACGAGCGACCGCACATACAAATTAGGGACCGAACAAACGAACGAGCGACCGAACATACAACCGATTGACCCGCCGGCTAAACGAACATACGAATGACCTACCGATGAAACGAACGATTGACCGACCAGCGCCCGGTGACTGACTGACCTGTCGATGAAAGAACGAGCAAACGAGTCAACTCTTCGTCTATATAAAAGTGTTTCCAATATTCAAATAAAGTAGATAGAGGAGTATATCTAAACTCTCAACACACTTTCTCTCTCGTTTTAGATGCAACAGCTCGGAAATATGAAAGAAAGCTTCGACGATCTCAGTGATCCTGAACAATTCGTTTGCCTGGTAGGTTGTTTTAAGGGATCATTGTCTGGAAACTTTAACGTACCTTTGTAGCTATCAACTTCACAAAACTCACGTCAAGGCATGTAACAAGAGCTAAACGCGGGTAAATAAACGCCCTTTCTTAGGCGCGGGAAGATGTTGCAATTCGCAGTGAAGGGTGGAAAGTCATTTATTGGCGGGAAACTCGCGCAGTCTGCTTGATTTATTTCATTCTGATTGGTTTTTAAAAGGATTGCTATTTTTCGATTGGCGAAATAGGCAGGATTTTTGTTTTCCTAGTAAATTCAAGGGCTTCCACCTCAGAAGTGTTACTATGGTATGGACCAGCAGTTTTGTTCTAGACTGGTTTGAAAGCTTGACTCTTATTTTCTTTTCGATTTCCAGCTGAGTGGTATTAAAAAATTGGAACAAAGATTGAACATGATGCTTTTCAAGAGGAAGTTTCCTGAAGAAATGCAAGATATTAAACCGGTAAGTTCTTGCCCAGAGCTGAAAGTAAGAAAAGGAAATCTTGCGGCGCTGAAAAACCAAGATCAATTGAGAGATTTTTAACTTGACTTTGTCGTTATTACAGTGTACCTAGAATGAAGAGAAGGAAAGCGCACTTCTTGGCCTCAATTTCTCTAGGGAGAGGGAGGGGCGATTCGAAGGATCGATGTAATTGACAGCGTGAAAACTGTCGTTTTTCTCCATTAGGGGAAATGTCAAGGTGATTTAGAGTAGTCGGTAGATACCATTTTGTACAATTTCTAATCTTGTGTTTCTTTTCGCAGAATGTTGTAAATGCAACTGCCGCATGCAGAGAAGTAAAAACTAGCCCCAAATTTTCCAAGTTCCTTGAACTTGTTCTTCTCATGGGCAACTATATGAACGCTGGATCTAGAAACGAGGGATCCATGGGATTTGAAATGAACTATCTCACCAAGGTGAGCGAGCTTCATGCAGACTTCATGTTGTTTTCTTTTTTCTACTAAAGAACCCAACGCATTTTCAACTTGAACTGCCAAGGGGAAAACGGGAGAATTCCAGTCACCCGGCAGTAAATGGCTTAGAGGGTTTTAAGGGACATGCCTGTTCGTACGAGTTAAGGGAGATCCGGGAAAATCATTTGTTAGTTAACGAGGCTCTTCTGTTCTTCAACGTAACATTTAAACACCAGTATCAAAGCAGCGGGGAGCGCAGTGGCTCAATGATTAGTGCACTGGACTCCAGTGGAGAGAGGTCTGGGTTTTAGACATGTCCGGGTCATTGTGACGGTGTTCTTGTGCAAGGCACTTTCCTTTCACAATGCACCCAGGATAAAAGGGTACCGGAGAAATATCAGAAAAATCTTTTGAAGTGCTGTAGGGTAATTTTGCGATGGACTAGCAACCCATCTAAGGGGTGGGGTCGTTTTACTCCCAGTCACTTCATGCTTTGGAAATCGGGATAACAGCTCCGCTTTAACGCACAACCTGGCTCGAGTAAAGACTTTTACCAAAGCCGCATTGAAGAGATTTGTTATTTTGGGTCTCTTATTAAGGCGAGGTGACCTTCGTATCGTATACCGGCATTATTTTCAGTATCAAACCAGGAATTTACCATTATTACGTTTTGACCACCATCCGTGTAATAGGAGTTGGTCTGGTTTGCCCTCTTCCCTTAGTGCAGGTGTTTCACGACGATTTTATAACAACACTTGCGCTAGGAAGAGGACCCAAAACGCCTCACTCTTTCGGGAAAACTGCCGTACTCTTTATATTTGTTTAAAATTTTTAGCGTTGAAGTCAATTTCTTAATTTTAGGAAGCTGTTTATTTTCCTTTGCACTTAGCTCTGTAATCCTCTTGGTAACACAATGCTTGAGTCGACTGATGTTTTACATCGTTCTCTGTTTTTCAGTTGAGTTCAACTAAGTCTGTGGACGGTCAGTTGACTTTGGTTCATTTTCTGGATGACACGATAGAAAAAAAATATCCCGAGATTTCAGGTTTTGAAAAGGAGCTGACACACGTTGAACAAGCTGCTAGAGGTGAGAGGTCCCTTGTCGCGTCACGCAATTCTTTGGTTAGGTAGGCGTGTCATGCAACGTGACAGCAAAACGTCTTCCAAATAACCCTTTTACTACCAAAATCTTCTTAATTCTTCTCTCTGTCTGCCATACAACTGTCAACATATTACCTGAAGTTCGGAGAATTTGTTATTGGATCAACTAACAATCCCCAAACTGATATAATTATTTTCTTTATTCTCATCACTTGTCTATTTGATGTTGTATTAATATTGTAAGGAGAAATTCTGTCTTGGTCACTTATTAAAGGAAGATGAAAGTAATGGAACAAAGAAAATAAAGGAGTCAACTTAAGAGCCTAGAAAAATTGTGATCAGTATTAGTATCTGGATAACTGCCCACCTACCCCTCCCTTAACCCAACACTAACCCTAAATTGTTATCAATAGACTGTTGTTGAGTTAGGGGAGGGGTAGGTGGGCAGTTGCCCAGATACTGATATTGATCCGAAAAATCGTAGTGAAAAAAAAAAAAAAACGTTCACAGGTTTGTCGGCCAAGGTTAATTCGTATGATGAGTAAATTACAACATGATGACTTACAATAGGGTTAATGAAAAGTCGTTTTAAATAGGAAAACTTGAGCATAACTGAATGTGGATCAGCTGCATGTTTTTTCTGTGGAAAGAGTATTGAATTGTACCTTAAGCTTGCCGACTCGATGTTCCGATTTACCGTTTAAGGCGCCATATTGAAATGGTAAGATGGAGGAAAGCCTGATACAAAAAATTGCACGAGGGAGGCAGGGGTAAGAAAGACAAATTAGTGAGGGGGGAGGGGCTTAGGTAAAATTTCTTCGACCCTACGCCCCATCCCTCCTTCTTAGTTTTCACGCTCCAGGCTTTCCTCGATCTCACCAATTCAATATGGCGACCTCAACATCTAGATGTTAAGCATCCGCTTGCAATAAAACACTCCTGATGTGCATGTTACTCAGCCTTCTGCCGAGCTCCTTAAAATTTTTTGTCACAGAATGTGGGATTTCAAAGCGTGCAAAGTGGAGATGTCTTTATGCCAGTCCTTTGATAATCAGGCTGTTACGAAGTGTTGTCCTGGTAGAGTTTTTTTTTAACAATCATTTTACTCTCCATGTTTAGTATCGGAGGAAATTCTTCAGAAATCAATTAACAGCATGCAGGGAAACCTCAAGAAGCTCGAAAAAGAATTGGAAACCTATAAACCGCACAATGATCCAGAAGACAAGTTTCTACCGGTCATGGAGATATCCTTTTCTATGTGACCTTTGTTGTTGTAGTGTTAATATTGCCATTTGCCGCTGATATCTTGCGCCAAATTTTTCATTCTTAGGGCGTTTATCTCATAAAATTCATAACTATAGACCCATAATAATTATGAAAATCATGTTTCACCGTTGCGAATTCTATTTTATGCGTGTTTGTCGAGAAGTATAATTTTTTTTCTTGTTCCCGAGAGATTTAAGCACAACGCCCCGATCAACGGGATTTGCAAGAGTCAAACGTGAAGATAGATCCTTGTAATGAATTCTTGGATGAAAAGAGACTGTTTGCGAGAGATTTCTTTGACAATACTCACGGCTTTTATAAAAGCGCCAAAGACCAAATAGATGTCCTGGTTGAGATGCACAAAAACATGACCACAATGTACAAGGAGCTGGTGGAGTATTTCTGCTTGGATACCAAGAAAACTTCCATGGAGGAATTCTTCGGTGACATCAAAACCTTCTTAGACTGCTATGAGGTAAACGAAAACGGACATTTGGCTGGTTAGTTTCCAGTACTTTTGAGTCCTCGTGCTTTTATTGTATTAGATAATAGATGAAGGTCGAAAACTTAATGAAAACGGAAAACTGGACTTTGGGTGGGTTGGAGAATGGTTTGAATGGTTTTTTTTTTTAACGAGTGTAACGCGAAGCGTGGTAACCATTTTTTTCCACATTAAGAATCCAATATGCAAATGTTCACTCTCTCACTCAGGTGTAGACACTGTAGTAGTTAGTCGGCCCGAACTCAAGAATGCCCGAGCAATCTCACGAAGTGAGACCAGAAATACCACGGGGTGAACTTGAGTTCTTTTAATCAATCTTCACGTTGTACACGCGAATTTTCATCTTCAAAACTATTTTTGTGGTTTATTATTTGTGGCTTGGTGAGTTGTCTTCTTGCTGAGTTTTCTCAGCTGAGGTAACCTATGTTATTTGTTGATATTGTAGAACGCGAAAAAGGACAATGCAAAACGAAAAGAGAAAGAAGAAAAAGATAGAAAGGCAAGAGAACGAGCGGTAAGGTTTTGTTCTTTGTTAGAGCGACATGACTCTTGTTATACTTTCTTTGAATTACTTTGTCTTTAAAATAAGACGCAAAAGACTTCACTTTCAGGCAGGCTTTTGGGTTTTTATAGGCCTGAGTTCCCCTCTCATCGCTTCTAGCTCAACAATAAGTTTCTTAGTCTGTTGACAGCCGTTTCACTGCGCGATGCGAGGGTGTAGCGTGAGGAACCCTCGCGTGTTCGCTTTCGCTGTCGCGTTTGCGTTTGTTTCCGCGTTCGTTTATGCGTTTCCGATCGTGCTCCTGGTATTCCACGCGGCTCATATTTTGCTCGCGCTCTGAACACTATTAAAAGAGGAAAACAGAAAGTCTTTGAACAGACCATTTGTCTCTCCTTGGACTTCGAAAGGTCTTGTACCGCTGGTGAGTTTGATAAACAGTTGCCTCAGAAGTGTGCTCGCACTGCCTGAAGTTCTAAAGAAGTTTATTTCTTGCATTTCAGGAAAAAGAAAAAGAAAAGAAGAAGAGAGCAGAGGCTGAGAAATCCAAACGAAAACCTGTTGTGGATATAAATGCAGGTTTGTGGCAAGCTCGTGTTTTCATTGTAATATTATAGCACCGCTTGGCAAACTGGAAAAGTGATTGATTATCATAAATTCTCCGTTCTTTGTCAATGCGAACAGTGCTAACTGTCTGTGATTCACTTGCTTTCCCGCGCTAGGTACATGTTACTTGTTTAGTTCCTTGTCCCTTAGCCTTTTGACATGTTATTTCGCTTCTCTTCCCTTGAATACTTTTTATTCCTCCTAGCAAATGTTTTAAATGTTGTAGTTGACTGTGGCTTTTATCAACCTTTTTAACTTCAAACATGTTAATGATAATTCCCTTACCAGCTTCCTTAGACGAGAAAATCTGGACTTTATCCCGAGAAACCCACACACTGACGAGTTCGTCTGTTCATAAAAACTCTTTTGCTGTATAATGTGTTGAAGTTGTGGGGAATAGTTACAATTTCATCAGTTCAGGGATTTCTGATATCGAACTCGTTGCTTCTATCAGATTTTTCTGGCGGCATTATTATTGGTTATCTTTCACCCCTTGAAATAAAACGAAAACTGAAATATTTTTTTCTTTGTTGCAGATGACGATCAGGAAGGAGTGTTAGATGGTCTCATGGAGGCGCTCAACACAGGATCTGCCTTCAGAGATCCGACCCGACCCGCGCGCAAAAAGGCGGGAGGTAAAAAAGGTAACACAATCTCTTTGCAACGCAAGTGACATCTGTAACGCCAGCTTTACCGTCACGAAAATGTCACGCACATCACTAATGTTCTCTTCCATCTTTTCAGCTCGACCTGTGGACTTACGCCGGTCACGGACTCGCACAAATATACCTGTACAGAAAATAATGGAGGCTCAAAATGCTGTCGACGGGCAGCACAATGCAGTAGATATTAATATCGATGATCAGCCCGTCGCTCCTTCAAGACGGAAAAAAGATGACAGGCGAGGAGGAGGAGGAGAGAAGAGCGGGGAGGGCCTTGAAGATGAAGCGCAGGACATTTTGGAAAGATTAAAGAAGTTATGAGCGTTTCAAGATGAGAGGAGGTTTTTCGTGGGACAGTGCATCATGTATTGTACTCTAAGTGTAAACAAAAACTGCAGCCCAGGCAGGAATATCTCCTATTTGTTTTTGAGAGTTCATTGTGATTTAAACCACGATGTGTTAACTGCTACTTTGGGTAAAATGTGTTTTTGACGCTCATCGAAGCGATGGCGAAAATTAAGAAGTGAAGATGATTGGAAATGTTATGAAAATTCGATTTCACGAAACACGGAAATTTGTTTAATTCCAAACGACTGACTGCAAGGCTGATTGATGCTGTAAATGCAAAAAAAGTGGAAAACGTGTAACCTAACAATGTGCGTCACATTCCGATAATCTTAAAATGTATACTGCTTCTGAGAATCATTTATTTCTAAGTTTTCATCATTGCAGTCATGTACAAGGCGTAAACGCCGATAAATTACGTACCACGTCGTCTATGTTCCAGTGTACAAAAACTTAAAGAAAAGAGTCAAAAGCTTATCTAGCCAGTATGTTCTTCCTTACTTGCATACATATATCATAGCAACACTAATTTTGGTTTCCAAAGTGATTTGCCGACATAGTTTTAATGTCTTATGGTGAAAATTTTTGGTTGCTTGTTCAATATTCAATAATTACTTTAAATTGACACACCAAACTAGGTGAAAGCGGAATAGAGTGTATCATATCTAGGCCGGGCAATGTGAAATGTACATTATTAATCGTGGAGGGGTATAGTTTGGTCTTGTAAGATTCATTTAACGAATATTTGTGTAAGGGCGGAGCCGTAGGGGGATCTTCTACAATCCTCTCACCCAACTGAATTGACGAGTCTCCGTAATCCTTGGGTTTTTGCTTAGTTTGGTATATCAGAGCCACGGAAAACTTTCTGTTTTTATCAGTTGCTTAGCTCTTTGAATTTTATTTAAAGAGCTATGAAGATAATTTGAAAATGAGGACAAAAATTTGTACGTTTTGAAAGAGGAGTTTAGGCATCTTTATCACTCCTTGCGTTCATGTGAAATACGTGTTGTGCAGGTCGCATCGCGTGATTTTTTGTCACATGCCTGTTCTCCTCTTTGTTGAGTCACGTAACGAGTGTTCCCGGTATTACGTAACGACCAACGTGGACAGTCTGCAATAGATTGGGTTGAAACAACAGCGAAGCACCGATGATTACAAACAATGCTTCTCAATCGAAATATTTTCGCTTATGTTGTAAATGTACAGCGATTCCGTAAATTTTAAACTCAAGTGAGTCTTGTATTCCTGTACAGAGGTAAGATTGCATTAATGTTGAATATGAATAAAGCAAAAACACGATAATTAATGAATTGTCTTTTGCTGCAACGAGCAGTTTAAGTTCTTAAACGAGGTTCTGAAATCACGATTTCCGTTTTTATTTTATAAACCTTTTGACGACCAGGATCTACAGGGGGCTGTAAGGCGTGGAAAACGTAGGAAACCCCCACACTCGATTAGGATTTTTCACGTAGATCTTAGTGTATGTTTCAAACATGTTCGTGTATCCCATATACTTTTTAAAGTTTCATACATTGCAAAATAGCTGTCATTTCTGGTTTGTCTAGTTTTCAATTCTACTGAGAAACGTACATACCGAAGTATATATATTTCTCCGGTTTTTTTATTAGCATCTTGCATTGCCGAATTATCGAGCGCTAGTTAATTTCTTGAGGTGTTTATTAGGGTGAATTAGAGTGAATTTGCATGGGTGGACAAGAAGAGCCATTTCATATCCTTGTTTCCAATCATCTTTAAGTTACACTTCTAGACGGCACGGTCGTAAAATTGATATCCCCAGGATTCTGCCTATTTTATGCTTTTCCGCCCTCTGAAAAACAGAAGTTTCTTTGATACCGACTTAGCGTTGCAGATTTGCACAGCTCGGTATTCACTTCGACACTTTGCCTGGTTAGATCAAAGGTTTCCGACCACAGAGTTAGGGTGAGGAGATCAAACACCCTCAAAAAATACATACACCTACAAACTTTCTGATCAATTAGCCGTTAATTTCTTTAATAATCAATTAATACCAATTGTTTACGACGGGGGGATTCCCTTATTAGGGTACTAAAGCAGATTATTGGTTAATTACGTTAGTGACGTCAGTTATTATGTAATTTTCGTCGTATTTGTACGCGAGCAACACAATTTTTCGTTCTTTCTCCCGGACTTGTCACTTACTTGTCTCGAGCACAGAGTTGTCTCAATAAATTGACCGGATTTGACCCTCAATAAATTGACCGGATTTGACCCAAATGTAAGTACTTGATTTTCTTAAAGCGAGGTAATGGTTTCAGTTTATCATGCACAGCAGATTAAGGCCTGGCCGAAGGTAAATTTTGCCGTAAACCATTCCTGATGAGATGTCGATTTCGAAGCTACATCCGCATGCGAAACGTTTCAGAATGGATTGACTGAAACCAGACACTCCTAGAGTTTCCTTGTGAAGTCTTCGATAGAGAGGGAATTGAAATTTTTTTTCTTAATTTCTTTTCTTTCTCCACCTTTGAAAAGAGGTCGTACCGAGCCGATGAAGGTCTCAAGGTCATGTAGGCCGTGAATGAGGCCGTGTGAAGGTCATGAGGCGTTTTCCGATTACTCCGCACCAAAGCGGGCGGTCTTCGAGAGAGAGAAAGTCGCGCCAGGGCCATATATGTTTATTAATGTGTCATTCTACCTAAGAAAAAAAGGCTTTTTTTCACTTTTCTCTCTCTAGATGGCCGGACAAAAGAAGAAACTTCACTTCGTGGAAAATTTTGGACTGAGTGGTGCTGCAGCAGTTATCTCCAAGACAGCAGCCGCCCCTATTGAACGAGTGAAACTTCTTGTTCAAAACCAGGATGAGATGATAAAGGCTGGGCGACTGGATACACCTTACAAAGGCGTCATAGACTGCACTGTCAGGACCTACAAAGCAGAAGGAGCTATTTCTTTTTGGAGAGGTAAGTACTTTGTATTGATATTGTTGTTACTTTTCTTGTTTGCTGTCGCTGTTTTTTTTTTAAGCAGCTCTTCTCTGATGGCAGTTGATGTGAGATGATCTGAGGAGAAATTAGATGCTATTCATTCTTAGGGGCTAAAGGGTTAAGATTTTGGGAACATGTACCAGATTTTCACAGATCAGGGCTTGATGTAGACTAAAAATATTTTTGGTGGGCCTGCATAGAGGACTTCACAGCTTGCTGTCGGAGGAATTAGTCAATTGTTCTCTCATTGGAATACCAAAGCCATGATCAAGCTTACCTCCTATTCCTGTTACCTGGGCTTAATTGGAACTTAAATGACAAGATTTTTTATAAATTTTTATTTGCAAAATAACCAACACTCCAATTTACCAAGGATATATGAATTGTGGGTCAAAGGACCACTCTTCAGATATATGTCTGCTGAAATCTTCTTTTTCCTTCTGTTATTGATTTATTTGGTATAAAATTTTCCATGTTTTCTGCTTTATCAACGTATTTGTCACTGATTGATTTGTTTCTGCCTTGTAAATAAGTTGTTGGTGATATAACTTGTTTTCTTTATGTCAGGTAACCTCGCCAACTGCATTAGGTACTTCCCAACCCAGGCTCTCAACTTTGCATTTAAAGACCAGATCAAAGCCCTTTTCAAGCCAAATAGAACTGACTCTTATGCTGTGAAGTTCAGCAAGAACATTGCTTCTGGCGGTGCAGCTGGAGCTATGTCATTGCTCTTTGTGTACTCCCTTGACTACGCCCGAACTCGTCTGGCAAATGATGCTAAGTCAAAAGGGACTGAGCGCCAATTCAATGGCCTCATTGATGTTTACACAAAGACACTGAAGAGTGATGGCATTGTTGGACTCTACAGAGGCTTCGTGATATCTTGTGTTGGTATCATTGTGTATCGAGGTTTCTACTTTGGCTTGTACGACACCCTGAAGCCAATGCTGCTGGGAGATGATGCCTCACTGGTGCTCTCATTCCTTCTGGGCTTGAACTTGAACTTTGAACTTTATTTTTATTTAGACACGGTAAATCTATCAGATAAAATAATAATATTATTACAATCTATTATTACAGTTACAATCTATTTTAATCTATATAAACATGATCTAAAATTTAAAAGTAAAATAGAAAAAAAAATAAGGAAATTCTGCTTTACATAGATGCCGTGTGTGTTTTGTCGATTCAGAGGAAGAAATTGCGACAACCATTTCGGAAGGATTGAAGTGATTTTGCTTGCCGCAATTCAGGGGACAAGCTATTCCATATAACCGCACCGTTATAGCTAAAGCTATTTTTTAGGAAATTGGTGCGAGGCAATGGAACAGCTAGTTTGTTTTCAGAGTTCCTTAGATTATATGGAGGATCATATTTAGTGAAAAGAGAACCAAGATAGTCGGGCGCAAGACCATGTATAGATTTATAGACCATGGTGGCCACTTGTATTTGTCGCTGAGTATCTAACCGTCTCCAGTTAAGTTGCACAAAAAGAGGATCAGCGCTTGTGTCATAACTGGAGAAGGTCAGAATACGGGCAGCCCGGTTTTGCAACTTTTGGAGCTTATTCGAAAGACCCTTGTTACAATGCCCCCAGACCTCGCTGCAGTCTATGCAGGCTATGGTGTGACTGTTAGCTCAGGCCTAGCTTCATACCCCATCGACACCATACGCCGACGCATGATGATGACATCTGGGCAGGCAGTAAAATACAAAGGCTCCATTGATTGTACCATCCAGATCTTGAAGAATGAAGGCTTCATGTCCCTGATGAAGGGTGCCGGAGCTAACGTCCTGCGTGGCATGGCTGGAGCTGGTGTGTTGGCTGGCTTTGACAAGCTTAAGGCGGTGTACATGAGCTGGCGTTTTGATGACTGAGATCCTGATTTGGATACAGTTTCAACTGTTACAAGATTGAAATATCCTGCTTTGTAAAAGACACTTGGTTATCTCCTGAACAGTATCTAAACTACCACTGTGTAAAAATAATGCTGGACTGACACTTTGCAAGATAAGAGTTCATCTCATTTATTTGAAGATGTATATTTTCTAAAAAGTAAAATCAAGTTAAAACTTGCATTTTGTCAGACCAGTTTCTGCACTTAGTAATGACATGGTCAAGACTTAATAGACATGTTTTTGGTGAGTGAGATAACCATTTGTAGGAGTACCAGTGGGTGCAATAAAAGTTAATGGAAGAAGTTGTTTAAATCCTCAAAGGGGTTTTTCCTTTTGGAAAATTAATACTGTCATGCTTCCTATGTTGAGAATTTTCAATCAAGGTGATAAGTGAAGATCATAGTTTCAAAACTCAATTTATAATTACACTTGACCAAACTGAAGCCAAAAATTTAATAAAAATATGAAAACAAGATTTGAAAAGAAAATTGCTTTGATCATGCCTGCTCGAGCAGTTGAGCCCTGATTGAAGAAGAAAAAACTGCTGAAAAATTTGAGGCCATGCAAGTCTATAAGTGAAATGAAATTCACTTTAAACTTATTTTGTTGATGAGCAAGAACTATTGACCGCCTCATTAAGAAGATATTTACAGACAAATTTTATCATTAATGATACATATATATTAAAACCTACTCTTTTGTTACCCAAGAAGCTACCGAGTATCCTCAGATGTCTTTTAAACTGGGTATTTTTTTTTACTTAGTACACTCTTTATTTAAAGAAATATAAGGTTTACAAAACTTCATGTCCTGCAAATAGCTACAATGCTAATCTAGGCAGGACAAGACTTTAACTAAAGGCGTTATTAAATTACATAAGAAAAAAGAAAAGAAGAAATACAAAAACATACAGAAAGAAACACCTTACATATAAATTCAAGTACAAGGGATTTTGTTATTTGAAAAAGACTAAAATTACAACTAGAGGTATATACAATATATCAGGTTAACTTCACAAAATATTCCAGGGTTTTCAACTGTTTTGTAAAGTAGCGGACATACTTCTGAAAGCACCGGACGTGAATGTTTTCTTGGCGCCGTAAGGCGCCTCGCGAGCGCCGTAGTAAAAAAAAATCGCCAATATTGATCTCAAAGTACCGGACGTGGAATGGCAAACGACCGGACGAAACGTCCGGCCTCCGGCCTCAAATGAAAACCCTGATATTCTATTAAAAAATTAACATTCAAATAGTTATCTTCATTACCTAGAACATTAAGGAGTAGTGATTTAACTTTTTTACGAAAATTAGAAACGTTGAGAGTCTTAACAGAAAGTGGAATAGAATGGGTATCCTGTGCCACAGATATAATCGAGGGAGACCTGAACCCTAGGTTCCATTGTCTCACGCCACTAATAAACAAAAATGGCGGCTAAATTAGCGCTTTGCTGTTACTACAGTTCTATGCTCGAAGTATTTCTTGGAAAGTGTTTTGAGACTAATATTTGATAATGGTGAAACCTGCAGAGGATGAAAGGTTGACGTTTTTGCAAAGTGTTTTCTGTGGAGGAATTGCTGGCGTTCTTTCAAGAACCGTGACCTCTCCGCTCGAAGTTGTGAAAGTTTTATCTCAAGTTGGAACCCCAGAAACTCGTTTTGGTTTTTTGAGAACTTTTAATAGGATTTATCGTAGTGAGGGTTTAAAGGCCTTTTGGAAAGGAAACGGTATCTCTTGTCTACGGCTGGTTCCTTATAGTGCAATACAAATGGCTGCCTTCCACAACCTAGTAGTAAGCGATGGTACATTTTCAATGCTAAATGTTCCTATGATCACTTAACCAAAGGGAACCGCAGGGAAAGATATAGGACATGGAAGGTGCGGAACCTCTTACCTAGGACCCCTTCCCCTTTTGTTCCCGAGAATTCCCCCCCTACCCTCAACACAAATAAACTCATACTGGTGTTTGCTGCTCAGCAGGTCATGATCTTTGACATTTGTGACCTAAAACAAGGTACCCATTTTAAATGGGTACTCTGAGATTTTAAGTACGTATAGTGGTCCCTCCCCTTTATGCGATCATCAATGTTTCATTTGAATGAAATGTGCTTTGACAATGAAAAAAAAATCGTTTGAAATATTACCCAATTTTCAGGCAGTTTTAGATGATGCACACATGCCAAGTAATCTAAATGCTAAAAGTTGGATGGTAGCCGGTTCAGGGGGTAATCTAATCGCAGCGCTGTTGGTGTACCCAGCTGACATGCTTAAGACTCGACTTATTGTCCAGAATGTTAATCCTTCCTTTTCAAACTATCATGGAATCATACATGGTTTTCGAAAAATCTGGAAAACGGAAGGATTTGTGGCATTATACAAAGGATTATTACCAACTTTTCTTGGTGAGTACTTGGATGTATAGACATGTGGCAGTGAAATTTGAACTTGCATGAAATTGAACTTGAATTTGTGAATTTATCTAAAAAAATGAGAGTTCATCTTGAGTTGTGTTGCAATACAAAAGCTTTAGTATATTTATGGTTTGGTGAATTTGAAGTATATTGTGTTTCTTTTAAGGTGTGATTCCTTTTGCTGGAGGTTCATTTTTAGCGTATGAAATTCTTGACAGTTCAATTGCAATGTCTCCCAGTGATCTGACCCCAATGTATATGTTTGTCAGTGGATGTCTGGCTGCTGCTGTTGCTAAGGTGGTTTTTCTTACTTACTTTTGTTGTATTTTACTGGAAAAAGATGAATTTAAAGTTTATATTATTGAGTGTACTTGAAAAATGTAAGAATTAGCAAGGATTAGTTGATGAACTCTCTTCATGCAGCCTAGTCCATGCAGTGAAGTTTTTTGGCAGATGTTTTCATCTGCCTTTTCAGCCACTGTGGTTATTTTTTATCCAACTGACCTTAAATGTTGATTGCTACTGATCTGAAATGTCGTCTTTTTTTTTAATCAAATTTGTTCAATATTTTGTCTTTGGGAAAAAGCAGTAGTCACATATTTTGGTTTTGTTTTGCTCTGTACTCAAGTTTGAGTCCAAAGAACTTCCCTCCAACTTTAGATTCATGCATCTTGGTAAACTGTGACTTTTTTTCATTATCAACACAAGCTTAATCACCTGTACATGTGCAATTTCATTAGTGATAAATATGTGACATTTATTTGTTTTTCAGACATTGTCATTTCCCTTTGACACAATTCGAAAGAAAATGCAGGTATATGTTTGAAGTGTTAAATTTCAGCCCAAATTCAGATTTGCAAAATACTTTTCAAACCAAGTAAAAATATGTTACCATAATCTAAACTAATATCCCTTTACCATGGAGGTTTAGAATTCCTTTTCATGTTCAAATTTCTTCAGGACCACACCTTTCTCTGTCACTATGTTAATTAGGTAATTACGTGTTTTGAAATTTCAAACCTAAGCTATCAATTAAAAATTTTTCTGCATTTTGATGGTGAAGATAAAAAATTTTTAGAGTATATGGAGCAGCAGAATTCTCCTTTAACCCTTTATACCCTAATATCAGTGTGCAGTTTCTCCATACTGTTCTCTATACATTTTCTTAAGTGCTGACAAGGAGAATTAGTTTAATAACAAGAGCTTTATAAGTTGTTGATCATTTCCTTGATTCTCACAACCTTAATGTTTGATTCTGGGGTGATAATGTAAGAAGAAATTAAAAGCTGGTCACTCTTAGGGTAAAAACATTTTCAGTAAGTGAGCAACTGCTTTTAATGCAGAAAATCACTTTTGAATTTGTGATGCATGTGAAGTCTTCTTTGTTTCTAACAGGCTCAAAGCAAAACTCTGCCAAATAATGGTGGTGTGGATGTTCAATTTAAAGGAATGACTGGTGCACTAGTTCAGACAGTGAAGGTAAATGGAATAACTGGCTTGTGGAGAGGTCTGTCAGCTAACTTGTTAAAGGTGAGATATGATAAAATTTCATGGTTCAGGTTGCCTTGCCTCTGGCTGTACTCATGACCTTTGGCACAGTTTTTCCCCATTCAGACCTCCTGCCCAGTAAATGACATTTATTATTAATATATAGCAGGGTAGTCCCTAAGTAAATCTGAGAGTTCCAATTTGGTGCTTATTTAGTCCGTATGTTTCCATACAGACTGTTCCCACAGAAATAGTCATGAGCAGTGTATTTTTAATAGCAAAAGCCAAAAAATTCAAAATAAACAATTTTGCTCCAGGTGCCATATGACAAACTACTGACTAATCTTTTTAGCTTAAGTTGCACTGGTGTATAATAGCCCTTAGTTGTTTGTATATCGAGCTTGCTATGTTCAGTCCATGCTGCCACAACCTTAGGCCAACATTTCCCAGTACTGCTCTTGTGTCCAGTTAGTGAGAAGTTAGTATGATGTTAAGTCTGGGTGACCTGGTGTCCTACTGGTTGGTGCACAGGACATTAGGTCAAGGTATCTAGGTTTCAGTCCGGCCTAGCTCATTGTGTTGAGATCTCTCTCCAACCAGGGGTATAAATGGGTGCCAAGGAACATTTTAGGGAAGCCTGATTCTGATACCCCCTTATACTGAAGAATGACCTGTGATAGGCAAAAATATGTGATGGACTAGTGGAAGTGGCAATACTCAGAGTCACAGTAACATTACCTTTTTTAACATTTTTGAGTTTTCCCTAACTACAACCAACTTCTTTTTGTCTAGATTGCTCCAAATGCTGGGATAATGTTCCTGTCCTTCGAATACAGCAAAAGAATATTTCTGTTCTACAATGGCTTCACTGAGTCACCATTTTCTCATGTTCCAAAACTTTACGTTGATCAGAGCATGTCACCAAATGAATTACGTCATCATGCTATGAAGAAGAAAGGGTACAATAGATGACACAGGACAGTAATTAAGAGCTCCAGAGTGGTTAGCCTGTGTTGGATAGTTTTGGTTGGAAAGAATTTCACTATTGCTAATCTTCTTATATGAAGATTCAAGTTTAGAAAGAAATTTCTCTCAATATGTTTTTTTTAGATTTTATGGTGATCTCGGAGAAATGTAACTGTCATGGAATGCTCAGTTCAATTACAAAATTTATTTCATTGAGCACTATTTCACTTTCTGTTGACCAAAAATATTGGTTGAGTGGTAGTAATATTTTATCTCTTTAATCTCCTCATACCACTTACAGAGTGATTTGCCATTTGAATAGAGGTACAATTCGGAAGAAGTTCCTTTCAGCCAACTATGCTAATCATAGATTCCAGTGTAGATGGAAAGTACCCTTTAATTTTTCACTTCTGGTCATTTAGTCACATCAGAAAAGTATCTGTCTTAGTGAACTTAGTCATCCAACTTTGAAATTTCTTTAGTTGAGTGTTGGTTTGGTCAGAAAAAAAAAGAAGGAGTGGAAAGAATGTCTCTCATCTGCAACTCATTCCAGCTAGTTTTGTTTTAATATTTTACCGAAATGAAAATATACCCTGGGCAGTATTGTCTGCCAATGGATAGTTGATTGATTTAAACTTGTGTTAATAAATGATATTTAAAATTCTAATTACTTCAAAACAGAAAAATTCCAGCCATAAGACGTAATGGGTATTGCAATAAAGGATGGTTGCAGCTTTAACATGTGTGTGCTTTCTTGGTGAGAATCTGACCACTTTGAGGACTAGTATCCAAACATTAAAACCTGTCACGTACAGAGCAAGCACTTCTGATTCACAATACAGCTTCTACCCATTAACCTATTAAGCTTTTAGATTGACTACCATTTAATTTTCCTGACATTATTTGTCTCATCCCAAGCTTAAGACAAGGGGTTTACTTTTGTTACAAAACAACTTGCATTCATGTACTGGCAGTGTAAGTACAAGCTTAGATCAATGGGGTTTACTTTTTTCAAGACAACTTGCATGTATGTAGTGCCACACACCAAAGCCAGCAACAAGACAACTTGCATGCATGTAATGCCACATACTAAAGCCAGCAACAAGACAACTTGCATGTGTAGCACCACATACTAAAGCCAGCAACAAGACAACTTGCCTGCATGTAGCACCACATACTAAAGCCAGCAACAAGACAACTTGCATGTGTGTAGCACCACATACTAAAGCCAGCAACAAGACAACTTGCTTGCATGTAGCACCACATACTAAAGCCAGCAACAAGACAACTTGCATGTGTGTAGCACCACATACTAAAGCCAGCAACAAGACAACTTGCCTGCATGTAGCATCACATACTAAAGCCAGCAACAAGGCAACTTGCATGTGTGTAGCACCACATACTAAAGCCAGCAACAAGACAACTTGCTTGCATGTAGCACCACATACTAAAGCCAGCAACAAGACAACTTGCATGTAGTTCCACATACCAAAGCTAGCAACAAGACAACTTGCATGCGTGTAGTACCACATAAAGTCAGCAACAAGACAACTTGCATGTAATGCCACGAACCAAAGCCAGCAACAAGACAACTTGCATGCATGTAGTGTCACATACGAAAGCCAGCTCTTCTTATTCACAATACAGCTTTCTACCCATTAACCTATTAACCCCAGCCTTAGATTGACTAACATTCAATTTCTCCTGACATTATCATCATAGAATCCTACAACATGATCATGAGAATTGAGAAAATAAATTTTTAGATTTTTAAACAAATTCTCACTGTCAGTACCACAAGAAATGTATAAAGAATAGTATGGAAAGTTTGCATTCTGATGTTTGGATGTAAAGGGCAAAGCTAATGCTTTTCCCAGTTTAAAAATCTTACTCCACAGCTAAATTAAAGATGCTGCTTGTCTTGTCATGTCAAGAACTTTGGACAAGGGGTTACTTTTGTTGGAAGACAACTTGCATGCGTGTAGTGCCATAATCAACAGTGCAACTGCAAGGATATTAGTTTATTTCTGTGTATTTACACCACTTTTAACATAATGAATCTAGTCCATGACAGGCACAGAATATCCAAACAATCTAGGCCTTATTTCTAACAAAACAAAAAACAATAATTATGGAGAAATATTATACAAATCTCATTAATGTTAAAGTACTAAAAAGTTTACATTTATGATAGCCTACACCATATTATGTTGCTTCCGTTTGCAGAAACAATACTCTGCATCAACTGTTCAAAGTCGAGTTGGAAATTTTCTGCCTTTTCTATACATACTTTTGTTCTAATAAAAAAAAGACACACACATACACTAACAAAGAAACCACCACAAGCAATTCACAAACAAAAAGGCCAGAGTAGAAAACAGAACAAAGAAATTAAGTTGACTGCCAGCTTTGCTCTACAATTGCAATGACTTTTTTCTCATACTCTCGTTTGTTTTCTTGGTAGAGTTGGGCAGCTAAGCTGTTCGCAGGACTATTTGGATTTGGCTCATCTAATAATGACTGCAAGATAAAAAGCATACAGATACATATTATGTATATAACACCCTTAAGGGCAGTGTTGACTTTCAGAGCTGTCATTAAGAGACAATACCTAGCCAAAACCAGCCTCTAGTCTGCTACCTTTAATTGGCTACTTTCACCTCACTGAACCAAAGTTGATGAAAAAATTATACAAGTGTTGAAATACTATTGAAGAAATTTACATGGCAGCCATTCACCAATTTTGAGCAGAAATAAATGAATGGTGACTGTGACAGTTAACCCTTTACCTCCCATGAGTGACTAAGGGAGAATTTCTCCTCACAATAATAATACAATATCAAGCAGAGAAGTGATGAGAATAAAGTAAAATAAAAATTAGGGATAATTAGTTGATCTAATACCAAATTCTTCAAATTGACATCATAAGAATTCTATGGCAGACAGTAAGGAGAAAGACTAACGAAATCTTGAGAGTTAAAGGGTTAAACAAAATGGCAGCCATTTTGTTTAGTTAACAGAAAAGCATTAAGACTTATTTATCTGGGACAGCTTTAAGTAAAGCTTTTCACTTTCAGGTACCATCTTAAAATAGTCCAGATTGTGTATTATTTATTTAAAAATCATTTACAATAGGACTGTATGTCACTTATGGGACACAAACCTGTACTGAAGTAAGAATTGCTGCAACATCATATGTGGGACTCCATCTGTTTTGAAGAATATCTAAGCAAATGCCTCCATCCGCATAAACTGAAAGATATGTCATTGACGCACACGGTCAATAACTTTCACACTCTAAGGTCATTAAAAATACATTGACGATCTTATATGTGCAGTCTGAAGCCTGGATTAGGCGGTCTCAGTTCAAGTAGTGATGTTATGTTCTTACAGGCTCAAAGGGAAAATTACAAGTTAAATATTGGGAGTTGAAAGGTAAAAGGTAATAAATACCTCTTACCAACTGAGTTTGAGGTCCATATTGTAAGTTATGGACTAATCCATTTTATCTGCTCAGATTTATGGTCCAAATGCACAGTCCATAAACCTGAGCAGAAAAAAGTTGGTTTGTAAGTTACGGTATGGACTCAGAAAACTGGGTTAGCAAGATATTCGTTATATCTCTGGGTTCAAAGAGAGGGAGAAGATTTGAATTCAAACAATTCTTATTCATTTAGCGGGTAACAAGTGAAATATGGCCCACTAAATAAACCAATCATAGTGCATGTACTAAATTTTGAGTGAAAACCATCATTACAGCCACTCAGATAATGACTTCTGCGCAGCTTGTCAGTTGTTGCTCACTGTTACTGTCAGTAGTCCTTTAAAGCACTATGCTAATCAAGATGATCAGCCTACACTATGAAATGTAAATTACTGGAAGTTACATTGTCAATGTACAGCATTGGTTGCCACAGACCAGCATTGGCAAATTACATAAACTTACAACATGCATGATGTAATGCTACATTCATACATATTTACTATAGCATCTACTGATTGATAAGTGTTGTTTAAGAGTTAAAAAATAGGCTGAGGTTTGTCACTAATGAGGTACGTCATAAGAATGTCTTATCATTTGTCTCACAATGCTAGAAACTCGTGACGTAGATGAGTCATTAGCACAAAAACGAAACTGCAGCTGTACTCTTCTTTACAGTGTCATTTCTGTGTTAACCTCATATGTCACAATAGTATCACAGATTGTAAAAGTTAAATTTGTGCAATACTGATGTTTCAATGATTCAAAGGTAGTATTAGAAATGATCTAATAGAGTGTTCAGAGCCACCTTACATTTTGTAAAGGAAAACCAGTCTGTGTGGTCTGTTACGTCACTTGGTGAAATTTATTTAAGTCGTAAGATTGTAATAAAAAAAATACGACCAAAAATATGACCTGTTTACAGTCTCAACGAATTAATGACTACGCGACCAACTCTGGAAGCGGGTCTAAGACTATAAAGCAACTCTTACCGTTGGGATGAAACATTTTTGAAATAAATTTAACAGTGGGTGCTTTATTTGGGTATTCTTCTGTAAATTCCATGGTTAGTCTAAAAGTTCCTGTGGCGAAAAAAAACGAGAATAATACGATAAGTAAAAACAAAATTGAAATTTTATCGTGTACAGGATGTAATATTGGGAGGAAAGCAAAACGGTTGGATTGAAAACAAACCTCCTTCAAACGGAGTGTCGTCTGGTCTGGGTAAGAAACAAAAGTAAAGCGTTAGTAAGAAAAACTACTAGCCTGTCTCTGATGATTTGGCGAAATCATTCTGGTCTTCACTTACCCGAAAATCACCGCATTCCATAACATTATATTGTTTTCTGTCGGAGCACCGGTAACTCCAGTAGGGGGATCGTCTTGAAGTCTAGGAAATATCGAAAGAGATGAACCCACCGTCAACAAGGACACGTTCAACACGAAACCATCTTCACAACCAAATTTGCGGGAACAACTGGCCCGTGTGAAAAGAAAGACACATAAGATAGCGAGAGAGGGTCCCTTACTTTTTAAAGTCTCTCATTAGACGTCTTCTAGCCGGGGTTGTCATACTAGATTTTGGTTGAATAACAACACAAAATTCACTGACTTGTAGTTCACTGGCTCACTGCAATTTGCGATCGAAGTAGCGAGACGTGTGACGTCATCTACCGTGTCATCGTCTTATGATGCAATTCAGTCCGCTGACCGGAATTGTAACTGGAAAAAAAGTAACCGGAAGTTGTCTGTTTTTAACAGCGACTGAGTAGACATATTTGTTATTATTAAAGAGAGAGGACGATACCATGATCTCTTTTCAATGATTAAGATCTGAGTATATCTTCCAAACCTTGGTGCACTTATTTTTTGCCATCTTTTCTTTCCCAGTTAGGAAACTTTCGCTCTGGGACACCTCTATGTCATTTTCGTTCAAATATTTATTTTTGGCTTTTGAAAAGAGAAGATACTTTATATCATCTCTTGCTTTTTAACAATTACCCTTTCTCTTTCCTGTCGTTTGACTTTCCTTCCTAAAATGAATTCGTATCATCACAGATCATTTACAGTAAACAAACATAGACAAACATCATTCTTTTTTTTATTTTATTATGTAATGATCTCAAATTAAAATATTTATCTGGCGTTTTTAGTTAAATCAGTTAAAAGTTGCATATGACAGCCTAAACAGAAACACTTCAGGCAATAATTTCGGCTTCCATAATTTCAAAGGATGTAATCCGATCATAGGATGGCAAAAAGCAAGTTCTCTTCTTTTCTCAAATCGAAAACAATTTTAAAATAGTGGGAAATGAAGTCTGTTGAATTTGATTATTGATACACTTTTAGAAGCTGATAATGTGGGAGAAAACTCATACGAGTAGATTTTATCGGTGCAACTTACCAAGATAGATCTATATTTGTCATTTTGAGATGAAAGACTAAAGAATGAATAGAAACTCTGAAAATCGCACAACGATAAGTAATTCACTGATGTGTAACTTTGATGCATCGTGGGACCTACCAAGTATTTTTTTCTGTCCGTCTGTCTACAATACTCTCTGGAAATTATTTTGAAGTTATCGCAATATTTCCCTCAAATCAACGCAGATAATGCGTCTGCTTTTGCAAACAATATCTCTATTTAATTTATTTATCATTTTCAGAGATTGTGTAAAGTGCTTTATGCATTTTCTCAAGCTGTGGCTCAGAGATAGAAAATAAGCGTAAAGTTCATAACAGGAAGAGAACCGAAGGGGAATTTTTTGATGATCTCTTGTAATTCCAATGAGCAGAATGTTATAACCAGAGTAACAAGCGTTTTATGATGCAGCTTGAAGGCGCGACGCCAGTGCTTAAAATACCCGTTAATGTGGTCATTTGAGTCTCCCAAGCTGGTTAAGTCACGTGATCACGCCACGACAGGTGTAAGGTGTTGTAAAGTTGCTGTTTACACGCGGGGAAAATCTATACAAGTTTTAATTCAAAATAGCTTTTCTTAGCGTTTATAGCGAAATGAACGCGTTCAGGACAAGGAGCAAAAAGGGGAATAGAAATGGAGATCAAAGGAACTTTATACGACGATTTCCATCTGATTCTGACCTTTACAGGAAAGTCTTGAACAAAAAAGCGATGTCGCATGCAAATCTGCATAAAAAGTTCGCTTCGTGTACTCAGTTAAACAAACTGCCGTCGTTTCAGCAGCATCAAAACTGCAAGGAATACAAATATGAAGAGAAGCTTACTAGCGAGCTAAACAGGTTTTATTCCCTTCGGGTCAGGAAGACAAGAGCTCAGGTCAAACGAAACAAGCAACTGGCTTTTTCTCTCGCGTTTAAAATGTTGATTAATGCACAAGTCGTTAACAATCGCTTTACCGTCGGGGAAATTCTACGTAATGGGGCAAATTATGGTGATATGGTGGAAATAGAAGGCGATCGCTTTGAATTTGGTGTCCCTGTGTACCTTGATGAAAATGCAAGCTTTTCCATCCATCGCGCCGAAGAAGATGGCTTTGTGAGACTGCAACTTGATGATTGTGAAACTTGGCAAGATTGTTTTGACAACGATGGATTCCTATCAGCAAATCTTGTTAGGTCAAAACTTCACTTAACGATGAAAAACACTTTAAAATCTTTCAAAAATAACATCGAAGAAGGAAGCGATGAGTACCCAAGTGATGTCCAGAATGTGGAAGTTTTCTGCGAGGGTTCGACCATAGTTCTGCAAATAAAAGAGATAAGTGGATTCATAGCCGTAGAATTGATACCCACGATTGTAATATTACGGGAAAATTTGGAGTGGTGTCGGAGATTTTCCAAATCCGCTCCACCATCGTTTGTTGTCGGTAAAGCGTGTCCTCTGCCTTTAAGCGACCCAGAAACACTTTGGCAATTGTCATTTTTGTCAGCTGAAAAGAAGAAATTCTGCACTTTGGGTACAGCGAAATATTGTTTGTTTTTAACATTGGCTGAAATAAGAAGACGAGACCAAACTCTGCGAGAGTTATCACTGTACCATTTACAAACTGTTCTGTTCCTAGTTGGGGATGCGATCAATGATCCCATGAAATGGAGCAAGGATAAGATAGGCGAGCGTTTCTTGGATGTGATTCGTTGTTTGGAGACATTTTTAGAAAATAAAAACTGTCCGCATTATTATATGCCGAACAACAATCTATTTGCGAGTATGAATGCCGTCACCATTGCTACTCTCAAGGACAGAGTGAGGAGAATGATGAAACCAACTTGCGTGGCTTGTGGTGTGGCGACAATTTGTAAAAGTGACTGAGGTCCGGGGAGGGAAAATAAATGGCCATTCGTGGCCTCTCGCCTTTACTAGTGGTCATTCAGGGTGATTCGTGGCCACTCGCCTTTACTCGTGGTCATTTACGGTAATTCATGGTTATTCGTGGCCACTCGTGATCATTCGTGGTCACTCGTGGTCCCTTTTGTGTACCTGCAGAGGCGATAGAAAATCTTGTCTTGGCTTGTTGTAATAAAACACCAATCCTAGTCGTAAGAAGAATGGGAACAAAGGGAGTTGTTCGTCTTATATGGAATTACGGAAATTTCGTTTTATAGTTTCTTCACGGAAATCAATTGAGATTCTCACAAGCTTCGCAGTGAATATTGCTTGTGAAGTTTGGAACTTTTTTTATACTGGTAAGTAAAACGCAGTAAACTTTGGTTCTCTAGAGGAGCGAACAATGGGCATGTAGACTATAAATACAGCGACAATTTAGTATTTTAGACCGTGTTCTGACTGCAAATCACATCTCGGTTAACAGTTTAAAGAAAGCCAGAGCATTGTTTTAGTTCAGTCGTGTCAGTCTGTCGGACACACATAGAGTCGTTATGACACAAATATTTGCTCCGCTCCGCTCCGCTCCGCTCTCCACTAAAGAAATGGATGAGGTTACTTTTGATCACCACATTTTTTTGGCAAAAGAGGCACTCACTGAACTTGGTCAAAGTACCACAAAAATCGACAAAATAGGAAGTTTAGGCGAAGAAGACTTCCCGACTTCAAAAACTCAACAATTGGAAGACGAACTGAAGAGAGAAAAAGAAGCAGCGATCAAATTTAAGCAGATCGACGATCATCTCCACAAGATTGAGTCCCAAGTAAAAGATATGAACACTGAAGTTCTGGAAGTTCAAAGGGGAGTGACAGATTTAAGGATAGACATGTCAGAAGTCGGGATAGGATTGGAACGTTACACATCAGTTGTAGAGACCAAATTGGACGGTGTTGGCTCAGAAATGAAGACACGAGTAGAGGCTGTCCGGTCAGATGTCAATGACCAGAACACCCGTCTACGAGATATCCACTCCGACTTAAAAGATGCAAAGACTGAATTCACAGATGTGAAAACGCGAGTGGAAGATGTCTTGTCAGAAGTGAAAGATGTGAAGGTCCAAACAGCAGATTTAGAATCAATTGCGTCAAGTGTGATGGGACTAAAAGCAGATGTTGCTTGCATTAAAGACGTCGTACAAGTAGAAAAATCAATAGGTAAGCTGAATTACATGCGTTTGCCCTTCTGTTAAATCTATCCTTCAAATTAAGGAATAGCAGACTTGCTCGCTAAGTTTCCACTAAACCTTGGATTGGAAATGCTGATATCAAAGCACACTGTTCAAAAGCAAAACAAACTTTGCGGAACAAGTTGGAAATTATACTTTCATGGCCCCCAGAAAGGAAACATTTGATTTGTGAACAACTCTTTTTGTATCGTTGTATCATTATTTTAACACGTTAGTTCCTACTTATGTGTACTAATTGATCACATCCTTTACCATTCCAATTAAACGAAATTTAATTAGTTTTCATTAAGGATGTTTTGACAATACACAAATTGCCTATCCTTATATGAAGGACAACTGATGTCAGCTATGTTGATAAACGAATTTGTCTCAAATGGATCCATTGAGGATGTTGTGACAATTTACAAATTGCCTATCCGTATGAGGGAAAATTGATGTCAGCTGTGTTGATAAACGAATTTGCCTCTCTAAGGTCCACCATTTCCTGAGTCATGTATTCCTTATAAAATCCCACACTTCGTTGGTCGCGGAGGAGAGAGCAGAAATATTTTGGATCAGTTAACAGATGGATCCACTCGATTGGTTTATGTTTGGGGTCCACCGGGATTTGGAAAAACCTCTGTGGCCATTCACGTGGCACATGAGTTGCGAGAGAGGAAGATTCCGGTGTACTTCACATCCCTTCGTGGATTGAAGACCAGAGATGATTTGGTCTCAAATCTACTTGGTATATTTGTAGACGCTAAGGAAGCACTCCACTTATCATCTTCTGATCGACTCATCCAATGTTTACGGAAATGGCGGTCACCTTTTGTCCTTATTTTGGATAATGCTGACGATTTACTAGAATCTAGAGATATGCAAGTGAGGCAAGATGTCCTAAGGCTTATAGAAGAACTCCTTGGCAAATGCAATCACATTAATCTTCTCGTCACTTCCCGTGAATCCCATAAAGAATTGAGTCACAAGCTCCCCATTCATCTGGAGGAAGTTGGTGTTCTGGATGAGGCTTCTTCGGCTGAATTGGTGAAAACATTCCTACCAAAAGTCTCTGAAAGTGACCGTGATTACAAAGTGAAGGAATGTGGACAAGTTCCTCTGGCCATGAGATTGATGTGCAGTATCATAGAGGAAGGAACTGTTTCGGTTGGTGAACTGTTAGAAGAAATGAAGAATTTACCTCTGATTGAAATTCTAGACAACGAGAGTAATTCCGATGATTGTCGTCTGAAGAAGATAATGAACACATCTTTTCAAAGGCTAACCTCCAACCAACAAGAAGCATTCGTTTCGCTCGCTGTTTTTCCAGGTTGTTTTGGAGTGGACGAAGCTAAGGCTGTGTTGAATTTGAAAACCGTCTTTGAAGCTAAGAAAATTCTTCAATCACTGAAACGAAAATCTTTAGTAGACTGCAGCGACAATTTTGACAACTTCACAATCCATTCTCTTTTGCGATCCTTCGTCGAGGATCGTAGAAGAAAGGAAGAAGAAATTAAAAGACATTACGCTGAAGCGCAACTTCGTTTTTGCAATTATTACATTTCTAAATTCAGAGAGGCCAACGAAAAGTTTTTAACCGGTTCTTCAAATGACGCATATAAAGCCTTCCACAATCAGCGCGAGAACATCAGGCTAGCTCTTGTTGACGGAAGTAAAGATGAGGATCTTTATTCCAAAGTCGTCGAAGTATTGTCGAAAGCCGAGTTATTTGTCTATGCTGTACTGCCAAATCAAGAGGCACTATTCGATATTCTTTACTCCACCGCAATAGAGGAGGCGAAAAAAAGGCAACGTCGAGACGACGAATGCAAGTTGCTCGCTGCCAAGTCCTTTAGTTCCTTGGGCGGGTTTTACTCTCGCCCTCGAAGTTGGGATCATTCCTTAGAAAGTGGAGATCAGAATGCCGAAAATCCTCCTCCAAAGTATTTGGTTTACCTTGGCATTCATCAGTTGCTGTCACGAAATATCGACGACGGCATATCGTCTCTCAGAGCATCAGTGAATTATCTTGGTAATGACAATGACGAAAGAATTCTCAAAATCCTTGCCTATCATGTACTCGCTGTCTGTTACAGAAAAGAGATGGACAAGGAAAAGGTTTCTGAATTTGAAACTTTGTGTGCGAAAGAATGTGAATTGTCTTCTTGTTGTCCCGCATTTCTAAATCTTTTTTTACAAAACAGCCATCAATTGCTAGAAGTAGAAGTTTGCTCTGAAAATGATTTAGTGAATGTCATCGAAAAAGATGTATTCTTTTTCGTAGTTATGGCTGAATTGTTACCGCTACTTTACATCGAACTCGAATTTGAGCAGCACATGGTAACTGAACTACCTTTAATGACCAGACACCTCAAACGATTTCACAAAGTTATTCTTAAGCTATTTGATGAAGGAATTCTTCACACCAGGGTGGTTGAGGCTTGTTGCAATGCGTTATATAATTCAAAGTGTTATCAGGAAGCTGCTGAAGGCTTTCGAAGGATAACGGACAGACTTGAAGTCCTTGGAAGCACCAGCAGAAGTGCATATCGAACATACCTTTTCCGTGGCTTAGCGCTTAGAGAACTAGAAAACTACAAAGAAGCTCTTCATTGTTTTAAGGAAACGATAGCCGTCAAAATGGAACTTTTAAATGAAACTCAACGTGAAGAAATTTACGACATTACAAATGTTAGAGAGGCTCTTGAGCGACTCGCGAATTACTTGCACATGCGACGGCGTCTTAACGAAACTGCCAATGCTGATCAAACTGACGATTTCAAAGCCACCTTTGAAAAGCTGAAAAGTATCGTTCAGTCAGAGTTAGTGAATGTTGAGAATGAAGATCATGATGACCTTGCTACTTGTTTCATGACGCTTGCCTACTGTCAGGTTTCAATGAGGAACTTGGCTGAAGCGCTTAGTTCACTTCAACAGGCGATAGCCATAAGAGAAAAGCACTTTGATGATCAGGCAAAACTAGCATTATGTTTACTTCATAAAGGAAATGTGCATTTGGAAATGGAAAACTACAACGAAGCTATCAAAGCACACCAATGTGCCTTGAATTTGGGAAGTTTGGATCACCAAGATACAGCTACTATCCACTGTCACCTTGGAAGGAGTTACTATGAGCTGAGTGACTTTATCAAGTCTCTGAATGAACATCAACGGGCCCTAGAGCTTAGGAAAAAACATCTTGGAAACCACGTACTGACAGCCACCAGTCTCAATCAAGTTGGAGGTGCGTACTTCAGAATGGAAAAGTATGATGCTGCTAAAGAGAAATTTCAAAGTGCTTCCGACCTTATGACCGCAATATACAAACGAGAACATGGACTAACCGCCAGTGCGCTGTTTAACCTCGGCGAAGTATGTTTGGTGATGGAAAAGTACGAGGAAGCCTATGAATCTTGTAAACAGGCTCTAAACATTAGACTGAAATTACTGGGCGAGCATGAAGATACAGCTACCAGCTTTCACTCTTTGGGATCTATTTGTTCCAAGATGAATGATAGCAAAGCTGTCTCGTACTTTCAAAGAGCATCAGAGCTCAGACAGAAGCTTCTTGGAGATCATTTAGACACAGCCCTGAGTTATCACAGCCTGGGTGAGGCGCAGATGCTCGAGGGTGATGCTATTGGCGCTGTAGCTTCCCTGCAAGCTGCCTTCAGAATCAGAGGGAACACTTTGGGACTCCGGAATGTGGACACGGCCAAGACTTTAGAGCAGCTGAGACGCGCTTTTGGAACCGTCGTTCCTGTGGGAATCGGCGTTGCTTTGCGTAGCCATGTTCTTGCTGACATTCATTTTCGTTCGGAGTACCACACAAACTTAGTCTTGGCTCTCAAGTTCTGCAAAGAAGCTGTGCACACATCTATGGAGTCACTGGGTGAAAACGTATTGACTGCGGATAGCTTGCATTTGGAAGGACAGATTCATAAAAAGATGAATGATAACCAGTCGGCAATTGAAGCTTTTCGAAAAGCGTCCAGGATGAAGTCAAATCTGCGAGGCGATCACGAAAATACAGCAGACAGCTTCTATTGTTTAGGAGAAAGTCACCTTGACCAAGGTGAATACGAGGCAGCTGTCAGAGCATTTCAAGAGGCCGCACGCATAAGATCCAACATCCGAGGAGGAGGAGGAGGGGTCGAACTGGTAGAGAGCTATAGACTAGCGGCATTCACATACCATCGGCTTGGTGTAGCACAGTACAGACTAGAGGACCTTCGTGGAGCTCTAGCATCTTTACAAGAGGCCTCACGACTGAGAAGGGAAGCTTTAGTGGAAGACCAACTCACGGATGAAATCTTGCAGTTAATTAATCTTGTCTGCGAGGATCTGAGTGTAGGCGAACTGGACTGTGACTAACATTCATGGGAAGACGCTGTGACTGAAACACGTGCGAAACTCCTTGATCTCTACTCAACCCAGTTTGCAACGCTGTTGTGATAGAGTTCAAACCAGCAGCATCAAATACGGACACAAAGAATTCTCCTTCGCCAGAATTTGACCATACTTAAAAATTCAGTGACTCGTTTGATTTCGACCCAGCACCTAAACTGAGATTTTCAGATACGTTTGTAGGTTAGTTTAAAGACACGATAAAGAAATAACAAACAATTTCCAGCAAAAACAAGTAGGTTTAAAGGTACCAAAGAAAGACAAATCTCCCTTGATAACACTTTCCTTCGCTGGATTTAGCCCTGTTTCCTTTTCAATCATGCGTGTTCATCGAAATCCGTCGAACAGGACATTATACTGTTTTGAGGCAAGAGGACGTCATGATCTAACACGAAATTCTAGGACATAAGAAGGAACCGTAGCAGACAAAAGTTTAGAGCCTTTCGTTAAACTGCCATTGGCAAGAAAATTTTTTTATATATCTGACGTTGATCAATTTTTAAAACTTATTTTTATGGCAAGCATTTTTAACGAATTAGTTCTGAGGAATTTAAGCCACACTTTCTAGTTTTGAATACAGACGTCTCTCAATGCTAGTTGTAGCTCAGTCCAGCTGCACTAGAACGAGTCGAGTGCTTTGTGGAGTCCCAGGAATGTGGAAAGTGCATTAAGCCTGGCAAAAAGCCTTGGGAATATTGTGATTTTTTTGAGTCAACTTGTTTCACTGATTTTACAAGTTCACAATATTGTAAGGCACCAGGTGGAGTAGCAAGTCAAAGTTTCTTTGACTTGGAAAGGTTAAAAGAGTTAGAGCAGATGGTGTAGTAAAGAGAATTGAGTTTTTTTTTGGAACTGAATTACAACTCTTAGCTCTCCAAACCGGCTTTTTCGTCTCGATTATACAGCACAAGCGCTTGCTGGTATTAAATAAAGAAGCAAATAAAAATTTAATAACTTTTGATGCTTGGACTCAAATTGCAACCATTTCGGTTGCTGTTTAGTTAAACAATAGACTTGCTTTCTACACGCAGATTCGCGCATTAGAGTTCTAAGTATTCTGTAAAAAAGTGAATTGAGATCTGTCCGAGGAACACTTTCTGTCAAAATGACGCACAGTTTTAAGCATCCACATGGGAAAAGTAAAGGTACTTTTATTGGCTATCAGCCACGGTACTCGGCTGACATTTTAATTCCAGTTTCTTTTTTTCTTTTCCTTTTTGGGGGGGGGGGAACAAAGGGGTTCATAATTTTTGTGTACAATTTTTAATCACTGTGTGAGCGAGTGATGTAGGAATTTTACGACGCTCTCTATTCTCTGGTGTTCTCAGTCCATCTTTGCTTTCAGTTCTAAATGGTCCGGGCCGCTTAGAAACATCTTTTCAATTGAAAGGAAAGAGAAGCTGAACACTTCTTAGTTTTATGCGTAAGAGCAGTAAACAAATGTTTAAAAAATTCAGGCTTCGCTTGTCGAATACTCACGTAATCGCACTTTTGAAGTGCGCACAACGTGCAAAGTGATTGGCAAAATTGTTCCTCTCTGTTTAAGAATACCCCAAGCTCGATTCCGAGTCAGCCTTTGAGGAAAATTGCTTATTCCGTGCGTCCCTCTGAGGGAACGTGGCTGGCTGTGACCCTCGCGCATTTATTTTTTCTCGTACTGTAAAAACAAAAATCGTCTGAGTCTTCATTAGGGCAAGAAAATGTAACCATCCCCATATCTCGTAAAAGTTCAAATATTTTTCGTGGTTTAATCAACAAAAATATAATTACTGGTATTTACTCTGCAAAAACTGTCACTCAAGTGCAATGGTAAAAAACCATTAAAAAAATCGTTCGGTTACAGACAGTCGTTTACTTGTGTTCTGGAAAATTTCAGCGAGCCTCCCCTAACAAATATTTGGTTATTATCTTGTTTATTTTCGATTTTTAAATTTTTTTATAATTATCATTTCCCGTGTGAAATTGTCCTTTGGCTTAGTTGGGGTGAAACGATGTGGTTTGATTGCGGCCTCTTTCAATTTAACGCAGTTTATTTTTAGATGTGATTTTAGAGAAGGTTAACAAGTTCAATGGGTCTGAAGTGAGCACAAAATTTATAAAATATGGCGTAAAAAATAGAAAACACTTAACTTCATTGATAAATCACATGGGTTTATCGCTAATGTCATCAAAAAGATGAAGCCATAACAGACACTGACAAGTAACGTCTGAAATGCTCGTGTCTTCACGTCAAACTAATTTACTCGTGGCAGACATGTTCAGAAATTGTTGACAGCCTTCGGATATGAGTAAAGAGCACCGGAATAGAATTTCTCGAATAACTTCTTTGTTGCTATAGAAACTTTTGTGTAAAGGCGACGAGTCGTGACAAAACCGCTCAATTCATTGGTCAAAAGCTTTTCAACATTGAAAAGGGAGCTAATCCAAAGAGCGTTTTTTACCGTCACCTTATTTGCCGAGATTATCTGGATGGCCGAGCAAAGGAATGCATTTTGCATGGGGCATCTCACAAAGACGTGCTAGTTAAAATTCCTGTTTTTATTTCGAGAGACATTCATCTGAGCTGTTCGCTAGAACCGTAATCAGACCGGAAATATCTGAAATTTGTGTGTTTGGCGTGATAACAACTTGCGCACCACACGAACTGGCCCAAATTCACTCACGCTAAACTTTTCGCAAACAACTGCTACGTTTGCTCGCTGAGGCAAACGCGTTGGAAAACAAACAGTTATACTTGGCGCTGTTGGATTACCACCGAGCGAATGTCGAACGCGCGCGAACGAAAGAATAGGGGTGGCCAGATTTTCGACGAAAACAGCAACGGAATCAAAGATCCGAAGTTCTTGAGTCCGAATTCCTCTTCGAAAAGTCTCGATGTGTCCTCTGCTTCGGACAACGATTCTTGGGCCTCAGAAGATTCGTACCCAGACGAGCTACCCTCACCGCCAATCCAATGGAAATCGGAAATTCCTTGGACGCCTGATCGCCGCAGAAGTTCTATCAAAAAACCTCAATTTCAACTCGATCCAGTCGCGGTTCAGCTGAACGAATTCTACGAGAATCGCGTGCGGATAAGCTTGGAACGCAAGGAAATCTGCGAAGAAATCGCCTACAATGCAGTGCACAAATGTTTCCGTAAAATCCAGATGGTGGATAACCGATTTCGTGCTAATAGCGTCGTTTCGCAGGGAATTCCGTACGACGGATTACAAGCTGAAGAAGCCATTCAGATGGACATGCTTGTACAATTGTCCCCTGGAAGAAGTTCAGCCATGTACACCGCCTACGATGAGCGGACGGGCGGAATGCGCGTCCAGCCGAGCTCCGAAGATTACTCCGTCTGGGAGGACTGCATAACAACCAATGGCTTTTTGTCGGCTGGAAAGATCAACTCACTGCTTAGAAAGTACGTCAAGAAAGCTGTGAAGATTTTAAACTTTCATATCAAGGAGGGTCGCGCAGATAAACTGCCGAAGAATCTGAGTAGCATCTCGGTCGAGAAAGGACCGGTCATTCGAGTGATTGTGAATAAAGACATTTCGGTCGACATTTTACCAGCGTTTGTGATTCCCGATTCTCGTTCAGATCCGTCTCGCAGAGATTGTCCATCTTCATCGCACGTGGTTTGCAAACCGCACGTTCAAAACGAGATGATTTGGCGCCTTTCATTTTATGTGGCGGAGAAAAACCGCATCCGAGCTCTTAGCGAGGGATGTCGTGTACAGCTGTTACGAATCTTGACCGAAATTCGCGACAATGAGGATCAACTGAAAAAGCTTTCATCATATCACGTCAAGACACTGCTGTTCCACGAATCTGACGTTTATCCGGACTTTCACGAGTGGAGCGCGGAAAAAATCTCGCGCCGTTTCTTTGGCTTGTTAGAACGACTGAAAAAAGCGCTGAAAGAGGGCAACCTACCACATTATTTCATGCAACCGCCAGATTTCAAGCAAGTGAATTTATTCGTTGATCTCGACGGGAAAACTTTGTCAGACATGTTGGACGTTGTAGAAGACATTATGGAAAACCCAATGGGTGTTCTTAGGACTGTGGGTCGAGAGAGAAGACAGACAATGTGGCCTTGGGAGTTAGGCCTGTTTTTACCCGCGGGACTGACCTCCTAAAGTGGGACAGGTAAGTCTCGCCGCATATTTCAACTGTTTGCCATATCTAGGCGACGCTTTGATCATTTAACATTTGATTGTTAAAGTTAACTGACAATCTGTTTTTCGATCTGTTGTTCTCATTTTGAAGGTTATCTTCTGTTAAGTTGTTGGACGCAATTTCTTTCACACGATCTTTACTCAAGGTCAATACCAACTCTAATCCAGTTTTCAAAAAGCTTTTGTCTTTTTCAGCAAATGTGCCAAACGCTTTTGCTGAAATCATTTAAAGGCTTACGTAATTAAGTAACGATGCGTTGTTTTAGCTGCTTTTCAAGACTTCGGTTAGTTTGCTTGCCAGTGCAATGCAATTATTGACATATTTTCGCGGAAAAATATGAGTTTAATAACAACTTAACTCGCTCGATCATTTGATGCAAGAAAAAAAAATTCTCTCTTTTTATCATCCTCTTAAATATCATGGGTATTTCATAATGATAAATTTATCTCCGGTTGAAAAAAGAAAATCATTAAAAACAGATGGTTAACTGTCGCGCCAGATAACGAGAATCAGTGACGTCAAAAAGGGAAGAACTAGTCCATTGTTTCACATTACGCCTCACAGTGAAATTTCAAGACGGAAATCGAAATTCCATTTGAAAGCCAACATTTGACCTCTTTATAATCTAAAACAACACAGATCTGCAAAGAATAATAGTTCATATATTCCTTTAAATGTTTTAACAGTTATTTAGCAGCGGTTTGCGATCGGTAATTATGGCAGTTTTGTCTCAGCAGAAAGACTTTTTCGTAGATGTCTTCAAACTTACGAAGTGCTATCATGTGATATTCACTTGTTGTGCTATGAATAGTACAAGTTTTAAGTCAAGCAATTAAAAGAATCCAAGAGCTCTTTTGACGGTCAAAACCATCGTCGTTGTGTTATAAAAAAAATGATCCGGGCGCTTAGATCATCACTAAAACACTTTTGCTCCAGTAGGTTCATTCAGGTTTTCTCGAGTACAGAATGTTAACCTTAACATGCTACAGTAACCCAAGCCTGGCGTTAAATCGGAGAAAGTGATGCAAATTGCCAAAAATTCATTATGATTCCAATAGCTGCTTATTAAATGAATCAGAAATTATTTGAAATGGCAGCTCATTTCACTCAGCATAACATCACATCCTACGAGCAAATATTTCCCTGACAATCCACTTTACTAAGAAAATAAACCAAAGAACAGTAATTAATTAAATCGAAAACTATGACATTCCTGTCTAATCCAGAATGCGTGGAATGTTGAATGCTCCTCACAAACTTCACCAAAGGTATTTAATGATAGAATGATAAGCGATTAAAGGAGCTTTCATAAATTTTATTATTCAACACATTTGCAAGGTAACTGACGACAGGGGCAAATAAAATAAGCAATTTGAAGGTTTAACATTTTAAAATAGGTTTCTAAAATAGTTTCTATTTGCATAAACTCATGCAGTAACGCGTGTGTCGTGATTGGCGCCTCTCGCTCGTAAATGTTTGGCGTGAATTAATGCTGTACATTCTAAATACCATTGTTCATAAATTTCCTTTTTCAGAAATCCATTTTTAATGACCCTCATGATCACAGCTGGCTGGCGAGAAACCAAATCATGACACTTATCCGCCTTAAATCAAGAGTCAAACCAGCATGTGTGAACCGGATCAACTTGATGGAAGCCACTTCAGCGAGAGTTGAGAACTTGACGAGTTCAAGAAATCGTCAGAGGATTAGGAAACAGTCCAGAAATACTTGACATTTGTCAAAATGTTCGCGCTTGGAAGAATTCAAACTCGTTCACCAAAAGTCATCAAGTCACGTAGAGCGTAAAAACTATGCAATCAAGAAAAGTGTGTCACACAAGAAACGAGCAACAAAGTCGATTTTCAAAGGTTTTTGTTGTCCTTTTTACGCTTCACGATTCCAAGTTACCGCGATTTCGATCGAGTATTGCATTTCAGGAAAGTTAGCCAAGAGTCTTTCGCCTGTTTGCCAAAAGCATTTTTGTGGAGTTAATTTTTCTTGAAAACAGATTTTAAAGTGTAGAAGTTTTGAAATTTGTTTGCCGCAACAAAGAACACTTTAGCAACATGCATCTTCACGGGTTTTTTTTCCGGAGTGAATCGGGGTGTAACTTCAAGAATAAGGCTACTCTAGGTTTTCTAATAATACATTATTTTGATGTTTTATCATTTTTCCTATCATGAAATCCACTGATGGAAAAATAGCATAAATTCCTCGTAATAAATTATTCAAAGATACATCTTTTCTACTGTTTTTGTAATCAAATCATATCTGGTCTCTGAGGCATACACATGTTATAATGGACCTGTTGATTCCAGAAGTCAGGTCCTTTCCATCCACACCACCCCTGCAAAAAATGATATGAACAACAAAATCATACCAGGTATCAACAGGCTGATCATAGACCCACCCCTCCCAAATCTCAAATAATCCTTGTCCAAGGTCACCTGTATGACAAATAAATTCCTTCACAACCTCACCTTGTCTAATACGACTTTGAGATCTTCCCCACCAGTGTAATGCGGATCAAGAATTAAGAACCTGCACAGGATAATAAAAAATGATGAGAATTTCCTTTTTCACAGGACAGAATATGCAGAATGCTCATCATCCCCTTCAGTCTTGCATTATTTCTAAAATTAATTTGCCATTGAAGGTTTTGCATCCTTCATGGTAGAGAGAGAATTCATGCCTTATTAATAATAATACTTGGGAGAAAAATATAAAGCCAGTTAACAAAATTCATTATTACCATAATCACTGCATATTGAGATTAGATGACTATGAAGACACAAAGATTTTTTATTGTTTCTCTAGCAGGAATGTTTGAGAGAAACATGCTATGATTTACAAATTGGAGGAGACCATAACAAAAGGCTCCTAGATTGTTCCTGATAGACTGATAGATTCTCCTGTGTCTCCTTGTGAAACACACAGAGAATTTGATTTTGCATCAAGTCACTCAAAGCTTTTTTCCCTTAACCCTAAATTTCTTCATCAGAAAATAAAAAATCAAACTTTTGGGTGGTGTTAAGCAATACACCAAACTTTCTTTGAAGTAATTAATAGCACACTAACCTTATGTCCCCTGTTTGATCATTAAAATCAACCCCCAGAATGGTATGTGCTAAAACACCACCTCCTGTTTGACAAAGCAAAATGTAAAATGAAAAACAGTCAATGAGAAAATACTCAAATAAGTGTCTTGCTTGCCCCATTAGCCCTTCAACTCCCATAAGTGACCAAGACAGAATTTCTCCTTACAATAACAATAGTATATCAAGCAGAAAAGTGATGAGAATAAAGACAAATATCAGAAAGGGGACTATTAGTTGATCCAGCACCAAATTCTCTGAACTAATATCATAGGAAATGGATGGCAGACAGTAAGAAGAATTATTAATGACATCTGAGAGTGAAAGGGTTAAGATAACATACCAATCATAATGGGAGTTCCTTGAGTCTGAAAATGATGCAACAGATCTCTCCCTTTGGTGCGCATCTCTGCTCCAGTGCTAACAAACATAATCTTTGATGTGACTCCCAAAAGATGTTCCAGGCACATGCTGACTTCAAAGGAGCCTATCCATTGCCGAGAACCCACAAACTCCTTGCCTTTGTCTTGGAGATCAACAAGTGCTTGTTGAATTTCCCGATGGCTTGGGACAGACTTGGATGTGTACCCTTGGTGAACAAACCAGGAAGCAATGGTCTGAAGTGATCGGTATGCACAACCCCACCCCTGAGCAGAACAAGAATATTGTATCAGTCACTAATTGCTAACATGAACTTCTATTAATCCTGAAGAACTTCAGCTGATGGGACACCACTGGGGCTACAAAAGGTGTCCCCTGATTACAGGTGTCCCTTCAATGAAGGTAACAAATACAAAGATTTTTGGTCAGGGGTATTTTTCGGGTGCAACCAAAGTCTGTGTCCTGGGAGGGGCCATGTTCCCTGAATTCAAGCATTTTCCCTCGCAGTTTAACTGTTGGTGAAACAAACACCAAGGTCATGAGAACAAAGGAAAAGGTTGCTAACTAAAGATGCTCCTGGTTATTCAACAAATTCTCCTTGTCAGTATCACAAGAAATGTACAGAAAACAGTATGGAGAATATGCATACCGATGAAAGGTTGTGTAAGAATTTCTGCTACATCTAGTTTTCAATTCCAAAATAATTTTGGCTCATGATAGTAGTGTTGAAAAATTTGAGGTGCTCACAACTGAAGAAGTTTCATCTTACATCTATGCACCTCTAAATTTTTTCAGAGAACTAAAATTCCAACCACCAACATACCCTCCCCTCCTCCCTTCCCAAAAAGTTATTGACTGCAAGTCTTAATTTAAGATACATACATCATCATTGAAGTTATCCTGCATGTAATGGCGATAGGAATATGTTCCATCAACAACTGCTACAGTACCACAAATCCCTGAAAATTAAAAGACAATAAACACTTTTTCCATCAATGCACTCTGATGAAACAGTCTAATACACAATTCAATAAAAATTAATCAATCAAATTGAGCATACCTCCCACCAATCCAGTGTGAGGATTTGTCAAGTAGATACCTTGATCACATAGAAAAGAGAAGTGTGTTCCCATGAGTGACCAAGTGAAAATTTCTCCTTACAATATCAATACAATATCAATCAGACAAGAGAATAAAGAAGATATCAATTAGGGGATTATAAGTTGATCCAATACCAAATTCTCTGAACTAACATCATAAAAATTGTATTGCAGATCGTAAGAACAACTAAGGAGATCTGATTTAGCTCAAATCCCTCAAAAAAAGCTTTTAAACCATCACAGTATTTTTAGATTTTTTAAGGGTTGAATATTTTTCCCACCCAAACATAGACAAGGCAGATATAATCTAATCAGCAAAGAGGCCCCCAAACTACAAGAGCCTGACCTGGTTTACAAAGAGTATGCAAAACAGAAGAAATTTAATGCTTTTCCTCCTCGATCTGACATAAGTTCACCTCAGGTTGACTCCCCCTCCCTCCATGCAATATTTTTTCCAGGTTTCCCTTATTGGTTTGGAGGAATTTTATAGAATTTTCAATTCATCTATAAACATCCACTAAAATTAATTATGCAGGGTAGAAATCTTCCAGAAAGACTTCAGAATAAAGACTTCAGGTAACAGACTATGGGAGTCCAATCAGTTTTCTTACAAGAAAACAGCTCATTCAACTACTTCTAGTAATGACTAAAAACTCACAAACCTTGCTGCCTCTCATTTTCAAATTTGTATCTGTTGGAAGGTCTCATAAGAGGTCTGTTTTCTGGCAGAAGAAGTCTTTTGTGAAGTTTCAATCTGTATGATACTGCAAGAAACAAAAGTCTATGTCACAACAAGATGCATACTCTCTTAACAACCTTTTGGGATAAAATTTCTTGAAGTTCAAAAGATTTGAACAATGTGATCATGTGAATTTCTTGAATGAATGCTCATTTTGGTATCATTTTAGTAGTTTAATAAAGAAAGATGTTTTTGTCCTGTCACAAGCTTGGGACAAAGAAAATTCTGAGTCCCCATGAGGAATCAAACCTCAGGCCTTCAGATTCTGTGCTTTAATGCTCTACCACTGAGCCACAGAGAGTTCATGGTGAGCAAGGTCCATTACCAAGTTCATAATTATTTGACATGTGTCCTGCATACTGCTTGCATCAGCGATGTTGATAGCAATTTCAAATTGGTTTTCTTTGTATTTTGCCTCGTCTATAACTGGAACTAAGAAAATACAATGAAAGTACACTAGTTTAAAACCACTGTGACCCAAACTCATCTCAAACTACCAAATAATTGAACTGACCAAGTTCATCCTCTTCTGTTGGTTCATCATCTCTTTTAATGCTGGGATAAACAGCAGTCACCAAATGACAAAACCCAAGAAGCTTGAAGTGATGCACTTTAACAAGAGCTAATGAGCCTCCCTAAAACAAGAAGTGTAAGGAAATATTGTGAACTCAGTAATGAACAGCTTACTTTTCTTTAGCTACCTACCCTCTATTATCTTAAACAGGAATGTGTCCTCTATGTAGGCTTCATTTTTCATTAGAACTCAAACTTTAGCCTTCTCACTCCCTAGACCAAACTATAGATTCTCCCCACTGTCTCACCCACACTTCTGATAATTTCAGCAATGAGAATTTGTTTTTAAATCAAACAATATCCCCTTGTTAATATTTTCCTTGAATTTTCATCACTGTTCTGCTTGAAATTGTACTAATATTATAAGGAGGAATTCCATTTTGGTCCCTCCTGAGTTCAAACGGGGTTGAAGGAAGATGGTGAATATCTACCACAATTGAAGCACAAAGGAAAATATTTTGTCCCTCCACAAGAATTTGAAAGTCAGACCTTCCAATTGGTTGCTCTTAAGTTTGAATTCTAAGTTTAGACAGGAATCAGATTTTTCCTTTGTCTTACGTTTGATACATGTTTGTTAATTTCTTCTTTGTTTGATAAGCAAGCTCAAAAATTTCTCACCATTCTTAATCTATTTCTACACAACTCAAACTTAATGTTAAAATTATTCAATTTTATTTAACATGTTCATTTTAAGTCTGATGACTTAGTACAATGAACCCTGCACAGAACAGAGGCGACACAAATCATAAAATATTTTTAGATTTAACACAGAAATACATGACTGACTTCATTCCAATTGGCAGAAAGAATCAGTATACCATACCTTGGAAAACTGTGCCATAACTGAGGCCATCTTTCTAAGCTGACTGCACATGGCAGAAATAAATAACTTTGGCAGACTTTTCAATGGAGTGTCCCTTGATAAATTTAACACCACATCAAGTGCCAGGTTGTACTTAGTTTTAGACTTTGTCTCTATGAAAACAAAGTATAACAGTCAGGAAACTTCTCACAGGCTTGGTTTTGATTTTGATTATTATACAGTAACATTATGATTATCATTTTGCCACATTAAATTTCTAAAATATAGAGCTTTGATAACAATGTGCTTATTGACTGAGTGGAAGGGCTGTAGGGGAAACATTCAGCTTGAGTTCAGACCAAGCAGAGTAAGGTGCCCATGTATCGTGACAGAGAGCCACATATTTTCACATGCAGCCTACCCTAATTCATCAATCAGCATTTTATTATTTGACTGTCACTCTTCTCTTTGTCCTTTTTTCTCTCAACAAGCAGCTCACTTAGCCATAATGCCTTCTACAGCCCCTAGCCCATGCTAGGAAGGGGGTAAACAGCCCTCAAACCCAAGAGTGGTAGTTTTTGGATCAAATGAATTAGTTTTGAATCTGGACATTTGTCTGGGCAAAAAATAGTTTTGTACAAGTCATATCAATGATAATTATAACACTATTGATCTGAATACAGCATAGGGTGTCACCTTTCTTGTATTGGATAACTGGTACAAATGCTTCATGATCCCTGATATTGTCTGTCAGTTGAGATAAGTATCGTACATCCAGTACATCCTAGGATAAAGGAGAGGATATGATTGTGAATGGAAGACCAGTGCCACATGACAACATCTGTTTCTACACTGGCCTGTATATAACAAAAGTAAAGCCTCAAACCTTAAGTTTCACTGAGCCAGAAGGAGGAGCAGGCTTTGCACTTTTCTGTTTTCCTTTACTCTTTCCTGATCCATGTATACTTTGCAATTTTTCTTGTCCTAATTCAATCCTTTCCAAAAGTGATTCGCAGCTTATTGACTCATCACTTCCATTATCCACATTCTTAAGCAACAATTTACAGTCTTTTATATGGAAGGCAGTTGAGGTTGAATCTAATTCTTTGCAAGACTTTTCAATATTCTTTGCAATTTCTGACACACCTGTGAGAGAAGTAAAAAAAAAAAATCTCACTTTTCCTTCAAATATCCTTATAACTTTATTCCTGTTTTACCTTAGTTTTTCTCCCTATAACTGTTCAGTTGTTCATTCATCAGGACATTTCAAGTTTGCATATACTCCACTCTACTCTTATTTTAGAAATTTATGGCTATTAGGCTTGCTTTATCAGGAAATATCTTCACACTGATAGAAAGCAATCATGGTAAGCAATGACAGGGGTCAAAATGACAGCCGAGCAATGGACAAAACCCAGTCATATTTAGGTTTTCCCTGGCCAACTCCTTGGATGGCAAGACATTTTTTCTATTGGTTTACAAATGAAGAATTTAATTCCAAGCTAAGTTCAGGTTTTAAATATGGCTGTATCACTTTTCCTGCATTGAGTTTGAGACTACATGTATGATGCAAGAGTGGTAGATATACCATTTTTTTTGATAAGGAGGGGGAGGAGGGGAGGAGGGAATTATTTAGATATGACATCATGGACATTTGTCTGGGCAAAAAAACAGTTTTGTTTGGTGCCAACTGGAAATTGTTTCAAGCCTTGAATGATCATCATTTACTGTCCCCTATTGAGTTCACAAAATAATCATGATACTTTGAAAAAATACTGATACGTCATGCTATAAAAGGGATAAGTCAGCCATCTTAAGAACATACCATTTTGATCTCTTGAGACAGTTAGAGGTATGTTTGCTTGAACTCGAAAGCAAATCCTCCTTTTCTGAAATTCTTCCTGTATACATGTTTCTTGCCATTCACACTCGGACACTGATTCAAGATCTTTGTTGTAAATAAAACACTTTTCTTTTTCGCCATCACTGGTATTTATGTGCTGGAACAGTACCAATGGACCGTTGGTTACTGAATCATCCTGTGAAATATGAAAAGTTAAAATTTAAGGATGTATCTTAGTTGTCTACTAATAATTCCCTCTAATTAATATTTTTATTTTTTTCTTGTCACTTGTCTGCTTGACAGTGTAATGATATTGTAAAGAGAAATTCTGTCTAGGTCACTCATGGGAGCTAAAGGGTTAATTAAACCTTTTACTCTTGGGAGTGACCAACATGAAAAGTCTCCTTACAAATTTATTTATTGTTCTCTTGTGGTTCATCTGATTGTCTGAGCACAAGATCAAAGAGTTTGAGATTATCCCTGTAACTGATGTTTTTGGAATTGAATCCAAAATCAATGATGAAAAACAATGGAACACAAAGGTTTCATTTTAGCCCTTTACACCCTAACATCAAATTGCATATTCTCCATACTGTTCTCTGAGTATTTCCTAAGGTGCTGACAAGGAGAATTTGTTTAGCAATCGAGGGCTTCTTTAGTTAGTGATCATTTCCTTTATTCTCATTAATTTAGTGTCTGATTCAAGGGTGGTATTGTAAGGAGAAATTAGATACCAGTCACTGACTCTTACAAGTATGTCTATACTTCTAAATTGAGTTCTAGAAAATATATTAGAGATTCATAATCTCACCTTTGAACATTTCCCATCAAATATTCTTTTAACCTCATCAGGTTCTAGATTTGTTGGTTTGACACATGAATAGTAAATTCCTACCAGATTTATTCCTATAAGAGGAAAGAATCAGGCAGAATTAATAATAAAATAACAACCATTACAATTTTTCCTTCTTTACATAGAAGCTACATGCCTTCCGCTATGGTCAATGCTAATATATATAGGTGGCTCAGTCTTCAAATCTAATTTTAAATGAAGGTACTATAAAAGAATCCTAAATTACATTACATTAATAATTATATAATAACAAAGAAAACTATTATCATAAACAATAAAATAAGAAAGAGGGAGAACAGCTTGGTGGATGAATTATGTAGAATGGTAAGGACTTTTATATGTGTTAACAATTACTTTGAGGAGAATTTACTGAAGAAAGATATTATGTACGTTATGAAAGGAATTGTACCTAGTTGTAAAATTTTTATTTTAAATTTGAATGATTCTTTTGGAAATTCCCTAAAAGAGGATACCAATTTTTGAGAAAGCATTTTTACATTACAAGGTTTGAGGGTTTTAAATTAAATTAACTATACAACTATGATAATTTGTTATTACTGATGGATTGAAAAGCTTAATAAAGAACAAAGAGAGGCCAGTCAAACAGTAGATGGCTTCATGAATTGTTGGTTGTCTCACTAGATGAATAGAAGGGATTATGAATGAATGGTTGGAAACATGATAAAAAGGGTTAATAAGACAGGCAAGATGTGAATTGATGATAGGTTAAGAAAAAAATTTAAGCAGACAGACCAACAGACTGTGTTTTGTGTTGTTCTGTGCTACAAGAAACTACATGTTGGAGGCAATTCTATGAGCAGTAAAATCACTGCATATTTAATTGGGCCAATGACCAAACAAAGCAAGCTATCAATCGTAACATATTGTAACAGACCAACAGAAAAACAAATAAAAGGGTTAAGTTTCTAAAAAAACTGTAGTGCTGCATCGGTGGGAGGGTATAACAGGTTAAATTTAGTATTATCAAAGTAAATTGGCCACCATAAAGAGTTTAAAAGGTGATGTTTCAGAGCGATTGCAATGGGCTAATGCTAGAAACTTCAGCTTTTAAACTCTTTATGGTAGCCAATTTACATTATCAACTCAGTTGATAATACTTCATTACCCCAACAGACATACAGACAGACAGACTTGTAGACAAATGACCAAAATGATGAACAAATGAATACTTTGATAAGACTATCAAAATAATTTGTAATTTATCTATACATAAGACCCCTGAAATAAAAGAAAAATTAATTCTGTATGATATTCATTTTAAAAAAACTAAGTCTGTCATGTTCATGTCTGTGTGCATTAATTAAGGTATTAGAATATCACATGCAGATTACAACTTAAAATACAAACCGTTTGGAATGAGAGAAAACAATTCTGATTTCTCACTTTTCCAGTTAGGAATTCCTGGATACCCTTTCTTAGCTGGAGGATGACTTCCTGTACAAGCCACACATCCTATTATGCGAATTTTATTTAGGAAAACGTCGCCATAAAGATAGCAAAGAAAATTATCGTATTTTCCTTCCTCAAGATTCTTCGTCCGTTGAAGCAATTTCTTGAAAAATAAAATATACCAGATATTTATCTCAGATATCAAAATTAATAATACTAGCTATAGACATCGAAAAATTAACGAAAGCTGATATTTTTACCTGTTTTATCGAAAAATCGATAAAAACCTGCATGTCCGCCATGTTTTTTTACGGTAGCCCGCGGTATAAAAGTTGCGGTTTTTATCCTAACCGTTATAGAATTCATGTAACGTTAATGTATTATTTGTTTTTCTTCTTCATGAGATGATCAAAGTATCTTGCTTGAACAAAGCTTGTTTTACCATTCCTAAATTCTCTGAAAAATCGAAAATTATCACAGGATCTTATACCAAAGGGAGAATAAGTCTACTTAATATTTATGGAAAACTTATGGAATCGAAACATCGATGGAAATTTTTTCCATTCTTCTTCAGCTTTTGTAAACTCGCGGGCATCTGCAGACCCGACAACAACAGACTGGTCCAAACGGTTCATTTGTGTCATCCTTTAAAAAACATTTCATCAGCGATACATGCTGCGGAAAACTTTGTAAGTAAAGAGTCCTCTCCCCTTTCATTTTCTCATCAAAGGGAAAGGACATTGATACTGAGACATATTCTTGGTCATTTCTTGTGTATTGGTCATAGGCCAAATACGTCCTTTAAAGGAAGTAACGTCGAAACTGAAACAAAGGCCGGTTGTTGCAGAGTGAAAGAAGTGAGTGACTCGTTGGATGAAATTGGGAGTGTTAGTCAGATAAAAATGACAAGTGTAAATCAAAGAGACCCCTCTTCCTATCACAAATGTGATGTCAATCGAGATCAAGAACTAGAAAATCATCAGCATTGTGGTAAAAATATGAGTACTTTGGAACTATCTGGTGGATTTTCGGAGTCACCGTCTGAACAACAAGTACACAGTCCCACTGCTCCTGCTGGTGATGATGTGGAAGACAGCAATTTATTCACAATGGACACTGAGAGATCTGAATTGTCTCAAAGCTTTACAAATCAAAAAGAAACTGATAGAAACCGTGATAATAAGCCACTTGCCTTGGATGCTCTCACTGACCAGAAGCCAGGTGCAAAATACAAACAAAGAAAGGGAGACAAAAGAAAGGGAAAAGAGCAACTGAATGCATTATCAGACGTTGGCAATGCAGATGCTGCTGGTGCATGTGTGAACAGACACAATGTATCCTTGTCCCAAAGAAACAAAAGGCCTAAAAGGATACAACCAAACTTTTTCTTGGCTGTGCGCATTCATAATCCTCAGATACATGCTGGTATCAAGGTTATCCAAGACTCGATTGCCACACACAGTAAGGAACTGAAGCCAGCCTTTGTCTCCTTGGCAACATTGCATGTTACCCTCATGGTCATGCACCTAGAGGATGCTGAAGAAATTCAGAAAGCAGGAAAAGTATTGCATCAGTGCAAGACATCTTTGGAATCCATCCTGGCCAAAAGTGATGTGATGATAAGATTCTCTGGTCTTGGCCACTTTGGACATAGAGTTCTCTATGCAAAACTTGAGGAAGAGGGAAGTGACTTTTTGAAATCAGTTGAGGAAATTGTGCGTGAAATATTTACAAAAGAAGGCATCCCTTCAACTGATTCTCGAGAGTACAATCCTCATATGACTGTCATGAAGTTAATAGGCCATAACCAACAGTTGAGGAGGAGTGGGATCAAGAAAATCCCTGAGGAGAGCTACGCAAGTTGGGTCGACTTCAATTTTGGGGAAGAGCCAGTGACAGCTTTGCACTTATGTGCAATGGGTGAGAAAGATACAGATGGGTTTTATAAATGTATGGCAACAATGACATTTGCTGATTCAGATGATACATCTTCCAGTTGAACAGAGAAGGCAAGGACAAAGTCAGTAATGGGAAAAGGAAGTCAAAGAAACACATCACAATAATCTTGGCCACAGTTTGAACTAAAATCTCACCATCCAGATACCAGTGTTCTGGCCATTAGGCCACAATGTCTGCCATAGAGCAATAGGATTCCATCAGTATTGCAAAAATTCATTTTCTTAATTATAAGTCCTATTTAAATTACACTATTTTTATCTTTACAGTAAAGAGCTCTCATTAAATGATGTATAATGAACTGATTCTATTTATAAAAATTGAACCAACAAACTATTTTTAAGACTGGGCTAATTTTAGGTACAAGACAATTGAAATAGAACCTGCGAAACTTTGCCTTTTGGTTGTTTGTCTCATGAGAATGTAAAGCAGAAATATATGAGCACAATATATACACCTTGTACTTCTTGTAGTTATCCATAGAGTTCCTTTAATATTATTAGAATTATATTTTTGAGTATTTGCTAAATGTGCACTTCCAAAAATTGTTCCTTTACCTACAATGAGAATTATTTTACATTTATTTATTTCCTCTTAATTATTGAAAGCCTAGCCCAGTTGCATTCTGATAATCCTATCATATTCTATGCATAGAAATTATAAGTTGTACTTTCAACTGGAAAAATTTATACTACTGTTTAGTTTCCCATGAAATGAAACCTGGGACATTAATTTCAAAATTTAAAGACCATCAATCTTTTTTTTTGTATTTTTTACAACTTCCTTTGACACCCTTAAAACTATCTTAAGCAATTCAATTGCATGAAAAATTTTTCCTTCACGTTATTTCATGTAAACAATCATGGGAGTATCCACTGATAAAAATTACTGGGGCATTTGTTGTACCTCAAAAGGGGGTGAAATTTGTAGGTTAGTGTCATGTAAGGTATCAATTCTTGAACAACTACTATAGAGATTTTTGTTGATTTTTCAGTCTTTTTACCCCTCAGTGTGACCAGCATCTAATTTCTCCTTACAATAATGTTACTAAATCATTCAAATCAGGAGAATAAAAGAAATGATCACAAACCTTAGAAGCTTTAATTGTTCAATAAATTCTTCTTGTCATTACCAAAGGTAATGTGTAGAGAAGAGTAAGGAGATTTAGGATTCTGATGTTAGAGTGTAAAAGTTTACAGGCCTTAGAGGTTGTCAGTCTAAAATAAATTAAGGAACTCAATGAATGTTACCTTCTTGTGTAAAATTAATGGGATCATGTGCTTTTGGTAGCCTCTGTTTAATTGTTAGTCATTGTTTGATCGAGATAATTGAATGTCAATGGCTGGCTGATAATCAGTTAAAAGTGGGTTATTTGTTTGACAATATTTGGTTGATAGTTGGTTCAAAATTGGTAAATAGTCAGACAAAACTCTACTAGAAAATAGTTGCTAGTCAACTAACAGGGGCTAATCTAAGATTTTCAAAAGGGGGGGGGCACTACAAGTGCCATAGGCATGAGCTTTCCAGTGGGGTCTGGGGACATGAAAATGCATAGATCATAATTGGCAACCTCCAATTCACCGCACCCGTGGCTCAGCAGCCTATTTGTTGTCTACAATAAAGATTTGGGCCACAACTAATGCCAGTTACATCTTGAAAGTTGTCTGATAATATTTTTTAGAACCTTTCTTACAGTGAGAGTTAGTTTTGATTTTAAAAAACTCAGTTCAGCACTGATATTAATTTTTGGTCAAGCTAAAAGGGGGGGGGGTTGGTACGGGCCCCCCCTTGGATCCACTACTGACTAACACAGCTTCAGTTGTATTGATGTACAGGTATTTGTAGTTGGCCAATATCTCATGTGACATTAGTTGAATGTCAGTCAACTATTGGCTGATTCTCATTCACTTATTAGCCAACAATCAGCCAATGATTTCCTGACTGTCATATGACTACAGGTTAACCCTTTACACCCACAAGTGACTAAGACATAACTTCTCCCTACAATATCAAGCAGACAAGTGATGAGATTAAAAAACAAACAAATTATAGAATTCTCAGAACTAACGCCATAATAATTGTATGGCAGAATGTAAGGAGAATTGCTGATGAGATCTTGGGAGTGAAAGGGTGAATTACAAAGCCATTTTTGATTGAGTATCAACTGAGATACGAATCAAACATTTGTCCTTGTTCAAATAATTTAACACCAATTTAAATATGACAAGATTTCCTTAGGGACATCATGTTGCCTTAGGTTTTGTACAACACAGTTTTTCTTTACTGCCATGCGGCAAAGAACCCTTAACTTAGCAGGGGAGTCATTCATTTTGAATACTAACAGATTAGAGATGTCTTGGCTTCGATCTTCCATGTTCACATTACAACAGTGAGTGACCAGAAGCTGATGTCCATTTGGAGAAATTGTACAACTTGTGTAATTGTCTGTTCCTTTCCTATGATCCATTTGTAAAAGTTCTTCAGAATCAAATTCAGCCTCCTGCTTTGAAAGATTGACTTCATGCTTCAAAAAGACTGCAAATTGTCTCTTATTAGAGTCAGTTCCACTTTGGGGAATCACAATATAGTTATCATAAGGCGATAGAAAGAACTCATACACTGAAGATGCCAAATGTCCTTCAATGTTCACTTTCTGCAGAAGATTGCCACAAGTGTCCCAAATTAACACTGACTTACAATCTTCAAAATCCATCACTGATTGATTTTCATCGTTTGAAGGCATTTTTATTCGTTGACCACTACACAGTGCAAAAAAGAAATTTCCACTTTTAGAATATTTTGCGTCAGCTACAAAGTGATAGCCTTTGAGCTGTGTCTCTGCAATAACTGTGAAAGACTCCACGTCGATAAAAACCAGACCAATGAAAAACACGTAGGAACCCCTGCCTATGATGGCTATACTCTTCTGATCAGGGTTAAAATCAAGCAACTTCCACGAGAATGGATGATTCATTAACTCCATTTCATCACTTCTGATGTGACGCACACAATGGATTTGAAGACGATTCATCTCAGCTGATTTCTTTTCTTCGACTGCGAATTCCAACAATATGAATTGCCCACCGTTTAAAATTACACCGAGCCAGTAGCGACCCCTCCGCAACGCTGACACTTTCATGAAGTTGACACTCCCTCCCCAATGAAAATTATTGCTATTCTGTCGCCTACACTTGTCTAATATCAGTTCCATTTCTTTGTGGAGCTTTTCATCTTTGTGATCAGAGTCAGGGCATGAGAACACAAGAACACAAATTCGAAAATCTTCCAAACGAGCGAAAACGTTCAACAAAGGATAATCGCAAGTCGCAGTTAAATCGCAAACAATTTCAAGCACAGTGCAACGAAAGACCAAGTTATAGGAAAATTCACTTTCAATATCTCCGCTTTGCAAGTTCAGAAATTTTAAACAGACGTCGACTCTTCTCGTAGCTCCTGGTGAATAATCATCTTCCAGCCGATCCGAGGTGCGTACAATAACTGCAAGGTTTATATCTTCGCGTATTATCCAAGCAACTTTGTCGTTGGTTTTGAAGTAAAAAGGAACTTGTGCTTTAGCGAGAAGTTTTACTGTTCCCTTGTACTCGACGTCCTCCATGTTTGATCGCATTTACGTCACGCCATCTACTTATTAAAGCGTATTTAATACCTATTCCTGAGTTGCGAAAACGTTTCCTCCACCTACTTCCATATGGGGAACGTTTTACCTTGATATTGCGACAACAGAAAACATATGTTTTGGCAAAATTACAACAATTGAAAACGATCAGTTACAATATTATTCGCCAATATTATTTCCGGTTACACCATTTCTAAGTGCATATTTACGTGACCGTCACACCAACAATCTCATCTCCAGGGCCTCTCCCCTTTGCTTTCTAGTGCCGGCTACAACCATCAACATGGAACTTAGACAGTTTCATTTTGCAACTTTATTAGCTGGTTTTCCTAGCTTTCTCATGAAGTATTTAATGATCTGTACATCGGATGGATTCCCTCAAGATAAAATGAACGTTCTTTTTATAGTAGCCGACGATCTGAGACCAACGCTAGGCAGCTATGGGAATACTGTGGTACAGACCCCGAACCTTGACAAGCTCGCACAACGTTCGATTCGCTTTACCACAGCTACTTCGCAGCAAGCTGTTTGTGCTCCCAGCCGAATTTCATTCCTTACTGGCAGGAGACCGGACACAACAAAGCTTTTTTCCAACGAAAAAGCTACCTACTGGAGGGTGAATGCTGGAAATTTCACCTCTTTACCACAACACTTCAAGGATAGTGGTTATTTTACCGCTTCCGCAGGAAAAGTCTTTCACCCAGGTATACCAAAATGTGATAAACCGCATGTTGCAGCCACATTTCGAGCGAAATCATTTCTCCATGTTCTAAGTTACACTTTTTGCGCATTCCCATTCCAACTTTCGTCTTGAAGTTGAGTTGGCTCCCAATTTTATTTGGGCCTGGGTATCCTCCAACTGTATTATTCCACGGACTCCTAATAGAACAGATGCCCAGATTCCAATATTTACATCTACCACGTAGAACTGGGTGAAATATCAGAATTTTTCCTGTTTCTGAAACAAGACGTCTTCGCTGCACGCAGTATAAAGAATAGCACCGCCGTATTTATTTCTTTAACACTTCAATCCCTGAGAGTGACTAGCATCTAATTTCTTCTTTCAATATCACCCCTTAATCAAACATTAAGATCATGAGAATAAAAGAAATGATAATAAACTGAAGAACCTCTTGATTGTTAAACAAATTCTCCTTGCCAGCACATTAGGAAATGTATAGACAACAGTATGGAGAATATGCATACTGATGTTCAGGTGTAAAGGGTTAATGGTTTTGCCTACTTTTCTCATTAGTATTGTCTACCATGAACCCTTTACACCCTAACATCAGTATACATGTTCTCCATACTGCTATATATACTTTTCCTAAGGTGCTGACAAGGAGAATTTGTTCAACAATCAAGAGCTTTAGTTGATGATTGTCTCCTATATTCTCATGATCTCAAATGAATGATTCAGCAGTATCATTGTGAGGACAAACGAGATGCTGGTTGCTCTTAGGGTTTAAAGAGTTAAATTAAATACCTACCCCAGCATATGTAGCTATATTACTGAATACTTTTTATCCTTGTTGATGAGGTGGATTGGCAAAAGCCTTGGAGCTTATTCAACAGTAGCTTAAGGCTTCAGCTGAAACCATTATGTATAATTATGAAATGGTACTGTAGGATAACTTGCAACAGTCACATAAAATTTCTATTGTTTTATTCAAGAGAACAATGTCAGCATAGAAACCACAGGTTTTATACCAACGCTTCCCTCAATTGAACATTTCATTTTGTGTCCACATAATAAACAGATCTATCATATTGTATTACTTACATCAGATAATATCAACAATGGAAGATCAATTTTTATCCATGCATGGCATATATGTTCTTTATAAATTTAAATCAATGTTTACATTGTACCCTGGTTGTTTGTTTCAGGAAGAGCATCAAACTTTACAGATGATTATCCATATAGTTGGACCATTCCACCTTATCATGCTTCAACTCACACATACAAAAATGCAGCGGTGAGTTTGTTTAGAATTGCTGAATGTTGGAACCCTCTATAAATAAGACTCCAAATATTTCTCAGGAAGAGGAAGGAAAATCATTGTTATCTTTATGTTCAGAGGCATAAACTGGTTGTATCTCTTGATAACATTTGTGGCAGGAACAAAGACCTTCATAAGGATTCTTCATGTCTGATGTAGCAAAACATATTGCTGCAATCCTTCACCTTGTCTTTTCAGACCTCAAGGCATCAAAATGTCCTGTAGGTTGCTTAATATTCCCTCAAGAGGAGTAGTCCTGTCTTGATATATTAGATTACTAATGACCTTCTAGTTACACTATTATTCACAAGTAATTTCTGCACACTTTCTTTCTTTCTTCCTTTATTTATTCATTTTTTTGTCCTCTTAATAGGTATGTCCAAGTGCAGATGGTAGACTACACACCAATATTGTATGTCCTGTTGATGTTGAAAAGCAACCAGAGAGAACATTGCCAGACATTCAAAGCACTCAGTATGCTTTAAATTTCTTAAAAAATCACACTGATTCAAACAACAACAATCAGCCGTTCTTCCTGGCTGTTGGCTACCACAAGCCACACATCCCTCTGAAATTTCCCAAACAGTTCCTTGACATGTACCCCATAGAGGAGATTCATGTAGCAGCAGATCCCCTTCTTCCCTTTGATTTGCCGCCAGTGGCATATGAACCATGGACTGATCTGCGATGGAGAGATGACATTGCAGCACTAAATCTGAGTTTTCCATATGAACGCATGCCAGATTTTTATGCCAAAAAGATCATACAAAGTTACTATGCTGCAACAACTTATATGGACAGTCTAGTCGGACAGTTACTCATAGCTTTAGATGAGTATGGTCTTACTGGCAATACAATTGTGAGCTTCATTGGAGATCATGGTAAGATAAAGGATTGAGCCTCTTTGGTTTTTAACTTCATAAAGGGAAAGACAAGCTTAGAACTAATAGCTTTATTGTTGGGAAATACTGCTCTCACAGATTGCTCATGTGACTGTGGTTTGAAGTTGTCTCACATTATTATAAATTATCCATTGTTATTATTTAACCTTTCACTAATTTGCGCATATTTCACCCTTGAAAACCCAATGGTGATTAACACGTAACTTCTCCCCATGATATCCAACATTATCCAGCACACAGGAAATGACAATACTTTAACCTACCAGGTAGAAGTTATTGTTTTCATTTGACCCCAAATTCCTGTAACTAACTTACAAGGAAATGTGCAGCAGCTAGAAGGGAGAATTAACAATCAGATCTTGGGAATTAACCCTTTCACTCCCATGTGTGACCGAGATAGAATTTCTCCTCACCATTTAAATCAATACAATATCAAACAGACAAGTAATATCAGTTAGGGGAGTATTAATTGATTCAATACCAAATTCTCAGAACTAACATCATAAGAATTCTATAACAGACTTTAAGGAGAATTACCAATGAGATCTTGGGAGTGAAAGGGTTAAAGAATTAAAAGTGATCCCCTAGGAGGATTAGTAGTAGAGATTTAAAAAAACCTTTTTTGTTGTCCTGCCAAAACAGACTTACCTGTCAGCCAAGTAGTATTCACTCATTAAAGAGAGTGAATCTGACATATTTCCTTCCAACTTAGAATAAGGGGAAGGAAGAAGGGCCATGGAAGAAGGGCCATGGACAATGAATAGGGGAACTAATAATCTTTTTTTAGACAATCTGCTGATTCTAACTGGGTTTTTTATTTGTTTCATTCAGTGTTTTTGTTGATACTGATCTGAATCTTGTGTGAAGCAGGACCACACTTTTGCTTCACTGTTCTTGCATACATGTGACTATTGAATAAGTTCTGCCCTCAAATAACCTCCCTATGGACAAGTAAAAAGGGTTTATTTCTTATCAGTGCCCCTGCATTTTCACTTTGTTGATACATGATACTAGGAACAGGGACACTGTCAATACTGCAATTTAATAAGAGAATTCACTGTATGATTTAAATTGAATTTATTAAAACCAAAAACTACTTGATTGCAGGTTGGGCATTGGGTGAACATCAGGAGTGGTCAAAGTTCAGTAACTTCAGAATAGCCACAAATGTGCCCCTTATGATCCATATGCCTGGTGTAACTGACAACAGAGATCATGGTGGCTCAGGAATTGTATCTGATGCTCTTGTAGAATTAGTGGACTTGTTTCCAACTCTTGCAGAACTGGCTGAACTGAAAGTGCCAGGTAAACACCTACTTCTGATCACCTGAATAGATTATGTTTAGTTATATAGACAAGTGGTTCATAATGCACCAACCAATTTAAGGCCTCAACATCCCTCATGCCCCCCCCCCTTTCCAAGCAACCCACTGGTTTTTCCAAGCAACCCACTTTGACTGTCGTCTCTGCCGAGGGGTGGGAAATTTGAACCCTGCTTGGGGGAGATAATGAACATCAAGATTTCAGGAGAAAATTTTGAGAAAGAATCCTTGTAAAACTGACTTTATAGATGGTTATAGGATCAAAAAACTATTTGAAGTTCTTAACCTTTTTGCAGATCTTTGCCCAGATGACTCATCAAACATCACTCTGTGCTCAGAGGGTCTCAGCTTTGCTCCTCTTTTGAAGAATTTAAGCATGCCATGGAAAAAGGCCATCTTTAGCCAATATCCAAGGTAAAAACAAAGATTCATTTTGATTGATTTAGCAGTAAAATAATACTACTGTAAAAATGCCTTTCCAAAAAGATAATGAATCAATCGTCATATTGAAGGTACAGGAAATTGCAGCAGACTCAAGGTAGTTTAATCCTTTTCCTTCGAATCCTTTAGTTCAATCCTACTCTCTTGATCAGTTTTAAAATAAATTATTTTTAAAATTATTACAAAATTAACAAAAACAATGTTTTTTAAAATTATGAAATAAATAAAAGATGACAAAAAATTATTAAAAATTTTAAAAAATTATTAAAAATTTTTAAAAAATGATTAAAAATTTTAAAAAATGATTAAAAAATAATCATAAAAATTGTTTAAAAACAAATTTTAAAATTTTATAAAAAACTGTTTAAAAAAATAACATATTTAAAATTCATTTAAAAAATTAATTTAAGAAGTTAAAAAAAATTTTAAATTTTTAAGAAATAATTTAAAAAATAATTGGAAAAATTTGTTAAAAACAAATTAAAAAATGTCTTGAAAATTGTTTAAAAAATAATTAAATTTTGAAAAAAATAATTTGAAAAAATTACTAAAAATAGTTAAAAGAAAATAATCAGAAAATTATTAAAAAATAAGTTTTAAAAAAAATTAAAAACTGTTAAAAAATTAATTAGAAAATTTTTTGAAAAAATTTTATTTAAAAATTAACTTAAAAACAATTTATAAAATTTGAAAATTTTTGAAAAATAAATCAAAAATTGTTTATTTAAAAGTTGTTTAAAACATTAATGCTGCCATTGCGGGCATCAATCGTCATATTGAAGGTATAGGAAATTACAGCAGACTCGAGGTAGTTTAATCCTTTTCATTCTAGAAGTTATTAAAATATAACTTCTGCTTAAGATTTTTGAGATATTAGCCAGGCAACTGGTTGCAAAAATGTAGAACACAGAGGTACGTGTATCTGCTAAACCCAACTTGGGTGTCATACTGATCTAACACCCAGTTATTTCACCAAATTAAAAAGGAATTGAAGGGAAGAGTGTGGAAAATTAAATATTTTGAATGAAAGGGTCATAGCTCTGTAGTTCACTTTTTTTAGTGCTTAACCCTCTGACCTCTAAGAGTGACTAGCATCGAAATGTCTCCTTACATTATCATCCCTGAATCAAACATTAAGGTCACAAGAATAGTGGAAATGTTCACTAAAGAAGCTCTCGATTGTTAAACAAATTCTCCTTGTCAGCACCCCGGGAAATGTCTGGAAAACAGTAGAGAGAATATGCATACTGATGCTAGGGCGTTAAGGGTTAAAATTAAACCTTTTTGTGTTCTATTTGTTTTCATTATTGATTTTGGATTCAACTCCAAAAACATAAGTTACAGTGATAATCTCAAACTTGATCTTCTGCTCAGGCCATCAGATGAACCACGAGAAAACACGTGCGAGCCTAGGCCTTCTGAGATTACAATTATGGGATACTCCATGCAGACAAGCCGTTTTCATTACACTGAGTGGATACAATATGACCATGAAACACAGAAGGGGAACTGGTCGAACAAACATGCCAGGGAATTGTACATAGATCCTCGGGATGACCTGAATGTTGCTTCCTTACCAGATCTGTCAGATCTGGTCCAGGAGTTGTCAGATCAACTGAGGAAAGGCTGGAGAAATGCTTTACCGGAGAACAATCACGTTAATGCATGAATTACTCATTGTTTTTACAAAATGGGAAGCTTTCCCGTGCATTTTTTTCAGAAAATAATATAATTTCTACACTTAAAGCTAACGATCAACTTTAAATAAAGGAACTTTTTTCCGATAATCAATTCCAAGAATGTCAGAAGCAATAGACTGACTAGGAAATGTATGCAAACAATGTAACTCAACGAGGTCATTAGTTTCTAAAGAAAGTATTTTGCTGTGTTGACATGAAAAAGAAACAAAGGGTCTCCTTTTTTCAACGTCTGACAGAGGTCGACGGTACACCAAGCAGGTAGCCGGAAACTTGATGAGGTTGCGTTATATAACAACAGGGGTGATGTGTTTCAGGGAACCCGAGCAACCCTAACCATCTAAAACTGCTTGAAATCGGGCTGCGGAGCGAGTGCACAGCAAAGAAAACAAAACAGTTTTATAATAATTTATATTTAGAGAAAAAAATTAAATTGACTGAGAATAGGAAACCACGAAAAGAACAGTGACATTTGAAACAGTGTGTGATAAACAGAACTTGCAAATCTCGCAAGATGCATGTAGATTATAAATTCTCTAACATTACCGCACTTACAAGCAGCATCCTTACGAGTCCCAAACGCGAAATAGATCGAGTGAATCAGCTTTAGGAACCTATGACATGCTGGTATTGATTTGTTCCGATTTCTTTGAAAGATTTCTTAGAGTGGAGTTTATTAGAACGGAAGAGTCTCTATTTTTATGATATTTGTGTTTGATCAGAAGTACTGTTGACAAGGCCAACCATTGTCTGAGATACGACAATCAAGTCATCTTTAGGTAGTCATAGGATAACATGACTTTAATTCACCAAATTGACATTTTCCTTTTATATCATCAATGATATTTAACAGCACGTATGACTGTGAAAACTTTAAGGCATGTTATTCTTAACCCTTTCACTCCCACAAGTGACCAAGACAGAATTTCTCCTTGCAATATCAATACAATATCAAGCAGGCAAGTGATGAGAATAGAGAAGAATGTCAATCATGGGATGATTAGTTGATCCAATACCAAATTCTCTGAACTAACATCATAAGAATTGTATGGCAGATAGTACGGAGAATTACTAATTAGATCTTGGGAGTGAAAGGGTTAACAAACAGAGAAGCCTTGACTGTGCTCTGTTATATTATAAAGCACGCAGGAAGCGGCTAGAGCACGAAAGAAGTGTAGGGAGAAACACGAGACGAAGTCCGTTAAATTCCCCAAGCATTAATTTCAATTTTCAAAACAAACGTTATTTCCAAAGCGAACAACAGTGTCGTCAGCATGCTCTATACTCGCATAAAGCACGCTACAATAAGCCAATCAGAATCCCTGTTAGAATGGTTCAAATAATCTGATTGGCTGTACAAGACTAAAGCTGTCAAAAGTGTCAAACCATCAAAGTTCACATTCTACGATACTCTATAAACTAAAATAGTTCGGCAGGTCGAATTTAACACTTTTGCCTGAAGTTTTTAAGCCTCTAATACAGCATCTTGAAGTGAAATGTTCAGTGACCTTCAGCCGAATTATGGCTCATAAAAACACGCGAGTCTTTTCACTTGACGAGGTAGAAAAAAAACAGTTCAAGGCGAGAATTTTTAGAATGAATGACAGCCGAATTCAACGGAACATGAAGAGCGCTCGGGATGACAGCGCCGCAAAACTCGGCTGCGGTTACTTATGTGACTTTCCACTCAACGCATCGGAAAGGATATCAGAGCAAGCTCTTATTTTTCACTCGAAGGGTGGTCGATGTAGTTTCTGAGGCTTGCTTTACGGTGATGACCGGAGATCGCCACGATGAACTTCAGCATGATCATTTACGCTCGGACACCGTCATGATCAGTATGAATTTTAACATTTATGCCAGTTTTATTATATTTTTCATTATTTCTGTTTTGTTATGTTTTGTTTTTGAACACTGAACTTTATATACTATACGAGTGTTAGCTGTGTTTGATTTTTATTACCGTACGTAAGCTTGCAATCTAACTCAGCGTGAAATCTTTAAAACTCAGAATGTCTATTTTGTTTTTCCTTTGAGGATTTTCGTATCTGCTCACGTTTTAACAGCGTAAATTACGGCGCCTGGTATGTTTACAAACCTTTGTTTGGTTCTTCTGTTGCTACTTGCCGGCTCGCTTGTTCCGAAATTTCACTTTCAATTATCGGAAAAAAGCTAAAAGAAGTCCTGGAAAAGGTTTAACATAGTACAATTTGACAGATGGCGTGACAGCTTTAGCTCAGCTCTGTGCTCTATACTCTCATAGAGCACGCTCTTTTAACCAATGACAGCGCGCGTTATATCCGAACTTTATTATAATTGAAAATATAACATGGTCATCTGCCGTATTTATACAGAATTTATACAATTAAATAAATGAGATTAGCCTGTGCCTGTGTTATTTCTTGTATTTTTTAAATAAAAATTGCTATTATTAAAAAGAAATCAAACCTTTCTTATTTGAACACCAACCAGAAATCCTTTTCTTATTGCCTAATAATGTTTACTTTTGTCTCAGCTGGTTCCCTATCCAGAGTCATTTGATGTTCATAGCATATGTCCTGTGCCATGTAGTATAAGACTAAAGTGGAATGCCAAAAAGTAAAATGCAAAGCAGACTGTGTTATGAGTAGTTGTTGTAAATATGATCTTCTAGAAATTTCCAGACTGCTAAGTCATGCTGACTTGCATAGCGTAGAACTTTCCAGAACATTTCATCAAGTCACGTATTTATTATGTAATACTACTAAAATAGTTCTTGTGTAAGCTGGTGTGTGTGATTCAAAGGAGTGTAACACAAATTTGAAGTACAGAAAAGTTAAATGTGAGGCAAACCGTATCAAAAACTGGGCAATGTCGACTCAATATGCAAGCTGTAACTCTAGCCGGTTGTATTTTCCAAGGCCCTTAAGATCCTACCAGCTATGGCGAATAGTGGTCGGTTGGCCATCTTAAACCACCATTTCTCGAATGCAGAACGTTTGTCTACTTTACGTGGCCTGAACCTTTGCCTCGGATGTTTTTTGACGGTGTTTGAGGTTTGCTAGAACTCTACCTTGACCTTTGGCTTTGGTTAGCCTTTCAGTGTTCACGTCGTCTTAGACGTGGGTTGCTGTCGTGCTTGGTATTGGGCTTATTTTGGGGGCCATGGTGTTAGCTAAAACCGTAGCCACCAAAATATCTTTCTCACCATGCCCACAAAATTTTCAAATTTTTTACAACTAGTTCCTATGCCCGGCCAAGCCTTTATTTATGGTAACTGGCCACCGTGTAGCCACTAACTATGGCTTATAAATACAGGCGTTTAGTTTTAACTTGTAAAACTCCCTGAAGAAGTTCACGACAGCTAAAACAAACGCGTCGGAGAATAAAGAAGTTTTACAACTACCGTTCACAAAGTGCTAATCTCAAGATCAGTTTTAAAAGAAATTATTTTAAAAATTATCACAAAATTAACAAAACAATTTTTTTTAATTATGAAAAAATAAATAAATAAAAGACAATAAAAAATATTGAAAATTTTAAAAAAATTATTAAAAAATAAATAATCATAAAAATTGTTAAAAACAAATTTAAAAATTTTTAAAAAACTGTTAAAAAATAACATATTATTCAAAATTCATTTAAAAAATTGATTTAAGAAGTTAAAAAAATTTTAAAATTTTTAAAAAACAATTTAAAAAATAATTTGAAAAAAATTGTAAAAAGCAAATTAAAAAGTCTTGAAAATTGTTTAAAAAATAATTAAAATATTGATAAAAAATAATTTGAAAAAATTATTAAAAATAGTCAAGAGAAGATAATCAGAAAATAATTTAAAATTTAGTTTTAAAAGAAATTAAAAACTGGTAAAAAAATTAATAAGAAAATTTTTTTAAAAAATTCAATTTAAAAATTAACTTAAAAACTATTTACAAAATTTGAAAATTTTTGAAAAATAAATAAAAAATTGTTTAAAAGTTGTTTAAAACATTAATGCCATTGCGGGCATCTAAATCGTGGGCAATTTTCAAGCTAAATGCTTTTGTATTGTACATGATTTTGAATTTTTACGAAATTTCGAATATTCATTTTATCAATTGTATTTTGTGAATTAAAAATTTTTTAAAAATTGTTCAACAAATAGTTTCAAAATTATTTAGAAAATAATTTTTAAAATAATTAAAAGAGAATAATTTAAAAAAGTATTAAAAATTGACGAAAAAAACAATTAAAATATCAATTAAAAAAATTGAAAAAAGATTTTAAAAATATATTAAAAATAATCTAAAAAATTGTTCAAGAAATTTGATTAAAAAAATTTTTAAAAAATTGTTTCAAAAAGAATTAAAAAACTTATTTAAAAAATAATTGAAAAAAGTAATTAAAAATTAGATGATAAACTATTTAAGAAATTATTTAAAAAAAAAAATTAGTTAAAAAATAATTTTAAACAAATTTATGAAAAAATTAATTAAAAAGTTGTTATAAAAAAGGTTGTTGTAGGTCATTCCATGTTTTGGTGTGTACGCCTCAATCAGCATGAAACCTAGACAGTTTCACTTTGCAACTCTATTATTTCTTATAACGTATTTAATGATCTGTACATCGAATGGATCCCCGCAAGATAAAATGAACGTTCTCCTTATAGTAGCCGACGATTTTAGACAAGCGCTGGGCAGCTATGGGAATACTGTGGTAAAAACTCCGAACCTTGACCAGCTCGCACAACGTTCGATTCGCTTTACCAAAGCCGCTTCACAGCAAGCTGTTTGTGGTCCCAGCCGAATTTCATTCCTTACTGGCAGGAGACCAGACACAACAAAGCTTGTTTACAACAAAAAACTTACCTACTGGAGGGTGAATGCTGGAAATTTCACCACTTTACCACAACACTTCAAGGATAGTGGTTATTTTACCGCTTCTTCAGGAAAAGTCTTTCACCCAGGTATACCAGAATGTGATAAACCGCATGTTGCAGCCACATTTCGAGCTAAATTATTTACCCATGTTCCGTTACACTTTTTGTACATTCTCAGTCCAACTTTCGTCTAAAAATTGAGTTGGCTCCCAATTTTATTTGGGCATACCTGCCATTCTCGACAATGAAAAAAAAATGGTGGGTATCCTCCAACTGTATTATTCCACAGACCCCTAATAGAACAGATTCCCAGATTCCAATATTTACATCTACTACGTAGAACTGGGTGAAATATCAGAATTTTTCCTGTTTCTGAGACAAGATGTCTTTGCTGCACGCAGTATAAAGAATAGTATCGCCATTTTTATTTCTTTAATTGTTTTACCTACTTTTCTCATTAGTATTGTCTACCATTAACCCTTTACACCCTAACATCAGAATGCATATTCTCCATACTGATTATATATACTTTTCCTAAAGTGCTGACAAGGAGAATTTGCTCAACAATCAAGAGCTTCTTTATTTGGTGATCATTTCCTTTATTTTCCTGATCTCAAATGAATGACTCAGCAGTATAATTGTAAGGAGGAACTAGATGCTGGTCACTCTCAGGGTTTAAAGGGTTAAATCACCCCCAGTATATGTAGCTGTATTACTAAATACTTTTTATCCCCGATGATGATGTAGATCGGCAAAAGCTTGGGAGCTTATTCATCAATAGCTTAAGGCTTAAGTTAAAACCATTATGTATAATTATGGAATGCTACTGTGAGATAACTTGCAACAGTCACATAAAATTTCTTTTGTTTTATTCAAGATAACAATGTCGGCATAGAAACCACAGGTTTTGTACCAACTCTTCCCTCGATTTGAAAATTTCATTTTGTGTCCACATAATAAACAGATTTATCATATTGTGTTACTTACATCTGATGATATCAACGATGAAACATAACATTTTTAGCCGTGCACGGCATGTATATCCTATATAAATTAAAATAAAAATTTACATTGTACCCTGGTCGTTTGTTTCAGGAAAAGCATCAAACTCTACTGATGACTATCCATATAGTTGGACCATTCCAGCTTATCATCCTTCAACTCAGGAATACAAAAATGATCCGGTGAGTTTGTTAAGAATTGCTGAATATTAGAATCCTTTATAAATGGAACTCCAAATATTTTTTAGGAAGAGGTGGGAAACTCATGGTTATCTTCATGTTTAGAGGTATAAACTGGTTGTATTTCGAGCTAGCATTTGTGGCAGGAACCAAGACTTTTATCAGGATTCTTTATGTCTGATAAAGCAAAAAAAAATTGCTGCAATCCTTCACCTTGTATTTTCAGACCTCATGGCATCAAAATGTCCTGTAGGTTGTTTAATATTCCCTCAAGAGGAGTGGTCCTGTCTTTATATGTTAGATTGCTAATTATCTTCTGGTTACACCGTTATTCACAAGTTGTTTCTGCATACTAACCTCATGCTATTCTTTCTTTCTTTCTTTCTTTTTCTTCCTTCCTTTCTTCCTCTTCCTTCCTTCCTTCCTTTCTTGCTTTATTTTACTTGGTTGTCCTCTTAATAGGTATGTCCAAGTGTAGATGGTCAACTACACACCAACGTTGTATGTCCAGTCGATGTTAAAAAGCAACCAGAGGGAACATTGCCAGACATTCAGAGCACTCAATATGCTTTAAATTTCTTAAAAAATTACACTGATTCAAACAACAACAACCAGCCGTTCTTCCTGGCTGTTGGTTACCACAAGCCGCACCTCCCTCTGAAATATCCTAAAGAGTTCCTCGACATGTACCCCATAGAGGAGATTGACATAGCAGCAAATCCCGAACTTCCCTTTGATTTGCCGCCAGTGGCATATGAACCGTGGACTGATCTGCGATGGAGAGATGACATTGCAGCACTAAATCTGAGTTTCCCATATGAACCCATTCCAGATTTTTATGCCAAAAGGATCATACAAAGTTACTATGCTGCAACAACCTATATGGACAGTCTAGTCGGACAGTTACTGACAGCTTTAGACGAGTATGGTCTTACAGGCAATACAATTGTGAGCTTCATTGGAGATCATGGTAAGATAAAGGATTGGGCCTCTTTGGTTTATAACTTCATAAAGGGAAAGACAAGCTTGGCACTAATAGCTTTATTTTTGAGAACTACTGCTCTCACTGATTGTTCATGCGTGGTTTGAAGTTGTCTCACATTATTGTAAATAATTCATTATTATTAATTAACTTCTCACTGATTTGCAATTACTTCACCATTTAGAATCCAGTGGTGATTAACGTGTAACTTCTCCCTATGATATCCAACATTATCCGGCAAACAGGAAATGACAACACTTTAACTTACCAGGTAGAAGTTATTGTTGTCATTTGACTCCTTTTTCCCGTAGCTAATTTACTAGGAAATGTGCAGCAGTTAGAAGGGAGACTTAACAATCAGATCTTAGGAGTCAAAGGGTGAAATGTGATCAACTGGGTGGATAAGTAGTAGAGTTTGAAAAAGCCTCTTCTCTTTTCCGACAAAAGCAGATTTACCTGTCAGTCAAGAAGTACTCACTCATCAATGAGATTGAATCTGACGAAGTAGGGACATGGGCAATAAATATGGGAATTAATGAAATTTTTTTAGACAACCTGCTGATTTTAACTGGGTTTTTTATTTGTTTTGTTTTCTGTTTTTTTTACTACTGATCTGAATCTTGTATGAAGCAGTAACACACTTTTGCTTAATTATCCTTGAATTCATGTGAATACTCAATAAGTTCTGCCCTCAAATATCCACGCTATGGATGAGTTAAAATGATTTATTTCTTATCATTACCCTTGCACTTTCACTTCAATGATACATGGTACTAGGAGCAGGGAAACTATCAACACTGAAATTAAAAAAGATAATTCACTCTGTGATTTAAATTGAAATGATTAAAACAAAAAACTACTTGATTGCAGGTTTTGCATTGGGTGAACATCAGGAGTGGTCAAAGTACAGTAACTTCAGAGGAACCACAAATGTACCCCTAATAATCCATGTACCTGGTATGACTGACAACAGAGACCATGGAGGCTCAGGAATTGTATCTGATGCTCTTGTAGAATTAGTGGACTTGTTTCCAACTCTTTCAGAACTGGCTGAGCTGAAAGTGCCAGGTAAACACCTACTTCTGGTCACATGAATTGATTACGTTTAGTTGTATAGACAAGTAGTGCGTAATGCACTAACCAATTAAAAGCTTCAACATCCCCCATATCTTCCCTCCCCCTTCCAAGCAATCCACTGGCATTTGACTGTGGCTCCTGCCTTGGGGGGGGGGTGAAGAATTTGAACCCTGCCTGAGTTGGAGGGGGATTTGAACTGGGAGTGTCAAGTCTTTCTAGCACAATAAAAACGTTAAATACTTTCTCCTACGTCGGTCTTTAAAGGTAAAAAGTACACCTTTGTGAGAGTGGCTCAGAAGAATCAATACTGAAATTTAAGTATGAAAATATTTCACTAAGAAAAATATAAGTTCTGAACGGATAATGAACATCAAGATTTCAGTAGAAAAATGCGAGAAAGAATCTCTTTAAAGCTGACTCTACAGAAGGGTATAGGATTGAAAAACTAAATGAAGTTCTAAATCTTCTGGCAGATCTTTGCCCAGATGACTCTTCAAACATTACTCTGTGTTCAGAGGGTCTCAGCTTTGCTCCTCTTTTGAAGAATTTAGACATGCCATGGAAAAAGGCCATCTTTAGCCAACATCCAAGGTAAAAACAAAGATTCATTGTAATTAATTTAGCACTGAAATAATACTACTTATAAAACGCCTTCCCAAATAACGAATCTATCATCGTATTGGAGGCATAGGAAATTACAGCAAAGACTCAAGGTAGTTCAATCCTTTTCATTCTGGAAATTATTAAGACATAACTTCTGCTGAAGATTTTTAAAACATTAGCCAGCCAACTGGTTTTAAAAAAGTAAAGAACACATGAGGTACATTTATCTGTTAAACCCAGCTTGGGTGTCATATTGATCTAACACCAAATGATTTCACCTAATTAGAAAGGAATTAAAGTGGAGAGAGTGAAAAATTAAACATTTTGAATGAGAGGGTCATAGCTCTCCAGTTCAATTTTTTTAGTGCTCAACCCTTGGATCTCTAAGAGTGACTAGCATCTAATTTCTCCTTACATTATCACCCCTGAATCACACATCAAGGTCACAATAGCAAAGGAAATGTTTCCTAAAGAAGCTCTTGATTGTTAAACAAATTCCCCTTATCAGCACCTTTGGAAATGCTGAGGAACAGTATAGAGAATACGCATACTGATGTTAGGGTGTTAAGGATTCAAATTAAACCTAGGTGTTCCATTGTTTTTCATCATTGATTTTGGATTCAATCTCAAATTCGTTGATCTTGTGCTCAGACCATCAGATGAACCACAACAAAACTCGTGTGCGCCTACGCTTTCTGAGATTACAATTATGGGATACTCCATGCAGACAAGTTCTTACCATTACGCTGAGTGGATACAATATGACCATGAAACACAGAAGGGGAACTGGTCGAACGTACATGCCAGGGAATTATACTTAGGTCCTCAGGATGACGTGAATGTTGCTTCCGTACCTTCTCTATCGAATCTGGTCCAGGATTTGTCAGATCAGTTGAGGAAAGGCTGGAGAAATGCTTTACCAGAGAACAGTTACGTTAATGCATGAATTACACATAATATATTTAACCCTTGTGCTTTGTAGTTGGCTTAAAGCCTTGTTTCCTAATTTGGGGAGATTCCCAAATGATCAGGAAATTTTTGCAGTAATCAATTGCCAAGAATATCATCAGTAGTAGACTGACTAGGAAATGTATGCAAACAATGTTATTCAACAATGTTATTAGCTTCTAAAGAAAGTATTTTACTGTGTCGACATGAAAAGGAAACAATTTCAAGGTAATCCACACACCTACCCATTGTTTAAGGTCCGTAAACTGCCATAGCAAATGTTGTCGAGCTGATTACTCATGGTATTCTTGCATTAGCCTCAGTCAAAAGTCTGATAGACAAACTACAACCAGGCATTTACCCTGGATCAGAGCAAATTTGCTTCAAAGACGGGCCAATGCTTGAAATGTCAGCTTTCAAAATTTGCCATATCAGTTCACGTACCTTGATCCTTTTAACTGCAGATGAAATAGAATGTTACAGCCATGTACTGGATGACAACGTATGTACACAGAGGGTAACTTGTATCGCATTGAAGCAATATTTAATTCAAAGGTGAAATGGCTGTTTACAGCTAAATAAATACAAATACAGTGGCCAAAGTTGTGTTAAAATTACTGTACGAAAATTTATTTATTTATTTTAGAGTCCCTGCGTTGATCTTTATTAACAACTGGATAAATTTATAGACAGCATAAAAAAGTTACTGCATGTGACCAAACAGACCTAAACATCTAACAGGCTGGTTTAAATAGTGATATCTAGAAATTGTTTTGATTGCATTAGTTTCTTGAACTTCTTCACTGTGCATGTCAACATCACCGTCCTTAGCAGAGAGACATCTGTTGTAGCTTGTGCTTTCAAAATGTTCATGATTAACATGCTCATTCTGGAAACCATTTGCACTGTCTGTCCACTGATTTTCACCATTTGAAATGTGCAGATTGTGATTAACACCATTTGGAATAAGTATCTCATAATGATCAAGATTTTCCACAACACCTTAAATTGACATAAAATTACATTTGTTTCAGTGTCCTAAGCAGTAACAGGTTATTTTTTTCCTGTTTTTGTCAGCACGTTGGGAAATGTATAGAGAACAGTATGGAGAATATGCATACTGACAGGTGTCAAAAGGTTAAGCCTTAAGATCTCAGAAAAAGTTAACTCATTCAACAAAGTCTGTTTAGAATTGGGATAGTCCTGTGAGATAAAACACATCATTCCTGGGTCTTTATACTTGCTCTGTGTGGTCTCCATCATCTAGCAATCTTTTACTTTTTCTCTGACTGGACTCTTGAATTTAAGATAACTCACCATTCATGAAGAAATAAGTGGGCAAAAAGGCTGATGTTGCTATATATGCAAAACTACTATACATTAAAAGTGTTAAGATGCACAAGTTTAAACTCGCCGCAAACTTTACCACACCGCGGCGTTTTTGAAAGGGAAATGTTTGGAGATTACGTAAATGACCAAAGTATGTTTTTCGCAAAAGCAGTAATATACCAAGAAAAAGTCAAGACGGACAAACTCTCGATATATTGAGCACAAAGATGAGAACGACGCCACTCTGGCTTCTAAACTGTATTTCAGTATTTACAGTAAAGCGGAAATGCACGAAAAAGATCGATGTTGTTGCCACCTTGCTTGTATTTGGGGTTAGTTATTAGCAACCGACACTGAAGACCACATGGACGATATTGCTACAGGAACTCGACAGTTCGTCAGAAAGAACACAGCTTTTTTGATGTTATCAGCCCAGCTTAGATCAAAGTAAGGGTAGGATGCGAAATAAACTACTAACCATCGCAGAATGACCAGTCAGCTATTCCGTTGGAGACTCGAAAGTGAAACGGACTGACTTTTCGATCTGGAATGGCATACGGAAAATGAGTCTCAAAGGTGTTTGAAAAATTCAGGGTGAATCATGCTTAATTTTGAAGCTCATCTTTCCAAAAAACCTGCCCACTGTATTGGTGTCCACATAAGAAATTGATCCCGAGCATTAATTGAGCGAAAAACTGCTAACTTATCCCCTTGGATGGTTGAATAGGTCAAACTAAGTATATCGCCATCTCGACAAGCTCTGTGTACTGGAGGAAGCGGGTATTCCGACCGAGGGCAGCGCAAAGTACACCAGTTAAGCTGTTGTTTTATTTGAAAACCATAGTAAGCTTCCGTATTCAACGCTTCAGACTCCAGATTAAGCGCAAAAACGAAACAAATGCGGAGAGTGAGAGTCAACACTGGACACAAAGTAAAATTGAACGCACTACCGAATTGGAGAAACTTGAGGACCATGCGGCGAGACGGAAGTCAATCTCCTTACGAGAAGCCAATCAGATAGGGGCAATATTCTCAGTGAACCCATCAGAGCAGTGGAGGGAAGGAGAACCATTTGAAAATTTCAAGGTGGATTGCCTACGTCCGGAAAACGTCCGGCCGAAGTGCAGTTGAATTTAGGAAGGAGTTTTTAAACGGCTTTACTGGAGAGCGCCAAAGCTCAGAAGTTTGACCAAACTAACCATGGCGAGCTGCAATAACATAGTCGGAAGTAGAAACACGATCAATATCTCCACCAAATAAGTTGTCTTCAGCTTTTTTAAACGGTTTTCTACGAAGCAGACCTGTAGGTTATGTAAATTAAATTTGTTATTGATAAAGAACTCTTAAAAAGCGTCGAATTCTGAGATTGTATGGCACTTGCTAGCTCGATTAAACACTCAAACTATATCTTAAATACACATTCAGATGCTTTAAATTTTGGATTAAGTAGATGCATTGATGCGGAAAACCTTGCCACGTTTTCTTTCCGTACGCGCGGTTTCTACCTCAAACAAATTGAACAAAGCGATTTATTCTGCCGCTGGAAAAAACAGATCTGTTTGATTCTTCGAAGTAAAACTGTACCCCCCATTTAGTCATGGTTGAAGGAAACTCTATCTTTTTCGTTAGGTCTACTTTTTCCATTTGAACGCCCGCAATATAGAAAGCAATTATTTTACCACGTGTATTTGAAAGGCCGATCCACGAAGCCATAAATTATTAACTGCCTCGAAGGCAAATTTTGACATCTCATGTGTTTTACTTGGCATCACGCTGAAGTGTAGTCCGTAATTTTGGTATACGTTGTTGCAAAAAGCTGTTAGGTGTAAATATTAAACTTATGGGCTAAGATCGTTCGGATGATGATTTCTACTAAGCAAACACTCTAACAAAAAGCATAAAGGGGATTAAAGCGAAATTTGCTACAATGGAACCTCGATTTAACGAAACTCTTCAAAGTGAAGTCCTTGGTATTACGAACGATACTCTTCAGCCCGGCTAATTTTCCAGTAAAAAGTGTATGGGGAAAAATCCTCAAAATAACAAAATCCTCGTTATAACAAACACAATCGTCGCATGACAAATACAAATGCGAGCAAATCGACGAGAATCAATCCTCGTCGTTTCTCCGCTTGCTAGTGACTTCCACTGAAATTTCTCTTACCTGCTTTAAAAAAGTAAAGACCTGTTCAGTATATGTAGCTTCATATGGACATTAAAGCACAAATGTTATTTACAGTAATCGTTCTTATCCCAAAATGCTGGGTAGCGCGACGTCACACCACAAAAAAAGATATTAATAGTAATAATAATAATAATAATCATCATCATCATAAAAAAATTTAAAGTAATTATTAACCAGCCCTCGATATAACAATTGGTTGTTTTTCTGCAAATTCGTTAAATCAAGGTTTTGGACATAACAAACCCTCAATTTAACGAACCAATTTCCCCAGTCCCTTGCCACTTCGTTAATTCGAGGTTCCACTGTATTGAATGCTAAATTTGAATAAATTCTTGTCCCATAGAAACAAAAGGCCTGAAGGGATACAACCAAACTTTTTCTTGGCTGTGCGCATTCATAATCCTGAGTTACACAAAAAGGTCGATGGTATCCAACACTCGATTGCGAAATATGATGAGAAACTGAGGCCAACTACTATCTCCTCTGAAAAATTGCATGTTTCCCTTATGGTCATGCGCCTTGAGAATGCTGAAGAAATCCAGAGAGAGGGAAAAATATTACATCAGTGCAAGACACCTGTGGAAGCCATCGCAGCCAAAAGTGCAATGACATTAAGATTCTCTGGTCGTGGCCACTTTGGGCATCAATTTCTCTATACAAAACCTGATGTAAAGGAAACAATTTTTTTAGAATCCGTTGAGGAAACTGTGCGCAAAATATTTACAATAGAAGGAATTCCTTCGACTGATTCTCGAGTACACACCTCACTTGAGCATCATGAAAATAGAAGAGAAAAAGTTTAAGAGGAATGGGGTCTGGGAAATCCCTGAGGAGAGTTATGCTAGATAGATCAATGTCAAGTTTGGGGAAGAGCCAGTTACAGCTTTGCACTCATGTACAATGGAAGAACCGAAAGATGAAGATGGGTTTTATGGGTGTATGGCAACAGTGACATTTGGTGACTCAGATGAAAAATCTTCCAGTTGAAAAGAAAAGAAAAAACAAAGTTAGTAACGTCAAAGGGAAGTCAAATAATAAACAATAATCTTGGCCATGCTTTGAAATAGGATCTCGCCACCCAGAGAACAGCGTTCTGGCTATATAAGGCCAACATGTCTACAATAGAGTGCATTAGGGTAGTCCGAAAAGAACAGGATTCCATCAGTATTGCAAAAATGCAGTTTCTTAGTTACATATCCGAGTAAATTAATCTCTACTTTCAACAGTGTGCTTCTTTTAATTACACTATTTTAAGACTGGGTAGGTACAGGTGGGCATAATTTAATATATATCAAAGCGCTCACATAAAATAGTTTATTTTTTTCCTAGAACAAACTGATTCTTTTTTAGTAATTATCATCACTGAACCAATAAATATCTAAGAGAAAAGAAAGATTATCACAACTCTGGGTCTTAGACAGAACTAGTCCAATTTTATTAAATCACTTAAGGTCAATCCTCTGAAATAGAACCTGCAAATATATTTTTGTAAAACTTTGCCTTTTGGTCGTTCATCTCATAGGAACATAAATTTTGAAATTAGAAAGGGGGAGGGGGCTAATAAGTATGCAGCCTATAGAGTTCCAATAATATTATACAAAATATGTTTTTTAATATTTGCTAAATTTGCATTTCCAAAAATTGTTCCTTGTTTGCCAACTTCCCATACTATGAAAAGTGAAGTTTTTATATACGGTGAACGATCGCCAATCATCACAAAAATCTGGTACGCATCAAGAAAGTATAAACATTTCCAACTTTCTGGACTTGTAGCTAACAATCTCAGTCTTCATTTGTAGCAAAAATCTGGGATAACCAGGCTCAAGGTATAATTTTTTTACTCTATCCCAAATTAGAAACTTTGATTACAATTAGCATCCTCCAGCCAGTAAAGTTTTATCGAAGTGTTTTCTATAATCTGACAAACCAGTTACAACCAGAAGAATTTCAGTTTATTTTACAAGAAATTTACAATTATCAAATACATTTTGAGAACCTTTCCCTTAGGTGTTAATAATTTCATGTAGATAGAATATTGCATTAAGTTGTTATATTACAAAATTGAAAGATTTAGAACATTTTTTTTCAAGCACAGTAAATGCAATTAAATTCATAAAAGTATGTTTTAAAAAAAAAAAACAAAGGAACAGAGTTGCCACACTTAAGTTGGCAGTCAACTTTAAATTAAGGAACATTTTTTCAGTGGTCAATTGCCAAGTTGCCACATGACATTATGTGCACTGGACTGAAAATGTATGCAAACAATGTAATCCAACAAGGCTATTAGTTTCTAAAGAAAGTATTTTGCTGTGTTGACATGAAAAAGAAATAATTTCAAGGTTATCCATGCAACTACTTGTTCTTTAAGGTTCATAAACTGCCATAGCAAATGTTATCAAGCTGATCACTGTATTCTTGCATCAGCCTAAGTCAAAAGTCTGATAGACAAACTCCAACCATACATTTGCCCTGGATCAGAGCAAATTTGTTTCAAAGATGTGCCAATGCTTGAAATGTCAACTTTTCAAAATTTCTGATATCAGTTCATGTACCTTGATCCTTTTAATTCCAGACAAAGCAGAATGTTACAACTATGTACTGGATGATGATGTATATACACTGAAGGTAACTTGTAACACATTGAAGCAACATTTAATGCAAAGGTGAAATAGCTTTACAGCTAAATAAATACATATGCAGTGGCCAAAGTTGTGTGAACATTACCATATGGGAATTTCTTCATTTATCTTAAGAGTTTCTGAGTTGACCTCTATTTACAAATGGATAAATTTATAGACAGCATAAGCTAGTTACTGCATGTGACCACACAGACTTAAACATCTAACAGGCTGGTTTAAATAAAGATCGCTAGAATTTGTTTCGATTGCATTAGTTTCTTGAACTTCATCACTATGCATGTCAACATCACTGTTCTTAGCAGAGAGACAACTGCTGTAACTTGTGCTTTTGAAATGTTCATCATTTACATGCCCATTCTGAAAACTATTTGTACTGTCTATCCATTGATTTTCATCATTTGAAATGTGCAGATTGTGATTTACAGCATTTGGACCAAGTTCCTCAAGATGATTGAAATATTCCACAACACCTACAATTGACATTAAAATAACACTTGTTAAAATGTCTTAAAGCAGTAACATGTTTTTTTTCCTAATTCTTTGATCCCTAGGCTTACAATTTCTCTTTAGAATATCAAGCCTGAATCAAACATTAATGGTCATGAAAATGAAGGAATTGATCACCATTGATTTTTGAACAAATTCTCCTTCTCAGCATGTTGGGAAATGTATAGAGAACAGTATGGAGAATATGCATACTGACAGGTGTAAAAAAAGGTAAGCCTTAAGATCTCAGAAAATAGCTAACTCACCCAACAAAGTCTTTTTAGAATAGGGATAGTCCTGCGAGGCAATACCCACCATTCCTGGGTCTTTTTGCTTGCTCTGCGTAGTCTCCATCATCAAGTAATCTTTTACTTTTTCTCTGGCTTGACACTGGAATTGAAGTAAGATAATTCACCATTCATGAAGAAATAAATGGGCAAAAATGTTGTTATACATGCAAACCTACCATTAATAAAAACTTAAAAGATACACAATTAATTGAAAACTGAGGTAACAATTTTTGGCAAAAAAAATGATTCCTACAAAAACTACATGTATTTCAAATTACAAGAAAGTATCTCTGGTCTACAATTGGCCTTACCCAAGGAGTGCTCTGTACATATGGAATTTAAAAATCTAGCAAAAACTGTGCTTGCTCTCCTATATAGATTGTGACTAACAGATCATTATCACTAAGGTATGACTGGCTAAGAAAATATTCACCTGTAGCACAGCTGTGATTTCTCAAGAACTGAACACTTTGTTCATAGCCAAGTGAGGAAGCAAGGTCACAGGGTGTTTGCCGGTACAAGTTGAAAGTACTGAAAGACAACAGAGGTTGGTTACAATCCCTTTTCAAAGAATACTGTCTCATACTGTACCTTTAAGCTCAGAGGTGTGATTAACAGGTAAATTAATCTACAATTAAAGTACATTCCTCAGCAGAAAGGTGATAAGAATAGAACAGGAAGTCAAGTAGTATCTTGACAACTATAAACACCAAAAAGAATTGGAGTTCAATGGGTGAAGAGGTGAAGGGGTGACTTACTCAAATAATACACTTCAGAAGTTTGAAAGTCAAGTTAAATTGTTGTATTGTTTTGAATACCTTAAGGGAGTTCCAAATTCCTGTAACAACCTCAAACATTGAATGCTTCCACAGCGAGCAGCCTTGTGCACTGCAGTATCTCCAAGACTATCCTACAGCATTGAAATCAGTGAAGTTAGGAATCCAATAACCTGCTTCAGGGTGAAAATGAAGTTCAATAGACAGAATATAGTAGGAAATTTTAATAAATAATCTTACCTGCTTCTGTCCAGAAGACCCATTTTCCAGCAGCCATTGGAGTACATCCACATGACCAGCAAAGGCTGCAAGGTGAGCTGCAGACTGTTCAAATCTCCCTTCAGTTATATCAATGTTTAATCCACACTCAACAAGGCGCTTCACACATTCAACCTAAATATAAAAAATCTTTTATTTAACTATTGGTTGAGTCATACACATTTTTGTGATTAGAAATTTGAGAATTTTGTCAGCCTTTTGACCAAACTGCTTTTTTTCATCTTCTGAGTAAAGGCCATTGGTATAACCATATCACCTGAGAAGGATAGAAGTAGTCAAGGGTTTTGACATAGAAAATTTGCCAACTTTTCTTATGTTGCTTTATAGCAACTTTTTACTTTAAATCAACAAACTTACAAAGATATCACCCTGGTAGTAACCCTTTACACCTTTACATCAGTATGCATATTCTCCAAAAATGTTTTCTATTCATTTCTTAAGGCACTAACAAGGAGATTTTGTTCCACAATCAAGAGCTAATTGAGTTGATGATGACTTCCTAAATTCTAGTGACTTTTATATAATAAGCTCAGTTATGCACGCATTCTGATTGGTTCTCACTCATGATCTATTGGAGGACAGACGTATAGATGATGTCATCATTAAGACTTTTTAAATTATTTATTATATAAAACAAATAGATTCCAAGTTGCCGTGCATCTGTTCAGTAACAGATCACAGAGGACGTCAAAATGTGGTAAGAACATCAGTGACACACTCGGCTGTGCCTTGTGTGCCACTTTTCTGTTCTTACCACATTTTGATGTCATCTGTGATCTATTACTAAACAGATGCACAGCAACATGGAATCTATTTGTTAAATGTTTGATTCAGAAATCTCCATCTGTTTTTAAGAAATAACCAAAGAGATACTGGACTAGCCCTTAAGTCCTGATCAATTCTAATTACTGATTGACAATGAATTCCTTTTCTCAAAGTTAAGGTTAGACCTACCATAACAGTTAACAACACTCAGCAACAGAACAAAAAACTTTGTTAACAACTGTAACACCCAAAAACTGCAGAAAATTATTATTATGACTCCATAGACAATTCTTAAACATATATTTAATCCATGAACTATTGTCTGTCCCAAGAAATAATGTGGTAGTGAATGGAGAATGAGTCAATAACTGCCATAGTGGATAACAATGATGTACAACGAGAAGTGTTTAAACTTTCTTCAGTGTTCATTGAAAAACGAAGTCAAACACTTGGTAACTAACTTAGAATTAACTTGCAGTTCAAAATTTCTGCCTCAAATAACAAAACTGTAGACAATTTACATTTTCGTAAGACCTTAAAAGCGTTATTCATTCATGTAATACATGCATAAGTGATCTAAATCTCTGTCTGTTAAAATATGAAACCAATTCAAAAACAGTAAGTATCTTTAGAAAAATCGAGGGTTATTTTCACGTTTCATGGTCAGACTACAGAAACGGGTAAAACCGTCCTACAGTAGAAAAGTTTTGTAAAGAAAGCTCCAGGCCTCATTCTGAAGAGTTTCCTGTTTTGACTAGAGACAAATTGAACAACAAAAATTCCTATAGTTTTCAAAATTTTTGTGATAATCACATGTGACTCTATCCAAGAATTGAATTCTCTAGAGACAAACTTAGTATTACCCAGTGTCCAAATTTAGTAACTTTTCAAAGTTAACTGCGTTGGTACCTAACTAAAACATTTCGAACTAATGATCAACATCACGGCAACCGAGATTTCATTCAAAAGGATGTCATCACGTATATATTAGTCTGTAAACTACACGGAAATTCGTTTAGCGAAAATTTTTTAATTCTTTCTCTCTTTTCACAAGGTGAACGCGCCGTAAATTTCATCACATCGCGGTGCTATGAGAGGGAAGTGTTTGGAGATTACGCAAATGGCTGAAGTGTGTTTTTCACAAAAGCAGTAATATATCAATAAAAAGTCACGACAGACAAACTCTCGATATATTGAGCACAAAGATGAGAACGAAGACACTCTGGCGTCTGAACTGTATTTCAGTGTTAACAGTAAAGCGGAAATTTATAAAAAATGATCAATGTTGTTGCTACCTTGCTTGTATTTGGGGTTAGTTATTAGCAACCGACACTGGAGATCATATGGACGATATTGCAACAAAAACTCTTGAGAGTTCACTTATTAGAAACAGCACAGCTTTTTTGATGTTACCAACCCAGCTTAGACAAAAGTAAGAGTAGGATACAAAAACAAACTTCTAATCACTGTAGAATGACTAATCAGTTATTCTTTTGGAGACTAGAAAGTGAAACGGACTGACTTTTCGATCTGGAATAAATTACGGAAAATGTATTTGAAAAATTCAGGTGAACTATCCTTAATTTTGAAGCTCACCTTTCCAAAATAAGCTGCCCAGTGTATAGGTGTCCACATAAGGAATTGATCCTGAGCATTAATTGAGTGAAAAACTGCTAACCTATCTCCTTGGATGGTCAAATAGGTCAAACTAAGAATATCGCCATCTCGACAAGCTCTGTGAACTGGAGGAAGCGGGTATTCCGACCAAGGGCAGCGCAAAATACACTCGTTGAGCTGTTGTTTTGTTTGAAAACCACACTCAGCTCCCATATTCAACTTTTGAGACTTCAAATTAAGCGCAAAAATGAAGCAAATGTGGAGAGTGAGAGTTGAAACTGGAAGCAAAATAAAATTTGAATACTTTACAACAAATCCCGCCGCATAGAGAAACCCTGCCGACCATGCGGTGAGACAAAATTCAATCTCGTTACGAGAAGCCAATCAGACAGCGGCAATATTCCCAGTAAACCAATCAGAGCAGAGGAGGAAAGGAGACCCATTTGAAATTTTTAGTTGGATTGTGTACATCCGGGAACTTTTTGTTTTGATTACCGTTACTTCCTGTCATAAATTTTGTATCGCCGGCCGAAGCGCAGTTGAATTTAGGAGGGAGTTTTCAAACGGCTTTACCGGAGAGCGCCAAAGCTCAGAAGTTTGACCGAACTAACCATGGCAAGCTGCGATAACACAGTCGGAATAACGGACTCGACCAATATATCCACGAAGTAAGTTGTCTTCAGCTTTTTCAAACGGTTTTCTACGAAGCAGACCTGTTCTTCTCCGCGTACGAAATGTCCTTTTTGCTTGTTTTGACCTTTGTGTATTGTCTTCTCTCTGTTTAACAGATTCAAGCAAAGGTTCTTTTTATTTACCAGACATTGTTAATGTTTTGAATATTAGTTTGAAGGAGTATTAATTGTCAAAGTATGTTTACTTTTTCCTTTGCTTGTTCGATTTCTCGCTCGGGTACATTTGGTGTGTAGTTTATGTAAATTCAATTTGTCATTGTGACGAAGAACTCTTAAGAAGCGTTGAATTCTGAGATTGTGTGGCACTTGCTAGCTCGATAAAACACTCAAAATATATCTTAAATACACATTCAGCTCGTGGATGCTTCAAATTTTGGATTAAGTAGATGCATTTGTACGGAAAACCTTGCCGCGTTTTCTTTGCGTACATGCTGTTTCTTCATAATACAACTTGAATAGAGCGATTTATTCTGCCGCTGGAAAAAATAGATCTGTTTGATTCTTCGAAGTAAAACAGTACGCCCCATTTAGGTATGGTTGAAGGAAACTATGTCGTCTTCGTATGTTCTACTTTTTCCTTTTGAACGCCTGCAATATAGAAAGCAATTTTTTTACCGCGTGTATTTGAAAGGCCGATCCACGAAGCCATAAATTATTAAAAGCTTCGAAGGCAAATTTTGACATCTCACGAGTTTTGCTTGGCATCACGCTGAAATATAGTCAGTAATTGTGTTATCTGTCGCTGCAAAAAGCTGTTAGGTGTAAATAAATTTATGGGCTAAGATCGTTCGGATTATGATTTGTACAAGGCAAACATCTCTTACAATCAAGCGTAAAGGTGATGAAAGCGAAAGTTGCCATTGAATAGTAAATTTGAATTAAAATGGATGGCATTTGAAGGCATTCATCTGCTTATCAGTAGACGTCTTTCACGATGTTGCCTCCTCAAGATCCGAAAAATTTGAAAGCTTTAACTCGGTGGACTATCCAAAAACCTTCAGTGAAACACGATATCACCGAATAGTTTCCTTGATTCGCAGTAATCACACTATATTAATTTATGACAATCATTTTCTATTTTCCACCATAAGCAAATGCAAATTCGTTGCTGTTCGTTTCAATAAAAATAACACAATGGAGTGTTGTATACCTGTTAAGGTTATGTCATATAAAGTTTGGCCTTTCTATAACATCACGTAAAAACACTGAATACTTATTTGAGAGGAAAATGAGAAGGGCGTACTAAAAGATTGATCCTTATCCTATTTACTCTGCAAATAAAATCTTTCAACTCCTTAATTACAAAATGTAAATGTTCACATTTCATCGCCCATGAAACATCCAACTTTTAATGAAACTGACAATTAGGTAAACACAATTAATTTCTTCTGCAAACAGCATTGTTTCATTGTTATCACTCTATAAGTTTGCAATGTTCATTACTTCATAACTGCTGTAGCAATAGTGCTGTTTTCTTAAAATTGTGCTGTTCATCAAAAGTGATGTTATTGCTGTGTCGTTTCCATAGTCTGATGAGCGGGTCAGCTCAAAATAGTGTCTGTCCCCCAAATTATGTTGATCTAGTGAGGTCTTCTGATATTGTTTCTTGATTGTGTTTTATCTAGGAAATTCGCTCTTGAGTCCTTGTCTCAATATTATGTTTGATATTGTCAGTGGATTTACAAGTTATTTACAATCAAAGTTAACTTGATAGGTACTTTAAAAGCCTCATAAAAGGCAGTCACTATATGAATAATTATCACAACATATTGGGCAAAATATCTTCATTTGCAATTAGGTTAGATTGATGAGGGATACTATGCACTATTTTAAACTACTGTTAGATGAATGGTGATAGCAAAGTAATGGAAATTCTGTTTTCAAACATGTAGGTGTCAAGTATTTATCACTGTTCTTTTATTTTAAACCAATTTTTGATCATGAGGTGTGAAATTTCAATTTTCACGGCTTTTAGAAGTGCTTGGCTGAGTAATGTTCTCTAACAGTGTCACCTATTTTAAGAGTAGTCACAGGATAAGCAGGCTTTTCTTGACCTTTGTGGTTTTCAAAGTTTTGTTTATAAGATCTCATGGGAGACCTCTGCAGGCTCCTTAGGAATTTGCTAACCCAACATTTTCAGTTTTGCTTAAGTTTGTTTTGTTTTGTTTTTTTTTCCATTGCTGATTATATTTTTATTTTGTATATAACTTTCAAAATATTTGGTGTTTCAAACCTCCCTTTTACCTGCATCACATAGATATGGTTTTTCATGTTCTTGAAAGGTTGGTCAGAAATGCTCTACAAATCAGCTTGGTGAAACTGAAAATTAATGAGGCAATTTTTGCTTTACTAAACATGATTTTGTGAACAAGTACATTTTAGAATACAAGAGAGTATTTCCTGTTGGATAGAAGTAACCGGGGCTGTGCTCTGGCAATGCTCTGTGGTCCCTGGCACCTAATTTTGCTCTTGGGCGACTAGAGATTCTTTTTTTTTTGCTTCTTCTTTAAAAAAGCATAAGCTTGGCACCCTGGATTCCAACATTTCAGAGCTCTGGGCTCCCTTGTATTTTTCTCAGAGCACAGCCTTGATAATTGTTTTGAAAATTAAGTAAAATGAATCAGTCCATATGAAGTAGTGATTAGATAAAAAATGAGGCAGAAAGTTTGCAATTATTTCATTCACCCAGACCTTGGAGAGAACCTAGTGTGAAATATTGCCAGAAGTTAGTGGGCACACACAGATTGACATTTGGAAATTTAAAATCAATTGGATTTTCTATTTAAAATTTAATCACAATACAGATTGGTTACTAAGCAATTCATTGTAATACTGTAAGTTATGTGCAATCAAATAAATCAATAAGGTTTATTTTATTATTCTTACAACAGAGTTCTTGCACCTCCTGGTGGGAAAACATCCATCAGTTTGTTTGGTGGTGATGCACCTGAACCACCTGCTCCTAAGAAGGAGGTAAATGCCTGCCAAGCAGCTCGAAACAAATCCAATGTCTTTGCATCAGATGGTCCTGCTTCTGACACAGCAGCTGCTCACCATAAGCAAAGTCAACAAAGAAGGCAACATTCCAGTGTGTTTGGTGAGTCAAGCCAACCTGCACCAGTGGCTCAACCTTTTGAGCCTGAGCCGCGAAAGCCTCACACAGTGAATCCTCACCAGGAGGCACGGCAAAAATCTTCACTTTTTAAGGAGCCTACAGAACCAGCCAAACCTCCCCCACCAAGGAAAGGCAGTGACATCATTGCAGGACGCGGCCAAGATGAACCAGCTCATACATCAGTGAAAGTGCATGCTCCTCCTGGTGGAGTTTCTCACATCTCTTTTGGTTAATTTTCTATTCATTTAAGACACATTATTTTTTATCTTCATTCTTATTTTGTTACCATTAGTCCAGTGTACTCAGTGTTCCAATGCCCGATTCATGGTTAAATCAAAACTGTAAAATTGAAATTCATGGTCATTGTTAAGGAAACAAGGCATTTCTTTAAAAGAAGCACTTCTCTTCTCATGCAATTTTTGTCACAACAGCTCCTATCTTTTAACTTAAGTGTAAGTATTTAAGTACTGTATGTTTTCTTCTCATCTTCTCAATTTCTTAAAGCATGTTTCTCAAGTTACTTTCAGCAAGGAATTTTTTTCACCCAAGGTAAAAATTACCCCCTGGGCACTCATTTCTTTTCATTTGTTTGTAAATTATTGTTAATATCATTGTCTTTGTGAAGGGGCATTTTTTAACTTAACAATTTTAAGTACTTAGGTCAAGTATTACCTGCGGATGTTTTGTCATGTAGGGTGTAATTTATTGCAGAGTTAAGGGAAGATTCAACATTCAGAAATTAAATTTTACTGAGCAATATTATGTGTGTAAAACTGTTGAACTTTGAGGCATCAAGATCATATAATTTTTGCTGACAACATATGGTGTCATTCTTAATATGTTGTTTCCTCTTGATAATGTTATGTCAACAGTGTGTTATACTTACATGTAGCAGGTACAACTGACTTGTGCCTAAAGGGGACTCATGCTTTGTAGCAACCTTTGTTTAAAAACTTAGAAGTGCCCCATTTTCTGAGAGCCTGCTTACATTTTTATGCAAATCACACCTCCAAAATATCATGTTGAGGTGAACTGTACACTGTAAGTAGAGAGCAGTTCTTAAGTTTGAGTGTCTTTAGACTTACCTAATTAAAGTGTTATTTAGTTGTGTATAGGTGCCATAAGTCTGTTAGCCCTTTGCGATCTTAAATACAGTAGAACCATGCTAACTTGAAGTAGATGAACTGAAACAAAGTTTTGTTTTTGCCTATATTTGACCCCAGTTTTCAGTCATTTACTCTCAACTAACTAAACTTTGGTTAACTTGAACTAATTTTACTTTCCCTATGCTCAGATTTACCCTGATAACTTGAACTTTACTCAAAATGATGGTCATAATCGTCAAACCTCTCAAACTGTAATACATCTGGTTAAACTTCTCTAACCTAACATTCTTATAAAAAAGCTCTTATAAAACAAACTAAACATTTCAAAATGACTTTTAATTGTGCAATAATGATAAAAACACGATTCCTAATTACTTATTAACTGGATAATTAAAAATTAACCAGAAAAAATCAAATCCCCTCTGGCTTGAACAGTTTGAAATATTTTCTGTTTCCCTCAGGAGTTTGAGTCAGTGTGGTTGTACTGTATGTATTTAGCAAAGTAAGAGGTAACAGTTACATTTAATATTTTAAACCAGAAAAACATAACCATTTCAGTTATAGCTACTTAAGTGTAGTTTTAGTATCTAATCTTTGGGTTATAAGAAAAAACTTTCCCACTAGGCAATTGGTAGCACAACTTCATTCAAGGTGGCATGGTGGATATCAGATTGTATGAAGCTGTAAACCTTTTGCTTGCCTATTGGAAGAAATACGTGCATTCAGCTTTTTGTGTAGATTTGTTACTCGTTTGCTTGTGTGTAATATATTCAGGTGAACAACATCAGTAATTGTTTCGTGTTATGACAACATTAAATGAAGGACACTCAGTGACTTTTGTACCTTTTTTTTCTTTTAATTATGTGAAGCGAAGTGAATCTGTAATCTTTATGTGGCATGGCTCATCAGCAATCCTAGATTAGTAGTGCGTGAAAGCTGTATGCTTTCACGGCAGCTTAACGTAGTCTCCTTTGCAGAAGGTCTGGTGTGTGTAGAGTTACCTTCAATACGAATATTGGGAAGAGCTGAAGGGTAAGGCGACTCTACATGCAGGGCATTGGATATCATGCAACACCCTCAAAAGAATTTGTTTTCATCAGTGGCTTGTTTTGAGGGGAGCATTGTGTGACATCCTAAGACACAGCTGCGGAAAAGCCTTTACCAAATCTGGATCCACTGATCTTCGCCAAAGTCTCAGCAAAGTCATCTGCACACTCTCTTCTTGGCGCTATCAAGTTCATTGCATTAACAGAGTTGTGTTGACAAGCTCATTCGTATGCAGCCGAAATTCAATGGATTTTATACCCGATCATATTTTTCTGTACGCCTCATGTACTGGGTCCGCTAATCTTGACAGGGGACTAGATTTTTGTAGTTACCCAAAAGCTTGGCATCATAGTGATTGGGAAGGACAACAGTTGCACCTCGTCAGTTTACCTTAACCTTGCTTCATATTACCTCATTTCCATCTGGCAAAGCTATGTTGGGCACGGAGCAAGCCGTATACATCAATCATTATATGGTCATGCTTCTTCCACGCTGTTGTTGTCGTCCCTAAAAATCATAATCATCGTTGAAAATCCCTTCCTTTTATTAGCTGTGTTCGACATTTCCTACTTGAGTGCAACCGTTGCAAACTAAGTATGATTTTTAACCGCCTGCTGAGATGTCCACAATCGGACGGACCCGTTGAAATTCGGATGAGATCGTGTGAAATCGGACGAAATCGGATCAGCTAGACAGTCTTAAAATCATGTAGGATCGTCTACAATTAATTGGAATCGTCTCAAGTTGATTGAAATCGTCTAAAATTGCACGGAAAGGTTTTGGAAGCTCCTGTTCGTGAAAGCACCGTCCAATATCGCGCAAATCTGCCCAAAATTGGACGGACCTGGGGCCCATTTCTTTAAGGTCCCCGTGACTTGACGGAACTGAGGCCATATTTTTACATCCAAATTCAAAGAATACAGAAGTAGGTTCTCACGTGCCAACAAGTCCATGTTGTTTCTCTATCTGATAGATTTATTGTTTATTTTTCAAACTTTAAAAACCCCCATCTTGAGTGGAAGCAGAACAACTTTACAGGCCTGTTAAGTTACTGGGACCTTCGAGAAACGTGCTCGTGACAAAATTGAATTAGGGAACTCGAATTTAAGGAGTTTGTTCAATCAGCTTGATTTAGCCGGAAATGATTGAATTTGAATGTGTTATAAGAGTAGGAAACTCCACATCTTCCGGATGTTTAAGATTTCCGGGTCTCGTCTACTGAAACAACAACTGAAGCAAAACCCTTAGGACTGGTAACTAGCCAGCTTATTGTTATGCTAACATGGAGGATACCTCGAGCGAACCCGGATTTCCCTAAAATATGAGATTTAACCAAAAGGAACTCGCTTTTATTGCTACAAGAACAGACATTCCCTTTGACAAGGAAGATGTATTGTGGTTGAAGGAGAAAGAAGGCCATTTCTGGCAAAGGAACGAAGGTAAAATATAAACAGATGACTTCAAATGATCGAGATATTTAAAGGAAAGTATTTTTGACATCCAGAATCGTCAATTACCTAAACAGTTAGGTTAATAAATTTTTTGTCTTCGCTGTATAGAATACCTTTAAATTGTTTTAATAATTATAAATGTAACCTCTGAATCTAAGTTCGTGCATTTTTGATGCCTAATTATAACATGAGGTTTACCGCGAAGCATATTTGTAATCCGTGAATTACATTTGCAAGATTATCTCGTTTCAATTTTCTTGACAAAAATGCTATTGGTCCCATTAAAGAATAATTCTTGGTATAGCTCCATTGTGTCAAATTATGTAGTTTGTTGTAATGAAGTGATAAATAAACCCTTGGTTGATTTTAGAAGGAAGAGCAATATTGTTCTTGTCCAAATATTGCATGTGTTCATATTATATTTGAAACGAAACCAGGTAAATGCAAGAATCAATACACATCAATCGAGATTATCCAGCAATTTTGAAATTAAAATTTCACATACAGTTATCTTAATACTGTGCAGGAGACGAGAAGGTTTGCCAAAAATTTGAGATGCTTTAAGGAAATTGAATCAATGTTTTTTTCCTTAAGTTTATACAGAAAGATGGTTTCGCCTCAGAGGAAATCTGCTGTTCTACTTCAAGACAAAAGACAAGGTTTGTATGCATCTGTGACCTATTAACCTAACTAGTCATGAAAACTGTATACCTGATTCACTATAGCTTGCTGTTAGCTTGGCAGAAAGTAAAAAACCTTTGACTTAATAAGTGATTTCATTAGTATTGTCACATTTATCATGTGAACAGCAGCAATGGCAATAATAACAACAACAATGGCACTGACTATGAGTTTGTGGGAGGTTAGGATCACCAGAATTAAGGGGGAGGCATCATGTAAGGCATCACGGCTTATCTCCAAAGGGTGATGAGATTTCAGGATTGCTTAAAATTTTCAAGATCCAAAATATTTCAGTGTACCATTTGCCAACCCTCTGAAGAGCAGATGAAACATTTACTCGTTGGTTATTAACTGGTGTTTGATTTAAAACTGAGACCAAATTTTTGTGATTTTATGCAGACCTCTGACCCTGTTGGTGCTATAGTGCTTGAACGGTGCCGAGTGTTAAAAGACTCACCAACTCAGAAGAAGCATGGATTCACAATTGGTAAATTATTTCTTCCTTTATAAGTTAGGCAAGGCATGAAATAGTGCATCTTCACACAATCATTTGGAGTTTGATTTACATGATCACAATATTTGATGTCCAATGCACTTACCAAAAAATAATCTTGGCCAACCTGTCTCTAATTTCTTTCTACCTGATCAGTTTTCCTTGCTTTAATTCCAAAATAATGTCTGTGCAGGAGGTAATTAAATTTCTTAACTCTCTAACTTCCAGAAGTGATTAATATGTTACTTCTCCCTGTAGTATTCATACATTATTCAGCAAACAGGTGGTAAGAATACTCAAACTCATCAGGTACAATTTTTGACCTTGATTGAACACCAATTTCTTGTAAACAAAGAAATATGTACTAGCTAGAGAGGAGAATTGACTGGGTTAACTGTAATGTCAAGACTGTGTCATTCAATTCTCAATTCAGTTATGACAGATTATTTTTGGTGCATGGTGGTTTATCCATTGGCCATTGATTCTTTTAATTCAACAGTGTTTGATGAAGATGACACTCAGAGGTATCATCTCAGAGGAAATTCAACCAAAGATACAGAAGAATGGATGGAAAAGATAAAAAATGCCAGGTTAGTTGAATATGTCTTTGGTTATGTATGGCAATCTCTGGACCCTTGCCTTTGGACCCGCCATTGTGTCTCTTTACTGAGTGATGGTAAAAGGGAAGTATCTGACTTTAACCTTTTTAAATTGGTCACAAAGCTCTTATTTCTTTTTCTTTATTGAATGAATAGTTATGAAAGTCTAAGAAGCAAGCTTCTTAGCTTGAGGAAACAGCTGATGGAGATTACTGGAAAGGTAATACTTGTTAAAATAGAGAAATATCCTGCTGTTGAGATCCAGGAATGTATTAATCTACTTTTCAACACTTAGTGGTTGTCCTAGAAAATTCATGCGTCTTTTTCAGCCACTTACATTCAAAACAAAAATAAATTATACAATCAGACAGGGTCCTGCAAACCTTGCTGCTTCAGGAATCATTTCTCAAAGTGCTGTGAATTTTGTTTTAAGTTATGTCTTCTAAATGCTTGAATCATATATTAACTTAAATTCTTAATTGTTTATCACAGGATCCACTTCCAGATTTTCATCCTCTAGCCCAACAAGAGGTAATTTTTTCATCCTACTTGAGGTTTTCAAAAATCTGAAGAATCTGGTTTGTAGATCTTTATAAACATTTGGCTTATGTGTCCACATGAGTGAGGTGTGGCATATTTCAGAAAGAAGGGATATTAAAAATCTTGGAAGAGAGAGTGATGAATTAAAAAAATCTTGAAAATTAACAAACTAGACATGGTCAGTAGTATTTTCCTGTGCATCATGCAGCTACCTTATTTTATTTTGAGTTCATATTGGCTTATTTTATATATTTTTTTGTTCCAATTGGTTATTGTGATTACTGTGATTTTGGTTTTACAACACTCATTTGAAATGTGCATTTCTAATGCATTATTTTCATCAACAGCCCCTCAAGCCTGGCATTGGACAGTACTCATCTACAAGTACAGCAGATGCTGATGAAACTCCTTTCTTGGAAATGTGTATTGGTAGGTTTAGATCAGACACTTACAGTAGAATTATGACAAAGTATGCACCATGTGATCAAAGACTCTTGATCCTAATCACTGGTTAACAAAGGCAACTTTTCATTTATCTCTGACTTGACAATAAGAGATAAATAAAAATTTTATGTACTAGTAATAGGGTAATGCCCAACTCTTACTCCAAGGTTGGCTGTAGTAAAATCCTTATCATAATTATAGAGGATGAGTTTGAAAGTGGCTGCAAGGAAGCTCAGTGTTCTCCAGGGATTTTTCTGTGCTCAGCCATAAAAAAAAGCACCAGAGCACCAGACAGCGAAGGTTGAAATTGATCTCAAATCAAGACAGGTATTTTGCTGCTTTGTCTATTTGAAGTAGCTGAATGATGCTTTAGAAACAAGGCTGGTAGCTGACAAAACACCAGCTGCTAGTACTTTTGTAGAAAACTGGAAGTATGGACCTTAAAATTATTTAGTAAGCTGTATTTATTTTTCCAGCTTGTCATCAGCTGATTAGTTCAGAGGAAGGACAACTGCCAAATGCCTTTGTTGAAATTAGAACCATGACCCCACCCTCAACATCTTGGAGTAAACATGCACAGACTGAAATAATTGAGGTTAGTTTATAGGGTGGGTTGGCTGGGAAAAAGAAGGTTTGTCTTTTAAGAATAAATTTTGGAGATGGAAAATTGAATAATTCTCTTGATTATTTCCTTAGATGTAGATGCACCAATGATGTGCATGGAAATTATGAGACAAAAATATGTATACCTGTATTTGTCTGCCTCATGACCAATTGAAAGAATTTCCCTTAATAATATTTATACAATATGAAGCAGGCAAGTGATTAGAATAAAGAAACATATAAACAAGGGGACTATTGCACAGTTGATTTTATACCAAAATCTCCAAACTGTTATTGTAAGAATTGTATGACAGACAATAAAGAGAATTACTAAAAAGTAGACCTTTGGAATGAATGGGTTAAGTAGTCTTTTGTGTTGCTAATATGGGCTGCAAGCTAATTTTGTTTTTAAAAATCACCACTTGGAAACTTGAAATTACAAACTTTTTTCTTGAAGGAAAGGTTATCAATTTGGAGGTTTTTAGTACCTGTGCATCTGAGGGCTTCTTCATACCTGTGCGCCAAAGATGAATATGCAGATTGTTCAAAAAGAAAGCAATAAAGTCCTGATTATATTTTACATCATCAACACTTAGTGATTAATACAAAGCAACCTTATGCATGCCTACTGATTGAAAGATGCAAAATAGAAGTCATGTTTTTTCTACTTGTCGTGGCAACCAAAACAGTATTTTTATGCTTGACATCAGATTTATTCATAATGCATACTTTAACTGTGTTCTCAGAGATCAAAGACAAAGACACTGTGCATTGTATTTGAATTTTTGATCGTATTTTGTTAATATGTTATCATGTGTTTCCTTTGAATGTCTTCAGCAAAAAATTGACCCATATTTTCTGACAACTGTGGTGTTCCCTGAGGGAACAGTGAATGAGATGACTCGTTTAAAATTAGCGGTGTTTGATGTCAGAGACAGAGAAAATGAAGAGGTATGTGTGATCTTGTCATGTAGTGCTTGCTTTTGATGCCAATAAAAAGATGAAAAAATTGTGCTGTTATCTAAACTGAATTTTGGCCTGTCCCTTACAGATGTCCTTGTTGGGCCAAGCAATGTGCACAATGGGTGACATTTTAACATCAGTTGATCAGAAATTGCTCTTAACTTTGACGTAAGTAGTCCCAACAAAAAGTTATTTTCAAGAGTCATAAGCCAGTAAGATTTGTTCTAATCATAGTTTGTTTATTTGTGTACTGTTTTATTTCCAGTCCTCTTGATTCACCTGATGCCTGTGGAACTGTCACAGTACTCGGATGGAAGGTGAGCATGGATCAGAAAAACAACTTTGATTAAGGCATATTTGGATTTGATGCAGTAGGGTAGAAAAGTTTCTTTCTTCAAAATTCCATTCATCCTTTTATTCATCTGTTAATTTACCAAACAGATTCCATGCTACCACGTGTCTGTCTGGCACTAGATCACAGATGACATCAAATTGTGGTAATAACGAAAATGTGGCACATTAGGTGCAGCTGACTGTGTCACTGATGTTCTTACCAATGACAGTTTGTCATCTCCTGTGTTTTATTACTGTGCAGGCCAACAGCAACATGGAATCAGTTTGTTTTATATGATAAAAAATGCAAAATGTTGTTAGAGGTGACACCATCTATGCATCTGTCATCCAATAGTTCACAAGAAAGAACTATGAAATGGGTATAATTCAGTTTATCATTTAATCCTTTGACCCCCAAGAGTGATTAACATCTAATTTCTCCTTACAATATCACCCCTGAATCCCACATTAAGGTCATGAGAATCAAGGAAATGATCACTAGCATAAGACTCTCTTGATTGTTAAACTAATTCTCCTTGCCAGCACCTTAGGAAATCTAAAGACAATTGTATGGAGAATGTGCATATTGATGTTAGGGTGTTAAGGGTTATTTGCTTTTTGCTCCCTTGCTCAGAAGTAATTTTTTTGTATAGTTATGTTGTAGACAAAACAAAATTCACCTGCAAAGAAAATAATGAAAATCCAAACATAAAGGCAAAAATTACGTTTGATAATGATTTAAAAGTGGCTGGTAGTCTTTGCCAGACCAACTCAAAGACGCAGCTCTTCCATTAGTCATTTTCCGATTTTTTTTAATATAAGCTATGTGTTCCATGAGTATCCTCACTAAAATTGTCGATAGATATCGCACTGTGTAATTAATTATCGCAATTGTTATTGAAACGTTTATGTCACTGGGCGCCAAAAGTACAATTGATGAGGATAATGATGATGATGATGATGATGATGATGATGATGATGATGATGATGATGATGATGATTTTTATTTTCTCTATCTTCTGATCAGGTGGATGGTCGTAAATCATCAAAAAGAATTTCTCAAATTGAGGTAAAGGTATTTTTAGTCACGTATAGTGCGATTGGTCTGAGTTATTCCCTTAGCTAAAGGAGTATCTTTGTCATTGCAGGAGGAGAATGATATGGGAACCAGGAAGAATAGCGGAAGGTAACACATGTCAAAGCCCTAATGAAGTTCGGTTGTGCTTTTTTTTTTGTCTCTCGATTTAACCACTTAGGCTCGATGTAGCCACTTCCGATGTGGATCGCGACGTTTCGATTGAATACTGTGAGACTTTTTTTTCAGGCGATGTGGTCATCTGTATACGCGTCATCTTATGAACCGCTATTCTCTGATTGGTTGGTTTTTAAAAGCTGTGATTGGCGCGTTTCGGAGATGTGTTCTTTCAGTGGTTTACAGTCGCAAGGCTATCTTATGGTTACGTTTCAAGATCGTCGGCGTCCGTGCCTCTGGGATTTTTATTCTACTGTCTCTGTTAAAATTCTTTAGATGAAGTCTTAGCTGTATTGCCAATTTTACCTGGCGTGTGCAGCATTGGGTATCAATATCAATAAAATTTACATCGTTTCAAAGCAGGCATTGTCCGTAATTGTGAGCATAATGTTTTAATAGTTGACGTGTATCCAGTCGACCTTCTCGCCCGAAGAAAATTATCCGTATGCGATGGAAAAAACCCAATCCACATGGTAATAAGCTGATGATGATGAACATAATGAAATTAGTGATTCATTTCTTTCCTTCAATTTTTGATTTCGTATAGATCAATGGCGATGGTGGAACACATTCTGAAAAGAAGTTATAGATTCCCAACCACGTAAGAATGACAAAATCGTGTACACTGTCCGTGTGCTTCAGGTAGAACAGGAATGAACATATTTAGGAGGAGTGAGCTTCTTCCTATATATATATATCGTATCGTCACGCTAACCTAAAACCTCCTCAGGTGATTACAGCGCTTTTCGAGTGTCGTAAAGCTAAAACCAAAGTTATCAAAACAGCCAATCAGAACAAAGGAAAATACACTTAAGAACCAATGAGAACTCAAAGAAAAAACAAGCGAGCTGCGAAAAGCGCGGGAAAACACAGACAAAGTTGTGATTGGTTCGTAGTTTTGTATCTGATTGGTTGAGAGAGTCACGCGAGTTTACGTATACTAATCCTTTTTCTCGTCCCTTCCAGGATGCGAGGTGTTGTTCTCAAAGTGGTGGAAATGATGGGAGAGAGCGTCCTCACTTTTAAAATACCAATTCAGCTGTTGTGAGTACTTAAAATCTATCAAATACGAGCCCGCAAGCGCGCGAAGGAACGTGCGAGAGGTCTGCTGGGGTCCTTTACTAACCCTCGCGGACCTCGCGCGCGCTCTCATTGCTCGACTGCTCGAAACGCGCAGGGCTACGCTGCTTATATCGTAGCGCTTATTAGAACCTGTCCGCAGGCCAGTCAAATACTGATTATTATGACTAAACGCAGTGTAACCATTTTGCATTACATAGACCTGTTTTGTGCAAGTCACCATGGTTCATAGAGCTCCAAGTCCGTTTTTTTTCAGAGTCGCCACTCGGCTACTTTAAATCATAAAACAGTGGCCAAAAAGATTAGCTAAGTTGCCAGAATATAATATTTTTTTTAAGTTAAAGAAATAACTGATCGGCGCTTTTACTTGGAGGTTTGCGCGACATCTCGAAGCATCATACTCAGACAATCGAAGAGAAAGTGGTAATTTTTTCCATACATGAATACTTCGGAGCATTTTAAAATAGTATTTAACGCAAATGTTTCTTTCAGTTCAGAATTGGATCTTGAGCACTAAGTAATTTTAAAAAACATCGCAGCTTGTAACGTGACCACCAAATAGATTGTCAACTCGGCGATTCTCGCAGCAAAGTTAGTACCAAATTTCTCCTACTCGCCATTGCCACCAAAGCGCTGGGACCTTTTAGTTTCGGCTTGTAAAGTACCATTTTGTTTTCAGGAAAATGTATATCGCAGAGGAGCAGCAGAAGATTCTTGAGCTTCACCACCTGGGAGATGTGAGAATTCATTTACATTTTTGTTAAGTGGTATTTGATAGATGTAGTGAAGATGTAAGTCATTTCATTGAAAAGTGTATTAGGTGGATACCAGCCTGGTAGAGAGAGCACTCATCTGCAATCGGCCCCGTTGAAAATAGGTCCAATAAGAAACGTTGATACGTGTAATTTTCCTAAGAATTAGATACCACTAATCTTCATTTGAAGAGCGCTGCAACAGTGAACTAAGAGATGGTGTTCTCAAATTGTCTGGTCTCTAAAGTATCGATTTTAATTGAACATTTTTATTTTAGTTGAATCCTAACTGGGAAAATGCTCGGCAAGAGATCCTTGACAATCATTTCAAGCTCATCTGTGCTTACAAAGGCAATCTTCAAGAACTTGTTCCTTTACAAGGTTCGTTGTAAAAACAATACGTATTTAAGATTGTTATGACCGCAAGTGATGTGGATGCAGATGATTTTATTAGACTTAAGAGTGACTAGCATCTAATTTCTCCCTACAATGTCACGCCTGGATCACACATATAGCTTACGAGAGTAAAGGAAATGATCACCGAATGAAGGAGCTCTTGATTTTTTTAAACAAATTCTCCTTGTCAGCACCTTAGGAAATGTATAGAGAATATACAAGCTGATGTGATGGTGTAAAGGGTTAAATTGAGACTTGCACTTCTTTGTTTTTAGGTACATTTTTTAAGCCTGCGAGACTCAGAAATGATAAGAAACTGGCTTTTATTCCAATTAATCTGCACATTCAGCGAATGAAGGTTATGCAAGACAATGAGGGAGGTACGGAGTTGTAGAAGCGTACATGTTTGGTTGCGATGAATGTTCCATTAGAAGCCCCTTTATCGAAAAAGAAATTAGTCCAATCAAAGCTGGCAAGAGGTGAAAAGAAAGAGGAGATAAAACCAGTTCCAGTTAGATGTGTAGATGGAGCCGAGTGTTGGAATAATGGAGTTGGTGCTGAGTGGGGGAAAAGTTGTTACCAGTCCCGAGGGCGGGAAAATATGTTACCAATGCCATGCGTACGACGAAATATTACCAACGCAGGCGCGCGAAAACATATAGATACTGCACACGTTGAGCGCAAGGAAAATTGGTTACCCGCTCCTAGCGCAAAAAAAAAAAATGTTATCGGTGCCATGCGGGGGTAATGTAACTGTTGTCAAGCGCGGGACAGCTTGTAACCGGTGTTAAACGCGGGAAAGCTATAGACGTCAGTGGCGGTGTTCTTAGGAAAAAAAACTATCCTTTTTTTTTGTGTACTGCATTGTTGTTAAAATAGTATTTTTTTAAGGCATCTTCGAGGTCGTTTACACGAGGCTTTAATGATGAAATACAAGGTGCTTTTTTTTTCATCAGGGACATTGTATGACATGGTCACCGTCGGTGCTCCAGCTGCTCATACGCTTAAATTTGGCCAGGGAGGACTAAGGCGACTGTACACGACACTTAGGAAGGCACAACAGAGGTATGCTTACATGATAGAGTCAGTGCAACCAACTTTGCTGGAGTACTAAGCGTATTGCATTGAAATATTTCGTACCAAACGGTTATAGTGATTCCCGATGTCTATGATATAGCTCAGGGGACCTCTAAGGGTATCAAATGGTAAATCTAACAAATTTAATTGACTTTCAGTGGTGGGGAGAGTGAAAACAAAGCTCCAGTGGTGAAACAGCTCAGAGGTGAGTGCAGGAAGCGGGGGTGAAAAGGATGGGTTGATATCCACCACAGAGCGTTAAAGAAATATCCATTTATGGGTAAACTAGCTGATTTTTTGGCTCTGGCTGCGTTCACAAAGATATCAGCGAGTTAATGTTTCAGTCATTTGTATAAAAGGGTGTTTTACGATTTGACAGCATATGTTTTCCGAATTAGGAGATAATCGCAGTTACAGAGCATTTAATTTTTGTACTGATTTGTGTAGATCGGCAAATGAAAATTGTGGTTGGACTTCTCCGTCGGAAGCTGTTATAAACTCCTCGTTTGTTCTTTTGTAGTTAATTTGGAAAAATTTAAGTCACAACTGAGCCAACATTGTGAAAATGTCAAGAAGTAAGTCGCTAAATTTTGATTTCTATCTTTTACTTAAGAGAATGTTGAACGAACAGTTAACTTCTTACTTTCCAAGTGAATACTTTATCATGATTGCTCTCATAATAGGGTTAGGCTTTTTTAGCGATGGCAAAAAAAAATGTAGGAGAGTATTATTTTATTCAGTGAAATGTCGAAAATGACATTTTCGGGAAAGGAAAAACGAAAAATGTTGTGGATGCGAAAAGTATCGAATAAATTTTTTTCCTTTTTTGGTTTTATCCGAATTTTATCTGTTTTTGTATTCAGCTGTTGCCCCAATATCTTTGTGAATTTTATACTAACAGTTTTATTGCAACGTCTTAGAAATAATTATCCGTTTGTTGCTTCGTTTTCTAGGGCCATCAGATCGGGAGATGTGACAAATCTCTTGGAAACCATGTCGCGTCTTTCAGACAAGGTATGTAGGAAGGGTCACGTGCTCCATTAATTAGACCTTGCTTTGTTTTGATTGGTCGTGAAAAACTCGCGTTATGGTCTGAACCAATCAGATCAAAATTAAAACCAATAGCGACAAGGTCACTCATTTTCCCGCGCAGGGGTTTGGTTACGTGTAGTGACTTCCGTTCTAATCAATCCGTAGTGTTATTTGGCAGAGCACTTTATACCGACATTACGTCTGTCCACCAAGGCTTACAATGAACTGGGTACAAGAAAATCAGTATGTTGATGGGTATTCTGGGAAGGATCAGCCTTCCTTTCCTGAAAGATCTATGTGCTTTAGTCAGTTCACCTTTTTATTTGGTTTTAAATTTTTTCTTACATGTACGATTTTGTTTTTTTGTCTCAGATTAGTTAATAGATTTTAAACAAAGGAAAATCAATTAAAAGTAGATCTGCTTTGGAAATTTTAAAACCACGGAAATTTTTTTTTTCCCGAACTCATATTGTACGATGGACCAGCATGTTATCAAAATTAGGATGAGATTGTTTCATACATACTGAACGAACGACTGTGAAAATACATCGTTCGTCCAATCAGAGGCACGAACTATAGTACTTCCTGGTTTAAATCTCGGTATGAATGAAACAATTTAATTTTCCTAGTCGTTTGTGTTTGAGCCTCTATAATTTCTTTTATTTAGGCAACGCAGTTATTGAAATTTCGTGAAGCCCCTTTGGTGGTAGAATCATTAGCGTCGCTTGAGAAAGCTGTGCCTTCTCCTAAAGAGGAAGATTCGCCTACAGACGGAGGTATACCCTAGAGTAACACTCATTCTATAAGCCGTTAAGTCCAGATAACAAGTAGATTATTGGATCTAGGGTGTTGAAAGTGTTTCGTGAATGTAACAAACCTAATAAAAAAGACAGACTCGCGTTTTTATCTTATTTTGTTTACAACAGCACACAGTTAAGCCATACACTGAACTCACCATCGATCATGGAGAAGACAGCGAGTATCACAGCCAATAAGATTACCGCATTGTGATAGAATACCAATATTTCTATACCTTTTGTCGTTGGAAACTAATCTAGTGATTAGAATTAGTTATTGTTTTATTGCACTTGCCGTGGTGGTGTGTGAGAAACGCGTTTTAGAAATGAAATCTCAGACTAAGCGTTGACCCATCCAAAACCTCATCACAATAAACCTCTCGAAATTCTTTGTTTTATGTCCTATTTGCTTCATTTTTGATCTTCCAATTGCTGATTTATTGTTATTTTTCTATTTGTTTGTTTGTTTTTTTTTTGTTTACAGATAATTTCTGGAATGTTCAGATATTTACCAAACCTAGTGCTAAGTGCCAGGTAAAGTATCTTGGCGAAAATAATTTGCGAATTTTCTTTACCGACTTCCAAAAGTAGAAGTGGATAGAAGTGTAAATAGTGACAGTTTTCCACCTTCGAATATGAAAGCGATCTTCGTAATAATAAAGACCACTTAAGCTATAGTGAAAACAAGGGCTCAAAAAATCCAGGCCTTTACGGGATTTAAACCCATGACCTTTGCGATACCAGTTCAGTGCTACACCATCTGAGCCAACAAGCCAGCTGGGAGCTGGTCATTATGGTGATTCGTAATAAACTCGTGAAATGGTATATAAATAATTGTGAATATATGAAAATCATAGATGTGAACTGTGGATTAAGAGATGAAAGTGATCTTCGCAGCAATGAAGACTACTTAAGCAGTAGTGGAAATAAGGCCTGAAAAATTTCGGGCTCGTGCGGGATTTGAACCCGGCATCAAGTTTTTGAACGCAAAGTTTGAACGCAAAGTTTTCCACCTTTGAAACAAAATTTTCAAGGCACAAGTATCACATTTGCTTGAGCCCGCGTTTGCAAGCGGTCATTTGGAGCAGATGTAAGAAGTCTTTTTTCCATTTGAATGACTACTGACAATGGGAAATTCTTGTTCCTATGAAATCAAAACCTTCTCTCTTTCATTTGTCTTTCTGTAGGAACTGTCTACTCTCGTCAATCAGAGCCTCGTCATGATGCAGAGTCACATGGAAAGTATGGTTCAGAATGCTCGGCCACCTGAAGGTATAGATGCATTATGGAAATGAGCTATTTTGTCCAAATTGAACGGATGTCTGATAAGTAACACAGCTCTCTTATATTTGAGTATTTTTGTCCTGTTGTATAGGAAAGTCTTGGGTGGAAGTGATTTTATCTGAGGTGCATGACTTTTCCAGAGCCGTAGACGGTCTAGTGAAGGAAATTTATTTGGGAATGATATTCCTTCAGTTACAGGTACGCTTAGAGTACGAAAAACACTTTCTAATTTTCTATCTCGAGATGCGATTAACAAGTAACCTCCCTAAACAATTTCAATGCACTATTAATGAAGATATACACTCTTATCGGTATCAGCTGGAGGTACTATTTTGATACAAAACCGAATTCTCTTAAATGCACTTTAGGCAATCAGAATACGCTTAAAGTTCTCCTCTTCATGTTTCATATCATATGATAACAGGAAGAAGCCAAACACGCCTCTCTACTGTACGAAATTCGAAGAAGGCAGGACATTGTTTTCTCTCACGCAGTAAGTATTTGCGACCGAGATAGGGTGATACCCCTTGTATTGACAATAAAAATAATTTGTAAAACATTGGGCCTCGGTTCTTAGCAACGCAAAGGCGCCTTCCGTTGATTATTTTGCCACAGTCACGTTTAAGAGACTTGGAAGCTTATTAGAGCGAGGTCTGGGTTAGAGCTCTGACTGGGTCATTGTGATGTGTTCTTGGGGCAGAACACTTTCTCTGACATTGTAATCTCCATTCAGGAGTTGGCGAACTGTTTCCAAACCTAACAAAATGCGGGTGTGGGGGGGTGGGGAGTGAGGAACCCGTGATTTACACCAATCTCATCAGGGATGATTAGGAACACTCTTAGGTCGTATCATGTTGTGAAGAGTAGATAAGCTCCGGCATTAATTTGGATCGTAAGGCTTAAAACATCTTGATTTGACTTTGGACTGGTATCTAATAAGTACTTTCCGGGTGTCTGTTCGCAGGTCACGGCTTTGGTGGCTGGGTTTGTTTGTAAACTTCACACATCATTCTCCAACGCCGTGTATCTAAAGCAACTTGTTCAGATTGGGTTTCTGGCACATTTTGAGAGCCTTCTTACCACAAACGGTATGAAATGCTACGTTTTTTTTCATTTGGGATTTTACAGACAAAGTAAGGAGAAAGCCCTCTGGGTATCATTAATCTCATTTCTCTAAATATTGACAATATTGGTCATTTCTTCACCCTCCTTTCTTGATCTTGAGCCCGTGATTTTTATCGCGAAGCATTTTGAATATGGCTGTCAAACATCTGCGCATGTATGAACGTTGAAAAGGCTAAGAGGTAACTAAACGCCGAAAATTGGCGCGCGGCTGGCGAAATTTTACCAATTTACGCATGCCCGACGTTTGAGCACTGTAGTAGCAGTGTAATGTCTTTAATTTGGATGAACTGACTTGAACCCCCATTTTCATGGCCTTTCATCTTCTTACTCTCCGAATGGACAGATGGTTTTTTTTTTTTGCAATAGATGTAGGTAGCTGAAGTAGCATCCGTGTTTGTTTACAGATGAACGGAGATGGCCTACAGTGATAAAACCAAACTCATCTCTCATTGTGACCCTACATCTACGATATACGTTATATCACGTGAATGTGTTTTTTTTTGTCTCTAGGGGATGAAATGGGAATGCTGGAAGACGTGTGTGTGAGCATAAGTAACCTAACGTGCGTCAAATTTAAGGTGACCTGTCAACTTTGTTCTTGTCGTTGTATCAGTGCAAGACTTCTTTAAAAGAAAGTTGGTGAGAAATATACTCTCAAACCAAGATGCGAAAACCCCTGCAAAATGCTACATTCTGTCGAAGGAAGGAATGTACAAAGGACATACTTCCATGGCGTATAAATCTTTCGAAAGGATAGATAAAAATTAAGATTTTAGATGGAGAATACAGATCTTAGGCATAAATTTATTACTGCCGAGCTTTTACTTTATTCGATTCTCTCGATTGCTAGATTAAGTGAAGCGTACCGTACCTGTAGTAAACTATTGTTTCTATTTTAGTTCAAACTGTGTGACAGAGAAGATGAAATCCCAACTTTAAGTGGGAACAGGTAAGATAAATTTTTTTCTGCGTTTCCTTATAGCGGAGCTCGCAGAGCGTAGCCCCAAAATTATACAAAATAGTAGTAACCCATCAAGCCGAAAAAATTTGGATGTACGACCGTACGACCGTACAAGGTGCTACTTTTAACATGCGTGGTCAACTGTACCGCGGGCACGCCAACGCCACGGCTTTGTCCAGTAGTCCAGTGGTCAGTGCACTGGGCTAGTCCTGGCCGGGGCAAGGCGTTTTGCCCTTGAGACGTGCGGGGAAAAAAATGCGAGCCCCGCTTTTAGGCTTGGCTAAATCTATATATTAGTCAGCTCAGAATGTTTCCCGTGGATCTGCGCAATGACGACACAGTCATCGCTTAGTTTCGTGGATAGTACCAATTTTTGTATTTCCCGCTGTCCTTAATGGGCCAATCGGCGCTAGGTAGGTAGTAATAGTAGAAATAGCGTGATTGTGTCTCCCCACCCGAGACAAACAGTTACATACTTTCCCTCTATAGTATCATCCGTATTCTCACGCTTCTCAATGACTTTGATATCAAATACAAATACGCTTTATGAGAGATTCTTATTAAACTCTTAATATTGCAACTACATGAATTGAGTTGTTCTTAATTAGGTCTTATATTCAAGTGAACGTGTCACTTCCGCCTGTCCACTTCCGGAGGCTGCCACGTGACTTACAGGAAGGTCGTTTAGTCAAGGTCATTCCAGTGCTCTTTACACAGGGCATCAATGAACACGCTACATTGGCTGAAAGGTAACCTTTCTATGGGTGATATTTAATGTCTCCCTAAAGAGATTTTAGATTGTGTAGATGGCCGGTTGTGAGAAAAAAGAACCTGACCAATTCAAAGAATCTGTCATAAACTCTACGGAGGTTATGGGAAAGAAGGGTCCAAGAACTTCAGTATAAAAGCTGATTAAAGCAGTCGGTAACGGAACTTGCATGATGTGCAAGAGGAAAGAAGTCACAATCTCCCAGCCAATGGATGTTCTGTAGTTTATAATGTCTTGGCAGGATGATATGCAGAAAGGTGCAGCGTATAGCTTAATACGACTAGGAAATCTTATGCAGTGTATTAATAATGATTGGAGCCAAAAACGAACTAGATTTCCATTTTCCATTTTTTTTCTGGGAACATTTATCGAAGACATCCACCGCAAAATATCTCATCCTTTTAAATATTTATGTCATATTTGAAAAATTCCTCTTCCAGATTTGGAGATACCAGTCTACAAGAAAAGATCAATGGTGATAACTATAGTATCCTAAATTTTTACCTTGAACAGTTCAAAGACAAGTTTCCCGACGCAAGTAAGTTGAAAGACGTTTTGAGAATTTTGGTCAACCACAGAAATGCCTGTCTAATGAAACCATGTCATCTGTTTTCCCTTCTGTTTTCCTCTCACCTCCCTACTTCCATCTAACTACTTCTTAACTTCCTTAATTTCCTCACTCTCTCCCTTATCCCGCTCTTCTACGACCCCCCCCCCTCCCTCCCCGTTCTTTCTTGTCTTGTCCCTTCCTCCCTTCTCGGCCGCCTGGAAAGTATCTTCTTTGTTGATATTTAGGATTATTGAGACAGGCATTTGATTCATTTGATGTCTTCCTTTTTTTAATTCCAATCCTACCAGTTGCCTCCAGAAGGGAAGGTGATCATAGTGTGGAGCAGCTAATGAAGTCCTTGAAATCAAACATCGAAAGCAGACGAGGGAAGAATGTGGATATTCTCCTCATCAGCGAAGAGGTACAGCGTATTAGAGTGCATTTTCATTGAGTTTCGTAAAATCAAAATAAAAGGTATCACAACGGCCAATCATAGGAATGGAAATATCTAAAGAAAGCGGTGAGAACTCCAAGTATAAACAAGCAAATTTTCTGAAGAGGTGATTTGCTGAGATTGGCTGCGATTGGCTGAATTTAATTGGCTTAGAGGATGGCGCAGGTTTTCTGGACCAATCACATAGCGAGTTCATTACTTTCGACACTCAATTGAAAGTAGCTCAGTATCTCATTTTACAGTGGCCTGTGGGCTATGGGGGGGGGGGGGAAGGGGGGAAGATCACGATCGGATTGAAATGTTTAAGATTTGGCGGGGTTTGTTTTGGATGTGGCCTTGGCTTTAACCATTTACACCCATTCAGGAATACAAATGGATTCCGGCGAGCGAAAAATTGGATCGAATTGGCATCTGTGGATTGTGAAGGTGGCTACATACTCTTTGTCGTTTCATATAAGGGAAACTGGAGTAAGCTACGACCGAAATCCTCGAGTGCAAGATAGACTTTTGTAAAGTAAGAACTGGGTCTAATGCTTCCCTATAACGATTTATAACAATTCTCTCTTCCTTTCCCACAGATTTGTTGGAGGTTGAACGGATGCCGTTTCATGAGTTGTAAAAGCGCAAAAGACCGAACAGGAATGGGAATCACTTTGGAGCAGTGCATGATCCTCAAACGGGAACACAACATGGACTCACAGTTTTTCCAGCAGGCCTTAGACGCCATGAGAAGGTACCGTACAAGGGCGTTTCTCGCGGAGAGTGCCAGGGTCCATGTGTTTCCCCTCATTTAAGAAAGTAGTCAGACTCCCACCATCCCTCTTGTAAAATTTTGGTAAAACTTGCAACCGACGTTAGAGTAGCTCAGGGTAATTTTCAACTGAATGTCAAAAGTAATCTGGGATTGCTGTTGTCTTACGTCGATGTGCTCTCTGATTGGTCTAGAAGACTCGAGAGGCCCACCATCTCAACCAATCAGACACTTCGCTTGAACCAATCTCTACAATTTCACTCGTTTTCCCACGCCTCATGAAGTTTGCTAGTTTTTTTATATTAGTTCTCGTTGGTTCTCTGTGAAAAATTTCCTGTGTTCTGATTGGTCCTTTTGATTACTCTGGCTTTGGTTTTAGGACACATAATCCAAGTTCGCTGTGGCAATTTCATTTTGCGAACAGAACTAGACAAAGAGCACAAATTTTGAATAAATAAGGTTGCTGATTAGGGTAACAAGTTTTCTGTCTCACTATCCGTTTTTTGAGGCCTGTATTTCCTTCTGTTTATTTTTTGACACAGGTGAATTATTTGCAGGAATAAAAAATTCTTTACCTCTTTATTAACTACTCAAACATTGGGTAAATCTAGTTTTGCTGCTTTTGTGTTTTGTAGTGAAGGGACGAGACGAGAGAATACATTCAAGAACACTGGAATACGAAGATATGCCTTCAATTCGTGGCAAGTCATGGCTTTGCCCAAACTCTATCGACCCCCTGACGGTACTTACGGAAAAAATGTTCAGACTTGATAACAAGAAAGTGGAAGACAAGTCATGAGGAGAAAAAAGACTTTATACCATAGTCAATGCGTTATTCATTTCACACAATTTTCTCGAACTAGAATGTCATGCGTTCTTCTCGAACGTTTTGTAAACTTGTCACGCTATGCTCTCTTTAAATGGAGCAAAGTTATGATACGAGATGTCATTAACCTTTCCAGCCATTGAAAATGAGCATGCTTGGATTGTTCTATCTTTTTACAGAAATATATTTTTTACTCGTGATAAAAGAAAACTTTTTAAATATTCCCCCCCCCCCTTTGATGCTTTCGAATATTTGCCTGTTGCGTCTTACTTGAGAAATTTTTTTGTTTTTTTGTTCATTAATAACAATTATTCACCGACACTATGGTAAATAATTGTCTTAGCAAAGACTTAGTATAGACTACACAGCAACCAAAAAATGAATTTTCTGTTAATACACTGAAGAAGGAAATTAAACTCTTGACGCCGGATTTTTTCCCCTGCTGCTCGGAGGGGAACATTATTGGCTAAATACTTCCGAACCGGGCAATCAGCGCGCGCGGAAAACACTATTCACCTGTGTGGTATATACTAATTTTGATTAACGCTGGCGTGAGGCAAGAAGTAAATTAGGAGGGTTTACTGAGAAATAAAACATTTAAGATTCTAAGTAGACAGCGGTTGCAGTGGTTTTCTAAATTGCAAAAATTTGTACATATCTCTATTTTCTTCACTTCCAAGATAGTTTTTGGGCGAATGATTAAAAACTTGTGGAGGATGTGAAAATTCATTACTCTAGGTTTGTATTCCAATAATGTTTGGAGAGTATTCGAAAATAAAGATTCAATTTTCTGAATAATAATTGATTCTGCAGAAAGCGGAAAGTAATTGTATAATCTGAACTGAAGCCTATTTTCATTTTAAATTTAAATGCGCAGGAAATTATAATATTAAGGAAAGATTCCGAAAATGTAACTTAGAATGGTGGTAACAAACTATAATGAGGCTACTATGGCAGAAAAATGAATAAAGAGAAGTTATTTCACTCAAGATGTGGTCATTGAATCGAAAACCCAAAAGCTATACCTTTCACGGTAGTACATAACCAGTACGGCTACGGAACTGGTCATTGGCCTACGTGTAGCCTTACCCTCCCCCTCAAGGTGAAATGTTTCTCCATGCGGGTAAGGCAAGGCAAGGCAAGGCTACACGAAAGCTAACTGATCTCAGATATCGCTTAGTGGCGGCAGTGGGGGGGGGGGGAGATTTGGTTGTACTATCGGATTCCTCCTTCCCTGAGGCTCTTTAGTGTTCAACCGGTCTCCCCGTATTAGTAGTCAATTTCCTATACTACCCCCTTAAACTTGTTATGAAGAGGACTGGAATCTAGGTTTGAACAAAATGTCCGACGGCGAGCAGCAGGAGGATGAATTACTTGCCTTAGCTTCAATTTACGACGAAAGAATCTTTAATCAGTCATCAGAGGAGAAGGGAGGCCAGTTTAATGTATTCCTGGAGTTGCCTAAACCTTTCAAACTGAAAATACAATCTAGATCTCTACCAAAACATTCTACGAGGAAGGAGATCGAAGCTTCCAAAAATACTGCGGACGCAGCGCAAAATACCAGGAACTACGAGATATTAGAGGCAGAATACCTTCCTCCGATTGTGTTGAATTTTAGATTCCCTGAAGATTACCCTTCGAGTAGTCCTCCACTGTTTACGTTATCATGCAAGTGGTTAACTGTCTTTCAGGTATTACATAATAAAGGTTTTTTTGGGTTTGTTTCGTCTTAGGTGGAAATGTATTGGATCAAGAGAATATAAGAAGTCTCAACGTTTCTATAGGCTTATTTGAATGTATTAATGCGCCTTAGAGGCTTTCACATCAGTGAAATCATTTAAAGTTTACCTGACCAAAGACAAGGAGTATTTGCGATGCTCTCTCGAGTCTTGGTGACTCTTTATTAATTAGTTCCCTATATGAGAAAGACACTAACAAGGAGGGAAGGCTTTTGAAATATTCTTATCTTTAAGTCAGCTGTTAAGATGCTGGAAAAGTCCTAGATGACTGGGATTTCATTATTTCTCAAAGATCTTAAATTTTTCTGGCCTCTGAAAACTCCTAACAGAACACATCCTTGAATTGACCAGGATGGTGGATGGTGGATGGTGGATGGTGGGGGTGGGGGGGGATTAAATAAAATTCTGAATGCCCAGGTTTTTGTTGCATCCCTGATTATTGCGGTAATAGATAGTTGTTCAAGATGCACACATAAACTTCCGTTTTTGACGTACAACTTTGGTGTGAGGAAAGATTTTAGCTTGGTACCAAGCAGTTGCTTAGTTCTAATCATGTTGCATTCAATACCAAAAAGTAAAGAATGCTGCCATTTGGAAATTTCCTGAAATCTCAGCTGGGATGTAGGGGAAACTTGGAAATCATTTGGGGGAGGGGGGGGCTTACTTATTTGATGTGCTAATCAAAAGTGTGGTGAAATCTTAGTATTTTTAGTAAATACTACTACTTACAGTAATTTATGTGTTTAGCTGTCCAAGTTGTGTAAATGTCTTGATGACATTTGGGCTGAAGATGATGGAGGAGAAGTAATCCTTTTCAGATGGACACAATTTCTCCTCGATGAAACTCTGACAACGTTAAATGTTGGCAGTCCATTCCCTTTGCAGTACAAGAGGGCCCATGCACAGAGCAACAAGAAAAGAAGAGGAGATCCAAGAGCTTTCCAAGATGTTGCCTCACACAATAAATTGGTTGGTGCTATTTTAGAGTACAACCAACAAGAAAAGGAAAGAGTTTTTTGCAGCAGCTATTTTACATGTAATGTTTGCTTCAGTGAAAAACCGGGATCACTTTGCATGGAATTCCATGACTGTGGGCATGTGTACTGTGTGGATTGCCTTGCAGGCTACTTTAAGGTACAGATTGAGGATGGGGCAGTGAAAGCGCTGAACTGTCCTTCAGAAAAGTGTGAATCTCAAGCTTTGCCCTCTCAAGTTAAGCAGCTTGTTAGTCCTGAATTGTTTGCAAAGTATGACAGATTTTTGCTACAGTACAGCCTTGATGGAATGGCAGATATAGTTTACTGTCCTCGGCCCTCATGTCAGACTGCTGTCGTGCTAGAAAGTGAATCATCCATGGGTGTTTGTCAATTGTGTTCCTTAGCATTTTGTGCATTTTGTAAGCATACTTACCATGGGGTTTCTCCTTGCGAAATTAAGGGAAGTGATGCAAGGAAGCTAACAGAAGAATACTCTGCAGCTTCCAGGGAAGACAAAGAATTGTTAGAAAAACGTTATGGAAAACGAAAGCTTCAGAGGTTGTTAGATGAAGTGGTCTCAGAAGAATGGCTAGATGCTAATGCAAAGCAATGCCCATGTTGCAAAGCAAGCATTCAAAAGATTGATGGCTGTAACAAAATGACATGTCTAAAATGTCGGACATACTTCTGTTGGCTGTGCATGGCAAACCTACCACGCAGTAATCCATACCAGCATTTCAACTCTCCAGGTAGTGGCTGTTTCAACAGGTTGTTTGAGGGTGTTGATGTGGATGAGGATGAGGACGATGATGACTGGTGGTTATGAATTCACAGATTAAAATCACTCTTATCAGTGAATCAATAGCATTCCAATTTCTGTTCAAAACATTTCAAAGAACACCTAGTTAGATTTTGTTTAAAATTTTCATTGATTACCTTTGTAGAAGATGAATTAATGGTAAACTAGGATGTAAGATTTTTTTCCTTGGTTAGCTGTAGAATAGAAAAAATATTATCCTAAGTAAGAAATTGAATAAAAACTGCAAACAGATGTAACAAAAATGGTAGTTCTTCCAGCCAGATTGTTGCCTGAATTTTTCTAAGATACATGATGAGTTGCATGTAACAAAGGCTATGTAAAAAATGTTTTGATTTCATTAAAATTTAATTTTTTCTTTCAATATGAAGATGAATTCTGAAATATTCACCACTATATCCTGAGACAGTGATTGTAGATTTATCTTGTGGGAGAGGGAAGTCCTTACGGTTCACTTACATAAGCTGGAGCATCATAGAAAGCAGTGGATCCAGTTTTATTGCTATGTTCACAGGCCCAGAAATATGAATGGTGTGTGGTCCTGTCATGCAATGCGCTCTCCCAGACACGAGATTAATTAAGATCCCCAAAGAAGTCTAAAATTTTGATGGTTGCATTTTTCTGGACTTTGGTATGCTTCGAATTTCATAAGTGCAACATGGGCTGTCATTAAATTTTCAAATATAGAATAAGACTGTTTAGAAATCAGTTTATAACCTCTTTTTCTGTAACTATGTAAAAACACACCTACTGGTATATGAGTAAGACTTACCCTACCTTCCCCTACCAAATTTTGTCCCGTTGTATTTAAAGAAAGGTGTTATAAGTTAATGTAATTTTTCGTTGAAATATAAAAAGGGAACGATTTAGGACTGGTTAATCAACTACGCTTAGTTGACAAATGTACCGGTCCTCCCCTCCCCTGCTTTATTCAATCATGAAGTGAGTGGGACTCAGGCCCTTTTTGTCAGCACACCCCAGTGTTTGTATGAACAGATTATGTAATCGAACATACGATCTATCCGATTTTTCTTAAAATGCCGGCTAGAAAGTTAACGGTTTACGTTAGTATGGCTGTAGGAATAACTGGACTGTCAGTCTTAGGAATCATTCTCCAAATTCGGCGAAAGAGATGTTCTGAGCTGCACACGTTTAGTTCGATGCTACGACAACATGTAGAGTACTGCATATTTTCCCTCTTCGGGACGAGAATGACACGAAAGTTGGAAAAAGACAGCATCGGTTTCATCCAAGTACAAGAAGAAACGTTGCTTAAGATTCTTAAGAGCAACGCTGATACGGAATATGGATTAAAATACAATTTTGGTGGCATTAACGACAAGGCCAAGTATGTCAGTCGACACCCGCTAACGAGATACAAGCATTACGAATCTTATATAGGTAAGGCGTGTTATCATAAAACTACAGAATTGAAAAGATCTGCGCGTGTGTGTAGAACTGCAATTAATATAATTAGACAAAGCAAAAACAGTTTTATTTTTTTATATGATAAGCTATAGACTTTGTGACTGAATGAATGAGTGAATGACCAATTGACTGAACGATTGATTAGATAACTGTCTGACTTACTGATTGATGGATTAACTGCTTAAATGCTTGACTTAATTGCTGCTTGACTCAGTGACCCAATGACTGACTGACCAACTGACTGACTGGCTGATTGACTGACTGACTGACTGGCTCACTGATCAGCTAACTGACTGACTGAAGGAGAAAAAGACACACTGTAAGGAGGAAATGACATACAAATTTACACACTGCCTTTCCTCACTGCAGTTCCATCTCTTCCATGCAGGGGACAATCTTGTCAACTTGGAGTCCTCAACGTACCTTTTAGTCCTAATTAGACATTTCATATAAGAGTGAAATTATGTATCTTATGCTTACAGAAAAGATCTCTCAGGGTGAGAAGAATGTTCTCACTGCAAAGGACCCTTACCAGCTGGGTGTCACCTCTGGAACCTCAGGCAAAAGCAGTCTACTTCAAACTACGAATGACATCCCTCGCATCTTTTTCACCAATGGTGTACTTGTTGGTATAAATACCATGTTTGAGGCCTATCCTGGGGTAAGAAACCAATCAGATGCCTGGGGTGTGAGACAAATCAAATCCCAAGTATATGGAACAAAAGAAATCTATGGGATAGGAAACCCTTAGTACAAAAAAAGGAAATCTATGGGGTCAGAAACAATTCAAATCCCTGTGATAGGAAACAAATCATATTCCTAGGATAAAAAACACAAAACAAATCTTTGGGATTTAAGAAACAACTTAGATACATGGGGAATAAAGCAGATCAAATCCCTGGAGTGAGAAAAAACCAGAATCCCTTAGGGTAAGACATCCCTGGCAAAAGAAACTGTTCAAATTCCTGGGATGGGAATTGAATCCCCTAGGATAACACACAAATCAAATCCCTGAGGCAAGAAACAAATGGAATCCTTGAGTAAAGAAAATATAAAATCCCTGAGTTAAGAAAATATCAAATCCCTGGGATTCGAAACAAATCAAATCCTAGGGCAAGAATCAAATCAAACCCTTCATGGTGTATTCTTGACTGTTGGTAATGCATACATGACTGTAGCAAAAGTTAATACTCAGCTATCTACCAATGTTTCTTCTCTGAAACTTTTCCAAACAGTCCTACCAGCTGCAGAAAAGCTTGAAGTTCTTTTATTCACCTAAGTGGTGCTACACATCCTCAGGCCTGCCCATTGGTCCAAATTCCTCTTCACCCAGCAACTCACAACGAATCCTCCATCTCTACACCACTCCAAAAGCAGGTTTTGACATCATGACTGAACCAGAGGCCTTGTATATTCACTTGCTGTTTGCTTTAAAGGATCGAAATCTTGGCATTTTGGAGGCAAATTTTGCTCAGCTGGTGTATTCAGGGCTTCTTGCACTTGAGGCTCAGTGGAAGTTACTCGTGGAGGATGTTGAACTTGGAAGGGTGAATCCAATTTTGAACATCAAGGAAGATGTGAGAAGGTAATTATAACTGGGTGAGCACACTGGCCCTGCGGTGAAGAACTGCAGGCTCAAGAGTAAGCCTGGGCACTGTATTGTGTTTATGAGAAGGGCACTTTACCCTCAAAGTGCCCATGTTTGTGGGGTGATGGGGTGGTGAGCTGCTTGTTGGGGGGAGGTGACCTGTGGTCTGAATTGTTACTGCATCAATTTTTGAATTTTTTTTATTGTTAGACCTAATTTTGTTCCATACCTCTAGGTGATTTATAATTATTAATTATTTTTATGATTCATAATTATTCTTTGTATTTCTTATTCTTCCAAGTAAACTAGATAGTCTCCTCAAACCTGACAAAGAACGAGCTGTGGAACTGGAGAGAGAATTTACCAATGGATTTGATGGAATTGTGAGGAGGGTATGGCCACATATTAACTTAGTCCTGGCTTGTTCTACAGGTACATTGATTCAATACTTTTAATCCATAACAAAGATCTAATTTATCTTTTCAGAAAGTAGACAAGGGTACAGAATTAAGACAATGATCATCGTTTTTCCTGACTCCTCTCTTGAACTGATAACGAGCTCCGTTATAGTGAAATACGCCCCTTTAACCTTTTAACCCTTTAGTGACCAGCATATAATTTCTCCTTACAATATCACCCCTGAATCACACATTGAGGTCATGAGAATAAGGGAAATGATCTCTAACCAAAGAGGCTTTTGATTGTTAAACAAATTCTCCTTGTCGTCAGTTTAAGGAATGTATAGAGAACAGTATGGAGAATATGCATACTGATAGTAGGGTTTAAAGGGTCAACGATAACCGGTATTCATTTTCCGATGTGATGTTGAAGGCAATCTGGATTAACAACTTTCTTTTTCCGCGGTTACCCGTGCTTCGTCACGTAGTATTGTGTGACAAGCTCTAATCAATACCTTCAGTGGACCGCATAACATGTATACAGGAGCTAAATCGCTAGAAAAAAATCAAGCGACGTTTCAATCTAATTACATCGATACTCAGCCAAACACCTCTACCTCCTCCCTTCCAAGGTTCATCGGAGCTGTATGCCAGCAAACTTAAGGAGAAATATTTGGGAGACGTGCCAATTTACTCGCCGTTTTACGGATCTACTGAAGGTTTGATCGGAGTTAATCTGTGGCCACGAGAAACGACCCCAGTTTACATGCTGGTGCCCCGCGCAATGTTCTTTGAGTTCATTCCAGTGGAAGAAAGCAGTCAAGAACAGCCGAAGGTAAGGAGGATTTAACGTGCCTTATTTTTTTAAAAGCTCAAAGCATAGTAATCTGGGATCGCATTTGATTGCTTCGCTGCGCTCTGTCATTGGTCCAGAAAACTCGTGCCACCCTTTCAACCAATCAGATGCACGTTTTATCGCCCCAAGCAGTTTGCAAATTTTTAATTTTTCTTCGTTGGCCCCTGGTAACATATTTTCTTGGTTTTGATGGGCCGTTGTCAAAACTTTGCTTTCAGTTTTACGACACTAACTCATCATGTACTTTACGAATCTCCTGGATGAAAATTGCAAGAACTTTTACTTTTTACTTTTGACTTAAGGCTTCAACTGTTTTTATACTGGAACAAAATAATTTGCCTGTGATCTAAATATGATCGTCTAGATTTTTTTTTTGCGGCTTCAAATGGATTATTTTAAGGATTAGAGTGGATACAAAAAGGGACAGGTTAAGGGAATATTGCGTAGTAAGGAAACTCGGTGTTGTTTCAGGGAAGCCAAGTGGCCTTATGGGTAGCACGCTGGATCGAGAAGTCATGGGTCGAGCCCAGATCAGAGTTGCCTTTCCAATCGACCAAAAGTTTCAGAGCAATCGAGTAATATTCAATTAAAGGGGGTATGTTTCTAAAGAAACTGTGGTGCTGCGTCGGTGGGAGAGTATAACAGGGTAATTAAATATTATCAACTGAGTTTCGCTCTGACGAAGGGCGAACGCTCCAAACTTCAGCTGTGAAACTCTTCACGGTGGCTGATTTACGTTATCAACTCAGTTGATAACACTAAATTAACCCGTGATATTCGAATGACCATTATCTCTGTAATGGAGTTTTTCTCTCGCGGTGGAAATGTAAATGTTTTCCAAACAGAGGTACCATGTGTTTAATTCAGAACTGTTCTGATATGGTGACGTAAATTTCTGTTTTACAGACGCTGTTTGGTGAAAACATAGAAGTTGGAAAACTTTATGAGTTGGTAGTGACAAACCCTAGTGGACTGTACCGTTACAGAATCGGAGATGTTGTCAAGATTGCTCGTTTTCACAACAGTTGCCCTGTAGTAGAATTCCAGTATCGTCAAGGGCAAATACTCAATGTTCGAGCCGAAAAAACGTCCGAGCGCGTTTTCTACGACGCACTTACGGCCGCACTTGGCGAGGAAGGACAGAAGCTTCAGATGGTAGATTACACATGCGCGGAAAGCGTTATGTTTAGCACGCAGAATCACGTAATGAGTGATGAACTAAAAAGTGTGGCGCCATTTTATGCTTTGTTTATAGAATTGAGTGACACGGAACTGAAGGAAGATGATATAAAAGGTCTTGAACAGAAGGTATGTTTGTGAAGCGGTTGGTACAAGCCTCCTCCTTAGTAACTACGAACCCTCTTGCTCTGCGCTATCCTTCTTCGCGTTGAGAAATTACCTAGGCCTTTAACAATAGACCATCATCATCGTTATCATCATTAAACCTTTGACCCCCTGAGGGTAACAAGCATCTAATTTCTCCTTACAATATCACCCCTTAGTCACAATGACGAGTTACGAGAATAAAGCAAATGATCGCCAATTTAAGAAGCTTTTGATTGTTAAACAAATTCTCCTTGTCAGTACCCTAAGAAATGTATGAAGAACATTAGGGAGAATATTCATATTGATGTTCCACCATTAGGGTGAACACATCGTCACTCTTCCCTTTTCCTTAACGAAAACCATCCATTCAGCGCGCGCTGGTCAACAGGAAAATTATTCGCAAGCTCTCAAAATCCTAACATTTTTTTGAGTTGAAAGTTAAGCAAACTATTATGACCGGACAAATCACGAAAGTATGCGTTACTGATGTATCCTTCAATCACAGAATTTTTTCCTTTTTTCAGTGGCTTTTCATGCCGCGTCGTTCTTTTGAACATTTCGTGTCTCTTCTGCAATATTGCCCACGTTTTCTGGTTGTTTCCTTTCGTCTAATTGGAATTTTATTCTTTTGTTTCCCACATCTTAGATCGACAAGGCGTTATGTAGATTCAGTCCTGTTTATGAGTCGTTTAGACGCAAGGGAAGCATATCTTGCTTAAAACTCTTCGCAGTTAGAGAAGGAACATTTTGCGAACTGCGACAATATCTGCTCCGCAACAATCCTGCGGCGGCTAATCAAATAAAAATACCACGAGTTGTGAAGACGAAAGAGACGCTCGACATCTTGTTGAGAAATAGGACAATGTAAAAGGTGTTACGGTCGCACATTTTGGAGTCGTTTGTTTCGGCGTTCAAAATCACTTTGTACGCGAATGAAACGTCAAGATATTAGTTTGGCAAGGAACAATAACACCAAAAGAGAAAGAAAATACGAAAGGAGAACGACGATGATACAGATCGGGGATAAACACACGGATTCAGTTAATGTAACGTAACGTTATTATTAACGTCGACTGTTATTCAAATGCCACCCTAACTAGACGGCCGCGCGGTTCCTGGTGAAACCGAGTGTTTTCTGCTTAGGTTTATTAAAGTGGAAAAGAAAAGAGAGTCTGTAATTTGCAGTAAGGCTTGTGAGGTATTCATTACACCTTTAATGTGTGTTTGGCGGAATCGCGAAGATATTAAGTATATCTTTATTGCTTTTCAAGCTGGTTTTGAAAGTGATTTCTAGTTAACCAGAATCGAAATATCTGTTTAGCCTTTTATCAAGGGCGTGAAATATTTAAATCTTAAATTGCTCGTGAACAGAATGGTGTGGCGATAAAGAAAGTGAAATTTTGCCCCAAAAAATTAAGACAGTGTTGAATTAAAGCGGGCCGTTTAGCAAAGTGCGTTCCGCTGAATTGACCAATTTCGACGTGCATAATGACTGATTTTAATCACGAGACTTCGTCATCTGCGCCTGATTCTGCAATCCTTGTGACGCGAGTGAATGTATTAACGAGTTTAATCCTGAACCTAATTTTTTTCCACGAACTTTGAATTGTAATTTTACTTTTGCATCAACTTCAATTTGAAAGCTTTGTTGATATTTTTACGTCGCCATTTGATGATAAATATTTCAACTCATTTCGCCTCTGCAGTCGTTTTCTCGTTAAAGAGCATCGCTTAATCACTGCAGAGCACTCAGTTTTATGACGAAAAGGCTAGATGCCTCTGTCGCCATTTAGGTTCATACAAACTTGTTTGCTGTTTGTGAAATTAGCCCAAAGTTCCTCATTCTTTACTCGCCTACGAGTCGTTAAATTATAAGCGTCAATCTGTAATAACACTGTCCAAACAATGGAGCGGTGTGAAATATTTTTTAAAACGTTCTAGGTTTCAAATTTTCCAAAGTTCGCCTGAGAGAATTATCTAGCAAGACTCTGTGAGGAGTCTGTTACCTCTTTTTCAAATATCTTTTTCATTGCATCCACCGTGAAACCATCAAGTCAAAGGTAATTTTTCGTTGTTTTGATCAATCTGGCATGTGCCTGTTTAAAAACTCCGACGTTTCATTTGTTTTCTTTCATCAGAAATAAAGCAATCTGAGTTAAAAATAGATATATCGATCGTTACGGTTTTAAAGAAATGAACATTTCCGTGCTCTAAGAACGGATGTTTTTAACTTAACCGGCGAGTAATTTTAGCCTTATTCAAAACATAAATTGCTTCTTAAACCATTGTTTTTTTCTCTCTCCACGCAGAACTAACGCATCGGATGGCTTTTGAATTATTCAGCCAGTTTATATCGTACTCACTCGCGGCTTATGTTCTTCCCTAAAATTTACCGCCTTTTAAGACACACCACTCGCCCCAGTCCCCACCATATTATTTTTCCCCAGTCTCCACTCTTATTTTATGTAATTGTAGCATATTTTATTGACATCAAAGATTCAAGAATCTTTGGCTTTTACAGAAACGCAATAACTTACATTACATAATGTATGGAGCGAGAAAAGCCATCGAACGCTCTTTCTTCGTTACCATTGTTAAATTACAACAAGGAACACTTCCCTGTTTTCTTCCTCGGTTTTCGTAGTTCATAAATTCGAAGTAGACGGTTAGGAAAAAAATAAAATCGCCAGCCTTTCAAAATCATCTCTAAATCTTTATATTTTGAAACCTAGTTGAAGAAATCTCTTGTTTTAAGACCTGTGACTAACTGGAGAGCGTGACATTCCATGTCAAACTCGACGAAAGGAGCATACTAAGGCTTAAAACCGCGCCTAAACCCTAATCATTGACACCTTCCTCATTTGTGAGCACCCCAGTCCCCACTCGGTTTGCATGGTTGTAAACACTATCCCGTGAAAGCAAGGTTCGTGCGTTCGCCTTCACGTGTTAGGTAAAATCACGCGTATCAGAACTACCAGTTAAATTCACGATAAATGGCACTTAGTGCTGAAAATATCTCGCAGATTGTAATAATGACGGTCTATTAAGCGCAACTAAGTAAACGAAAGCGGACCAGGTAGGAGGTATTAGGGCGTATTAGTGTATACCACACAGGTAAATGAGTGCTCTTCCCGCGCGCTGTTTGGTTGGTTCGGAAGTGATTAATAAGTACATATACAATTCACCGCGCAGCAGGAGAAACAAATCGAGGGTCGATCCATATTTCGGTACATTGACAGAAATAAGCTATTTTAGGTGTTTCTGTGTGGTATATACAGCTATGCAGTTATTCAAATGCTCTTCGGTGAATAGTGGTCAATTATTACATCACTAACGAAATTCATCGTACCGTTAATGTTTTCTGGATCTCGTATAAGTTCCAATATCGTTTCCTGTATCTGATCAATTACTGCTTCCTTATCACAAGGCGGTGTTAAATTATTGCTTATACACGTGCTCGCACGTTGTCAACACGTGCAGTTGGCCTATAAACCACTTTTTTTTTCGTTAGAAACTCATATAGGCAGTTGTGGGTAAAATTTGTTTGGAAGGGAGGGTCAAAGATTCGTCAATAAAGGTACCTAGCTCTGGTGTTGTGTTTTCTTCTTTTGTCTAGGCTCAACGTTTCTCCACGTCAGAAGCTCCCTGGTTTTCAAGTAGTGCCATCTGCTTTCCGTTATTTTTTTTTTGTTTCAATTTAAGTGTAGATAAATTTTGAATTCAAACTGAGCTCTTTGAATTCACACCAAAGTTCTTGTTTAGGTTGCCAGAGACTTACGTTGCTGATGATAACAATTTAACAACAACCAAGCTAGAGTGTTTTAATTCATTTCGTTCTGCATCACTTGTACTGATATAAGAAATGTGGTTCAATAGTTCTCACGCTCAACTAAACCTAAACAAAGTTACTGGGTGTTTAAGAGGCCGAGTCCAAAACTGTATCGACTGTGGCTAACCATGCGCTCGTTCTTGTTATCGCTTCGAGTTCTATCTATGATCAATGTTTCTGCATTCAGTTCACTGTGTTATTATAAGGATCTTTGGATCAATATCAGTATCTGAGCAACTGCCCACCTACCCCTCCCCTAACCCAACATTAACCCTAACTTGTTATTGGGTTAGGGGAGGGGTAGGTGGGCAGTTGCCCAGATACTGATATTGATGCGGATCTTTCATGTTGAAAGAAAGCTAAAATGCAGTTCTGTTGGTTTTCCGAAGAAATCTACGACGATAGTAAACAACCAAATTACACGGGTATTGTGGTGTTTTTTCTCTATTTAGCTGTAAAGCAAATATTAAGTATCAACAAATAAAGTCTTGAACGAGAGAACTGGCCCTAACTCGAACCAAGCTGCGCGCCAATAATTAGGCCATGATGTTCCACGCACGTTTGCATGTAAACATACTCTCAATCTATCAGGTGGACATTTACAAAACCAGACCATCTTGCATTGTTATTATCATGTTATTTGATGGTTTTCCCTTGTGAAAACTTAAATCCAGTAAGCTACGACTTCTGCAAAGTTATTTTTGCCATCATGTTGTTTACATTTTGCATTTCCTGCGTTCTGTAGCGTTTTTTTTTTTAAGTTAATTTGAATATTTTCAGTTCCTGTTTTATGCCGCAGTTTGTTATGTTGACATGTGAGAAACAGTGAAGGTCATTTAACATGTTTCATATAAATTCGATTTTCTGAATTTCTAGTTCTATTTGTAATTTTTTTTTAAAAATAAAACCATTTATGAATCTTGTTTTGGCTTTTCACAATGAAAATAGAAATTGTTGTCGGCGACCTGAAGGTTTTAGGAATAGCTTTTGTTCCTCGTGAAAATTAACATATCACACGGAGTGTATACAGCTGGATACAACGTTCATCTTAGACCGGTAACAGTTTTTTTTTTTGGGTCCAAAATATTTGGTCCTTCATACATAAATTTTAATTTATCTGGTGAGTGCAATTTTTAAAGAGAGGACAAAACCATTTTTTTACTTGGGTAGGGTACAAAGTCCAGTCAAACCATTTTTTTTTCTTATCGCCGTGTGATTTCGAGGAAAAAAACCATTTTCAGCAATCTGCATATTCTTAAGTGTCACGTTTCCATTTGTGCTTCCCGTTTTTATTTCCTTTTTCTTTATTTATTTCTGCCTTGTAATTAGCTATTTACAATAGAAACTCTTTCAATCTTAGACATCGTCTGTTACTTCCAATCTTAATGGGCTCCTGTAATTTACCGTGCACGAGATGTACAATGAAATCACGCCACTGCTGGCAGGATTTTTATTATTTGATGTCTGATTAATATGCTTTGAAAACCCGCAGAAATAAGATTTCTGCCATGGTAAGCCTCACATAAATTTAGGAGACTTCTATTTGTTTGAAAGGTCCAACATTTCTTTTGCATGTGATATGTGTGATATCAGATTTTGACAAAATTTACTTTTCGGTCGTAAGTGGATATGCGTCGGAAAGATTAGGGGAATAAACCAGGGTCGTTTAAAAAGTAAGCTATTAAAATACTGTCGCTTCAGTCTACCTTTCTCAAATAAACAAATCGTTGAAGCTATAAAATTTAACGCTAGCAAGTGGCGTATTGCATTTAAAACAGATGACGACGATGACTCTAACAAGTTCAGGTTTTTATGCCTCTGGTTCAGCTTGGCGACTTAGCCAACCCCCAAAGGTCCAACAGTATGACTTAGATGGGATTTCTAATGGTCCCAGTACTATTGGCGGCTAACTAATCTCAGTAATGTTTCCGATCAATATCGTGTTTTTGCACTTAATTTGGGATAGTTAAACGATGGGCGATCAACCCATTTGCTCGAGTAACAAAATTCTAAATGAATGTGTTTCGATTTAGACTAAACATGGGGATCCATCAGAGAACAAAATAAAAAAAAGCAGCGAAACGGTCAAACATACTCTTCAAACATAATGCTGCATGAAAAGTTAAGTTGCTAAGTTTTGCATCTGATCACTAAGCTAAGGAGCTGGCGCGAGTTTTCTGGACCAATGACAGAGCGTATTAGTGCAAAACTAATGGAATTTAAAATTGCTTTAAGTACGAGTCGTTTGTAAAGCTGCAGTGAGAGCAGAAATTTTCATGGTTCATCAGGGATGGAAACTTACTTCAGTTAAGGGATCTCGTTTGCGACAAACGTAAGGTATCTATGCTGAGAAATGGAGTGGAACAGAAAACCGGTGTAAAAAATCAATTTAATTGTTCTGCTATGACAACACCCAAGTATTAAAAGTTTTACTTACAACAGAGCTATTTTAATCTATTTTATTTTTTAATACAGAGTCGCTAGTCAGAAAAAAAAAACAGAGCATTACACTAAAAAAAATTAACTAAGTTACTTTTTTCCTTCACCATTTTATTGCAAAAAAATTACTAATTCGGTTAAAAATAACTTCCCTTCTCACGTTGCCACTTGTAAGTTCACGTTTTTCTACGAGCACATTATGCCCCAGTTTTTTTTTTTCGTTATCGATCTTTGTCAACATCTACATCTTTTTAATGGGTTTAAATTGTTTGCAGAGTACAGTAATCGCAGACTCGAACAGTTAGACGCCTTAATTGTTGGCTGGTAAGATTTACATGCAATTAAATCTCTTGAATTGTTTAAGTTTTCTACTTGGGAGAGTTTTATTGTTTTTCCTATGCAATTGCGATTCTCAATCTGAATTAAACGCACATTTTAATGTGAATACAATAAAACAAGAGCAAATTATTCCGAGCCTAATGTATCTTCGAAAGATACTCCTCAATCCAGTACTTGAGTGACAGTAAAAACCTTCTTGGTCGATTTAAATCTTCCAGACGGCGCCTCTCTGGTGTGAATATTAATCACCCGGTGTTTGTTCATGCGAAGCATTTTCAATATGGTTTTCCTTAATTTTCTGTTTAGCAATCCGTACAGTATGGGATTCAAAACAGAGCTAAGATGACTACAGAATGTGGATGCCATCCAAATTACGCGCGAAAAATCCACGTTTGCTAAATTTGTGTTTTTTAGTATGCCTTGAGGTAACCAACAAAGGGTGTAGAAGCTTGTCACAATAAGGATTTTTCTCGCAATGTAGAAATCTTCGTTCCTCATAACCTGCCGGCTTCGCTTACGAGGTGGACTTGATTTCCACGCCTTTCTGTTTCCTTCGAGATTTTCACTACCATCTTGAAAAGTGCTGCTGTGAAATGAAAGAGAAACTTGTTTCCGATGGGATCGCACCAATTTGAAAATCGCAGAGTTGAAGAACACCGTTGCCAAGAAAGTGATGTTCCCAAATACAACTGTTATGACGGACTGAGGTGCTGCGCTCTTGTTCAAAACAATACAAACTGCTTCCTTGCCGTGAAACGTCATTTCCGCCTGAGTCAGCAAATACGAGAGGGAAAGAAGAGACGAAGACATCCAAATGGACATCAGATATAAGAGCGTCAACCGTTTTGAAAATACCTTGGTGTATTTTTTGTAATGAACGATGACAAAATAACGATTTAGACTTATTAGGGTTATGCTAAGATGCGAAGTGGTGAATAAAAATGAGTTTAAAATCGCTTGGTAATCACAAACTTCTTTTCCTAGGCGCCAAGCTCCCTGAATCATAACAGAGGCCAGCAACGGGTGTGTAGTTAATGAGGCGAGAATATCCACAATCGATAAATTCACCACCAGCAAGTTTGGAATGGTCTGTAAGACTTTGTTTTTACGAAACGCTGCGATTATCAGTCCGTTCCCAACTACTGCAAAAATCGTGATCAAAACAGCAATCGTTGATTCCAAAGCGATTGTGGCGTCTGATCGAATAGGTAAATTGTACTCGTTTGCGTTTTTCTCCATTCTTCGAGTTGTTTTCTTCGCTTGGGAAGAGATTTAAACTCGCGAAGGAACCTTCGACTCTTCAGTTTGCTCCGCTACGATCGTTCTTGAACTGATTTCACACATCCTTTCTTCTCTTCGCTGTGTTCATGCCTGTCACTGTGGAAGACAGCTGAGGGCACCTTGCCTTTATTCGTTATATACACATCAACACACGTGTTTGGTAATAAATCATACATACTCGCTTACTCGTGAATTTCAGTCAAGTGGCTACTTGCTCAATTGTGGAAAATTACAATGCTGTTGTAAACTACTTAGCTGATAAATTCACGAAGAGGTGGAAGTTTCAAATTGCTTCCTGTCTAGATTTTAAATGGCGATCGTAAATGGATTGCTGTATTTAGTGTTAAGTGTACCCGCTAAAAAATTGTAATCATAAAGCCGTATATTCAGTTTAACAAAACATAAAACTATGCGGAAGATGAAAAGGGAAACATTCAAATTTTTCCTTGAACAATTCATTCATGGACTAACACCGAATCTTGTTAACACATTTTACTAAAGAATGATATGTTCTTAAACGTTTATCTCTAATACTCTGATTACGAAAAAAAGCGTTTTTATGCGCTTAGACGAATATATGTTACAACTCAAAGAGAAATCTTGAATGTTTTAATTCATCTTTGAATGAGCCATAAACAAGATTAATTGCGCATTAACGCCTTCAGTCTCAAAACATTGGATTTATGACCGGGCGCAGGTGAATTCTTATTGCCGACGCACGAGAGTGTATGTTACAAACATGCCTTCGAAAACCAGCTCACGAGAACCTCACGTGCAAAGTTCTATTTTTGAGATAAACACATTTACTGAAACTTTAACCGCGTAAAATTAAAAGATACGAGTTTAAAACTGAATACTGAGGAGAATTGTGTTGTCGATTGAAGGAAAGTAATTGGTAGGCGGGGACAAGTTTTAAACCCTGAAGCTTCGACTAAATTGGATAAATTCTGTCGCCTGAATAGATTTGTTTTGTCGAGTGTCACTTTTCTCCAATATATTGACTTCTCGGATAACGGTCGGAATGTTATTTATAGGTTTCAGAGGATTCTGAATAAAAATAACCACCGCTTCTTCTAAGTGGGGTAAATTTAAGGGAAGAATGTACCGGATTGATACATTTTAATCTGCTCTGAATGAAATCTATCAATCAAATTCAAGTTCAAAGAGTCATATAATTTTGCACGAGAGTTCACTCAAGAGAAGGCATTGAGACTGTTTTTTTAGTATTACGTTCCCGGACTTTCGAAGTGCACATCGTAATTCCTTTTTCCCTCTGCTTCCAAAGATAAAGTCTCAAGTTGCCGCGAGGTTTTTGAGAAAAAACATGATCACCATGATGAAATACAAAAATTTCAAATTTATCATTGATGTGACTTTCGGTGCTCTTAAATTAAAAAAAAAATATATATATATATTATATATCAAGAACTAAAAAAAATATTTCCATCTTCGCTTGAAGAAAGATCGGTGAGCTGGGTGCTTACTTTTATTAAGCACACCAAAATCTCAAATCAAATGAAACTGTGAAAGAAAGAATACTTATGCATATGGGTGATTCATTAAAATTATCGACGAATTTTTTATGTTTGTTTTAAACATAAATAGAAGTCAAAGGTTAGATTTGAGGCATATATAAAAAAAATATCTCCTTTATCAGGTTCTGTAAGTTGCTGCATCCTTTGCAGTGTTCAATGTACAAATTTAACTCAGAAGGTAAAAATTTGCATTTTTCATGATCGTGAAAGGTCACTGGGTTATGCCATCGCATGTAATCTTTGTAACGACTGACCCAATGAATTGCAATCCAGTTAAAATGTCTGAAAAGCTCGTGAATATATTAGCATTTCAAGGGTAACAAGGTAGTTGCGTTGGATTGCATTCCTGGAGGATGGAAGGTTATGAAAAGTCGCGACCTCTCTAACATCATTGGAGCCTTAGATCGTGGGAAGGTCAATAGCCACGTGGCTAGTTATTACATTGCACGTTTTTGACAAAGCTCACGTGCGGCGCGTGTAGACTGCACGTTTGAGAACCTGCTAAGAACAATGAACATTTTATAGACTACTACCTAAACCTTTTTGTCAAGTTTAATTTGGCAATAACATGAAGGACTGAGATGTCTTGTAAACAATTTTGTTTACAGAGAATGATTCATCGACAACGTAGCAGTGCGTCCGCGTAGTCAATTTTTATTTTTTTTTTTTTGGTAAAAAAAAGTCTTTGACAGAAGTTGCGTAACGGTTTAAGGTAAAAACGTATGTTACGTAATTTTTTAAACTCTCTTACAGCCTCGTTACGTAATGTGACTTTCAGATCAAAGAATCGGACCAAAAACTCGCATACTTTACTCTCATAGCTCTAATTTATCTAGGCAATATGAAATACAGTCGGGAATGTGCTTTCAGATGTATAAAAAAATAACTACTTTTGGTATTAAACGGCTGTTCGTGGCTTTCACGAGTCAATGCACGCGTGAAACTGAAATGAAGGCGTAAAAAACTGAAAAAGGGGGCTGTGAATTTACGTGGGCAAGTTGAATATATAGTGGAAAATTGTGTAAAACTTGTTAATAAAGATGAAATTTGTGCAGTGTTGTATTAATCCGAACTGAATTCTGCGTTAAATTCTAACCTGGTGCAGAATTGGGGAAGGATTGATGTTCATAAAACCTTGAACTCGCTAGTTTTTGAAGGCTTCGGCAATGTTCCTTATCGTCATCTTTCGGTATTTGAAGTCGTTTACAGGTAAGTCGTATGTTTTTTTTTTCAAGATCTCTATTTAAGCATATTGATAAACCTGAATGCAATTATTATCGATCTAGAAGGCAAGAACAATTTCGGTCGAAATGAGTGCCTTGATACACAACATGTTTTGCTCTACATGCATACGTTCCCCAGTTTTCCTTTTGCAATATTTTCTTCCTCCTGTACATCGTTGGTTCTTAGATCATTTAGACAGAAAAATTGAATTTATGGCAATTTATGGATCGCCTAGCTTGTTTATAGGGGGGTTAAATCAAAACGTGAAATAAACAAAAAACTGATGGTGTCCTATAATTTTTGTGCACAAAATAAAAAGTTTACATCTTGAGGGGTGCTAAGGTTAGCCTAAAGTCTCTTTGCATAGCCGATTAAATCTCAGAAAATGTTGCTAAACGCATTGGTGAGTGAAAAACAGTGGGCAATAATTCATAGGTTATAATTTTTGGGTGGAAATAAGCCATTGCAGCGTTTCTTATTCCAAACGAATGCCGAACGCAAGGAAACTTTGAAAGCTCGCGAGCATGTTACGTAATAATCAAATGGCGTCGCTAAACATGTCGACTTTCGCCCTCACACTCTATCAAATGCAGCATCAACAACTAGAGATAAAAAAACAAAATTTTTAAATATAAAACTCGTTTGTGGTTAGTTTATCTTTCAGTCAGTAGGCTATCTCGGGCGTTGAAGGCGAAACATGCTGGGAATTTATGCTCTCTTCATCATGTTCAAGGTATGATATTGAACACTGCGTGAAAGCAACTTTTGCATTTATGCTCTGTTTTGACTTGAAAAAATAGTTAGCAAAAATGAAAAGAAACATCTGCGCTCAGAAAATCCACTGCGTTCGTTATTAATTTTTTGTTCAGATTTTCAGTCGGGTGGTGAGAGGGGATGTTCTGAATCCGTATCATGTATGACCTAGTGAGCGTGAAGGAAAATCCGCTTCTGCTGTTTCGCAGCTTTGACTTTGACTTTGAATCAGCGACATTCAAGACACGTTTTTGAGGCAAAAACAATGGTTCAGTTGAATTCTATGTTTAAAGACTGTTTGTTTCGCAAAATTATCAATTCGAATGATTAAACCATAAAGACTAAAGATAACGTACCCACTGCGGAATGAATTCCTTTCGGGATACAACGACCCAATAATACATTGCGAATTTTAGAAAATGAACTGCTACATTTGAACTGTTATACGTTTCATGTTATTTGTTTTTCAATTGGAATATAAAATGAGCCGTCACATGAAAGATAGAACTGTATAAAGTTTAATGGTCTGTAGGTTTGATTTGCAAGGCCTAATACAAGAGTATGCGATTCCGATACTTGAAATAATTCGGGTCAAAAACAGTGTCATTTGCATTACTGTGTAATGTAAAGAAGCGAAAGGAGAGGTGAAAAAATACAGGTACTAGAAAATGTGAAATGGCCCACGAAGGGCTTGTTTTCTGTGAATCTGATTGCCATCTTTAACCACACATATGACAGTGAAACGGCTTTTGCTATGTAACGTATTGTAAGATTCGGCTGCTAAAACCCGAATCGGTACTCACATGAAATCTAAGTCTTAGTTGCATTTCTGTTTAAGATGAAGCAGCCAAAGCAACGGAATGAAATACTTATAGTATGTTCGGCGTTCAGATTGCAATACTTTACTTCAAGCGACGGATTCTACCACATAACATAACATGACTTAGACTCGGCTTCAACGCACTTTTGAGTTTTTTTTTTCCTCTTAGACTTTTATTAAGCCTAACCCTGCGTAAATCTTGAAAGATTTATCTAAATGATATGAAAAGTCAGCCTGAGAAAACAAACTAGTCGTTGGTTTGTCATAGGTTCGAAATTTTTCGCTATATCTGGGTTTATGCACTTTAATTTGTTTCAGTTGTCGAATTACGTAATTCTTTTTGTCGTAAAGTAGAAATTTGCAGGAAGTTTTAAGACGTGATCGCTTCCTGTGATTCAATAGATTTAGCCTAAGCATCGATCAGATTCACACTAGATATTACCGCAGAAATTGTGCAATTTTGCCTCAAAATATATCCTGTTATTTCACCTTTTCAATTATTTTACCGCAAGTCAGTTGATAGTAAGGAAGTAAAGAAGAGAATTTGCAACATTAATGTTTTTAGTTTAAAATTTCTAGAGTCATGGAACTTTTAATCATAATTGAATCAATTACGTAACGCTCCTACGACTTTCTAGTAGAATGGCATAAGTCGTCCAAAACAGGACGATGTACAAATATTTTCCGCATAATTTTCATATTCAGAATTTACGCTTTAAGGAAAAGATTACCAAGCAAGAAAAAGCACGATTCATTACTGAGAATTCTGGATCGATAGAGCTCAACATATGGCCGGAGAAATACAAGGAAACGTGGTTTGAAGTTGTTCATTTTCATACATGCTTATATGGTGGCCCTGGTAGTATAGTAACGTGATAAATGTGTACAAACAACTATAAAAATTTCTATAATTTTTCGAAATTGAAAAACACAGTTTCTCCGCTGAAACAACACCTGACGGAACGAAGCTTGGTTAGAAATTCAGGCTAAGGTTTCTTAGCTAGTGGACGAGTTAAAAGTTTTTGTTGCAGTACAAAGACTACTAAACGAAGCGGTTTTACTATTTTATTGGAGAACGCGTAACCAAAACATACAACTCAGTTTTTTAAAACGACGATATTAAAAGGAAGGCGAGAATGAGAGAAGGCTTGATACTAACGCAAATGTTCAAGGATGAAATGTTTTGTTTCTGCTGCGTTTTTAGCGCTTTCTGCTGTGTTGGTGAAAACGAATTGAGCTCTAATTAAGATTCCGTCCTAATTTCATGCGAATCCCATGCAAGTTATGCACATGATAGAATCGTACTTCAGCTAAAAAAGGAATCAACTCAGCCATTTCTTCCGACTTTTTATTTTCATTTAACACCATTTCTAGCTGTAAGGATATAGTGATCCTCAGAGAGGCATCAATATGGCGTTTCTAATTGAAAGTTATTCTTTGCTTTTCGATGTTTTGTTGAAACGTGTCCGAGTAACTTAGTTTCGAGAGCCGAAACCTCTGACTCACATCTTAATCACTGGAATGTTTACAACTCACTAAGTTTGGATAAATATACTCATGGTTGAATAGAAATCTTGGCTATTTGTTTACTTGTACTGGATAAGGCTTGTTTTCGTCGTTACTGCAGCCTCTTAAATATAACAACTCGAAATATTGATAGTCGAATGAAAGGACTCCTTTAAGGAGATAAGGAAGAACTTTGCGGAATTTTGGCGAGAGATCGAACAAAAGTTACGCCCTATTTCATATCGGGAAAATCTTTGGGGTATGTTTAAGTAATAAAAGTGATTTTCATGTTGCATGCGAACTGAATTTGTCTTAACCTGGTGATTATGCAGTAAAAGTTGATCATAAGCTTCTTGTGTAACCCAGTCTTTTACAGATCTTTTTTCGCTGGGAAGGACTGAAACAGGATAAGTTTGGCGCGAGTGAGTCGAATTTCAAACAAGTCACGTGGACGTTTGCAGCACATGGCAGCATGCAAAATGGCGGACGATGTTGAACGATTCTACAGGTTTCCTGGGTTGTCTTCTGGACGACATGATGTAACGATTTCTGAGTTAAAATCGGCGTCTGCTAGGTTGGATGTAACAGATCTATCGACAGAAATATGTTTTAACGTAAGTATACAAGGAAACAACAAGCTAGACGAGGCTGAATCGAAGAATTTGCTGTGGTTGTTGACGAACTCTTTCGAAGTGGAAAATGTTGGTCGAAGGTCGTTTTTGGATGAATCTGAAGCCCCAGAACTCGGTTACAAAGTAATGATTGAAATTGGACCGAGGCTTAATTTTTCAACAGCTTGGTCGACAAACGCAGTCTCTATTTGTCGTTCGATTGGTTTGGAAAGGATCGACCGCATCGAAAAATCAGTTCGATATTTGATTCATGTCACACCTAAAGACAGGACTGACACGGAAGGCATCACGAAAGACGAGGAGAATGCGCTTGTCGCTAAGCTTCACGACAGAATGACCGAATGTCGTTATGAGAAGCCACTGACGAGTTTTAGAGTGAATGTCAAACCAGAGAGATGCTATGAAGTTGATTTAATGGCCGAGGGCCGTACGGCTTTGGAAAAAGTGAACCGGGGTCTAGGACTTGCATTCGACGAGTGGGATCTGGATTACTACACTAAATTATTCCAAGAGAAAGTGAAAAGAAATCCAACCAGTGTGGAATGTTTTGATTTGGCTCAATCAAACAGTGAGCATTCACGCCATTGGTTCTTTAAAGGAAAATTGACAGTTGATGGACAGGATGTGGAAGACTCCTTGTTTAAAATGGTGATGAAAACACAGGAAACAAGCAACGACAACAACGTTATTAAATTTAGTGACAATAGCAGGTACTGACAGTGACGCAAATACAAACAAAAATTTCGGAATAACTGCAAAATACCCTGCATTATTTTATGACCATTTGAGTGATGTAAATGCTTCAAAGAAGGAGGGTTATCTAACGAAAACACTGTTTTGGCCCTCTGATGAAAATCAGTGCCAGGGTATTCTGCAGTTAAGCCCAAATTTTGCTTACACTCTACAACAGGTTTTCTCTGAGTTATTTATCAAATAAATGACAAGAAAAGGTATTAATAAGCTTGTACTCAAAATGATGTTGCATGAAAGATTGGAGAAACAAAGAATTTTTATTGCGTGATAAGGAAGGGTGACTAGCATTTATTTTCTCCCTTCAGTATCACCCCTGAATCAAACATTAAGGTCATGAGAGTAAAGGAAATGATCACCAACTTAAGAAGCTCTTTATTAGTAAAGAAATTCTCCTTACCAGCACTATAGGAGATGTCTAGAGAACAGTATGGAGAATATTCATTCTGATGTCAGGGTGTAAAGGGTGAAGTTTTGTTTAGAATAGAATTTTGGTAACTCTTACACAATAGTCCATTTTACAGTTGTGTGCTTGGTTGCCAAGCCTTTGAACAGGAATGAGGCTAAGGGTGACCTTGTTATGATACAAACCTTGCTGCTTTTCAAATGTAAATTACTTTGTTATCATGCTAACTAGATACTGGTCTCTATCACAGCAAGGTCACCTTCAGCCTCACTCCAAATCAAAGGCTTGGCAACTAAGTACACAACTGTAAAATGACCTATTAATGACTAACTGATAGACATGGTAAATTTGATGATAAGTCAGAGAGGAATTCAGAATTAGCCATTCTTATTTTTCAGTGCGATAACTGGTTTTGAGGTCTCCTTGCTTCTTCCCCAAGATTGTAAGAAAGCTGCCAAGTTTCAATTGAAGCACAAGTGTCTGAGGCACATCATCTTCACTGCTGAAACACACAACTTTCCCACAGGTTAGAAATGACATCTTTTCAAAGGACTTAAACTTTACCATGCTCCACAGACTTTAACTTCATCCAAATGCCAATGATGCAGTACTTGAAATTCTTGTTTGTGCTTTGAAAAAAGGTTCAACTGGCAGTAACTAAAGCATTAAAAAGTTATTTTACTGTCTTGTTGATGATTCAACATTTGTAGGAAACTGTGAAGAATATTTGAGTTAAGTTCTGTTTGTGGTAAAATCAACTGTATTAAAGTAAAGCTAACTTGGAGGTCTTCTTTTACTGGTAGGCGTGGCACCATTCCCAGGAGCGACTACTGGTACAGGAGGGAGGATCCGAGATGTTCAGGCTGCTGGTCGTGGGGCACATGTTGTTGCTGGTACAGCTGGATATTGCTTTGGCAATCTTCATATTCCAGGTGAGAAAGAAAATGTCTGTGTCTTTTTGAAAGGTGATGGGGTGTGCTCAGGGAAAGAAACTGTTCTCAAAGGGAGATGAACCTAAGGTCTTTTGTCTTTTTAGGGTAAATTTTCCAAGCACTGAGCAATTTGAGACTAAGATCATTGAATTGGATTCATGCATGAGAGATATTTGTGATACAGATGTTCTCCTTTTCAGGCAATAACTGTTAAAATTCACACCTTTAACCTTTTAACTTCCATGTGTGACCAAGACAGAATTTCTCCTTACAATGTTAATACAATATCAATCAGATAAGTGACGAGAATAAAGAAAAATATCAATTTGGGGATAATTAGTTAATCCCCAATACTAAATACTCTGAACTAACATTATAAGAATTGTATGGTTGACAGTAAGGAGAATTGCAAACTTGGTCTGGGAGTTAAAGGGTGAATACCACTTCTTATTGCCTAAATCATTTGGAATCTTTGAATATTCATCTGGTGAAAGGATTGCTTTATTAGTTCAAAATAACAGAGGACACTGTTTAAGACAGTAAATGGTTCAAGAACATTTAATTATGAAGTTTGGAATTCATTTGTGGCCTTACCCTATTGCTTCCTAGATTTTATAATTTGTTCTCGCTACTATTTGCTTGGTTGTTGTTTTTTTTTTTATCCTCATTGCGCATTTTCTCAACGATGTGTTGATATTTTTAACCCTTAACTCCCATAAGTGATTAACATGTAACTTCTCCCCATAACATCCACACATTATTCAACTAACATCTAATGAGAGTACTCAAACTTATCAGGTAGAAGTTAGAAGTTTCGATCTAACACTAAATTCTTGCAATTTACTTACAAGGAAATGTGTAGCAGCTAGAGAGGAGAATTGAAAATCAGATCTTGGGAGTTAAAGGGTTAAGGAGAAACTTCCTATTCACTCCTGGGATTGAGCAGATGGAGCAGATCTGATCAGGATTTTTTTTTCACTTCGTACTGAGGAAAACAATGCAAAATAAACATAAGCTGTCTCAAACCAAGATCTCAATTTTTCTTGCAACTATATGTAATTATGTGTTCTTCATTGTCAGGTTACGAACTTCCCTGGGAAGATGCAGAATTTGTGTATCCAAACAACATGGCTCCTCCTGTTGAGATTGCAGTAGAGGCCAGTAATGGAGCATCAGATTATGGCAATAAATTTGGAGAACCAGTCTTGGCTGGGTTTGCCAGGTCATTTGGTATGATGCTACCAAACAGACAGCGACGTGAGTGGGTCAAACCAATCATGTTCAGTGGTGGTATTGGTATGATTGATGGAGAGAATGTGACTAAACTGCAGCCTGAGAAAGGTAAGTTTAACCCTCTACACCCTAATATCAGTAGATGTATTCTCCATACAGGTCTCAATACGTTTCCTAAGGTATTGACAAGGAGAATTTGTTTAACAATCCAGGGCGTGAAATTGCGCCTAATACAGGCGCCAATGCGACTAAATTTTTCACTTTGGCGACCAAATCCTGAAAGTTAGTTGCCAAATTGGCGACTAGAACGTTTCATTATAACCTTACCAATAGATATAGAGAATTCAAAAATTTGCAAAGATAACTCCGCGGCAAACTTCCTCGTTAAGTTTGTTTCCAAAACGTAGCACATGCATCTCGATCAATAACTAGACACCATCTTGAATTTAGATAAGCCTGAATGTTGTATATCATCCAACCCAGTGTCCACTTTGTAGCACGTTAAAGATCTTTTCCCTAACTTAATTTTGGAGGGCCTATCTAGAACGCTGACAGCGTAAAGAAAGATTTTGTTTGTCTTTGAAAATGGCGACCAACTTTTTTTGAATTGGCTACCACTTTGAAGAATTTAGGAGCCAAGTGGCTATCAGAAAAAAAAGTTAATTTCACGCCCTGCAATCTGGAGCTTCTATCATCAGTGATCATTTCCTTTTTTCTTGTGACCTTTATGGGTGATTTTGTGGGGTGATATTGTAAGGAGAAATTAGATGCTAGTCACTCTCAGGTGTTAAAGGGTTAAACACAGCTCCAAAGGGATAGTCTGCTTGTGAGACTGATCCTGAAAGTTTCCAGAGCTCAGCCCAGTTTTCAAAGCACAAAGCAACTGGGGATACTGTACATGTATTTCCTTATTTAGCTGCTGAAGGATTTATTGAATTTTTGGTTTTACTTAAGGTATATAATTTTTATTTGAGGGTGCCACATATTTGTTATCATATATCCAGAAATAATTCTTAGACATGTCGAAAGTTCCTGTGTCCTGAGCTATGATTATCATACTGCAATTACTGGGACCAAGGTGCCAGACGACTATATGTTTATTTCAGAAAGACATGCCCTATCCATGTGGTAGTACTTGCTATGACAATTTGCTCAACATATAACACATGTCAGAAAAAGAAACTGTTGAAGAAGGTTTGATCAGGGAGTATTACCAACATAAACAAATACAACACAGTACTTTTCTTTTAAAGGAATGGAAGTTGTCAAAGTCGGTGGGCCTGTGTATCGTATTGGAGTAGGAGGTGGTGCTGCATCATCAATTCAGGTTCAAGGAGACAATGAATCAGAGTTGGACTTTGGTGCTGTTCAACGTGGTGATGCTGAAATGGAACAGAAACTTAATAGAGCCATCAGAGCCTGTATTGAGATGGGGTCTGACAACCTGATTTGTAGTATACATGATCAGGGTGCTGGAGGAAATGGTGAGATTTTTATGATATCTGGAAGTAAATGAGTGTTTTGTAGAAGTTTAGATATTGATGAGAGACAAGGATTTCTCACGTCTTTTGTAAGCAACATCCTCACCTTGAATAATGAAAAATATTGACTATTTTTTTTTAGTGGCAAAGATGATTCTAGACATACATGTAATTACTGTTGAGTGTTTTACTCCTAGAAGTGATTAACATGTAACTTCTTCCTACAATCCCTACTCGTTATCTTGTAAATAAGTAACAAGAACAGAGGAGCTTATCAGCTAGAGGGAAATATTCCAATATAGGACCAAATACTTCTGTCTAAAGACAAGCAAAAAATGGCAGTAAGTAGGGAGAATTACTTATTGGATCTTGAGAGTTTAAGGGTTAATGCAGTCTTTATAAGTGGGAGATAATATCAGGGCTGAAGGAAGAAACGAACTCCGAGTCCCATTCCATCCATTCAATATTCGAATTTTTTAATGGATATTATTTGTAAGAAATTTTATTTCATTGCAAAACATTTCAGGTAATGTTCTTAAAGAGATATCGGAACCAGCAGGGGCTGTTATTCGAGTGAAAGACTTCATTCTTGGTGATCCAACCATTTCTGTTCTGGAGCTGTGGGGTGCTGAGTACCAGGAGAGCAATGCCTTGTTGGTGCGTGCTCAAGACAGAGACCTGCTCCAACAGATATGCAATAGGGAGAAGGTGCCAGTGTCCTTTGTAGGGGAAATAACAGGTTAGACATGGGATGGATAAACAAGTTGGACTTCTAATATGTCTTCTAGGAGGAGTGGGAATGGAAGTTGGTGTAATTTTTGCCCTAACCTGTTGCTGAATTTGGGTGGAGTATGTTGTTGGCTCTGGTCTGCTGCAAGATTTTCATTCAGTTTGTTTTTCTTTCTTTCCTCCTCCCATGAAAATAAAAAATTCTGTGATCTGGAAAAAGGAGAGTAAAGCCAACTTGTGATTTCACCAGATTAATTCAGTTCCATTTGTTTTTGACAGTTACTCCAAACAACTTGAAATCAGACAACTAGGTGTATGTTCCTTCAAACATATCCATTGAGTGTTTTGAGTATATTTTTACCTTAAGTGTTGTAGCAGTTCTTTCCACTTTGTGTAACTATATAGTTTACATGAAGTCCTGTGAAAATAGTATATAAAAGGTTTTTTTGCCCTTTAATCAACAGTTTATCATACTCCATTCTAAACACATTCAAGTTTTGTACGATGTTTTGTGTGTACAACAGCTTTCAGCCTAGCAGACATTTTTTAAATTGTTTTCCCAAAATTTGTAGGTGATGGGAAAATTGTGCTCGAAGATGAACCTCATACTGACTCAAAGAATGGACCTTGTTCAGAGGAAAATGGTGTCCCAAGCAAAAGACAGAGAATAGCCACACATCCTGTGGACCTTGAACTTGAAGTTGTACTTGGCAAAATGCCAAGAAAGGTAGTCCATCTCTAAGGGGTGTAACCAAGGAAACAGTCTGCTTGTTAATAATATAACTGAGCTGGGCCAAGAGAGACTAGTTCACAGTACACCACATCCAGTTTTTTTTCTTTTAAGAGGAACTTGTAACTTTATATTCAGCTTGTAGGTTTTTTGGAAATTGAGTTCACTTAAGTAAAAATTAAAGAAACTTGTAATTTATTTATGATATTCTTCATTATTTGCTTTAATGTATGAAATGTAGATATGATTTTCCCTAAGTGGAAAATGATGGAGAATCTATAATTATGAGCCTTTCAATTATTATATAGACTACTGGATATTTGCAATTTATGCATATTGCTTCCTCTCACAGGTTTTTAAGTTTGAACGCGTAAAGTCAAAGTTAGTTCCATTGTGTATACCACCTGAACTCACAGTCAAAGAAATGCTGGAAAGAGTTTTACGTCTGCCAGCTGTTGCCAGTAAGAGATATCTTACAAATAAGGTAGGGTTTCTTCTTTTTTTTATTAATCTCTTTTTTTTATTAATCAATGTAATAAAAACATCGTACATCATTGTACAGTATATGCTGGTTATTGTTATTCATTTTCATCCAGTGGGTGAGTGTGATAAGAATATATACATGGTATACAAAAAGTGATTTTTTAGCTGTTTTGTCTGGTTTTATATTTTGGAAGCTGGCTGTTTTGACTGATGAATATATGTGTATCATTCAACCTTGATGCTTCCAAGAAAGAAGGGTGGTTTCCCGAGAATTTTTTGGATTTATCCAGAATATTCTGTTACAAACTCACCTACACATTGCTTTGCTGAAATTGTTTTTACCATAAGTTTTAAGGTATGCAAATCTCGGCTCTAAAACAAGCACGATCTTGGACAAAATTATTTCCATGACAGGGTAGACTGTAGTTTTGTAATATAATGTCATTGTGTGATAGTGTTGTGAATTGTTGTCGCATGAAACCTTTTACCCCTAAGAGAGACCAGCATTCAGTTTCACCCTTTAGTGTCACTGTTGAATCACATATTGAGGTCAAGAGAATCTAGGTTATGATTGCCAACTAAATAAATTCTGGATTGTTAAACCATTTATTGTTGTCAATGCCCTTAGGAAATGTATAGAGGATAATATGCATTGTAATGTTTGGGAGTAAAGTTTTTTAGTTTTTCATGTTGAGTTACATTCATTGTCAAGGAGATTATACTTAAACTTGTCACTAAGAAACTGAAACCAGTTGCAAAATTCCTCAATGTCACAGAACCTGGAAAGCGTCCCAAGTTTTTAGTTAGGTTCTGTTGTCTTATATCGTAGGTGAAACATTCTGTTTGCTCTTTAAGGTTGACCGCAGTGTGACTGGTCTGGTTGCCCAGCAACAATGCGTGGGTCCCTTACATACCCCTGTGGCCGACGTGGCGGTTACCGCGCTGACGCATTTTGACACTGTGGGCTCAGCAACCGCAATAGGGGAACAACCAATCAAAGCTCTCGTTGACCCAGGATGTGGCGCACGTATGGCTGTGGGAGAAGCACTTACCAACTTGGTTTTTGCTAGAGTATCAGATTTGAAGGTAAGCTTTACAACTTGAATAAACTTGAAATTACTGGCGAAAAGCTCAGACTCTTTCGTCTTCTCAGCCTTGTAATATATGAATGAAATCTTTCAACGCAACGACAGAGCTCGAATTCTTTTAATCTTTTTAGTCATCTGTTTTTCTTTTAATTTGGTTTTATTAACTGAGCTGATAATGTGCATTGCCACCGTGAAGAGTTTCTAAAACCGATGTGTCGAGCTTAGACCTTTGTTAGAATCTCAGGAAGTGAGATGCTTTGAATGGTGAATTTTAGGTGAACCATTCAACCTGAAAGCTTCCCAGAATAACTGAAATAGTGAGTTGAATTCCACAGAATGACCTCTCTTTAAGGTTTTACTTTCTGTTCTTGGACTCACGGACATCTTGAGATCAGGACGTTTTCTTGGTCAAGAAATTCCCTACTCCTGCCATTTTCAGAAAGACAGAAAGAACTTCTTTCTTTCTGTGTGATAGTGGCCTCTCAAAGAGATTATGGAAGAATTGTAGCTGTCAGACTGGAAGATGATTTTTATTTAATGAGATTGACATCAAAGATGCAGACAGAACACTTTTTAAACCCAAAAGGACAAGAGAGGTCGATTTTACAAGTTGCAACACAAGCGAAATTGTTCTGCGAGTGAAATTCGCCCTTTTTCGAAACACGCCAGGCATGCTAGTCGAGAAACTGCCATGGAAACCTGATGGAATTCGGGGGTGGAGGGGGAGGGGGGACTAGTGGGGGGTAACCTTGTAAATGACTGGCATCCCATTCAGGTGGGAGTGGTAATACTCCTAGTTGCTTCATGCCACACGAACTGGAATAAACTGCGGCGCATTGTGGGCCATTTAGCTTGAGTGCTGATTTAATTTTCTAAATATCCCCTATCCTGACATCAGTCTATGTCATCTGGGTGCAAAGCGTGGTTTTTGAACATAGACATCAAAAAAACCTTTGCATATCCTAATTACTGTTCAAACTATGTGAAACATCTCTCTCCTGTGCCAGGATGTTAAATGCAGTGGTAACTGGATGTGGCCTGCCAAACTACCAGGCGAGGGAGCTGCTCTGTATGATGCTTGCGCAGCCATGTGTGATGTGATGGCATCCCTAGGTGTTGCTGTAGATGGAGGGAAAGATTCTCTCAGCATGGCTGCAAGGGTTGGTCAAGACACAGTCAAATCTCCGGGGTCGCTGGTCATTTCAGTGTATGCTGCCTGTCCTGACATTCGTGCCACAGTCACCCCAGATCTGAAGATTCCAGATGGGAAGGGAAACCTTTTGTGGGTCAAATTTGGCAGCGACTCTAGATACAGACTTGGAGGAAGTGCCCTGGCACAGGTTTACAATCAGCTTGGCAGCGAATCTCCTGATTTAGATAACGCTAAGGTAAGATGACTCTCAAACCCTTGGGTTTTAATTACCTAAACGTCGCAACGACGACGCAAAGGTTTGCATCTTCAACTCGTTATAAGTGACGATAGTGTTATATCGTTGTGTTCCTTTACGATGATGAATGATTAAGGAATACTTTTTCAGATTTTTGAAGCCGCGTTCAGAACAACTCAACAGCTGATATCGGAGAGAAGAATCGTCTCTGGCCACGATGTAAGTGATGGGGGACTGGTCACGACCCTCTTGGAAATGGCCTTCGCTGGAAATTGTGGCCTGTCGATTAACATCCCATGCCAAGACAACTTTAATCCGACGGTGAGCAAGGTGGCCGATGTTCTTTTCGCTGAAGAGCTGGGAATTGTGGTGGAAGTAAAGGAAGACGAAACTGAGTTTGTCATGAATGCTTTCCTTGCAAAGGATGTTCCTTGCCTGCAGATAGGAAAGGCTGTCGGAGTGGGAGAGGGTGCAATGATTTCCCTACGGGTCAGAGACGAGCTCGTGCTGGAGCAGAACATGGTTGATCTGCGAGATATCTGGGAGGCCACAAGCTTTCAGCTCGAGCGATTGCAGACAAATCCACGGTGTGTCCAGGAAGAGGAATTTGGTCTTCGAAAGAGACATGCACCAGATTACAAACTGTCATTCAAACCTGTTCCTGCATCTCCACTGGGTGATGTCCGTCCTAAAGTAGCCATTATACGAGAAGAAGGCAGCAATGGCGACAGAGAAATGGTGGCAAGCTTTCACATGGCAGGGTTTGAAGCATGGGATGTTACCATGCATGACCTCTGCAATGGATCCATGAAGCTGGATGGATTCCGTGGTGCCGTGTTCGTGGGTGGCTTTAGCTATGCAGACGTGCTTGGCTCCGCAAAAGGCTGGGCTGCAGTGTGTAACATAAATAGCACTGTGCGCTCACAGTTAGACGCCTTTTTCTCCCGGGAAGACACTTTCAGTTTGGGAGTATGCAATGGCTGTCAGCTGATGGGCTTGCTGGGCTGGGTGGGGCGGGATGCCCATACGACAGGATCCAATCAGGGTGTTTGCTTTACTCACAATGTTTCAGAACGCTTTGAATCTCGTTTCGTGACGGTTTCCATCCAATCCAGTCCAGCCATGATGTTCCGTGGTATGGAGGGGTCTGTCCTTGGTATCTGGGTTGCACACGGTGAAGGACGAATCCAATTCCGCAACGACAGTGTGCTTCAGGATGTCACTACCAACAAGCTAGTTCCCCTGTGCTTCGTGGATGACGACGGTGTTCCAACCACTCAGTACCCGCAGAATCCCAACGGATCCCCGCAGGGTATGGCGGGATTGTGCTCTCCGGATGGCCGACATCTGGCGATGATGCCTCATCCCGAGAGATGCACATTGTTGTGGCAGTGGCCTTGGATGCCGCCTGATTGGCAGGACTCACTGAAAGCATCACCTTGGCTTCAGATGTTCCAAAATGCTTACAAATGGTGCATGGAGACACATAGCGGATAAACTTTTCTTAAGGTTCGATTTACATTTAATATTTTTTTACCTTGAATATCGTTGTGTAAATGGCGAATGAGATAGGATGGACTATTGGAGACGTTATGTTGTGTGGGATTAGTTGGTTCGGGGATGGACGTAAGTGCTTAAAACCTTGCCAAGAAAATTTAATCTCGTACCCAAATCTTTCGTAAGTGTTAAATCAACGCTTGAAACTCGAAAATCGCACACAAAATTCCATTTTCAAAAACGTCGTGGAAGAGATATCGTCGAAAAATTCCTAGATGTGAAGTTTCTGATGGTCCATCCCTAAATAACGGCTTATTGCTTTGAAGAAAATTACAGCTTCTTCATGTACATAGTGTGACGAGTTCTTTTCTGCATGTAAGCTGTTGTGTCCCTCTGTGTATATTTTGCTGTCCAGGAGAATGGAACGTTTAATTCAGCAGGGACATTGTCACCCGTTGGCACATTTCCTAACTACATTAAATAAGTTATTTAGCCCTCTGCAAGTCTTTTCCTTGAAGTTAGCTTGTGGAACTCAAAAGTTAAGCAACTAGTTTGGGATATCAGACTTCAGGTGAGAGCAGTTTTGATTGGGTGTTGAAAGTAATCTAGGATTCCTTTTTTTTGGTACTGCGCGACGTGATTGGTTCATAAACAGGACGCCATCATCTCAACCAATCAGGTGTTAAATGGAAACCAATCATGACTTTTTCATCCGCGTTTCCCCGTGCCACGCCTCAAGATTACTTTGGTTTTATTTTTATTTTTACAACTCTCCTTTAAAATGTAATCCATCACTACTCATTCGAATCTTGTGGATCACTAAGAATATTTATTTTCCCTTAAGGTGAGGGTTTGTAAAAACTCGTGTAATTGTAGACTCTAAATCACCAGGGTCTAAAAAAGACTGAGGGCCATACTATGGGAGAATCCCTGGGAATTCAGGTAGTTTCATTATCTTTAATATCTGAGTGTGATACTAGATACTTTGCGAATAAAATAAATTCGTTTGTACATAGATAATTTTTTTGAGTGGTTGTGTATTTTTTCCCTAGAAAAATAGTGGTAAATTTCTAAAGAAACTGTGTTGCTGCGTCGGTGGGAGTACCACATGGTAATGGTAATTTGGCATTGTCAACTGAGTTGATAACGTAAGCTGGCCACAGTAAAGAGTTTCAGAGCTGACGTCTCGAGTTAGCGAAGGGCTGACGCTCGAAACGTCAGCTTTGAAAGTCTTAACGGTGGCCAATTTACGTTATCAACTCAGTTTACATTACCAAATTACTTAAGAGAAACATAATTGACTCTCGCGACCTAGACTCGTCCTACTGCCTCAGACTTCTGCAACAGCTTGATCAACTCTCAATTGATCGTTGACAACATCATCCCAAAATTTTTCAAAATCACACATTTCACCTAGCCCTTCATTTCGTGTCATTTCCCTGACCCTCTTCCGTTCAAAACTCTCCCTTAGAACTGCAATGCTATCACTGTCGTCGCTTCCGCGTAGGCCACGCTCGTTACTAGCGAGTGGGCCTGGATGGGATTTGTTGGGGTTCTGCAGCATGTTGCGAAGATTCTGCTCCAAGTTTGTAATCTCCTGATTTATAGCGCTCAGACTGTTCTTAACGTGAGTAAAGTCCAGTTCAGGATCTGCTAAAATACGCACATCGTCTGGGAGGATTTGCCGAAGTCTATGTAGGAGCAGGAATACTTGATTCTTGTTTCTATGAGAAAATGAATTTTATTGAAGCATTTTTAAAAAAGGTATTTCACGAGGAAGTGCAAGTTAGAGCAAATAAATAATCAATGTATGACAGCTGAAGAAATGTTACGACTTTAGAAGAACATTGACGGAAAAGGAAAAAAGGAAAGAGTGTTAGAAATAAAGCAAGGAAACTGAAACTTGTTTCAGGAGCTAATTTTAAATTGAATAATTTGCACCCTCTGAAAAACGAAACGCTGCTTAAAAATTCAATCGTTGCTTACTCGTTACTTTCATTTATCGTTCATTCTCTCACTCACCATTGAAAAATTCACATCAACATTTTGTATAAGGTTCACTTCATTTTACTAAAAACTTGGGAAGGCACCTCCAGATTGCGTGACAATTGAGAAATTCAAGGCAAAAAGAAAATTTTCATCGACCTGCAGCTATGCTGAGGGCGACCAGCGGCTATGCTGAGGGCGACCAGCGGCTACGCTGAGGGCGACCTGCGGCTATGCTGAGGGCCTCTTAACAACAAATAAACAATTGACAGAAGTTACCTGGTAATAAGGGTTACTTTTCCCCTTTGAAGCTCATCTTTTAGAAGGATTCCCGTGCCACATAAAGGGCCATTCTCACGAAGAACAGAAATGAGTTGGCCAAAAATGTCCTTGTGGTCTCCAGGTTCTCTCTGTACAACTGGCACCTCTTTGATTGAACTCTTCAGAAGTGCAATCATATGGTGGGGACGTGAAATACTGCCTTGTAATAAGAGCTTGAGGGGAAAAATAGCAAATACATTAACTTACAACTGAAGTGAAACACTGAAACAAGAATAAGAGAGAGATTGTGACAAGGTTAGGTTTCTTTCAAAGGATAGATAGGATCTGTAAGCTCCTTTTGTCTGGGACCTAAGTTCTTTGGGTATAAGGGGTAATGGGATGTCTTAAGGCAGGACCTTTTGTCAGAAAGTGAAAAATCAGAGGGTAAGGAGTTTGAGTCCTAGGGGACCTGTCATTTATGAGGGAGGGGGGGAGGGTCATTACATTTAATGCAACTAAGAATGAGAGGGTTACCAAAAATTTAAGTTTAGTGTGGGGAGGGTCAGAAGGTTTTGGAACACATGAGGGGTAGAGTTAGTTTTTTCCTGCAGGAAATTTGGAGAGGGAAAATAAAAACAGAGGCACTAGCCATCCCTCCTGCCTCTAAGAAATGACAGCTCCCTTAGGTGTTACATCTTGGCACAAACTCCATCAATGAATAATCCTCTGGTTGAGGAAAGAAGCATTGAAAATGAGCTGCATTAACATTACCTCTGTTTCAATTGAGACTGATCTCAGGGCTGCAATATCTTGATGAAATGATTTGGAATCCAAGTTCCTGCTCACTTGTAGACTGCCATCCATAACCTGTGCTGCACACAACGTTACATGTCCACAGTGCATGGAATGCTGCTCAATACTTCCATTACCATGATAACTTCTCCATGTCATCACCACAGACATGGGACAACGGTCTGACAATGTGAATCTTGGTAGGGAACACACAGCTGTCAATCTGGTTTGGTTACCTGGTGACAACTGCTGGAGATCGGTCAAAGGTTGAGAATGTTCCACTTTTTTCTTCTTTGAGATTGGAGACTGGACAGAGTCTGAATTCTCTTCTTTCTTTGGCTGTTGATGATGACATCTGTGATCACTACAGTACACAGTCTTTGATGAATAGGAAGTATCCATAGTCTGGCTGCTCACAAGTCCAATTGTGAGATCACATACAGCCCTAAAATGTTTAGTAAGAAAAAGTGATGATAAGTTTGTGTTGCATAACATCTCCTTGTCTTGAAATCCAGAACTCTCTACCCAGAGTGAAGTGCTCTCACAGTTATCCCCATTTCTTCAAATGGCCATATGGAATTGTATAACAGTTTTTACCTTGCACCAATATTCTCTACATCAACACCTATTATCCACTGGTCATACAAGATACGCTGCCATATTTCCTTGACATTCAGGGCTGATTCTGGCTCTGAACTCAGGGGGTCACTCCTGTCTGCCTTGACTGTGAAAACAAGTTAGAGAAAGCCAAATTACAGCACAGCCCACACATTTCTCCACAAGAAACAGCAAATAAAGCTACTTCAACAGCAGAGCAAAACTTATAATTTTTTCAGATTCTGTGTAAATTTCTTCTGAAACACATTGACCACAAAAGGGGAAAGAACAACAACATATTCAAATTTCTTTTTTTTCCAAGTGGTCTAATAGCTGAAAAACAAACCATTATTTCATTTACCTTCTCCAAGATCCCCTTCCAAGAGACACTGGAGACCTGAAGCCTTAAAGAGAAAATAAATTTAAGCTATTATTTCTTACATCTTGTTAGCTAAAAACAGTTAAGGTATTTAATAAATCAATATTCTACTAACCATGACTGATAAAATGGGTGAAAAGTTAAGATTTATTGGTTGTTATCAATAAAAACCCTGTGGTTTGGTAACATGACATCATTATCATTATCATCATCTTTATTGTTATCATTAGTGTTGTAGTTGTCATCATCAAAATTATTACATCATTATTATTATCATTAATGCTATTGCTATCATCCTTCATAAGGGTGTTATGTCCATTCACACTGCTCATTCATCAAATCTTGTATCAAGGGTCAAACCTTTTTCCTTTTCTCATTCTTGCCTGCTCCTGAGGGACAAGTTATGTCTTTCAATACTTTACAACAGTGTTCCACCATTTTCAGTTTTTCATTTAATTCCATTTTAGCCTCACGTAAACTAGATCCCCTGGCCTACAATGGAAGAGTTTAGAGAAGCACAAATTTCACTTTCACCACAAATATTTAGAGAAGGAGTAGAATAAGCAATAGAATTAGCAGTAAACACAGAAGAAGAAGGAAAACATGAGTGTACAGAGAATGGAAAGCACCAAAGGGGGCAAAGAAGTGAAAGTAGGGTAGTAACAGGAGGAAGAGAAGCAGGAGAAAGAACCATGTTGAGCATAAACCAGGAGAGACAGACAGAATGAAAAAATAGTAGGTTAGGGATAACAAACAGGTGAAGATGGCTGAGAAGGAGGGAGAAGAAAAAAACAAGGAGCAGCAGGAAAAAGGAAGAGTCTTATGTAGAGTGGATAGGGTGGGGAGAAATAAAAAAAAGGAAACTAAAAAAAGGGAGAGAATAAAGGAGAAGAAATACCCTTATGTCAAAAATGTCTTTCTTGTTATGCTTGGAAGTTTGTCTTAAAGGTACAAGTAAGCTAACCTGTAGGGTTGTCCTCAGTGCACTTGCAGTTTTCTGCAGCGAGTCTGTTACTGTTTGTGACTGGGCAGAAGGTGAATTCTGCAAATAACCAGATCTATTAACTATCTGATGACCACCTAGAACAGCATAACATTCTACTCAACTGAATATGGTTATTTACTGTTGAATCAAGATAGCATAACAAAACAATAAAAAACTGGCATTGTTTTGAAATACAAACAAAATGGAACTCAAATCAATTTAATTGAATGATGAAGTTATTGTGAAGGCATCAAATCTAAGACAATTTTCTTTGCCATAAAATTAAATTGCTCTCTTTTTTAAACTAGTTACCTGATTGCTTTCAATGGCCACCATTCCTTGTGTAACATCTAACAAATAAAACTTGGAAAACTCTCCAGCTGAAAAGAAAAAAATGGAAAGTTTTATCATTTATCTTCTTCAGGAAGGCAAGAAATTATGAGGTACCAACAGAGATCAAAGAAAGAAAGTCATGTAAAATTCAATGAAACAATATATGCTAAATCTTATTCCAGGTTTTCCAAAGGACATAAAGCGACCAAGAGTTTTGCTACTTCCTCAGGATGGGACACAGTCCATACCAGGTCCCTAGTCCCCTCCACACATACATTATGTCAATGTTCTCCTACAGTTCCCTATCACTCATTCATTACTCCTGGGTGGACAGAGATGCTGTGAAAGTGAACTAATTCACCCTCGAGCGCAACTTAATGACCTATATATGTGATGTTATGCACAACAGTGGTCTTTTAATACCAGAGCACATCCTGGGTGCCTGGAGGTTGGCTGCCACTTGATTGCTGTGGAGTAATTAATATTCCCGACACTTCATGGACCTAGATGAGAAGCTGGGCCCAGCTGTTCAAAGAGTGAATACCAACAGATAAATTGGTATCCAGCAGATAAGTGTTAACAAAAAGTATTGTACTGTCCACCAGATAGAGATTTACCCTGTGGATAGTGTTATCCACCCTTCAATGGAGAGGGGCCTGGTTCATGGCTAGCAAAGCACCACCCACCCCATACAATTTGTCAATTTTCTCTGATAATTGGCTGGAACCAGAGGACTGTTTATAGTCCTGGGTGGAAAGAGGTACACCTCATCAGTTTCATGAGGTTTTAATGAAAAATAAAAATTAAGTATTATTTCATACTCCTGAGCGCTGTGACCACTTCAGTATCAAGAACATGACACAGTGACCTAACCAGAGCTAAAACGCAGCCCTCTTTAAATGGTGGCAGTCAAGCTTATGAAATATCATACCATTTAATCATGCACAAGAAACCCTTACTATTAGAAATGGTGAGATTTGGAGGCAGTAAAAGAACTTGCTCATTTCCATTTTCTAAATAATCATCTGTAAGAACAAAAGCAGCCTCCTCCCATTCCCTCAAAACCTGTCAAAAAAAAAACTATTATTAATAACAATTGTTTCAGTATTGTACAGGTGCAATGCTGCTCATAATCAGTGATCATACCTTGCCATAACATTTATTTAATGTTTGTGTTTTTTTTTTACCAAATAAACCAAGGAAGGGTGGAAACCAACTAAAATAAATCTGTTATAAACCTCACCAAAGTTACTAGACAACCATCAATAATACCCAATTAGAAACAAATACATTCTGACATGAAATTTAGCCAAAGAGTTCTGTATAGTAGCTAGAAAACTCTGATTTCAAATGCCCATTAGACTTTTTAACACTAACAGAAAAACCAACTTCTCTCACCACTTAAAGTGTTTTATTATTAAGCCTTCAGACAGTGCTACATACAAGTAAATTAAACTGAGTGTGGGTGTTTTTAAGTTGAGTAAATTTTAACTAAATCTCACCTGCTTCTTTCTGCAGTCAATCAAAGCAACCCTGTTGGATTTTGATGCTACAATTACCATTACCTCAGCTAGAGTAAGCTGAAATTGAATAATATCCAAATGATTACAAATTAGTAAATTTTCAATTTGTAAATAAATATCTTAAATTGTCACTACCCTGATGGATCTAGCTTTAGGCACATCTAACTGGGCTATGTACACAGTACAGCCAAGAAGCTGAACTTCAGACAACCAATGAACAAATCAACTAAAAAGCAGGTAAGGGCTTAAAACATTGACTTCCTGATCACAAAACTAGTTATGTGAGAACTGTGATAGAAGACTTGAAATATTCTGCACAGTATTCTTTTTTGCTATATTTCAGTGTGAAAAATTACAAAGGAAATTCACTCTGATCACAGGCTGCTACAGGTATTAAAGACTCCCGTCCATTTTTCTGATACCCACATTGCAGCTTCTGTGAGTCTGGGTCAGTGTCAGGAAGGTAATCTGTGACACACTGAACTACAGAACACCAAACTGACCACTCATTGAAAAAGCCCAAAGGTTAAGCATGTTGTTGGCTGCAGTGACTGAGGTTTAGAAAATCCCTCTCAACTGACAATAGCTCTTCAACAACTTTGATGATGATTTCCACTAAGGTTGTTGAAACATTAGTTACTAAGACAGACTAAAGTCCCCAACAGACTACCCTCTGCCAGACAATTAGAGAACATGATCAAACATCATTTCAAAATAAGTTTAAAACATTTACTGCAAAGTATATTTGTTACCTCCAGAATCCACATTCTGCAAGGGTCTTTAAATGGCAACTGCCAATAACTTTTGAGCCTTCCATTTACAAAGTTTAGGAGCTGTCCTCTGTTTGTTGCTAAATACACATTGACATCATCATATGCAGAATTATCCCCAAATTCCCCTACATTTAAGGGTTCTCTTACATGGCAGCATGTTGCTATGGGAACATACAGATTTGGAACCAATGAGACTTCTTGAACATCTTTATGAGTATGATTGACACATGTCCATCTTTCTAAGGTACTGGCATCATCTGTCATTTCTGATTTTATTCCCATGGAAACAACTTGGCCTCTTAATAACCCACACCAAAATATATTAAATTCCACACCTGATCTTTCATCCATAGAGTTATCAACCGTTACAGAATCAGTTGTAAACTTCTCAAGAACGGCATCATAGCATGCAAAGTACATAACCCCTTCAAAATTCCAACAAACTGTGGGGCCATCACAAAAATAAAATTCAATATTCTGTATTGGTGAGACGTGACTTATCTCACAACTGCCTTGCAGAATAACCGAATCATAGTCTTCTAGAAGCAATATATGCAACTTTTGTGTGCTGGAATGCTTCATGCGAACCTGGCGTAGCAAAATAAAAGGCTGGTACATTCCTGTGGTTGAGTTCATCAAACAATTTGCAGATACGAGTTCCAGTTTGCATCCTAAAATTCCAAGGGGCAACAGTTTCTTTGCAGTTCTTGTGAAGGATCTAGAAGATTTAGAAAAGCCGAAGATTTGAACTTCAATACAGTTTTCATCGTTGCTGCCCGTATTTAAAAGAGAAAAGAACAGCACGTCGCCTCTAAAGGTCGTAAACACTTCGCTGGCGGCATCGGCCATGTTACTAAGTCCAAGGCAAGCCACGAAATTCCCGCGAACTTCTGGTGGTTACTAACCCCCAGTCTTCTCTGAGTCTTCCGGAAGTTCTTAGGTGAGGTGCTATGCGACCTAGCCGTGAGCCCGTATGACAACGTTTTCCCTACACTAATTAAAATAGAAATTCCACGCCCTCACAGAAACGCTAAAGGTATGCTGGTCTCTAATCAGTGGAACGAAAACATTGCCACAAGGGCTTTCCCTATTAATGCCTCGAGAGCTAGTTCGGTGTTTTTGTTAGCCAATAAATAGTTCTTAATTATTCTTTGTCCACAAACGTTGAATTTAAGACTGAACGATGAAAAAAAGGTCCATTTATGTTAAAACTGACTTATCTGGCCAGTCAGGTCCGACTTAGTATAACTAATTACCGGGATAAAAGCTCGATAAAATATCGCAAAATGACGTGTTTTGATGTCTCTCGGAAACGCCTGATCAAACCGATTTCGCCCGGTTCACGTGTTCAGCGACTGGGGATTGTCACGAGGAAATAGAGTCTATAATAGGGGTTTACCTTAGGGAAACCTTATCAAAACTCCATCATCTTTTCCGTATATTCCTGGTCCTTGATGCTATTTAAACACTTCCTTAGCTCGCCATCGGGGTTCCCTGACATTGTTCATAGAACGCTTTCAGACGAAATGAATTTTAAATCCCATTAAGATTTTTGTTACAATGCTGTTACAAGCTTCTGCGCCTCCCCAACACACACTCCCCTTTATTCAGTGTTACGGAGAGAGGACGAGCAGAAAAAAATTTTTTGGTTACAATTGCCACTCGCTATTACCATACCATCTTAGCACAAACCCGACCAAAGGTCTTAAAAATGGAATAAAAGGCATCCACCATAACCTTACCAACGTATATAGTGATTTTTGTGTGTAACGAAGCAGTGAGCAACGGAGCCGTGAGAGGCTCGGGAGGGAAAATAGTTTCGCCGCAAATCGCAGCGCACATAAAACCGAGAAACAAATCAACCTGCTACACAGGCGATCCATGACGGTTTACAGCTATTTCCTTTAATATCATTCATTGTAAGAAATCTACAAAATACCGCCTTGCTCTAAATAGATAAAGCATAATAACTCTCAACAAAAGCGAAAACATTAAAAATTTTAACAAAAAACTATCAGCACTATTTATAGTAATGGTCATATTTTGTAGATCGGGATCATCATTAAATGTTGCTATATAAAAAAACCTGGTAATGGCCAAGGGGCTTGCTTTCAGGTTGTCAGCACGTGATTCTCTCACGAAAGTTATGGAAATCTACAAAAGCTAGAAGTAATAGTGTTTTAAAAGCATACAACTTCTTTCATATAGCTCAAATCTAAAGGGTAAATCAACAGGCTACCCGTAATTAAATAAGCTTTCTTTTCGAAAAATCGCAAATTTTCTCTTTTCGCTACCTTATTTCTCTTCTACAGTTTTATGAACATTATAATTTTCTCGCTTTTTTTGCATGACAGAGGCTGTTTCTTACATTTGAAAATTTTGCTCGGATTTTGGCGCACGGCTGCCAAAATTCATCCGCTTGCGCGTGTCTGACGTTTGACAATACAAGATGTCGTTCCCAGTCTCTTCCCGTCATAAAATTAATTTTTCCTATGGCAATAAGCTAGAGGGACTGTACAAGGAAAAGACAGAATAAAAGTAATCTAATTGTCCTACGCTCCCTTCACGTTATACGTCTCAGAGAAAAACAGCGATACTATGTCGGAGGCAGTAGACATTCATCTCGTTCAAGAACGTATGGGGTCCACCGTAGCCGAAGCTAAATTTTTAATCGTCAGTCTCGATCTCTTGTTTATCACCAGCACTGTCATCATCACCATTCGCAACTGGAAAAAAAAAAAACCAATTTAAATATGAACCTCATTATCTAGACTTAAAAGCCATCGAGATGGGTGAGGGGCTGGTTAAATTTCTTATTTTGTCAAAGTTTATGAGAGAATATCTCATCGGTCACCGATGACTTTGTTAAAGGACATGATTCTTTACTTTTTAATGTGACTGACCTGCGAGCCTGTCAACTTTTTCAAGTATCTCATCCAGTAATCCAGTTATAACGTCACTAGAGCTTTGGGAATCTGTTGATATCGGTAGGTCAGGATCCATAAGCAATGAAGTCTTGCTTCCCACCGCGCCAAAGTCAACGGCTAGATCTAGTCCTTGCGGGGAAATTTCAGAATGCGCATGATCTGTCCTTTCCTGGTGATCGTCGGCGTCGGTCTGAACCTCTGCATCTTTGGTTTTCCCTTCCTCCAACATCTCATGCTCGTTGAAGCCGTAGATAGAGCCCTCTGACAGCATTATGATTAATAAAAATACATCCATATAAACAACAACATTTATTTATGTTGGCAAGTAAAATACATATCTAACTATTGCCGCGAACGGTGACTAACCATTTGAAATATGAAACTTTAATCCAAAACCGTCACGAAGGCTTTGAGATAACTCACAAAATTTTAAATTGTTTAACCCAACACTGAGACCAAAAAAATCGAAAAAACTGAACGTGATAAAGAGGTTTAAACTCGGTGGCCTCGTGGCACCGTTCCAAGATGCCCGTCACCGCGCATGCACAAAAACTTAAATGTTCCTTATGGGTAACCAAGCGACGGCTGGGTGTCGACCAGCCCCAACACTAACAATCCCTACCTGCAAGATAGCGAAGCTAATCGAGGCGGAAGGGAAACAAGATAAGATAAATTCTTCAGTGACAAGTTTGACTGAACAAAGGAAATGACTGGGAGAGCATGCATATACACGAAGCATGAAAAAAAGTAAGACAAGTTATAGATAAGCCAATTAGGCATTACATATTACAACTGGAATAAAATTACACGCCAAAAAGAAAAGAACAACAAAAACAAAAAATGAAATTAAAAATATTATCATTTTCTAAATTTATTAATTAAAGTATGGACGTCAACATTAGTATTCTCTCGCATCTAAATGTTCAGCAGCTGTCTATGCAATAGTCTTTTAAATTTGCACTTAAGCAGAGAACAAAGACAGATGGGAGTGCTATTCCAGATCCTTGCACCCAGTCTTGATAAAGAATTTTTCATATGTTCTATTCTCAAATGTTTAAGATAGAGATTGCCAGCCGCTGAGGACCTTGTATAATAGTGATATTTTTCTGAAGAATAACTAGTTAATTCTGAAATGTTAGGAGGCGTTAGATTGTTGACGAAATCATGCAAAAAACAAAAAAACATCCAGTTTCGAAATAGATAAGATGAGGAGGGAGAATGTTTGACATGTTGAACAAAGGTACAGCATGGAAGATAAAGGGTTTGAAAAATATTATGCGGAGAGCACGTTTTTGCAAAATCAACACCTTTTTTGGGTGGCCCCTGACTGCAACCCCCTAAGACAAATAAGGTTGAAAAAGAGATCGATATATGTTAAGCAATACAGTTTGTGGGACAAAATATCTCATTCTTGATAAAATGCCTCAAGACTTGCTAATTTTAGATGAAATAAATGCAATTTGTTGAGTCCAAGATAATTTGGAATCGATAAGGACACCAAGGTATTTTATATATTCTTTCTATTCCAGAGAGACAAAGGAATTGTTGCTATTTTCAAAGATATTTAAGTTCACTTCATAATCAACACGTTTTTGATACGGTCTGAATATACCACAGTTGGATTTTTTGACGTTTTTTCCCTCGTTAATTGTTTACTCAAGGGGACAAACCTTTTTTGCCTGGCTTCAACACCCTCACTCCACCAATCTGTGTTTTAAGCATATCAAAGAGTTTATACTCGAAGTAACATGTCAGACTGTCTGTTTCCGCGGATTCCAGTTCACATTTCTGAATGGAAGACGACACCTCTTCAATAAGTTTAAAAATGTTAGGCTTCTCCTCGACCAAAGCACTGTCATTCTTTTTGCACTTCTCGATCAAAGAGTTAGCCAAATGACACTTCTCTTCAACATTTGCCATGACTCTGGACAGGGAGAAAATAAAACGATATTGCCTTAATGTAGTTCATGAACGTTTTGTCATTTCCAAATTCAGTTAGAACTACATTTGATTAGTGTAAATCTACTAGCGATCTATCACAAATGCTGCAATCTGAGTGGCCAGGCTATTCGCTTTCTATTTGGTAAATAGATTCCATACTGCCGAGCCGTGTCTGTTCAGTAGTAGATCACAGATTATGTTAAAACGTTGTAAGAACAAATCATGGCCAAGTGTGTCACTGATGCGTCGAGAAAGTAATTTTCGAAGTGAATGGTGTACTTTGAAGACTTCGTTTCTCTGCTCTCGGTGTATTTCAAAATTTCTTACTAATCCCCACATGCATACTTCAAGTGAAGTTCATTTTTAACAGCCAATGATGACTAGGAACCCCTTTTTTTATTTTTTCAAACAAAAATTTCCTCAAAGAAACTCTTCATACCTATCCTGAGCGTCCATGGGTGCTATCTTCTCGTTAGTTTTGTCATCAATCTCACTCTTCAGCGCTCTCTCTCCACTATCCAAGCATGTTCTTAGCAAAGCCATGTGTTTCGCAACTCTGTCACGTAGGTAAAGTTGAGTTTGCAAAATGGAGTCTTTCTTATCCTTCAGTTTCCTTCTAGACTTCTTGATCAACTCGAAATGATCCTCTAACTTTTTAGTTTCGCTGAAAAGTTCCTCTCGTGCTCCGATGGCCATGTTGACAACAAGCTCACATTTATGATCGGTATGTTCGCCATATGCCTAATGGAGATCAGCAAACAACGACTGAGCGACCTACAGTACCCTCTTTATACTCTGTTGGCAACGACTGATTCCCCTCCCCTCCCCCCCTCCGTTCCGTACAAAGAGGAGCATCTTGTGATGATATATACAATTTAATAAGGTTTAGTTAATTCCAGGAACTGAAAAAATATTAAAAGATCCTTGCCTGGATATAAAAATAAATCTTCTATTGCCTTGACATCAATTCCTATTTGGGAATGGCACGAGCTTAGTCTCCTTCGCAGTCACGAAATTGCCTGACATCCCAAAAAGCGGCTGCGAAGGAGACTAGCACTAGCTGCACTTTAGTAACTTTGAGTCAATAAGAACTAGTTTGTATACCTGACAGACTAGGCAAATAAGACAGTTATCAGTGTGACAGTACACTTTCAAAACTTCATCGTGCTCCGGACAAATGTATTTCTTCTGCTTTTCCAAGGCCTTTTCGAATTCTGAAGGCTCTTCACTTGAATTTTCCTCCGCTGTAAGTTAGATGCAAAGAATGTGTTAAAATGAGTGTGATGCCGAATAATTCACCTAACACTCCAACTCTTCCACAGCATTTAGCACCAATGATCTCTTCCCTCCTTAAGGCTCTACGATCACGATAATAAAAGACGCCTGCTAGATTTGAAATAGAATGATTTTCAATTGAGTCGAAGGTAATGTACGGCCTCTTCATTTTCATAACTCGCGCTACTTACTCAATTAATAACATAATTTCAATTCGTTAAAACACCTTTTAAAGAGATTTTTATTTTTTAAGAACAACTATAAATAAAGATACAATTGTATCAATTGGAATGAATTGTATAAAATGGAACTTTAATTTGGGCGGAAGTCAAAAAGCGATAATACGCGCTTCAAACTTTTTCACCATTTACACCCTAACATCAGCATTCATATTCTCCAGACTGTTCTCTGTACATTTACTAAGGTGCTAACAAGGAGAATTTGTCTAACAATCAAGAGTTTCTTTGGTTGGTGATCACTTCCTTCATTCTCGTGACATTAATGTGTGATTCAGTGGTGATATTGTAGAGGACACACATGTCAGACAATAATTGGTCGACATGCGAACGATACTTAAGATCCACTTTATCCACATTTAGCCAACACTTAGCAGATTCTTTACCGACACTCGGCCGACACTCCTGTCACTTGGTCAGCTCTTGATACTGAGTTCTTTCTTCTCAACTCAAATAGTCGCTTATTTTCTCTAGTTCTTTGAAACTCTTCTTTCTTGTCTCCTGAGGGTGAGGCCGGAAGGGGCTAAGAGACAGCTGCCAATTCCCATCATAACATATACCACCGGCAGACCACCGATACATCACTGACACTCGACCAATTTGCCGTCGACTGTTAATCGCAACGTAATGGTCGAGATGTCGGCTAAGTGTCGACTCACATTACCGACCAAGTATCGACCAATAGCGGCGACCAACAGTCCACCAACTTGAATAACACGATGACTGACAGTTGGCTAACTATCGGTCGATACTTGGCCGACAGATGCCCTAAACACACATGATTCCATTAATGTTTCAATAAATCGCATAAATCTCTGTCATAACATATCACCTCCAGTACCTTCAGCTGGTATACATGCGCGCCCTGTGTTATAGTAATCTTCTATTCTGAGCTCCTGTTGATTTAGAGAAAGCTGCCTTCAATAAGGAATTGTCATCCTATCTTAGTGGTAAAAGAGGTGTGTGATACCAGTATGTGGTTGTAAGGTTATATGTCCCTTACATTTCCTTATTCATACACATCCCGCAAAGCTATAATATTATTTTCTGTGGCTTATGTAATAGACCTGATTTGCATTTTTCTACCTGGACTGAAGCTACCTAACAAAATTTTCTCTGGTGGTCTAGGGAAGACTAAAATCAGTATAAATAACCGTGAATATATGGAAATCATTCATGCGAACGGCGGATTATTAAATGAATATGAGAATGATCTTTGTAGGGATGAAAACCACTTAAGCAGTAATGTAAGAAAGTCTGAAAAAATTTAGGCCTCTGTACCGAAGATGAACCCATGACGCAGCTCTGTGATACTGCTAAAATACTCTACCAACTTAGCTAACAAATTAAGCCAAATAGGAGCTAGTTATTATGTTGGTTTGAATAAACTCGTGAAGTGATGAATAAAAATGACTGCAAATGCATGAGAAACATAAATGTGAACTGAAAATGAAAGTGATCTTTGCACTATTCACAATATTCATTACTGCAAAGGTCACTCTCATATTTATTCAAAATGAGTAGGTGGTAAAAAGATAGTCTCAATATACAAGGGTGGAAGTGGCAGAAAAGCCAGCCAACTTGATATGACTACTATTTGGAAACCGCAAACAAAGACAGTCCGCATTGTCAATTAAGATACAAAGTCATCTCTTAGTTGTTTCTCTCTTTTTTTCAGAGTGTAAGTAAGACAAAAGATGGATAGATTTTCTCAATCTAATGCCGTCAACCCTTGGGTTTTTTTTTACTCAAATTTGATGTCCAAGATTTCATTACAATAGCATTCAATATTGTGTCTTTGTAACACACCTCTAAGCTCTTCCTATTATAAGTTGACATTAAAGTGATGCAATGATGTCTGACACTGATGTTCGTGGTTATGCCATTCTTAACCATAGAGTCGGTTCCTTTGACAACCTGAAGAATAAGAATATTACTTCAGAGTTTAGCAATAAAGATGAGTTATTGACCAAGCTGTACATCAGCCAAGTTCTTTAATGTATCTTTCTCGACTGAGATGATACCAATATCCAGCTATCTTAGCTAAACAGCTAGGATTTAAGTCAAAGAATTGCTGCATGAATTTCCAAAAATTGTTGTGGTTTTCTTTGTTTTGACCATTGAAAATGTCTTTGTGAAAAAAAGGTTGCCTTAAGGCTACAGAGAGTAAAAATCACCTGCCAATAGCCAATCAAAAAACAATGTTTGCTTTATAGTCCTGCCTGTTCTTATAAGTAGTTCTACGAGTCAAGTATCATGTCCTTCACTTACAAAAAACTTGACATCTGTCCCACTGTTACTTGATTTTCCTATTAAAGAAAGTGCAACAGAAATCAGAGAAAAAAATTAGCACTCAACAGCATTCTTTACATTTGAGACATGGGGTCTCCAATTTGAAAACAAGGGTCTCAGCACCTTGGCAAGTCTTAGATTTATTACTTGCCAATTGTACTAAATGACAGGGGCAAGAGGAGTTTTTCTACCCCTACAGTTCAATTTATACTTATAATGCATAGATACTGTACTAATTGGAGCTCACAACACGAACCACATGCTTGCCATTTTTTAATGTCAACTGCATGTACTTACCGTCCCTAACTGCAAGGGGTCTGGATCCTAATATATTGCACTTTTCCCCAAGCAAGTGAGAGGAATTATAAACAAGGGTTACATGCCAACTAACATGTCAACATAAAGAAACACGTTCGGTGCTCTACAGAACTTAGAATGTTCAAAGTCCACAAATAAGTCTTTGTGGTGGTCTCCTTTCTCAACTGGGGTATTTGTGCACTGGCTCTGGTGTTGAACATAGACTTGGAGAATCCACTTTCTCTGTTGTATCTTCTATCATTTCTGAAACTGGCAAATTCACCACACTGTCTTGGCCAGAATATTCTCCAGGTTTTGTTGTACTGGACACATCCACAAGTGATGGAAGGGAAACACCCAGATCACTCATCTTCTAACCCTGGGCCTCCTTAAAAAATCTCAACCATATTCTAAAACTCATTCTTCCACCTCAGAACTTGAAGATTGTTATGCTGTCTTCTTCAAGTGATCAACATGCACAAATTTTACCTGGTTCCTGCAATGGACAAGATAAGTGTGTGGAATTTTCACCCTGTAAATCCTCCTATCAATCCATCTTGCAACTCCATGACACTGGTTGACAACTAGAGCAACTTCATTTAACTTGAATGGCTGCAGCTCCACCCTGCCCTCATCATGATGCTGCTTCTGTTTCAATTGATGTTCCCTTACAGCTTTGTTAAGATCTGGTTTTATATAAAACAGTTCCTAATTTGTCTTTCAAGAAAAAGTTCAGCAGGAGAATGCTCTGTGACAGTGTGAGGTATATTACAGTTAAGAATTAGGAAATTGGCTAGCCCATGTTCCGAAGTAAATTTACCGTTAGTATTTCTTCACCTATAAGCTGAGCGATTTTTTCAGTATCTGACACAAAAGTTTGGGGATTTTTTCACAAGAAACGAGGTTTGGCTTATAGTCAAGGGTTCATTCTCGTTCATTAGCATCTGTTTTCATTGAGCCATTACCCAATTTTTTCCGTGAGGTTCACTCACTCAAATGGCCAGTTACAATCAAGAATTTCGCTCTTGGCTTACAGCTGATGGTTTTGCTTTTTCTTTTGGACAACACGAGTCTGTTGGAAGGTCTCTAACTGTTAGGGTTAGAAATACGGTAATTGTTTTCGCATCAAGTAATGGTTTAGTCAGAGCTAGTTTGGCCATATGCTCTGAGAGTTCTTCAGCTCCAATTAATGCAGGATGATATGGCAGAACATGTTTGACCTTGACACCATTCTGTCTAATGAACTGAATGATTTCTACTGCCGCCAGTTACAGTCCATTGTTGGAAATAACCTCATTGGGAATTCTGTGACATGTAAACAAAGTATGCAGTACTGCAATGGTCTTTAAAGTGGTCATGGAGCTCATTGGGATCACTTCTTACCATTTGGAATATGCATCAATGACGATCAGAAAATTCAGCCTGTCCTGTTAAAAGAAATAAATGTGTACATGCTCCCACAGCTTCACAAGCCATCTCCTCAGGGTAAAGGTGCTTTACGCAGCAACTTGCCCACAGAAGCACAAATATGACAAGCACTGGCTCTTTCTTCAATCTCATCATCCATTCCAGACCATCATAATTATCCTCTTGCTAGAGACTTCATTCAACACATACCATGGTGCTCTTGATATAGATCATTCAATAGACATTCCTAATACATGTCAGGAATAACAACTCACAAGCCTATGTGGAAATTATGGCTGAGGCCATGCATGCAAGGTGAAGGATGCGGACTAAGACAAGTTAAGACGGGTTCCTTCCTGTAGTCAAAGCTATGTCTTTAACAGTAACCAGCAGCTCATCCAGGTAACTGATCAAATAAACTTCTTCTTGCAATCTGTCATGAGCAGTCCATGACACAATTAAGTCTGGACAAAGCATCAGCATTCACATGTTCAGCTGACGTCTTATACTCAATCTCGAGCTAGTATGTGGCTAAAATCAGGGCCCAATCTTTGCAATCTGGCTGCTGCCAATGGAGGCACCCCTGTCTTCGGACCAAAAATAGTGAATAAGGGCTTGTGATTTGTTCGCAACATAAACTTGAGGCCATAAAGGTATGAATGAAACTTCTTCACCATGAACACAATGGACAACGCCTCTTTTCAATCTGTGAGTAGTTACAATCACTGGCAGTGAGAGTCCAAGAAGCGAAGGCGATCAGTGGTTTTTCCTCTCCCCTCTCCATTACATGAGAAATTACAGCTCTTAACCCATAACAGATGCATCACACACTATAGGCAAGGTGGTTTCTTCAGGTTGCAATGAACTAACAAAGGAGAATCTTGTAATTTCTCTTTGCTCTCAACAAATTCTCTCTCACATTCCTCTGTCCACTTTCAAGGCATGTCCTTCTGCAAAAGGTCATGTGGGGGTGGAGGGTAATGGCCAAATTCAAAACAAACTTCCCATTTGTGATATGTGAAATATTCTGTCTAAAGTACACACAAGACATGCATTTTTTCTAAAAATTTGTGCTAAAAATGGGACCTCCCCTCCTCCCCCTTAATACCCTCTGAGTACAACCTTGTTGCTGTCCAAAAGTACCAACTGTAAATGATATCGTGCCAAACAAGCAATCACCCAGGCCCTAAGTTTGACTGGAACCACCAAAGGACTTATAGTTATTGAAATTAAACATAGAATCTAATAAAGATTATTTATGTGTATCATTATTGGTAATTAATACTTAAGCTGCAATTATTAAAAATTCAGAGTTTGAAATAATAGCAATTTTTACTCACCCTGAATAGTTGATTCTTGTCCAAAAGGACCTGGAGTGGGTTTACTCCCAAACCCTCCAAACAAGCTGGATGTACTTCCGAATGACAAGCCACTTCCAAATGCTGATTGTTTAAGAAAATTATATGCACCATTAGTACATTCTGTACAGGTGAATAGTGCTCTTCACAAGTGCTGATTGGCAGGTTTTGAAGTGATTAGCTACCACCATTCACCTCTGAGTAGCTTGAGAGACAAAATCCTACATCATCAATTTAATTTCCAACCATTTTTTGGTTTCTTTGTGGTATGTACTAAAACAGTTTATTTACTTCTATGTCAGTGAAAGTGGTGGATATTCACCTTGCTGCTTTGCGGCATGGTAAATGTCCACCACTATTTACCTCCACTTCAGTAACTAATTTTAAAGCATTAAACCTCAATAGGCGAGGTAAGGTGAGATTTGAAGTCTTCCCTTTTAATTTGTGACACTTGAAATATTCTGTCTAAAGTACACACAAGACATGCATTTTTTCGAAAATTTGTGCAAGAAATAGGATCAGGACCTCCCCCCTCCCCCTTGATACCCTCTGAGTACAAGCTTGTTGCTGTCCAAAAGTATTGACTGTGAATGATATTGTGCCAAACATGCAATCACCTAGGCTCTGAGGTTGACTGGAACCACCAAAGGGCTTAAGTTATTGAAATTACATGTAGAATCTAGAAAGATTATTTATGTGTAACATTACCAGTAATTGATACTTAAGCTGCACTTATTAAAAATTCAGAGTTTGAAATAATAGCAATTTTTACTCACCCTGAGTAGTTGATTCTTGTCCAAAAGGACCTGGAGTGGGTGTACTTCCAAACCCTCCAGACAAGCTGGATGTACTTCCGAATGACAAGCCACTTGCAAATGCTGATTGTTTAAGAAAATTATATGCACCATTAGTACATACCATACAGGTGAATAGTGCTGATTGGCAGGTTTTGAAGTGATTATCATGTACTGTTTACCTCCAAGCAGATTAAAAGACAAAATCCTGCATTAACAATTTTATTTCCAACCATTTTTTGGTTTCTTTGTGGTATGTACTAAAACAATTAATATTCACTTCTGTGTCAGTGAAAGTGGTGGATATTCACCTTGCTGCTTTGTGGCATGGTAAATGTCCACCACTATTCACCTCCACTTCAGTAACTAATTTTAAAGCATTAAACCTCAATTACATTATTTACTTTTCTTAAGTTAAGGGGTGGGGGTGGGGGTGGGGAGATGCTGAATCGGTACCCCACAGGTCTTTGTCAGTAATTTGTTCAGCCAGTCCTTCACAAAATGAGAATGGTAAATTTGACCATCTAGCTCTGACCATTCTTTTATGCAAGATTCACAATAAAAGTTTCCTCCATAGGGCTCCTTGCAAAAGAGGATAGCCTCTTTTGAAGAAGTTTTACCTCTGCTGCCTCTTACTCGCGTGTATTGTAATCATGCAAAGAACCTTAAGTGCATCATTCATACTCAAAAGTAAAAAAGGCAGAAGTTAAAGTAGCACTAAAAAAATCAACAGAGCAGTTAAAAGGTGGAAGATTTGTTAAAAATATCTTATTTAGTTCAAATTACTCATGTACCTTGCATACAAGCTTTGAATCAAGATAAATTTAAAAAATACAGAGGAATTAAAGTACTGCTACTTTTAAAACCATGAATATATGCAGGGGGCTGCCATGATGCAGTTATACTCGATTTTGTAAGATCTGTTACCTTCAGAATTAAGAAAAATAAAAAATTATAACCTGGAAAGATTCTTTTTTTTTGTCCTTTGATGAATTTAAACCTCTGAATCTGACCGTATCCAAAAACTGATCCGCACAAAATAAGTTAATGTCATAACACTATGCAAAGGGGGAAATTAAAGGATTCTCATCAAAACTATAATAAAATTCTTGAAAGTGATTGGTTATCCTCATCCCGATTTGAGCATCAGTAGGACAATGTACATGACAGACAGTTGACACGTCATGCCTGTGTAAGTGGATAATACTTGTTGTGTGTCCACTTTGTTGCTGCGCAATTTGTTAAGTTTTTTTTATGAAAACATATAACCGATGTCTAATTTCTCTCTCAAACTTTGTCATAGTTTTGACTCATTGCATGGTAACAGGACTTCCTTTCATCCAATTCTGTCTGTAATCAAACTCATGATCAACAAATAGGCTCCTGTGGAGTATATTGTGCGAAACAAGCCTGCATGTACATAAAAAGATACCACTGACAGTTTCTTTAGAGGGCCACCACTGTTTTTTAAGAAACTCACCCCCACTACCTAAGTACATGGGGTGACTGGTACTCCAAAAAAAAATTGGCCAGCACTGCACTTTATTATCTGTAGCAGCAACCAAGAATACTTATGCCTTACATTTCTGATAAATACTCAAACTCTATATATAACATTAGACTTCAAAATTGGAAATGTTAACTCACCCTTAGCAGACAGAAGCAAATGGTCTAATGTGATGCATGATTAATCCAACATTCATTAGGTGATGAGTGAAGTTTACAGATAGGTGAGGTAAGGCGAGATTTGAAGTCTTACATTTTAATTTTGTGACACTTGAAATATTCTGTCTAAAGTACACACAAGACATGCATTTTTTCTAAAATTTGTGTAAGAAATAGGATCAGAACCTCCCCCCTCCCTTTGATACCTTCTGAGTACCAGCTTGTTGCTGTCCAAAAGTACTGACTGCAAATGATATTGTACCAAACATACAATCACCTTGGCCCTAAGGTTGACTGGAACTGCCAATGGGCTAGTTATTGAAATTAAATGTAAAATCTAGAAAAGATTATTTATGTGTAACATTACTGATAATTAATACTTAATCTACACTTATTAAAAAATCAGTTTGAAAGAATAGCAGTTTTTACTTACTCTGAGTAGTTGGATTCTGTGCAAAAAGACTTGTACCAGATGTACTTCCAAATATGCCAGTTGTACTTCCGACAGGCTCGCCACTCCCAAATGCTGATTATTTGAGAAAATCATATGCACCATTAGTACATACCATACAGGTGAATAGTGCTCTTTGCAAGTGCTGATTGGCAGGTTTTGAACTAATAAACAAGTACTATTCACCTCCAAGCAGATCAAGAGACAAAATCCTGCATCAGCAATTTAATTTCCTACCATTTTTTGGTTTCTTTGTGGTATGTACTAAAACAGTTAATATTCACTTCTCTGTCAGCGAAAGTGGTGGATATTCACCTTGCTGCTTTGTGGCATGGTAAATGTCCACCACTATTCACCTCCACTTCAGTAACTAATTTTAAAGCATTAAACCTCAATTACATTATTTGCTTTCCTTAAGTTAAGGGGTAGGGGTGGGGAGATGCTGAATTGGTACTTCACAGGTCTTTGTCAGTAATTTGTTCAGCCAGTCCTTCACAAAATGAGAAAGGTAAATTTGACCCTCTAGCTCTGACCACTCTATTAAGCAAGACTCAGCAGTAAAAGTGTCCACCTTTAAGCTCCTTGCAAAAGAGGATAGCCTCTTTTGAAGAAGTTTTACCTCCGTTGCTGCTTATTTGTAATAGTGCACAGAACTACATTATTCATACCCGGAAGTAAAAAAGGCAGAAGTTAAATTAGTGCTCAAAAAATCAACAGAACAGTCAAAAGGTGGAAGATTTGTTCAGAAATATCTCATATAGTTGAAATTACTCGTTCTGTAATTAATATACATTCCTAACACAACACTTACTTGTACCTGCGCCAAAGGTAAAATTTTGCGAAGATTCAGACATGCTCGGACGATCTGTTGAAAATTCAAGAATATGGGGCTGATGCTTCAGGAATCAGTACCTTGCGTGTGAAGCCAGTCTAAGCTACCCCGCCTTTGAGCGAGTAAGTTGATTAATAACGAGATAGAAAGCTAGACTAGGGAAATTATCAGGTGAAGTAATCTTACCTTCTCTACAACGTCTTCCCTTCGCCATTAGCAGGCGTTCATGGAAAATACTGTTAACAAATTGGGTCTTGAATAACCCAAACCCCACTGTTGACCGGGAGCCAGCTTCGAACTTAAAAAGCTGGGTCGGGTGCCCAGAATCGAGGCTTAAAACCAGTCTGAACTTGCCCAAAACAAGTAAATGTCGTATCACTACGCAGGCGGTGAAATTAAAGGATTCTCATCAAAACTTTAACAAAATTCTCTGACGTGATTGGTTATTCTTAGCCCGATTTGAGCACCATTTGGGCAGTGTACGCGTCACGCTAGTGTAAGTGGCAGTACTCGTCACGTGCGCGCACTTTTGTCGCGCAATTTGTCGGGTTTTTTTCATAAAAACTCACAACCGATGTCTAATTTCTTTCTCATCCAACTTTGTCTGTAATCATACTCGTGATTTTTTAATTTTTCACTTTCAACTTTGTTAGGTAAGCACGTGCGTAAAAACAGCTAATTGCTTCTGTTTGCCATTATTGTACCATGTTCTTCTATGGTATATCTCGTCACAATGAAATTTATTTACAAGATTTTTCACTCAAATGTTACTGTGGTATTACTGATTACAAAGGGAAATCTACCTTAAGGATCAAAAATTTTATTATTTCAACTTCACAAATAGACGAGTTTTTGTACTCTGTCCACACCTTACTGAAGACTAACACAAATATTTTTGTTCATATTTTTGACGAGAAAATTATCCCACCAGATAACATATTAGACATGCTGAGCCAAGCCACATTTTATGCAGCAGAGTTTTAGAAGTACGTTCTCTCAATAGGTTCTATTATTGACACTGAATGAAATCAGGCACACAAATTAAAGATACATTAAAACATATGCAATCTTGTCTTTTGTCACGTGTTTAGGGTACCAAAAGAAAGCAGAGATGACATCAAACTTATCCCAAGGGGTATAAAAATATAACACACTTAAAACAAAAAAAGAAACTTTGGCAGTGTTAGAGAAACCACAGAACATGTTTGTGGTTCTTCAGAGACATAAGGCACACTATTTGCCCAGTTACCATTTCACTTCCTGTAGTATCTGAGCAAAATAAACTCCAAGATTACCCCTTGAAAAATCACCACTTTCTGATACTTATTTGGATCATTGTCAGTATCTGAGACACTGCGCACCCCCCCCTCCCCTAACCTAACAACAGTCAACTGATAACAAGTTAGGAGAGGGGTAGGAGTGAAGTAACTCAGATACTGACAGAGACCACTTATGTTTCCTATGAGATATGCTATGATCTAAATGAGGGCAAATCACTTCAAGAGTTGTAGTGACATGCTTTTAGTTAGGACTCCTCACTTTCTGCTTCATCAGCTTGTGCTTGACTGACCAGCTCTGTCACACAGTTCACACTTCGTCTTACCAGGCTCATTAACCAAGGTGCATATGGGACACACACTGCGCCCTTCTTGAGCGTCTACCTCTTGCAAGGTGTCACACCGAATTACGGTCAACTCGCCGACAGTCCAACTCGCCGACGCCAACTCGCCGACGTGTAAAATCGAGTAGAAACGTCGGCGAGTTGGTCGTCAATCCAATACAACTTATTAGAAGTTAAACATACAGAAAATTAAACGATATTTAGTAAAAAAAACACTGGTGAACATTGGTGAACATCAAAAAGATGTTGATGTTCACCAATGTTCACCAGTGTTTTTTTACTAAATATCGTTTACTTTTCTGTATGTTTAACTTCTAATACGTTGTATTGGATTGAGGACCAACTCGCCGATGTCTCTACTCGATTTTATACGTCGGCGAGTTGGCGTCGGCGAGTTGGTCCATCGGCGAGTTGACTGGTTACCGTCACACCCTAGGCACACCAGCACTTGTGGTCTGTTTATCATGGTACACTGCTTGCATTCCCAGGGGGGTCCTTCCTCTTTTTTTAGCTTCCTTTTCTCTACCTTGCTCCTAGTCCTCGGTTGTTCTCTACCCCTGGTTGTAAGCAGGCTTGACACAAATCGATGTCCACTTGGACTCTTTGGGCACGTGTGTGACAAGGATGCACAAGTTGCACAGTAAAAATGCTGACAGTGTAGGCACCTTTTTGATGCACATGCTGTAGGGTTCTGGCAGTCGGCAACAGAACAATGAGTTCTGTCCCTGGTAGCATACTGCTGACTGTCCAGACTTCTAAAGCCATCTGTAGACATCAGTCTTTGCCCAGGGAGAAGTAAGGTGCTGTCTAGGCTGAGAGGTCCCCCTGATTTGCTGAGGGCGTTAAACTCCATTCATCACTTGAAGTTGATTGTCTCCTGTTGTCAGTATCAACACCTGAAAACCAAAAAGCCAGTAAGGCTCAGACACCATCCATGAATAAGAGGAGCTAGGGCAAGGGGGGGGGGGGGCCAAAAAATGCACTTCACAAGAGGAGGGTCAAGAAACTCTGACCATGAGCTCCCTCAATTTGTCCTGGATCTCCTCATATCTAAATAGTAACCAATCCAAAAGCAAATAGAGGTGTTGCAAAAATATAACTCACATATGTGATAGGTAGAACTAACCATCTAATCATTGGGAACACATGAAGTAAGATAAAGAAATACCTTCTGAATTTGTTGTATCAGTATTTACTCCACTTCTTCCAATTGTCAGGGAAACTACATCACCTGTATGCAAAGACAGGGAAGTAACAGACCTGTTGATCAACTTCTTTTCAAAATGTGTTTACAAGATTGAAAGGATTACTTAGTGCATTTTTTCTGCAGCCATATTCCTTATACAACTTGGGTTTGTGTCTCAGAGCACCTTCACTGTTGTCTATACACTAGAAGATTAAGCCTGAATTTTTTCAGGTTTGTAATTTGAAATCTGTTTATACTTTATCCTAAACTTATTCCCTCTTGGTTTATTATAGCTTGTTCAATTTGTGTTTGCCTATCTCAATGAGTGTTTACAATCTCATACTGAAAGAACTCGCCTAATATCAAAAGCAGAATGATTTAATAATAATGAACTGGAGGTACCAAAAACAAGTACAAAAACTCTGTAAAAGATGCTAACCCAAGCACATGGAGCTTAACAAACTTGATTGGCTCTTTGGAATCAGATGGTATGATAAAAGACTTGATATATTCTGAACAGTATTCTTTTTCACTATATTTCAGTGTGAACAATTACAAAGGAAATTCATTCTGATCACAGGCTGCTATAGGTATCAAAGACTCCCATCCATTTTTTTGATACCTACATTGCAGCTTCTGTGAGTCTGGGTCAGGAAGGTAATCTGTGACACACTGAAGCATAGAACAGCAAACTGACCACTCATTAAAATAGCTCAGATGTTGAGTATGTTGTTGGCTGCAGTGACTGAGGTTTAAATAACCCCTCTCAACTGACAATAACTCTTCAATAAGTCTAATGATAATTTCCAATAAGGTTGCCGAAACATTAGTCGCTAAGACCAACAAAATTCCCCATCAGACTACCCTCTGCCAGACAAACAGAGTACATGATCAAGCATTATTTCAAAATAAGGTCAAAACATTTACTGCAAAAGTGTATTTGTTACCTCCAGAATCCACATTCTGCAAGGGTCTTTAAATGGCAACTGCCAGTGGGTTTTGAGCCTTCCATTCACAAAGCTTAGGAGCTGTCCTCTGTTTGTTGCTAAATACACATTCACATTATCATATGAAGAATTACCCCCAAATTCCCCTACATTTAAGGGTTCTCTTACATGGCATCATGTTGCTATGGGAACATACAGATTTGGAACCAATGGGACTTCTTGAACATCTTTATGAGTATGATTGACACATGTCCATCTTTTTAAGGTGCTGGTCTCATCTGTCATTTCAGATTTTACTCCCATGGAAACAACTTGGCCCCTTAATAATCCACACCAGAAGACAGTAAATTCCACACTTGACCTTTCATTCATAGAGTTATCAACCGTTACAGAATCAGTTGTAAACTTCTCAAACGGCATCATAGCATGCAAAGTACATAACCCCTTCAAAATTCCAACAAACTGTGGGGCCATCACAAAAATAAAATTCAATATTCTGTGTTGGTGAGACGTGACTTATTTCAAAACTGCCTCGCAGAATAACCGAATCATAGTCTTTTAGAAGTAATACATGCAGCTCCTGTGTGCTGGAATGCTTCATTCGAATCTGGCGTAGCAAAATAAAGGCTGGTACATTCCTGTAGTTGAGTTCATCAAACATTTTGCAGAAACGAGTTCCAGTTCGTGTCCTAATATTCCAAGGGGTAGCAGTTGCTTTGCAGTCCTTGTGAAGGATCTAGAGGATTTAGAAAAGCCAAAGATTTGAACTTCAATACAGTTTTCATCGTTGCTGCCCATATTTAAAAGAGAAAAGAATATCACGTCGCCTCTAAAGGTCGTAAACACTTTGCTGACGGCCATGACATCGGCCACGTTTTAAAGTCTGCTGCAAGACGCGAAATTCCCGCGGAATTCTGGTGGCAGCTCACCCCCAGTCTTTCGGAAGTTTCTAAGTGAGGTGCTTTGCGACTAGCCTCAGGACTGACTGACTTTCTGGTGTCTTTGATAAAACTCTGGAGGCCGTTAGAGATAGCCCTTGTGACAAAGTTTTCGTTACACTGATTAAAATATAAAGTCCATGCCCTCACAGTAACGCTAAAGGAGATTGGAACAACATCTACTCTTATCAGTGCACCGAAGACGCTGTCACAAAAGCTCTCCCTCCTAAGACCTGAAAAGAGTTTGTTAGGTGTTCCTGTTAGGACCTTGTTAGTTCAGAAATAGTTGTTCTTTATGACTCTTTGTACACAAAGTTTGAATTGAAGACTGAAAGATGAAAAAAGCCCAGTCAAGTTTAACCAGACTTATCTGGCCAGTCAGTTCCGACTGATTGTAACTAATCATCAAGAGCCCGGGCCCAATAACCATCGCAGAACATGTTTTGATTTCTCTGGGAACGCCAGATCAAACCAATTTTGCACAGTTCTTGATACTACCTAAACACTTCCCTAGTTCGCTTAAATATATCACCTTCGCGTAAACTTGACGAAAAGTCCTAGAACTGGAACAATAAACATCAGGCATCCGCCAGAACCTAACTTACGAAGGTAGCAAGTTTCGCGCTGAAGGAATGAGCGCCGAAGCCGTGAGAGGCTTGGCACGGAAGATAGTTTCGCCGCTCATCACTCAGCGCAAAAACAAATAAACAAACAAACAAACAAACAAACAAACAAACAGAAAAAAAAACAAAACAAAACATGCAAATCAACGAGCTACACAGGCGATCCGTGACTGTTTACAGCTATTTCCTTTAATTCAGTGCATCGTACAAATCTACAAAATACCGTTTTACTCTAAGTTGATATAGATTTGCAAGTCAAGGCATAATGGCTAATTACATAGACAGACACTAAAAATTTTAAAGAGAAACTATTAGCATCATTTGTTACACTGTGTAACTGCGGATCGTTCGAGAAGTCTCAAATTTTGTTTTCCCTACTTAATTTTCCTCTCACAGATTCTATGAACGTTCCAATTTTTTGCCTTTTTTGCATGACAGAGATTGTTTCTTGCGTTCTGAAAATCTTGATCTTGCTTGGATTTTGTCGCACGGCTGGCCAAAATTGATCCGCTTGCGCGTGTCCGACTTGTGTTCCCAGTCTCTTCCGTCCAAACATTAATTTTGCGTTTCCTATCCCACCATGCTCGAGGGACCGTAAAAGAAAAAACCCAGAATACAAGTAATCTACTATTCCCGAAAGCTATCGAAGTCTGCCGAAGCACATATTCAAAAAGAAAATTCAAGCATTACTATTTGCAACTCTAGGAAGTCTGGATAGTTATGCTGACACTAGCACTCTTATTTCTGAAATAAAAAAGGCATCTTAATTATAATTCAAACATAATATATTAATTTACTTTTTATCACCTTTTCCCTCTTTTGTCAAATAATGTATGCAAAATCGAGTAATTTGCATAATTCGTGTTTTTGTAATTCGTGTTGTATGTCCTTAACACCGCCTGCCTAGATTAGCTCGCTATTTGCAGGAGGTGATTATTGTACAAAGATTTTCCTGCAAACTTAATAAACTTGAACTTGAACTTGTTTTACGCTCCCTTCACGTGATAAGTCTAGAAAAACCGCGATACTATATCGGAGACAATGGACGTTCAATTTGTTGGGGGTTCGATCTAAGTTCAATATTTAATCGTCAGTCTCGATCTCTTGTTTAACACTGTCACTGCCATCGTCACCATCTGCGACTGAAAAAAAATCAATGTGAATATACACCCCATAATATAGACTCAAAAGTAATTGATAAAGGCCAGGGTTGGTTAAATTTCCTATGCTATAGGATAGCTCACCCCATTAATAACTCGATCCATTAGTCCACAAGTATATGTGCACACTAGAAATCATTATTTTAGCAGCCACTCGTAGGCACAATGCTGAAAACGTGGCGGGCCTGTGATAGATAGATTCTAGATTAATATTGCCGATATGACTTTAGATTTATTAGGATCAGTAGTGACTCCTTTTTATCTTCTCTAGTAATGGAAATTTTATCCACTTATACAAAAAAAGGATGATTCTTCATGAAGAGAATGGAGTTAAAAGTAACTGACCTGCGATTCCGTCCACCTTTCTAAGCATCTCATCCAGTAATCCAGTTATTACTTCTCCAGAGCTTTGTGAATCTGTTGATATCTCCAGGTTAGGATCAACAAGCACTGAAGATTCGCCTCCCACCCCTCCCTCAAGTCCAACTTCATTCTCATCGTCATTAACTTTCTCGTCACCGTTGTAATCAAGATCATCTTTTTCGTTGACATCTAAGAAGAGGAATATTGAAAACAATAAAAAAAATTACACACGTGCTCACATGGAATGCATATTCAATCCGTCAAACCAAAAGACCGATGACTTCTGACTCACCTGGATCCACTAAGGCTGAAGGACTGTTGTCCCTTACTTGCGCCGTCAAGCCAAAGTCAGCAGTTTCCACCAGATCTTGCGGTGTATGATGAGTTGTGCTTTCCTGTGGATCCTCTGTTTGAACCTCCGCATCCTTGGTTTTCCCTTCCTCCCACATCTCATGCTCGTTGAAGTTGTAAATAGAGCTCCCTGTAAACAAAACATAGATAAATTTCACTCTTGTAGACATATCGCACTGCCATATCGAATTAAGCAAAAAAAGAAGACTTCCTTGACGCGTGCTTTCATCACACGCAGTTTTGACATTTTTCATTATCTACGACTTTTAAAACATCATTAACTAAACCAACCTTTTTGTCCTGGCTTTAGCATCTTTACTCCACCGATTTGTGTTTTAAGCAAATCTAAAAGATTATACTCAAAGTAACATGTCAGATTGTCTGTTTCCGCCGGCTCCAGCTCACACTTCTCCATGAAAGCGGAGACCTCATCGATGAGACTATCTATGTTGGGCTTCTCGTCAACCAACGCGCTGTCATTCTTTTGACACTCCTCGATCAAAAAAAGCGCTAAGTCACATTTGTCCACAATACCTGACATGGCCCTAAACAAAAAACACAAAACAAATTACGCTGGAGTTCAGTTATATCTCTTAGAACTTCTCCCAGAAATCGCGTCCTTAGTTCGTGCTGTTACTGTTAAGCTCATACCTGAAGTAAAATGGAGTGACTTTTATTGAGTGTTTAAAACAAAGTCATTTTGGCGGCCAATCCTTAAAAATGGGAAATATTACAGGGAGCTGATTGGAACTCAAATTAATCAAAGGCAAGCGACCCGAAGAGTACGATTTGACCTCGTGTTTCCATAGCTTTGAAAGTCCTTATGTCCTCGATTGCAAGCCTCATTGAAGCGAGGCCAAGAAGGCTTAATTGCATGCACATGAAAGTACTGATAATAATCAAGCCCGACATTACAAAAGAGGTCTATACGAGACAAACCTCTCTTGATTATTCAAAAACATTATCTTCTGGTTCGTTTTATCGTTTACAGCATCCCTCAGCGACGTCTCTCCCTTACTCATGTAAGCATGTAACAATGCCATGTGTTTTCCGATCCTGTCTTGCAGGTATATTTGAGTGGCCAGTACAGAGTTCTTTGTGCTATTCACTTTTTCTCTTGACTTCTTGACCAATTCACAGTGATCGCCCAATTTTTCAGATACGCTGCTTAGTTCCCCACGTATCGTGGTGGCAATGTCAGTGACAAGCTCGCATTCGTGACCCACATGACTGCCATAGAACTAATAGAAAATAACCACAAAATTGAACTGGTTTGCATGCATGTAACTTAGAATTCCCTAAAGGAACATTCTAAACTACATGTGCAGAACCAAAAGGAGGCTAACCACTTGTAGACAGCTGAGAAAATGAAATGATGGAAAAGACCATTCTGCTGATCAAATTTTTTACATATGAATCCATTTTTTTAGAAAGAGGTGAACTCTATTTTTCTTAGTTTGGCCGGGGCAGCTCTTGGTGTATAGGAAGTAGGTCAAGGGAGAGGGACGGGTGGAAACATAGCAAGCTCGCCGAGTGGACAAAACTTCAAATTCAGTCAATCAATAGTCCATTTTACATTTACGTGCTTGGTTGCCAAGCCTTTGAACAAGAGTGAGGGTAACCTGGTTATGATACAAACGTTGCTGTTTTTAAAATGTAAATTACTTTGTTATCATGCTAACTAGATACTGGTCTCTATCACCACAAGGTCACCTTCAGCCTCACTCCAAATCAAAGACTTGGCAACTAAGGACAGACCTGTAAAATGGCCAATTCCAGACCTCACACTAGTGGCGTACCAGGCTGTTTTGTTAGTTTATAAATATTGAGAGTGCCACTTGTGCATTTCGCGGCTCCGATGCCTTTTTTCCATCGCGCGCCCTTAAAAGAAACGCCTGCTACGCAGACAATCACTCAAGGATATGAGTAAACGAGAGAATTTCCTTTGAGTTTTACATAATTTCCAAGCGCTGGGCCGAAGAACTGAAATATCTTAGCCGGTATAAGATTTTGACGTCTTGAAAATGCACCACGCTGGTAAGCAATTTTACCTGACAGTAAAGGCAGATAAGGCATTTGTCTGTGTGACAGTAAATTTTCAGGGCTTCTGCGTGTTCCGAACAAAGATACTTCTTGCTTCTCAACCTGATAGCTTTTTCGAAAACAAAGCAAATTGCAAATATTACATAAGTAAGCAACAACCAAGACAAAAGTCGATGAGATCAATAATAAAGATCCCAACACCTACCCTCGGGTCTTTGTATGCGCCCCTGAAGAATGTAATCTTCTACTCTGAGTTCCTATGGAAAAACAGAGCTTTAATCAAAGCTTATCGTGACTGATAAAAAGCAAACTTTAAAATGATAAGCGACATAAAAATCAAATACAGTCTGCGAGCAGTTTATTAAACAGAGCTTAAAAGTTAAGTGCCTAACTTCAAGCGTTTGATAGTTACCGCTCACTTAGCAACATGTAAATTCGACACCATAAATCACCCCGCCGACATTACTGGCCAGCTTGCCGACGATTGCGCGGCGACAGCTTCGGTCAAGTCGCTGAAAACTTTGGTCAACTCGCTGACAACTTCGGTCAATTCGCTGACAACTTCGGCCAACTCGCCGACGACTTCCGTGAACTCGCTGATTACTTCGGCCAACTCGCCGACAACCACGGTCAACTCGCTGACAACTTCGATGACAACTTCGGTCACTGACTCGTCGACAATAATTTTTGTTACTCCATTTGGAATTTTGTTAGGATAGGCGAAACCATCACTTTTAATAAATATTCTCAAGACAAGCTTTGATAACTTTAAATTATATAATGATTCGTAAAAGACATCTTTCATCAAAGGTCATTTGACTTATCGTTAACTTCTTTAAAATACGATGCGATCTAATTCCCGAATAGTCAGTTTCCAGCACTGTTCTCAGTGAAATTTATGTGAGGCTGGAGGGAGACACCACCCTTGTCCGATTTCTCAAGCTGGAGGGGTCAGTCAGCTATTGCAAAAAGGCGGAACGACTGTTACAACTACGTTCGAGTGCGGCATCAAACTAAAGGAAAGTCCATTTCCCCGCTATTTTTTTTCCATGAGGACGTCAAGATCAGTCAGATCCCATTCTTCCCTCTCAAATTATGTCCAAAATTTCACAAGAATAGCACTCAAAACTTTTTCTTTGCAACACACCTCAATGCTCTTCTTATCGTAGTAGGACATCACAGTAATGCATTGATGTCCGACGCTGATGTCGGTTGTGATGCCATTTTTGTCCATACAATAAGTTCCTTGTATAACCTGGAAAAAACGACAATAATGCCTATAATGACAACACTTTTTGATCCGCCTGATAAAATTTATGTGTCCCAAACTAATTGGACTCCGGGTCAGTTTTTCGTTCCTTTCTTTATCATTTCAACAACTTCCAACTGGTTGTTATGGCCAAATTTTCCTGGTTAAGTACCTGACTCCAATTGGTCAGTAACATTTACAAGTAGAAGTACATAACAGAACAAGAGAGATGGTAAGTTTTGAGCTCGGTAAAGAAATAGAGAAAGATGTTTTTCGTCTTGTCACGAGCGTGGGACAAAGAAAAAATTCTGAGTCCCCATAAGGAATCGAACCTCAGACCTTCGGATTCCGCGCTCCGATGCTCTACCACTTAGCCACAGAGACTCTCCAGTGACCGAGGTCTATTACGAAGTTCATGATACCCGTCCTGCATACTGTTAGGATCCGCAATGTCGATAGCGTCATGTTTGTAACTAGAATAAGAGAGATAGTAAGATTTGAGCTCGGTAAAATTTAATGAGCGTAGGACAAGTAAGAACATAGTCAAGCAACTCATGTAAAGCTCTGCAAATGATCCTTAGACATATTAACAGCTGCAAATAAAGAGTATGCCACATCATAGTTCAGTATCACTTAACTGCATCCACTTACATTGAATTTTACAGGTGTTCCCAGCTGGTCCATACTTATATCTCCTGTCATATGAGATCCTGTCAAAAAAAAGAGAGATCAGAGACTGGGAAGCAAGGAAGCAAAGGAATGACTTCTTGTTGCTAACAGAAGGAAGTAGAAAGAAATAAAAACTTGTGACAAATTCATAACTCATCCTGTTCAAAATAGTTTTGCTACTTAACCTTACACATTGAGTTATCCATCATGAAACAATGAAATATCCCACAAAGTTGAAACTCTGAGGCATTAAATCAATAATTTCTCCATTTAATTATATGCCTTTCTTTTGACTCAGTTTTAGATTACAATTGAATTTAACTGTTCTGCCTTCAGTTTTTTTTAAATTGTTTCCCAGAGTAAGAAAATGTTACAAATGGCACTCTGGGTAAAGACCTGTAAGTGCACGTCTCCTCTTTTTCACTACATTTATGTACTATTCTTGTAATTTGAACATAATTAGCAAATAAATTTATTGGATTTTAATAGTTACAGTTAACATTAGCAGCTACCTGTAGCATTCTTTCAATTTATTTTTTTAAACTCTGTTATGATTCAAATCATTACTGCAACTATTATCAGTATTGCAAGTCCACCTAAGGTAAAAGTGGAATCTTATAACATAAAACAAATGTAAGAAGCATGGTAGCCTGAAGATGCATGGTGGCCTGGAGAAGCGTAGTGGCCTAATGGTCAGTACACTGGACTCCAGATCAAGAGGCCTGGGTTCGAAACCTGGCCGGGACTATGCGTTGTGTTCCTGGGCTAGATACTGTACTCTCACAGTGCCTCTCTTAAGGACACACTTAATTTGGAACCTTGCTCTGTTGTGTGTCCTGCACCTTAATGGTGAAAGTGATTGAAAAAAAATAATGGAAAATTCAAAGTTCACATGGGAAAATCATTGAAAAGTTCACAAAGGAAGGGTATTTATAAGGTAGCACTTCCATAGACACAAAACATGTTAGAACCCTCCTTAGCTCCATTCCCAAGGGCAAAAAATAATACAGCCAAACTAATCAAATAGCAGATTTCCTTGTGCTATAGGACCCTTGGCTTGATTGCCATATGCTGAGCAGAAAATAAGCCCACCCTCCTTCCCTTAACTGCTCAGAAGGATCAAAGAGTGCACCCATACCATGCTCTTCTACTGAAATTTAATTTAAGGTACATTGAAGCATTTTTCATCCATTCCGTATTTATGCCTCATGTTTTAAAATTCTCTTCACTATAATATCAATATACCACATGTAAAGGAATTAAAACAGAAAATTCATGATAAGAAACTGGATAATACTTAGGTTGCACCTGCATCTGCATCAGTCCTTCAATATATCACGAGTAAGAACCAAAACGATTCAAAACTGGTCCATGCAAAGGTGTTAAATTCAAAGGCCTTTAATTTAAGTCTTGAAATCATGGTTCCAAACGAATGCCTAATGTAGGATCTAGATCTGATAAAAAAAATCAGAATTACAATTATATTGATGCTTTATAAATACCTCGAATTTCAAGCTTGCTGTCGAGCGAGTCAGTTGATCAAGAATGAGAGAGAAAGCTAGACCATGAAAATGATCAGGAAAAGATGAATTTTCCTCCTCTGCGGCCCTTCCTTCCTCGTAATCAGGTGTTATTACTGTTAATCGAAAAATTTAAGATAACTCATTATAACCTCGCAACCTTACGATTTCAAATGTGGAATGCTGGGTAAGGTGCGCAGAATCGAGGCTACTTTATATGCAAGAAAAAAAATTAAACAAATTTTTAAAAAAATGAAGCAAAAAAAACAAAACAAAAAAAAAACCAGTTTGAGCACAGGAAGCCCAAACTCGTAAAACGAGTCTTGGTAAATATGTTAATGACGTTACACTGCGCAAATAGAAGAAGTTATATGTGGAAATCAAAACTTTTCTCTTGAAGAAGAATATGCTGAAAAATCTTACAGAAAAAAGACATTTAAACAGCTAATTGCTTCTGTTTTCCTTTATTGTACATTGTTCTCCAACAGACTATATTGTTACACTGAAATTTATTTACAAAGAACTCCACAAAAATTTTCCTGATGGTATTACTGATTACAAAGAAAAATCTACCTTTTAGGGCCAAAAATTTTATCACTTTAACTACACAAGTAGATTAGTTTGTGTATTCTGTCCACACCTTCTTGAAGACTACTATAAACATTTTTGTCCATATTTTTGACAAGAAATTATTCCACCAGGTAACACATTAGTCAAACCACACTGCACCTCATGCAGCAGAGTTTTACAAAGGATTTACTCCAAATGAGCTCTACCATTGAAATACACTGAATGAAATAGGAAAAAAATTTAAGACACATTTGAACATTGGCAATCTTGTCTTGCTTCATGTGTTTACATCGCTCAAAGAAAGTAGAGATGACTTCAAATGTTTCCAAGGGGTATAAAAATATAACACACTTTAAAAAAAAAAAACTTTGGCAGTCAAAATGAGTGTTAGAGGAACCACAGAACATGTTTGTGTTTCTTGAAACATACGGCAAATTGTTTGTCCAGTTACCATCTTGCTTCATGCAGTATCTGAGCAAAATAAATCCCAAGATTATCCCTGAAAAATCACCACTTTGTGATAATTATTTGGATCAATGTTGGTATCTGAGCAACTAACCCACCTACCCCTCCCCTAACCCAACAACAGTCCACTGATTACAAGTTCTGGTTAATATTGTGTTAGGGGAGGGGTTGGTGTGTAGTAGCTTAGATACTGACTGAGACCACTTATTTTTCCTGTGTAAAATACTATGATTTACTTCCTAAGAGCAAATCACTTCAAGAGTGGAAGTGACATGCATTTAGTTAGGACTCCTCAGTGTCTGCCTCATCAGCTTGTGCTTGACTGACCAGCTCTGTGTCACACAGTTCACACTTTGTCTTACCAGGCTCATTAACCAAGGTACACATGGGACACACATTGCGCCCTTCTTGAGCATCTACCTCTCGCAAGGTGTCACACCCCAGGCATACCAGCACTTGTGGTCCGTTTATCATGGTACACTGCTTGCATTCCCAGGGGGGTCCTTCCTCTTTCTTTGGCTTCCTTTTCCTTACCCTGCTACTAGTCCTTGGTTGTTCTCTACCCCTGGTTGTAAGCATGCTTGACACAAATCGATGTCCACTTGGACTCTCTGGGCACATGAGTGACAAGGATGCACAAGTTGCACAGTAAAAATGCCGACAGTGTAGGCACCTTTTTGATGCACGTGCTGTAGGGTTCTGACAGTCTGCAGCAAAACAATGAGTTCTGTCCCTAGTAACACACTGCTGACTGTCCAGACTTCTAAACCCATCGGTGGACATCAGTCTTTGCCCAGGGAGAAGTAAGGTGCTGTCTAAGCTGAGAGGTCCCCCCTGATTTGCTGGGGGTGTTAAACTCCATTCATCACTTGAAGTTGATTGTCTCCTGTTGTCAGTATCAACACCTGAAAACCAAAAAGCCAGTAGGGCTCAGACACCATCCATGAATAAGAGGAGCAAGGGCGGGGCTCTTAGATTCATCCAAACATAAATTTGATATGAATAAAAGAGGGGGGGAAGCAAAAAATGCTCTTCACAAGAGGAGGGTTGAGAAACTATGAATGTGGACTCTCTCCATTTGTCCTGGATCTCCTCCATTAACAGCAACCCATCCAAAAGTAAATAGAGGCGTTGCAAAAATACGACTCACATATGTGACTGGTTGAGGTAACCATCTACTTACTCATTAGGAACACATGTGGTAAAATAAAGAAATACCTTCTGAATTTGTTGTATCAGTATTTACTCCAGTACCTCCACTTCTCAGGGAAACTACATCACCTGTATGCAAAGACATGGAAGTAACAGACCTGTTGATCACCCCCTTTTCAAAATGTGTTTGTAGGATTGAAAGGATTACTGAGTGCATTTTGTCTGAAGCCACATTCTCTATACAAACAGGGTTTGTGTCTCAGAGCACCTTTATGATTTTCTATGCCCTAAAAGATAAATCCTGAATTTTTTCAGGTTTGTAATTTGAAATCTGTACTTTAACTTAGACTTACTTGCTCTTGGCTTATTATCACCTATTCAATTTGTGGTTTTCTATATCAATGAGTGTCGACAATCTCAAACTGAAAGAACTCACCCAAAGCAAAATGATTTTATTATGATGAACTGGAGGTACAAAAAACAAGTACAAAAACTCTGTACAAGATGCTGACCCAAGCTTAACAAACTTGATTGGCTCTTTGGAATCAGGTGGTACATTTTGATTACAGGACCCATAATGTTACAGTAGGCTAAAATTTGCTATAAGATTGCAAGTCTCTAAGACTAGAACAAAATATTGTGAATCAGCTCATGCAATGTATATTTTTCTGCTTCAATATTCATTTTTCCTTCTTTGCCAACTTACCATAGTATCATCTGACAAAGGAAAAACAGGAAAGTGAACAACTGAGCCAACAACAACAATAAGACACACATCAGTACGACATATTTCAAGTGAAACTAACCATTGGGACTGAGAAGTCGAAGTCTATCAATTTCATCCTGTAATTCATCAAGCAAGCTTGTTTGTTTCTCTTCTGAATTTTTTGAATCTCTCAATTCTTCACTGTGGCTGCTAGGCAAAGTCTCCCCACCCACTGCTCCCTCAAGCTCAGTATCACTCTCTATTTCTTCTGCATCTGAGTGGTCTGAGCTCCCACCTAGAGGGTTAAATGAAATAGCAAAGATTATGTCTTTGAAGGAAAGCACAAATTGTACAGTTGTCAAAAGACTTTGTAAAAAGTCCTTTCACATAGAATTTTCAGGTTTAAAAAATTTGAAAGCTTTATTAGCTTTGCTGGTCAAAGACAACCTAACATGTCAGGTCCTCTGCTTTCAATCCATGGCCTTGTGGCAAAAATATTGAGATTTTAAGACTTCTAAAAAAATTAGCATTAGAAAACTTCCTGTATATTTTTAAGAAGGCTTCCAAGATTTTTTAAAATGATTATATCAACAATTTTAGCAACAGTTCCAATGCCCCAGATCAAGACCTATCCCGAGGGAATATTTTCAAAATTATCTCTATGGCAACCAGACATGTCTGTACCATCATGTGCTAGTTTACACTAACCCAACTCATTTAGACCTGACTCTGAGCTACTGTGGTCAGGACTTTCAGGTTCGAACACAGGTAACCCAGGAGCTGGACTTTCATCCCATCTTGGTTGCGTCAAACGTGTGTGAACAATTTCCTCCAATCCTTGCAATAGGCTTTGAAACAGGGGGTTTTCACCATTTTCCTGAAGATCTTCTGTCTGTGTCTCAGCATCATACATTTCTTTTTTCCCTGACAGTTCATGTTTGTTCAGCCCAGCCAGAGGCTCCTCTGTGAAAAACAAGTTATGAATATGTTGTTGACAAGCATCATGAGGTCAAAATGGCTGAATACTGGAAGGTTTTTTTTGTATGTTATTGTTGACTGGGATGAAGTTGAGGTCCATAAAAATGCAAAAAGTGACCAGTTCCCTGCAAGCAGGCTTAGAGAACAGATCAAGGTAGTGAATATATTGAGCATGTGAGAGGGCTGGCAAGAAAAATGATGACTTTCATTTTCATGTGAGAGCTCTTGCTTGCTGGTTAAAAGCTCCAGCATATTAGTGCTCATGTTGCAGTGATAAAAGAGGACCTGCTTTCCAAATGAGATGCCATTACCTATTAGTCATCTTGTCTTTTTAAAGTAGGTTGCATTTAAATGCAAAAAGAGAGGCCAGTGACTTCTGCTCCAACTGAATTATTTTTTGTTCATAATTCAAACCGCAGACAGCTCTTGTCATAATGGAGAGTTTCACAACTCTTCTACAATGACATATGCCACCATTCATTCTATACTTTCCAGATCTATATCAATAGTTCCCAAATTATAGAATTCCTGATGACCCATAACAAACCTTTCTGGCCTGGCTTTAGGACTCTGATTTCCCCAATCTGTGTCTCCAGAATGCAAGTGATATCATACTCAAAGTAATAAGTTAGATTGCTTGTTTCCTTGGGCTCCAATACAACCTTTTCCATCAGATCACAAACTTCATCAACAAGTCCATAGATACGGCGCTTCTCATCCACTAAAGCACTGTCATTATTCTGACATTTCTGGATCAGAGAATATGCTGTTTCACACTTATTCACAATTTCGGTCATCATGCTGAATGAGAAAATAACATAACAATAGTTTATGTATTATACAAGCTTCTACATCACCATGGTTGATTCAGAGGTCAATCTGACGAATAAATTGTAAGATTTTTCCCAGCAGAAAATGCAATTTCTCTACACAATTAAAGCAACAAAAATAGAGAAAATCAAAATTTCTTAAATCAAATGCCAACACTCTATTAGGAAACAATCTTCTACAAACAAACAACACACATGCAACCCACATTTCCTCTGTTCACTATGATGAAGGGCTAATGCTTGAAATGTCACTTTTCAAATTCTTTATGGTGGCCAATTTATGTCATCAACTCAGTTGATAATACTATATTACCCTGTTATACAAACAATATCCTCCCCCTTAGTGGCTGAAACTCAAAATCCTCAGTGGAAGAGAAGATATTATGCTGCATACACAAAATTAACCCTTAAACTCCCAAGATCCAATTTTAAATTCTCCCTTCTAGTTGCTACACATTTCCTTGTAAATTAGGGATGAGAATTTAGGGTTAGATCAAGATAACAATTTCTACCTGATGTGAATTCTCCTCACCTGTTGGCTGGATAATGTATGGCTTGGATATTAAAGGGAGAAGTTACAGAGACTTCAGGGACTCAAAGGGTTAAAGAATATCAAAACTAATTTCCCAATAATTACCTCTCTTGTTCATCCAAAGGTTTCATCTTCTGTTTCGTCCTGTCATCAACGTCACACTTCAGCACAGTTTCCCGTCGACTCATGCAAGCTCGCAGCACTCCCATATGTTTCATAATCCTGTCTCGCAAATACAGTTGAGTGTTCAGTATGGACTCCCTTGCATCAATCACGTTTCTTCTAGCTTTCTTCACTGTGTCATAATGATCACCCAATTTCTTGGACAAGCTGCGAAGCTCTTCACGAGTTGTTGTAGCAATGCTGGTGGCAAGTTCACATTTGTGTCCCATGTGCTTGCCATACACCTAAGTGTAACAAGCACTGGCATAAACAATCTGATTAGCACCCCTCACCTTTGTTACACCCTCCCCTTCCCAATCTATTACAACCACATTAAACCTCTCTAATAAACCCCTTTCCTCCCTTCTCCTTGATCAAAAACTAAATCATTTGTTATGACTATCCTAGACAATCAGACATACTCTAAACTACATCTCAGGTTTAGAACATGTTCAAAACTCTCTCAAACTCCCTAGTGTTTAGAAAAGGCCATGCAAACACTGAGAGTCCCTCAGAGCCTTGATTTGTAAATAAATTACTCCCAAAAATATGCATATGTATATGACAAAACATGCAGCTAAACTGATAGTGATTTGCATTTGTTACATCATACCATACAGATCCTCATGTAGAAATACCACTATACCTACAGACAACAATTCATCAGCATCCATAAAAAGACAAGTATATGATTTGGCTTGCAAGTTATAAAAATGCGTTATTGACCAAGCATGAGGTCAGTATGGCTGAAAATTGGCCAAATTCTTTTTAGCATTTTTTCTACAACATTTGGCATATCCATTCCCAACATTGTCCAAAATATTAGAAGTTTTGTATTGAGTCTACTCCAAGCAGTTTTTGTTCTTGCACATGATTAGAGTGGACAATCCTGCTCAGGTGGCCAATCAGAACACATAAATTACTTCATATTACCCACAGGTGCTGCCAGCAAGATAATGACAAGAATTATCAAGGCCATGGTTTGAATTATCCACCTTAGCCTTTGGCTCAAGCAGATGACACAAACCGATGTTGCATAAATCCTTCTTATTACTTCCTCATCCACTAACTCTTATTGTTAATTATTCGTACCTGGCAGTAAATGCAGATAAGACAATTATCAGTATGACAGTAAACCTTCAGAGCTTCATCATGTTCTGGACAGAGATATTTATTATTCTCCTTCTCCTTTGATATTCCATCAGTTTGAGCTTCTTCTTTCCCTTCAAGAATCTCAAGCACTCCAAAGTTTTTAGGTAGATTTCTCACAGACTCAAAAGTCCTTGGAAACAAAGTGGTCTCGATTTTACATGTTGGACAACAGATTGTACCAGGATTTCGGGCTTGAAAAGCTAACTTGTTCAAACATCCTTTAAAGGCAAGAGGAGAGACATTTAGCAACTCTTAGCTTGAACACTCAATGTCAAATTTGACATTAAGTGTATCTCTTGCATCTATTGCGTGAGTATTTCTAAGTATAAGTACTAAAATGTATTAACCCTTTAACGTCCAAGATCTGATTTTTAATTCTCCCCTCTAGTCATTGAAAGTTTCCCTGTAATGAGAATTTAGTGTTAGATCAAGATAACAACTTCTACCTGATAAGTTTAAGTATTCTCATTACAAAATAATGCTTGGATTTTATATGGAGAGTTTACATGTCAATTACTGCTGGAAGTTAGAGAGATTTCCCTCATAACTAATGAAGAACATATGAATGAGGTCTGGTTGGCTTAGAGTTGCTTTGCACATGTGATGTTCTTCTTTAAGTCATACGGACTTACTTCAACATTTTATGCAGATGCAAAGACATTTTTCATTAGTTTTAATTGTTAATACACACATGTAAAGGTATTCACAATGGACAGTGAAGATGTAGACTATATTTTCTTCAAAACAATTTGTAAATGTTTTGTTTCACGATTAAACGTCGCTTTCTCAAATTAATCAGTTTTTGTTCCTTATTAATATTCATATTCTTGATTATCTGGACTATTTCCACTAGTCCCAACGAGTCCGGATAATCGAGGTTCAACTGTAATAAAATATTCCAATAGGAATCAACACTTTGTAAAATAAACAAAGGAACTCAAAGAATCACACAACCCCCTTTTCTTTTTCTACTGAGGCCTATTGTGCATCCTCAACTCAGGGGGAGGGAAGGGAAGGGGTTTCGATTAAATTTCTCGAAACGAAAAATTACGTCGAGAAAAGTCCGCTTAAGCAGGCGCAAGCGAAAGCAAACTCGTCTAGAATGATAAACAAACTTTGATTCGAGTGGTTATAGATAAAACGTGGATTTTTAATGATTTGTTGAGGGGAGAATGTTTTACAAATTCCAGACAAGCCTGCATAATTTGAACGGTATCAAATGAAATCAATCATTCCATAAGTAAACATCGGTTTCAGATCGCTATAGCTACAGTATGCTCATAAAAATTTCTCCGGTACAACATGGAACTATCTTTACGAAATCTTTTTTTCTAAAAGAGGTTATAAAATAGTAATATACCTGTACAGTATGTGTGTCCGCAGATTAGATTTCTGGGAACGAACTGCACTTCATCTGACTTGAAGTCGTTGTAACACACAGAGCAACTCAGTCCCCTCAATTCAGCCATGGAAATTTCGACAAAAACGGGTGTAAATGGTAAAAGCCGAGGTTTAGCGCCGGTAATTACACAATACTAGCATTCCCAACAAAGCAAAGGCTTAAAACGATAGAAAACACACACAGAAGCGCATTCTGTTGTGACATTTCTCAGAAACAATGTGTAGCAGGAATTGATGTTTGGGTTGACATGCGCCCATGAGCTGTTGGTCAGTGGTGATACGAGGAAACAATATGGCGGATTGATCCGAGCAGACAGTATGCAATTAGACGAGGAAGATATCGAAAATCAAAAGCCTCAGAAACCTTGTAGCGGCCTTAGAAAGGAACTGAAGGATTGCATTTTAGCAAGTGATTGTGTAAAAAAGGTAAAATTTGTCATAAATGTATTATATTGTGGCAAGCTTTATGCTCGTCCTGGTTGATTTTAAGTAGCTTAAGCCTACATTCGAACGATTACATAGGTTCAGAAGTTGAGTTAATAGAGACTACCGTGTTCGAGTACAATCATAACATCCAAAATATATTTCTACTCGTTTCTGTCTTTCATGAATGTTACTAACCCTAAATAACATTTCATGCTTTGAGGGTGAACGATATTTACATAACTCTACCTCTCCTCTCTGTGGCATGTTCAGCAGTTCGGATCATAAAGCTGGACGTAACCAAAGAGGAATTGCTGAATATTCAGAAGTGAATGAGTAGATTACTCTTGAAACTAGGATGGGACAAAAGGAGATTGATATATTGGAGCCCCTCTTGTAATTGATTAATTGATTAGGTGTTAATTGATCGATTCACACGACTGACTGACTGACCACAATGACTGACTGAAAACAGAATTACTGACTGAATGACTGACTGAATACAGACTGACTGACTGACTGCTTTACTAACTGAAAACAGAATGACTGACTTACTGAATACTGAATGACTGATTGATGGACTGTCTGAGTGAGTGGTTGATTGATTCTCTCCTTTCATTCATGTGTTCCTTCATTCATTTGTCTGGTTATTTATTTTTTTTTTTTGTAGTTTGGATCGAAACCCAATGACTGTTTGAACCCTGATGCTCAAGGTATCAATGAGAACTGTAGAAGGGTCCAGTATGCATTCTTTGAGTGCAAGAGGTCACTGGTAAGGATGTTATTTTGGAATCTTTTTCAACTGTTTTTCCTAAACAACTCAGTCTCCTCTTGTTGAAAGGAGATTACATATCATATAAGGTAAATGGTAAAACAACCTGGCATTACTCTGTGGTATAATAGGTTGTTTGAGGAGGATTCTCTACTGGAGAATTGTGTCAAATTCCCAGGTCTTGTACCAGACTCCCTCTCCTACCCACACTGTTTATATAAGGGAATGGAACACAATTTAACACTGTTACCATTACTGTCTGAAAGCTGATCCTTTTAACTGTTGACTAGAAACTTGTTTGCTTTTTTAGTACTTGAAGTCTGTTAACAACAATATTCCCTTTACAGAGGTGTAGCAATTATTTTTCTAGGGGTTGGGTACCTACCTTACCGACAAATCAACATCTACCGGTAAACTGTGTTTTTAATCACAAAAAGGAAAATTTTGCATCACAGTTTTTATTCTGTTTTGTGCTTTTCTGCCACCCAAATCATAAAGTTTGATTGTTTCAGAGTTTTTTTTGAAAATAACCTTTTAATGGAGTTTCATGGCCACCCCAGCTCCCCCTTTCCACCCTTGGTGTGCCCCCCCCTGCAGTAGGATAATTTTCTGAGGTCTCATTACCTATCTGCCTGTCATTGTATTAACCCTTTAACTCTCATGAATGACCAAGACAGAATTTCTCCTTACAATATCAATACAATATTAACCAGATAAGTGATGAGAATAAAGAAAAATATCAATTTGGGAATAATTAGTTGATCCAATACTAACCTCTCTGAACTAACATTATAAGAATTGTAAGGTTGACAGCAAGGAGAATTACAAATTTGATCTGGGAGTTAAAGGGTTAAAAGGGTTTAAGAGAATGCATCAAAGGATCAGTTTTTGGAGCAAAAAGGGAAAGATGTGGTTGAACTGACAAACTTCTCATTTTTTATTTGTTGACAGTTAGATTTTCGCACCCGTTTCAGGGGAAGAAAAGGATACTGATGGAGGAACACAGGAATGTTGTTTTTAGTGGATTGGACAATCAATAAATGCTACCTCACAGAGAATGTAAATACTCAAAGAATCGCAATTGAAACATCTTGAAATGTGTTTTTTCCCAAAGCTATAGATTTTTTGAGGGAAAAATGCTGAAAAAATGAGCAGTTATTTTCGTAATAAAAAAGTCTTCTTTTGAAAATAAAGACGAGCATATAGTATCACCAATGAATAAAGGGGTAAGTTACCAAAATAATCTGTGGTGCTGGGTTGATGGGGGAGTCTAGCAGGGTAATTTGGTTTTATCAACTGTGCTGATGATGTAAATTGGCCACCGTAAAGAGTTTCCAACCTGACATTTCGAGCATTAGCCATTCGTCGAGCGAATCACAATACATTATAAACTTAGTTTATAAAACCAAATTATATATAGTATCAACAGTTGATATCCTGTATATGTTCTTGTTTCGCTGATATTGCATAAGCTTGTACCAGGCTCTCTTGGTTAGAGGAGACGAAAGAATTAACAAGCGAATGGAACTTAGCATTTGTCGGGTGAAACGGCAGCAGATTTTCTTTCTCTTTGTTTTTTATACCTCCAAAACTTCCGCCGTTTTGCGCCCACGTGCTGTCTCGCACGTCTCTAATGCGGACCGATGCCCTGCCAATGGCTGATATTCCGAGGATTTATTCTGTTCATGCCAGAATTCAGGAACGATAAACTTTATCGATGGTTTCTGCAGGAAAACTCTGAAAAAGAAAATTGTGAGCCTTAGGTCAGTTAGACGAAAATGATTCGTCATTTCTCAGCATAAGATGTTTCACGCGTTTACAGAAATCGGCTAAAGAACAAATGTTATGACGCTCGCGTTCCAAAGTTAACACGGCAGTCCACGGCACGGAAATAAATACAATGAGACAGGTGGTACATTTTTTAGCTCGATAATGAAATAAAGAAAGGCGTTTTTCTTCTTGTCCCGTACGCCTGACTAACAAAATTCTGAGTCTCTCTCGAAGAAACGACTCTCAGACCTTCGGTTTTGGCCCTTCGATGCTTTGTTAATGAATCGTTACTCCTGGGTTCAAACCATTTCTTGTTAATATTCAAGTAAGTACGCCGTAAGATCTAATTTTTGATTAGCTAATCCAAGCACTTCAGATTCTTCTCCTGTTGAAATGTAGGTTACCAACATTCTCTCCGACTCTCTCGGCGTAATTCCGACATGAAACTGGATACTAATCAGCGGAAAACACCTCGGTGCAGTAAAGAAAGATGTTGTTCGCATCTCCTCTTTCTCCCGCCCTCGTGACAACACGAATGACATTTCCCTTTTTTCATTACCGAGCTCAAAAATTTGTCATCTTTCTTTTGCTAGTTACCAACACGACGCTCTCAATGTTTCAGATCCTAGCAATATACAGGTCGCGTCTTACACAATAACTAAGTCATAACCTAGCTCGTCACGAGAGTTCGCCGTAACTCATCGTACAGTCTGATTTCCCGGTTGTGATCGATGCTGGAAAGGACTGTTGTCTGTAAAAGTGACTGACGTTTCAGCAGCCTAAGCAGAAGTTATCATTAGGGTCAAGTGAGGAGTTCTTTGTTAGTAGAGCACAACTCAGGTTTGGTCAGTCAATGCAGCTGATATCAACCCTTTTGAGGACTTTTCTCTTCCGCGGATGATCAGACTACTCAATCAACATTTAGTAGTTTTTAGCAAGTTTTAAAAAGCATGCTGAAAGAAGAATAATTTAAAGTAAATCCTTCAGGAGTGGAACCAAATAAAAAGTGAACGGCCGAGTCAGTAGAGCGATTATTTTTTTTTTAAACGCTTTCCTAGCGCTTGGCCTTTCCATATTCTCTTTGCCTGTCGTAATTCATGAGTGTTCCCACCCTACAAAAGGTATGATTATTCTTTTTTGGAAACTGAATCTAGAAAGGAAAAACCCAATATTTATTTGTCTTAAGTTTTTTTTTCTTCCTCTTTGCGCTAAAATACTAACTCGTCCGAAGGTCATGTGCCATTTCTGACCAAGTTTAAAGCTCATTTGATAATTACTGAATTTTCGCCCATTCGAAGCGCCTTTTGTGTTCGTTGTTTGAGGAAGAGTCAGTTTCGTTTGTAGAGCAATTCAAGGACGCGCTTTGTGGGCAGTTGTGGGTTGAAAATTCATGCCTTTCATATCTGTCCACACTTCTGTAATATTTGCAGGACTCTCGCTTGTAAACTTTTATGGAGAGATGTTTCCAAATCTGTCAGGTTTTCTGCCTTGATACATCAGAAAATAGAATCATCCCTTTGAAGAAGCTTTAGAACGACGCAGAAAAACTCAGGCTTCTTGTGAAGTACCGCAAGAGTGAATTTATCAGTATTTTCAAAGAAAGTCATTTTCAAAACAACAGTGGCGAGAAATAGGAGACTTTACATCATGCTACCATATGCATTTTAACGAATTCACCTCGATAACCATATTTTTACACCTTGAATCGAAACAAATTTTAATTTGGTTCTGTCGTCCATTCAGAGAAATAATAAAAAGTTAGCCTTGAGTCGCAAGGTATAAAAAAATGCCACAGATGTATTAAATATATTGTTATTCCTCTTTTGTTCCTATCAAACAATTAACGAAGCAGGTATCTTTTTTTTTTTTTCAAAGCTCAAGCTGGTTTTGTGAAAAGGTCATTTCTCTCGACCAATTGTAATTCAAATGCAATTTTACGTGACAAAATTGGCCAAAATTGACCAATGCGTATTTCACACATGGCAAAGTTAATATTAAGATATTTTCTGTGTTAAAAAAAATTGTGAAAGCGACCGACCAGAAAGTCCGTCGTTCAGTCTCCTTGTTTTAATAAATTTCGAGCCTCGTACGTGATGAAAAAAAAGTTGTGAAGTGTTTACGAAGGTTAGAAAAGCACACTTCTTGGTCTTGCATCATTCAACATTGTTCAAAATCTTCGACAAGCTGCCAACTCGTTTTCACAGCAGATGTTCCTGACAGTCACAATCTAGCTTTTTACTGCGGCTAGAAGATGTGTGTGAAGTCAGTGTTTTGTAACGTTTGCCCTAGTGACACTAAGGAAGCCATTCTTGAGTAAATTTCCCTCGAACTGCAGAAGAAATTCACTGTCAGCAAAGACAGCCACACACATACACACAAGCGTACTTTCTGTGGGACTATTTTCTCTCACAAGACAAAAAGGGAGATCAATTGATGTCTCAGGCTTATAATTTAATTCATTTTCTGAGTATAATTTTACTTTTATTAAGGTTGACTTGTTGGCAACAACTTGCTTTTTTTTTTTGAAGAATCGTTTTCCCTTAGGAATGAAATGAGCTGAAATGAAATACGGCCATGGCAGGTTAGGAAAAATAAAGCTTCGATTCGCGTATAGAAAATCGAGGAAATGAGATGCGAAGTTTTTTAGGGCAGGAAGCTTCAAAGATGATAGCTGGATCTTGAAATGCTTGTCCTAAATGGCTTTGCCTAGTTCGTGTCTACAGCCCTTCGGCGCAATAGGAAGGCGGGAGCTAAATTACTACTTTGATTAGAAATTTTGTGATTTCGACAAGCGCCGTCGTAATGTCAAATAGAGCAGTTGGTCGGGGTATGATTATGGCGAAGTCTTTCCTACTAATGGATATTAAATAACTAAGTATGGAATTAAAATTAGTGTAAACACATGATATTCCGACAGAGTTTAAAAACGTTTCACCGCCGTCATTTGCACTTCTTCCACTCGATTCTTCGGCTTCAGAAAAAATTTGAAAAGTTTTCGTTTTCTCGAATATACAAAACAATGAACGTTTAAAACTGAAGAAAAGGAAGGAGAATAAAAAAATTTGATGCGTACAGCGCGACCGCTTCTGAGTCTAAAAGCAAACACTCTTGCACGTGTGTTCGTAGAAGAAGTTCTGCCGGCCATAAGCGGTATTTTTAATACATAAGATTTATTTTAAATTTTGTACTTCTACGCACGAATACAATAACAAAACAGCGAAATAAAACGTTTCTTCTTCCAAAAATCGTGCTACTTTTAAATGAAATTTGTCGATCTGTCATCCCTATCAAAATCTTGTTTGTCCGCGACCTAAGCGTATTTATCAAGCGGACGTGTTTTAAAAAAAATTGGGGCGGTGAAAAAACAAATGTTTTGATTATGAAAAAATGGTAATTTATGATAATTTCCCTCGACTTATTAGCTATTGAGGCAATTTTACCCAAGAAACAGTTGTTTTGACAGATAAATGAGGGGTTTAAGGCTTCATTCGTATTTAAAAGCTATTGACAGGAAATTGACCAATGGCGTGCCGATAAATTATTGTATCTTATAGTAAGCAGAAAAGGTGTGCAATAAGAGCATTGCTTTTCTCCTTCCTCCCACTAGAGGGAAGAAAAAATTATCGCTCCAAGTTATAAGACACTCTGATGTAAAGTCAACAGCTGTTAACTTCCTACAAGCATTTAATTTCGGTGTCGATCGGTCAAGGAACAATTTCAACCAGTACTTGCATTTTGAGAGTATCTGGCAGGATACCTTAGCTTTCTACTTTGGAAAGCCGTGATTCCTGGCCTGGGTGTTCGACAAGCAAATGAGCATACTGCCTAATGTTTATTTGATCACTAAACACAAATAATTCAAGAGTTTAATTCTTGGGTACCGTTGCGTTTTCAAGTGAAGGAGATGAACAGTTTAGTAGAGGAAAGCGTGGCGACGCCAACCTCGTTGTTGAATTTTGTCAGCAATGCAACAAGCACGCTGAAATTCGCTTTGGATAAACCGATAAAGCCGAAGAGGAAGGTTAACCACCGAAAATATCTTCAACGCCAGCTCAACGGAAGGTCATCTTCGGCAACAACGTCATCATTCGACGGTTCTTGGATAAGTCAAGGAGAGATGCTATTTGATCACGTTTTAAAAAGTGGGCAACGAGGAAGCCCTAGCGCTGTCGTTCGAGCTGAGAAATCAACAGCAATTTCCCGGGAAAACCATTCGGAGAAAATTCAATCTTTAGGAGAGAGGAAACGTGCTCAAGGAAAAGAAGAAAAGAGTTGGAGAATTGCAAGAAGCCAGCAAATAAACGATTGTAAGTCTTCTGAAGCACCTTCCTCTCAGCCTTCACAGCCGCTGAGAAAGCGAAAACTTCCCGAGTCTTTCTGGACCGAGCCGTCACCTAAAGCTTCGCGTAAATCTCTGCAAGCGACTCGGCAGTCTAACACAAATTTGGCGACAAATGAATTACAACGCTCAGAGCTTGAAATCTTGGATTGGCTTCGTCCTGAACTAGACGACTTTATCGAACGTTGGTCAGAGGAGAGCGAATGCGCGTCGAATAACTCGAGTCGACCTGACAGTTTATCAGATAGTCCATCCACTCTCGATCCTCATTCGCCATATTCCGACGAATCGGAAAATGTCGGATCAATGGACGAATTTTTTGAGCAACGAGTGCCTTTTTCCTTCGATTCTTCAACGAAAAATGGCGAATATACAACTAACATCCCTTCGATAAGGAACTTATCGAACACTAACTTGAATTTTGCGGATAACCGAACATACAGTGTGCCGCAAAATTATGTTCAGAGGCAAATGAGCCATTCTGTTTCCTGTTACGGTGGACACTACGGCTTTTCTGCAAATAAATGGAACGCAAATCCAGTTCAGCCGAACTATTTCGAAACTGGATACAATATTTTATCTTGAAGGATAGTCACGCGGCGCAAACGAGAAACCAATTTAATTTCAATAAAACGTAGACAATTTCTCCGGTCCGGCGGCACTTTAAATCTCTTTTACTAATTTATAAGTTATTACGAAAGACAGCAGGTAATATAAAAGTTGCCCAAAGGTTTCAAACGTAGCTTTTTGGTTGTCAAATTCTGACTGTTTGCATCACAGAAAGCTTGTCAACTGTCAAATCATTGACGCCTCGAAACTTCTGTATTTACGAATTACATGTAAAACAGTCTAACTTAGATTTTTTTAAGATGAGCTATCAAATGCTCCACTGACTTAAAAGATTGAAATTTTAGCCGGTTAGATACGGTGAAAAAAAAGATACTTTGTTGGAGTAAAAATTTACATCGATGACCGGGCTAAACACACGCATTATACGAACACTTTGAAAGTTATACACATTAACACTTGTTATATTTCTGTCCTTCCCCCAAAGGTACATATAAAACTGTTTTACTTTTAACATAGAAAAATAAACTTATCTTAAACAACGCGTTGTATTTCATTTCTTAAAAATTAGTCCTTTTGCGCAACCAAGGCAAAATGAGTTAACAATGGATAGCATTGTGCGCGCTCTGGTTAATATCTTGTTATCCAAATAATAGTGAATTCGCGCAAATTTTGAAGGCGCAGTTTCGATGTCGCATATGAACAGCTGTCAGAATATACAGACTTGACTTATCATATGGCTGGGTCGATTTGTCTGATTCTCTGTTCTGGCTGTAATCATTTTCCACAGAATATATCATTTCGCCACTTCCCTACCACGGTGTAATCAAGAGAATTGCTTTCTGGTACGCAATTTAGCGAAAAACAGCAATTTTCTTTATTTTAAGGAAAAAAAGGCTTTAGATTTATTTCTCATATTAAGAATGATGTTTTCTTAACCTTGCAGTTGAAAAAGAGATAAAGAACAAAGGAAGACGAAAACAATTCGTGGTAACTAACACGCGGTTTGGATAAAAGTCTTTCTCATTAATTTTTCATTAGATGAATCAGCTGGCTTTTTTTTTTTAGGGATAGTCTTTGTTTTGCTGCTGATGAATCTCCGTTTTTTTTTTTTTTAACAAGAAATAGAACGTTTCTTCTGCATGCAGTTCTCGCATAACTTGATATGATTAAGAAAAAAATAGCAATATACCATATTTCGTAATTTTCCCTTTTCGTGAAAATGCCTTGCAAACAAAAAATCAGATTTTACCATCCCTTAAAATTAATAAGAAAATTAAAAAGATGTTATCTTTAATTTGTGATTCTTCTTTCTGTCTCGCTCTGAGTAGATCACATAAAATTTAATTGGGACATAGTTATTAAAATACCCAAAAACAGCGTCAGAACTGCTTGGAAATAGACCCAACTGTCAAAATGTTTTTATTATTTTGGAGAATGAGAAGTTGTTTAACTAAATAAATAACGCATGCAGTGCTTTCTGTTATTTTTTTTTTGTTTTTTTCAAATAACAAATATCCTAGAGACATACTTTTTAATCAGCGCACAAGCCAGCCTTAGGCAACTTGATAAAAAAGATTGTCTTGATATAAACGAACGCAGTCAACATGTCGCGTATCTAGGAAAGAATTTTTCGACTGATATTTTCATAAAAGGTTTAAGAGCAGTGACAAAAGGTTCAAAATACAAGTTACCATTTCCATTTTTATAAAACCTTTTAGGGACGGCTGATGCTGTCAGTTTTAAGCTGAGCAAATTGTATGTTTTCCGTCCACACCTTGGCTCATGGGGATAAAATTCAGCAGGTGTGCAGAGTTGTATGCTTTCGATGACTAATAATAAAAGTGAGTGATTGAGGGCATAAGTTTTCGTGAATTTTTCACGCAAAAACTCGTCAATATCTAAAGACGCGTTTGACGAATTTTTTTTTAGTTGGTCTAACAGCCCGCTTCTAAATATTAACGAAACGGTGTATTTTTTGAACTTTTTTTTTTTTTTGGCAGCTTTTAAAGAAACGAAACCCACATTCTCACTTATACTTGAAATTTACTTTTGTTGATCTACACACAGTGAAAGCTAAGCATGGCAAGGACTCAAGACATTTTCACAAATAAACATATTCATCATATTGATACAAGATGACGTGCAGTCTCTTTTTCTATAAGTTCATCACGGATCGCCCACAATTAATCGCACTAAAATCTACAGGGAGAGGAAATTCTTCGGTGATGTATTCCATTCTCAGAGAAGTATGTGGATAAAAATTTCAAACATCAGCGAAAAGAAGGTGGTATGAGATTTGCTTATTTTCAGCCATAAAAATATGAACAAGCAACAAAGTGTAAATTGTGCTTGGCAGCTGCAATTTTGTGTGTATAGCTCTTTCTTTAATTACTTCTCCAAAGCTCTCTCTCACAGAGAGAAGCTTAGAAATTCTTAAAGGCAAAATGTTAGAATTTTCGACCAACTTCTTGGAAAACCATCCCCGTTCACAACAGTCAGACACCGCACATGGGTTGAGGGTTTCTCCCGTGGCTGAATTTATCTTTTTATAAAGTAGAACTTCAAAGGAGAGTGTTAATCGAAAGTAATTATTCATGACTATATTAACAAAGAACGCGGAATTTGTCAGGAAAGTATTAAACTTCCAAGCCCCCTTTTTCACTAGTATTTCCCTTCAGTTCCGTATGAAAGCATGTGACTCACAGTAACTTTCCTAGGTTGTAACTTACCGTGGTTATCACAATGTTAATATTTTTCGATATTTAGCTCTCACAGACAAGTGTCAATCTCTAACGAGTATTTAGCAACGAACGGCTTTTGTTTGGCTCCGTAATAAGTTTGCACTAACTGGGTGCCATATTTTTAACACTTTGCTCAATGTCAGCAACATTTTGTAAAGATTAAGCTGAACATGACCGCTGAATTTACCTAGAACCAAATATACATATTCGTGAGTTACAAAAACAGAAAATCACGCGCTGATAATAGAATTATGCGTAACTTTTGATGCAATATGCTCGCAACAGAGGCGGGTAAATCTTCGACAACAGCCGTTTATTCAAATGAAAGCCTTGTTAGACAGGGCCGCGATCCGAAAAGTTGTGCGCGAAGACACAGCGGTGCAAAATGGCATTTGATAGTTTTTTTAACTTATTAATAATGTAGCCTTTCAGAGGACAACAAAAGAACCTTGGTAATATTATGCTCCGCGGCAGGTGTTCTGTGATGAAAACCTGCACGTTAGGGTATTCACGTGTAGCGTAAATGAAAACACACAGAAAAGGCTACGTTGTCAAAGGGGCGCTTTGTTTTGTAACTGCCATGAGCTGATTAAAGGAGAAAAAGGTTTTAGCACGTTTTAAATCTCCCATTACTTTTGTATCAAAGCAAAAGTTTGATAAACTTTTGCTTGAAAAGAGAGATCTTGAAAGTTCGATTTTCTGAGCCTCTACTTTGGTTTTCATGAGGCAACCATCGTTCACCATTTACATGTAATAGGCTTCATTTGTTTCAAGCAGAAGGCCACCGAAATATCTGTATATTGGAACATAAAATTGTTACCAGTGTCGTTTAAGTAATAAAAATTAGCTTGCATACTTAGGCCAAAACATCGTTTACGGAAGTGAAACCGGATTTTTTCAAGGCTTCAGTGGATAAAAAGACAAACCAAGATGATCTTTACCGGGAAAAGCTCTCTTCATAACCCTTTTAAAACGTAAGTAAATTAACCAACGTGAAAGCTCGACATGGCGTCCGATTTTCTTTCTTACTGATGTAAATTTTCGCTGAGCAAATTATAATCTTGCAAATTGGGCATTTTCCCTGTGATTCCCATTATTCTAACAGTTGAACTTTTTAAACAAACAGCTGTAAGTAATTAGCAGTACTGATTCATGTAACTGTGGTTTACCACAAACAAAGCGAGAGCTAATTGCAAAAAGAACAGAGAATACTTCGTTTGTGTGGAGTGACCTTGAACAACTTGCTCTTGGCAACGACCTGAGTCTACAATCTTTATCATCAACATAGCAAAAGACATTTAGAGTTCTCTTGACGACGTAGGATGGATTTTAGAAATGGAACTGAGAATTTGGTACAAACGTTCCTTTAAGAATGGGAATCATCTCCAGTAGATGACTACGAGCCAAAGTCATCGGTAGACATCATATTTAGGAGCTAAAACAGGATTCCTCAAAAGGGTCCAGTTACGTATAGATTCGGATTCTAGAAACCAACAGTCTTTTCTCTGCATTTTACGATGGAAAAGCGTTCGTCATTCAAGTGACGAAATCGTTTGTCATCTCTGAAAGCGTGTTCAATTCCTGGCTTCGAAAATAGGAATTTAATTGGCAGTGTTAATTAAAGCTAAAAGAGTTGAAGAAAAACAAAAGAAAACAAAAGAGAAAGCCATCAAAAAGACTTAAACAAACAAATTATTAAAAAATAATTAAACCTCATGGCGAGATTTCTCCTAAAAGTTGAAAGGAAGTTTAATTGCGAGAAAGAAGCAAGGCAGGTAAAGTAACAAACGTGAATCATGAACAATACTAGCTCATAATATAAAAATGCAAATGTCAACAGCCCATAGTAAAACAACTTTGAAAGCTATAGTGATGACTTTATGAGCGAGTGATGTTCTTCGTGCATGTTGCCTAGCAACTTGTCAAAGTTGTCACATGACGGCGCCCGTCGGCAAAAGAGTAGTTGTACATTTAAAACTGAATACCATACCTTGGTATTAAAATTTGGGTGGGACTTAACAATGTTACTCTTTTGAGAAAAAAAAGGAGTATATTTTCTTTGTTCTAATGGCTGCGGCTTTTAGTTGGTTCTGATTTATTGACACTTTTTCGAAATGCACCCAATACATCGTGTTAGTTTGGTTGGTTTTTTTTTCAGAAGACGTGGCATAGTTCTCGCTGTTTTCTTCCTTATAAGCAACCTTTGAACACAAAACACAGTGAAAGAATATTGGCTCTGAACATATAAAATAATTAACACGATTCCTAGGCTCAAAACGTAGTTGTAATATGTAACGACTTCAGCGTAAGGGAAGATGAATAAAAAAGTATAAAACTTATGTTGAGAGGTACAGAAAATTGGAACACAAGGATTGAGCATGAATAGACTACGTAGCCACGCCTCATGCTGTCATATCCCAATGGTCATTGCAGCCCAAGAGGAATCAGGTATCACGTGATCTATACTGGACAACCCACTGTTTGTTTGGGACTGGGCACCAAGTTGGACTTGCTGCTCTTTGTTTTCCTGAAAGAGAAAATTTTAAGCTAAATTGCAATGTTTTTTATTGTCACCCTAAAGAGAAAAATAAGGTACCTATGCAACAGCCTTGCAATTTGCCCACTGGACTCCTGACCTTCGATCTGGAGTCCAATGGGCTTACATATCAGTGTAAGCTCTGAGCTAATCACTATTTTGTGCTCTCGTGATTCTTACAGCATCTCTCTTCACTTGGATTTACAAATTAGAACCAACAATTATGAAGGAAACTTAGCAAAATGCTGTGAGGTAACCTAGAAATGGACTTGCATCTTACTTGGTCACAGTACTCCTGGTCAAAGGGGAATAAGCTAATGTTAATCATTTAACTCCCAGAAGTGATCAACATGTAACTTCTCCCTACATTATCCTTACATTATCCAGCAAATAGGTAATGAGAATATTCAAATTCATCACATAGAAGTTATCTTGATCTGACACCAAATTCTCATTACTACTTTACAAGGAAATGTGTAGCACCTTGAAGGGAGAATTAATCATTTGATCTTGAGAGTTAAAGGGTTAACAGATGTTCAGATCCTATTGGTTCATGAGCTGGCTCTACCTATTTACTTTCCTTAGATGAGTAGTAGACTGTGGGTGCCCCAAATAATTCTGTAACATTGTTCATATAGGACACTATTACCCACTTTGAAGTATTATTAATAACTAAAGCCATGGAAGCTCTGTTGTGGAAAAGTCTTACCTATGACAGTAACAAAACCTAAGGCTCAAAAAAGATGCCTATATTTAGAATCTAAGACCTTATTTTTCAAAACATTCAGTTCAGTCATGGAGCAGCAATGAAGCCTTTTCAAAAACTTGCTTCTGTTTGCTAATCTTAGAGTTAAAATACTTGCAAACGAATGAACATGTTACACAAAAATAGATGCAATTCATTTACCTGAAGCATCTGAAGCAGGAAGTCATCCTGCACTGAAGGAGTCTGCAGCCTTCCCTGTGCCATCTGGTTTGACCAGTTTTGTGATACATCAACCTACTCAGTCAAAGCAAAACAGAAAATAAGGTAAAAGGTACAGTTGAACTAAGTGGCCCATCCAGCCCTAGCTTATCCCACCTTCCTTGGCATAAAGTGACCAGGAGCATTCCCCCCTCTGGATGGGATGTCAGTTCATTGCAAGGTTACCCCACCACCCCTTCCCCCCTGTCAGCATTTCATCAGGCTTTCCTGACAATTCAACCGACCTATTTGTACTCCTGGGTGGCAAGAGACACAATGAATGTAAAGTGTTTTGCTCAAGAACCCAACACAATGACCTGGCCAGCTATCGAACCCAGACCTCTGCAACCTGAGTTCTGTGTACTAATCATTCAGCCACCATATTACTAATCATCTCCTTGAGTAAAAAATAAGCTGAGGTTATTACACTCTTGTATTATTCCTTTATTTCTTTGTATGCTTATTTGTTTTTTTTTTATCTACAGTATTTGACTGTATGTGAATTAATTTTAAAGCGTACTATAAAAAGTTCAAAATTTGGATAAGTTTGTCAAGTTACTTAAATAAATACATAAATAGAAAATATTGTCATATGTCAAATGAACAATGTGATCAGATTGTTCACTGAAAATCTGAGGAAAAAATGCACCTCTTGACAGTGGTAATCTAAATTATCAAAAGAACCCTCTGAAATTGTTCTTTGTTCTCTCTTTTCTCTTTCAGAGGGAAATGAACCATAACTCAAGAATCTCAAAGTTTGATTTGCATTGCATTGTTTTTAGCAATCAACTGTCTCTTGTCGTTCCTGGTGAAAAACCTCACAGGATCTTTGAGGATCTTCAAGGATTGTCAAAGACCTGCCAAAGATCCTTAAGGAGAAGGATCTTTCAAGAATCTTTAAAGAATCTGTAAAAGATCCTCAAAGATCTTTCTGAGCAAAAATGTTTGTTAAGATCTTCAAGGATTTGATAAAGATCCTTAAAGGATATTACAAAGATCCTCATAAGGATCCTCACAAAGTTCTTTTCAAGGATCCTTCATTTAAGGATTTAACGAGGATCTTTCAAAAAGTTTTTTCAGTTTGCTAAACATCAGTAACTCTTTTAATATCAACTTCTTAACTCCCAAGATGTGATTGTAAATTCTCCCCTCTGATTGCTATGCATTTCTTTTAAATTGGTAAGGAGAATTTTGTGTTAGATCAAGATAGAAAGTTCTATCTGATAAGTTTGAGTATTCTCATTGCTTGCTTGCTGGATAATGTGGAGATATTATAGGGAGAAGTTACATGTTAATCACTTCCAGTAGTTAAAGAGTTGATAAAACACGTCACATCCCAAAACAGTTATTTACTGAAAGAAAAAAAAAACAACAAAAAACAAGACTGCTCCTTGAACCTTACCTGGCTTGTTAGGTGAGATTGTGTACATGTTCCTGTAGTTACAATCTGACTGTTATTTGGCATTGACATTGCCTGGCTAAAGTTTGTGATTGGAAAACTCATCTGACTTTGGTGCAGCATCCCTGCACCGCTTCCTCCAGTTGATACAGATGTAGATGAGCATGGTGTCAACATATTTTGAAAAGATGGCCTTGTTTGCCCTGCTTGAGAGGTGATATTTGTACTACTTGGAATGCTATTTTGGACTGTTGGGTATGGCAGTAAATTCTGCAGTAGTCTGGCTTGAGTACTATGAACAGCTTTGGAGTTAAGAAGAATAAAATTGTTCATATCTGTGTTTGAGTGCTGGGAAATTGCACCAGGAGCTGGCCTTGGTTGATTGGAGGGGACTGCAGAACCTTTTCCATGATTTCCTGGAGAAAGGTCTTTAACAGCAGCATCCATGCAAACTTTGGAGGAATTACTAACAGTGCTCATTGCTGGCTGGTAACTAAATACTTTTTCAATCTTAGGAATCCGCTGAGGTGACATAATGGCAGGTTGGATTGGAGTCAGCTGTGGTGAGCCAGTGGCACCATATGGGTTTTGTCCTGCAAAGTTTCCATTCCTGTTTCCTAAGTAAGGTGGAACACTTATTCCTGCTGGTACTAAATCTGGCAAAGGGGGTGTTGAAACATTTTCCATGTGTCTTGAGAAAGAAAGATTATTTCCTAGACGAGCATCTTTAGAGGGTGATCCCTTATTAGAGTTCTTCTTGCTCTGATTTGTTTTACCAGAGTTCTTGGTAGTTTTAAATGCCTTGGAAGGACTTTTCTCTGTGACTGAGCCATCTTTAACCAAACCACTAAGTGGCATACCTAGGTATAAAAAAGTGCAGTTCCCAATTATTTAAGGTAAAAAAGTGTGTTTTTGTCTGGATCTCTCTTCACTCAGTTCTTGAAACTACGACTGTTATGGCTGCCATGGAGAATACAAAAAAATTTGGCAACTAAACTTGCAGCTTAAGTGGTCAATTTGGCAGGCTGTAACATTTATACAACTTAGTTTTCATTGTCTGAAGTCAAGGAAAGACACACTTTTTCAGAAAATATTTCTCATGCTCTGCACCTTTCTTTAATCCTGTACACCCTGACATCAGTGTGCATATTTTCCACACTGGTCTCTATACATTTCATCAGGTGCTGACAAAGGGAATTTGCTTAACAATTAACAGGTCCTTTAATTTTTGATCATTTTGTATAATCTTATGACCTTCGCATTTTTATTCAGGCTAATATTGTGAGGAGGAATTAGGTGTTAGTCTCTCTTGGGGGTTAAGGAGTTAGTGAAAATTGCCTCTTCGTCCTTTGTTGTCCAAGAAGAAGTCTTGAAATGTTGCATGAATCGCCGTAAAAGCCATAACAATGATCAGGCAACAAGAACCAGTCAAAATATGTTTCTCAAATATGAATGCTTTTGTTACTGAGTTACAGATTATGACACTACTTCAACACAGCCTTCTGAGTACATGAACTCTCTTGCACATGAATTCTTACTCATGTAAAAACCACAGGTTGTGACTCAAAATTCAGATCCTTTAAGCCTTACCTTCTGTATGTGTCATGTGATAGACTGTTTTATATAGCCTGGTCACCCTAAGTGACAATTCTCTGTGCAAAACATCTTGGCACAGGCTGTAGCAACAGCTTATGGGATGCCTAGAGAATTTCTGAGTGTGCAAATATTTGACCTAGCAGCAGAAAATTTCCCTTAAAGCAAGTTGTTACAGTGGTTTGAATTTTTATACACAATTAAAGTAAGGAAATGTAGTGCTGTAACTTATTTGGAAACATGAAAATAAGTTGAAACAGCCTCTCCCTGTTTCGGCTTGAGATTTTGGGCGGTGTCTCTTTAGGTCCTTCAAAAAAAATCAATTTTACACTTACGTAGATCTAAAGTTTCTTTGGGTGGCTCATGTTCTTTCTTCTCTTTCCTTTCTTGAATTTCCTTTATTTTTTCTTCTTTAACTCTCCTTTGATGGGCTCTTAAAACCTGGATCACTTTTTCAGATTGTAACAATTCCTTGGAAAGTTAAATTTATAGTTAATACTAATACAGAGTGATGAGATCATTGGTTCCATAATCAAAGATAACTGGGGTTTTGGATTGTCAGCATTGATTACAACAAATCAATCCTTTAACTCCTGGCAGTGATTAGCATGTAACTTCTCCCTGTAACATCCATACATTATCCAACAAACAGGTAATGAGAACACTGGTACTCAAAATTATCAGGTGGAAGTTATTATCTTGATTAAACACCAATTTCTTGAAACTAATTTACAAGGGAATGGATAGCAACTGGAGGGGAGATTTAATAATCAGGGGTAAAGGAGCAAAGAAAGCACTCAAAACATAAGATTATCCTATGATGGTTTGGTTACTAAAGAGAAGGGTGAATTATTCCATGATTGCTTACCAACTGCTTCTGAGCTAACACTTGTTGCAGCATACTGGCATACTTCTGTTCCATCAAACATTTTTCTTCTGCAAGTTGGTTTTCGATAGACTCACTCTGTATTTCCTGATAAATAAAATGACTTCTATTATTACATAAGGTGTACACTTCTATACATCCTATTATAAAAAAAACATTGTAAAAAAGATCTTCTTGGAGGAGCATACATGATGGTGTAAGGAAGACTGAAAAAAATTGCATGGCTCTATGAAAAAAGGATGAGAGAGAAAAAATGAAGATCACATCGTGAAATTTGTATCATCTGAGTGGGAGGATGAAACACTAAACATTCAGCTGAGTCATGATCTATGGACTGAACTCAAGCATTAATCTTTTGATTCCCAAGAGTGACTAACATCTAAGTTCTGCCTATAATATCACCCTTAAATCCCAATTAAAGGCTCAAGAATAATGGCAATTATCACCAACTAAAGAAGCTCTTGATTGTTAAACAAATTCTCCTTATCACCACCTTATGAAATAAAGAGAAGAGTATAGAGAATATGTAAACTTTGTCTTTCTGTAAAAATTCATGCATTGCGCATCAATTTTGAGCTTAACAACTTTCTTTGCCATCCTCCAAATAGCCTATATCAATGTGAAAAACACTGAACTTGTAAAGGGCAGGTCCTATACTAAGTCAACACCAGTATTGGTGTGCAATTCCTTTTCCTCTTTTTCTGCAAAATTCACCAGTGCTTACCCTCTTTTTCCATGAGTGACCTAAAGCTAATTTCTCCTTACAATATCAACACAGTTTTGGGCAGAAAGGTAGTGAGAAGAAAGAATGAGAAAAACAAATGGATATTGTTTGACATTATATTAATTCTCAAAGCCAACATTACACCAAAGAGTATAGCACACAATGCAGAGAATTCATATTTAGATCTGGGAAGTGAAAGAGTTAACCCTTAAACTCTCATGAGTGACCAAGACAGAATTTCTCCTCACAATGTCAGGACAGAATCAAGCAGAACAGTGAGGAGAATAAGGAAGAAAACTGAATTGGTTGACTACAAGTTGATTCAATACCAAATTCTCTGCATTGAAATCATAAGAATTTTATGGCAGACAGTAGGAAGAATTGCTAATGAGATCTTGGGAATGAAAGAGTTGAGAGCACAGCTTTATTGAGCAAACACTCACATAAGTCCTACAAGTCTCTCCCTGTGAAAGGTTTTTCTTTGGTTAAAAAAATTCAATGACACACTGGTTAAATTGCTGAACAAAGGCAACCTGTCTAGAGATCCATCAAGTGGGTGCGCATTTTCTTATGGGTGGGGAGGTTAACTACTTAAAATATTTAGATGCACAAGACAACTCTTGGCCAACGAAAATATTTTAAATATCAACTCAACACAAAAATAAATTTATATTTCAACTCTTTGATGTAAAGATACAAGGATTTGAAAACTCAAACGCACAGGAAGCAAATGAAATTTGACACATTTGAAAATTACGTTTTACTTTGAAGCAGACGAAGCTAAAACTGACTTTTACAAAACTTTATTTGACAACGCAGCAATCTTAGTTATGATAATAAGTCTTTGCAATTTGATTCAATAAAAGGTTCTATCTGCATCAAAGGAAACATATGGCCCAAGTGGCGACTATCTATGAAATGATCATTTACTCTTATATACTCAAAATAACTCCAGAGCATTTGAAATCTGAACACGATGAATATGAGAAGAGAATAACAGAAGCGCGATTGAAATTAGAAGTTTGGAATTTCCATTCCGGAATAATACAAGGATATTTAATATTCTCGGTACATTCCTCAATATATGAACAGTTCGCAAATACCAGTTAGATTCATCAATGTTTAATGAACTTAGGCAACCTACGAAACCTGTAAAATACCACCTTTGAATGAAAAGTATAAGATGCTTATTGGTGCTAAAACAATACAGAATGAAAAATGGAAATGTGCTTCACAAAGACATGTGACTTGTGCCCAGAAGTTATTTACCAAAAATGCTATTTTATCTAAATCAAAATTCACACATGTGAAGAGCAGTCCTTAAAGATAATCTTAAAAACAGCAGAGTGATTTAAAACTTACCTCAGATCCTTGGGCCTTGCGTTTTTTCTTCTTGTAATTTTGTTTGTATCTATTGTTGCGGTGCTTTCGGCACAAGGCCGTTCTGGAACCAACTGTAATTTCATGACATCCTTCGATTTGGCACGTTTTGGAGTTTTTCCGAGCTACCTCGAACACTAAACTTTCCATCCTTTCGAAGTGGCTCTAAATTTTGTGCTCTTCGTTGATTTTTTAACCTTTTTTACGGACAAACTTTAACACGTGGTGAGAATGAATGAGAAAATCTCGTCCATGCTTGAGCACTGCGAAAATTGCAGAACTCACGGGCAACAGCGATCGGAAAAGCTTTCGAGCTTCAGCTAGTCGGAAAAAAACGTTTCGGAACTGTGCATTTAACTCTAAAATAAAAAAGAACGGGCGAATCCTAAGTTCAAAGAGAAAAGACGGATAATTTTGGAGCTTCCAGCCAACAAAGGAACTAAAGTCGCATGCAAATGAATGAATGAAATTGCCTCGTTTCAAACAAAACACATTGATTAGTTGGAATACTTTTTGTTGATTTTTCCAATGGAATTCCGCATCAAGGTGTTTTATCCTCGATTCACTTTCAGATTATAGTAGACAACCAAAATGAAGGATCACGAGGGCAGAGAACAGAAAAGTTCTCAATTTCTCTTAAACTGCGCGCGATCAGTGATTCGATCGACCTTAGTTTCCCGCTAAAATGACAACAAAGATGACCGGAAGTAAATTTAGCGTACAAACGAGGCTAAAGGAATGTACTTCCGTTTTGAGAAGTTAAAGGAATCCCCCGTTTGATAATGGATCGAAACTAAAATTTCCCAGAATAGTTTTCCATGCTTTTTTCGTTTCATGCGCTTATTTTCGTAAAAAATAGCGACTTCCTTTACCAGGAATGTCGATAATTTCATTCTTGTTTTACTTTCGAGTTCAAGAACGATTCGATAATAGGTAAACGACGACAGCAATAGTTTCGAGTCGAACCGTTTCATGAACGTTCTAGATGGGCTCGCCTAACTACGCACTACAAGCAGATTGATAAATCTTTCAGAGAATTTAATTAAAAAACAGCATAAATAAACTCCGAAAATTTTGAAATGATATATGGCCTTCGTAAACTAACAATTTTGCTTGGATCTCTCAAAAGCGGAACTAACTGGCAAGCATTCCTGCTCTGTTTAATTTTTGTAGTACGCCATTTTATGCTCAGTAGAATTACGCCCCAACTACAGAGCATCCTTCTGTCTAGCTATATTATTTTTAAACCATGTCTCATAAATCTTAAGGGTTTCTTTCACAGTTAAGAAAAAATGCACTCTTTTGGTCGCACACAATTGTATGCCCTATTATTGAGTAGCTTTTAGTTACACCTCGTTGACGCTAGGGCGGAAAATTCCTTGAAATCACATGACGACAAATACTCGGAAATTAAGCTCCGGTTGGTATAGTTGACTGATTCGAAACCATGACGCACCCTCGATGAGATCATCCACATTCTTTACTGCAGAGGTAAGGTACTCTTGTGGTTTTCCGTTTTCACGTGCCCTGTTTGTTAAATCGCGGACCAGTTTTTTTACTAAGGAGGGAAACACCCCCTTACATTTACCCCCATATACCCCGCTTTGATACCACGAAGAATAAAAGCAAAAAAAAAAAACTGATGTGATTATATTTGAAGTAATTGATGAAAAGAATATGAGGTTGACGAAACAACATGAAGTCGATAAAACATACAGGCAGCCAATCAAATTAAACAAAGCAATCAACAAACACACATACAATTAAACGAATTACTTCGATGTAGACAAATCTACAGAGGTAGTTAATCGCGAGAAATCCACATATATACGAGCATCTTATCCTGACATTTAGAAATTGTTGAAATCGATGATAGCTATTCAAGGAAAACGATAAAGTGACCTCAGCTGAAACTTTCTTCACGTACACGAGAGTGATCGCGCTCGAACACTTCGAACGGCCTTGCGCATGAGCCTGCGGTTCTTCCCACGAGAAAGAGGTTCTTACATAAGGTCTTTACGGAAAGTGATCTTCCGTTCTTACTCGAAAACAGTTGCTCTAGGAATCGAAAGAGTCACATGAGCTGCTAACCGCTAAATATCAAATGTCTGTAAAGGACTACTATCAAGTGAAATGTTAAGTTACAAACGTAATAATACAGTTTTGCACCCTGGTTGGTCAGACGGGAATTTTTTTGTTAAAAGAAAAACATTTGTTGCCAGGTGAGAGATTACCAGACCTACGCAATCAAAAAAAAGAAAATAAACAGGAACACTAAACTTTCTCCTTAGTTTCTAGATCTGTCTTAGTTTTATTGGTGGGAGTAAAAATAGCTCTGATAGACAAGAATGATATTAAAAAAACTTTAATTTTCTGGATATTTGTCAGTCTGCGATATAAAATATTTAGCCTGTCTGTCTTTTCAGTTGTGTCGTTCAATTTTAGGATGGAAGGAGCCCAGTCTCTCATTGGATAGTGCTCAGCGGCCGCAGAAGGCTGATCTAAACAGATGGAAATTGTCTGTTTAAAATTCTATTTCATTTGCTTAGAAAGAAAAGATTTTTCTGACTGCTGAAAAATAATTTGCGCTGAAGATCTTTGGATAAATTGCTCGATTTGGCCGAAAAAATGTGATTCGGCCCGATCGAGAATCGTCTGTGATAATATATTACTCGTTGATGAATGAAAGTTTGAATTCGACAAACAGGAAGCAAAATAAGAGTACTTGTCAGGATCAGTTGGGTGTGGGCACATTAAACAGGTCGTACAAATATATCAGACGTTAAAATTGTTGTTCGAAAAGAATTGATCAATTAGTTTCTAACCAATCACTGGAACGACGCCTCGCGTCAAGTAGGAGTGGATTCTTGTGTTGGATTTGACTAAAGCGTGGTTTTATCGTTAACAGGTGTACACGAAACGATTGTTTAAAGCATCGTGAAAAAAATTTGCTTGAACGACAAAACAAAAAAGAAGGAAATGCATTTAACAATAGTCTCGGGAAATGACGAACTGGCCCTTTCATATAGTTGCCTTTCAGATCACCGGAAGTCGACCTTACAGACCTTGCGTTAAATTGAACATCCGCTTCCGGAACGTGGCTTTTTTTAGGTTATTTACTAAGAATCAATTTTTAAGGCATGACATGACAGGACTTCCCCTCATATGAGAATAAAGTTTAGCGAACATTAGCGTGCCATATTGCAGTTGATCGAAGCGTCATCGACAGCTGGTCGAAGGCGGAAAAATTCAAATCGAATATTTCTTAAGGGCGCGCGACAAAGTTGTGTGTTTACAAAATTACGATCCTGAAAGCAGTCGAGATGGAAACGGACGGATTTGCAACGGGACTATTTCTGAGTTACAAAGATTCAGAGATTCTTCTCATCGTATCATTGACTATAAACTTCTGCGTTTTATGGAGTGTAATTTTGCCAAAGCTGTGTCAAGCCGTCTTAAGAATGTCAAGTCGTTGGCAGAGAGGACATGAAATGGAGGAACAGCTAGGCGAGATTCCAGTTTGGTGTAGGAGATTGTAAGTAACTGCTTTTCACAATTAATATCTTATAGAAAACTCTTTCCGATGCCTGTGGTATGATCGGCAAGATGTTAAATACACGTTTATCATTCTGACTTCCGGTGGCCACAAAATTTTTGACTTCGGAATAAGATGCCTTACTCTCAAATATTTTATTGAGTGGTGAGCAACAACGAAGATTTTAATTCTTCTTTGTCACGTGTTTCATTCAGTAAATAGACACAAAGGTTCGAAGACAAACGATGAGTTACAGACAGTGGTGAAAAGTTAGTTTAAGCGGTCTAAATTTTTGCTTCAGAAGTTTAAAAACATTTTCAAATAAGTGTTCTCTATGATCCTCTGCATTCATTTTCAATCGAATGAACAGTGATACACGTTTAAAAGAAATTTCAACATCGGCTTCACGTTGAAGTGTATCGATCTCTTGCGAGGTTATCTCTGAGGATTGTTCTGCGAACAGACCAGTTGATCATTATTTACTTAAACAGAGATCAGAAGTTAGTTTCCCGAGTGTATTTACTATCCTTTGCATTTTTAAGGATCCAAGCAGCAAAAACATAAGCCCCCGCAAAAATTGAACGTTACCAATAAAAAATAATAAAGTAAAAGTCTTTGCAACACAGACATTATACGCATTTAGCTGATTATGATCGACTTCCTTTGGTTAAATAGAAAAATTTTTCAAGGAAAAACACCATCAGATACGAAAATACTTATCAAAAGAAGAGCAATACTTTTATTTTATTTTCGTCATGATGCATGTTTCGAAAGGTTGAAACAATCACCCTTAGCTGATATGTATTCCCCCTGAAAGCCCTGTTTCAGTTTCAGAAGCGATTCAGGGTTAGTTTATCATTCAGGAAAATTCCCTTATTTGGTCCAGTGATTCCGCATCGGTGGCGACTTTGTCACGGTTGCTTGACATCGTCATTTAAAGGATTTGCATCTTTCAAAAGTTTCCCCGGTCTTATTAGACTAGATTAAAAGCTAGAAACTCGAAAATTTCACAATATTCACAACTTTGAATGATGCTAGCACTGCAAGTGGTAAAAATGTTCCTGTTTTCTGGTCAGGTAGCAGCTGGTTCAATATCAAATTTTAAAATAACTTTACAGTGATCATCAAAAAGGGAACAACGAGTCACCTATGTGTAAACGGGAACAGGAACATTCTATAGTAGTTCAGTGAGTTTCCTTTCTGTCTGAGATTTCCTTGCATCAGCATTTATTTTTTAGTATTACTCAGCTGATGATCTGATCTCAATGTCGTTAGGCGTAATTTTTGTTCGTGTTAGCTAAGCTTTCTTCTTTTGCTGAAACATTCTCTTTCCTCTTACATGAGGTAAAACACCACCTTAATTTTTCGATTGGAGACTTCAATAGCACAAAATTCGTTTGAAATAGCATTATTTGATTGAAAGGAAAAAATGCAGTAGCTCTGTCTGATATCACTGTCGAAATATCTAAATTGTCCGGGAGCTAAAAATGAACAGAAATATTCAAGAATGATATTCTGCTTTCTCAGTTTTTATTGTTGGTACCCCGCTAATTTTAGCACCAAGAGCACCAATTCTATGAGCAATTTCAATTCTATGTCACGTATTGATAAAGGAAGACCTTATTCATTCTTAACGTATCAGCAATATTCATTCAGCGCCGCAAGGGAAAACTTAAAATTTTCGTATCTTTATCAATGAAGTCCACCAAAAAAGTTGAAGAATACGTTAAAAACTTGTGCTGTAAGATTTAAACCCTCTCTTTTTCTTCCTCAATATTTTGATGGCCCCTTTAACTTTCTTCACTCGGTTACCCAGGAGATGCAATATCTTTGACCAGGTTGAAATTTGACGGGCCCACGCTGAGGACGTAAATGTCCCGTAAGAAAATGTCGTTTTTGAATTTCAATTTCTGATGTTCGCCCACTTTTGCGATCTCCAACCCACTCTTTTTTCAAACTTTCGTCAAACGTCTCACAAACATTTTAATTCGTGGCAACGAAACGCGACCTTCTTGCTGTTAATAATCTCACAGTGTGTTTTGTCGACGTTTCTTCGATGAAAGTGTATGAAAGTTTTTTAGAGCGCAGCCATTTGACCTTTGGCACCCACAAGCGGGATCCTTTTAGTTGTCAACACTCCAAGTAAAGAAGCCTGCCTTCTTTTTTGTAGTTTTACGATCGATGTATTTCAATTTTCTCTTGTGACAAGATGAAAAGGGAAATTTGCTTCAATGAAAACATATTTCAGCCGATATACAAAAAAATTACTATAGCTAACACTGGCTTTATTTAGAAAATCGGGAGTTTCTTTCCAAATATCGTCTTGGATGAATTTTCGAAGTAATTTCGATGTACGCTACGATAGATACTCAGTTTTTTCGCTTAGACTTCCTGTGAAGATGCTGTGCGTTATTTAGACTGCCATGGAACACGGAAAAAATGTGATATTCATGTTAAGAAGGAAAATATTTATGAAGAAATAAATATCAACCACACTTCAACCCGACACAAGTTCTAGAAAAAAAAAAACTTTTATGGTTTCTATGGCTTACAAATAGACCAAAACCTGAAGTTATTTATCTACCTTTGCACCTTGTCATTTTTTAGATATCCAACGTTTATTTTGAAAAAGAAGCTTCTCATTAAATGAAAAGTCTTCCTTAGTGACGATAATAATAAATACAGCTTTTCCTCACTGCGACTCAGCTGTTTTCTATCAATGGCGAAAACTACAATGTGGCGTAAGCTATTTTTGTACCAAACTTTTGTCTGTTAATTAAGACTTCCTTAGTAAACTTGTGGCGTTCAGTTTTTTTTAGAGGTTCTCACCCGCTGTTCCTGTTACAGAGTGAAGCAAACTCTGAACAGAAAGAAATTGTTTAAGATCTTGAAAATCAGTTGAAAACGGAAGTTGGTGACTAAATGTTTTTTTCTGTGCCTCCTCTGAATAAAACAGAAAATGAATTGCACCTCTTTAACTTTCAATGTGACAATCATAAAGCAAACACAATTTTCCTGTAAAATAACGGGCAGATATCACAACAATGCTATTAATATACTTTCCAAGTTCCTTTCATTTTAAGGATTTCCGCAGATTATGCATCACGGTACAGAATTATCAAATGTGAAAAATCAATGTTTTAGAAAACATCGAATATGAAAAATACCGTTATGTTACCATAATATCTTGGTGAATTGCATTACTTTTTTAATGGTAAACAAATTTTATAAGAGCAAAGACATGGTTTTGTGCATCATTAAAAGTTTAGTGTGATTTTTCAAAGATCTTATTTAACAGTTCGGGTAAATCTTCCTAATCTTTTCTTTTTTTTATCATTCTTGTCTGCCTGCCCATTCTTTTGTTTTACAATGTTTTTTTCATAACTCATGGCAAATGAGAGTTGGCCTGGAAGCTGGGTAACAGTCACCGAGCGGGAACGCACGCGAGTAACACGCGAGTGTCCTCTGGCTCGCGTGCGCCGGTTTGAATCACCCGCTAACTACGCGGGCAATTTTTTTCAAATTGCGACAGGTTCTCAGCTAGACACAACCAACATTTAATTTACCTGTTTTTCTTTTTTTAGCTCTACCAATCACGTATTTTGCGTGGCTCTTCCTGCATGTGGAATCGTTTTACTAACAAGTACAGACATCCTTCAAAACCCTTTCTTCACATTCGGAGGATGTTTTCTTCTCGTGTTTTCCATCGCTCTGGGTCATTACGTGTTCAAAGCAGCGGAAGTCCTCACGTTCCGAAGCGAAATCTTCCATTACAAACCGCTCCTAGTCCACCATGTTGTTGCTATGGCAACATACGCTGTGATTTTGATATTCGAGGAAAACACTCTCATGGGAGTGGTAATGCTATGTGTTGAGGGGAGCCTGATATTTGCTGAGAGAGAAAAGGAACGCTTTCGTCAGGAGGTCAGTTTTGAACAGGAATCGACATCACGAAAGTGTGTGACGGCCCTAGTTTTTGTACTAGCTATTATCATCAAAGGAATTATCCCAGTCTCTATCATCATCATTGCGTTCTTAATGGCGCTAAACGAGCTTCTGCGCATGTCATACATCCCGCTGGCTTTCTTCTTTCTAAGCCTGGTCTTCTTCGCCTCTGTGAACCTGTGGTTCTTCCGAGACGCGTTCAACGAAGTTTCGCGCCAATTTACCAGGCACCCTCGCTTTCCCGTGATCATTATACCAATACACAACAACCAGAAACCCTCACCACCGACCACTGCTATTAACAACGAAGGGCTCAAGCAACTACTACTATCCAAGGAGGGCCTGGGGAGCTGCGTTAATGTGAGAGAAAATTCTCTCTGGGGAAAGGACGAGTTGAACTCAAGCCAAGATGCACCAGCGATCCTTCCAATGGAGTCTTCAACACCAGAGGAGATGAAAGGACAATTCGTTTTAGAAATTGGAAGTAAAGGAACTTATTAAGTTCCAGCTGATGTCAATCTCTTCATCAGAACGTTACATTGCTTGTAAAAATATCATCCCTTGAATTTCCCGTTTCAGTGTTTAACGGAAGAAAATTCGAAATTTGGTTTTATTGTTTTGCGTTATAAAATTAGATATTGAACATTTTAAGAAAATTTATAGTTTTTTTGTTGTATAGAAAAGTTCTTAAATAGAAGACAAAGGACAGACAAAGTTTTTCTGTTTAATTCATTATTTGCATTGTTGACCACAAAACCAAAGCTAGTTATGGAATGGATCATGTTACTACTGAGGGTGGGAAGGGTAGAGGCCAACTAGAAAACATTCTCCATAAAAGTACTTGAAAAAAAAAAACTTGAGCTAGGTGAGAGAAATTATTGATCTAAGCACGAAAGAAAATTCTTGCTGAAGACTTTGAACAATATATTCGAGCGCAAAAAAAGTGCTTTTTCCTCAATGAGACTTAAATATCAATCATTTTCTCAAAATTCAAACGTTTTTTGAGTTTGATAAGCCGCGAACATAAAAGTGGCTTTGGACATTATTGTTATTATCATTATGAAGTTATAAAATGATATTAATTTATTTAGTGACAAATTTCTGTGACAAGAACACTATGTAGAAATATCTGTGCCAAAAAATTCCACGAATTGATATCGTTTTTACACGATTTAATTTCAGGCGACAAAATGCATGTCATTTCTTTGTAAATATAACTTGTTTAAACTAAACTGTTAACAAAATAACAAACATCAAGTTTTTATTTATTGAAGTACTCAAAGATGTAGAGATACTCACCCAAAAATTTCAAAATAAAATGAAAACTTAAAATTAGCCCTGTCTTGTTGAATGTCTGGGGCCTAGGCCTGAGTGAGGAAATGATGAAGTGTGTCTAAAGGTTGAATGGGTGACCACCCAAAAGTGATCAAGTTTTAACTTCTCTTTACAACATCAATCCAAATTCCAGCAAAGATATTCTGAGAATATACAAACCTCTCAGCTAATGGGTATGATCTATCCTTAATACCCAGTTCTCTTGGTTTGTTTATAACAGTGGCAGACTTGGGAGGGGGGGGGGGCGGAATTGGCGAAAGGGGTTGAGAGTCCAAGAAAAAAAACCCTCTCGCCCTTAATTTTATCGTGGCCAATAATGATCTAGCTTAAAGTTGGAAAAACACCCAGACTTAATCTTTTGATGATGTTATCAAAATTATTTCAACAATTGCCCACATACATTGATAATGTGCCCTGAAACTCGATTGGAAATTCTTGTAATCAGGTGCGCACTGGATGAATGTCAAAACCCCAAGATGGGAGGAAGCTCGTCCGAAATTTCAAATTGAATCCTCTTAAAGGGGACCGATTTGGGCGTGACTCCACTCATGACTCAGCCCTTTAAAAAGAACAAAGCATTCGGATTTGAAGTAATTTTTAGATCTTATAACATTGCATTTACGAAAATTTCGATTGAGTGTCGAAAACCATAATCGGAGTAATGGCAACAGCCAATCATAACAAAGAAAAAATTATAGGAAGCCATTAAAAACTAAAAGTAAAAACAATCAAACTGCCTGGAGCGCGGGGAAACGTTAGAGAAAAATTCGTGATTGGATATAGTTTTGCCTCTGATTGGTCGAGCAGATAGCGCGAGTTTTCAAGACCAATCACTGGGCACAGTCAACCAAAACCAATGGATTACTTTCACCCTGCTCCCACTCCCTTATGCTTTTCCCCGCTGGTGGAGGGGCATAAGGGAGTGGGAGCCTGGAAACGAACGGGCGGAAGGGGTGTGGGTGACATGGGAGGTAAGGGCGCTCACTAAGGCAGGAAATGGGACAGAAAAGGAAAGTGCGCGCAATAATAAATCCTTAATCTGGAGATTTGCGTGATAAAGGGCGGGAGATGAGAGGAAAGCTGATTACTGGAAGAGAGAGATATTCTCAACTTCCCCCGGTTTCCTCCGCCGTCTATTCTTGTACACACTAAGAAGCGTAAACTAAAAACAAATGTTTTAAATCAATGTTTGTGGCTATATGCAAGATATTGCACAATATTAACCACAGTTCTCGTCAGATATAGTTGGAATGAACAAAATGGTAATCACTATGATCTAGTTAAACTGTACCGAGCTTGGCAATATTTCAAAGGTACTTAAAAAACAGTCGATCGCTCTATTAATTTGACTTTGACTCATCAGCTAAATTTTACACTTCCTTTTGGAAAGCAAAACAATATGTTGTGAAAATGATGCTATTACTGAAAGAATATAACGTCAACTCATCATGCGATATTTCATCTGAACTTAATAAATCAAATATCAGATCAACCTCATAATGTTCGGCAGTGATCTGATGAAATGTTAACCTTTCAAATTTCGATAAACAATATTAAAATCAATAATATGCTCATACCAGTCCTGTGACTGGCTTCAAGAGCGAAAATGCCGCTCTAAAAATGCAAAATAGTTACTTGTTTTCTTTCGAATGCGAGTGCATCTCTTTCTTTTTTCCCCGCGAGAAGAGGCCGCCAAACTTGCGCGACGAATGTTTGTTTTTGCCCTCATCAGTTGATTGTCCATCACTTATCTTCTCGCCACCATGGTTTTCCTCCCCTTTCCTTTTTTTCTTTTTTTTATTCTCCTTCGCTCCGCCGTGATTCTCACTCTGATCAAACTCCGCCTGAGTTGTCTGACTTTCACACTCGGACGAGAAGGAATTCTCCCTAAGTTCTTTGTCCACTTTATATTTTCGCTTACTTCCGAACATTTTTGAAAACCCGCGCGCCACGAACGACTTGCTTTTCTTTACTTTAGCCGACCGTCCAGCAGAAGGATTTAATAACTGTTTATCAGATTCTTCATCCTCCATCACAGGACTCAGCGGGCGGAGATTGAGATCCGCCTCGCTCAGTCTCCGTCGCTTCTCAGTTCCTTCAGTGGAATGTCCTCGTTTGTTTCCGCTTGGTTCGTTCAAAGTCTTGGGTGTTTCATCGTCTCCGTCATTTAGACTATTATCCTGTTCGACAGTGACAGATGGCAAAACGACTGGCTCGTGTTTGTCTTTAAACTCAGTTTGTTTTTTCCCTTCACTCTCTCCATATCTTTCATTTTTTCGTTTTTCCTCAGTTCTGTTTCTCGAACCCAGATCTCTATTTTGTGGAAGATTCAGGACCTTTGGGCTATCATCACGTGATTGTTTACCGCTTTCAGATTGGCCGGCAGATTGGCTATTCCCGCCATTTTTTGATAGTGTTTTGTTTTTCACTGGTGGAATTATTTCCCCCGCGAATTCTCGTTTGGCTTTCCTTGTGTCATTCTCTTTTGAAATGTTTGAACTATTTAGTGAAAGTTCTTTTTCATCCTCGAGTCGTTTTGTTGAGTTTACAACAGTTTTTTCGTTGTAATCTTGTTCAGGAGTCGATTTCGACTGAAGCACGCCACGCTTAATTTCCTTATCCAATGTAGACACGTCCGAAACTTGGCTATCACTTCTAAAGTTTTGTTTAGCTAGATTCTCCTGCGGACCAGAAATCTCTGAATTTGACACAGTATCGTTTAATGCTGCATCGTCCTGGCTTTCCTTAGAAAACACAACCTTTTGTTTCGGTGCAGTTAAACTACAGCCTTCTCTTACTGTAACGAGCTGAGGTTTTGTATCATTCGGAATTTTGGCAGGAGTTTCATCAGATGAAATATCTTCACACACTCCATTCAAAGCTGGCAGTTCGCCATTTTTGCCCGCGGTAGTTTTGCCAGCTTTCTTTCTTTCGAAAGAATCTCCAAAAGATTTAATCCTCTTTGATTCTTTGTCTAGTTCCTCTTCGATTTGAGTGGCAGACACGTCCTTGCTAGATTTGCGTTTTTTCATTTCGGAGACGTCTCTGTTTTCACGTTCATGTGGTTTAGATATACCTTTAACACCAGCTTCCGATACTTCAATTTCATAGGCAGGATTCGAGACTCTGTGGTTTGATACCTCCTCTTTGTTTTCAAGCTTGTCTTTTTTCAGTTCATTTTTGTCCGCGGTAACAACGATTTTATCCAGAACCCCTTGTGTTGTGGCTTGCTTCTCATCTTCTTCGGTTTCTTCCAGAATAACAAACACGTCGTCACCTGTGGTGAATAAAAACACGCGACGTTATAAACCGAGTAATCAAACACGACCTTGGGGTCATTTGGTACTTAACCTTAACAAGACCACCTACAATCCAAACAGCTTGTATAAATCAGTATTCACATTTCTACGCCGCGCATTGGAAACTTATCACGTGGTCAAGAGCCTCGTTTCCATGCGAAGAATAAGTCAAGAGGGAGCCCCCAGGGCAACTTATTCAAAATAAGAAAACAAAGCGATCGAACACAATGTTGTTTATTGTAATTTCTTGACCGCCCCAAACAACAATTGTGCTTTTAAAGTCAATGTTTAGGGCTGAGAAAAGTTTACCAGGGCTAGCAAAGAACAATTTCAAGCAATCACAAAATTTGAATGACACGAAAGCAGTTTTTTTTTCCGGAGGCAGTATGACTGATTTAATTTCAACAATAGCTCATCAGCAGCTAATGAAAGAGCCAATGCGCAAACAACAATTCACTTAAAGCTAAGCGATTGTGTCGTGAGAAGTCATTTGAAATACTAAGTAAAACTGTCTCTTCGCTGAGCGTTTCTGAATCAACCTTACAGAATATTAAGAACATTTATAACAGAAAGTGAAAAACGCTCCTTTGGTTTAAAACTTCGCTGACTGAACAAAGTGTACCACACTTAAAATAGATCCAATCACTTCAAAAAGCTGCGGGAAAAATTCCAGATATTTCGGTGTTTTCCTTACTAGATATTTAAAGAATGCATATTTTTATTTGTATTGAATAACTTGGACGTCCGCAACTATCTGTTTGAATCTGCAAAGAGAAAAGCTTTCAGTCTCTTCTTCCGAAAATGCAAAAAAAATGTTTTGGCTTTTAAAGACTCTTCGGGAAAATCTTTTTCCAACTCGAATAGGTCATTAACATTCTCTAAGCACAACCTCACGCTCTGATGATTCACAAAGTTACCACAATTTGCATTATTGGCCTTGTGGTTGATTTAATTCACTGGCTCGTATTAACAAAATGCTATCGCGATAATCATAACTTATTGTGTTGAACTGCTCCCAGAAGAGACCATTTATAGAATTAAGAACAAAACTTTACAAAGCATTTTCTGGAACTACTGACGTGGTTGTAGCTCATTTAGGGAGTGTTCAGTCATTATGGGAAGGGTGCTCAGAGAATGTAACGTCCAAAAAAGTTAAACTTCAAGTGTGGAGTGAAAACCTAGTACTTTTCATTACATGAAATCTAATACCCAAACTTTCTTAGAAAACGGTGTAACGACAGTAAACATCAACAACTGGCTAAAGAAACTTGGGATATTTGTTAGGTGGAATCAAGAGCAGAGTGCCCTTTGAACAATTTCTCGTATAGGTATTTTTTAGTTGTTCGGCAAACAATTCCAATATAATGTTTGTAAAAGTATGGTGAACCTAGAGTCCAGATGCTCGAGGAGAGAAAAAGACTCAACGCCTCATTAATAAAATGTAGTTCTCTTAATCCAGAAGTACGTTCAAGTTATTTAGCAACATCATTTTTTTCAGGTTCTTATTGTGAAAATGATTAAATACGACAGCAGAGGCAAAGTGCAAGCCAACGATGGAGTGAAAGTGGAAGCGGTGAATACTGTTGTATTGTTCTACAGTTCAATGAGTTTTCCTCACCATATGCTAAAGTACCCAACTTAAAGTTTTCTCCGTTTTCAGGCCCGTCCCTTTCCATACTGAACACTCTCTGACAATCTATCAACTGGTTCGCAATAACCTTTCAGCGTTTTGTTTGAAATAAGACGCATCTTTTAAACAAACCATACTTCAAAATAGCTAGGCGCATTATAAAATGTGTAATAAATAAGTAAACGTTTCAAAAGCGTGTGTAACAGGCGAGAAGCTTAGAAAATGTCACGTATGTTTAAACTTTACCACTGATTCCCACAGCAGATTTTTATTTGTCTTTTTTTCTTTGTTTTTGTTACCATGTCAAACTAACACCAGATATTTATCAAACAAAGGCACAACTGTAACTGGATAATGATTTGGCATTTTATCTTTGAATGTCTTTGTCACGACCGAAAAAAAAATATTTTATCTTATAAAAAAGCGTCTCAGAAAAATATATTTCCGGTGAAAAATTTAGGCAATTTTCCTTGTGATTTTCATACCTTCAAGGAAAATATTTTAACAATGAATATCAGTTGAATGTTTTAGAATAAGAAAAATAATTTTTGGGCGTTTTTGTTCATTTTCCTCTATTTTGTTTGTCTGTAGGTCGCTTTAAGCAGAGTGCTAACGGTTCTTATCTTTCACATCACACATTAAACAGATGCAAGAATTTCAATGCTGCCGCAGGTCTTTATAGACTTCCTGCCACTTTAAAATTTCATCCGAAAGTTTTGATTTTGGGGTTTGTGGATAATATTCAACTGGGGCAAAAATATCCACGACAAACAATAGCAGTGAATTTGCAAGCTGAACCAAATTGCTTAAAAATGTGCCACAAAACTTGTTAGCTTTTGAAACAACAACCATAACTCATTTTGAATTGGCAACAGCAACAAGAGAAAATCAAGGACATGGAGGAAGGTAGTGCGCACCTTTGGGAAAACAGTCCAAAATTAAAAAGAGCCTCAATGAAATTATCATTTCGCGACCAACAAGCTGATTGGACCTCTCTCTTTCCCTTATTTTCTCTTGATGCAGTCGATCTATCTGATTGGAAGAGAAGGTCCTTCAAGATTTCTCTTAGGCAGAATCTCATTCTGTTCCTCTTCAGTCGGTTCTAATTTAGCTCGGGCCGTGGCTGGGCCCGAGATCTTTCGAAATCCGTCTTTACCTCCTTCGTCGCGGCTCCGTTTAGGCCTCGTGGGCGATGCTGATTTGTTCCTCCCGGAGGATGTCCCTCTGGAGTGCTTCCGCAGGGGGAAGCCTTTCCTGATGTCACTGAGCAGTCGGTCCACAATGCACCCTTCTTGTTCCTCGTCTATTGGCCGCGGTTTGGTCTTCACTTTGCCCCCTGCTTCAGCATTTCTAGCTGCCTCTTCTGCTTTCTTTTTCTCGCGTGCCTTTCGTTTTTCCTCTTGGATACGAAATTGTTCGTTATCCTGGAACGAGAGAAAAGGATATAAAGCTAAGTACAAAGTATTTGTTATTGTGCACTTCTCGCTACAAATATACGAAACAGCAAAACAAGTGTTTATTCACCTTCTTAGCTTTGTTCAGCTGATCACCAAAAGTCTTGAACAAAGACAATAACTCCTGCAGTTTTAATTTTCCCTCGTCCTCGCAGAAATACATCGCCAGTTGTTTGGTGAGGCTGTGGATTTCGGTGATGCCTTCCTCTAGCTGCTTCGCCTTCTCTAAAGCGCCCTGTAAGTGATTTACAATATGTTCATTGCAGGGCAAGAAAACATACTTAGTTTATGACCAAAAAAGTTTTGTCCGAACAAAAAAAGAAAACAACAAAATATTTACAAAAAACGGGGGATCAACTGCTTAAGAGAGCCCTTCATTTTTTCGTTTTTTCTTTTTTGATAGTCCGAATATGGCGTGAGAGCAGGCGCGAGTAATGCTCTCATCAAAATAACGTGGAAATGCATTCGTTGTGCCTCACTACGTTGTCTGATTGGTCAAGTAAAACTTTCGCCACCCTCGCGACCAATCAGAGCAAAGCTAAACCTATTCGCGACTTGGTTACAAACTTTTTCCCGCGTTTTGCTTTCACTTTGGCTTCTCATTGGCTCCTTGTCACATTCTCGTTTAATTCAATTGGCTGTGGTGATTACAATGGTTTTATCTTAACAACACTCTGTCAAAAAGCTATTTTCAACGTAAAGAAAAAAGCGAGGCAGTGAACAAAGAAGAAAAACCAAACAATCTTACCTCGATGAATTCAGAAAATTGAGTGCAAATATCTTTCGGTCCACTTTTCATATCTTTTTCAAGGCTTTTGAGTTTGTTTTTGAGGCCCACTACTTCTCCAGTAAGATTGTCTACAGATAACCTAAGTTTAAGAAATAAGGCAATTACTTCCAGTTTCATTATTTTGAATTCACGATGTCTAACAAACATAACTGACGACTATTAACAGACCATGTTTATGTCGGACTATCAACTCATTACTTTTCAAGAGCAACAACACTTACTTGACGGCTTTGTCAAGATGCTTCATGTCTTCGGTAAACTTTAATACTTTCTCGCGTTTCTCCTCAGCAACCTAAATAGATGCAAAACATGCTTCTGTGAGACAATTTTCTCACGCTCCCAATAAATTTCACGACTGTTCCCAATGTCTCAGCTAAAAACGAATAGGAGTCCAGAAACCAACCTGCTTTACCCATTTACCATGTTTGATTTTCCGTTTTTTCTTCTGAGCTTTGCATTTAAAAATTTTTACAGCTTTCCCGCCGCGCCTGGGGCATGTTGCATCTTTTCCTAGACACGACTTTCCCGCACTTAGCAATAGCCGTGTTTCCGCGCTTACCAAGTATTTTTCCCCGCGCTGGTCGCTAGTAAAGTTTTTTCCCGCGCTAGGCGCGGATATTGAATTGCTAGGCTTTGTTACCAGCTGTAACTAGTTCTTTGTAATTCAAAATAGCTTAAGTAATCAAAGAAAACGTGCGAACTTACGTGCACCAAGAAGTTCATGAGGGTCATGCGGGGTTTGTTGGCTCTCGTGTCCACAATCTTTAAGAGTGAGTTGATCTTAAAAGCCACAGCATTCCCAGCGTACCCTCCCTACAACATAAAACATAAAAGAAATGTCTGTTAGTGACAAGGTTAGGCTTGCATAGGACGGAAAAAAGATGAGTTTGAAATAATAATAATAATAATAATAATAATAATAATAATAATTATAATAATAATAATAAAAAACACCTCTTACCGAGTTCAGAAAATTGCCAATGATCAAAATCAGCTGAAGAACCTCTGGTAGAATTTCACTGTTGAGGATATCTGAATATATTTGAGGTTGATTAGTATTTAGTCTAAAAGAATGAAACACAAAATACAAATCTCTGCATTGAAACCAACAGAGATTTTAAATCAAAATTAAACTTAACGTGTCGCTTTTTCTAAGTTCAAACCCCTTCTACGCTTTGTAGTGATATGTTGTTCTCTTTTAGTTTCGGGATGTATCCTCTGTTAATGCAAATAATGACTGCTAGGTAACCTATGGTCAAAGTCTGCCTTGTGTAATTAAAGCGACTTCTCTTCCACCTCAATAACAAATGTTTGAAAATAGTAATGAGATTCTTTTCATATTTTTTCTAGATTTTAAGAGTTCGTAAAAACTATGCACACCTTGTATTGCTCCTTTCAAAGATTCTAAACTTGGTTCGATTGTTTCAACTGTAATCTGGAACTCCTCCTTTTGTAACATGGCCTCTAGACGAAGGTTGTACCTGCTCAGAAAAACAAATAAAAAATCAGATAACCACGATAATTGTTTATCTTTTATTTATTCACTCAACTCAGTTCCAAAGATATAATTGAAAGAAATTAAAATGATAACAAAATTTTAAAATAGAGAACAAAGTAACCATACCCAGGAATAGAGACCAGTGCCAACAAAAACTTCTCAGCCGAACCCAGCTGGGTTTTGTCGCCAGAGAATCCTTTCAGCATTTCTCTCTGAAAAGGGACAGAACACAAACAAATTTCAGTTTGAGAATTCATCTTAAAAGTCCTCTTCACGCTCACAGGATATAGATATAGTTTAATCTCCTAAGCTGTTTTCTGAATAATGTATGTATACTCTAAGGAGACGATAAGTTAGACTATAGGTTAGACTATTTTATAAAACACCTTTGCTCTTAGATACTGACCTCTGTGTTGTCTGGAAGGAGTTTGATGAACGATTTCAGGACATCAACATCAAAAGCTTTGCTGTTCCCGTTTTGAATCAACCCAACAATCTCTTCGTTTGACCTAAAGGAAATAAGGAAAACGTTTATTTGAAAATTGTACGCCTCCTTTCAAACACTTGCCTCTGCTCTTGTTACATTGGCAAACGAGAGAGCCGCTACTACGCTTTGAGAACTCCTGGGTGCGAAAACTAACCACATCTTGGGGTGATTGGTAATGGGGGCATGACTTAGGGGGATTCTAGAGCCTTCGTAACTTCCCTTCCCCCTAATAATAAGAAATAAAAATAGCAAAAAATAAATAAAGAAATAAATAATTAAAGAGGATTTTGGCAGCACTACCACCCGAAAGTAGATCTTCGTCCAATGCTTCCAAGTCAAATTGCAAATTGTGGAGGAAGGAGAACCGGAGGACCCGGGAACGTGAAAAAATCCAACAAACTCAGCCTACATGTGACGTTAGGTCCGGCAATCAAACCCAGACCCTAGCGATGGGAGGTGAGCACTCTCACATTTACCCCATCCCTGTTCTCCACGACAACCTAGCGTGCACCAAATTCAACTAGGAGCGACCGTAATCTTCCCCCCCCGGAAATTCTGTCTACGCCCAAGATAAAGAAAGTTTTCCAATATCCAGTCCGTAGCCCAATGAAGGAGAGGTCAACGCGGCAAAGCTACAATAATACTCAAAAGAGATACACAGCAATACTGACTTTTTGAACTGCTTCATAAAAATGTTAACGTTCAGACTCCTCTTTGGATCCAGTAGGGTGATCTACAAAAAGGAAAAAAAAATTAATTGCAAAGAAATAGTAACTTTCCCAGCGTCTATAATCTTTTTTTTTTGGCTGAATTCACGCTTCCATGGCCTCTAACACAGTCACGCAATACACTCCACCCAAAGTGGTGCTCTCGCACAAGACAAGCAAAAGTAATCAACCCATACCTCTGAGGGCTCCTTCTTCTTTGTCTCCGTCTTCTTCGCTCCGCCCGTCTTCTTTTGACAAAACCACTCCTCTTCCAGATGAAAATCAGGCTGGATTACCTCCAGGGCCATGACACGTGCCCATACACACGTCTTACTCCTCTGAATCACATGCGGAGGAAGCTTCTGCCACGCTAAGGATCGCATCTTACTCTTGGGTTTCACCGGAGGGACGAGCGGGCAGCTGACACTACGATGAACGGGCTGCTGGTAAACTCGAGTGACTCCAAACCCACCCAGAGGCGGCGGAGGTGGAACTCCCCCAGCTCCTGGAGGTGGTGGGGGCGGAGGTACTCCCCCCATTCCAGGTAATGGGGGAGGCGGGGGTGCTCCACCCATCCCAGGAAGAGGCGGCGGTGGAGGTACTCCCCCCATTCCAGGTAAAGCGGGTGGTGGTGGTACCCCGCCCATTCCTGGAAGAGGTGGAGGTGGAGGTACTCCTCCCATTCCAGGTAAAGGGGGCGGTGGCGGTACCCCAGCCATTCCTGGAAGAGGTGGAGGGGGAGGCACACCACCCATTCCCAGTAGAGGAGGAGGAGGGGGTATTCCACCTACTCCTGGAAGAGGCGGTGGTGGAGGAACTACCCCAGTTCCTAGAGGAGGTGGTGGTGGCACGCCAACCTTTCCAGGCAGAGGAGGAGGAAGTGGTACTCCATTCATTCCTGGAAGAAGAGGAGGAGGAATCTCACCTCTTCCTATCACGGGAGGCGGAGGAGGGGGCGGAGGAATGGCTGAGGCTCCTACAGAAGGAGGAGTAACTGATTTCCCGTACGAAAAACTCTCATCTTTTCCTGGCAGTGAAGGTGCGCTTTCAGTTGTTTCTACGTGATTCATTACGATTTGAATATCTTCACCATTTGATTGTCCAGGCAGGGGCGGCGGAGGAGGAGGTGCAGGAGGATTGTTTAAGCCGAGTTCATTTACAACACTTTCAAGGTCCAACATAAGTTCTGGACTGGATGATCGCCCCTCTTTTTTCTTGTTATTCTGAATGATACCTTCAAGAATTTTGACAGAAGCAGGAGCTGCTTCTTCATCTTCAAATGTCATCGGGCATGCTTCCTCTAGATTTGCTTGCGTGGAAGCCTGTATTTCCTCGTGAATCCCGTTTGCCACAACAGACGTCGAACTGGGGTCATCAACAGAGACAGAACGCACGCAAGCTGAACGTACATCTTCTGACGATTGCTGCGCCACGGACATTCGATGGGTCAAGTTTTCATCAGGAGAACCACTCCGCGTGTTGTTGCCTTCCCTTGATGAACCTCCATGTTGTAAACTGGTAAATTGCCTCTCACCTTCCTCTAGGATTGACTCCGCTCGATTACGACTATCGATGTTCACAGCTCGTTTTACAAGTTTCTCGATCACTTCCCAAACCGAGTCCGACACAGGTGAATCATCCTCGATCAAAAGCAGGTTTTGTAGAATGCTTAATAGGTTTACACCTTGAGGTTTGTTACTCACCTATGAATATATATAGATGCCTGTCAGTAAAAGTAATATCACGATTTCAAATGCAATTTTGTGTTAATAAGCACTAGTTAATGTTTCAAAGACAACAAACTTGCACGAGCCCGTAATTTTTTTTATGTAGATTGCCACAAACTTAATGTATAGCTTACGTGGCGGACGTCGGTGCTTGTTTTATTTTGACCCTCAACAACCAATTTGTTCTTGCTTTCTGTCTTTCATACATAAATCATTTTAGTTTTCTTGTATGCAATGATTGGCATGCGGAGATTTTGCTCAGAGTGAAAAAAAAATCTTGTGAGAGCAAGAAGACATTTTTCTTCATAGTTGCACTTAATTACCACAGCAAAAAGGCAAAGACGTCGCCAGAAAATAAGGACAAACCTTTCTAAACAAAGCATGAAATACGTCCAAGTGAGACGTCAGATTTACTCCCTCAGGGGAGTTCAGATCATCTTCATCCTCCAGTCTCTGTTCTTCAAACACATCGAGTTGAACCAATAACTCTTCGTCATCGTTGTGCCTGCGATAAATGACACAATGCATGTAATTACGATTGCCCTCTTGAAGCTTTTGCCGCGTAAAATTGAAAGCCGAGCGATGACACAAGCAACGAAAGAGGCGAATCGTATTCTCGTTCCCAGATTCTACTCGCTAGCTGAAATTAGAGGAATCGCTTGACCGTGGGAGGTCAAGGTACGAACTTAGGCGACTTCTTCAATTCGCAGTCGTTCCATAAACACAGTTTCTACCTGGCGACTAACAAGTTCCAAGAAAACAATCAATGTATTTACAGATTAACGGCAATTAAACTGAAAGCAGGAAACCATACATGAAAAAATTCAGGCCTCGACGGGCGTTTGTTTGGGAGATCTTCTTAAAGTTCAAACGTTCACTACCCGTCAAATATATATATATATTTATATTTTTATATATACGTATATATTTTTTATCATTACTCTCTTGCGGAGAAAGATGTAAGATCGATACATCAAAATGATTCTGGGAAACTCATAAATCTACTCAAATATTAATAGATAAGATTTTGGAGGTTTCATTTGTAGAGCTTCTTTCTTGCTTGTGTTGTTGCGCAAACGAACACAAAAAATCCGGAAAATCAATTGAGTCATAATACGCTGTGTTTTGGTTGGGTTATTGCGCAAGTAAGCTCATAAAAAACATGAAAATTGCAATTAATCTATCCACTAAATACATTTTAGCTGTCGGCAGAATGGAAACAAGTACTGAAAATACAATTCAATTAAGTTTACCGAACAAGAGCAAATCGGGGAAAATGCGAGATTTGTGTTACATAAAACACTGTGGAAAGCGCTGTTAAATAAATAATAACAACAACAAATTCTCAAACTAACATATTTTCTAATGTGTTATCAAATATTTTACCTCAAATTGCTTAGGATGTCCAAGAGTCCTAGCCCTGTTAAAGAATAATTGGGAGCCATTATATTTCTGTATGCTATGACTACATGCTGACCAGTTTTCAAAGCGCGAAATTGGCCCAAAAGTGCTGTATTTCCGCGGCATTAGAAACTAAAATATTACCCACATAATCTGAAGTTGTTACATGTGTTCATAGAATTAAACCAGAGCTTCGTACTTCAAAAATTATAGGTCCCACTGCGAGAACGATTCTTTGATGCGTGGAAGTGTATGTGATGCCATTTGGTGTCTCACCTGCCGATTCGCATGGAATTCGCTTCGCACGGCCGAATTTTGCAATGTAAAGGTTCTTTGCCGTCCAATTGCGATAAACATGTAAACCACAAACATCAAAGCCCTCAATTTTCTCACTGCTGGAAACACTGCGGGACCAAACAATGGAGAAAAACCCACGAATGATTTGATAGTACGCTAAGAAAACAGCGACGAGCGAAATACAGTGAACCATAATATCTGATGATTTCTATGGCAAAATCGCACATTTTTTGCCTTCAAAATTATTCTTCGCTTATTCCCGAACACTTACTTAAGAAAAAACGAAATTTGAAGGCTGATGTTTTCAATTTTTTTCAGTTAAGGAGATTTAAAAGAAGTACAAACAAATTTATCGGTAATTAATGTGACCGTAAAGAAAAAACTTAAATTTGCTTCATCCTTGTTTTCGTTGTGCAAATCTTTCCACTCACCAAAACTAACGGAATTTGGTAAGCTTGACAAAGGATCTTCTTCACTCTGCCAAAACATTGGCTAAATTTCAAGAAATGCTCTAAGTGGAAACATATGGTATGAAATGCTTTGTTTATGAAAAGACTACGAGAACATCTTTACGTAAGATGCGATCTAAGGCCGTTGTTTGGAAAAACAGACAACTCTTTAAAACTTCATGAAACTAAGTGAAGCACTAAAGATTTTAGAAAACAGATGATTACGAAGGACTGTATTTGTGAGTATCCTCAATGAGTGAAGCACAAAGATAAGATAATTCTACGTATTTGAGGTGAAATATTTGAAAAGGTAATTCAAATGCAATGCAAACTAAAACGTTGTCAAGAAGAACCTGTATTTTGAGATAAAACAACAGTTTTGAAGTGGGAGACTAATTTGAGGTAAAGGAAAACACTTGAGATGAGAGGAAGCTTCTGAAGAAGTTACATCAAGATTTTTCGTGCGTCGGAGGTACGGGAGGGTAGAGTGGTTTTTGAGAGGGAATTTTATTAATTTTCTGATGGCAACGTTTAGTTCTTCGGAGTAGATTACTGCCAAATATTGGGAGTCTCAGATGCGGCACAGCACCTCAGAAAAACCTATAACTTTATAAATAGAACAAAAGAGATGGTAAGTTTTGAGCTCGGTGAAGAAGCTTCCTATGAGGAATCGAACATCAGACCTTCGGATTCCGCGCTCCGATGCTCTGGCACTGAGCCACAGAGACTCTACAGTGACCGAGGTCTATTACGATCGTATTGACATTAGCGTTTACTCACCTGCAAACTCATTTCTCAGGCGGACTCGTTCTTCAAAGTCTTCCGTAGCGATGAGTATAGTGTTGATGAAGGCTAAACACGTGGTCATGTATGGCATAACTTCGGCATTTTTAAGCTCATTGATGATCAAACTAAATCTGTACCGCTGACCCTTGGTGAGCTGCGGTTGAAATGAAATAAAAAGGTTAAAAGTCATGATCAGATTGGTTAATCCTTTACAGCCTAACATCAGTATTCACATTCTCTATACTGTACTCTGTACATTAACTAAGGTGCTGACAGGGAGAATTTGTCTAACAATCAAGAGTTTCTTTAGTTGGTGATCATTTCCTTTATTATCATGACATTCATGTGTTTCAGTGATGATATTGTGTGGAGAAATTAGATGCTAGTCACTCGTAGGGTTCACTCTTCACTCGAGCCAAGTGGCCCATCCAGCCGGAGCTTATCCCGGTTTCAAGAACATGAAAAGACTAGGACTATTGCCGCCACTTCCCCCGGAGGAGAGGGGCTAATCCATTTTACAGATAACACCTCCCCCCTGCAATTCATCAATTTCCCTAAAAGCCCACTGGTACCCATTGATACACGTGGGTCGAGAGGGTGGGGGGCTAAAGTGTGTAAAGTTTCTGCACAAGGTCATCACGGATGTTCTTCCACTGAGCTAAAGAGAAGTCTATGGCGACCAGAGTCATTTCTAAGTTCATATGTGACACGTACGTGTCCTTTAGAGTTTATCGTTTCTTTTATTCTCATAACTGGTTTCCTCATAAATAAAGCAAAGTTATGAAGAGAAATTACATCCTAATGACGCAAACTCACCTTGTAATTCTCAAGCGCGTCAATGGCCAGTTTGTGTCCTTGGTTGGAATAAAGGCAGAGAGCGGATAGAAGTTCAAATACTTGTTTCTTAATCATTGTGTTGTTTGTATCGAGCGCTGAAAGAAAACGACAGGGAGTTAATTAAATGTGAGGTTAAGGTCAGCATACAAGGAAAAGGCCCCAGCCCCCCCTTTATGGGATCCCAGACCATCGCTGATTGCCCCTCCCCCCACCTTCTTACCATTTTGCCAGGCTTCTCTGACAGTTCGTCTGTGAAGAAGAGAAGCATGGCGAGACTAAAATGCTTTGCCCAAGAACACAACACAGTAACCCGCTATGTTAATGTATTGACTCAAACAATCTGGGAATTGAGAAAAACTGCAAGTCAAAATTTTCGAATGTCTTAATGTTAAATTTACTCCATAAAAAATGAAGCAAATAAGGATAAAAAAGTATATATATTAACGGAAGGGTATTAAATAAACCTTTTACCAATTACCCAAAATTAGAACACCAGTCTTGTCTATTTTTACAACGGCTAATGAGAGTTTTTCTTTTTTTTCCTCTTAATTTCGCAGGCGATTTTGCCAACTTAACAACTCAGTAAACTTACGAAAGTAACCCATTTCATAAACCACACAAAACACGGGTTGTGTTTCCACTTTAAAACTTTTAAGGGTTCTAAGAAAAACTATCTTTCATTCGCTACATTGAACACCATTTAGAGAGAAAGTTGATAAAAAAATCACTACCAATCTTCGTTGCATATAAATTCGTTATTACCCCAACAAACATATGGTGATGCAACTTTGAGATTAGCATTTGCTTTTCTCTAATGGGATCTTTTAAATAATCTAAACAAAAAGAACACATTATCTAACTTTTTCTTTAAATAATTAATTTTTTTCCCTTAATATGCGTTTCAGATCTCCAATAAATGGTGAGCTGAAGACAGATTGACGCCGGGTCGTCCAAAAATAGAGACTGTTCTAAATATTGGCAAAGGTGAAATGTCGGTTTCATATCATACAAGGGAGCAACTGGGAACGAACAATGAACAAGCTACAATCAGTTTAAATTGGCTTAAAATGGAAGCGTTTTCACATATCAGTAGAGCAAAGCACTGTGCCGAGCAAAGTTTACTAGAGTCACGAGATAAGATAATTAATAGCCAAAAGCAAAAGATAATTAATTGTTTCTGGAATTTTCATAGCTGTGTCAAGAAAAAGCCATTTCATCGCTGAAGTTTATAATTTCAAGGGTTTCCCCTTTCTGGAGGTTTCTCTTTTTTAACATTCACTTAAAAATACATATATTAATTTCCTGTGAAACAGAACAATGTTCATTTTCTTTTCCGCGTGAGAACAAAATAATACTCGTAACATGTTGACATCCGAAAGACAATGTCACTGGTTTATTGCCAAACACGATAAAATAAAATGTTTAGAAAAATGAAATAGTTTACATTGAAAGAAAAAGGTCCTCGTCTGTCTTCGCCAATATTACGAAAATATTTTGAGACCAAATATTACTGTAAATGAGAAAAATTAGGTACAATTAGCTATCACGAACGACGAAGCAAACTTTTATTAACGAGACGTTGGCTAAGACTTTAGAAACACTGAGGTCTCAAGAAAGTATGAAAAAAATTCGATTAAAACTTTTTTCCTTTGTCTCGTAATTTGAATTAATCAATAAGCAATTTGAAAATCATTTGCTCGTAAAATGAACTTGTTTGAAATTTCGGTAAAAAAATAAACAATGCTGATTAAGCGCCAACCTTTAGCCAGATTTCGCACCAGAGTCTTGTTTCTGATCATTGAATCAAGTCCCCGTTTCGAATTCATAACCGCTTTGATGCAGTTGACGCACTCGAGCTGCATACACGCCTCCATAAACGCCATTTTTTCCCCCTTGCTTAATCTCTTCAAAGCTTGAAAGAGGATTTCCAGCCCACCACGAGAGAGAAATTCTGTAATCCATTCAGCAGAACTGGTTTGAATCTTTGCCCTGAGCCCGGAGAAATTCTGAAGACACGAAGAACTAAGAAGACGAATGCAAAGTTCAGCGGAGACATCTGATGAGATGGTGAGGTTTTCGACTTGTTTTCCCTCTGTAACGCTGCTGAACTTTTGTCGAACTACGCTCCATCTATGTGCAACACTCACGGTAGCCATAACAAAGGGAAATTAATACTCAATGCCGTGAAATCGTTTAACCAACCAAAGAAAATCAACAATCCATTTGCGGTCGGTAAAACTGAAAAGTATTCTCATCTAAAACCGCATTTGGGAACAGCGAGCATATCAATGGCCATTACAACCGCCAGGTCAGTTTTTAACGCAACCTTCTCAACTCCTCCAAATGCAAATTTAACTCTCGAGGCAAGCCATGATGTCTCGTTTCAACAAAAAAAAGTTATAAATGAATGATTAAAAACTGACCAACGTGTCTTGCCTGGAAACGCTTTGCATTTAAAATCATTCTACTTCCCTTCAGGAAAGAATGAATGTTTTACATCGCGCAGGTGACCAACATTTCAAGATAGTATTTCGAATAATGCAAACATTCATTCATGAATGCCACTGTTTTCTATGTTTTTTAATCATCATGACACTGTTTTCTCAGTAAAAGGCCTTAATTGTGATTGCTATGGAATAGTAAATGAGTCACTTTGAGCGGCTGCCAGAAGTGTTGTCGTATTGATTCGGTGTCAGTAAGATCACTTGAACATAAACAAAGGAGAGAATTATTCTTGTAAGATGATGGGCCATTTTATTTGAGAAATTCCTCTTCTTAGTTAAGCAAATTTCGTTACAACAAAGACGATACACTTATGTTGTCTTTTTACACCAATAAATAGCATAAAACTACAAAGTGCATCATTTGAGTTATTTTGGGAACAGAACTCGAACGTGAGATATTAAAATTCGAAACTAACCCTAATTATGAATACTTCGAACACTATTGCGCAGGTGAGAGGAGGTAATATTGTATTCAAAAGAGAGCCTTCAAGTTTAGCCAGTGCGACATTAGACTACTTTAAATATGAATAAATATTATTAAAGTTCTATCGTCTTTTTTCGTATATGTAAGTGACAAGAAACTAGCTCAGTCGACTTCGGTAACTAGGCGCTATATAAATGAATTTTTTTCCCCGCGCGCATAGGAGGAAATTGGACAAAGCATTTACCACGGTTCAGTTTGATAAAACAGAAAAGTGGAGGCCGTAGCTTGTTAGTGAATTGAAAGTGATACCCTTAGGTAATACTTTCTTTTAAACCGCTTCAGGGTGAGATATCATGTTATTTACCGTAATCGTAAAACTACTTTGCGAAGGTCAAGTTTTCAAATTTGTAATAATCATTCTGGCGCATTAGTTATCGCGAAAACTTGTTTGTTATTTTTCTGAGAAATTTTAGAGCGGTGACAGCTAGCATTATTATTATTTATTTTTTTTGTAAGCTAACACATTCCCAGAAATTTCGCCTGGTGCATTCCCTACACATAATTATTTTTCACTTTTGACCAAACTGAAAACGCCGTTTAATTCATTAGTATACCGACAATAGAATTTCAGCTTTTTCAGCAATGTTATTTTAGCTCTTACTTTGTTTGCCAAACAAAATCAGTTGTAAGGAAAGTATTCATTGTAGAAAAAGGCAAAACAATAAAACAAACAATTCGTAATCAATGTTAACGACTCCGTTGGACTGGAGCTAGGAAGAATCGCTCCCTAGAAAACTGTTTCCTTTCAAACATTTTTTATGGTCTTTGAAGAAAATTCGTTCATTATACAGCTTAAAATATAATCGGTAAGATGCGTTTTATGTTCACAATTTTCCGTTAATATTTTTCTGATCTGATTATTTTTTTTTGACGCTATTCAACTATTGATGCAGCATAAAACATTCACATAGCTTTGAGATACTGCATCGTTGAACTGCAACAAAGACATTGCCTTAAAGTCTAAACGTTGAAAAAAAATTATCAAAAGGAATAGAGGAACGTTACAACTCCTCTAAAATACAAGTCACTACATCTTTCTTGGCGTTTTGAAAATAACATTTACAACATTACGACTCTAAACCTAGTCATTTAATGTAATTACGTTTGGATGAAGATTTAATAAATAAGCTTAAAAGACTGTGTATTAGAAAATCCATCAGAATTTTGCATTACACTTGCTAATGCTTTGATCATGTGGCCAACAAACTCGTTAGGAAAAGTCACAGTTAGCTGTACTGCAAAATATCACTTACGATCGCGAAGCCTTTGCTGACAGTATTTCAGAATAATTTCGGCCAGCCTTGACTAAACACAGAACCTCCATAATATCGAGAGATAAATACTAAAAGATTCTAATTCCTGCCGAAGTATAGAAAAATAAATTTGTCTGAGATAAATTAACCCCAAAGTAACTTTTCCTTAACACAACCTGACGTTCTTTAAGTTCATTTGAAGGAATTATCGTCTTCCACATGAGAGGAATTATCCTCTCTTGTCTTCCATGAAAGAGAAAAGAGAGAAAGAGTAAAACGTAAGCGATCCGCTTTTAATTAAATCGGCATCAGCTATGTAAAATGACAGTTTAATGAAGTCCCCCCGCGAAGAATTTACAATCACTTTAACATGTTTAGTCTCTTGGTTTTCGACTGAAAAATTGTGTCAATCTACATGTAAACGCCTGCAATAAAACTGAGTTCATGGACGATGAAGTTGCCGAGGAATCGCGTAAATACGGAACTCAGACAGGGGTAGACGGCAACGAGGTAATACAAAAGAATCTAGGAGCAGGAAAATGGCCCTGCGCAAGTTTTGTTTCTGTTGTTGTTTTTTTTTAACTAAGTACATTTCGATGCCTTCCACTACTAAACAAAAACGTGACACCTTAAAAAACTGCAGTGTATTCTGAGAGAAGAAACCCCTGACACAAATATTCACGTTTCTTACTATCATTCTGTTATTAAACGCTGAATTAACATGTCATGTTGACAAGAAACATTTTTAAACACTTTAGAAACACAGAGAAAAAAACGTTTCTCTTGATCATTTAGCTCGACTGGATGTGTTCGTTGTCTGTCATGGCGCCACACCTCAACTTCAGCAAAACATGTAAACAGTGATAGGTTTCATCTTGAAATGTGAATCTTTAGTAGTTTGCTGTCTGGGTTTCCGCTAGCTCTCAGACCACGCAAATTTGTCGTTTTCGCGTTGTTGTTTCTAGTTTGCAGAGGATATGAAAAATGATTTAAAACGCACGTGCAGAGCACTGTTCCGCTCATCAAATCATTTGTTTTGCCACGTTCTCGTTGCTTTGATTTCCTCCAAGGAGTTTGAAAAATGAAGAGAGACCGATAATCCCTCTGAGCCTGCGTGCATAGAGCAGCTGACGTGTCTTGTGACATTTTTAGCGTTTCAGTTTTGCAAGGTTCAAACGATGCAAGCCAAGCGCACGAGACTGTCTGGGGGTTTATGTTTTTTCTTACATTTTGAAATACAACATTTATCTTAAAAAGTTAAAACAATGGTTAAAAAACAACGAAGAGTCAAAATACCCATCCCAGACAGACTATTTTTATTTTTCTTTTTGGCGCAAACCACCCCGAGGAAAAACAAAAGGTTTTGATTAAAAGCGTCGTCAAATATGATTTATAAACATCTCGGCGAGAATGAATAAGCTCCCATTCTTCTAAATGGTCAAATTCATACAAATAACTTACATGTGCGAAATCAGTGTTTATTAAGCTTTAAGGGTATGTAGACTTTTACAGGAATTGCGCGAAAGATTTGCATGCTTTTTCAGTTTGAATGAAAACCCAAATTTTCCCTCCGTAATATCTTAACAAGAAATGACGACAGCTTTGGCTAGGCGGTTTAATAGACATTGGCCGAAAATAAATTAATTCAGAGGAAATACTTATCTCATCTAGATTTAACTATGTTTGCTTTCAGCACAAAAATTCATAATAGTGCGGCGATTGATAAAGCTTGGTAATTCACAAGGTCAGTAATGAGTTTTGAAAACAACTGACGTAAACAAAAAATGTCAGAGAACGATGAAAATTTCGCAGTAGAGGTGCACCGGTAGTTCGGAAAAATAAACTTAGACACTGTTAAAAGCTTGCTCCATTATTCTCCGTCGATATCAGGTTTTTCGTGTATTTTACTATTATTTGGTTGAACAATATCGTTTGTTTTGCTGCATAATAAATATCTAGCTTGTTATCAACAATTTCGTCGCAGAGTCAACCACGTAAATCCTTAAAAAATCACAAAAGAAAACATCCTAAACGCCCGGGAAAAAACAAATTAAAAATAATATGGTAGGAAAAGCAAACAAGAATTAAAATGCTATGTAAATTATTCGTCTCTCTTTGTTCGTCGGTCAACAAAGAAAGCAATTCAGTCTACTTACCTGAACTGACTTGTATAAAAAACTGGATTATTGTACCATGGACAAAATATTCACTTCTTGAAATTCAAAGTTGAATTGTTTTTTATCTGAAAATTTTTAGGCAACTAAGAAGGCCTACATCTCTTTACAAAGTCTGAAGGCAACAATAATTTCTAACGGGATTAATGAACTTTCTTTGTAATTCAAGATTTAAGCCAGCGTGTACTAATGGCCGGTAATATTTACCTCCAGTCATATTTAAAATACTTGGAAGCTTGATAAGAATCGTCAATGGTTTTGCAAACCGTACTATTAAGAGTGTTAAATCCTAGAATCTTACCTTTTACCAAAGATCTAGTTAATTCATTGCTCGCGGTCATAATAGCCAAACCGACTGGTGAATTCATTACAGCTTTTATGCATCGAACGCATTCGATTTGATCAAGGGCCTCAATGAAACGGTTCTGCCTGTCCCCAGATGATAAAGATGAGAGGCCGTCTAACAAACAGCTCATTCCTCCGAGGTTTAGAAATTCGTTCAGCCATTCTTTGTTTGCTTTCTCTAGACGGGCTCGAAGTCCTGAAAAGTTCTTAAGCGACGGTGTTTCTAAAAGCTTAACACACAGTTCGGGTTCCGCGTCGGAAATTAGCACATTTCTAACGGACGAACCATCGTTGCCGTCCCCAGAAATCTTTCGCCATTTTGACTTTGAATTGAGAGCCATTTTAGTTCCACGTCAAACTGTTCACAAACAGGAAAACCCTCAAAAAACCGTGTAAATTAAAATTGCATTTCCAAATAGGGGTTTTTATGGCTTCAGAGCGAGTTGTGACACCCGCATGACTGCAAAATGCGCATAGACCCGACGATCCCAGTTAAAATTCACGTTGGGAAAACTGCTAGGTCGTCTTATTAATATCACAGAATACTTCCAACAAAAGCACTTCGTTTTTATTATTGTTGACGCCTGGGTATTATAAATCCCCCGGGAATTAATCATTTGGTCGACCATTATAAACCGTGAGTAAAGTTAATATGTGATAGGGCCTGTATTGTCCGTCTGACTGCTGGTATTTTTGCCTTTGTCTTACACGTAATAGCGACTGGTTGACGGGTCAGACCCGCTGATCGAAAAATTAGTTTTCACTTTATTTTGGCAGTAACTGCCACGGATGACCTCTCCTTGCGACTAAAGCTCTGAAAAAGTGTCAGAGATTTTTACAGCTCTGGGAAACAGAACAGTAAAGAAATCTAAAATTATCAGCTGGTCTAGATATTTGCCATTTGCGTACAATGTGGAACCTTCAATGGCATTATACTCTTAATTTTAGCTCTGTGTGTTTCTTGTTTGTTTGTTTTTTTTGTTACACAAATGAACGCAAAAAGGCTCAACTGCTCAAACACGATAGCTCACAAACTGTTTACCAACGTTCATTATCTGCGCAGACTAACTCTTCAAAAGCCACTGAAAAATTTGAAAGAAAAAGAAAATTTTCATTTTCATCAAGGAGTGAGGGAAAACGTTCGAGCGAAATTCAGTGTACACTGTCACAAATTACGGAATTCGAAAGCACCTGAAAAACTTCAAGGTAGTACTATCTTATCGTGACCGCTTAAAATGTTTACTTTAGACTTCCCTAACACAAAAGACCCGGAGTACTGAAAAAAATTGAGGAACAAAGGACTTACAACTGGATTTTCAAAGCGTATTTAACAAAAAACCCAGTGAAAAAAATTATGTCAATTTTTTTTTTTTAACATGCCAAATTCCTATTTCGTGGTTTGACACAAACTAATTAATTTAGTGGCCAAAAACCGCCGTCGGCCGAACCAGCATTGAATAGTTCATGTACCTCTGTCTGGATGTATCAATATCGTTTACTCAAAGAATATTGTTTGTTTTTGCAAGTAATATTGTTTTGAGTTATGGAATTCGTCAGTTATTACCGAAATATCGTCTGAAAATCTTGATGTAAGGTGTTTTGGCTAACCCTAATCTGAGTAGATTAAATCGGTAACTTAATTGTCGGAGGAAATTTAAAATATTTCACGGAAATTGCTTCAAATTTCATTTAGATTCTCTCTCTTTAAAACCGAGAAAATTCATGAAAAATTGCTATTTATGAATATAAAATGATAAATTTGCTGATTCATGGAAAACTATGACGTGTTGTCATAGTATGAAAATAGACAACTTTCGCGTGGTTCAGTGATAAACATTGCTTCTGTCTGGAACACGCCGACATACCCGCGTTTTATCACAAAACTGTTGATATTCTTTCTCGTTGATTTGGGACAATTGTGGCCAAGCCAAACGTCACTTCGAAAAATTGGTGTTCGATTTAATATACGATTTTTGAAAAATGGAAAGAAAATTCCGTTAAGACGAGTTAATGATTTTAAATGTAACTGAAATCGCTAACCTATTCCAAGTCGTCGTGTGAAGTCACGATTTCCAACCATGAAATCCAGCCCAGTTTTAGAATTCATCACAGTTTTGATACAAGAAGTACATTCAAGTAACATCACAGCGTCTACGAACAACTTGAGCGAGCTTAATCGTTCTAAAGCATCGAGTAACACTTCCATGCCGTTGTTCTGGAGAAATTCAAAGATCCATTCGTCCGATGAACTTTTTAACTTGCTGTGAATGCTATGGTAAGTCTGAACAGACGGAAATCTCAGTAGTCGGACACAAAATTCGGGAGAAGCTTCAATGGGAAGACAGCAATTTTGATCTCCAGTAGATACGTGCCGTTTCAGTGTATTCCATTTGTTCTTAACGGTCATTTTCGACATCTTTGTTAAATTCTTGCGCGGAATACATTTTGCAGGTAGATTTGGTGTCCCACAGAGCACAGAACTATTAAATGCCAATCATGTCAGTCAGTTAGTTTTCCATGGCAACGAACTCCAGGTTTCTTTTTAATGAAATACGAAAAGACGGTAAAATTCCAGATGACGCCTTGTGTTAATAACGTAATCAACTGGCAATTTGAAAACAGTTTGTTAATTAGGTTGATCTAAATTTGAGCGAGAATTAAATCCCGAAAATGCTAACCAGCTCCGGTCACCCAAGCTAAGGTGATACAAAGAGTCGCTAGAACTTTGTTTAAAGCAGACATCAAACAAAGCCAAATTTTAAAATTGTTTTAGTAGAGGTGATTTTCGCGCATATTTTCCGCAGATTCAGAATTTAATCGTGGGTGTTACTGGTAAAACAAAAGACCCCGGGATTCTTGCAATCCTTGAAAAAATGATTCTACTGTCTTTACTGGTACTTGTCCATTAATTTATAAATTTATAAATTTATAAATTTAATTTTTCAAATTTCTTAAGCTGTCTCAAGTTTCTCTGAATTTTCCACATGCACACTCAAATTTTCTCATTATCAAGTTTTTGATTGCCAGGTTTCAAACTTAACTTAACAATTTTTTTCTGGGTTTCCAAATGAATAAATTTGACTTTTGGGCGAACTCTTTGAGGGCGAAGTTGTCTCTTACCCGGCGAAGAAAATTCTAAAATTTATTTCTTCCCTTTTAAGCTGCAGGAATAAACTTCTCCCTCGAACCTTACTCATCATTACGTACTTACTAAACGAGTAGAGGCGATTTGCAAACAATTCCCGTCCCTTCACGTGAAATTAGTTTATTTTGACAAGGAGTCAGCAGTATGTTCCCTCGATAGAACGAGGGCTCATTTCCCGATGACACTTCACCGCTAAATTGATCTTGAGAATCTCGTTTGCTGCATCGGAAAATAATTTTATAGCAGTCATTTCAAATATCAGACACAACAGCTATGATACTGTACTGATAATTCCTACAGTAACAGACCCGTTAGTAGAATCTTAGCCGAGGAATTCATCTCGCCTCTTTTTCTTGATAACGCTTGAAACTAAAGAACATTACTTGTAGTTACGAATTTCCGGTGACTGACAGAGTGAAATGAAATTCGTGCAAACACAAAAACAAAATAATTCATTGATGCATAAATAAATATAAACAAGAAAGTGATAAAACGTGATTGAGTATTTCACGTTTGGCTTGATTTAGAGGTTAGATTTTCCAGTGTTATGCTAATTGCACTAAGGCAAGAAATGAAACTAATTTTTACTACGCATTGCACGACATGGAAAACGAAATTATTGGACTATAGAACTTTCAAGATGCATGCACCAAAACCCTTAGGGCAAAAATATATTCATGAACGAGAAAATATTGAAACACATGGGGTAAAATAAATATCAAAGTTCAATAGAACTTACCATATACCAGCTGACAAACAAGATCTGGAGAGGAACTGAAGTATATGACACCAGCCTGTGAATTCAGAATTACTTTGATACACTGAACGCATTCGAGCGCTACAAAGGCGTCCATGAAAGCGATATGTCGGTTTTGAGCCGATAACCGGACAGAGAGAATTTCAAGAGCGTTCATTAACACTTCCAGGCCTCCTGTTCCAGAAATTCCGTCATCCACTGTGCCGAACATTTGGCGAGTTTTGGATGAAGGGCAGAGAAGTTTTTCAGTGATGGAACTCGGAGTAAACTCACGCAAAGCTCTGGTTCAACGTTGCTGAACTGTCCTTGATGATTTGCCTCGATATGGACATTTTGTTGAAAAATGGGCATCTTACGCAGTCTTTTCCAACCTGAAGTCTCCATTGCTTAGTACGACAATTGCAAAACACAACGCTTGTTCGACCTTCGAAAGCTCGTTGATTGTGATCCGCAGCGAAACCGAAGTCAGTGCATATAATAACATAGACTGACAGCAGGGACACCTTGTTCGTGATAAACAATGCTTCCTTAATTCAATTCAAAACGTGACCTTTTAGTACTTTGTGACTCTAGGAAATTGGTTCCTTATGGGTTCTTTTGTAATCGGATGCGAAAAACGTTAGATGGGCTATCTTTCGCTTTAGTTCTATTTTAAAACTGAACATCAACGATAGAACTTTTCGTTTTTCATATTCCGCCTATAGCGTTTAAGATCAGTGAATTGATCCTATAATTTTCTTGTTTGTTTAGGTAGATTAGATTTTTGAATCGATTTGTTTCTTGAGAAGTCACGTACTTACAACTATTCGTGTCGGCAAAACTACCGACACTGCCTTTAGAGAGCATGTATCAAAGCAGTTACGCGCAATGTTTGAAACTTTATTATCATGATCATATTGGCTTCGAAACCTACACAAATTGTTACAGAAAATAGGATTGTAAGTCAGCTGTGACAAGGTTAAATGATTGTGAGTATCAATTGACTTCGTGAAGGAAATTAGAGGATTACAGGCTCTTGGCAACGAAACGGATGGGGCGTGTACGCTAACCTCTAAAAAATAGGAAAAAGGTTGATTGAAAGGTTCTTCCCTTCTGATGTAATCACAAACCCACGTTTTCGTTGACGACTGACAGACGGTCTTCGAGCATTTTTTTCCTCATAATTCTCTAACCCTTTATTAAGCATGAATCTCGCTAAATTTTCGCAAAGATAATTCCTCTGCAACAATTAATACAAGATATTCAAGTGGAAAATAAACTCGTAACAGGTCACAAAAAGCTGTTAATCGCTGTTTCTGCTGAGTTTACCGGATCGTGATAAGGAAAGTATGATTATTGAATGCAGCTTTCAAACGACTGAGAAGTAGCTGGGTGTTGAAATAAGGGAAGCCGAAAGTTCAAGCGTATTCAAGTACATTTGATTAAGTTCTTTAATTAATTCACAAAGTATCTTATTTAATTAGTTGTTGAAGACGCTGCTGATGACAGTTGACTCAAGAGACATATTGGCTTTTTTTAAAAATAGACACACTTTCGCAGCATTTTCAAGAAACCGTGCGCAAGTCAAGTGCCTCAACCAGGTCTTATGTAACTGACCTATTTCCGGTGGAAGCACAATCGAATCTTAAAGGTCGCGTTTTTGACTGTTCCGGCTGTATATGATCTCTAATATTTAATGTCGTTCTTAGATGGAAAGCAACGCAAGCCAGCTGAGTGGCTTCCACGGAATTATAACTGACTTTCTTCCGGCGGAAACTTACATCACTCTTACTCACTCAAGAAAATCGCGTGACGAGTGATGCCTTAATTTTGTACTTAGTAATGTACTTCCGCACAGAGTACGGAATTGACTTCAGGTTACGAAAGCGCGCAAACTCTGCGAAGCTAAAATAAATGTATAAAAACCATCTATTTGACAAGAAAGAGCTCCAAATTAGTTCAAAAAGCAACCTTGCCTCAAGCGATTTGATTGACACGGATTTATTTTAGTAAACCATTTGCTTCTCTGGCCTAACCCCGGGACAACCTGTTGCAATATGCGAGCTCGCTAAGTTGCTTCCCTAAAAACAATGCTAAATCAAGTTACTCTACTTACGTAGTCTCACGTCTTTGAAATGTTTTAAAATACGCAAAAGGAGGGCTGTCGAAAGTAGACCGGGTTGTATTGTTGATCAATTAGTGAACTAACGAAGCGTTAATGGGCTTAACATTTGTGTCTTTGTGGTCAGATAAGCGTCTAAGTTACGTGCAAAATCGAACACAAAGAAATAAGCTGTTGTATACTTCTACTGTATTTTGACGTGCTCACGACCTTGATTTGCAGAAAATCGCCAAGAACGAAAATGATATTGTTGTTTTCCTCACCCATTTGAATGAAAACCGAACTCTCTAGCGTGTCAGACAGGCTATGATTTTTTTTTCTTCAGTCACTGCTACTAATTAACTGGCTTTGTGATTGTCTGATTTAACTAATATAATTCAAAAAAATGTTTTTCCAAAATCACTTAATGACCGAGACAAACATGACCCCATGAAGTTTAGGTTTTTCAAAAAATTAATGCGAGGTCGTTGAGATTAAAAACGCGGAAAGAACCTATCCACTTCATTAATTTTAGTTGCATATATTCAAATACAAAACTTTATTTTACACTGTCTCTTTTATATTTCGATGAGTAGGGTTTTAGTTGCTTTATGTGCTGGTTAAAGGCGGAATTTTAGCGCGTAAATTGCATCAACCTGTGAATCAGCGCGGAAAGCCGGTCTAATAACACGGCTTAAAATTATTGTTACTCTAAGGAAATTATGAAAAGATAACAACCAACAAATCGATTTATATTGCAAGTAAGAATTGATAACATTATCAGAACCCAAAAGTCACTTATCTCGTCGATTAAATGCGCTTTTCCTCGTTCATCTGCGCTCTAGCGTCAACACAAGAATAACAACTACATAAATAATTCCATTGCGCAAAATAATGATTAAAATTCACCCACCAGTTACAAGCTGTTTCGTAAGTGAAGGATCGGTGGTCATATATTCCAAACCCGTCACATTATTCAAGACTGCCTTGATGCACCGGACACATTCGAGCTGCAGAAACGCGTCCGAAAACTTTGCTAGACCTCGCTCGCAAAGTTTTTCTAGAACGCTAAACAGCGTAGTCAGTCCCCCTTGCTCCAAAAAGTCCGTCATCCACTTCTTGGAACTCTTTTCAAGCTTTTGAATCAAACTTGCGTATGTCTTGAGGGTAGGAATTCGCAGAAATTTTATAAAGAGTTCGGGTTCTACCTCGTTCAATTTTTGAAGATCGATGTTGAGTTCTTCGCCGCGGCCATCGGCGTTATCTTTGATTTCCACTCCACCGGCTTTGGCAAGTCTTTTCCAATTCTTCGACATGACGATCGATGATTTAGAAAGTAACAGCAAGTGTGTGTATTTTCTAAATCAGTACAATCCAAATAAACGGTTGGTGTATTGCCAAAATTTTTTGCTATTCTTGTACTTCGCGTGTTATCCGCGCGGGTTATACATTGATGACCACTTGGACTTATCATTGCTCGCTAATAACCTATTTTAAATTTATTCTATGCATGTTTACCTTGTTACGCCCCTTCAATTCTTAATTGCTATTATTTCCTTTAGAACTAAGAAAGGAACTACCATATACCACAGAGGCAGTGACCTCTCTTGCGTAAACACCGAAGTGTTCGACGTCATCAGAATATTTCAAAGCACTCGATAATGTTACATTTGTCAGCTTTTAAATCTTTAAATCTTGACGAGTGTTTTCCACGCAAAACTCAGGGCGAGGCGACCTCAAATTAAATCAATTGGAATGAGCTCTGTTCTGATTAGATAAACCACGAAAACACTGTTTAACTATTACGGAAAAATGGCTAACTTCAGAAACTGTAATATATTCAGCGAAGCAGTATGTTAGCTCGGATGATACGTGCGCAAACATGGCCTTGTTTATGAGATCTCACTTTGAAGTGTCCTTTGGATTTCAAGTATGTCATCTGCAATCCTGTCAGTCATAAAACACTTCCGCGGACGATCATTATCATTTTCCTACCTGACTTGGTCTGTTTGTCGATTTGGACCCCCAGTACTTTTAAACAAGCGAACAAATCGATTTCCGTTGTTTTCAAATCTTTAGTTTTATCAAAACAAAATGTCGCCTAAAGAAAAAAATCCCTTCAAAGTTAGTACAGAATTCATGGAAACCCTGATCTGCAGGCTCAAGTTCAGGACCACTATTTTGACTTCTTGCGGTAAGTTATTTTCTTTCTTATATTTCTTTTTGCGGAAATTCTCCACTGAGGACGTGAGGAATTTAGTTTATCATCAGATCCTCTACAAAAGGGCAGTCAAGCTGTGGGCTGATTGGCAGATTGATTTCTGATAGTGAGAAAACAGTCGAGAAGCAGAACTTTCCCATTGGGATTCTTTGGAAGGAAGTTGAAATTCCGTGCTGCAGAGGCTTCCAATTAAGCCATACATGTAACAATCCATTTCGACCATATCAGAAACTGTGTGTATAAACAAAAGTTCTAATGATGCAAAAGAGTGGGGGAAAGGGTTCGATTACGGTTCAATTTCATGAGTGTAGCCGATTGTGAGTAACGCGTTTGCATGAAGGTTAGAAAAAGGCGATAAAAATCTGCTATGAGAAGTGATCTGCCTTATAGTCTGGTGTACTGCCAGTCCTGAAGATGCAATCGTAAACACCCTCAAATGTTAATTTATGGAATTTTAACTTAAATGTGCACAATGTACTTTTCTGTATTGCGTTATGCTTACGAGGGAATTAGCAACGCATCTGTGGAGGGTAAATCAATCTATTCTTCAAGTTTTATCATTATATGAAATCGTTCAAAATGTTAATAGTTGAAAATTTTGCAGTATAATCAGCTGATATGGCTGTACATGAACCGTTCATAAGCTTAAAGTTGTTTTCTGAAAATGCTTATGCCAAGCTTGGCTTGTAGGAACAATCCTCTACTTTATCATGATTATCTTCTGATTTTTAAAAGTGTTAATGAAAACAACAAGATCACTTTCTGCAAATCGCAACCATAAGAGAGACGATTATTCTGCAGAGAAAATTCACTTATTTTGTAGCTATCTGGACGAGTGTTTAACGCAAGGATGGGTTAGGACAAAGGTCAAAACTGAAACATGTACGAAATATCTCTGTCAGCGATCATCTGACACATTTCCAACTTACCCAGAAGCAATGAAACTGAACTACTAAACTTCTACTTCCCATGAGTGACCAAGACAGATATTCCCCTTGCAATATCAATACAATATCAGAAAGACGAGTGATGAGAATAAAGAAAAACATAAATTAGGAGATTATTAGTTGATCCAATACCAAATTTTCTATACTAACATAATAAGAATTATATGGGAGACAGTGGGGAGAATTACTAATGAGATCTTGGGAGTGAAAGGGTTGAGATAGCGATAATTTCAGTCTGACGGAAGTATCTTTTTCACAAAGAAATCCCATCACCTAAATGAAAATAAATTTTCAACTTTTGAGATGACGAAAATAACAGGAAAATATTGGAGCAAGTGGTAGTTTATACAAAGAATGCAAAGTTACGAATTGCTTCATCGCGCCCAAAATTTGCTGAAGTCTTCGCAATCTATCGATGTATTTCAATCCAAGTGCTCGCTTTTTTTCTGAACTTTAAGTGCACCTAACTGTGATTAATTGGCAAAAAAATAAATGTATTTACTCACCATTTAGAAGTTGTTTTGCTAACGAGGTATCCGAAGTCATAAATTCCAGTCCTGTTATATTATTCAACACAGCTTTGATGCACCTCACACATTCAAGTTGCAAGAAAGCATCGCTGAACTTTGTCATTTCTCGCTCGCCTAATTTTTCTAGAACTTCAAACAGCGATGTCAATCCTCCAAGGGCTAAAAATTCCGTCAGCCATTTTTTCGAGCAGTTTTCAAGTTTTCGCACCAAACTTGTGTACGTTTTGAGCGAGGGAATTCGAATAAATTTGATGAATAACTCTGGTTCAATTTCGTTCAAACTGTGTTCATCCAGCGCGCCATCTATCTGATTATTGCTGCTGATTTCAATTCCACTGGCCCTTTTCAACTTTCTCCAGCGATTCACCGACGAGGCCATCTTTTGAAACGACTTGTTTACAGAATAGAGCTAGTTTCTAATGTCAGCTTTGGACTATGAGACCACTGCTATGTTGGCGCTTTTTTTTTTTTTTCTCTTTTACAACACGCCCTGACCGCACTTCCGGTTTTTTACAAAGGTTGTTACTAGTATGGGTCGTTACGAACTGATTCGCTCAACATTTAATAGGTTACTTCAAATTAGAAAAAAATTTTGGTTGATATTAGTTGGAGAGAATTAATAAAACCCAGACAATCATGAGGGTTGGCGTCGAAGTTTCTCACAGAAATCAACAGGAACTGTCCAAAAAAAAATTCAATCGCAAATCTAAGTAAAAAAACTCATGCTGTTCAACGTCTTCAACCTTGAGAGTAAATAACACATACGGATCGAGAAAACAGAATTTTTCAGAAGCACCTTCATGGGAAAAAATAAACCTTCAATGTTCACCTTTTAGCTCTTTTATCGTTTGATATTTCATGTCCCCACCTCATTTTTTTAAAATTTTTGTAGTGAATTTTCTCCCTTTTTTAAAATTTTTTTGCAGTTAATTTCCTATTATTGAACAGAGTTATTACTTTATCCATCACGTACACTTGGCCCATGTCATGTGCTCGTGATATTTCTTCTTTCAGGATGCTTCAAGTTCCGCAAACGAGACTCCCTCGTGATCGCAGCACGCATAACGTTTCGGTCAACTTCCTCTAAAGTAGCCAAGCCTCCCACTCATCTTAAAGGCCTGGCTGCTCAGCAAGTATTGCGACATCCTTTTGAAATTACCCACGCAATTCTCGCGGAAGGCTCGCATGATCGCACACATGGCCAAAGATGGCCGTCTTTCACGACGAAGTTGAGATCGAAGACTTTGAGTACGACGAGGAATCTGAGACTTACTTCTACCCATGCCCCTGTGGAGATCAGTTTGAAATCACTAAGGTTTGTAGATCAGCTTTGACAACGAATCGCCATTAGACTTAGAAAGTTTCTGCGTTAAAAACTTCGTTAAGGTCTTAAAATTAAAATTGTTTATCTATAGAAATTCTTAAAGCAGACTACTGAAATGTTCGTACGGCTCGGGTGGTTACGTGTGACCTAAACACCAAAATGCTCAAATTTTTCAAGTGGTTGAAAATCTGTGTGATGGTGTGTGAACTTTGCTTAGATTTGAAACCAGTTTATGACAATATTGTTCCAACGTCCAAAGTGACCCTATCGTGAGACAAACGAATAAAGTTCATCTCCTATCTTACACCACAATGAACAATAAACACATATTTTATTACAATATTGTTCCTCCCTACGAAAACTTCCGTTTTCCTACGCCATCAAAAAAAAAACATACTTGAAAATTTCAGTATCGTGTTCCTGTTTGTGCCTCATTATGACTGAAAGAGGACCCATATCGGCATTCCTTACCTGATGGACATAATTAAAACTTGATATTGTTATATGTTTTTTTTAGGCTGAGTTGGAAAATGGAGAGGATGTGGCTCGGTGCCCCAGCTGTTCTCTTATTTTGAAAGTCATTTATGACCTGGTGAGTTGTTTTTATGGAGAAGCAGCCTAATATTTTAGAATGATCTTTACCTCTGTTGTGAGGTATAAGCAGTGGCCATGAGATTTGTGTACCGGACTACAGATAGAAAGAGTCAGATGCAGGACATATTGTAGCTTTTGTCACTATTACTGGTGTTTCCATTGGACCAGACACCTTGGAGTTTTTCTTTGTGCAAATGTGTGTCAGTGATGCACTTTTTGGTAGAAGGAAATGAAAAGGAGTTCAAAAGTTAAGAAAGGTGTCCCCCTGTGTGCATCCTTTAGGACATACATGATTTAACAGAGTAATGTACTGCTGAATGTAACTGATTAATTGGTGACAACTGATAACAGTTTGTGCTCCAGTGAACACAATTATGCTGTAAAATCTCAGAATCTAAACTGCAAGTTCCTTGAGGGGAATATATTGGCAAAGGCAGGGTAGTATTTTGTTCTTGTTAGGACACATGTCACTTTGATTTTGTCTCTTTTAAAGTGAGGTCATGAAACACAACTTTGTGGGAAAGTGAGTTTTACCTACAAAGGAGAAAAGCAATCATTTTTGCATAATGAGATTTAGTGATTACCCCTATTTTAAGGTAGAGGCTCTTCACATCTGAGAATTGGCCTATTCAACCATCTTTCATTTTACTTTCTAACTGTAAATGTGTGCATTTCTTTTAGGAAGATTTCATGGTTGCTGAAGAAATTGCAGCACCAGCCCCAGTCATGCAGAGGGCATAGGTAGTAACTAGAGGAACAATAACACAACCAGCAATGTTGTGGTGATACCCAGTACCAACACAAGGAATATCAACCAAAGTTACATCTTGGCTGAAGAGCAACAGTCTTCAACTTGGGGGGATGTGCAGAGAGAGGTCAAGACTGTTCTCAATATGAACTTTAAAGACAAAAAGTTTCTGTTCCCCTATTATTTTTGTCACAGTATTGTTTCCCAGATCATAAGTGGATACCCAACCCCCTAAGCCACACAAAGGGACTATTTCTCAATATTTGGAGTTATACCCTTTTTTAATATCAATTCCAGGATTTAATTTGTGAGCCCCATTCAAAGTCAGCACCCTTCCTTAACCCTTTAACTTCCATAAGTGATAAACATGGAACTTCTCCCAATAATATCCATATATTATCTAGCAAACAGGTTATGAGAATACTCAAACCTATCAGGTAGAAGTTGTTATTTTGATCTAACACCAAATTCTCTTAACTAAATTACAAGGAAATGTGTAGAAGCTAGAAGGGTGAATTATGGATCAGATCTCAGAGTTGAAGGGTGAACACTGACAAGTGCAGAATCAGAGATAAAATTGTGAACTGTGAGTCACAGACTCGATTACCACAATTAAAGACAGCACTACAGGGAAATTATTATCAAGCTTTTTTTAATTACAATTAGAGCTGCTCGTTCTTAAGTACAAAATATAATAATTTCAGCTAAACATTCCAAATAAAATGTACATTATAAATACTTGATTGTGCCTGATATCATTGACTATTTATGCTACGAGGTAACATAGATGAATTTAAATCGATGCATATGAGTTTGAATTTGACATATTTTTACAGAGCAAAAGTTTTGGCCTGTTCCAGTTGTTCACTCTGTAAAAGAAAAGTGTGATTGGTATTGTAAATGCAGCCATGGTAGCTGCTGGGGAAAAAAATGAGAGATTTAGGTTGGATAGTTCTGCTGCTACTGTTGTAAGTTTCGATTATTTCTCCTCTTTTTTACTAATTGAACACTTGGAGCTGGCTTCAAGAGTTTAGATTTTTGAGTTTCTTTTTTTATAAAAAAAAATAACTATGTTAGTGTATAGAGTGGTATGTTGCTTGCACCAATCAGATTGCCACATTAGGGTATGTATCTTAAGCTAATCAGATTGTGGCATTAGGATATGTATCGCACCAAGTAGATTGCTGCATTAGGGTATGTATCTTGCACCAATTACATCATTGCGTTTGAATATCTTATGTCGATCACAGTGTTTGAGTGTTGTTTTCATGTAAATGATGTCATGGATCACAGGGCTATGCACAAAGAACAACATTAAACTAGAAATACTGGGCTCATTTGGTAAGTGTGATGGTTTGTGGCCTTTGCAAAAGCCTTGTCAATTAAGGTCAAGATTTATCAGGATATGAAAGGTATGCATTTCAAAGTAAAATTATGTGGAATCATATTTTTGACATAACTAACTGTAGACAAATAATTTTGATTTTCTCTCTGTTGGAGGAACAGCAGTAAGCGTAGTCTCTTTTGCAACTGTTATTTGGTCTTGTCATATGAAAAGCTCTCTCTCAAATGAGAAATAGAGGGCATTGTGTGACAAGACCAAACAACAGCTGTGAAGGAGACAACTGCAAGTGTGGCATGGATTTCATTTTAGCTTGGAAGTATTTAGAAAATAAAGATAATAGATCACATAATATCTGTGTGAGTTCAGATAAATTAGGGTTTTTCTGTCTTTCTGCAATATTTTAGTTTTTTGAAAGCCATGCTCTTTTTCAGTGACAAAAATGAAACCATTAAGTACACAAACTGTCCCATCTCAACCCACCCAGCCAAAAAAACAACTCTTGCCTATGTTTTATATTTGTGAAGCCAAAAAGCAGGGTCCCAATGATCATGGAAGGGGTCAAAATATGGTGAGAACAAAAAAGTGGCACACGAGGTGCAGAAGCGGAGCTTGTCACTGATGTTCCTTCCATCATTTGACGTTTACTGTGTTCTTCTACTGAACAGATCCACAAATACATAGGATCTATTTGTTTATTTATAACAATGAAAAATTTTGTTAATAATGTCATCTTCTATGCATCTGTAATCTGAAATATTGAAGTAAGAGGCAGTCAAAAAGCATGTATCATTTAGCTTCTTGCATCAACAGTGTTGAACAGCGTGTAAAATTCATTACCAATCCATCAAACACACCACTGATTGGGTTCTCAGCCCTACCGGCACCAAAATGTAACTGGTACTGCAGATTTATTTGGAAGCTGATGTGTATGATTTCACTGTGACAGTTCTGATCTGACTTATTCTTGCTTTTGTTTGGCTCTTTTCCTTCCATTGCCTGTGAATGACAGGTGGCCACAAAGTTAACATTCTTGACCACTACAGCATCAGTCTGGCATTTCAATGGATACAACTGGTACTACACATTTAACTGAGTACTCGTGAACCACTGGTTTCCGCTGTGGTTCAATAGAAGTCTCTTCCCTAGGTGCTCTTGAGAAAACACTTTCAGAAAATTTGCAAGAAATGTTCCCATACTCCTGTAGAAAGGGACAAGTCCCAAGGAGAAACTCACAAAAGTCCTTTCGCATTCCAAACCACCCTACAAAAATGAAAAAAAATGATAATTCTTAAACAAACTTCTGACTTATGTGTGAATTTAAAATACATTTCTCTGTGTCATTGTCCCTTGAATCAAAGTAAAATTTTTGTCTCCAACATAGTTGAAAGTCTCAAGAAAAGAGAGATGATTACCTTCTTGACTATCTTTACTTATCTGACTGACAGGTATTTAAACTAATTTATTTCACCCTTGAGCTCCCATGAAAGACCAAGACAGAATCTCTCCTCACAATATCAAAACAATATCAAGCAGAAAAGTGATGGGAATAAAGAAAAATATAAAATAGGGGATTATTAGTTGATCCACCACCAAATTCTCCTAACTAAAAGCATAAGAATGTATGGTAGAAAGAAAGGAGAATTATTATGAGATCTTGGGAGTGAAAGGGTTATCAAATGCCAAACCTGGGAGCAAAAGAGTCAAAGGAAAACCACAATGATGAGACCCCAAAACCACACACTCAGAGATTTCCCCTGAGTCTTTTGATTAGTTGAACCAACTTACAGTGGTTGCCTCCTTTGTGATAAAAGGAAGTGGCAAGTAGACTCAGAAGAGAGATTTGAAGGGGAGCAATGACTCCAACAAACATGTCTTGTGTAATGCCATCAAGTCTGTTACAGAGGATGATCTGAAGCAAAATTACAAAATCCACATCTAACTCTCTTTACAAACAATATTTTCATAAAACCATTTTCTGAGATTCTCAACTGCATTAAAAATTGGATTTCTTGAGAGAAATAAAGAGAAAATGGAAACTATTTACAGAGACATGTAAAAGTTTGTTTCCCTTTGGAAACGGAAGAACCTGTATGTGACAAGTTTAGAAATGGCCTTTTTTTGGTCTCCATAATGAATGGTCTAATTCTAACATACCAGCTGCCACTCGCATCCCCTTAACCCTCTTACCCCAAAGAGTGACTAACATCTAATTTCTCTTCACAATATCACCCCTGAATCATGCAGTAAAGTTATGAGAATAAAGGAAAATTATCAGCAGCAGAAGAAGTTGTTGATTGTCACACAAATTCTCCTTGTCAGCACCTTAGGGAATGTATGGGGAACAGTATGGAGGAAACCTTTACTGATAACAGTGTATAAAGGGTTAAGGCAAATCCTCCTTACTCATGTTATGAGTTGGGTGGCTACCCTGTAAAACAACATACCTGAAATGTTAGAAGTGGAATGACAAGGAGAACAGAAGCTACAGCCACCATGACGTGGCCTCGACGCTGTGCTGGAAGAACTTCTGCTGTCCTGACAAATATTATAGACCATATAACATAATACAACACTAGAAGACAAAGTAAGGACAGTACTATCCACATAGGAACAAACACAACCTGCAAAATAAATCAAAACACGAATCCTCTTAGCATACTTAATGTCACTCTTGGCAATTCCTTAACCCTTTCAACCTTAAAGAGTGACCAGCTTCTAATTTCTCCTTACAATTTCACTCCTGAATCACACATTAAGATATAAGAATAAAGGAAATGATCACAAACAAGAAAATCTCTTGATTGCAAAACAAATTCTTTATACCAGGTTATGTTTAGAAAATTTGAGAATCTTTGGTTTCTTTTCTTGTTAATGATGTGTTGCTAGAAGTTAAGAAAATTGCAAAAGTTGGTTCACAGCAGAAATCTTAGTCCTCTCAAACTGCAAAAAAATTTTTCCCTGAAAATACAAAAGAAAATTGCCAATCTGTTGATGAAAACTCTGACTCTTGAAATTTCCATACCACTTAGAAGTCAATTCACACTCACCACCCAAGACCATAGGATAACTCTGTCCAGGCGTAGGGAAAGGAAGATAAACTGCAGAACATTTACTGAGAACACTGTTTCAAGCTGCATAAAAGAAGGGAAAAGAAAATCATTCAGTTCAAGCCACACCAGAACCAACAGAACCAAAAACAACAGATTATCAGTCCTAGTAAGTTAAAAAAAAAAAATCAAGGTGCTGTGTCAGTGTGGGTATCCCAAGATAACTTGGTTAATTATCAACAGAGTTGATGATGTTAACCCTTTAACTCCCACAAGTGACCAAGGCAGAATTTCTCCTTACAATATAAATACAATGGTAAGCAGACAAGTGATGAGAATAAAGAAGGAAACCTTAATTTGGGGATTATTAGTTGATCCAATACCAAATTCTTTAAACTAATATCACAAGAACTATATTGCAGACAGTAAGGAGAATTACTCATGAGATCTTGGGAGTTAAAGGGTTCATTGCCCACTGTAAAGAGTTTCTAAAGCTGACATTTTGAACTTTAGACCTTACCTTTGAGAACAGATAAAGTTTGATAAAAAGCTGTCACCAATATGAGAAGGTGAAATTTAGAACATTGGCCTTTCCCTGGAACAAATTGCTCTGATGAAAGTTGATGCTCAAAATGTCACCTTTTACAACAGGTATTAACCCCCCAATAAATCTTTATTGCTTTCAAAAAGAAAGAAGCTGTTTGCGAGTAACTCATCTCATCTGTGATTGATTAGTATTGAGGTATTAAAACCACACACAAAGTGTCTCTTGACCATTAATGGACACCACTCTTGATAATTGGCTTATCTTATGATTACAAACCTCTACTGATCTGTCATGTCTGAATCCCCAGATACAAGCGATGATTGACAATGATGATAGCACGTACAAAGGCATAAACATGAGTCTCCACGGAAACATTTGACCACCACCAAGATTAATGCATACAAATATCTCAAACATCAGCAAGAGAAGATGCAAAGCAAGACAGATAATCATTGCCTTGAAATCCACATGACTATCTCCTTCACCTCTGCGAAGATGGAAAGGAGATTAATGTTATGATATTCAGCTGAAAGAAATTCTTGTTGGCTTAACACTTCAAACCCTTAGAGTGACCAGCATCTAATTTCTCCTTTCAGTAATTCTGCTAAATCAGTCAGCAAGATCACGAGAATGAATGAAATGATAGCAAACCTAAGAAGCGTTGATTTTTAACTCTTTTAAGTCCCATGAGTAACCAAAACTTATTTAAATTTATTACCTGTACTCCGGGTGTCGAATCCAAATGTAAATTCCAGTGAAAGCACCTGATAAAACCATGATTTTCCAAATCCAAACAGGAGTGAAAACCGCCCAGTAACTCCACGTGATAGTTCCATCCAAACGCAACGCGAGCAAGATCGAAAAGATGAAGAGTGTAAAGAACAGTAGAAATTTACTGGAAGAAAATAATGAGAGGAAAATTGATCACGAATGTTTGATATCCAACAAACATTTCTCTTACACATGAAGGGCTTTTTATTCATAATTACCTTGGATTAAAATCTTGGAAAAGACGACGAAGATTCATGTCCTAACTCAAACTATTCGTAAAGATTACGATGAATGGACATGCAAAGGCACGCGATCAATGAACCGTGTTCAAAAAAATACGAAATTATTTTATTAAAAACATGGCGAGGATGCTTAGCCGTTCCTCTTTCCCAAGAGGTCTTGAGGTCTTGGTAACTAGCACCCAGCTTTCTAAGCAGAGCAATGAGAACGGACACAAGGAAATAAGGGCGGCTACGAACACGAGGACGTGAGAGAACAAAAGATCTGGTGAGCTGGACAAAAGCTAAGCACGAGTTTGTGCATTTGTTAGCCGTGCTCTGCAAAACAACAAGGTGAAATCGCAAAATTTGCGTGGTCTGCGATGAGAAACCCCGACGGTAAACTCTTTAATTTTCCATTTGGAACTCCCTTAGGTTATGCTAAAGTTGAGGTGCGGCATTGTTAGAGACGATAAACACTTCACTGAAGCCATTTGCGAAATTACAACCAAAAGCATAAATTTATTTTTCAATCAAATTCTACTTTGGCGTTGCCGTCCTGACTGCTAAAGTTTCTTTTGATGATGATGACGACGATTTTAGGCTGATCTGGTTCGATTTTAGACGTTTTCGTCCATTTTCGAACGGTTTCGATACACGACGACTTTAGGCTATTGTGACCGATTTGAAATGGTTTCGTCTTTTCAGTTGATTTTTCCTGTCTGATTTCTAGACGATTGGATCTACGAATGCGACCGTTCTTAGACTTTTCCGTCCTTTCTTAAAGACCTTTTAAAGGGCACCGTTTTCAACTGGTTTTCCTGATTTCGGATGGTTTCATCCGCCTTACGTCGATGCGTCTAATTTTGGATCGATCCGTCCGATCACAGACGGTTATGTCCGATATTGGGCGGATCCATCCGATTTTAGACGATTCCGTCTGATTTCGAACATTCCAACCCATTTCAGATGGTAGAGTGTAACTTTGGAGGAATTCGCGCAAAATTGGAAAAAAAAAACCATGCACTTGATAATAATGTAATCTTTTATTCACAACATCCTTTTTACAACGCGAATCAAATCACGAGAATTAACTTTTTAATAACTGAGTTATTTAGTAAAGAAATACACTAGTTGTGTTCTATGAAAATTCTGCGGGTTTCAATTTTTGCGGATAGTCCGCGCAGAAAGAAACCTTCGCAAATTTTTCAGTTTACACAATACACAGTACTGCAAGAGAACTCCTTTCTCTCTTGTATCTTTTGTCCACTGTTTTAAGTCTCTCTTTATCAGGTATAACTATGTTAGAAAGAGGGCAAACCAATGGCAAACTCCTTATTTCAAAGTTATACAACCTAGCCAATCTTTTCCAGCTATTGATAACAGTGACTGCTTTTTCCCAACAAAAATTGTGGACGGGGTATATTTGTCTGCTACATTGTTTGATTTTTATCCTGCTAAAATGTACGAAACATGAAAAGATCAAGTGAATGCCGCACGCCTCCTCTTAGGTTTGTTGGCAGAAAGAATGCTGCAATTGTGCGTAAGTACATCAGAGTATGCCTTATGAAAAAAGTTAAATTCATGACAACACTTTTTTACCCCGCCAAAGTTAATTTATACACAAATAGACGCCAGTAGTAATACCCGGTTTAAATTTGTAGCAAAACTATCAATAAATCGCTTCTGCTCATGACATGCCAGCCTTCTGAATCATTCATTCCTTGTTGCTTCAAGTTGGGGCCAGAAACACCAAGAAGTGGATGTGTATATGGGCCTATGATAAACCCTATTAAACAATAAATTATAACCTCCCCAACGATGGCGCTCCAGTCTTATGGTTGCAATTCACCATCCTTTCTTCCAACTACTGATGCAGAACAACAAATTTGATCATGGTCCAGTGGGTGGGTTTTTTTGCTGCTAAAAAACTGTCAGAAGTGCAAACACACCGTACAGCAGAGCACAAGGATAAGCAACAAGTAGTTGCTGAGCATCCATGGCAAGCACTGTCACAAACAGCTTTGATGCTGACAAACTGCACCAACCTATCGTCGTTGCTGTCAAGAGAGTGCCAAGGATTCCCCTAGGAAAGGACAATTCAAAGGTATTAGACAATTATTGTTTAAATAATTATACAATTAGGGCTAAGTTGATGCCAATCTTTGCTGGAGTATGCACTGCAGAGAAGGAGGGCAGGGGGGCTGTACCCTCAAATAAATAATTTTTTAGGATCATGCTTGATGAACAAACAGATGCTTTCTCATTCTCCTTAAAAATTGACAATTAACACACTTGAAACTGTTAAGATTATTGAGAAGCTGTCCTAGGCAGACTATCTTTACAAATACCATTTTGGGAAATTTAAGTAAGGGGTATGTGTGCTTGGTTTGGCATATAATGAGCCCCTCCCCCACTACCCAATTAGCCTCCCTCCCTTCCCAACACATTCCAGGACCTGTTTAAGGTTTTAGTAAATGCCACTGTGATATAATGGGTGTAAGTCTGTGAAAGGTCTCAGGTTTTAGCTTTGATTTGTAATTGTGCTCTAACAGCTGTGGCAAACATAATGTACATTTTGTTCACACTGGTCCAGCAAAAAGAAAAAAAGAAACATTTATCATATGTAAAACCAAAAGCAAAACAGATAATTTTTAACAGCTCAGCTCTATCTACATCAATTAACACAACATTAAATTAAAAAGTCATGCTACCAGTAGGGCAATTATAATATTGTGTATTGTTTTGAAAGAAACTATTATTACCACAATTATTAACTAGTGTACGGTATCTTAAAGAAAAGTATAGCATTCAAGAAGCACTTACTGTAATGAAAGAAGAATTGAGATACAGGACAAAATGACCATAGGTAGAAGACAATATCCAAGAACACTAATAACACAGCCAAAATCAACTCCAGTCATGCTCATCAGATTCAGAATGGCATACATAGCAAGGCAGCCAAGCAGACCAACTCCATATATGTAGCCAAACCCATGTACTTTGCCAGACTGAAAGAGATGCAAGAGATTAATTTTTACCTGAAAGATTCTCTTAATATATGTTTGGAAACATAATATTCAGTCTAGAATAATTTTCAATTATGTGTCACTGGTGTCCATGTGTCAAGAAAATCCAAGATGATCAAGGCTCTCACTGTTTCCTGACAGCTCAGGGTTTTCACACTAAGGAAAACCTGACATTGTAGACATCAGTCCAATTGTCTGGGATGGTCAGCTACAAATCAAGAAAATTAGAAGCGATTCTAATTCCCCCGCTCCTCCCAGATTTCTGTGATGATTGGCATCTATTGAAGATAATTGAAAACTTGTATTTTTACTATTGGGGACATCAAAAATAGTTTAGGCTCCCTATCAATCATCTTACTGGTTCCAGTATCCCCAGTCACAAATTAAATGGTGTCTGTAATCCATCAAAACAAATATCTGGTGATCTCCATATATATCAGCAAAATCTGGGATGGTCAAGGAACAGTAAAATCTCTGATAGTCTGAGTTTTTTCTCAGACATTCATTTTCAAATGAGAGTCAAAAGTAACTCAGAACTGCACTGGTTTTACTTCCTTACCTTCCTTGATCAGTGCAAAAATCTTGCTTCATTCTCTCAACCAATCTGATGCATGCATGAAACGAGTTTGAAAGGCAGCAAATCAAAATCAGTGCAGTCCTGGATTACCTTCTACACTTAACCCTTTACACCCTAACATCAGTATCCATATTCTCCTTACTGTTCTTTATACACTTCCTAAGGTGCTGACAAGGAGAATTTGTTTACTGATCAAAAGCTTCTTTCGTTGGTGATCATTTCCTTTATTCTCCCTTGACCTTAATGTGTGACTCAGGGGTATTGTTGTAGGGAGAAAATAGAAACTAGTCATTCTTAGGGTTTAAAGAGTTAACAGAAAATTGTTCTGCTCTGTTATGCATTAGATCATAAGCAACTATTTTTCCTTACCAATAGAAGACATCCACCAAATGCCAAGCAAAACACCAGTGGACCTGCAAGATCTGTATCATCCATGATGTTGGCTTCTGTGTGTTGCAATGGGTTTAAAACAGATAGGGTCTGTAAAATTGAAAATGAGGGCAAAGTGAGATTTAATGGCTATTAAAAATTCAATTACTCAAAAAGAACTATTAATAACCTTGGCACAAATTTTCATAATCTCACATGACTAGTAAAAGAATAATTACATATTTTTTTTCTAAATTTACATGCAATTTTTTTTTTAGAAAGTTTGATTTTTATTCTGCTTTGTCCTGTATTCAATGCCTTAATAGGAGATAATAAAAGTCAAATAAATATAACACTGAGAAAGATGGCCATCTTTGGTCTCATCAGGAGTGGGACAAAGGAAAAAGTTTTGATTCCCAGGCCTCCAGATTCTGTGCTCTGATGTTCTATCAACGAGTCAAAGAGACTGTGGGGTGAACTATGCCATAACAAAACTTTTGTGGTAAACTTGAAACTGAGATGTTCAGTTACCTTATAAACAAGAACTTTAATTTGCAAGTAAAAGAACATCATCTGACACCTCAGCAGCATACTGTACATTATGGATCTCACAAAAAATAACTGCCATTTGATTTATTGAAAGCATTATTATGGCGATATCCTCATTTTTGCACCTGCTCCGAAAGGAATTAAATTTAGACCCAAATTTGTTAGACCCATGCATTATGTACAAGAACAGGACAGGTACATGTACACACATGACAAAGCAATACCTTGACAACATACAATCTGCATTATTGTAAGGTACCAGCCTTAAGTCATTGTTGTTTTATAAAAATAAAACACAGCAGTTTATCTTCACTGACAATAAGCAAAAAACTAACCTTTAGCCAGATATGTTCAAAATTGATTCCGAGTTCTGTTGAAAGAAAGGGGCTTTTATTAAGATTCAAAACATGTAAAGTGCTTCCAGTCAGATTTATTTGTCGGATGTTTGCGTGTTCCTGTTTTAAATAATTGTTTCTTTGATTTCGTTTTCTTAAAAGATGTGGCTTGCGTTACTGATTCAGACAACACGAGAGCTCATTAAAAATACTTGTACTTCAAAAGACAATCTGTCACGTTCTGCAGCCAAACTAAAAACCTTGGCCAGAAACCAAAAATAGATGAACTGAATGCCGTTTAAAACAGAACGTATCGTCCAAAATTCAGCAAAAATACCGAGAGCAGTACTCTTATTTCAACTTTTTCCCTAGTAACGAAATGAATTTTAAAGATGCTGAATTACATCGTCACATGTGCCACGTATTTGTACCTTCCAGAAGTGGAGGTTCGTCTTCAAAACTCGTGTAGTCTTCGCTTGTCTGTCGCGGTTTCATCGATCCTTCCATTCCGTAGCCTCCCCTTCCACTTGAACTCATAGTCGTGGGTCCCGAAGCTCCGTAATCGTAAGAATAGTTCCCTCCATAGTCATACGACGACGAGTCGTAAAACCCTTGGGTATGCGATGCAGAAGGATAGGAATTGAAGGTCGGTACCTGTTGGGCTGTTTGTCCATAATCTGGATACTGTTGACCGTAGCTGTATCCACCATAGGGCTGCTCTTTCTGGTCAACATAGCTGTAGCTACTCTCGTAAAAATCCTGATCAATAGCAACGCTACTATCCGTGTTGAAATTCGACATTTTTACGCGATAGGACGTTGTTGTTGTCTGGAGCTTAGGAACCACGTTTCGCTTTCGTCGGAGAAAGGCCTGGTTACATGCCTGGAGAAACAAGTACAAGTTTCGGTACTTGCCACCTTGTAGTTGATTTTATCTCTCTTGCCGATTTTCACATCTGAGATGAGTAGTTAACAGACAGAACATGAATCGAAATCATCAATCTTCTGATTTATCTGCGAGTTCGTTGGACACCGACAGACTTGAAAACGTTTTGGGAAGTTTCGACGATGAAGAGTCTCCCATCGTCGAAGGTAGCAACTTGCGCTTTTCTCGAAACGCTCAGAACGATTGTTTCCTCGAAGAACCCGAGGCGGCTGCTCTGGCGCAGTACGACGATTTTAATACCATTGATTGGGTGCGTGATCGACAGAGGGAACGGAAACGATTTCGCGAAATGCGAAGGATGAAAAGAGGAAGTTTGTGGGAGCGAATCGTACAAGTGAATGACGCATGGGCTGGCTGGCTCGTAGTTTTTCTTGTCGGTTTATCAGCTGGTATGTGTGCAGGAATCATAGACATTGGGGCTACCTGGATGACAGATTTAAAGCTTGGGTTTTGCCCCGATAATCTCTGGTTCAATCAAGAGTCTTGTTGTTGGTCAGACAGCACTAGTTTTGAAGGAACGGGATGTAGTCAATGGAAGTCGTGGTCGAACTTGCTAACCGACTCTGAGAGTGGACCCTCAGCTTATATTGTGAACTATATTTTCTATATCGTTATGTCTCTATTATTTGGTCTTCTCGCTGTTACTCTAGTTCGTTGGTTTGCGCCGTATGCTTGTGGAAGTGGAATCCCCGAGGTAAAGTGTTAAGAAATTTTTTTGCACAAAATAATCAAAATAATAGTGATTGTTATTAAAAAAATTACGTCACCAACCAAGAAAAGTAACGTTACTTGCCTATCACGCGGAAATCTCTATTTGGCTCGAGACACGTAACATTTGGAAGATTTTGTTTTCCTCTCCTCTGAAATGAAATTGACTTCCAATACCTAGCATGACGACCCCATAACCAAATTGGAAGGTTTATGCTGTGTGTTACCCCAGGAACACAAGTGTACTTGGGGGGTATATAAATACCTATGAACATAATGCATCAAGGGTGGTGGGAACAAAATTACCTTTTTGGGGGGTAGATGATCATGTTGTACCAATTAAATCAATCAGAAATCATTATTGAGTTTGCCTTGCGTCATGTACAGAACAAATATAAAACATATCAAGTAAAAACTAGGGAATGGCTTATACCCCCTTTTTTCAGTTGGGACAAAATTTTTGGGAACAAATTAACTTTTTTTTCAGTAGATTACAATGTAAAAAATTCATTTAAACAGAAAGCAGATTTGAGTTTACTATACACCTTGTACAGAACAAATGCAAGAGACATAAAATAAAAAAGGGTTGGTGTATCTCTCTCTTTTCAAATGATTCATAATTTCTGATGTGATTGCTTTCAGTTCAGATGATCTTGAAAATTATCCCAAAATAGATTTTTCTGTAATATACTTGTACTATCAATTTTAAGTAATAATCAATTTTTATACTGGAACTTGCATGTTGAAACTGATTTTCCATATGTCAGTATCTTAAATATTTTGCAGCCATTTTACTTTTTAAATTTTAGATTTTGTATTGGTAATAACATGATTTTGAGTGTAATTTGGCAGAAATAAGTACAAGTTAATTTCTCAGAGACAGCAAAATAGCATAAGCCTATAGAGGGAGTGCAATTTGTAGTCTTTGAATAGTTTACAAGTGCTTGTTTACTTCTTAATGCATGATAAATAATGTTATTAATTCTCACTCATGTTACAACTCGGCACTCATGTTCCAACTTTGCACTTGTGTTACCTGAAAAATGCTCTTGTTTTCAACCAATGATATGCACATTATTTTTCCAAGTATGTTATTAACTTATGAAGTGCATTTTGAAACAAAAAGTCCAAAATATTTTGGGTTCACAGTTTGTACTGGAGCTAGTATGGACATGGCTTCAGCAAGAAATGTGAAAACCAAACATTATTGACTTCTTGTTTCAAATTATGTTTTATGCAAAGAAAATATATACTTTTCTGGGTGACTTTGCAGGAATTGTTGCATTTGGTAACAATTTGGCCACTATGAATTTCCTGTGAATCACTTAATAGTTACCTTTTCAATAATATTTCTATTTTTGGTTGTAGATCAAGACCATTTTAAGTGGTTTTATTATTCGTGGTTACCTTGGTCGCTGGACACTAATCATCAAGTCACTGTCAATGATGCTTGCCGTGGCAGCAGGATTAAGTTTAGGAAAAGAAGGCCCACTTGTCCACGTGGCAAGTTGTTGTGGGAACTTTTTCTCTTATGTGTTTACCAAATATCACAAGAATGAAGCCAAGAAAAGAGAGGTTTGTCTGCTTCTCCTGCTTTTTTTGTTTTTGTTGTTGTTATTTTTCTTTTGGAGGTAACAAGTAACTAAAAAAGAAAAACAACAACAACAACAACAGCACTAACAGCAACAAAAGATCTCTTGTTGCTCACAAAAAGAGTTATTACTGAGAAAATTATTTTTTATTAACATGCACTTATGAAAAGCACAGTTTGATCATTAGTGAAGCCTAGAGGCTAGAGGAATGGTTAGGAACCGCGTGGAACCTTGAGGTTTTTGAGCTAGTGCAAAATGAATTAAGAGGTTACATGTATGATCATTGTAGTGTGAGGTAAAGAAAACTCTGAGTTACCCCTGTGGATTAAATCAGCAGCCAGTCATTATCAAATGGTCAACATTTATACTTTAGTTTAACTGAGCTGCAGAGCATTTTTTTTGCCAAAATTTCTGATTTCAAGGTTCAAGTGTGGCTAGTGTCTTGCAGCTACAGGGAGCAGCAATGTTGAAATGTTTTCATCTGTGGAAATAATTTACATGTAAATAGTGATATTGACAACACTTTCGAATAAGCTCCTTGGTTTTTTTTATTAGCAGATTTATCTGTTTCTTCTCCTTTGCGTCACAAGGATTTCCCCTTGTCTTATCCCTTAGCTGATTCAGGAAACTAAAGCAAACCAATTTTTTCTTGCAAATCATTAATTTTACATTGTCCTTTTTGTAGTTGCTGTCAGCTGCTGCTGCAGCTGGTGTGTCTGTGGCTTTTGGTGCCCCTATTGGTGGTGTCCTGTTCAGTTTGGAAGAGGTAATAATTCAAAAGCTGAATTTCACTATAATTTATAACTAACATTAGGGGGCACATAAAGATAGACAGCTAGAACACCTTAGTTACAACCAGACCTTACGAATGACAAATCCTCTTAACCAGGTATTAGATATTGAAATAGAATCTTTGCTTGAGCATATGTCCCACATCGCCAGAGCTTATCGCAGATACACTTTCTTCTGAAAGGCCAGTTGGAGTATTTCCACTTCTCCTGGATGGGCTGCTTGTCCATTGTAAGTCACACCCTCTCCCTTGGGTCAGTATTTTGCCAGGTTTAACCGAGACCTTCCCACTGCTAATTTTTACTCCTGGGTGGAGAGAGGCACTGGAGATAAATAGTCCTGCCTTCAATCACACTACAATCACCTGGTCATGATTCCAATGGTGACTTCACAACCCAGAGTCCAGCTGGTTAAGCCTGAAGCCACTTTGTGTCCCAATGAAGTTGTTAAAAGTCAGGATGGCTTTTGTAACTTGCAACTCAGAGAACAAATTTCAAGTCAAAAATTCACTTTTATTTCTTGCTTTACTGTAGGTCAGTTATTATTTTCCAATGAAGACATTATGGAGATCTTTCTTCTGTGCCATGATTGCTGCCTTTACACTGAAGTACATGAATCCATTTGGAACTGGTCATTTAGTTATGTTCTATGTGGAATATGACAACCCTTGGAAGTTGTTTGAACTTGTTCCATTCATACTCTTGGGTGCCCTTGGGGTGAGCCTTTAGCCTGTTAAATTTTGTTCAGTTTTTTTGTTATGGTCATGGCCATTCCAGATCAGAGTAAACCCTTTTACTTGGGCATCAAGTGGCAACTAAATAATTAAGTTTCAATCCTTGAGAGCTGGTTTACTTGTAGGATATTGACAAGACTTTAACCCTTTAACTCTCAGAGGTGACCGACTTGTAACTTCTCCCTACAATATACATACAGTATCCAGCAAACAGGTGTTGAAAATACTCAGACTTATCCAGTAGAAGTTTTTATTTTGATCAAACACCAAATTCCTAGAACTAATTTACAAAGAAATTAAATGAGTAGCAGCTAGAGGAAAGAATTAATAATTAAATGAGATCTTTTGAAAACGAGGCACTCACAAATCAATCTGAGGAGTATGTGCCAAGATACTTTGTATTATGTAAGCAACCTTGATTGAAATTTATTATTTATTTACCTTTCATGCTCCAGGGATTGGTAGGTGCTTTCTTTATCAAAGCTAACTTGTGGTATTGTAAAGTCAGAAAAACTTCAAAACTTGGGAAATATCCCATAACAGAAGTGAAGGTGGCAAGTGTTGGATATTTTCTAAGTTTTGCATTAATCTGAGGTTTTGTTTTTATTCTTATTGTGAAAATTGGATTTTAAGTTTTATCAATCTTCAATACCATCACTGTTTTGTATATATTGAAGGTGGTACAATTTGTTAAAAATAGTTTTTCTGAGCTGCATTTGTTTGTCTTGCATTTGTTAACAACAGTCTGATGTGTTTCTTAAAACAAAACTGATTTTAATTCAAAGAGACATGCCATATTTCCAGATAGTTTAGTTTGTAAACTAAATTCCTGCACTTTTGATGAATGGAGGAGGATTCCAAAAAAATGTTGTCAATTGTTGGGTCTGAGAATGGCCTTTATATTTCAAAGGGTTTAAATGTCTCCAGGAGGAGGATTCCAAATTGTATTGTTGTCTAAAATTTGTAATCAAATGAAAGAATGATTGACACCAAGATGAATAGAGAGTTTTGTGCCTAATCTCACAATTGCTTGAGGGGGTAATTATTATAAATAGATTTAGATGTATGCATGACTCAGTTTTGTCATTTTTCTGTTTTCCTTCAGGTTTTACTTGTGACTCTTGTTACTGCAGTGTTAGCTTACCCTAATCCATATTCCAGGTAAAAGGGATTTTTTTTTGGTAGAATTTATTTCAAAGTGCCTAAAATAAATCCCCCAAATCTAAACAATTGGCAATTTTTCAAACTAGATTTTCCCTTGAATCAGATATTTATATTAGGTATCAGTTAGACTGAGTCTGTGGAGGGAGGGAAGGGGATGAATAACCCATGATGGACCAGGATCATGTCCAGGGGGAGCAGACAGAATGCTCCAAGTTGTGTTATGTTAAAGAATTTCAAGTTAAATGAATAAAGGGGGTGAGTTTCTAAAGAGACTGTGGTGCCGTGTCAGTGGGAGAGTGTAACAAGGTAATCGGGTATTATCAACTGAGTTGATAACGTGAATTGGCCACCATTGAGAGTTTCAAAGCTGAAGTTTTGAGTGTTAGCCCTTTGTCAGAGCAAGTGAAAAGACGGTATCCAGTCAACTCGCCGACGGACCAACTCGCCGAGGCCAACTTGCCGACCTATAAAATCAATACAATATCAGTTGGATAATACAACTTAGATTAAAATATAGAAAAATATCAATTTAAAAAAAAAAAAACACTGGTGAACATTTGAACATTGATCCAATGAACATTGGTAAATTCTCTGAACTAACATTAAGACGCAAACAAATTATTATGGACAACAACAGTAAAGACTCATCATGTCAATAATCAGATTTTTTTTAAAGAAAAGTTAAGAGGGTTAAAAATTTGCAACAAAGTTTATAAAGATAAATGAATAAAGGGGTCGCCAATGACTATATTTTGCGAACAAGAAATCTGGTCTTGCTTTATCAGTGGGAGAGTATAACAATGTTTAAGCTTCTGTCTGATGTTCACCAATGTTCACCACTGTTTTTTTTTACTAAATATCAACTTTGAGTTGTTTAATAATAAGTTGAATTGGTCACCATTGAGATTTTCAAAGCTGAGTGTTAGTCCAGTTGGTCCGTCGGCGAGTTGACCGTAATTCAAAAAGACTAGTGAGGATCTTGGTTTTCTCTTCACCATTTACAGTGTGTAAAATTCCCATGATAATGAGTGTAACATCGTTTTGTTTTAACTCTGAGTAAAAAGAATCGATCTTTAGAAGATGATAGGTAACTTGTGAAAATTGCAAACTATTGATCAACATGTTAATATTATTGAAATTTTTTTTTCCTCAGGCAAAGTAGTAGTGTTCTCATCAAACATCTGTTCAGTCAGTGTGGTCCAGATGATTCTTCAGATCTATGGTAAAGCTGAACATATTTTTATGTATTTCAAGCAACAGTATTAGAGCTCATTGTCTACCTTGTTCATTTTAGACATTTTGAATTTTTTGTGCATTCTTCTGCTTTGCTCTTGACTAGAGCTGACTTCTTTGGGGGTCTCTTATACAAGGAATGTAAACTAACAAGGCCACTACAAACAATTAGTAAATTGGTGTAAAATTTCTGTAGTAAGCAAGTTGGGTTTGATTTTTTCCCTCGGATGCTAGGATTTTTCACAAGTCAACCTACATTTGGCAACAAAATTGTTGACACATTGACCTTTTTAATCCCCTACTACTTTGATTTTATCTATTTTGCCATTGTTAAGTTAACCCTTAAACTCCCAAGATCTGATTGTTAATTCTCCCCTGTAGCTGCTACACAATTTCTTGTATATTATTTATGAGAACTTAGTGCTAGATCAATATAGCAGCTTCTACCTGATGAGTTTGAATATTCTCATTACCTGTTTGCTGAAGAATGTATGGATATTGTAGGGAGAAGTTTTATGTTAATCACTTCTGGGATTCTGGACAACATTGATGTATCATGATTCCGTAAACTGTAAGCTACATACAGGCAACATTGAATGGGGAATTGGGGGAGGTTGTCATGATTTAAAGTGTGGTAGAAACAGGAGTGTTATTCTACACCTAAATAGGACTCTTCAATTAATTTTGAAGCTGATTATAGCCCCTCTTAGGAGGCCTAGATGAGAAAGTGAAGGAATCAGCTTAAAACCCTGACTGCCTCGACTTCAAAAACTCCTCAAAACAGAATTTCTAGAAAGACCATTATTATATCCCTAGATTAGATGGAAACAAGGTATCAATTATTTTTTCATGTCCCATCTTGGAAAAGTGGCAATATCTCTACAATGTTTGGCAGTTTGCTGCCCAGTTGAGAACGACTACGAAATAACTTCTGACCTTTTTCACTCTAATTTCTTATGATCAGTGACTACCTTAATGAAAGTGTTAATGTCACATTGAATGTCAATGATCCCAATTTGCCTGGAGCTGCAGCAGGGTCTGGTGTCCATAAAGCCATTTGGCAGCTGATTTTAGCCATGGTTTTCAAGATTATCATCACAATCTTCACATTTGGGATGAAGGTGAGAGGAGATCACCAAGAGGTACACTTTGAATGAACAAACTCTTGAAAAAAGAGAAGTTCCAATTAGATGCTGTGAACTGGAGTTGCATTTCAGTATGTAGGGTTTTGCATCAGCCTACCTTTTTACTGCTTTCTTTTTGTACTCCTAAATTATAAATTTGGTTCGTCCTGGCAATATTTTTGACCAGTTTCTACTCAAGCTAAATCACATTTTTGTGAATTAAATTCATGCAAAAATCCTCATATATATATTGTAGAAAAATGTTCCCAATTCATTGTTTTTTCTCACAAGGGGTCTGTTTTATCTGATGCTCATTCTTCTTATAGAGCTGGTGACAATTAGGAATAAGGGTTTCTAACAGTGCCATGCTTTTCTACCAATTTACCTGTTGTCTGTTTTACTTTTCTTTGGTATGTTTACACTTCATAAGTAAAAACATAAATTGGGATTAATGATTAATATATATAAAAATGAGTAAATGTATTTTTAGGTTCCAGCTGGATTATTTATTCCAAGTATGGCAATTGGAGCTTGTATGGGAAGAGTTCTTGGTATTGGAATGGAGCAACTTGCCTTGTGAGTTAATTTTTGTTAATAGATAACTTTGAATTATTGATTGGCCCAAAAAAGTCACACCTTGTGAAGAGCAACATGAGCTTGTTTCATCCTTAAATAAATCTAGATTAAATTTAGAAATTGCGAGGTCAAGACTTATTTTCTCAACTCTTCTTGACCAAGACAGCATTTCCCCCCTCAAAATCAATACAATCTCAAGCAGACAAGAAAATAAAGAAAAAAAAAGGAAATTAGGCGATTATTAGTTGAGAGTTACTAAATAAAATAATTAGGTCTGGGAGTAAAATGGTTATATCAAGTTTGGAGTATTTTTTATGATGAGAGCCCTTATTTTTTCAAGCAACCTTTAAAGTGAAACTACAGACAGTTTCAAAAGATTGCTGTGCCTTTTTCTTTTTTCTCTCTTTTGCTAATTTCCCTGTTGGTTAAAACAAGTGTCTTTACAGTGAATGCAACCAGAATTCTGACAAAAAATATGTTGGTATCGCAGAGGTCATGGTTTCAAATCCCATACAGGCCTGGATTTTTTTCAGGCTTGTGAATTTTTTTTGAATTATTGTTCAAGTAGTGTTCATTACTGTGAAGGTTGTTGTCATATTCACAGAATTATGACAGTTTTGTAAGTGAACTCTTTTCTCTCTTTTCTAGCCACAATCCACACTGGTACATATTTAAGTCATCTTGTGGTAAATCAATAGCATCTTGTATAACACCTGGATTGTATGCCATGGTGGGAGCTGCGGCAGTTCTGGGTGGGGTCACAAAGATGACAGGTGCGTCAGCATTCACTTGTACATCAAAACCTCTGTTTAGTGTTCAGCATTCAGACAAGAAAACATCTCCATTTAACCCTTTAACTCCTAAGAGAGACTAGTGTCAAATTTCTCCTTACAATGTCTCCCCAAATCACACATGAAGGTCATGAGAATAAAGGAAATGATCACCAACAAAACAAGCTCTTGATTGTTGCACAATTTCTCCCTATCAGCACCTTGGGAAATATATTGAGAACAGCACGGACGATATACATACTGATGATAGGGTGTTAAGGGTTGAAAGAGGTGTCCCTTCAAGGAAAGTAGTGATTCATTGAGCATGTAGGAGAATCAACATGTGCATCTTTTATTCATCTCCTTGCAGTTTCCTTAGTGGTGATTATGTTTGAGCTGACAGGAGGACTTGTGTACATTGTACCACTAATGGTGGCCATTATGACCAGTAAATGGGTTGGTGATGCATTTGTGAAGGAAGGAATGTATCCTCATTTTAACCATGGAAATGATTAATTCTTGATAGAGTCTTCAAAACTGAACAGATCTAGAAATATCGGAATACCACAAAATAATTTTGGACTCATTTTATAGCTTACTGGCTGATGTGACTCTGATTGCGTTTAAAGGGTATAAAATTATACTTGTTTTACACAAATTTCACTGTGTTAAAATTTCCTAATATGATCTAATACCTCACTTATGATCAGAATATTTCAAATCGGGTTCTTTTAATTCTGAAATTAATGCAGTTTAGACAAATTTATTCTTACTAATTGTAATACATAATTAATTTATATGTAATATACATTATTTTTCAACCATTTAATATGTCTTTTTGCCATTTCATCATACATTTGAAACTAGATTAGGAAGTAAAAATAATGTCAAATTAATTCCTAGATTGGTCACAGTACCATTAGTCTTAAGCTTTATGTCTCATAGGCCATTTTACAGTTGTGTACTTAGTTGCCAAGCCTTTGATTTGGAGTGAGGCTGAAGGTGACCTTGTTGTGATAGAGACCAGTATCTAGCTAGCATAATAACAAGGCAATTTACAGTGTGAAAGCAGAAAGGTTTGTATCATAACAAGGCCACCCCTAGCCTCACTTCTGTTAGAAGGCTTGGCAACCAAGCACACAACTATAAAATAGACTATTGTATACACATGTTGACCTTCAGTGACCCTTGACTTGTTCCAAAGTTACGATGGTCATATTCACCTCAATGGTTACCCATTTCTGGACAGTAAAGAAGAATTCACGCATACAACTCTTGCAGCCGATGTTATGAGGCCCAGGTAATTAACACATAGGTCTACAGCATTAGTAGGCTAAATGTAGTACACACAGCTTTACATTCAGTGATGAAGAATTTGGCATTGATAAACTCATTTCAATAGAGTTGATTAATCTGTCCTTTACTAATGGGCTTTAACACATGTTGAGTATTAAACTCTGGTATGCACACCCTGTCATTGTCAATACTTCATGATTGTTTCTGCAGGAAAAATGATCCACCATTGTCATGCATTACACAGGACAGTTTTACTGTTGGTGATATAGGTAATTTAAAATTCTGCATTTCTGTTGTTGAAGTATGCCTTTCTTAATGTACCCTGATAATAAATGACATCTTAACCAACACAGTTAACCCTTTACATCCTAATATTATGCATATTCTCCATACTGTTCTCTATACATTTCCAAGGTTCTAATAAGGAGAATTTGTAAAACAATCAAGAGCTTTGTTAGTTGCTGATCATTTCCTTTATTCTTGTGACTTAAACATTTGATTCAAGGGATAATTGTATAGAGAAATTAGAACCTTGTCGCTCTTAGAGATTAAAGGGTGAAGTTCTGAATAAAAATTCAAGCTGAGATTTGAAGCTTGATACCTGTCAGTATAATTATTGTTAGTGAACACATAGCTTTGCTGTACAATAAAAATGTTGCTTTTTGTTTTCTTTTTCTCCCAAGAACAACTACTTGAAGAAACAGATTTCAAGGGATTTCCTGTTATTGTGGATAGAGAATCACAAAGACTTGCAGGGTTTGTCCTAAGAAGAGATTTGAACATTGCCATCGGTAAGTGTGCATCACAACCTTATTGCAGCTAACCATTTCTGACTTCCAAATAGTTGACATGGCAGAATGCATGACAACAGTGAATACACCTCGTACATACTGCCCAATATCACAGACAAGACACATAAATTGTCTTATTACGCTGTTCAATTACAAGCATGATGTGTATATTACACACTGTCCTGTTAGGGCTTAAAACAGGCTTGTAATAACCAATTATGTTCGAGAATTTTTGGTTTGTCTGGTCATTCTAATTTTCTAAAGATGGGGTTGTAAGTACGTTTTTGCCACACTTTAACAGGTCATGCACGGGCTCGTGACGAAGAGGTGGTATCAGCTTCATCAGTCTACTTCTTACCAAACCCTCCTCGGTACCCCCCTCCTGGCCAGCCTACTGCTTTGAGTCTGCGACATATTGTTGATAAGGTAGGAAAATAAAGATCTTATTATGATATAACACAGTCTTATTGCCTCAATGTGCCTGTCAAAGAAAGGTATCAATTTTTATGTTCTCTTGTTTGGTGCAATTTAGAGCCCGATACAGATAACTGATGCTATGCCCATGGAAACAGTGGTGGAGATGTTTCGTAGACTGGGGCTGAGGCAAACACTTATTACACATAATGGGTAAGTGATGGTAACACAACATAGCAAACCTAGTCTGGCATGTGAATTAACAGGTAGAAGCTACAGACCAATACAAATTATGATGACACAGGGATCCCAGCCTTTTATCTTGAAGTTAAACTACTAGACAAGTTAACTTCTAGCTACAGAGAAAAGTCACATAATATTTGACTACCTAGGGAAATCAGCCTAGCACATGACCTTAGAGTCTTAGTACACTTCTTAATACAAGTTATAATGATGCAAAAACCCCTGTGAGGCTATTTACCAATCATACCAGTAAATTAATTTATTAAATCAATGAGTTTTATTCCTCATCTTTTATTTTTCCAGCCGTTTATTGGGAATCATTACAAAAAAGGATGTTTTACGTCACATTGCCACGCTTGCAAATCAAGATCCAGATTCTATACTCTTTCATTAAGAGGTGTAAAACCACTAAGTTACTGTTAGTATTGGGTTTATATCTGTCGTGGAATGGTATAAAAAATTACTTAGAAGTTAAGGAAAGATGTTGCTTGTTTTATCATGTGCATAGGACAAAAGAATCTCATTTTGTTCAGCTAATCATTCCACAGAACTCGGGATTGAACATATGGATGTAGTAATGGGCCATCTCATAACATAGAGCTTTGCAGCTCAGTGTTAGCAACTAAGCAGGGAATGTGGTGGTCTTGGAATATAATTCCTGCTTTGGACTCAGATTTTTGTTTGTCCCATTCTTGTGACGAGTCAAATAACACCTTTCTTTACTCCACTATTTGAGCTGAAAATAAATCCTCTTTCTTATTCAGTGTAGAGAGAATTAGTTCATCTGCATCTGCATCTACGACTTACAATTCCTTATATTAATATAAAAACTTTCAAGTATTAATTTTTGTTAATAGAAGTCGTACATGCTACCAATACCCCTTGCATATTCATTCGCTCTCCTCAAAGAATCAACTGCGATGTTATGTAGTGTTTGTTAAATAGGCAAATTTGCTTAGTTTATTAAATAACCACAAAACATCCCCTAACTTTACGTAACTTACTGCCAATCATATCTTGTCATTCGTACATCTTTTTTACTTTTGTCCTTGTTTGAGATTAAAAAAAGGAATATGCAATTAGTTTGTTTTCCAGGAAAGCAAGTTTCTTCCTGGTTTCTCTTTTAATCAAAAGAGTACCTCTAAAAATCTATTTGGGTAAAATTGTCTTTAAGAACAAGAAGGGGAAAATTTAAAGCATTGTTTTCATTAATCAAGTAGGATGTATAGAACAATTTTCACTTAAGCATTAAGCTGAGACATCATTCATTTTGCTTTTTCTTGCTCTGACGCTGGGCCAACACTCAAAACACCAGTTTTAGATACTTTTAGCGATGACCAAGTTATATAATCAACTCAGTTGATCAAACCAAATTTCCAGTAGTACACCAGGGTAGCACTTTGGTTTCTCCTGGAACTTACCCCCCTTTTTCAGCCTACCATGGAGCATTATTTGACTGAACCACTTGATGTGACTTTTATTCTTAGAAAGGTTATGCTAAGAAAGACTGTTTTAATCAAAGTTTAGGAAGGTTCATGTAAATTTTCAAAGGTGGTGATCATGTAGGAAAATTTTTTCAACATTTTTAGTCAAGTTGGCTGTGGGCAGAGTCTTCATTGATCTCCTAAACTGAGATGTAAAAAATTGAAGAATGCAAGGGGAAGTCTAAGAACTAGGAGGATTCAAGGAGACTTTGCTTGCCAGGTTGCAAGGATGTGTGTGCATCAGTTTGTTTCCAAAGTGTTGCGAGTTGTACTTAATTCAATTAAAAAACGTTCATTTAACATAGGATAAAATATCAAATTCTAAGAGTTATAGAAGGACTTATTTTAAAAGAAAAAGTTATACTTTGTACCAAACAAGTTATTTCTCTATCTTCAAGATTACCAAGCTGAAGTTGTATTCCAAGGGAAATGAAGTGGAATGTTACTCTTTAGTAATTGGTACAGGACATCATTGTTAACCTTTTAACTCCCAGATCAAATTCATAATTCTCCTTACTGTCATCAGTAACATTCTTATGTTAGTTCAGAGAATCTAGTATTGGATCAACTAATTATCCCAATTAAGTTCCTTTATTCTCATTGCTTATCTGGTTGATATTGTATTGATATTGCGAGGAGAAATTCTCTCTTGGTCACTCATGGGAGTTAAAGGGTTAAAGACTGCAAAATCTAAAATTAATCAACACTTCCAATGAAGTAAATTGTATTTTTTTTCCTGTATGTGAGAACAGTGGTTTGGCAATATTTTTGTAATATTAGGCAAAATTGTAATGAATTGAAATAAATTTAAGCCTAACTGAAATAAAAGTACTTTGTTTTTTACCCTTAAACAATTTAGTCCCCAGACAAGTTGCTTAAATCTAAACTGGTTAGAATCTAGATAAATGACAACAAAAAGGAGTATGTTTCAGAAACTTGTATAAGAAGCAGTGGAAACAGAACCATATATTGATGTGGCTTGTTGCCTCCTATGCATCAACAGAGAAGGGGTCTATGCTCAGGCAGAGCATTTAACTGGCACTCCTAATATAATGGGAAATTTTGGGAAGGGTACCACAAGAAATAAAAAACTCTCTTCTAGAGCAGGCATAAATCTTGAACTTGAAATACAGTTTGTAACAAAATTTCAGAAACAGGAGAATTTATGGGTAATGCTCATTAAGAGAGCTTTGATTGTTACAAGAATGAAAGTGAACACAAAGCAAAGTAAACGACATACGCAACCTCTTAAAATATCACTGTTTATTTTCAATGCACAGTTTATAAAATAACATCCTCATTTTAAACTTGGCCTTGTTTTCACACACTTAGATTGGAATCAAATCATCTGGTACAGATTGAAATACTGTAGGGGATCTCGAGCCCTGCTCCAAGTTTATTTCTTCTTTCAATATTGTGCAGTTAAGTTGGCAAACTGTGTATGTACAAAATTGTTTAGTCAAAAAGATTATTGGTCATTACAACTAGTCAAAAAAGTGGATGTCAAATTATCAGAATTTTCAGTGAATTTACAATTCAAATTTGGACAAGATTTGAAGGAATACACCTTGATTGATTAATCTTTCACAATAAGGAGGGAGAAGACAAATTCACAAGATCAAAATGTAAGACTGTACCAGGTGATTTGACTGTGTTTGACAAGACTACCACCAATCTAACAATCAAGCCAGCTCTAAAACCAAACCAACATGGTAAACCATTTCATTGCAAAATTTTCATCTTAGCAGACTTCAACTTTATTGAAGGGTTTGAGAATCTCAATTTCCTGCAGTGTTCTACTCATACCATGAAGCCTCTCTTGCTTTCACAAGGAAAGTTTCAACCTGAGGAGAGAAATCCAAATCATACAAAATGTTACTGGTCTTGTCATCATTGCACCTACCAGGAGATTTCATCTAAGTGGTAAAATTTACAAAAAGGACAATCTGCTTTTTGAGGCTTTTTGGGAAGTTACAAATATTTTATACTTAATTTTATGGAGCCAAACACGAGCCATTGTCACCAATCAAAGTCCTTTTTGCAACAATCCTTAATCTGGATAATCATGAAACAGAATCAATCTCGAGCACACTTCCAGAGTTGTCATTAGAGGCTGGTGCATTATGGAAACCCAGACAGACCATTTTATGCTGGCTACTTTGTGAATTGTGATCAAATACAACCAACTGATTCTAAAATCATTTTCTGGTTAAAAAAAAGTGACTCAAAATATGTCCCACAATGCTGGACATCATTTTTCAGAGAGTTTTAAATTTCAACAAGAGAGCTTGCCTCTGGACCCCCCCCAAAAGGGAGTATTGCTTTGCAATTCAGTATGCTTCTTATTAAAAAAAAAAAAAAAAGAGAAACCTTCTCTCTGAGCTCCTCAGGAGGTTCAACATTCATCTCTTCCATTAGTCTCCAAAATGTTGTCACACCATCTCTGTCATTGTACTTGATAAGCAGATCAATTGACTCCTCGAAAATATCTAGATCAAACTTTGCATCTGGCTTGTCAAAGTATCTATCCATTAACTATATATAATGCAAAAAAAATTTATCGTAAATCATACATAACACAATGGTGAGTAGAAGTTAATTTAAAACAGTGAAATAACTGTGAACTCACAAATCAATAAAGCTAAGCTTTTTTCCCTGACATTGACAAAGCAGATTATCAAAGCAAAGTAGAACTACCTTTTCAACCATTTTTTCCCGATCATTGTACTCTTGTTCAGACATAAGCTGGAAATAACAAATTTGAATTCAGTTATTTGGAGCTAAAGACCTTTGTTTAAATTAAATAATTTAAACAACCCTCAGTTGTCCTCTAGGGCAGTTTTTTTTTCAAGTGATATAATATGTACTTCTTGACAGAGTGGAAGTTTCAGAGAGGAAAACGAGTTACTTATGGTCAAGATGTCCCAATAGTGTAGATAAGCACATTATCATACGGCCACCACTATTTTTTTATTTTTTTATTTTTTTTCGTTTTTATTTAGGGTAGTGCCCCGCATGGGACTCCATGTCCCGTTCGCACTGACCCTTTTGGCGTATGTCTATCCATTTTTTGTCTCTTTCCTTGTATATGCATTCATTTTGAGCTTGTAGACGTACCCAATAAAGTTGTTAAATAAATAAATAAATAAATAAATAAATAAAATAAATCTCTGTTTATCCTTCGCTAGGTATCGAGGGGCTGTAAGTTGGGCCCTTTTGCTCTTCCTGTTTCTAATTGTACCATTGCATGCAGCCTTCGTGCAAGAATTTGTTTTGAAATTATTTTTCTAATAAACAGCATGTTGGGTCGTATGGGTTACATAAAAAGCTTACGAATATCAATTAAATGACTGGTTTCTTAATATGTTACACAGCATGCACTTCAAAATTTGTTATAGTTTCAGAGGCTACAACTTTTTCATCACACGAAATACTGGAAATAATTCCGATCTTTTGAGGGCAAAATCCTCAAGGTTAAATTACACTTAAAAAAGAGCTACATCAAAATATCAAATACTAACGCTTCTCTCGATTTCGTCAACGTCGTGAAAATATCTCCATAGCCAACTTTTGTTTTTTGCCTCTTCTAACCACTTCTGTAATTCTTCGTCAGCTACAGGCGAGCCATGTTCTCCATGACCCGTAAACGTTGCACCAAATCGTCTGAAGTAATGTTGTTGAGGAACACACACCGGTCTGAGATTTGCTTTAAGACTAGATGAAAATCGCCGGGCGACTGGACCAACGAACAAAATCAAACAAAAATTGTAATTCATGTCAAATTTGGCAAAATACTAGAACAGAAATACTGCTTAAATATTAAACTTACCAAAGCTAGGTGGTTTTGCTATCTTTCTCGAAACTGGGACCAAAAATAGTCTACAACAAGTTGGTGATACTCTCCCCACCACGTTCGCCGCCATGTTTTTAAGCAATATCGCGCATTTCAGAGTGCATTTTGGGACTTTAGGCCTGGTTACAAAATATTTTAGTTTATATAGAGTACTAAATTTAAATTAAGGCGAATCACTCATGAATCATACTTCGGTCCCTAATAATTAGTTAATGAACATGGAATTTCCCGAATTAGGAGCAAACTGCACCCTGAATACCTGTAAACAGTTAGGTGAGTTTTATCTGAAGTCTTTGAGAGATATTTTTTTTCGTTGATTTCTGTGGTATTTAACTCCACCGAGAAAAGGTTTGTCAATATGAAATGACTTCGCAGAAATTTTCGTTATTTAACTTCCTTTATTTTCACCAAATGCCTCCGACCTAAGACATAAACTTCGTGAGGAAAAAGCTTTTTCCTTTCCAAATGGAGAAAACTTAAGTGATGATTTTCCTTAAAATTGACTTTCTGTAGATTTCCTTCCCATGAAATGTGATGCTTGTTCCAAGTTGTTTTGGTAAGACTATTCACGATTATTTTTATTTACTGACGTTCCATCACTTTCTAAAGCACTAGTAAGTGACAAAAATAATTTATTTGTTTCCTGGTTTATAGTAAGGATCATATCAAGTATACAGAACACAGTTGTGAAAATGCCTACAAAAAGGTAAATGCAACAGTATAACCTATTCCTTACATTTTTTTATTACTTTGTGTACTCTCTTACACTTTTCTTTACTTTTATTTTTCATTTTATTTACCTTTTTCAGTAAGAATTGATCAGTTGAAAATAGAAAATCTATCACAAGATAGTGTAAGGAGGGTCAATATGTTTTTAATGACATGGATCTCCCCTCCCTCCCCCTCCCTCCCCCCCTCCCTCCCTCCCCACCACTTGGGTTAATTTGCCAAACTCTTGGAAACTTCCCTATGACAAGTGGGATAATCTAAATAAGTAGTCTAAGAGTTGACGGAGGAGTTTCGGCAAATTGGCAAGGTGTTCTTTGATGAAATGAAAGGTAACCCCCATCGTGGTTAAACTAGCTATCTAGAGAGTCTCATTAATTGTTTTGTGCTGCTAAAGGTAAAGGATAAATGTGGACTTGTTTCTTAATTTTTGTCTTCATTAGGACTTTCAAGTTCCAGTTTGTCCATTATGTAACAAAGCAGTACCAGTCCCTAGAGGGGAACAACCTGACATAAAGGTGATGCAGTTGTAGTTTTTTTTTTCCAAATTTGATTTCCTTTCAAATGATAGATTTAAATTTAATCGTGATTATCTATAGGAGAACTATGCTGCATTTTTTTTTGGATGTTTAGAGGAAAGCTTGGATTTTAACAATTTGATACATTTTTGTGAAATATTTTATTCCATAGGTTGGAGAACATATTGACAGAGATTGTCAGTCTGACCCAGCAGTGGCTAAAAGAAAGGTGATTTAAAATTGTTGTCCTTTTTTTATTGGACACATCACTGAATTTCATAAAATTGTTGTGTTTACTAGAGATATGGCCTTTTCTCACTCACACTATTAGTGCACTTGGTATCAGTTTGTTCACTTGATTAATTTTGAATCTCTCTCTAATATCTGCCTTACAGTTTGTTATCAAGGGAATTCTTTACTTTATACTTAACTCTGAACTTTCATAAGTGGCCAAGACATAATTTTTCCTCACAACATCAAGACCATATCAAGCAGACAGTTAAAGTGAAGAAAGAAAATTATCAATTAGGGGATTATCAATTGATCCAATATCAAATTCTCCAAACTGACATACTAATAAGAATTTGTGTAGCAGATAGCAGGGAGAATTACAAATGAGATCTTGGGAGTGAAAGGGTTTTAAAAGTAAGTGACAATGTCATTGGCTGTTGCTGAGCAGGGATTGAAAAAAAGTTCACTCAATGTCACTGCAATTATCAATCTGTGTCACAGACTGTAAGCTGATCTTCGCAAGAAAAATTCAAGTCAGCTTAGTAATCATGCAGTCTCTAACATGAGAAGAAAATGTATGGTACCACATTTTGAATATAGGATTTTGAGTTTCCCTTTTTTGTATCACCACAGGCATACCAGAATAGGTGTTCTCTCAAAGGATGTAAACAAAAAGAGGTCTGTTTACAAACAATTGTAATGTACACTATAATTATACCAATAGATATTTATACATATTCACTATTAATTGCATTAATTGGTTTGAACCTGCATTCCTAGACATAATTAGGTTACTAGACACTTTTCCAGGGCAACGTCTATGATGTTTCTTCACCTCTCTGTCCCTTTTAATTTCGTTAAGTCCCAGTCTGTCTATACCATCTTGAAGACTAACATTAAAAGTTGAAGAGGAGATAGTAGATATTCCAAAAAAGGTGTCTGGGAGTTTTGTCATTATTAGTCAGTCATGCAAGCTGACAATTCAAGCTAGAGAAGTCCTTAGGAGAAGGGTTGCTTAGGGAGGAAGTTGCCTGCATTGCAAAGTTTAACTTCAGTTGCTGCTAAAGCTCTTCCTTGCATGAAGTGACATTAGGTATCTTTCTAGATGTAATCAATTCTTATAATAATTGACCACAAGGCTCACAAGACTAATAGCTTATCCTCTTTCCTTTCACTATTTCAGCTTATCCCTGTTAGGTGCGAATCTTGTCGGCAAAACTTTTGTCTGAAACACAGACATGAACAAGATCACAACTGCTCTGGGGTCATAAGGGGTGCATCTAGAAGGTTAGTATATATCTCACAGGAAGCCAGTGTTTATTTCTAGTTCAGCAGATGCCCTAGTTTTGTTCAATTGATTGTCAATCTATCCTGATTTTTTATAACTTAAGTTGTAATTTTAGTCTGCCAATGCTAAGGACACAAGTGAATAAAAGTATTCCTTTTTATTTGTAGTAAAACAAGTGCTTCCTTGAAAGCAGGGTAAGTTTCTTACTTTTTTCCTATATTTCCCTTTAAAAACATTTTGTTGAAAGAATTGGTGATTTACAATAAACCCTTCCACAAATATTTGTCTTTAAAGTGTCCTAAATAATGTAAAATTTGATTCCTCAAGCTATTTGGGTTTTTAGCTAAATTGTTTTTATCTTTTGGATTTAAAGAGAAGCTGCAGCCACCAGAGTAAAGAATGTGGCTTCATCATCAAAAGTACACAAGAAACCACAACAAACATCTTTGTCATCAATAGGAAGAGACTTGGACAGGTACGCTTGTGGAATATATTTTTGTGCTGGGTGGTTATATTCTAACTTATTTTGTGCCTGGCCATTTAGAAATAACAGAAGTCGACAAAAGGTAGTTACTTAAAATATTTGGCCCATTAGTGGCAGCCAGATGTGTGTCAATGGAGTAGGTAGCTTGGTAGTTGTTGAGAAGATCAAATTTTGCTCCTGTTTGTTTTTGTTCTATCTTGTAAAAAGCTCTTGCTGAACATTTCTAAAATTTCCTCTTGCCCTGTTCAGAAAAATCTAGAAGTTGTTTAAAAAACTGCCCATACAGCTGGAGAAAACAAAAAAAATATAAAAAAAAACCCTCAAATGTGGTTTGTACTTGTTTTCTGATAGGAAACAGGCAATGGTTAACCGAAAAAAACTGACCAATCATAATGTACTGTGTATCCAGGATTTTATCCAACTAAATTAGACATCACAATCAAATTTTTATGATAATCAAATATTTTTATTAGTTGTAATGTTCAACAGCAAGGTTGTGCATCATCAGAGAGCTTGTTATTTAGAGCCTCATAATCTCTTGCAATTGCTGCATTCCTAGGATTCTAAAATTCTCATGTGATATACTTCTGTGTGATTTACAGGTCCAGACGAGAAAGACAAATGACTGCTCCAAATCCTCAACCTATTCCACAACCAGCATTGGTAAATACTTTCCTCTACTTCTGTTTCAGAGTCAAATTTGTTCTGACAGTCACAATGTCAGAAGCTTATTGTCAGAAGCTGATGTCATAAACCTCTATAATTATTATTATGATAATTATACATTAGGTTATGAGCTCAAGATTTTGATTGATTACTTGATTGTTAGTGAGGGGGAAGTCCTCTTCTTCAATTACCAACTGATATCCTTAAAAAATAACAAATCTATTGAATCTAATTTGTTTTGGATGAGTATTGAATAGTTTAGTCACTCAAAACTTAACAACAATACAGTGCCACTCACTTTATTTGTCATCTTTGTGTGATCAGCTGAATTAACCCTTAACCCTTTACCCCTAAAAGTGATGGCATCTAATTTCCCTTTACAATATCACCACTGAATCACACATTAATGTCATGAGAATAAAGGAGGTGATCATGAACTAAAGAAACTCTTGCTTGTTAGACAAATTCTCCTTTTCAGCACCTTAGTAAATGTACAGAGACCAGTGTGGAGAATATGAATACTGATGTTAGGGTGTAAAGGGTTAAACACACATTTTGATTGGTTCTTACTCATGATCTGTTAAAGAACAGACCCGTAGATGACAAAACAACCAAGAAAATGTTTTTTCTTTATTATATAAGACAACAAATAGTTTCCATGTTGCTGCAAGTTTGTTCAGATCACAGATGACATCAAAGTGTGGTAAGAACATCAGCAACACATTTGGCTTTGCTTTACTTGCCACTTTTTTGTTCTTTCATCATTTTGACATCATCTGTGATCTATTACAGTACAGATACATGGCAACATGGACAGGCAATCAAATTGCAGCATAGAACACTAGTCTTGTAGATTATTTTTTAAATATCTATGTTTTATGGTTCATAGAGTGAGGATGAGGCCTTAGCCTTAGCTATACAAGCTTCTCTACAAGATCAGTCAAAGACAAAGTCCCCCAGTCCACCACCGACAACACAAGAAGAGGAAGACCGAGCTTTAGCACAAGCCCTGGCAGAATCTGAAAGAGAGGAGCAGAAAAGGAGACGACAACAGGTATATGCATTTTCTTGAGGTCTCCTAGCTAATTACCAAAGCCAATCAGAAGAAATGTTAACATGGCAAATTAAGAAAAAAATGAAAACACCTAATATGTAATGAAATAAATTTCATTTGACCAGCGGATGAAAATCAAGTAAAGCAATGATCCTTGGAGGTGACCTGCAATTCAAGCAAATGGCTACAACCCTTTTAACTCCCATAAGTGACCAGGACAGAATTTCTCCTTACAGTATCAATACAATATAAAATAGATGAGTGATGAGAATAAAGAATAATATCAATTTGGGAATAATTAGTTGATCCAATATTAAATTCTCTCAACTAACATTATAAGAATTGTAAGGTTGGCAGTAATGAGAATTACAAATTTAATCTGGGAGTTAAAGGGTTAACAGGATTCAAGCCTGTGCTTCCCAGATACTAGTTGGGCATTACTACCAACTGAGCTTTGAAGCCACATGTTGGGAGCAGGGCACATTTTGGAGTGATCTTGGTTCCCTTAGAGGAATTGGATCACTGTTTGTAATGAAATAAATTCCGTTTGACCTGCCGATGGCTACGAAGCCACATGTTGAGAGTGGGGAACACTTAAGAGTGTTCATCTTACCTGTGGGGGAACCTGATCATAATTTGCAATGACTGCTGTTAGGAAATACATGGGAACAACTTCAAGTGTAGGCATATGCTTGAAACATCTGCTTTTTAACATTAGATGTGGCTGTCAAGTAGCTTGATTTACTGTTGATAGCCAAATAATTATTTCATTTTTCAGCATTGTTGTTTTATTTGACTGAATGCAGTTATTTTTGATTTTCAATTCTTTCATGAATATTTGTTTTGACTAATTATAATTTTAATTTCAGGAGCAACAAAAGAAATCAGATTGCCGTGTCACATGACACTCATCTTACCAAGAAATTCTAAGTTAACTAAATATAATTATTCCAAATTTAATTACAACTACAAGTGACCATAGTCTCCACTTGATGTAAATATACCAGAATTCCAAGCAGCCATTATTATATAATTAACTAAATGATGATGGGCTCATAGGCTATTTTTTTCCAGAACACAAAGCACCTGTGATTAATAAATTTTAATGTACAAAGAATTTGTATTTATCATTAGCAGATTGATGGCTTCTCAAATTACCCCAACATTGTGAACTAAAGGAATAATATAAACCAAGCTTAGAAGCAGTTGCAATAATATTGGGTTTTAGTAGTTATTTTAAGACAAAACTTCTGCAAATAAAGTGTTTTATAACAGTATGATGTGAGCTGTCTGCCGATACTGTAATATTGTAGCAATCCTTGCCACAAAATTAATGTGGAATCTCCAACATTCAAGGAAAAGTACAATTATGAATACAAGGGAGTGATCAATTTTGTTGAATAAGTGCCACCCCTGAATAAGCCCCTTAAAGTACAGATTACTTCTTGCCGTGAACTGTTTGCCCGACTGTAAAATCATCTGCCTTATTTTTATGCAAGCAATTTAAAACTCAAAGATTACATCTCTGTTGCAAAATTTTTTTTTTTTTTTTTTTTTTAATTGTTGAGCCACATTACATCACTGAATGTTGTTCCTGATAACAGGGGTCTGGTCACAACAAAATTCTTTCACAGAATATATCTAGAGGTGCCCTTTGCATTCTTTTCCACTCTCTGTTCCTCTTCTCCGAAAGCAGTTGAAAGTAGGTCTTTTTGTAACATCTTCTTCTGATTTATTTTCTTGAAAATGGATCAGACCAGACCTTCATATCTGAAAATAAAAAAAAAATGATGAAAAAAAGGGTCAAGTTTGCACCTGAGCCAAGAGGTTTCTTGGTTTCTATAGCAAGAAGTGACTGAGAGAGTTACTTAACTCTCCCCTGGATGGGCTGCTGTTCACTGCATTTCATCAGGCTTCCCTGACAATTTTTCAGAACTTTTTTTGGTGGAGTGAGCCACTTTGAAAGTATCTAATCAAAGAATACAGCACCATGACCAAGCAAGGTATCAAACCCTAAGCCTTACACGTTAAGTCCAGTGCTACAACTGTAAGAAAACAGCCTCTCCCTCTTAACAATATCAAATGCTATAAATTTACATCTTTCTCATATTTTTTAAGATGAAACAGAACTGAATTATACACCAAACCCAAGCTATGACTTACTTCCAGGTTGAACCTCTTCCTGTTTTATATCTTTTCTTGTTTCATTCTGAATTTGCTCTACAAAAGGAACATAGGAAAACATTTACAGTTGCCAAAGTCATTGGTTCTTGAAATTCCCTGACTTTCCCCAGAAAAAACGTCATATTAATCTCTGACCAAATCAACTGAATGGGCCATTTTACAGTTGTGTACTTAGTTACCAAGCCTTTGATTTGGAGTGAGGCTGAAGGTGACCTTGTTGTGTTAGAGACCATAATCTAGTTAGCATGATAACAAATTAATTTGCATTTCAAAAGCAGCAAGGTTTGTATCATAACAAGGTCACCCTTAGCCTCACTCCTGTTCAAAGGCTTGGCAACCAAGCATACAACTGCAAAATGGACTATTGACATTTTCACAAATAAATCACCAAAAAGGAAAGTGTCATCATTTGTCATCATAAAAAGGACCAAGAAAGGATGAACGGCTTAACATTTTCCCAACATTTCATTTTCCTCTGACTTCTCTCCAAGATTTAAATTTCCTTGACTCAAAGCGAAATCCCCCGACATTCACTTGACCTCTACAGACCTGGCCTTGATCATGGAGAAATTAAATTTTCTCAGACAATTTGCTGACCTGCAGCAACCATGACAATGGAACACTGCAATTATCAGTTCTTTTTTCGATCAAGTACCAAGTTACCAACATTGAAAGAACTACCAAACATTTTGATGCACAAGGAACCTTACACACATCAACAATTTTCTAAAAGCTTCAGCAGCTTACTTTAAGTTACATATCATATCATAGCCTTAAATACTTACGGAAAACCTCTGGGTGCAATTTTGGATAGACCACAGCAGGATACAACGCGGCAAGAGTGAATGCTACAAATCCCCCGATAAAGATCCCTGTCTTAACTTTATTAGACATGACTTTTGATGCAACTTTGCATGATTCAATATACTTTACCAGACGCCATCTTGTTCGTCAACAATAAATCTATTATGTAACATCCATATAATGTCCCGTGGACAATCAGCTGATTCAGCGGTTTCTCTTTGGTACCATGTGATACAACACATGTGACAGTACAAATTTTTTTGTCTGTACTCGTGTGCGGAGTTCCTTGTCAAACCTTGTGTCCTCAATATTTCTCTGCAGAATTCTTTGCTAAAATGTCCGACAATGAAAACCCAAGATGTTTCTTTGAAGTTTCTATCGGTGACGAGAGAGGTAAGGAACCAGATTTTCTCTTTCCGAGGCGATGATTAAAAACGAAATTACAACATGTGGAAGTTAGTTTCACTGATCCATGCTCAAACTTAATTGAAAATCTATATAGTAGAGTGCAAATTGAGTGATAGCTGTGCATTTTGATGTGGTCTGAAAAAGAGGTCGTTATGGTGTTGAAGAACTCTTTGGACCAAAATAGATTAATTTTCAAAATTTGCTGCATGTTAATTCAATTATCATTTGTCAACTATTTTTGATCGACTTAAGCTTAAAATGATTCCATGTTTGATCTGTGTTAAAGTTAAGGTTACCATGCAGAAACTTGCCTTGCTGGTACTTTGTACTTTATTGCTTGATTAAATGTGCCCCTCCCCACAGGGGGTCATCGAAACATTTCTTTTTTTGGGGGGGGTGGTGTCTGAGAAAAAATTGCAAATTTATTAAGGATAATATGAAGGGAAACCTAAGAAGTAGCATCCATGGTAATAGAATTGAGTGCCTCTTTAAACAAACCAGGACCCTGAATTGAGTTTTTGATCATGTCACTATCTACCTTTGTCATTTATCAGTGGGTAGAATAGTCTTCGAATTATATGCTGACAAATGCCCAAAGACTGCAGAGAACTTTCGGGCTTTGTGTGTTGGAGACAAAGGGAATGCTTCTATATCTGGGAAACCACTTCATTACAAAGGCTGCACCTTTCACAGAAGTAAGTACTTTCATATGTTGTCCTGCAATAACTCATTACAGACAATCTTGTGTTAGGTATGATTTGCCAGTCTTTTCCATTTTTTCATAATTATATTTATACCATAATAAACACAGTCAATGACAGTATAGGAAAACTGTTGCTTATTTGACAATTTTGATTTCTGGCTTTAGTCATTAAAGGTTTCATGGTGCAGGGTGGAGATTTCACCAATGGTGATGGAACTGGGGGAGAATCTATCTATGGTGAAAAGTTTGAGGATGAGAACTTTGAATTAAAGGTAGGAAATGTTTCCTTGGGGTTTTTTTATGGCTTATTTAGTTAAGAAGAAAAGTGTTTTAAAATTCCTATATTTTGCTGATCTCCCATCTCTGGTATTTTGTCCATGACCAATCTTGCTTTGTTGCAACATACCACGAGTTTACCATTAGGTAGTTAGGAAGGTACACTGTAGGGAACATTTTTCTCATAAATCACTAGGGTGTAAGGTTCATTGCCACTTAAAGGTGCAAGCCCAAGCTGCAAAACCCTTCAGTCAGCCTTCTGTCCAAGGAGTTAGGGCTTCTATCAGGGTACACGAGTTGAGTGTGCAAAATTTGGCCTCACCTGCACAATGATGCACAGTTACCAAAAAATCTGAAAAATCTTGCATAGTACTAAACATTGCACTTAAAAAGTTTTTCTTAATACAAGCATTGCTTTTAAATCCCCAAGACTTCCAGAAACTTTTATAGACTACTCTAGGGTTGTTTTCCTTCAAAAACCAATCAAGAAATCCCTTGCTTTAACTTTTTTGTTTTAATCTTATCACAGCATGATGAACGTGGCCTTCTTTCAATGGCAAATGCTGGTGAAAACACTAATGGTTCACAGTTTTTCATCACAACGGTACCAACACCACATCTTGATGGGAAGCATGTTGTCTTCGGTAAGGTCACCAAGGGATGGAGTGTTGTTAAAGAACTAGAAAATACACCTGTGGATGAAAGTAAACCTAAAAAGGTGCGTCACTGATACTGTTTTGTCATTAGCTCTTTGATCCTTAAGAATGACAAGCATCTAATTTCTCCTTACATTATCGCCCTGAAATCACACTTTGAGGTCATGAGAACAAAGGAAATGTTGGTCACCTAAAGAAGCTGTTGATTGAAGATTTTAGATATATGAAAATTCATATATTTGCACTTGAGAATTCATATATTTGATTGTTGAGCAAATTTTCCTTGTCAGGACCCTAGGAAATGTATGGATGACAGTGTGGAGAATATGCATACTGATGATAGCAGGGTGCAGAGGGTTTATTGGCCTTCCTGTAGCCTTGTAACCTGGGGCAGCACTTCAACCCTTTCACTCTACAGAACTAAACGTTACTTCTCTGCTCTGTATGCCCTTCTTTTCTCATAATTTTGGTGCTTAGAGTTTGTTGTTAAATAAAAAAATTTTATCAGCTGATTTATTTCTTCCTCTCATCACCTTTAATTTCTGCTTGAAAATGTATTAAAATTTTTAAGAGAAATGTACCTGGGGTCACCGTTGGGAGTAAAAGAGTTAATGGGCCATTTCTGATATTGAAAGAAGGCAAGCCAGGAACATTGCCAGGTCTGATATGCAAGGTGCATAAATCAGTTTCAAATATTTTGATGTGGCTTAGGGTTTAGGGTTAGAGTAATGTGTAATTGTGTTAATAAGGAAAATGAAAGATGATGATGATGATTTGACCAGATTTAATTGTCATTTCCTCTCTTAGCTATGTGTCATTGATGACTGTGGTGAGCTGCAACCAGGGGAAGATGATGGCATATGCGCTGATGATGGAACAGGAGACAAGCTTCCAGATTGGCCAACAGACTCTGATCTAGATTTCAGCAAGGTAGTCTCTTAGTTGCAAATGTAGGGGCTTCATTTTTCCACATTTTTTCATTCATTAGATAAGATAGACAGAACAAGCTTAATACTAATCTTTAAGGCATTTTTGTTTTTTTAACATGATTGTGTACCTATAGCATAGCAAATGGGATGTCCTAAATTTGCTGAAAGTGGAGTTGTTGTTATTTCAGCCTGAAGAAGTATTAGCTGCAGCAGAGGCACTGAAGGGTATTGGAAATGAACAGTTCAAGGCCCAAAATTATGAACTAGCCAAAAAGAAATACTCCAAGACACTGCGGTAAGATGAACTTAAATCGTTTTTTTAAGCTATAGCCTCAAATACTCCAAGACACTGCGGTAAGATGAACTTAAATCGTTTTTTTAAGCTATCGCCTCAAATTTTTTAAAGAAAAATGACAGAAAAGGGGCCTTTAGTCTTGATCAATGACTTTGTCTCTATCCTCTAGCTATCTAAATCACTCTGATTCTGATGAGGAAACATCCTCAAGTGAAGAGGAAGGGGAAAAAGCTGAAAAAGTAAAGGAAGAAAATATACAGGAGGAGAAGATACAATCCTTGACAATAAGTTGCTTTTTAAACAGGTGAGGCTACATACCAAGAACTCTCTTTTAGTTTATCTCAAGCCAAACATTTCCTGATGTATTACACTGTACTTATCAGCACAAACATTATTTTAGAATAGTCTGCAGATCATAAATTTCTCCACTAATAAGCAAATCTTTCCCTTATTGAAAAACAAAAATTGGTGGATTTAAAGTATGGATTTTGTGTATGGTGAAGAATTTAGCCATTTTTTATTACATTTTTAGTCTTTCAAGAAAAAGGTATCACAGATTGTTGAATTTAACATTTACAGGGCCTTTTGTGAAATTAAGCTGGGAGACCATGCAGGAGCTGTAGAAGATTGTAATGAGGTACAGTTGATTTGTACTTCAAACTACCAACTAGAGAGTGTGAAACATCTGTCATATGGTAGAGGCAGTGTTCCTTGGAAAGTTTGCAAGGACAAATTGACAGTTGCCACCACAAATTGACATCAAGAGCTGCCTTGTGTAACATGAGGCAAAAAATCATTCCCTCTGATGGAGGCCTAATGCTTGAAATATCAGCTTTGAAACTCTTTATGGTGGCCAATTTGTGTTAACTCAGTTGATAATATCAAACTACCTTGTTGTACTCTTCTACCAACACAGCTCCACAATTTCTTTTGAAACCAACTCCCACTTAAAATTGATGTTTTAAAGTGTTATTAAAATCACCATCAGTTGCAGTACTTCTGTTTTAGTTACCCCACTGGTTATCCCTGGTCTCAGGCCTGTGTACATCTGCCCCTTTCCCTGGAAAAAATCCTTTCTCCCCCTTGTTTCAGGAGAGGGAAGTTCAAATGAGGTTATGTCAACTTTTTAGCCTTTCTTTTCTTGTAAAAATATAAATTCAAGGCAAATCATGCATATTTTTTCTTCTCCAAGGTGCTGGATCTTGATGATAAAAATGTAAAAGCTCTCTACAGAAGAGGACAGGCTAAAATGAACATGCAAGACTTTGATCAAGCAATGGTACCCACTCTGTCTAGTGTTTTTTAGGTTTTTGACATTTAATTCAAACAATTGAGATTAATACCCTTTTTTTGTTGTTGTTTAACAGGTTGATTTTCAGGCTGCTGCTAAACTGGAACCTAATGACAAGAGTAAGTTTCTTTATTTCCTTGAATAAGTTAGTGTTCAAGGAGCTTCTTTTTAAACAATTTGTCAACCACCTCTAACAAAGGTGGACATTAGTAAGAAATATTTCAAAGTAGGAAGATAGGTACATTTTAAATATGTCAAGTTGATCAGTAATATGCAGTCCTGTTGTTGAAGGAATTTGGATTTAAGACAATCTACCACACAGGTAGGTTGTGGGGGAAATCCATTTGTTGGGGCCCCTCCTTCACTGCTAAGGTACTGCATTTGTCATAGGGCTGAGTTGTGCAAAACCCTGTTATAATGTTCCTTGGGTGCAAAGCTAAGACATTGCCATGTCAGTTGCATTTGGTGTCAAGCTTATTGGGCTTTGAACATTGTCACCCAACTCAATCATTCCCAGTCAGAATGTAGTATCATACCAGTAAAAACAAGTTAGTTATACTGGTGAAATAATTTAGACCTGCACTCTTGGTTTTTTTCAGGCATAAAGAATGAGATGGCAAGACTAAAGAAGTTAAAGGAGGAGCAACGCAACAAAGAAAAACAAATCTATTCAAAGATGTTTGGCAAATGACCAAAACTTGTCAATGTTTGCGGAACTTTACCCTTTAAACTTTGCCCTATTCAAGTGAGGTGCTAAAGCAAGATTTACAGCCATGTTTTTCAGGCAAAGCTTTCATTACAGCAAGTGAAGTGGTTAACATTTGCTCAAATCACACAAGTGTTCACTTTTTCTATAAAGTGTAGTCGTAACTTGACTAATTACCAAGTGGAAAGTGGTTTTAGATTAAACAGTGAAACAATGCAAAGTGGTTTATTGTATAATTTACCAGGTTTTTTGGTTTTGCCCATCTTTTTTTAGGGAGAAAGGAGGGGTTACATTATCAGTAAACTAACGAAGTACAGTATCCACAACACCAGAAATTATGAACCATTTAATGATCTAGTCTCCCTCACAGATCTTGTTGGGGCCAAAATACAACATGTCCTATTTAACATTAGGGCCTAACACACACACAGGATGGCAATGTTGAGGAAAACAGCAAATAAAAACTGAATTTCTAGTTTTCTTTAAAATTCCATGAATGGCTGGATGTGTTTATCCTTTTTTGATAGCACCTACCAAATATTCCAAGATTACATAAAATACCATGATTTTCAGGAGAAGGCCCAATCTTCGACAGGTGCCTGGCATGAACAACATTAACCCTTTACATCCCATGAGTGACCAAGACAGAATTTCTCCTTACAATATCAAGACAATACAAGGCAGAAAAGTGACAAGAAAAAGGAAAAATATCAATTAGGGGATTACCTATTAGTTGATCCAATACCAAATTCTCCAAACTAAGATCACAAGAACTGTATGGTAGACAGTAAGGAGAAATACCAATGAGATCTTGGGAGTTAAAGGATTAAGACATGCGAGGGACACATAACATGTGATTTTTGGCCTTTCTTTGACTAATTCAAATTAGTCCTACCCAGTTTGAACTCAAGTCTGGCATACAAGTCTCAAATACATGCACTTTACATTTGTATCACAAAATCAGTCGACCCTGTCTTGATGTTACACCTTTGAAGTTATCTTTATTTGTTGTCGATGAGGATGTATTTATTGTAGGCTAATTTTTCATTTGTGATCTCTTAATTCCTGATTTTGTCGCACATCTCCATGATCGATCCTCAACAGGGAAGTGCCAGGAGTTGCCACTACGCTGCACCACTGGATCAACTTTTTGCCTGAAAAATTCCAGTTTCCCTCTTTCATTGACAGTGAAGGATACACAGTTTAGTCTTGTCCATCTTAAATATGTCCACCAAACATTGCTAGGAAGCAGAAGGCGATGATCTCTGAGTCTGTCGTTGGTGACAACCTCAACTTGTTGCATTCCACTGAAGGCTGCAGCATACAAAACATACAAGTCATCATTTTTAAACTTGTTCCTGAAAACAGCACAAACATCTTCAAGCTTGTAGACAGAAGTTCTCCAAGCTTTGTTTACTATCACAAGCACTTTCTTTTGTTGTGCCGCAAAGTGATGTGCTGTGGCCACCAGCCTGTCCGTGGAAAATGACATATTTGCTCCTGAGCCATAGGCGGCAACATTCATGCCATCAATTACCACATCAAATGGTCCTCTTCTTTGAATAAAGCTCTTCAATTCTTCCAACTCTTTCTGTATTTTCTTGTCCAGATTTTCACCTGCCACTTTGGAAATAACCAGTTGAGGGCTGTTGGACAGTTTGATTAGCTCCCTTTCTAACTGTTGTATATCTCCTGGGAGGATGCCACTCATCAATTGATTTCCACAAGATGAGCATGTTCCTACTTCACTTATTCTGCTGTATTTCCACTTCCAGTGATAAACAGGGTCGTGATTCAGCCAAGAGCGAACTGCTACAAGCAATTTAACCGGTAACCTTTCACCAGTTTGTTGAAGATAACTAAAAACCATATTTGACATTTTCTTGTGATGGTTTGTATCAACTTTGCCTTCCTTACCATGATCGTTCTCATTAACTGGGAGACTTTTAGGGTTAAGAAGCAATTCGATCATGTCTTTGATTGGCGCAGACATGTTTTCATTAATTCCGAAATTTTCCAACCTTTCTAGTTTCTCCTCAAAGACTCGCAAAGCTTTTTCCGATTGTCCCCTCTTGGCCATAGAGGTTATAATATAATCATAATGACGAGTGTGGTGAGCTATATTACTTTCCACAATGGCGTGCAGCATGCCGACAGCCTGGTCAAAAAGTCCCCGATTGCTGTAAGATTTAATCATCGAGAATTTAGCTCCTTCGCCAATGAAAACAGCATTTCGTTTAATGTCTTCGTACAGCTTGTCTACAGCTTCATGTTCATTGTGTTGCACAAACAAATGTAATAGCCAAGAGTAACAACCGTCTATTTTCCACGACTTTCCACCGTTCCTGCTCTCTTCAAATAGCCTTACGGCATCCGTTACCTTACCAGTCTTAATGTAGTGTTTCATCGTCGTTTCAGTCTCTACATTTTGGCCGTTTCCATGGGTATGAACAGAAGTTGAAGCTTTTGAAGATAGAAAGGATCTGAAAAGCAGACACGTGCTTGTTACACAAGCTCTCTTTCTCGTCGTAAGACACCTCAGCCGAATCATACCGGGTTCTCGTTGGATAAAGCAGCTGAATGTTCCTAAACTGTTTCCAAAAACAACAGTCATACAACAGTTAAGAAGATAAAGCAATGGACTAGACTGCTTCTGTCCTTCCCCGCTCTCTGGTCCCTGTGCTCCTAAATCATCATGAAACTGCAGTCATCTAATCAGCGGCTACCAAGTTAGTGCCAGTTGATGCTCGAGTTTTAGTTCCGCTCTAGGAACGCCTGTCTGAATTAAACACGACGCTCACTTTGCGAGAGCGGTCAATTAACGCTGTTTCTTAATATGTTCCTTTAAAATTTTGCGCAGGAAATAAGCGTGTAGCCAGCCGAAACTGATTCCCTCTCACATACCAATGTTTTATAATAATAACAATAAAAGAAGTTTAATTCCACCATCATCGCAGTTAATCTGAATTACAATGAGGTAAAATTTGTACAATGCATTCGTATAAAGCATTCTCGTCTTTGCCCCACAGTTGCACTTTTGGTGAAGGTTGAAAAAGATCAAGTTTTATATACTTTCTGTGTTCTCTACCATGTAAATATTCGTTTCTTTGCTTTTAGAAGTTCTCCATGAATTACATATTGTGTCTAATGGTACTTTTCCAGAACAGTTTTCTGTTTCCTTCTCACTAGCGATTAGGTTTTCCTTGATAAAATGACATTTCCCGGTAAACAGCCTAAATTTTCAACATGATCTCAACCCACTAAAAAATCTCACATGAAACTAAATGTTATTGTTAGTAAATTTCCACACAACTCACATGCTTTAACATTAACTACCAATCAAATTTGCCATATGTTGTCTTGAGCTTCACCCCATCATGTGTCATTTTCCCATAAACAACCTGCATTTTATCACATATTCCACAAGGCATTTGAACTTTTGAAGATTGGTTTGATCAAGGTAAAGGTATGATCAGCCACTGTGACTTTCTTGTAGACCTAGGGAAAACTTGACAGTTCTGATTCAAATTCCCCTCCCCACCCAAGCAAGATTGAAATTCCCTGCCCTGTGAGCACAGATGACAGTAAAATGCCCATGGGTAGACAGGGAGGAAGAGGGGGGAATTTCAAACTTTGAATTGATTGGCACATAACAGAAATACATAACTTAAGGCAAGAAGAAGTTCACAACTATCATTTAACAAAAAGCCATTTTTTTTCCTCCAACAGTAATAACATTTACATAAGTGCCACAGGGTAACCTGAATCACATAATTTATCTTAACATTTACATAAGTGCCACTGGGTGACCCGAATCACATAATTTATCAAATATACCATTATATTTGTTTACTGGAAGAGCCATTCAGTTATGTCTCAATAAACAAGTTTCAAAATTCTCTCTTGTACATAGCTTTTAAAAAATGTGCATTTAAAATAAATTTTTGAACCGTTTTGATCTCCTTGAACACCTCCATGCTTCATTAGCAACAGGAAAGTGCCATGAATTCCCATTGTACTGCACAACAGGGTCAACTCTATCTCTGAAAAATTGCAGTTTTCCTTTTCCTCCTTTTGTGAAGCTTACACGGTTTAACCTTGTCCATCTTGAGAATATCCATCCCACTTCAGCTGGGAATAAAAGGCGGTGATCTCGAAGTTTGTCATTGGTGACAACCTCAACATATCGCAATCCACTCATGGCTGCAGCATACAAAAGGTACAAATCATCATTTCCAAAGCTGCTCATGAAAACAGCACAATTAGTAGTTTTGAGAGCCCTAGTGGCTTTCCTATTTTCCAGTTCTTTCTTAGATAATACAACCATAACATTCTTCTGTTGTATGGCAAAGTGATTTACCATTTCTAATAGCCTGTGTGATGATAACTTAAATTTTGATTCTGTGCAAAGGACATTCAAGCCATCAATAATTACGTCAAATGGCCCCTTTTCTTTGACAAACATCTTCAATTCTTCTATCTCTTGGTACATCTGGTCTTCTAAACTTATATCGTTCAGTTTAAAAGTAGACTTCTGTGGAATTTCAAAAAGCCTTAGGATTTCAAATTTCAACTGGCGTACATCCTCTAAGGGTAAGCGGTTTATCAACATATTACCACAGAAAGAGCATTTTCCTGCTTCACTAATTGTGCAGTTCTGCCAAGTCCAGTAGTTATTTGGATCATGCATGAGCCACGAGTGAATTGCACGAATTAATCTTAATGGTAATCTTTCCCCATTTTGTTCAAGATAACGAAACACCATCTGTGATGTTCTAGTATGACGATGTTCATCAAAAACCTCTCCCTTAATTATCAGATTTTCAGGATTGAGGAGCAGTTCAATCATTTCCGCGACGTATTCACTTAAGTATACTTTGGTTGGAAAGTGTTGTTGCCTCTTCAATTTCTCCTCGAAGACCTGTATGGCTTTTCCTATCTGTCTACGCGTTGCCATACTGGTTATTACCAAGTCATAAGCATCTGTGTCGTAAACCTTAAGATTGACGATGGAACGCACAATTTTCATGGCTTGTTCGTAAAGTCCCCAGTCGCAGTAAGATTTCAGCAATTTAGTCTTGTTTTGTATATTACTGGATTTAGTATAATGTTTGATGGCTTCAAATAACTTCACAGCTCCTATAATATCTCCGTTGCCATTTTCCTTCGTTTCAGAATCCAAATTTTGGCCGTTTTCAAGGGTCTTACCGTAATGCGGAGCCTCTGAAGACAGAAACGTTCTTTGAAACGAACACGTGCTTACGTAACCACCTCTCCATAATGGTGTAATGTACCTCAGTCGCATATTAGAAGCAGATCTGCCCGCATCAAGCTTTTTTCTTTTCAAATATTATCTCAAAAGTAAGGAATTACTTCACACCTTTAGCCATAAACGGGTGAAGATTACTAATATTTTGTCACCGTAACATTTCCAAAAGAAAGAGACAGTGAAGTTCCTATATATTCTACTCTGTCTTCGGAAAGTCATCGCCTGCATCCTTCGCCCGCAGTTTATATAATCAGCGGCTATCAAATTAGAGCCAGATATCAGACGAGCTTCATTATGTAGCTAGGAACGCCTGACTGAAAACAACCTTGAACACTATGAAAGCATCCAGCGTGCCATTTTCTACGTGCGAAAGAGATTTTCTCCTCAAGGGAATCGGATCGGGAAAGGTTTACTGCACCAGAGTACCTGCTTTTGCTTTTTATTTTCCCTCTATTGTTGATTATAATAGACTGCTAAAGTTTTTTTGTATTAATAAATAGCGCATAGATGGACGCGAAGCCTACGACTACCGGAAACTCAGAATTTCATTTGGTGTAGACAGAGGACATTGCGAGGTTCAACTGGGTGAAACAAGGTACGGCAACAATTCGTTCTGGATGGTCCTGAGGCATTTCCTTTCTATAAATTAGTCGCAATTTGGACTTGTGTTATAAACGTTTTGATTATTCACATCAGTGGATAGTGATAATGGATGGAACTGAGTGGAATACAATTTCGTCTGGAATCGTTCGCGCGATGGCTGGGTAAAATAGTTATCAGTTAATAAGTCGCCAATCAGAAAGGAAGGACGACCAATGACTTTAAAACGGATGTATTACATTACAGTAAAAAGTGGAATTACCTAAATAAGTGGACCAGGGCCAAAGGTTTGGGCGAAGCTGTTTAAGGGGAGGATAACGCCTTCCAATGGGTAAATCGCTATTCAGCAAATTACACTAGGCTATCCACTGGATAATCATTTTTCCAGTGGATAATGCTGTCCACCTTTTAAACAACTGCAACGCCAAGTGCAAAACCTCTTTTGTGAAGATGTATTATTCAAAGGCTCTCAAACTTTTTACCCTTGTTTCTAAGCAGATACACAGAGTATCTTGGGAATAATTTATTAACCCTTTGACCCTTAAGAGTGACTAGCATCTAATTTCTCCTTACAATACCATCCCTGATTAAAACATTACTGACATGAGAATAAAAGAAAGGATCACTAACTAAGAAAGCTCTTAAATGTTAAACAAATTCTCCTTCTCAGCACCTTAGGAAATGTATGGTGAACAGTATGGAGAATATACTTACTGATGTTAGGGTGTAAAGGGTTAATTGTTGCCCTCAGAATTCTGATTGTCCAAAACAACAATGAAAAATAGGCACATTATATTTGTCTTGGATAGGGTTTTAGCTCAAGTGTCTTGTGAAGTTGTTCAACCAAAGCCAAATAGACCCACAGAAGGCCAGCTATTTCTCAATGTGGAACTTTCACCAATGGCATCACCAGCCTTTGAGTCAGGAAGGTAAGTTAGATATTTCACCATCAGGAATGGCAACATTATTTCTCGGTATAGCATCAACACGATACACAACACACAGACAGATGATAACAATAACAATTATCAACTGACAAGTTTAAATTGTTTTAATGCCAATTCAGAACTAACATAACAAGGAGTGTGCTACAGATTATAAATTTTTAATATCTTCCTTGAATATGCCCTTACATCCTCTTATAGAATGACTGAATTTGGCACTGAACTTAACCGATTTATGGAGAGGTGTTATGTAGAGTCACGAGCTATTGATGTAGAATCTCTATGCATTGTTGCTGGTGAAAAGGTTTGGATTAATTAAACTGAATTACATGTTTTGTCATGTTCTCTTTATTCTCAGTTTTATAAAGACACTCTCCATTGTAGAAAAATGTTTGTAATGAGGTCACCAAAAGTACCATTTGTGTATTTTTATTTATAATTTATTATCACTTAAAATCAATAAATCATGTACTCTGGTGAAATGAATATTGATCTTGATTGTATCATAGTGATTTCTCGTTGAATACATTTATTTTCTAATTATCATGATTAATACCAGGAAATATTTTATGTGACATAGGTTTGGTCAATAAGGGTTGATGTGCATGTATTGGACAATGGTGGTAACATTGCTGATTGTGCAAGTATTGCTGCAATTACAGCTTTGGCTCACTTTAGGTATGCTTGTTTATCAAAACCTTGAAATTGCTTTTTTTGTTGAAGATGTCAGTGCTTTTTTTCATTGTGATTATAATCATTATCATAGTGATAAATAAATGTTTTAAATAAGTTGCTTAGGTGGTAACCTGAAGAAGACTGACTCAAAACACTCTCAGTGATTTTCATATGATAGCTTGATTTATCAGTTGATTGTGACTCCAAACAAAGACAAAAATGATTAAAAATTCATTTGTTAACTAATTTTTGGCATGAATTTTCCTTTTAAGCAAATAATCATTCTTCCAAGATAATGTGCCCAGAAATCAATGTCTTATCTTGTCTTCAATGCTCAAAGATTTGAATTTTTTCAGTTTCAACCAAAGAAATTCACAAAAAAACATGCAAAAACTCTAAAATTTTGACTTTCTTTTGTGTAACAAAAATCAAATGTACCCTTGACCTGATCTCAAAAAAATATTCCCTTGCTTTTCTAGGCGGCCAGATGTGTCTGTTATCGGTGAAGATGTCACAATTGTAAGTGTTCAATTGAGGCAAGGCACAAAATTTTATTTTCAATATGGGATTTATTTTCAACATGGAAAAAGGCTGATAATAGACTAGTGTATCACTTAGCAGTCATTTTTAATTTCCTGGGATAAGACTCTTTTTATAAGACTGTCCAGACTCAATTGTACTGGTAGCTAGATATACAGGAACAAATCTTTTCATCTACAGGTTGTTGCTATATTATGAAGATCAATCCCAGTACCAATGATAATGATGATCATTATGATTTTAATTTATGAACATTTTTATTTATGATAGTGATTATAAGTAATTCCTATAATGATAATGATTGGGATGATGATGTTCATGGCAATAAAAGTGCTGATTTCAAGCCTCATAGCAATAATGACATACTCTGCTCTGTCTTATTTTATCAGCACTCTCCAGAGGACCGTGATCCAGTCCCTCTCAGTATCCTTCATATGCCTGTCTGTATAACATTTGGCTTTTTCAATGAGGGGTAGGCCATTATTTCATGTTTTCAATTATTTCAATCTGCATGTGATGATATTTTGGAGCATTTCTACGATAATTATAAAATTCGGTCAAACCTGCCTTAAATAACCACTCAGACTGAGGGACATATGCTATGACTTCAATAAGACAAACACTTTGGGTGGCCTTCAAGGGTCACAACTTTTGTCTTTGTTGTGTTTCTGAAAAGCTTCTGTGCAATTTTTTACATGTTAATTTATTCTTCTGAAACAAAGTACGAACTTTGAAATAAAATAAAAAAACCCAGAAGCATGTGTCCCCTAAAGCTACTCCAGGGAAATCGGCATTCCCAAAATTGATGGGAATTTAAAGAAAAAACACAAAACACTGCAATCATTTTTTCAACTAACAATTCAAATATTTTTCCCAGGCAAAGGTTGCTTGTAGATCCAACAGATAAAGAGGAAATTGTAATGAATGGGAGAATGATCATGGCAATGAATATTCATCGTGAAATCTGTGGAGCAGTGATGGGTGGTGGAGTTTCATTAGAATCTGAACAGGTACATTTATTCTGACTGATACCAGTATTCTCCAGAAGTGCAGGCAGTTAGCATATTTGCTAGCCACTCTTTTCTGAAGCACTGGCTTCTTCAGTTAGACAAGTACTAGTGTCTAGAACTGAAGTAGGTTGATATTTAAGTGTGACTGACCACTAAAAGAAATCTGAAGAACATCCGATATCATTTTTTCCAAGATCTTCAAGAATATTTACTCTGCCAAAGGATTTAAGGGATGGTTTTTAAGGATTTCCACCCATAATCATCTTGCTGAAAACTATCTCAATCTCTTTCAAAATGTTTTGACTAAAGATTTTTTGTCCCCACATAAATCTCAAGGTAATGGTAGATATCCTTGGCAATACCTGATATCCTACTCCTTAACTTTTTCTTAGCAATATCTTTTTAATTTTTATTTTTTATCTCAAATTTCAAACAATAGTATAATTTTCACATTAATTTGGCTCATTGTTACTTTGAACAAATGATTTAAAAGAGTAATCAAAACAGCCAAGACAATTTCATTCCAAAAAGTTTGCTTTGTGAACAACAGAATATGAAATGATCATCATGTTGCTTATCTAGATCCTGAGATGTTCCAAGATTGCATCAGTGAAGGTTACTGAAATTGTCGCTCTTATACAAGAGGCACTGGAGGAGGATTCTAAACAAAGGTAAGTGTGATGATGAAAGAGATATTAGAATAAGTCTTCGAGCTGTCTAGTCAGAAACTGGTAGACCAGTTAACCCTTTGACGTCTAAGAGTGACCAGACATTTAGGTCATGAGAATAAATTAAATGATCACCAACTACAGAAGCTCTTGATTATTACATAAAATATCCTTGTCAGTACCTTAGGAAATGTATAGAGAACAGTATGGAGAATAAGTTAACTGAGTTAGGATGTAAAGGGTTAAGTAATCAAAAAGAAAACGATTGTTAACATTCCAATAATAATTATCAAATGATTATTTTTGAATGCTTAACTCAGTGTAATCTATTGCATTATAAAAACACCTTTCAATGGAGTATTTTAAAACCAGAATCACAGTTGCTACTGACAGAGGCCAAGCTTAACAAGGTGGATGTCAGGAAGAGCCACTAAGAAGTCAAAATTTGAAGGATAGAAGTTTGAGTGATAAAGTTGTGATTTGTATAAGTTTTGAGTTCAGTAAAACTATATCAAAGACTAATAAATTTGTACTCTATTATGTCTTATTTCTTTTTTTCAACCAGAGCTCTTGGGAAAACAGGATTGATAGAATCAGATACAACACCATCCATTATTACTGTGACATCAGCTGATGAGTCTGAGGTGGACATCAGTGAAGCTGTGGAAAAAGTAACAGGTACAAATTGGGGAATTACCCCTCAGGCATAATTTAGTGACAAAACAGTGACGAGACTGCTTGCATCCCACAACTGTGGGCCTGGCTCAATTTTCATGCCTGGTATTAAATGTGAGTCAGACTTTTTACTGATGCTCATCTTTACTCAAAGGACTTACTCCAATTTAAGGTGTTTTCCTTGTGCCACCGAAAAATACAAAATATTTAATGCACCAATTTTGCAAATGTGCCTCAACTTAGGTGTAGCTAGTCCTCTTGTTTTTCATCCTAGCAGAGTCATATTGCTCAGAAGAAGCAATTATTAAATAGGTAATTTCCAAACCAAATCGCATACTCCAAGAATATTTTATGAACATGTATAACATAGTCCAGTCATGAAGTGTAAATTCTCAGCTGGAAGGAGTGATTCACAGATTCAGATTGAAACCTAAATAAAGCTACCAGATTTTGATTAAAGAATGAGCACAAAATGGTTGGCAGTGAAGACTGTAAGGAAGGCAAAGAAAAGCTTAACAATTAGGCAGTGATAAACTAGAATCGTTTTAGAGTAGGTATGGATTGCATAAAAACAGCAGAAAGATGAGGTAGATGGTAGAATTTTAGCTGTGTAAGGAAAACAGTTGAGCAAGCTTGACCTATGATGAGACTCAGACTTGAGAATGGTATAAAAGAGTTATACATTATTTTACTCTTTACTTCACAGAAAGACAATATGATGATATGACAGCAATGGAAGAAAAGTATCCTTTACAAATAATTTGTCATTTGGAAATTATTCTCACTGTATAAAATCAAACCAATTTTTAGGAGTATTCTGTACTGTACTGCAGTCTTCATAATCTTTTTTTTTTTTAATAATCATTCAAGTGCCATTGTGAGATTCTTCAAAGGCAACTGTAACCTTTTTTTTTTTTTTTTGTTTCATTAAGCAAAAGTACAAATTACAAAGAACAATCTAAAAGAGTTACTAGACTCCTTGACAATGAATAATCTTGCAGTCCATGGGGAGCACAATTGAAGGTAATTTGTTATTGGAGCAATTTGCGATTGAGTGTCCAAAATAATTCATAATTACTTTGGGTTTGCTTTTCTTTGCTATGTAATTGGTCCACAAAATTTTACTATCTTTTCAACCAATCAGGTTTGAAGCTAAAACCAAACGTGACTTGGCTATTGGCGTTTTCCCACCCTATGGGCAATTTGCTTATTTTTACTTTGTGTTCTCATTAGCTGCTCACTATGACATTTTCCTGCACTCCAGATCTCAAATTGATTTTGGAACAATGAACGAAAAGCCGCCTCTCTTAATAGAGCGTATTTCGCGAGAGGGTCGTAAAGCAAAGGCAAATAAATCACAAAAGCCAATCAAAGGAAATGAAAAGATCACGAGGAGCCAATGAGAACGCAGATTAAAAATAAGCAAACTGCCTGAAGCGATGGAAAACGCGAGTGACCAGGTCACGATTGGTTTTAGGTTTGATTCTGATTGGTTGCTAGGATGACGCGAGTTTCCTGGACCAATCACTGAGCGATGTAAGCCAAAGCAACCCCGGAATATTTTTGACTCTCAAGTGGAAATTTTTCTCTGCATCACTGCTTAAATTCAACCTATATTTGTGTATTTGTGTGTTGGTTTACTTTTTTTCTTATTGTTTGCTTCTGACAGGGACCGGGAACTGCTCAAATTGGCGAAGGAGGAGACAATTCTTGGATCGTTTTAGATGAAGAAGATGGAGAAATGGAAGAAAGTGAGGAGGTTGAAATAACTGGAGAGGAAAGAAATAGTGAGTCTCCGACACCAGAACCACAGCAGAAGAATGGCAGCAAAGGTGAAGAGGGAAAATCGTTGAACTTTATGCCTAATATTCTGATTTTCCTAATACTATCGCATAGACCAGAATTGATATTAAAATCCCTGTCAATCAAGACCTATACACCCCAGTGAACCAATCAGATCTCGAAATGGCAATGTAACATATCCTTCTCGCAAGCGAGGGAGTGAGACGACTAATGCCAGAGGCAGAAAAATATGTAATCATTGGCAAGCGCGGGAAAATATGCTTATGGTTCCAAGCGCGTAGAAAATATGCAAACAGTGCTGAGCGCTGACGGATATGCAACTTCTAGTAGTGCCAAGAGTGGGAAAGTATGTCACTGGTCCATGTGCGAGGCAAATATGCAGCCAATGCTGAGTGCGGGAAAATATGCAATTTGGTGCAAAGTGTGGATATATATGTAACCAATACTAAACACACCGGAAAACATGCAACTAGTGCCAAGTGCGTTGAGACATGCAACCGCCAGAAAGCGCGGGAAACTATGCCGCTTGGTACCAAGCGCGAGTAAACAGCATTCGAGCACGTGAAAAAAAAAAAACAAACAGGAAGAATTTAAACCGAACGAAGCCCAACACAGAAACTACTTTTAACGATCTCTAGAGCTCCTTACTTCGTCTTGTCTTTGTTGCAGTCGTTCACTCCATCGTGGATAATGATGACAGCGAGGAGGAAGACGTTATAATACTGACTGCCGAAAGAAGTGATGTGATTCAGAAGAGGTATGTTTGGACTAAAAAAAAAAACGGTTACTGAAAGGCAAAGTTATAAAACTATTTGTGAACTCTGTTTTTCTTTTCTTCCATAGCTCTCAGCCAATACGTACCCAGGAAACCTTAGATTTTAGTGGGGCGTTGAAAAGTGACAGCGGAAAGAACAGTAACAGCAAAAAGAAAAAAAAGAAAAGAAAATCTGGAAACAGAACATCGCAAACTTCTTAGTGATTTTAGTTATAATCAGTATTTGTAAATAGCTATTAGTCTTTTTCTAAGCAATTAAAAATCACACAAAGTCCATATAAACCGCCTCCTTCATATAATCTTCGAATGGACTCCTGTTGACATCCAGCGGAAGGGCGTGGTGGGGGGGGGGTAGAATGTGCATATGACCACTTCTTCATTAAGAGAAAAGTGATAACGCCATAGAAAAAAGTACAACCTGTCTTCGAATTGGAGTAAGACGTAATTGTAATGTTCTTATTATTTCAGCCAATCTCCAGAAACCTTGAACTTAAATATGAAGTTAACGCGGGCACTTGAATTTGGGTTGAAGTGAACACTCGTTCTTCAATTGAGTTTTGGTTTTTAGCCTTCGATTATGTCGAATGTGTCGCTTGTTTTTGTTGGGAGTCTGAGACATGTGGAAGGCGTTATTTACAGTTAAATGTTTATATTCAATTTGATACATGTATCAGACCTTTAAAGTCAGATATTAGACTTGAGCTCTTTGTTTGAAAAGGATTTTTTAACACCGGTGTTATCATTGGCGAGGCGCCCCAAGCTCACTTGAATCCATGGTAATTTAGTATTATCAACTGAGTTGATAAAGAGAATTGGCCTCCGAAAAGAGTTTAAAAGCTGAAGTTTCGAGCGTTAGCCTGGAAACGTCAGCTTTTAAACTCTTTACGGTGGCCAATTTACGTTATCAATTCAGTTGATAATACTAAATTACCCTGTTATACTCTCTCACCGACGCAGCACCACAGTTTCTTTACAAACTTACCTCCTTTATTCGCTTGAATTCTTGTTTAGTTTTGCGTAATGCATTGTAAAACTTAAGTTTGAGGCGCCTGTGGTGTTTCAAGTATGTTGAGTGTGTTAAATTAGAGTGACCCGTGACGAGCGATTTTTGATACGAGTCTCACGATCATTAACATCACGAGAACATCGACCGATCTGCTTACGACAAGCCAAACTTATAACACCTGACTGAGAAAAAACTTCTCACTTGACTCAGTCTTAGAGTGACTCCTACACAGGTTGTCGAAACGTTTTTAGTCACTTCCACCGACAACGGTCCTTCTGAGGACTCCTCACCTGAGCGATCAGACTACACAATCAACTGTTATACCACCAGTTTCAAATCTCGTACCCTAAAACTGACAATGGAACTGTAGACAATAAAACAAATGAATGTACACTTGATTTATCAGTCAAACCTCTCTCAGAAGGACTCCTGTCGTCGGTCTTTAAGGTTTTCGGCTGGTAACTGGAGTTTACTGTAACTGCTAATGTGCAGGGCGCTCACCGCGAAGCAATAGCATTTGATACGACAACCACTCTTCCAGAGATCAGCTGTCACAACCGTTCGTGGCCTCTACTGACTTCATGCTTTAGTTACCCTTACTATGCTGCAGCTTGAGAACTTTGGTCCATCCAGTACCATTCACCCTAATCTGAATGCTTAGCTACGTCATAAATACTACCGATACGTCATAAACAAAAACGATGGTTTTGCATTTGACGTAACGACAGAAAGTGCGCACACGCGCGCGCGTCGGGAATTTTGACGATGACATCGAAGAATTCTCATTATTTAGATGCCTTGCAGTACTAAAACTCGTGTGAAAGTTATCAAGCCTGGTGAATTGGATGATGTGTGCAGACCTGTGAAGGAAAATTCGGAAAGTGTCCGTGAGGGAAAAGCCGAGAATGGAGAAGGGCGTTCAGTCCTGTCACGACTCTTCAACTGTGGAACGAAATCTAAAAAGACGCGTGTTATCAAAGTGAGATCAGGTAGTGCAGCTGTGTCGAGCTTAGATGGAGCATACTGTGGTCCAGATTAATACATGTAATGATGTGGCATTTATGAGGAGACGAATAATGGTTTTAAAGCGCCATGACAAGAATCTTGTGGACGTAAAAATGGTCTAGCTTTTTGTTAGGGGTTCTTTCTGGCAGACAGCGCGTGAGAAGAAAGAGTTCGATCACTGTAGGAAACGCTTAATACGCGTTCTACACAGGGAAAAAAGCTTACTCTTAACAGTTACTTAGTTATTGAAACTGTCCTGTTCACTGATTTTATCAAAAGGAAATAGAAAACCAAATAGGTGAGCTTCACTTGCAAGAAGATGAAAGGAGGAACATTTTAGGTTTTCTATTTCACTAAATTATGCAAAACGTGTTCTTATTTCGAAAACAAAGGATAATTTATCCCAACAGAAGTTGTTCCTAGTTTAAAATATGTAGGGTCATTATATTATAAATCAGTCTTGCAAAGCAGTCATCATTAAAAAAAATCAATTATTCTGCAAGCCTCGGTAAATATGAAAGGTAATACCTTTAATATTTCCGTCTAGAAAGAACAGAAACATTCTAAATTACTTTAGTTCTAAAACCGTCATGAATTTGCAGTGAAGGCTTCCATTTTTCAGTTTTCGTAGTTTAATCCCAGCTTAATCGCTAAAGTATCATCAAAACAACTGGTGTAACACAAATAGGTCGGCCGCCATTGAATAGTTCTCCTGCTTTCAAATTATTCCTCGGCTTCCACTGCTATCTGACTTGTACTAGGAACTACATAGTCTCCCCTTCTAAAAGCTTTCATCTCTTCTTCGTATCTCTCTCTATCTTCCTTTGCCATTTGTTCAAACTTTTCCTTCTCTTTTTCTTCCATCTTGGCCCACATTTCACCGAGCATTTTAGCTCTAACTCTCATTTCTGGATTTTCTTCTCTCATCGCAGCGCGTTTGTCTTGGCAGAAAAACATGAAGGAAGACCTAGGGGAAGTACAAAATAAATTAAGCGTCAGCTTAAGATGGGTTTCGAAGAAGAGAACTGTGAGTAATAATGAACTTATCAGAAATGAAACAGGATTACGTGAACCTTTTCACTGAAACTCATCTAGAAAATAAACCACTCTGCATAAAACTGATCCAAAATGGCGCTTTGGTTAAATTTGAGTCGTACTAAAAAAATTTTCTGCTTACATTCATTTTCTCAAAGGTCTAAAGTCGTCAGTGGCGTACAAATCCGAATTTTTTTTTAAAATGTGAGGAATCATGCAAGTCGTAGCTCAGATAAACTTGATAAAGCACAGCGCTTTATCACCATATAAACTTGACCAGATTCAGTTTTCCGGATAGTGTAAATTCATACTTATGGAGAAACAGCTGGAACGGATGCTTGTACTAAGTCGACATGAAAGTAGCAACTTTTATTTAGGTTTAGACTTACATCCACTTCTTGGGTTGATTTGGATCCTTCATCTTCTTCTGCTTTCGAGTTTTCCTTTCACTACCTTCGTATCTCGGCGGTGTGTAATTAGCCATTTCGTTGTTATACCTTATCCTGTCCTTCTCTGCGGCCTCCACAAAACGTTTTTTCTCCTCCTCAGTTAACTTCTTCCACTTTTCTGCACAGGCCGGTATAAACGCTTGCCGAACTGCTTTATCTTCTTTTGTCTCAGAACTGTCGCCTGCAGCTTCGCTTTGTAATTTCTTCATCGCCTCGGTTTCTTCCTTGACAAAAATATTGTAGGCACTCATTTTCCCTCGGGGCTTGTTTGGGTCTTTGCGTGTCGACATTTCGTACTAGAAGTTGATTTGAAGGAAGTGTTAACTATTCACTGCGTTACAAGTTTTATAGATAGTTTATAGTAAGCTTAAAGGAAGACCGTAAGCGAAAACTGACAAGCGCGAACCTTCCGAAGCTGACAACCTCTGCCGAGCCGAAGAACGCGAGTGATTGGTTTACTTTTCCCGCTGTTTGTTCCCTGTCCTACGTGTGCAATTCGTAGCCTCTGCATGGAACCACAGGCTTCCCAGGTGTTGGGAAATGATCGTGGAAAACCATCCCTATAGTTATCAATAAAATTTGATTTACAACAGCTGACGATTATGTGATCAACAACTTCTTGCACGTGGAATATGTGATCAGTTTAATTCTGCTAAGCCCTTTAGAAGACGCCTTTGATTTAGATTTGGGCCGTATTCAGTGCTCATTAGAATCTATCACTCTAGGCAGGTACGTGTTTCGGACAAAACAAAATGGTAAGGTGAGAAATGGCTCTCCTTTCTGGTTGAAATTTGATCTCAGTCAGAAAGGTTTAAATATAAGAAATGATACTCGTGCGTAAGTACCTCCAACAACTTTCCCCCACCGCACCCCTACTTGAAAACTACAAAAAACGAGAGCGAAACTGATTGACTGTGAGACAATATTCTCCAGTACAAAGTACATGTAAGTCAAACAAACAATTTGATAAGATGCGATGGTTGATAATCGAGCTGACATGTACTACTCCATGGATAAACAATACTATTGATATTGCGTGACGATCGAAAAATCGGCTGGAAAAATGCGCGCAAAACTGACTTGGCATCTTCTTCATTGTTCAACCATGTGACATGACGTCACTCGCATGTGTACAACAAACAGGAAAGGAGCGATTTTCAAGATCGGCGGTAAGCTAATGTGTGTCGGGGATTGGCAGTAATGAACGGCTATCGAAGCGAACAGGAAGAACAAAGCTCTACTGTCGGGCAGATTTGCTGCCTTGTCGAAGACAACGACCGCTGTAAGCGACCAGCCAGCAACGCAAGCTACTCCAAGCGAATTCAGAAGACAGTTTCTCAGAGAAAACTGAAGTTGGCTTTGGACGTAAACGTAAGCGAAATTTTTTCCGACTGAATCCTTTCACAGATCCGAGGTTGCTGACCGAACTGTAAGTTTTTGTTTGATAGAGCTGGGATAATTCGAATTAAATTCATTGTAAACCGGTTTTATTTCAGGCAAGACACATCTATATTTGCGAGCATCACAAAAATATGATTCAGAGCGTTCGGAGCAAGAGAAAACGTAAAGATTCCGACGATGAAGCGGACACAGCTGAGGTAAGAAGGACAACTCTGTGTTTATCTTTTTAAGCACCTGGAGTAATTTACCCTGCTGTTTGCGACGGTTTTCCTTACCATTCGTGCTCAAACTTGTTGGTTACGTGTTTGATATTCTTAGGAAAGATTTTGACGTGTTCTCTTTCATCTCGCACAGGTCGATTTCTGTCAATTGCAGGTGAACACTCTAAGAAGATATAAACGACATTACAAGTTACAAACCCGACCAGGATTGAACAAATCACAGCTTGTTGAGGTATGTATGGTTGAACTGAAGAGATTTTTATATTTTTGGTTCGAAGCCTGGATGGCAAAACACTCGTTGTATCATCATTACAAATGTCGTTAGTCACCTTTTTGTTACGATAAACGTAATTCGATGTGAGCTAACAAATTCAAATGTCTTTTTATCTTTGAGTAGTCCCTTTTAATTTGGCTTAGTTCGGATATTTGAAGAATGTTTCTTTTTCTTACAAAGTACGAAATTCTAGAGAAAACTCGTGCTGTACGTGGATTTCTACCCTCCTCCCCATAGAAAATGCATTCTTGTCGGTCGATACTCCTCTGGGGGAGTGGAGTAGGTCGGAAGCTATACTTTGTCCTTTACAGAAGATTTAACCCTTTAACTCCAATGAGTGACCAAGACAGAATTTCTCCTTACGATATCTATGCAATATCATGCAGACAAGTGATGAGAATTAAAAATATATAAATTATGGGATTATTAATTGATCCAATATCAACTTCTCCAAACTAACTTAATGAGAATCATTTGACAGACACTTAGGAGAATTACTAATGAGATCTTGGGAGTTAAAGGTTCATTCTAACTTTCAGTGCTCATAAAAAAAGTTTCAAAAATTCAAAATTTGTTCAGAAGAAATGAGCAAGTCTGATTGAATGGACATGTTAGTGATTTAAACCCAAAAAAAATCTCAACCAAAATTGTCAAAATACCAAATACTGCAAACCCTAGCAATGTTATCCAGTTAATACAAATATCATCATTTTCCTTTTTGCTGCCATGTTTTAAGGAGTCCCAGATTTTCATATTGTTTAAGGGAAAGAAGAATTTGATGTTTTTCAGTTAGTTATATCTTCTGGTTTTCATTTTGTTAAAATGGATTCATCAAAAAATTCTAGAGATCTCTGGAATTAGGATTATTTAGTATTGATCACGGTGCTTTTGAGTGGTCCACATGAAAGGCTTAGTCCTTCCTTAGGATATCTTTAGTAGCCTCTTCAGTGTATCTGTAGTAGCCTTGCCATTTTTAAAAAGCATCCTAAAACATTTCTTTTAAGGGAAGCTTATAATTTATAAGAATAGCTCTTAATGTTTAGTGCTTTAAATACTTTAATTTTAATTTTGTATTGAATTTTTAGACTTTTATTTCTTTAGATTGTAGCTTAGCAAGGAAATTTGTTATTATAATTATTGTTATTACTAGCTTTGTTGGAATTTTAATCTTAGCTGTTAATTGTAACTTAATGTTAAGTGCTTTTGAATATTTTATAGTCTTAGCACTATACAAATTCTTTTTTTATGTTATCTTTATCAGTGTAGCCTAAATATTTTTAATTCTCCATTTTCAATTCACATAAAAACCTTCCCCATGCCAAACAATCTCTATCCTTTCTTGTTATATTCTTAATCCTAAGTTATTTACTTCTCAAATGAAATATTATTTGATGGTGCATCTCTTTCTTTGATGAAATTCTGGTAGTTGAACAAATGTTGTTTTAAACATGTCTTACATGAAGCTTTGTTTTTATTGTTTTAAGACCATCCAGAGACACTTCAAACAGATTCCATGCCCTGAAAAGGAGACAGTTACTTACTTTATCTACATGATCAAAACCCACAAGAGCAAGTTAGACCAAAAACCAGACAGTAACTGAAGACAGATGGTCTCCCATGTGCTGTAATCTCTGTATAGAATTTCATTTGAACTTGGAGTGAGAAAGATGATGTAAACAAATATGTTAATGTGTAAATACATTAGAATGGTCCTGGTGTTGTAGATATGTATAGGTAAACGTTGAGGAGATCAATGCAGAATGATATCGTGCTGAATCATAATTCTAGCATTCTCTTCAGGGGTTTCATGAAGTTTTGAGGTGGATGTCAAAAATTGCAAAGTAGGAAGCTAATTAAGGTTTAATTGTTACCCTAGTGTTGTTAATTTCAGAAAAAATTGGTGACAAATTTGCTTGACATAGGGAATTTCACCTTTTTTCCAGATTTTTTTTTTATCTCATGTAGAGTTAGGTTTTCCATCAGTGAGTTACCAAACTTACAATGTTAATCAGTGCTCCAAGCCGTGACCAATTTGATCTCTCTACTTCAAAGAGAAAAATACTTAGGCATGTAAATCTGCTGCTCAAGTCTCAAATTTGAATTCCTGAATTACTGTGTGATTCTAGTGTAATGTGAAAGTTAGATAGATATTAAATACAGTAGTGTGAATACTCTGTCATTTTTTTTAAGGTGGCACATAAACCTCTGACACAGCTAAGGTGTGTTTTAAACAAAAAACCTGTTTTTTTGTGCATTGCATCATCCAACATGCCCATATTTTATTTCTTTTTCTCCCATGGGGGGACCTAAATATTGTTCTGCCAGCTATTTTGACTCAAGATTGCTAAGGAGAAACAGAATAGCACTTAGCTTGGGGCTCTGTTAACAGCTGTTGATTACATAATTTATTTTCAATACTAACTCAAATTTAATAAATTACGTGAATAAGATTTCCCTGTATTCAGAATGTGTCCTACATCAGTAGTTCTCATAAATTTGTGTGAAAATAAATTATTTTAAGTTACATATCACAACCAGTCACCTTAGTACAAGGCTCTAATGACACAAGACTCGTCAGTCTGTCAGTTTAAGACTTTGATGCTGTTACAGTTACAAGCTAGTGTTAAAGTAGCAGTACACTCCAAGATTTGGAGTTTATCATGGCAAAGTTCTAGATAGGAGTTGAATGTTTCATTCCTTTATCACATTCCCATGGATATTAACCATTATCAAAGTAACATTCAAAATGTCTTTGTAATAAGTTTCTTTTTGAATAAAAATTATAGTAGTGAGTGCGTTTTTGTTGTAGTTAGAAGAATAATGTTTTTGTTAATTTAAATTACAAAGCATGTCCAGTAAGATTTTTTCATACTTATGATACAGTGCAGTAAACTATACACTGTCAAGGACTGAACCCTTATGTGATCAGTGTGCATTTTCTCCCTACTGTTCTCTATGCATTAACATTTCCTGTGGTGTTGACAATAATGATAATAACCACAATGTTTTTATGAGTGCATTTCAAGCCTCAAAATTTGCACTTACATGTTGCCTATGGAATCAATCTCCATCACAAAATAACTTAAACACTAGACAAGTAAAAACATATAAAGTAACTCTCATGGCTTATGAAAGAACTTCTGAAATAAAAATTTTGAAAGATGGCAGCTTTGAAAGACAAAACTGAAAAAGCACTTTCAAGAGAATTGGGGAGAGTATTCCATAATGTAGTTACTCAAAAGGAATATGCATGTTAACCATAAGTCACAGAGTTTAGGGCAAGAATAGTAATATGCTTTTTTTTAACAATCAAGAACCTTTTAGCTGGTGATCATTACCTTTGTTCTCATGACCTTAATGTTTGACTTAGAAGTAAATTCTCATGACCTGAATGTTTTGGTTTGATTTAGGGGTCATACTGTAAGGAGAAATTAGATGCTTGTCAGTCTTAGGGGTGAAAGGGCTAACACATAAAACTAACACTCTATTCTTTTCAGTTTTACAACCACTCACTGCACTAAAACAATCGAAGTGAATAGTCCATTTTACAGTTGTGTGCTTGGTTGCCAAGCCTTTGAACAGGAGTGAGGCTAAGGGTGACCTTGTTATGTTACAAACCTTGCTGCTTTTGAAATGCAAATTAATTTGTTATCATGCTAACTAGATTCTGGTCTCTAACACAACAAGGTCACCTTCAGCCTCACTCCAAATCAAAGGCTTGGCAACTAAGTACACAACTGTAAAATGGCCTATTTGAATATATGTAAACCTATGATGATAAATAATGAAATTTTTGTGCGGATGGTCAGTTGTGGGAGATGTTTGGAGATAACTCTGGTACAAGTTCTAGGTGAATGTAGGTGGCAAAGATTTTTTTTTCAATCTAACAGTTTTTCTAACTGGAAAACTGAAAATGAAATTGGAGATTGAAAAGAAAAGCCAAAGTTTGGACCCCCCCTCCCTCTTACCCAGTCCCCAGCACACACTGCACCCTTCTAATCCATGTCCATGGCACATTGAAGGTCAATGCAAATGAAGTTGATCCAGGTGACAAACAGTGAGATTAAGTGATTTATATTTCCGTACATTTATATTCTTGTTTCCTTCAGATAAACACTGTTTCGGCAGGTGTATAGAGGAGTCTAAACCAAACCTGCTTGGATACCGAAAAATATAACTTTTGGTATACTGCAATCATGCTGTATTCTGAAATGAAGAGATAAATTTGGCCGTAATTCAAATTTTCCATGCTCCATCACTCCGCTCTTAAGATACTTGGCAGCTGAAGACACCGGAAACGTATCTTCCGGCCTAATATGAGCGAGGTCTGGGCACATTTCACTTCGTTGCTTCTTTGGCGGGCAACATGTAAGCGATCGAGCTTTTCCTTACACTGAAACATGGCTTCTAAAGCATTCTACAGACCTGTAGTCAAGAGAAGTTCATCGGAGCTGATTGACGTCTTAGATGGTTCGGAAACCAGCGCTGCAGGTAAGTGTTGTGATTTCGCTTTCGAGAGCTGGATATCAACGACCTCGATGGAGGTGGAGCAGGATCAGACAAAATGATGGTTCAATCACGGCTTGTCCTTCATTTGTTTAGAGTTCACAAGTAGAATTGAGAAAACGTTTATACTATATCAATATATTTGATCAGTTTCAACCATTTAAAAACAAATTAAGTGCATTCCTGTCCGATCGATAGCAAAAAGATTTGAATTATTTTAAATAAATTGTTTTCCAAAGGCCATTTGATCGCGGTTGCAGTTTCTGTTTTCTTTCGCCGGTGATGTCTTCTAAGGTCTTGCCTTTACGTTTGAAGCGGGTTACTTAGCTTTACCTGTGATCTTATCGAACATTTGAAGCCATTTAAAAACACCTGGAGCAACATAAACACAAAATCGTCGGGTGATCTTCTCAAAACCGGAAGAATGCGAACAGCTGAAAATAGCCCACAATGCGCAAGCGCGTCTCTGTCAAGCTCTGAATTTTAGGTGGATTCTGGAGGAGAACAAATGTGTATTTGTTTTTTTGAGGAAATGCTTCTCTCAGTTGAAAATCTTTATGCTGGTCAGGGGCGTTAGTGATCTGGTGGTCGAAGTATGGCAGAAGGTTTCAAATTGACGGCGTCAGGTTCGAAAAACGATGGAAATAATGGTTGGTATACAATTCGTTGAAATTGAAAATGGGGAAATTTAAGTTAAAACATGAAACACCCTTGTCAAACTCGAATATAAATCGTGTTAATTGATATTCTTTCTAGGAATTGAATTGCCTATACGCGTTTTTAGGTCTTGAAAATGCTTTACCTTTGATATATCTCAGTATCATTCGATAGGTTTCTCGTTTGAAGAAAATCTATTATTGTTGGATTTATATAAAATCATTTGCATTGATTTCAAATCTGCCAAAGGCCTCCAAACCCCTTGGTTGATAAGAAAATTTAGTATTTTTTCCGTGAGTGCTCGACCCAGCTATGTTTCGTTTTGAAGCAGAAGTGACAAATTGATTTTGGATGAAAATAAACTGATATAACTTCTTTTGAGTCGAGTTCACGACAGGTGTAACGCACCGAGGCCAAAGAAAATTCATCAGCTGTAAGCATGTTTAAAAACAGTAGGCCTCCGTTTATAACGCGGTCTCCAATCGTTTTATCTCCTGGTACATATATAATTTCACATTTTGAACGTTTACAGTCTTATAACACTGATGCTGGTTCTGCTTCATTTGTTATCCTAAACATTTAGAAGCTTAGACATCTTAATGCACATATATATTTTTTTAAACTCTTCCTTAACACTTTCTCTTTCAAAATAGGGCTTTAGTTTTTTTCCCCTTCAGGTGAAATATTATTTCTGATAAAATAAACCTCTAAATTGCGTTTGGTAAAAAAAAAAACAACATTAAGCTTGTTTTTAGAGTTATCCTGATTTAAGTGGTGTTGGGGCACCCACCGAAAACCAATGTCACAGTTGTAAGAAAGTCTTTCTGTGTCATTTGATCTTAGCCTACCAAGGCTAAGTAAAGCTTTGGTTGGAAACTGAAAGAGGCTCAAGTTATTAGGAGTTCGAATTATTTGGAGTAGGCAGCAAAAATTGGCAGATAAATAAAGTTTTGTTACTTTCTGGAGATAATTGAATTTGTTTGCAGTATAGAAAATGATTGAGTGAAAATGAAACATTTTGAGGAAGGATTTAACAGGCAACAAAGCTTTATAAAGATACATTGCTTTCTAATTGAATGATACTAAACCAGTGGAACCTGACTTGACATGCTTTGAAAAATGCCAAATAGATACATGACTGCTTAGAAATAATTCTCAATTTCTTGTCTTGACCTGTTACACAGTTATAGTCATAATCTAAATAAAACTGTTCAGAGTAGGAACAAAGCAACTTATTAGGTATGGGTAGATTCAAGTTGTTGAGTATTGTTTTACCAAGGGTGAAATTTAGATGGAGATTGGAGAGGAAGTTGTTTGAGTTTAGGCCTCCTTTGTAAAAAATGATGTTGGTTTTGGAGTGCCAGTACTAAAATCATGCAAGATACCATTGGCCTGAGGGTCACTTCTTGCCATGGGTAACACTTTTTTGCTACCGTGTACAAGTTTATTATTTCACCACTTTTATTTAATATTTTAGGTTAAATTAATATTCAAGATGCAATTTTCTTGAAATGAAATTCAGACAGTGACAGGTATTGAATTGCTAGATTACTTACAAAGTCATCTATCAGCCCAATTTGTGATCTGGCTCAATTAAAGTTCTTCTTTTGATTTTTTCTGTTCAAAACTGTTGGTTTTGATCATAACAGAATTATTTCATGTTTTAAATCATAATAAATTATTTGTTTATAAAACCTCATGGTAGATGTGCTGTTTGGTCAGGAAATGCAGACACAGTAAAATCAATCAACATGTGGTCAAGACATTAACTTTACATAGCTTACTGCAACAATTTCAGTAAATTAAATACCAAGGCTTTTTTTCCTGTGTTGCATTTTATGTCAACATAGTCTGTGGTATTGAGCCTAGTATTGTGTTCAGCTTTCCTTAGCTTTCTGTTTCATTAGCTTCCACTAAAACAACATTTGTTTCATATTAAAATTCAGGGGGTCAGTTTGACATCAGTTGTCATGGATATTTTATAGCATTAAAAGAAATTTAATTTCTTGTAAATTTTTAAAACTGTGAAGACTCTCCACCCAAATTATTTACAATATTGGTTTGTTGTTTTTGAAAAAGTGTGGTCCTATACACATGACTCTTCTTCCATCAATAATTTTATTCCACAAGGTCTTAAAGAAATGTTGATCAAAGGGATAAAAAAGAGCTTATTGCTCTGAAATATGGAGAAACTGAAAAATTATAATATTTAAACTTAGCATTGACGTGTGATTTAATTTAAAAGTTAATTTTTTGCATAACCATTTGATTTTGATTTCAGACTTTCTTTGCTGCATTGTTAATGATTTTATATTTGTGATTACAAAAATCATGGAGTAGGGAAGAAGCTTTTTTCTTATTTAAATAACTTCTTTTTTATTTATTCATCTAAGAATTTTATGCATTCAAATTTTGAATCAATTAAGTTTTCTGTCTATACTTATGTCCATGTACCTTAATTTAAATGATTAAATGCTGACATTCATGGCCATTTCCGCCTAAGTGTCGTTAGCGTGAGAAAATGATAATTCCAAACAGATTTATGACTTAACATTTTCTTGTTTTCTCTCTGAGCCCTGATCATTAAGTGTTAAGTCAAAAGTAAACTTGTGTAAGCAAAGTTTGTTTTTGTGTGGGTAGTTTTCCTTCGTCTGAAAATTTATATATTTTAACTTGCTGCCTCTGGTAAGATGTTTTAAACTTTTGTGTGGTAAAAGAAAATTTATCAAAACTGCTGGCCTTAAATAGTCACTGAAAAATAATCGAATTTTATAACATTTATAGGTAATAGTGAAGTTTTGGTTAAAATTTTTTTATATTTACTATGTAAATAAATGAAAACGTATTTCCTCCATGTAGCTTTTATTTTTTCCCCGCAAAGTGAAAAAAGATCAACCAGAGTGAAATTCTTTTGATTTCATTTTTTTTAAGGTAAACTGTTATGAGCAGTGTTTATGAAAGAGTTGTTGCCTCTCTTTCAATTTTGATTTTCCAAACAAAACGCAGCTTTTATTACAACATTGTTACTCCTGAAAACTGTGACAACAGTACACAAATGTATATAACACAAATTCTGTTCTCTGTTAATTTAACAGGTAATGTATTCTATTGGTATTTAGATTATTTAGGGTTTCAGTAAGAGATGCAGTAAGAGATTCAGTCAGATCTGAAGTAGATATATGCCCAGTGTAATTGCTTCCTAGTTCCTCTGAAATTAGTAACATTAGTTAAGAGTAAAAAACAAACTTTCATTAGCTGCCTACTTAGTAGGTTTTGCCTTTTTACTTCAAAACTTACTGAAACCCCTCTAATGCCCAAAAAATAACGAGTCCCATTTTGTGCTTGATTTCAAAACAATGAATTGTGTGGTCACACAGAATTGTTGGTCAGCAGCACTTATTAGTATTTAATTAGAGTCGTGATTATTCGGATTGTTTCTCATTAAATTATTCACATTTTTGTCTATTTTTACAGATAATTATGGATCTCTTAAAAATGATGTTACTGATGGTTCAGAAGCAGAGAGAGTTATCATCATTAATAAACCACAAACTCAGCAGTTTTGCAACAACAAAATTAGGTTTGTTTCTTAAATATATACAATAATTATAATAAATACATGAAATGTATGGTTTTGTTTATTATCAAGCTGAGGTTCATTGTGTGAGACAGTTGTGAATTAAACTGAAATTACAAATGAATTTAAAAGTTGAATTGTATTAGAATTATATTGTATTATTGATTAATAATTGAATTGTTAATTTTTTTTAGTTATCTATTGATTTCATCAATATTTTATTGGTTTGCTACTAAAAACAAAGATCTTGCATGTTTCATGCCTAATAATGTGCTTGAAAAAATTACATGCTTGTGATTGGCTGAAAACAAGTTTATTCTCATGTTACACAAGTGCAAAGTCGTAATAGAAGTGCAAAGTTACAAATTAGTACGCACACACTTTCAAAAGTTTGTCTGTCTTGACTTTCTGTGATGTTTTTTCATGTACATTATTAACAAAATAATATAATTTCAAGTGCAGTTTGGTGTAATAAATACTTGTAAATTTTTCAAAGACTTCAAATTGCGCTTGCCCTATGGGCTTGTGCAATTTTTTTGTCTTTGAAAAATTTACTCATGTACAAATATACTTGTATTCGTGCTGTTAAGAAATCCTGAAAGTAGTAACTACTCAAAATCCAACCTTTCTTAAAGCCACCGTTTGGCAACCTTAAATCATAAATGCCTGCCAGAAGGGAAAAAAAAAGTTTATTTGCCAATGAAGAAAAGAAAGGAAAAGGAGAGCTTGTGCAAAAGTACATGACATGTTATAGAAAGAAATTTAGAAAGCAATTTACATATATCAATGTCAGCGAAGGAGAATGAAAGAAAATATTATGAAAGACAATGATGGAACACAGATTATACTTACTGGTATATCCAGTAGGAACGTTTGACCCTGACCTTGAGGGCTTATTTATGAAAACATTAAGAATTTTCTTCAGGTCTTCCATGTTCATGACAAAACAAACAATCTCTTTATTCAATGACCATGGACAATATTTTGTTGTATTTTATTATCACCAGCAATATATATTTTCATTTTACAGCACTGCCAAGTACAACTTCTTGACATTTCTTCCCAAGTTTCTCCTTGAACAGTTTAGTCGATATTCCAATGTTTTCTTCTTGTTTATTGCACTTTTGCAGGTGAGTGAAAGTACAAACTTTTACTATAGGGCAGTAGATTTTGTACATTCTATACTCAATTACAACTTAGGGGCCAAATAAACATGGGGTGGGTGTCCGAAAAAAGTTTTAATGAATGTCAGCTCAATTATCACAACTCATGCGTTTCCTTCAAAACCCGGTGAAAGATCTTAATTACCTTTACTCTGTAACTTACACAGTCTGGTCCTCTTTATTCCTGGAAAAATGTAACATTCATTTGATAAATAGATTGAGTAATTACCAATAGTTATTTCTAGGAGTAAATATGATGATCTTCACTTTGAATTCATGGTGTTTATCTTTTCATTAAGTATTCTCCATCCTTGGGCCAAGTGATTGGATCGAAATAGAAATATAAGACCATGGGAAATTATTTTCTTCTCCAAAGAAAATAGATTGATTTTGATATTAAATGGTTTCAGCAAATAGATGATGTGTCTCCAACTGGGCGTTATACCACAGCTGTTCCTCTTCTCTTCGTTCTTTCTTGCTCTGCTGTAAAAGAGATCATAGAAGACTATGTAAGTTGCTTTTTTTAATATATATAAAATTGGATGAAGGGTAGTTTTTTTTTTAACGTGATCAATAATTATTTTTCTCACAGAAAAGGCATCAAGCAGATGACCAGGTTAACAATCGTAGGGTTAAAGGTAACTATTAATTCACAAAGAAATTTGACAGCTTCATCAACATGTACCATACTTAATATTGACAAAAGTAGTCCTAATTTTTTTACAAGTATATTGTATTAGGAATAGATCCTCATACCTACAAGTATTACATGTTCCAATTCTTAAAGTATGCAAGACACTCGACTGCCAAATTAAAATGTGAATTTGGAGCTTGATTCATCATGGGTTATTCCTGATTTTTTCCCATTTTTTTGAACACAAGTTAATTTACAGCATCTTCCTTCTTTGATTGCCTTGCACAAAGTTAGCCAACTTTATTGTGATGCACTCAATTTTTTGTCTTCTAGTTCTTAGAGATAATACCATGCAGTCGTTACTTTGGACTGAGGTGAGAGTTAAACCATAGACACTATAAATGACTACAGGTTAGTATTAGAGTATTCACTTGCTTTTTGTTAAATGAGAATCTTGTTATTTTTTTCAGGTTCAAGTTGGGGATATAGTGAAAGTGGTCAATGGACAATTTTTTCCAGCAGACCTTATACTAGTTTCATCAAGGTGAAGTTTTTTTTGTTTGGTTAACTGAAGGGAACTACCAGCTTTTATTTGTTAATCATTTGATGTAAACATTTGTAGGTCAGTCAATCAGCTTGTCTGTATGTCAGTCAATCTGTCGGCAGTCGTTCAGTCAGCCAGCCAGTAAGTCAGTCAGTCAATTTGTCCGTCCGTCCGTCTGTTGGTCCATCAGTCAGTTGCAATCAGTGAGTCAGCTAGCCCTTTGATGCTTGAGGCTTTCATTCTTTTATGGAAATAGAGTGATACATCATCACAGGTGTTGTTTGGTACATTGTTTTGATTTCTTTCCTTTGCAGTGAGCCAATGGGAATGTGTTACATAGAAACATCAAATCTTGATGGAGAGACTAACTTAAAAATCAGACAGGTTAGCAAATGATCCCATTACCAATTATTATTAATCAGGTAATATGATTTGTAATCAGATAAAATGATATATTATTTGATAGATTAATAATTTATGAATTCTAATAGGGAATTTGTGCTTCAAGTTTTGTTAGTAGCAGATCTGCTCATTACAGATATTTTAATATTAAAACATCACCTGTACATTAAACATTTTCTTACTGATAGCAAACTTTGTTACATTTTTTGTACAGGCCTTACCCCTCACTGCAAAAATGACATCACTTCTAGAGATTCGTTGTATGCAAGTATGTGGATTTGTGGTGCAAAATGTTGGTTTGTCTGATTTTACTTTTGAGAAATGAATGAATGTGTTTAACAGTGACAAATTTGTCCTTAGGGACGTGTGGAGTGTGAAGGACCAAATAATCGACTTTACGACTTTGTTGGAAATATCACTCTTCAAACTCAAAAGTAAATATACTGATTAGAAACTTTGTTCTATTTATAACTAACTATATTAGTTGATGTTGTATATAACCTATCATGAATGTGCATCAAGATAGGCTGCCCCTTTTGTAATTTGTCTTTTAAGGCACAAATTTACTCAAAGGAAGTATTTTTCTTAGTGAGACTTAATTTCATGATTTGGGGTGATGATAATCTCAAAATAGAATTGGTAATTAATAAATGTCACCTTTTTTTTTTTTTTAGATCACTACCAGTTGGTCCAGAGCAAATCTTGCTGAGAGGAGCAAATTTAAGGAACACACAGTGGGTATTTGGTGAGTTCTGAACAATTGAGTTACACCTAATTGCAGTGAAATTATCAAAGAAAAAAGCACAAAGCTGAAAATGAAAAAGGCAAGCAAGATTTAAGTTACATTATCAGTGACCTTTTTGTGATCTTAGTACATATTCCCAGTACAAAGCTAACAGAAAAATTACCAGTAATATTTTATTTGAGTATATTTATTTTTATGTATTGTATTCTGTTTATTAAATGTTATTATTGTTATTATAAATATTAACCCATCATTTTTAATCTTTTCAGGTCTTGTTGTCTATACTGGACATGACTCCAAACTTATGCAGGTGATGTCATTAATATGTCATTATTGATTGAGTGAGGGTACTGGACTGGAAAATATTTGGCTCATGGTCATGATATATGGGGTCCATACTTCTTGACAGAGAGCCAAATGTATTCCTGTCTAGCCCAACCTAACTCAGTCAGCAAGCATGTTATCTTTTGACTGCTGGTCTATCTCTCTCCTCCTTTCTTCTTGTGTCTCACAAGGCTGGCACTGTGTCCGCCATCTTTTGCAGCCTTTGAACAGGGATTTTTCTGTGTTGTGTCTTGACAAAAGCACACATGTAACTGTATTGAACATCTGACAATTTATGATAATATTTTGGTAGCTTTATTGCTAAACAAAAATGGAAGAAATTAAATTATTGTTAAAGTAAAATATTAAGCAGTTCTTGTTACACACAATTTGGTGATATCTCTGATGTAGACCATGAGTTGATGATTCTGTGATACAGTTTTTAAGAATCTTGGTTGAATTTTTTAATAAAGGTGCATTCTTGATGCATGGCAATTTTTCTCTTGTTTTTCAGAACTCCACAGCTGCTCCCATCAAGAGGTCAAATGTAGATCACACTACCAACATTCAAATCTTATTCTTGTTTGGGCTGCTTCTTGTCTTGGCTCTTTGCAGTACTATTGGGTTTAAGATTTGGACAGGTTGGTGCATTTGTGATATTACTGTTGTCACTGTTCTTCATTAGTTTGTAGTCAAATTTACACAGGCTTTCCTTTGAACTTCTGGGAGAGGCTATGGCCAAACAGATAGCACAATGGACTCTAGATAAGAAGACTGGGTTCAGACCTGGTGGGGTCATTGTGTTGTGTTCTTTGTTAAGACACCTTACTCTCAAGGAGTTTCTTCATCTTGGAGTTGTAAACTGTCAGGGATGCCTGATGGAATGCTGACGGGTAATCTGTGATGGACTGGCATCCCATCAAGGTTAGGGGGGGTTGGGTATAGCAGAACTCTCATTCGCTTCATGCTACAGAAACCTGGATAAGCTCTAGCTGGATGTAGAGAGTTTACATTTTTTTACCCTCTGGTCTCCTTGTGGTTAAAATTTCTTCACACACTGATTGTGCACTTGTCTCACTTAGGTTGTACACTGTTCAGTAAAATTCAATATTTGTGAACCTTTATTTTTCAGATAATCATCGGGACACTGATTGGTACCTGGGATATTCTGGTAAATAAAGCATGATAGTATGTAATCAGAAGGTCATGTAGATAGAGGGCTGAAATAGTGACGCTGGCAAAAGAGTAGGTGAATTGGGCTGGGGTGGGGGGGGGTGGAGGTTGTTAGAGAAACCTGATGAAAAGCTGGGAGGTAAAATACCAAAAAATTCCACCAGGCCAACTATTAACCCTTTTACCCCTAACAGTGACTAGCTTCTCATTTTTCCCTATGATATCACCTCTGAATCATACATTAAGGTCATGAGCACAATGGAAATGGTCACCAACTAAAGAAGCCTATGATTGTTTAACAAATTCTCCTTGTTAGCACCTAAAGAAATGTATGGAGAACGGTATGGAGAATATGCATAATGATGTTCGGGTGTAAAGCAGGGCTCGAACTTAACTTTTTTGTCTACTAGCAAAGTTTTGCTAGTAAGATTTTTTTTACTAGCAAAAGAAGGAACCTAACTAGCAACTTTTCAATGCAGCCATTTTCCCTTTGAGGGCTAAATCAGTGTAAAGATTTTAGCTACCTACCGGTACTCGCAAATGTTTGCTAGAGGATATTTTTTAGACTCGCAACTTCTAAAAACCACTCGCATTTCGCGAGTTTGCGAGTGCTAATTTCGAGCCCTGTAAAGGGTTACGAGCAAAATAAAGGCAACAAACATTCGCAAAATTCCTAACACCATATGACACTGTGTATACAGTGGTAATCCACTAACACGTGCCCACATCTGGGTACACGTGGACACAATGTAGGGGGTGTGAAATATCATGAGTGGTTTCGGTCAAGAGACCGGGGTAAACTGTAGACGATCTTTTTTTCTTTACTTTTTGATCGCTAAAAAACATTTTCCTCAGCATGACAAAAACTTGTTTTTCTAGGTAAAAAAGCCCAGAATCTTGGCATGTCCTTCTTGACGTTCATCATTCTGTTCAATAACCTGATCCCTATCAGCTTGACAGTTACGCTTGAGGTACAGTCCAATGATAAAAACAGCATTTCTCATTACTAGGTAATACGGTTTTATGGTGTTATTGCTACCGACAACTTACCGACTAATCACCGACTGATTACCGACAGATTACCGATTGTCAGCACTCTGTTGGCCACTCGGTGGCCAACACCTAGGCTGAAAACTTTTGACGGCCGACAGGTTTTTTCGGGAAGTTTTCTTCCCAATAACCCATTACTGAATGTTACTCGGCTACACGGTCACAAATTTTTGTAACTTAATATTTTTTGGTTTATACAGGTTGTGAAGTTCATCCAAGCCATCTTCATAAACCTAGTATGTACTTTCGCTTTTAATTCATTGTTTCTTGCTCTAAAAGATACAAGGTTATCAGCTGCATTATATGCACTATTTAAACGTCCACACATCCAAACACAGCCCGATGATTGGTGAACAAGTGCGTAAATCGAAGTGCCTCCAAACAAGATACATTTCATGTAAACTGACACAACACGTCACCTTAGTTCCTTCTTCGGAGATGTTCAATTGAACTGTTCATTTCTTTTGTCACAGGATATTGACATGTACTATGATGAGACAGATACACCAGCAATGGCAAGAACTTCCAATCTAAACGAAGAGTTAGGGCAGGTTGGTTCTTATTGACACCTGATATGTATTCCTAGGAACCATACATGTACTTGAAATATCGTCACAGGGTGATAGGTTATTTGAAGAGCTTAAAGGGGGTAAGTTTCTAAAGAAACCGTTGTGCTGCGTTGGTGGGAGAGTATAACAGGGTAATTTGTATGATCAACTGGAGTTGATAACGTAAATTGGCTACCGTAAAGAGTTTTAAAGCTGACGTTTCGAGCGTTAGCCCTTTTTCTTAGCTTGTCGATTGGCAATTATATAGTAAGCTGAATTATTTTAATATATTGAATTGTTGGAGGAGACACATAGACGACGTTACCATCAAAAACTTTTGCTTCTTTATTATAAAAAATAAAAAGAATCCATGTTGCCGTGGGAATTCACAGAAGATTGTGGGAGAACACATAGACGACGTTTATCAGACCAAAAACTCTGACGTTTTCTTGATCTGCGACTCTTAATATGATAATATGGGTCCTTAACAAACGCTGAAAGATGCTGAGCTTGTGCAGGAGGTACGAAAGATGACAGTTCAGAACTCCGCTTCTTGAAAATACTGCATACTCTCCTGCTATCATTTCGTTAGACTTAAAAAACGCTCCAACGACTGGCAGTCCTGACAAAGGCTTACAGCATGAAGGCCCTATATTGTCACCGAGGCACAAACCTGACTGAGTTAGTTTCAAGTCGTCGTTTGAGTTTGAGATACTTTTTATTCTCGTATTACACAGGTGAAGTACATTTTCTCAGACAAGACAGGCACGCTAACAAGAAACGTGATGGAGTTTAAGAAATGTTCCATTGGAGGAATCAGTTACAGGTAAAAATGATAGATTATCAGCAATGCATGCTGTTGAATACCAACAATGAAACCCGCGAAGGCAAGAAATCTTTGCCCGAGATCGACCTCTCAGGAAAGATATGACTTAAAATGTTCCGCTGAACAGTAAGTGATTTTTAGCCTTAACACCGAAGTTTAAACAAAATGCGGCAAATAAATGTGTGAACGATCGATTCGGGTCATTTTTGGGGGAGTAGCTGGAAGCCATACAATTATGGGGATTGGAAACTCCGATCTCTGTTGCTATGGATGACAAGGTACAGACTTTAGGAAGTAAAATCGGTGTGTTCTTTGTCATATACTTGATGTTTTGTTTTCTTTGTTCATGTCAGTGGTGGAAGAGAAACGTTCATGGATCCAGCTCTGTTAGATAATCTTAGAGAACACCATGTAAGTATATTGAGCAGCTACATAGTTAATTATCACATAATTGATATACAATTTAACCCAGCTAACTCAAACTCCCAAGGAAAACAAAAAAACGGTACAAGTTAGCGGGGATTCGAGTTAGCTGATAGTAAATGACTGAAGACATGAGCTCAAGGGAAATCGGATCATGTTCGAGTTACAGGGGGTTCGAGTTAACCAGATGCGAGGTAGCGGAGTTCTTTAGTAGTTTCCAATTTATGATTGAAAGTGATCCGTGATTTTTGCTTAACTTCGCGCTGTAATTGATGCAGAGCGCTCAACCAATCATCTACAAGACTACAACCAATCAATAGATCCTCAACGATTCATAGAGTCTCCTTGTTTTAACCCTTTAACTCCCAAGATCTGATTGTTAATTCTCCTCTCTAGCTGTTGCACTTTTCCTAGTAAATTAGTGACGAGAATTCGGTGTTAGATCAAAATGACAACTTTGACATGATAAGTCTGAGTATTCTTGTTACCTGTGTGCTTAATAATGTATATATATTATAAGGATAAGTTTCATGTTAATCACTTCTGGGAGTTAAAGGGTTAACTTCGAATTCCCACTGACACCTGTGAAATTAGTTTTAGTTTTCTGAATATTGGACCTTTTGTTGAGTCTTTGGTTTTTGTGATGGCAATATAACCAAATATCTGAAAAGCGGACTTTTGATGGCAACATTAAAGATGAAGCTCTACTAACAATTTTCAAGGTTGTATTAATTGTATTTTTATAGCCGACAGCTTCTGTGATTCGAGAGTTTTTGACGTTATTAGCCGTATGCCATACAGTTGTTCCGGAAAGAGAACCAGGAAATCCTGATAAGATTGTTTATCAAGCCGCCTCTCCAGGTACAGCGAATTCTGCTTTACACTGAGTCACCTCAAATGAAGCGTGTAATCATTTTATTCAACATGGATTTGAATAACACTTTCTGACAGAGTTTTGAGTCAAATTAATGACATTTTGTCAGGCCAGTTTCTAGTGCATGCATTGATTCGTTATGCGACATTTTGTTGTTTGTCGAACTTCTGTTATTGTCCATGGATCATCTGCAGGCTATCAGTAGATTTTTGGCGACGGTCGGTAGAGTATAGCCGATGATGAGGATCAGATAGAAACACTGATTAAGAAAGGATAGTCAGTTGATTAGAGACTTTTACATTAAACGTAACAGAGTTAACCAGAATTTATTTTTGTTTGGTCTCGATTTAAAATTGAGTTCTTTATATTTTCAGATGAAGGTGCTCTGGTGAAGGGAGCTAAGAAACTAGGCTTCTCGTTCAACGTCAGGACTCCTACATCAGTGATTATCAACGCGGTACGTAAGGCACTATAGCTGACTACCAATGTATTCTCTGAGGCACTATAGCTGACTACCAATGTATTCTCTGAGGCACTATAGCTGACTACTAATGTATTCTCTGAGGAGAGCGTTCTTGAAAAATTCCTGAACGGTTCACGGCATGGCTCTAGAAACCCATCCCTTATTTTAGATCACAATGAATGGTTTCAGACCTGACGAATGTGAAAAACATTGCGTCGCCAAAGGGCATTTTAAGTCTAGCTGCATTGGAAAGAGTATTCAAAACCTGACCCAATGTCCTTCCCAAAGGGTCAAAAGCCACACCCTTTAGCGGCATATATACCTACTAGGCTAATTATGGCCTCAGCATTGGAGTACCACCCTTCTTGGAATGAGGTACAACCCATTGTCATGAAGCCTTTATATTATCAGATGTAGTTTCTTCACACTGCTTCGATCCTAAGCGTTACAATTTCGATTATAGCTGCAATCTTTAACATTAGAGCACCCGCCCTTTCCCCCATTCCTGGGATGAGTTAAAACCATTGTCAGTTTCTTCATACTGCTTCAATTCTGGGCGTTACAATTGCGATTATAGCTGTAACTTGTGTTTTCTTCTTGACACAGATGGGCCAGGAAGAGGTGTATGAAGTCCTAAATGTGTTAGAATTTAACAGGTAAATGTGAATCTTTTAAAAACTTTGCAAGTGTCTGACAGTGTTAGAATGAGTTCATGGATCGTAGATCAATTCTTGTCGCACGATTGGCGATTTAGGCGACGGAAATGGAATGGAGAACAGCAGTTTAAGAAAATTATTGAATACGATGTTCACAATTATTGTACTGAGGCCATTTGAGGTATTTATCAAGTTGGCGGGGATGGAGGTAGAAATATGAAACTCCAACTAACATCAAGAGAAGATAGAGTGTCCTCTCTCGCTAACATGTAATATCCGTTGTCTCAATTATACACCCTAATTTTCCTTTGAACCGGGGAACAAAAGCTTGCAATCTTCAAATTACTTCTTCGTATAATACCTTTCTTTGCTCGGGCTCCAAGCTTAATTTTTAAGATGTCGCCTTTTGGCGACCTTCACTTGTGAAAATGTTCTTCATTTCGACTTTTGTCGAAATGTTAGTCGCCAAATAGATTTTTTATACTCGCCATGGTGACCAAAATGGTCGCAGCTTGTAATCAACTGTTGTAAATTTGCCAATAGAGATGCTGATAAAATAAATGAAAATTAGATAACATCATTTTTTGCCTTAGTCAACGTTGTATTTTATTTCATCTTTAGCACTCGTAAGAGGATGTCTGTAATTGTTCGAACTCCAGAAGGAAAAATCAAGTTGTACTGCAAGGGAGCTGTAAGTTTTATTTCAATATTCTTCCAGCTTTGATTTTCTGTTAGGTTCAGTTCATATCTATATTTCATAATGATGTTCATTTGATTTAAGTTGAATATCTACTAGTTAATTACGAAACATTTATGTGTCATTTTGTTTAAAAGGATACAGTAATCTTCGAGAGATTGCAAGACAAACAGATGTACATGGATAGCACTGTAGAGCACTTGGAGGACTTTGCTAAAGAAGGTAAGTTGATCAAAAACTGCAGCATTCAGTGGGTTAAATCTTCGTTGTGTGCCCGGACATTTCCGATTTTTTCCGACCAATCATTCGGTAAACGCTGTTAGTCAGATTTTCATTATTACAGATGAAATATTAGCCACTTAAGCTCAAGAAAAGCTGAACTATTTATTGCACTCTTGCCTGATTTAATTCCTGTATTGCGGTGGTTTTTTTTCTTGAGCAAGAGACGGCTTAAAACTGTTCTTTCCTATTAGGCTTGTGTTTCGCATTTTCCTAGCTATTACGGCTAGATTTAAATACTTGAATGTCACTGCCGAAAAAAACAGTCTCTTAACCTGAAAAAATTGTCTGAAATCAGAAGTATACAATCTTCTCCCCCGCCAGGCTATATGCTTCTGTGCCGCATCTGCCGAAAGAAAGTTAACTTAAAAATACCCTTTCAAGCTGGAAGTTTGTGGATTTGCGTATCTCTTTTTTGGCAAATCTTGAAAAAGGAAGGGCAATGGTATCAGTAAAAATAGAGTCTCTGGTATAACTAACCTTGTTTCTATTGGGTTTTATCTCACCTCTGCGACGTTCGCCAGGCTTTCCAACCGAATTAGTTTTAAAGTTTACTTCTATTAAGGTAAAATTTTATATGATGCTAAGTGTAACATGAAATACAGTGAATTGTAGTTCCTGTGAGACATCTCGATGCAGGACATCCTTTTACGCCTCTTGCTCCAAATATGGTATAAGCCTATTGCCTCAACGCGCTTGCGCTATGGAGACTTGTGAAATTGATATCCTAGTAACGACTAGTTGTGTGTAATTTTCCATCCCAGGTCTACGCACTCTTTGCATAGCAATGGCTGAGCTGGAGCCTGAGGAGTTCCAGCGGTGGAGTGATATCTATTACAAAGCTTCCACAAGCTTGGAAAACAGAGAAAAGAACGTGGATGACGCTGCTGAACTTATCGAGAAGGTTGACCAAACATTTTTTGCTTCGATTCCACGCATATGACAAAGTGAACTGGGCGTCTCTCTTGTAAGAATTCTAAACTAGTTACCTTGTGCTGCTTTGATCTGTCTCATGTTTCTGATTGGTTGATACACTCTAACCCTAAGCAAAATCAGGGACCAATCAGGGACCAATCAGGGACCGATCTCTGTACAGCTTACGTCATTGCAGTAGAAGGCTTTTAGGTCAAATTTGCTCGTGATAAATTTTCCTTACGACCAAGTATCTTATTAATGTATTTTTGTTTTTAAACAGAATTTGTTCCTGTTAGGCGCCACGGCCATTGAAGATAAGCTTCAAGAGGTAAGTTTTAATACAGTGCCTTGTCGCAAGATATGACTGGCTATTTTATGATCTTACTGCGTCCTAGGAAGGAATTATCGGTTGCTGTACTTCTAGTAATGGGTCTTTTTAAATCAAAATTCAAGGTTAATGTTGTCTGTCAAGGTTCGAAAGTACAGAACACTCAAAACTAACGTCCTCTAAAAGTTGCAACCTAGATAATTCCTATTGTCGTCTTGTTGATAAAACAAACTTATCTTCTTTTAGAATTACTCTGCAACAAAGTACTAGTTTACTTAAAACGGTTCTTATTCTTGATAAATCTGTTTATGCTTTAACTTTTTGCGGTAATTTTTTTTATACGATGAAGTTGTCGTTAAATGAAAGCAACAACACCACGCTTTCAAATCCAAGTGACCAAGGTCTCCACTTTCAGAAATTTATGGATTGAGAACACAGAAACGGACGAGAAAATTACCTTTAAGAAAAGGGTGTATTCGTTTTAATCTTGTTTTGTTCATTTGTTTTAAGGGTGTCCCAGAAAGCATTGCTGCCCTAGCAGATGCCGACATTAAGATTTGGGTTCTCACTGGTGACAAGCAAGAAACTGCCATCAACATTGGTAATGTTCATCATCATACTCCGTAGTTTTCCTTGGAATTTAAGCTAGATAAGGTGACAAAAAAGAGTAGTCATGAGTTCTCTCCAAATCCTCGGCTATCGTCATTAGACTCTTAAAGGGGTCACGGGTTTAAGAACTGATTTCATCAGTTTTCACTCGAGTAGTATTACATCTTTCAAGGTTAGATCTAGCGAGAACACAAGGGCAGAGACCTAAGGCAGTAAAGAAAGTGGTAAGGACTCAAGTTTTTTTTCCAAGCTTTGGGGCCATGATAAACGCCTATGGCCACAAAATCTTAAAAAAAAATACACGGGTACCCACCCTGAATAACATGGTACGTTTAGTTTACATTAACAAAAATTGGGCATCCCTACTTATTTCTTGACGTGTCTGCGCCCGCTAAGAGAGCCGTGTAAAAACGCCTTTTAAGGTAAAGCAACAGTATACTTGCAGAAATAGTATTTGCTTGTTATCCTTCTATTTACAGTTTTTTTTCCTTTTTTCAGGTTACGCTTGCCGTTTGCTGACTCCGGAGATGAAGCTGTTAATCTGTGGCGAGGAGACACTGGATGTGAGTAGTTTTTGATGTGCAGAGGAATTATGTCATCTTTTTATCATCATTCTAAAGTGTGGAGAGAGAACGCCATTTGCTACAGTATGAACTAAATACGAAGAGGGTGGGTACCACCAGCCCACCCCTGGTGGTGGGGAAGGAGGTGTTACCAACCCAAGGGGAGGGTGGGTGTTAACAATGTAAGGAGGATTTAACAATACATTAAATGTTCGATTTTTTGCAATTTTTATAGGGCACGCGTGAGTGGTTGAATGAACATGTCAGATTGGTGGGTCGGAGTGGCTCATCGAGTAAGAGACCGTCTGCCACAAGGGTGCGTTATGATATGACACATTCTTTGAGCTTAAAGTTGTTTTTTAAAAGGTTTGAAATTGGCTATTGACGAGTCGCTCTGTTTTTTTTCTCTTAGGATGATCTTGGACTAATCATAACTGGCAAGGTAAAATGTGCTCATATGATTCTTTCCACTCCTTATCTACCAGCGGGAGGCGAGGGGGCCTGATGATTAGCGTGCTGGACTGCGGGTCGAGAGGTCTGGGTTCAAGACCTGGCCGGTCTGGTCATTTTTGGGCAAAATACTTTACTTTCACAGTGTTTCTCTCCAACCAGAGCGCAGTTGTTGAAAGGATTGATATCTCTATCCAATGGTGAATCACTATACAGCCGATAAGTGTTCACAAAACGTACTGCGCTATCCAGCGGATAGGGTTATCCACACATCGAACAACCGGGGCCAGGAGTATAAATGTGTTCCAGCGAAATGTCAAGGAAGCCTGATGAAATGCTGGGGGGGGGGGGACCTTGCGAGGGACTGGCATCCCATCCAGTGGGGAATAGTAATACTCCTTGCCGCTCCATGTTACCGAGATAAGCTCCTGCTGGATGGGACACTGGACTCGAGTACAGACTTCTCTTTAAAAATTCTTTTAACTTATTCTCAAGGACATTTTTGGCAGCTGTGAAACGTTTGGATTTTCGACTCGACGTTGTAACGTTTTACATAAAATTTGATATTCTGTGCTTTTAGACTCTGTTGCATGGATTGTCAGATGAACTCAAGTTGAGTTTCTTGGAGCTGGCTCTCGGTTGTAAAGCTATCATCTGCTGCAGGTTAGAGGAATATTTTATGTTCCCTCCTTGTTCTTGTAACACTTAACCGATATCTAAGTTATTAGTTTCGAGGTAGTTCTTCATTGGAGTGTTTAAAGGGCGAAACTAAAGCAATATGAACGTCAAATCAGAACAGACACAACGAACCAATGAAAACACTGAAAAGACATGTAACGAGGGCCAAATTCGGGAAAGCGCGGGAAACCGCGTGCGACCAGCTTGCGGTTTGGTTTTGATTTACATCTGATTGGATGAGTATTTCGCGCGACTTTATTAACTAATCAAAAACCGTCTTGACTAGGATGTATTTTTTTTACATACAGAGTGTCTCCTCTTCAGAAAGCTCAAGTTGTGCGACTCGTCAAGCAGCACGTAAAGGACGCCATTACTCTTGCTATTGGCGATGGAGCAAATGATGTTGGCATGATTCAGGTAAAAAGTTTTAACTTCTCCGATTTTTTTCCGTATCAATGCTTGAATATGGTAAAGTGCATTTCGACTGAGTATCGTTTAACCAAAACCAAAGTAATCACGACGACCAATGAATGCAAAGGAACATATCAAAAGGAGCCAATCAGAAATCGAGGTGAAAACAGGCGGGAAAACCCAGGTGACCAAGATGCGATTTGTGTTAGTTTTGCATCTGATTGGTTGAGAGGGTGCCGTGATGAAATCTCGAATTACTTTCGTCTCTCAATTGGAAATTGCTCCATCAAACAGATTCAAGACCTACTCTTAGCTGAAAGGAAACGATATTTGGAGTTCTGCGAGAGGAATTCTTATTGAAGTCGTTTCACATCAAATCATGCAAGCTCAAACTCCTTCAATCTTCCCCAGATTGGTCGTCACGCAACGCGACAAAATGTAACGCGATCCCTCCCCCTAAATGCTGATGCAAATCGTTTTTGCTTGTTAATGCATGCGCAGTCTTCTATTTTGTATGTGAGTCCACATTCCTGCGGTCAACTTTGCGCGATAGTAAGCGTTATGTGAAGATATTCTGCGCTATGTAAAATTGTCTTATCAAAAGTATATATGATTCTGTTCCGTAGGCGGCACATGTTGGTGTAGGTATCAGTGGAGTTGAAGGTCTGCAGGCTGCCAGCGCTTCAGACTACGCCATTGCACAGGTTAGGCAACATTAAGTTAGTGTAGTTAACACTGGTAGTGATAACATATCGAATGTTGATTAGCTCTCGTAATTTTTTCAGTTCCGTTACCTGAACAAGTTGTTGTTTGTCCATGGAGCATGGAGTTACCAACGACTAGCCAAACTCATCCTGTACTCTTTCTACAAGAATGTCTGTCTGTATGTGATTGAGGTAAGTCCAGTGAAGTGTAGGTAGAAGCGCTTTTACCGAGGCTCAATTCCTTTTTCCCTTGTAATGTCATTCTTTAATACAGACGCTTTCTTCTCTCCGTTCTGTGTCCGCATGAGAGGTTCTTGTATACTAGAGCAAACATAAACTTTCCCCACCTAGCCTTTGTACGAGCATGACCGCCCGTGTTAACTTGAGCGCGGTGTCGTCATACGTACGTCATCGCACGTGAAGTTTCTCACACATGCATGCTTGAAGTTGCGTTGACAGATTTGGTGAATTCTTAAAGCCTGTTGTATGGAAGGTTTCAGCCGATATTACCTAATATCTGAGGCATTTTTTCGTAATATGCCATATCTTTTTGTTACAGCTATGGTTTGCACTTGACAATGGATTTTCTGGCCAAATCCTGTTTGACAAGTGGTGTATTGGTATTTACAATGTGGTAAGTTTTTATTTGCTGGAATCCAGACGTGGTTTTCCTGCAGCGAACACTTTAATTTGGATTAAACGTATTGACAACGTCGTTTGCTCCGCCACCAAATATCAGCCAATCAAAACTCAACATCAATACGAGCACCCGACCTCAAGTGCGGGAAAATGCGCCAATTCAAATGACGATTGGATTTAGTTGATTGCTTGATTGAAAAGGTGGCGTTAGTATTCTTCACCGAGAACAGAGCGATGCTAAGAAAAAAACGATGTAGTTCTAAGTTTGTTTGGACTGTAAATTGAATTTTTCCTGTATGTTTATAACCATTTTCCTTTTAATTGTCTGTTCAATTCAGGTATTCACTTCAGTTCCCCCTTTAGCCATTGGCTTGTTTGATCGGACAGTGACGTCAGAGAGCATGCTCAAATACCCCAAACTGTACAAAGAGTCACAGAATGCCGAGATTTACAATACTAAGGTAACAGACTGCTCAGCGTGTGTTCCATTAGGGATTATTGTTTTCAGCCAGCGGTTTTTATTGAAGGTGTTGCTTAGTAGCAACAGAAAGTACGTGTCAACGTTAAGTGCATGGGTAGATGCTCATAAAGTCATTGCATGAGAGAATCCAAGAGTCTTTGGGTTTTGTGTAGGAGAGAGGTTTTCTTTTTCGAGGAAGTGACAGCGAAAGAAAGTGAATTTAAGTCTGCTTTTGCTTGAAATTTGGCTAAAGTTTTAGCGGTCAAGAATTGCGGTTTCTGTTCATGATTTTTTTTTCTTGCTGCAAAACGATCCAATTGTTGTGTTTTTGTAGGTATTCTGGATGTGGATCGCTGCATCTGTGTACCATTCCTTGCTGCTGTTTTATCTTCCCTGTTTCATGCTTAGACACGGTGAGTTTTGACTGATGCTACCTCGCTTCTTAGAAGTAAAAAAAAAAAAAACAATTTGCTTCCATAGAAAATGATGTCTGTCTGCTACTTTCAAAACAATCTCATGTTGCATTGTTGGACTTTCAGAGGCCCCTTTCAGTGATGGAGTTATTGTAGGCGAATGGTTCCTAGGAAATGTCGTATACACGGTGAGTTTAATTTGGTTTGTTACTCGTCTTATGAGCAAAGAGAGCTTCATGGTAAGGTACCGCAGTGTTTCGATTCTCAAACCTGATATGATATTCACTAATGATCTATACAACGAAATAAATAAACGCGATAATCTTCTAAAGAGGGCCAGGAGAACACAAAATAAGCAAGATTGGTCTGCTTTTAAACTGGTTAAAAACAAAGTGACGAGGAAACTAAGTAATGCGAAGGAACAGTACTTTAAAACTCAGTTCAGTAAAAATCAAAAATGTCCAAAGAAACTTTGGTCTTTAATTAAAGACCTATCTAAAGATACAAAGAATAACGACGACTCCGTCCCTATTGCTGACGAAAACAACAACTTGATAAAGGATGACCATTCAATCGCTGAACGCTTTAACCGCTTCTTCGTTGATGTATATAAACGTCTCATAAAGTCGACACCTGTACTTCATTATGATGCTCTTCCTGGTCCACCAGACAAATCTAACAGTCAAATTGAAAATCTTATTCCGCAAATAACTCCTAGTGAGGTTAACGATTATCTTCTAAGTATACCTACACACAAAGCCACGGGAATCGATGGGCTTGGTGCCAGAGTTCTAAGGATTGCAGCTCCTGAAATATCATGCTCCATAGCTAAAATTATAAATCACTGTATTGAAACTTGCACATTTCCCTCACAATGGAAAATAGCAAAGGTTAAACCTCTTTTCAAGAATCAAGGAAACAAGCAAGATATTCAAAACTATCGTCCTATTAGCATTTTGCCTATTCTTTCTAAAGTCTTTGAAAGACACATCTTCAATGCTGTGAACACCTACTTAACAGAAAATTCACTTTTATACCGCTTCCAATCAGGGTTCCGTAAAACCACTCCACGGATACTGCTTTGTTGTTTCTTCTGGACCAAGTCCTTCTTGACCTTGATAAGAACAACGTCAGCGGCTTAGTTTTTGTGGACTATAGCAAGGCATTCGACTTGATCAATCATGACATTCTCCTGATAAAGTTAAGATCATATAGATTTCCAGATAATGTTGTAAAGCTATTGCAGAGCTATCTACTCAATCGCAAACAGTGTGTTACTGTAAATAACTCGACTTCGTCACAACTTACGCTAACCAATGGAGTTCCTCAAGGTAGCATATTAGGACCTCTACTGTTTTTAATTTTCGTCAATGATCTTCCTGAAGCTGTTGGATCGGACTCAACTATTCATGCTTACGCGGATGACACCACATTTAAAGCCAGCGCTAATATCGATAATGCACCTTTGGAATTGGAACGACGTCTTCAAGAATACATGGATAAATTAAGTAAATGGTCTAGCGAAAATGGGATGGTCCTAAACGCCGTTAAAACCAATGCATTACTTATCACCGGAAAGAGGCTACATTCATCATTAGCGGAAGGCAATCACCTGTCAATAACCCTTGATGGGGCCGAAATAGAACAAGTAACTTCTTATAAATTGCTTGGTGTAACACTCGATCAAGATCTTACATTTAGCGACCACATTTCTAGTCTAAAGGCCAAGCTTTCTCAGCGTATTGGTTTATTGAAGAAGATAAAGAGGTACCTTCCAATAAAAGAAAGACTCTTATACTATAACGCCTTGATTAAACCCGTCCTTATGTATGGGAGCATGGTTTGGAATATCTGCGACGCTAAAGAACTCCACTGTCTCCTAAGGTTACAGAAAAGGGCTGCCCGAGTAATCCTTGGAGTTGACTCTTATTCTAGAAGTGTTATAAACTTTAGTAAACTAGGCTGGTTGCCTTTTTTTGATGAAATCAAACTAAATAAGTGTACAATGATTTTTAAGAGCCTTAAAGGCGATGTTCCGATTTACATCAGAGACTTGCTCAAGACGAACAGTTCTGTACACAATAGGTCTACTAGACATGGCAATTTAAATTTAGTGTGTCCCAAATACCTAAGAAATAACGATGGTGGCAAGGCATTCAGTGTTGACGCAGTTAAGTTATGGAACAGCCTTCCCCATAATATCAAAAATAAGCCTAGTATAAAACTATTCAAAACAGCTGTGAAAAAGTATTTTATAAGCTCATATAGAAACCTGGACAACTTTGAAACAATATTAAGCAATAGCACATTATCTAATTTTAATTTTTTATAAATTAATTTTATCTTTCTGAATATTTTTAATATATCCTGCTATTTCTATCATAGAATTTTGTAATTGTTTGTATATTTATCTATTTATTAGTATTATTTTGTAATGCTGTATAATCTAGTTAGAGGGCCACAGGTTTGTCAGCTTTTCAGCTGTTACGTGTCCCCCTCTATAAATAAAGTCCTTATTATTATTATTATTATATAAACTGTGGCTAAATTTAATGATCTTGAGGTAAATATTTTCCTGTGTGGCCCTCCCACTCGGTCAATACGGAGATATTGTTGACCTACTGGGCCTTACAGAAAGACACTCAAGTCATTCCTTTTCCCTCCTTAACAGCTAGTCGTCATTACGGTTTGTATAAAAGCTGGAATGGAACTGGACACTTGGAACTGGGTTAGTGGAACAGTTTCTGGTTGTGTTTGTTTTATTTTGCTCTGATATGAATTTATTGGCGTTTCTTACAAATGTTCTCTTAAACTGCAGTTGTGTCATGTGGCCATTTGGGGCAGTATCGCCAGCTGGTTCATATTCCTGTTAATATACTGTATTCCTGATATCGCTCTGTATATTGCTCCTCACATGATTGGACAGGTATGGAATTGTTTTTTGTCTTTCAGCAACCAATGTAACGATCTAATGTGTGGAAAAAAGGGCTATGTTTCTAAAGTGCTGTGTCTGTGTCTAAGATAATTTGGTATAACTGGGGGTGGGGGTGGGGGTGGGGGGTATTACAAGCTAATTTGGTTTAACTGAGTTGATATGTCAATAACCAACCTAGAGAGTTTTTAAAGCCAGCTTTTCTATTGAATAAGGTCAAACGCTCGATGGGCCAATTTAAGAAACTATTTACGGTGGCCATTATACATTATTCAATGTTGGAAAAACTTTCAAGCAATATTCATTTTGGTCTCTGTATGAAATTCTCTTGTACAAGGATTTAGATGAAAACTGCAGACGAGACTTAAAGTATGGAAACTAATTGTCTTGTCTGTCCACTTCTTACTTGTTCCAGGATCGTATGCTGTACTCTTGTATTGTGTTTTGGATTTCTCTTTTCGTCATACCGATGATAACACTGCTGCTGGATTTCTTATACAAGATGTAAGCAATTTCTCTGTTCTCCTTTTTTTTTTTCAACAACCATGACGAAAACTGTTCTTGTATCCGCCAACTTTGCGTTACCTTTTTTTTTTTTTTGTTGTTGTCTTAGATTTCGAAGGACATTTTACAAAACTCTGAAAGAAGAAATTCAGGAAGTTGAAGCTAAGCATGTAAGTGCAGAATCTTTTACTTATTTATTCTTCTGTGAATTACACAGAAACTTGAATTGGCTTTAGAGGTGTCAGAGATGCAAAGTAGAAAATGAGAACGTACTTCGCACGCGCTAACTTGGGCTCTCCTCTCGCGTGGTCATTTTGTGGGTGCGTCGCGCGCGTTCAGCTATTTTCCGTACAGGCCAGCACTACAGAGCTTACTTACTTACGATCTCCAGAAGTGGTTAGCTCACGATATAACCACCACTTGATTCGTGTGTTGAATAATGTCTTATTCTCTGGGAGATCCTTTGATAGATATTGAAACACTACTGATAACAATTGAACAAGCACGTTTCTTGTTTTGAGCTTTCGTTTCTTTCCCGTTTTTTTGCAGGGAGATCCAAGTCGTTTAATTATGTCAGATCATGCTATACACACGTAAGTAACTTTGTCCTTTAAACGTTTGACCGGTAAATGAGGAATTCATATTTTGCCGTATGACTTCTCAGAAACCGTAAAGTGTTCTGTGGTCTGCCTCTTGTTAAAACTGTCTTGATATTTCAGTTATGAAATTGCTATTTTTTAGACAAATTTGGTCACGAAATGAAGCGTTTGAGGACAGGAAAGACCGTGGTGCTTCTGCGCGTAAGGAAGTTTATTATCTATCTCTACTTTTATTTTAGTGCTGGTTTTAATTCCGAAAAGTTTGTAAGTCGACAACGGATCGTACTCTCTGATCTGTTGGCCTCGTGTTGTGTTCTTTAAGTCATTTTGAAGAGTGGTCAGTTTCAAACTTCACGCGATCTGATTTTGTTTTTCGTTGTTCTTGTCGTAGTTGGATTTGCCTTTTCTCAAGAAGAGGATGCTCGAGTGGGACAGGTAATTACATATTTTTCTCTTTAAGGGTTACGAATTACGGATCGCGTATTTCGGATCACGGATTACGGATCACAGTTCATGGATTAATGAGTACGGATTACGAATTGCACTATGCACTAGACACGTTTCTATCCAGCGGAGATCGCAGTGCGTTTCGGTAACACTTTTCCACTGGTTAGCGATTTAACCGTTAGACAGCATTATCCGTCCTTTAAACAACTGGGTCTGGTCTATTGAGCACAGTTTCGAAGTTAATTCAATGTTTCCTTTATCTATTTATTTCAGGCAGAGCTTATTCGTCGTTATGACACCACTCTGAAGAAACCTCGAGGCGACTAAAGCACTCATCCTAATCAACCTCACGTTTGAGAAGTAGAAAATATTAGTGTTATTATTTTTTTCATAAAAAATTTATATATTATTTAGAGGGTATTTCGTACCCATTATGTTCAAGCAATATCAATGTTTTCGAATGATGGAAATTATCATAATTCTGAATGTAAATTTAGGAAATAAGGAATATTGTTGTATCATATTTTTTTTTTCGTCGAGCAAGGAAAGAAGTTTGTTTTTCGGCCGAATCTCGTCTTTAATGCGGTATAAGATGTTCATAGACCATCCTTAGTTAAAGTATGTTGCTAGGTAACGTGACCTTACTAATTGACGTAATGCCGACACAAGGCTCGTCCTCAATCTGATTGGACGTTAAGAGTCGGACGGCGTTCGTGTCTTTTGACGGAGATTTCCGATACTAGTGGGAGTCATAGAAAGCAAGAGATTTTGTGGAAGAAAAAGCACCATTGTAGCCATATGAATTTAAGTTACGCACTCCTACGCGCTGTTTAATACAGTCTTTTTTTCTTTTTTTTAATACAGCGTTTATTTTTCTGTATGATAATATTTTTGGAGAATAGTTAAAACTTGCTCAAACGAAAATTAGAGTTGCGGGAACATTAAGACAAGAGTTAGATTCTGTGTGTATTCAATCTAGTCGTGACTTTATTGATCGGAGTTCTTTGACTCCCGAAAGGGGTCTGGGGCGACAAAATTTGACGAAAACCGGGAGAGAAATACGCATCGAGTTCCACGGCACAAATTCATTTAACTGGTGCACTTCCCTTTAATAACATCACTATCAAACAAAAAATAGCGAAACTAGATTTTTTTGGTTTTGTGTGGGTTCTTTTTCTCACGCCCTGAACTGAGTTAGACAGATTTTAGCAAAAGATAGTTGCGACGCATTTGTTGACAACTAAAATCAGCTCCAGTTCTCGTTTGATCCAAGTTTGTGGAATTTTTTTTTGCATTTTATACGTACAGCTGCTAATTTTGTCAAATTAATTGAGAGCGTATAGTTTGGTTATGTTGCCTGCATAGGACTCCAATAAGTTATAGAGATTTATGTCATAGTCATATACCTGTTTTATGCAATAACGCCAGTTGGAGGTTACGCCTCATTGAAAGTTTGACTCTAACGAGTTCGCGCCCCACTCCACCACACTGAGTTAACCACCTAATGGAAAAGAACTGCTTGGCCCCAGACCATCACGCCAACCAAATAAACTTAACATTCAGGCAGGTGTTTATGCATTTGAGTTCAAAAACCTTGGATTCCTTTTTAAGTCGATTGTGGAGCACAGAGATTATAGATTTTTAGGCAAGTCACCCAACTGCATGTAGTTGCAAAGCAAGAAGTTTGGATGATGATCGTGCGGTTCTATGGTTTAATCTGACAGGAAAAATTTTTTGTCGCAAAGAGAATTCAATGAGTGAAAAGACTTAGAGGTGAACTTGTTGTCTTTGAAAGGGCGAACTCGTCGTAATGGAAGCGAACTTACAGTGGGGCGAAACCTTCCCTTCGCTCATCATTTGGTATAAAGCATAAAAATGATATGCGAAAAGTTTTGTTACATGAGGCATGGCTGTAAACTGGCTTCCTTTCCTGTCTTTAAACACTTTTAGAACTGTTTCCGTTTTTTCACATACAAATGGTCGATCAAAATCGAAATGTTTTCTCAGTACCGAGAAGGAAATTAGCCCTTAAAATGTTATTTAAAATAAATCGAAAAAATTATTTAATTCTTTATAATTCTTTACAATCAAAAAAGTTAAAGATTTCAAACTTTGCCTTCTTTGATTGGAGACTGCACAATTAGCATTATGTTTACAAAACGTTCATTTTAATGGAAAATCTTCACGTGGACTTTATACCAATCACCACTTTGTCATCTCTTTGTTCTGTGAATTAGCTGGATCTTACTGTTTCTAAGTTGTCTCTTTCTTTTGTTGTCACTCAGCATTACATATTGTACGATAATAGGTAACGTAAACGAAGTAGTTGATGACATGGTCTGTTACCATCTACGCTAGAATGGACTGATGAACTATGTAAACAATAAAGTGAAGCCTAAACAAATGATGATCTCCCGTATAGGTGTTTATTTATTCTAAGTTCATAAAGCACCATTAAAAAAAAAAGACAAACAAACAACAGCGTATAGTTTGACGCTATAGGTTTGTTAATCATTCAAAACCCTCAGTCGGAGGCGAATGAGTTAAGTCAAAGTAACATGTTTGGAACCAGAAAAGTGAAAGAGGACAGTTTTGGGTAGATCTGCTTCAGACAGATGGGATGAAGAAAAAAAAAACTTGCACATAGAGCACTTCGGCGGTTAACAAAGAGCAGCTGAAGATTCTGCTTTCCCAAACGAAAGCGAGACGTTAATCTTTGTCGAAAGAAATGCGATACCACGAAAGGTTATCCCTCGAAATTTTCACCAGTTTCGTTTCCAAATAAATGTCCGTTTCTCTTCGAGAAATTTTTCTTGTCCAAGGAAGTGTTCAAACTGCCTTGAAAAGATGTCCATCTTTTGAAGAGGCAATTTAGTGACTCAATTATAATTTGTTGGAAACTACACACACTGTCCACAAACAGTTTTTGCTCAGGTTATTACGAAAACAATCATTTTTTCAATCGGGAATGGCTTTTTTACGCGGCTCCTAATTTTCGAATAAGATCGCCAGGAGACGAAAAGGAGGGAAATGAGATATTTATGTCACTACTCGGAGCGGCCAGGTTGCTAAGCAAGATTCAAAATGGCGGCATTCGTTGTTAATATATGTTGAAGACAGGTTTCGAAAGGTTGACTGAGAGGAAGGATCATTAAATATTTAGATTTCACCTGGAACTGGCAAATCACGCTTTTGAGTATTCATTAATCCCTCAATTTTTACTGAAACAAAATGAACCCTGGGTTTGTTGCGAGCGCTAGCAGTCAAGCTTCCCAAAATTGTGTTTTAGGATTTTGCACTCTTACTAAAAGAGGCCATCTAAAGTCGCTTTTGGCTTAGGCAAGTAACACGTGTTCCGTGCTAACCCACGTGTGAATCTTTTGTGCAAATAAATCGACTGCCATGGAGGAAAAGTGCTCGCGGCGAAGAAGTGAAAAGCGCTTGATGCACATCAAGGAAGTAGAGTTTTCGGGTCCAATTACGTCAAAGAAGTAAAATACAACTGTAATGTAATTTAATTGAACGTATTTAATTTTCTACCGCAGATTATTTCTTCTGCAAAAGTGACATCCCTTGGCAAATCTACTGTCAAAATGATAGCTTTACCTCGGAATTCCTTTCAGGAGAGGAACCTTGTCTGATCTTTTCTCATTGCCTTGTTGCTTTTAAACAATTTTTTCCTTCTTTTTTGTTACCATTTTTTTTTGTTTAGGCATTATTCTAACATGGAATTAATTAATTGTCGGACGAAATGATAAGTCGCGTTTGCTTCCTTGAAAACAAACTGCAGAAGAAGACTTTTTAATCTTATTTCACTGAGGTAGATAGATTCAAACAAAGTCGACCTTAGGGTGAAAGATGGAAAAGATTGAGAGTGAAAGATGGATGGGTGAAGGATTCATTTCCATCGACGCTCTCGCAAAATTTTACAAAAAATGTTTCAGGGCGTGACGTCACTTTGACCGTAACTTTGTAGGAAGATTGGGCAAGTTTGATTCGCGTTTGTGAATGAATTTTACCTCATATATAGATACGTAGGCGAGGAGACCGCGAGAATTTTTTTACAGCATACTTAATTAATTTGTATTACCCTTCCATCATCAAATGGAGGAGTTTACTGGTTGTAATTGCTCAGCTGGTGTCTACAATAAATAATACGCGTGACAGCACACGTGGGTCAGCTTTCAATAGATTTATGAAAGAGCCCGTCGACAAAGCTTTTGCAAGTTTTATTCACTCAACAAATGTTCCTGTCTGACTCACCCAGTCAGAGAATACACTCTCCTCCCTTCAAAATATACGTTAAAAAATCACAAGTTTTTCCCACCTTGTGTAAAGTATTTATGAGGTTCTGGTAGCTAAATAGATAAAGAAAACATCTCCACTGAGACTAAAGCATTGCTAGGTAACGATATGATAGCGTCCTCTGCATGGTCGAGTATGAAAAAATTGAGCTACATTGTTTCCTGTGGATCGGCTGACAACTGAGTGTCATTAATTTGCTAAGAGGTTAGAAAACAACAGAACAGAATTAACTTCTAAAGTAACTTGTTATCACAAGTACGATATAGTTTTATTGAGCTGTCAAGGGCAGTTGTCATTGGAAGCTTTTCAAATCCGCAGCACAGCTAAAATCTTAGTTTCTCGTCGCAAAAATGTCTTTGGAGGGTAGTATGAGGCATTATTTGGAGTCAGTCGGACTGCGAGAGATTTGCCTTCAATTGGAGGGTCACGGATTTAACCAACTTAGTGATATCTTGAGTATGGATGACGATGATCTTGCTGCTGTAATTCCTGACGACGAATCAAAGAAGAAGTTTAAGACAATACTCCATCAAGGTAATTAAATTGCTTATCAGTTAATATCAAGGCCAATAAGAGTAAAGTCAGTCTGGAATGGCGATTAAAAAAAGGATAAATGGCCAACACTTTGTCTTAAGAAAAACAAAGAGACTCTTAACTAGAAAGAGATAAATCTTTAAAAAGGGCTTTATGAATGAACAGACACAAACGGAGGAAAGCTGTCATCGATAACATTCCTCATTGGTCCGAAGTACGCAGTAACCCACTGAAAAGTGTTGTGAGGTGCCAGGTCTCTTTCTAGTTTCTCTCGTATCCTATTTCCTTCAAGTACTGGAAAACTTAAGCAAAATGGGATAATAGTTGGCCCGCTAAGTGTATTTTCAAAAGCGCGTGGTACCTTTTCTTTCATGCAAATATTGACTCGCGGATGAATAGGAGACGAGTCACGTGATCAACGAGCTTAAGATATAACTTAAGCAAAAGTTTCAACAGGAGCCGGGAGATAAAAACTCATTAATTATAGACGAATACATCGAGTGTGCTTAATGAAACTCGGTCGCCATGGAGCATTTGTAATTTTTAAAACTCTTGGCGATTAACTAAGAAATAAGCTGATCGATATTCATTCGAGTACAGGGCGTTCATTAACTGAAAGAAAATTTCGCGACGCGCTGAGGCGTAAAACACGTGTTGGTGAACAATGGTTTTTATCGAGACATCACGAATGTCAAAACAATATAAACAGGTTATAACTTATGCAATTGATTTTACTACATTCAAAAGTCCTTCGTTTTGCTAATGGATCGTTAGAAAAAAAAGCTAACAAGCCTTGTACAACTTTATCACAATGCGACACAATGAAATGAGCAGCAAATTCATGATAGCCAGCATGTTGGTTTTCCAATTATTTCATCTTTGAAAACTATTTTTGATAAGTGCCTCTATTTTACATCACAAATCTGATGTCCTTCACGACTGTTTCGTTGGATCTAAAGGAACAAATTTCAAATCAACAGAATATATGTTTTTGAAGGAAAAAAATCTTAACTTAGCAGCCAAGACTCTGATAGCTACAAAAACGATCAATAGAGTTGACAGGCGCTAATAAACAAAAATTCAGGTATCATCGGGCGTCGTGAAAATGTATAGCAGCGAGAGGGGAGAATTAAAAATCAGATCATGGGAGTTTAAGGGTAAACTCTTTGCAATCCCTTGTCCTGCATGTTTTGTTTTTTCCTAATTTGATAACATTTTTTCTTCAACGAAAATCGAAGCCAAGACAGTAGCATAGCTCCTTCAACACTACCACAGTGATTGATATACAATTTCTCCGTACATGTTTAATACCATATTTAGCAAATCAGTCGTGAGAATGAATGATAACATCAAATTAGTGATATGATATTGATAAACAATACCAGATTTGCTGCTCCAGAGAGCAATGATAAGGTATGGAATTATAGAAGAATCAGCTCTCATATCTCGGCAGTGGAAGGGATGCGATGAAAAGAGAACTATCATTTGAAAAATTAAATAAGATGCTTTCTTTTAGACGCGAGACTTATGAAAATTTGGCTGGACTCTCTGGGCCTTGGTCAGTATTATGAGCAGTTTCAGGCCTCTGGATTGACAAGTTTGGCCCGATGCTCTGGTCTGAGCCTGCGGTCTCTGGACGGCGTAAATTTTAACCTCCCAGGACACAAAAAGAGGGTGTTCAGAGAAGGTAATATCAACTATTTAGAAAATGATTCCAGAAATTTTAAAATGTTAACAGGTTTAGCTCCCATGAGTGACCAGGACATAATTTCTTCTAACAATAACGATGCAATGTCCAGCAGACAATAGGTGATGTAACAAAGAAATATATCAATTTGGGGAGGTAGAAGTTGATCCAATACCAAATTCTCCCAACTGAAACGATAAGACTTGTGTGGCAGACAGTAATGAGAATCACTAAATAGATCTTAGCGTTAAAACATACACCGTCATGTATCCACCGATGTGCACTCGATTGAAAAAGCGTTGACACCTAAAAGCGTAAGCAGTGAATGGTGAGACCAAATGGCCTTATGGGTACACTCACGTGTGTACATGATAGCCACAACAGTTGCTCAGTTGGTTGCACGTGATAAACGATTTTCCTGAAAGAAAAGAATTCTCGTAAACAATGATTTTCCTCCGAAAAGTAAAGCGCTGATAACTTATATGCACGAAGATTTCCCATGTAGCCTCAGGGTCTCATCGTTCATGATTCATGCTTCTAAGGTGTCAACGATTTTGCAATCGAGTGTTTACACATTTGAAAAACTCTTTTCTATAGCCGCCAGAAGAGAATCCCTCTACAGCCTGCAAAAGTTATTAGCTATCACAATTATAAAGTTGAAGTTTGTGGTAACCAAAATGTGAATACAGGTCTGGTCTACTTAAAACTTATGGCAGATTCTTTTCAGCTCAGAGCCTGCTGGGTTACGGAACAGTAATGGCAGAGGGAGCCTGGGAAGAGCATGAGCAGTTGAGGGGTGGAAGGTGAGTAGAGCACGTACAGAGCTTATATAACGTGAGAAGTTTATCTCTTAGAGTACCCCCTGGAAAGTGGTCTTTTTTATCGTTAATTTAGAGCGTCAACGTATTGATATTTTACCCCGGTGGGAGCTCCAATTAAAGGGAGAAGCAAACGAAAACAGATCAGATCGAGAGAAGGGAAAAAAAGAGAGAAAAAAAAAACGGGCGGAAGAAAATTCGTCCTCATGCCGTGTGGGTTACGAGTAGGTATCTTAACTTCCCTTACAGGTTCGGTAAATTTCTTTGTCTCACAGCTGACATTTTTGCCCGTGATCCGCAAGATAAGCGGAATAACCCAAATGAAGGCGCTGCTGCTGTCCCACACCGGAGGGTGAAGTTTATGGTGGATTCTGGAAGTGACATTGTCACACTAGATGATGACATCATCAAGGAATTGCAGCTGCCTGTTAAGGGTTGTGCAAAGCAGGAAGTACCAGGAGGACAGATACAGGAAAAGCCTTTATACAGCGCCTGTCTTGGAATTGGCGGGAAAATGCTGAACGTCGAGGTAAAAGTTGTGTGTTCGTTTAGCTGAGGGACTTAAACTAAATTTAACTATTGATAAACATGTTACACGTCTTTTCACGGGCCTGAGACAAAGAAAAAAGTTGATTTCGTAGAGAAGAATAAAACACAAAACCTTCGGATTCTGCTCTCCGATGCTCTACCACTGAGCTTCTAGGAATTCTATGATGAAATGAGACATCACTAGGTTCCTATGTGTTATGTTTTCTTTCTTCTTTTTCGTCACGTGACTCTGTCGACATTGTTAATCCTAGCAGAATCACCTCAGTTGATCTCTCTTGCTCCCTTAACCCAAAGTCTGCTTTCGCGGTACTTTGGGGTTAGAGTATCAGAGAGTTCCTTCTTTCTCCTGGTGAAATGTTTCCCTATTTATGGAAAAATTTTTGGTGTGGTTATTTTCAGGTACTTGCAGACAATGTTAGTACTTTGGGAACTCCAGTGCTCTGGGAATTCCGTCATTGCATCGATGGAGAAAAACATTTGTGGCTCTCCAAAGCTGACGAGTTTGGCATCAAATCATAAAGGGTTCAGCACTCTAGTCATTTAGCTTTCCATCTCTTTATATTCTTAGGCTTTGAAAAAGTTTTTTTTTTACCTTACATCTGTTATTAAGACAGTCTAGCATGCTTCCAAAATATAGTTGTATAACTGTAAATGAGGCTCATGGAACGTGAATTCCTGCGATGTTTTAAAACTGACATAGCTGTAGTATAGTACTTATTATTTATTGTTGTCAGTGTCTTTCATACGTTCGTATAGACTTGAAATATACTTATTTTCTTGCAAGTCTGGTGCCTCGACTTCGAAAATGAGATCTGTAGAGTCCCAAAGAGAGTGTGATGACTACTACCCTTCCCACTTACCCACCCACCCACCCCACCCTGTGCACAACCACCAATGAGAGGACCCTTGTAACAATTTGATTATAGATTGTTTTTATTTCTGTAATTAAACACTTTCGAATTCTTTTTACTTCTACGCCTTTTATGGGATCCTCCACTTCCAAGAACTGCAGAATTAATCTTCTGGATCTATGATTAAAATGAAAGAATTAGAACATGAAGTGAACACAGAAAGTAAAGTCGCGCCAAAGTTTGCAGGGCTTCTTCAACATGGAATGAGCGTTTCAGAAAAAAAAAAACCTGCCTTAAATCATCTAAGCACCAGAGCCTTCGTTACTATTAATAACTGCTTTAACAGTGAGTTTCGACAGTCCCATATCAGTGCCATGGGTGTTAGTCGCGGTGCACTCGTAGGACCCTGTGTTTTCGACTGTGGCTCCTGTAATTGTCAGACGTGAACCAATCACAGTTCCATCAGCATCTTTCAAGCTTCCTTGCGACATCTTCCCAAGGAATGCCGCTGAAAATTAAAAAAAAAAACTCTTTTTAAATCTTTTGTAATTGAGGATTTCTTTATCAAGCCTATTTGCCCTAACTTACATTTTCTATGTTTATAATTCATTTATGAGCGCCTCCCTTTTTTGCCAATTGTAACCTTTCTGCTATTGACTTAGCACTCACGAGGAACAGCGAAAACTCCAAAATGATTTTTTCAATTCTCTCAGAATAAGGTGGAAAGTAGAAAGCCTTAAAAAATATTGAGAGGTAGAGCATTAAGTATAAACACAACCAAACCCCGTTACGAGATCGTTTCAGGGCGCGTAACCAGGATTTCACAGTTGCATATACTGTAGTACATGTCATCCCTCAGCATGCTTCTCTGGATGTTGGAATACAACCTCCATACATTAGTTCCCAGGAGCTTCTAAAATTATAGGGTCCAAAATCAAATAGACAGTACGGTCAAAAGAATCTCCCGATACTAATGGGACGAAAAATTCGAATACCAAAGTTGTGAAAGTTCAAGGATAGAACTTTTAATCAACGTATCAAGCCTGAATTAGATCCGAATGATAACTTATTTATATCAAAAACAGTTAACTAACAGTCTATGCATCCTCCGATTTTTCCCTGTCCCTCTGCTTCAGAACGGACGCAAAATCCTAGAAAACAAGATCTGTTACTTACGAGGAATGTCCCGCAAGAATTTCCATGTGAATATGGGCGTTGGCTTTTCGCGTGCAAAACAGTCGAGTGAAATGGTTTCCTTTTCATCTATGGTAACCTCTTGCTGAGCCAAAGAGACTTTTGGTTTCGCTGCAGACGAAAAAAAAATATGATCACTGACAAGTAGAGTAACGTGAGCGTTATACCTTACCCTGGGATATCTTACACTGCAAAATGAAGAGCGACTGTCAATTTAATACTACGTAGAACCGTAGTCCAGTCCATGGTTATGAATTCCCAACCTACTTTCAGCTCACGCTCTGGAGCACTAGCTCAGATTAGCTCGATACATCAGAAAACCTCGAGATGTCGCGGGTTCAAGAACATGGTAAACGATTGTGCTGGTAAAACTTGCAAAAGGATGAAAGAGTAATGATTACATTTCATGGCATAGTTGTTACTCCAGGAATGAAATCTCTCTATAAGGGTGTGTATCGCTCCCAGAAATTTAAATACACGATCATTCAGCGAGTACGTACGTACTCCGTACGACCTTGACTTTTCTTACCGGCCGGGAACAATACGGCATTTGCGGGCAAAAATAAACAAACCTCCACAATCATTAAGCGAACTTGAGCCTGCTGCGACAGTGCTGGCTCCGTTCGGACACGAGATACAATCTGTCTGCTGAGGTTTGTCCTGATATGTGTCACGTGGACAATCCAGACAATTCGGTCCCAGGCCATCAGAGGAGAACCTTCCAGGGGGACATAAGTCTAGAATGAAATAAGCATTTGGTGTATATAAGCGTCACATCAGGCCTCAAATTCCTTGGTTGATAATCAACGTTGTTGGTAACTAGACCCATCATAAAACTTATTTTTAATCGCATTTTATTGGCCGATCGCTCTATGGACTTCACAACACACAAAGGCCAGTTAAATGCTTAAATCATATCATATCTCATATTTCTCCCGATTAAAAGATCTTTAAGGGAAGAAAATATTCTTGTTCGGTTGTACAAGTCAGATTGAAATGTAATGATACCTTCTTTTGAAGTTGCTAACCAGTTGCATACTATCCGAGAAAGGGTGGGATTGCATTTTGTCAAGGAGATTGTAAGGTAGAAATTGTCCACGTTACTTTGCATTTTAAATATCTTAGTATGTTATTGAAATGAGGCCGTGGAGGGTAGGGGAGCGGGGGAACTGCACACGTGGGACCACGTACGGAACCATAACAACATTGTACTAAAATGGCACACTCTTGGGGAAATTGAAGAGCGGCGCGGTTTTTTTCCCAGGATCAGTACGTAAGTACAAGGGTTTATCTTAAAACTTTCATTACAGGCCGTTCTATAAGAGGGGCTGAGAAGGGCCTTTGTGCGCCATAGCTCTATCCTTGCAGACTTATCAAAACTCAGCCGCAAGCTCTTCTATTTCGACCCCGAAAATGCAGTTTGTACAGGTTGCACTGCATGTATGTCGATATGAGTGCTAGGCGCTCGTTTGCCACAGTTGTTAGTTTAGGCTAGCTAAATAGTGGTTTGACTGGATGAAGGGTCATAAAGTTCTTAACTTTTCTAATTAATATATACTATTGCCCCGAGCTCACAAATGAATTCGTGACATGGGCAAACTTCATTCAGCTATGTCAGAAAAATAGATCGTAAAAATGTAACTAAAAACGTTGAAACTACCAATCCTCAGTCCTTTTTCTGTATGCTCCTACCTCTTTGGTGTCTTTGTTGTCTATTACCTTTGCTAACTCAAAATATCACAACGTGACTTTTATAAATACAGAAAGCAAACTAATTTTTTTTTCTCATATTCTGTTATTCTTGGCGCATGCGTATTAAATGCCTATATGTACAACTAAAACAACTCACTTCGGCATTCAACAGCGGAACTTGCTCCCGGTAACGAGGAAGTACCCGCGGGACACTTAAGCGTGCACTGTGTTTGTCCTTGCTGATCATTGTAAGTTCCCGCGGGACATGGACTGCAATCAGTATTCGAGGATTGGTACATGCCAGCAGGACACTTACCTGTAGAAAGGTTTTAAAAAAGGAAAAGATAGCTTGAACTATCAAACCAAATCTATATAACCTCCGGTACACTGTTTTCAATGCCTTGAAGTCGAACCTTGAATGACTATAAAGTCTCACTTCTGAGCTCGTATTGAAATGGCTTTCCTTCCAATTAATCATTTTCTTTACCATTCTACCCACATTATCTCGTGACCCTTTTCCAAAAGTACGGCTCAGTGTTTATTAAATCTGTGGGCGCCTTTTGTCAAGCAACTACACCTCTTTGCAAAAACTGTGTTCTAGTCTCAACTTTTTTTTCAAAGTTTCAACTCCTCTAAGTTTTATTAGTTTTTAGTAACATCATCCCTTCTTCTGTCAATGGCTGTAACCCTTCGTAGGAATCAAAAGCAATTTGAAAAAGTGACCGCAATTTACACTTCACTTCTGTCTGCCCTTCGATCGAAAATAGACATCGATTTTTGAAAAATAAAATAAAAACCTAAATTGGAACCATGAGTAGCATGGAATGTTTTTATCTTAAAAATTCCCATTCAAAAGTACTCTATATCCTTTAAAATAATTGCAAGCCTAATCATGTAAATTGTCAACCTGGCTACTATGTTACCTAATAAAACGCTTTGACAAAGATTTCCCTTAAATGGGTTGGAGTAAGATGTAAGAAGGGCGACTATCTTTTCATACCCAATCTCATCCACAGAAAGCTTTTCACGCAACTGTAAGCCAAATCACTTTTGTAAACTCACCACAATGCAATTCCTGTTTAAAAAAGACGGTTACTGTCATTTCGATTCGACCTTCTTCGCACGTCGTGTTCGGTTCTTTTTTGGAGGACACTGCAAATGGTATGTCTGACTTAGTAGAATTCTGACATGCGCAGAAAATTTACTTCCCTCCCACTACTACTGCGCAAAGGTCCGACATAGTTGACTCTTGTCTTACCTCAAGCTTTCCACTTACGTTTTTCTTATTTAATCTTGTGTATTTTTATGTATTTATTATAGTTTAATGGATAATCTAACTGGACATTAAAGAAAAAAAAAAGAAAAAGCAAAATTAACCCCAAATAAATGGCAGACTACTTGCCCAAATAATTAAATAAGAAGGAAACATGGCGAAGCAATGGATTTTTTCTACTTCTACTGATCCTCTTGCCGCTCTTTGCTTCGAAGTTAATGTCTACAGAGAAGCGATTCCAGGTCTCAAGGACCCTGTTAAAACTAGTTTTCGTTCTCAGTTGGAAGTACTGTCTTCCTCCCCCTCCTTGCTTTGCGCTCCTTCTCCTCGTTCAGTTATCCTCCTCGTCCTCTACTCTTCCTTTCCCCGTTTCCGCCCTCCCCCTCGTCCTCGTCGCTCTTTCCATGTCATAGGCCTGATTCTGTCTACCTCCTTCTCGTTCTGTCGTCGTTCTCGTACTTGTCCTAATCCACGTCTTTTCCCCTTCCCCCCGTCCTCCTCTTCCTCGTTCTGTCCTTGTCATCACACTTATCCTCGTCTTCATCCTCATTTTTACTCTGTCCCTGTCCTCCTCATCCTATCCTCGCCCATGTTCTGTCCTCCTCTTCATCTCCCTCGATGTCCTCCTTATCCTCTTCATTTCCCTGTCTCCCTCCTCCTCCTTCTCGTCGCTCTCAATCTAGTCCTTGTCTTCATCCTTCTGTCCTTGTCCCCCTCCTCGTCCTCGTCCCCGTCTTCCTTCTCGTCGTTTTCGATCTCGTCCTTGTCCTCCTCCTCCTCCTACCCGTCCTCCTTCTCGTCATTCTCGATCTCGTCCTCGTCTTTGTCTTCCTTCTCGTCGTTCTCGATATCGTCCTGTCCTCCTCCTCCTCCTCCTCCTTCTCGTCCTCGTCCTCCTCCTTTTGTCCTCGACCTCTTCCTCCTCCATCCCCTCCTCCTCGTCCCCATCCTCCTTCTCGTCCTCGTCCTCCTCCTTTTGTCCTCGACCTCTTCCTCCTCCATCCCCTCCTCCTCGTCCTCGTCCTCCTCCTTTTGTCCTTGACCTCTTCCTCCTCCATCCCCTCCTCCTCGTCCCCATCCTCCTTCTCGTCCTCGTCCTCCTCCTTTTGTCCTTGACCTCTTCCTCCTCCATCCCCTCCTCCTCGTCCCCGTCCTCCGCCTTGTCCTCTAACCTCTGTCTTTCTCTTCCTCCTCTTCCTCATCCTCGTTTTCGCTTTCTTTCTCGTCCGCTACCTACTCTCGTTAGCAACAAATAAAAGAAAAACATCGAATACTTGTCTTACCGACACAATCCGGAATTGTGTTAGAAGGACTCCAGACTCCATTTTTGCACTGCCAAAAGTAAACGTTAGGTGGTGGCTTGTACAGATTACTTCCACTGGGGCACTGAACGGTGCAGAATGAAGATGCACTGCTGACCTTGTTACATGATTTGGTGCCACCAACAGGGCCATCAGGGTCGTGGCAAGACGGTCCTAGAGATTTAAATATGTTGTTATGGTACTTTTCATTGCAAGAGACCGCTTAGTGATTTGGCTCATGATTAACAAAAAACTTTGACAGTCGATTGATCCGGAATTCACGTACATGACTTTCATATATAATCATTCAGTCGAACTCGGACGCTCTACGTGTAACTTATGCTATAGCTTTCATTTTCCTTTATAAACTCTTACGAAAGGAGCCTACGTTTTCCCATCTTCGATAATTTTTGAACGCACCTTCGGGCTTTCTATTAAGTACGATTAGGTTTTTCATTATTTCTGCGCGAATATTACGTGCACGTTACAGAAAGAAAAATAGGAACCTTTCGTAGCTGTGCTATCTCTCCTTCAGGATTAGCCTCTTCCGTGCAGCTCGAGCTACAACAACATTTGTGCGGTTGGGGGAGAGATACATATCAATGAACGTTTAGGTTAGTTTCCATGTGAAATGGTAAAATTTCTTTCCCAAGAACAGAACTTCGTGACCTTACTCATTATTCAGAACAAATCAGGCAGAACTTACGTTTGAGTGTCACGGTAAACTCGCATTTTGCGCTTTTTCCTGCTGCATCGAACGCTCTGTATTCAACTTTAGTTGGAACAAACTGGAAAACATCGCCACTTTTGTATTGGTTCTCCACATTTGTAACTCCGACGTTGTCACTGAAGGTCGGCTCAATCCAAGAAACAGCCTTGGGTGTGTCGGAAATTTTATAGATATCGCTGGGACAGCTCACGACCTTGGGAGGCTCTTCATCTGAAAAAAAAAAATTGTCGTCACATTCTTCGGGTTTTGGCCGTGGCAAATTTGTATTCTTTTGGATCTTTACACCCATTCTAAAGTTACTTTTATGCATAAGCGAGATCTTTAAACGTGTTCAGATTAGGAAACTTTGTTTTAAGCTTCACGCGGGTATGGCGTGACATCTATAAAGCTGTTCCACCGCTGTAACGCTGCCTCATCATTTTGTAAGCAGAGGATGCGTTCACTAAGTCACTTACCACTGATAGTAACATACATAGAACAGCTAGCGGTTCCTGCTGAGTTGGACACTGTCCAATCGACTTTTGTCATCCCTGGAGGGAAGAGGTAATCTTTGGAGATTTCAGGCGGGTTGATTTTCACTTCCTGCACGTTCGAAACGGGCAACTTCCACACAGCGCTAACGTCAGCTTTATCTTTTCCTGGGGCTAAAACTTGTCTTATGTTATCCGGACACTCGATCCAAGGCTTGCTTACAACTGAAAACAAAATCAACACACTATCGTGTGGTAATTTGTTGTGGCTAGCCAAGCAAAATTTTGTCATAACTCACCACTCAGCTTCTTGTCAGTGACATGAAGTTAACATTTCACACTTTCTGATATTTCCGCCTGTTTTTCCACATATCCACTTACCACAAAACTAATGGTTATTATGAGAATGACAATTACAGTGACTGGCAATTACGGTGACGATGAAAATGACGATGACGAGGATGATAATGGTGATGAGCGATAACGATAATGATATTTATTATGATAATGGTAATGATAACGATAACGATAATGATAACAATGACGATAAAGATAACGATAATGATAACGATAATAATAGCGATAACGATAATGATAACGATAATGATAACGATAATGATAACGATAATGATAACGATAATGATAACGATAATGATAACGATAATGATAACGATAATGATAACGATAATGATAACGATAATGATAACGATAATGATAACGATAACGATAATGATAGCGATGACGGTAACGATTACGATAATGATAACGATAACGATAACAATGACGATAAAGATAGCCGATAATGATAATAATATTGATATTGTTATCGATGACAACGACAATAATAGCAAATCAAACGACGGCAAAGAAAACAAGCATGATGTTGATTAAGATAAAACAAGTAAGACCGTTCATTAGATAAGTTCCAAGTTGAAATTTCAGAATGATCCTTTACTTTAAGTTCAAAACTAAGTCCAGTCTATTGAAGAATTCCTTCCTTTGTCATTAAGTATTAGATAGTATTAAAAGCAGATAAGAACCAATGTTCTTCTTTTTGTTTTCCTTAAATTTGCATGGAAAAATGAATCGAGAAAGTGATAACCACCTTAAAATACTTTTTTGTTTCCTCTTTCATTGCAAAAGTAGAAAGTTAAAGATGAAGTCGAAAAGAATGTCCGAGTTTACGCATATTCGATGGCTTTTTTCCTAAATGTAAGAAAACAAAACAGACTAACAAAGAAAACAGAGTAATACACTACACGAAAATTGAAATTGTTATTGTTTACTTAGACTACAAGCCGGTGCCACTCCACTCCAGGTCTTGTCCTTTAGGCATTGTCTACTCCCCAACCCTGAGAGCTGATAACCGCTTCTACAACTGTACGTACACAAATGTGTGTAACTTACGCCAGTAGTTGTGCATGTTGAGGGGTATATATTACCATTTGCAATGGCTGGCAAGGCAGGACACTGAACAGCTGTCAAAACACAGATACAAAATTTTGTTGTATTTTTTTCCACACACGACCAATTTTTTACCAACCACTAAACACTTCCACTCCAATTGTGGAAACTTTTCAACTTTTGCATAAATTGAAACGAGGCAAGATAAATGAGAAAGGTAAGTTAGTTCCCAGCCCCCTCGTGTTGGCTTGCCCGATTAGGAAGGCCTCAATGGAAGAATGTAAACGAGTAGAATTTTGCAATTGTACAGCTAACGGTTCATTTCTTTCCGTTGCGGTAATAAGAAAATACGGTTAAAATTTTTTTCACGTCCAACGGTTAAAATTTGTCAATTTTTGCGCCAAACGGTTTATTTTTTCTTTGCCATGTTGCGACTCGAAGCTAACCCCATGGGGATCCTCGATTGGTGGTACTACGTTTTTTTTCTCCCGTTCATTCCGGAAAAAAATCGCCTTAGTTTGCGAGATGAGCAGTGAACCTCAGCGATATCGAAAATTCCATCTCGGTAACCGAGATGCGGCATTTACATCGGAAAAATTTCAGCCCTCTTTCTCACTTAAATAGAGCCCAATTTTGAAAAAGTAGTGAGTAGAAAGGCAGTTGACTGAATATATCAAGAAGCACAAGATTTCCTATACTTACGGTTGCACGTGCCCATGTTTCCCTCCCACCTGCCAGATTTGCTACAGGTAAGAGTTCCGTGTTGGATGTCATCCATGACGTAACCGTCTTTGCACGTCATCACGCATTTATCACCAAAGACATTAGAATCCAGTTGAGTGCATCTTGGTGGTGTCACATTGCTTCTGGAGGATACGCTGAGGGCACCACATTTGACAGCTGGTTTTTGGACGAAAAAAGAAAAGGACCACTTAGCTTTGAAAGAAAGGGGGGTGTGGCTCTTTAGCGGGAAATACTGTTGTTGGGTTTGCAAAGTTGCTTCCAGATCTCCCGCGTTTAGATTCTACAGAAGCGGATACGAAAGAGATTTTGAACGAGACTGCGGCCATATTTGACTGGCGTAATCCGTTTTATGGATGTGAACTGGAATCAGGTTGAGCAAAAAGTTACAGACTTAAATAATTAAAATCGCCGCCCTCGTATAAGCGCCGCTCGTCGCATCGGAGACAGTAAACATAAAAATGCCGTAACGTAAAATCTGCAAGTTAAGTTGCGGCAACCCATATTTCTTGTATACTATGTACAATTTTAAATGGACTTAAAACTGCTTGTTTCAGCATTCCTCATCAAATGTGCATTTCTGTTTTTCTCTTAAACATCTAATAGAATGTTTGATAATGTGGTCTCATCGTCTGGGTAAGAAAAGCCCTGAGAAGGATTGTTGATGGAAACAGAGACTAACGTTTCAACAACCTTAGCGGAAGTCAAGGTCAACTGAAGAGTTCTCTCGCAGTTGAGCATTCTAAGTCTGGTTCGTGACATCTGATTAGTTAATTTTTTTTCAATGATGTTATTGATCAGCTTCAACGAGAAGTCATTGAAGTTAGCTTACGTTGACAAATCCTGTTATTGGCTCCCTGAGTGTAACCTTCCTTACAGACACAAAAATAGGTTCCACCGACGTCGTGACAGGTTGAGATAGACTTGTCGCAAGAGTCTGTACCCAAAGAACACTCATTTATGTCTGGAAAAAATAAAAGAAAGGGATAATGATTAAAAAAAAAAAAAAAAAAAAAAAAAAAAAAAAAAAAAAAAAGAAAGAGTAAAAAAGTCGACAAACTTAAAGTTCTTTTTCACGACCGAGACAAATCTTCTGTAATTAAAGTTATATCGCATTTTGTCCCAATATTTATTTTCCACGAAGTTTATTCGCACCTCGTTACATTAAAGAAATACTTGCACTGAGAAAACTTTTTCAAAGCGAACGCAATAGAGCGCGCTATAGTCTATGATTATATTTTGTTTTGTCCAGGAAAGGCGTTTCAATAAAGCGAAATAATTTCGATTTTTTTTTGCTGGAAACTAGTTTCGTACAATCAGATGAAAATTACATTTGGTTCATTGCCCTATGGCGGTGTGGTGGAACAATAATTGATAACTAGCGAGGATGCGCGGCAATTATCCCTGATCAATTACCAAGGTGTATTTTTACATGCATTTTTGGGCTCACTAGAAAATTACTTCATCAAAATTTCGAGCCGATTGTCAAGGGGATTCTTACTTATGCATTTCTTTGTATTTGAGTTCTGGTAACCATCCTTGCAAATGCACTTGTAATCACCAGGAAGATTCTCACAAGATTTTGACGTCACCGGATCACACGGTTGACCTTGATTGCACTCATTCACATCTAATGAATAGAGAAGCACAATTAGGGGAGAGGTGGGCTCATTTCTCTTTATTCCGTCTATTTACGGTACATAACAGTTTACACAATCGAGACCTTCACCAAATGGTATTCTTGACTCAGATGAATATTTATTTGAGATAGTTAGAGCTATGCAATGTGGCTCTGCTTGTATTGGCTAGATGACTGAGTCCTTTTCAAAAAAATAATGGCAGTGCCGTAGTCGCATTTTTCGCACATTTAAAGAGAATTTCCGAGAGGTTAGATAATTGTTTTGTATGATGAAGCATGATAATAACAGCTATGGCAATAGTTATGAAAACTCAACATAAGATACAGACATTTTTCGCAATACCTTCACACTCGGTGTTTGAATTTGCTTTTTTGACGTAACCACGTGGACACTGGCAGTAGTATGAGCCCACGGTGTTATGACACTCGGCCGGGGGTACACAAATGGGAGGATTTTGTTTGCATTCATCCACATCCAAGACTGGAACCAATACAAATCAAAATGTGTTATTGAATCAGCTCCAAATCTGCTTTTTCTTAAGGGCTGACTAAGAATGCCTAGATTCTACTCGATTTTAAAGAAGAGCAGCTAAAAGGACCTTGTTTCAGTGGCACAGCCCCATCCAAACCTCCCCTACCACGCCCTAACATACATCCATTTCTGGATTGCTCTGATTTGCAGGGAATTTTTCCGCCTGTGCGAAAACGTCTTAGAACTTTATAAATGATTTGAAAAAGTACCTAGGACACTGACACAATCAACTTAGTCAAACCATAATTGTCTCAATTCACCATATTCCAGAAAATGGACAGTTTTTATTGGCTTGATTAAAGGTTGAAGTTCAATTTAATACTTTACAGTGAGGTTTTATTTTCTCGTGTGTCTCAACGTACACGACCGCTCATGTTGTAATGTACGAACGCCGACGCATAAAACAATAGTTGTGTAAAGACCAACGAACCAATGTAAATGATTTAAATTTCTCCAACTTTATAGTAGCAGATTTCGTTACTTTAATTGAATATGCGGTGCCATAGCATGCAATTAACAATGTAAGTATTAATAACAAAACAGCCAAACGACCGACATTACACAGAACATTCCGAGTCACGGAGGTTATGTGATCTAAAAGGCGGGAAAAACTGGCGAACAGGGAACCCAGCTAAAAAAAGGATTAGATCAATGACCAAATCAATATAACACAATAGCAACTCACCATCGCAGTAACCCTTTGCATTTATGCGAAATCCACTTGGACAAGAGACTGAAAGAAAATTCAGACTAAGCAACAATGAAGAAAATTAACTCATTAAGAAACAGTATAACTCACAGAAGACGATCGACCAAGAAATCCTTAACGAGTTCTTTGACGTGCAGTGTACGGGTTTAAAACACAAGTCTTGAGTCTTTCCTCTTGGCACGAAAATCGTGCGGGTGCTTACCGTAATATTGCGAGTTTCGCATATGGTCATCTATACAAAAAATTAGCTTCCGTACAAGAAAAAATTCTGAAGAAATATTCCCTCTTCTTGATTAATTAATAAGTCGAAAATTTGACGATATTCCGTTATATTTTTTGTCAATGTTCCGCTACCTTAATAAGAAATTCCTGAAAACTTTAGCTCTCACCAGAAATCTCTATTTTTTTGCATTGCAAACATTTGTTCCCAAAAAGTCGCTAAACCTTAAAACTAACATCTAGAAAAAGAAATCAGAGGAGTCATTTTGCAGTTTTTGAAAACTCCTCTCCCCATCAATATTAAAATGACCCATCCTTGTCGGCATTTTTACAAAGCATGCTCTTTTTTAAATGTCCAAGGCTGATATTTCCAGATATTTCCCTCAAACTCTTAAGCATGCGTAGTCTTACCCTCGTGACTCTTAAGCCAAAAAGACTTACCCAAATTACTTTTTATCTCAAAAGCATGAAAAATAGCCAAATTTGTGCTGCGAATCTTACTCATGCGAAGAATTCTCTTGGCTGATCAATATTCGCGTAAAACATAAATCTCAGCAACGCACAAGGTGAGTACAGTTACTTACGGGTTAATTTAACCCACTTGTTTTTGGGGACCCAGGCGTTATAATTGAAGATGCTGTCTACAGCGCCAGCGACATGGATGGTGATCTAGAAAGATAGAAACGATACAATGAATTTGCTATGACCCAGGAGGATATCACATCATGTTAACTTATAGTGATTTTAATATCACAATTACATACACAACTCAAGCACTTGTGATCTTGAAGACTATTGACGGAAGTTTTTCAGACTTCACTTGTTGTACATAAAAGAGAGATGACATTTTCTAAAAATGAAAATTTTTGTTCTGCAACAGATCTGCTGAAACAGGCCGCCTAGAAAAAACTATAGGACAATTCAAGCCTTTCATACACTTGGCCGAAATAGATCATATAGTGAAACTCGCTTTCTCGTTAATTATTTTCTTAAACAGCCAAAGACACAATGCGGAAGATGATTTTTTTTAAGTTACACTCCTGCGGTCTTCAAGCATGCGAAAATACTGAAATACCAACATTTGACGTTAAACTAACACTGAAAAAGTGAAAAAGGCAACGGTCAAAGATCCAGTTGAGCTGTCACCTTTCTGTGCCCTACACATACTTGGCTGCATTTAAAAAAGTTGGAGTCTATCGCCAGTTTCACTTCTGTCCTCGGATTGGTTTTGATCACCTGTTGGCCTCCCAGTTTCAGTAAATACGCTACAAAACTACAAGTATTTTGTATATCCTCAGTTTTATGAGCAATTTACCTTGTCAAGTTTCCAATCTGGCAAAATCCCACTGTTATCACGTTTAATGTCCATTCCTGTGACATTTCCAATGTCGTAGTCATCTACATCAATGTTGTCAGTTCTATACGTCGTGGAAGAGAAATAATGCAACTTATACTCAAAATCTTATCAAAACGACAAAATTTATGATGAAGCAAAGTTTTTAGATGCAAAGCAGTTTACAGGCATGAAAGATTGTTCTCCACATGCATGGTAGATTTAATTGTTGTAAAGCACGAACTAAGCAATTAAAATTAAGGTCAGATTAAATCATGCTGGCACACTTTTTGGTATAACGCTAAAGTCAGAGCATCGAGCGTAATGCCAACATAACGACTAAACTTCTGAAACATTCATTGATGTCACAGTTCAACGAGCGATAAATTCTTTATCCTAAATAATGTCAACAGTAAGCCTGCTTTCCTTGCCTGCACTTTAGCAATTTGATTTACCTAAATGTTGTGTTCAAGCCTCCTTAGGCTTTTTATCTTAGCAAGGTTTACTCGTTGGTGGCAGAAATGTCAGAGAAGGGGTTTAGCGGCTCTTAAAGGCTATTTTTCTTTTGCTTAATTAAATTGAGCATCATGAAAATTATTGAGCTTAATTTTCGGCACGATGCCTTGTTTTCAGAGAGGACGCTCAAAATCATAATGCTCAGATTTTGCAGCATAGTTTATTTGACCGATCATTATATGATCGACCATCATCATCAACTTCATCGTCAACTTCTTGTAGTCATATAATCATCAACTTCTTAGGTTGCCATTGACACCGCTATCATCATTGTCTTCGTTGTCGTTGTCATCATCATTATCATAATAATGTTAATAATTTTCATCATCATTACTTATCCTGTTCAAAGCTTCCTTTTATTTCTCTTTCTATCTTTCCGTCTTTTGAGCCTTGCATTCGGATGCGAATTGTGGCATCGGTGCCGGCAAATGCTTCGTCCGCGGTTTTAACTACCAATCTGTAAACTGAAAAGAATCATTCAATTAATAAAAATATTGGATAATCAAAAAGATCTGAGGGAAAGATTAGCTACTTTACAGAAAGACGTCGCGCAGCAATTTTACTCGGTACATAACTTTAAATCTCATTGGATTCCTCTCCGGAAACGAAGAACCCATTTAACTTTACAATTCTCCCGCCATCATCTTGGAGGAACGTTTCACGGGTTTGAATCCCTGACATCGAAGCCCAAGTTATCATGGGCTTCTTCTCTTTAATTTCTTAAATTGCAGCTTACTTGCGAGGCTCTGATATAGACCTGAATAACTTAAAAATTACGCAACAGCTTAAGGTCTCTTATATGCAATAAATCACGTTTCGTTGCACTGGAGCTTAAAATGTTAAAATTATGTCAATCGGTTTCGGACGTTTCATTGTAATTTTGGCTTTTCAATTCATCGGGTAGATATCCCCCAAAAAATTAAATTTCCAATTGCATTATCCCTAATTATTACTTTCTCAAAACCCTCCACAAGAAGTTTAAGAGGGCATTAATCATTACTACTCGGAGGTCGTTCTCTTGAAAACAACCGGGAAATTTTAGGATTAAACGAAAATTCTGTGTGATAACATTTTAAACTTCTCTAATAAACAAAATATTTTCGCCGATCGAGTTAAAAGGCAGCTATGAGGATTTTGGCATACCCAGGGCGTAAATGAAAAAAAAATCCATATGATTTCTCTTCTAAAAAGACGAATAGTGTAGTTCTTTGGGTGAGAAATGGGTACACCTAATCGGCAAGGAATAACAATTGGGAGAGCTCATGGTACAATTTTCTGTGGGTGAGTTAGACGAAAACGGTAGATTCTTGATCAAATTGCTATCAAAGGACGGAATTTGGAACACAGGAAATAACACCGCTATCTGCCTTTTTCTATCACCATATGCAATACGATCCGAAAATATTCAACAAACATTTTCCCACTTGAACCGAATTTTGATTACATGGAACCTCGGCGAATTCACAGCTGCCGAACACTAGACAGTAGAGCCTTAAAAGTTTGAATTTGTCGAACGAGCCGAGCTTTCAAAGTCAATTCCCGACAAAAATATTGTAATTTTATTGCAACACTTTACGCTTTCCACGAACGGGTTTTTCTCGTATCAAAAATCAGAGTTTGGCTGTTCCATGTCTGTTCTTTGTCAGGTGGTGAGGAAAATACTATCTCGTTCATGAACGATCCACTGTCGCCGAAAAAGAAGCAGTTTTTCGAGACAATAATTTTTTACACAATGTAAACGACTAAGTTTTTCGCATGCTGAAGTAAGATTATTTAACGGAGGTGAAGAAAACAATCCTTCTAAAACTGGCTGCTTCTTAATTCCATTGTAACTTCTCCGTTCTCGACATAAATACAATTTAGCTCTTAAACAAGACAAATTTTTGAATTAAAGTCATGAACGTCGTTCATTCTGAAGAAAAAAGTGGATGGTCTATGAGATATGCTTTCATCTTTTTGTTAGAAACGCACTCGATGAAATAGAGTTCACGACATAAGACCCTCGCGGTAACCAAGAAGTGAAAGCTTTTTAATCTTTTAACAAACTTCCGCCAGTTATTTTAAGTTAATTTTTTACATTAGAGAACCTATTGGTCGTTTTCCAAAACTAATCATTTTAATTTAATGGGAGAGCATCAACTTTTCTGTTGACTGATACTCGTTATTCAAGTTAAATATCTTGTAATTAGAATAAAAAATTTTCAACTCACGTTTTCCTTCAGAAACAGTAGCTCCGTAAAATAAGAGAGTAGAAAACAGTAACACAAGCATTTTTTCGCTTTGATAAATTCTTCCGTTATAGAATCATCTAAAGTTTCATGATATGTTATCTTGATTAGGCCGATAATAAACTTCAAACCATCCAAACCTTGATTTTATTCCCAGCTGGGTAAGCCATGTCAATCATGTTGTCATGGCCACGAATTCTTGCTTTTACAGCTGTGAAAAACAAATCTTATTTCCGTACTCAACGTCACGCACTATGGCCTAATTATTCCCACAAATAATGAATTCGCTTTATTACTGTATGAGTAACCCAGGCTGTGTTTGACCTCCTTGCAGCTCAGTAAACAGCACTGCGAACATTTTTTTTCCATTTGGAAATTTTTCCTTATAATAAAATATAACTGAGTGATTCGTATTCGTTTGAAACTGAAATATGAACAATGTTCCTTTTCTTCGTTACTTCTTCTTTATTGCGATTATCATAGGAGGCCTGATAAGCAGCAAACGATTTTGAGCTCGTACAGTATGCAAAAAAATTTATTTTTGATATCTCTTTCCTGGAGTTGACTCGCTAATTAGCACTTAATAAAAATCAACCTTAGCGTCCTTCGCTTTTCTCTTTCTTCTCTGCACAACTCTGTTTCAAGGCTCTCTTGCCAAATGCTTCAACTTATCTCATATAAATTCGACGGAGCTCTCACTTAAGATGCAAGGAACGAATTTTAAATTCTACTTCGTGCATGAAAGCTGTCCACCAATCCAGGGAGTGTTTCAAAAAAGAGATTTGTCAAACCACCGGCGTCACAACAAAACGGTGTGTCAGGAACTGCGAGAGAATTACCGAGTGCACCAAGGCCTTTGGTAAATAAAGTAAATAAACTTAATTATACATGAGCTTTACTAGACAAGAACTTAAAAAGCTGTCTGAAAGCCCTGATTTGAAAGACATCACAGTATAATTTGTTAAATGCTTGTTCTTATGAGCGAAAGTGCTTTTCAGTTCGTAGGCTTATCTGCCATTCCCGACAACATATGTTTCTCTGTTTATAACAATAAGAATGAAAAAGTTTGTTGACAGTGAGTTTTTTTAATAAACTTGAATCATTTAGTTATTTCTTTCAGATTAACGAAAAATTAGCGAAGGGACAAATTTGTATATAACCATTTTCAACCGATCATTGGTAACTATACTAATATAACCTCAAAGAAACATAGCTAACTTTACGATGTTATAATTTAAATGACAGAGACAGTGTTTTTTTTTTTCGACGGTTTTTAATATAATTCGCTAAAAAAAAACTTATAAGTCACCCCTGTCAAAAGTTGAGCGAGGTTTAAGCTTCGCGAGTATCAGCTCTACGCTCGCCACTGATTTACATGCAAAGATTATTTGGATCTGCCAGCACAAGTAAATTCTCTCTTCAGATTTCGACGCATCCCATACGTACATTTCTGAGAATTTCGTATTGGATCAAGACAGGTCGAAGAGGCTCGGTGCCTTAAAAACTTCTTGCTTGATGGAAAAAGACAACCACGATTTTTAAATTTGGAAGGCTGTGCGCGATGATCCAAGCTAGGCTGGGAAAAGCCGTGCGACCCTGCAAGAAGTGAATTAAAAGAGGTAATGAATAAATTTAGGTAGAATACTTTTCGACTGAGTTATGTCGAGCATTACTGGAAAAATATTTGGCTCCCAAAATGTTTAAAACGTAGGGACCCAGCGTGGCGACACCTGAACTTCATGACCTCGATCCAATTACTTCGCCGTCCGGTTTTGCATGTTGTCGTAGTACTTGGTTAGGTCGTCTGCTCACGTGGTATGAAGTAGGATACTTAGGATATTGTTGGTGGATCGAGAGGGAGGGAGGATCTAGTGGTCCGGAAACCTACCAAACCATCAGAAGTAAATGTGAAGTATTTGATTTTTATTTGCCGTTCAATATTTCTTTGCGTATTTAGGCTGTAATTAATGTAACATAAAATTAATTGCCTTTTGGATCAAAGTTTTAACCCCCTCCCCCCTTCCCCCACACACACACACACACACCCCTGTTATCAATGGAAACGGTGGAAAACGTGGAATGTAGAGTTTGGAGTGTGGAAAAACGACGAGTGGATAAAGGAAGTTAGGAATGTGAGAGGCGTGGAAAATAAATGTGTGTACTTTGGGATGACAGAGAGCGAATTGACGAAGAGCGTGGACAATATGGAAAAGGGTATGTACAGGAGCGTATGGGCTACTGGCATATACATATCTGCAGGGAGTAAAAAATGTGGAGTGAGGAAAGATAAGAGGGGAAAATGAGCCGTTTAGAGTATGAGGAGTTGAAGAAATGCAAAGTAGAAAATGGGCCCTGCGGTGTGAAAAATTGAGATTGGATAAAATAGAAAGAGGTAGTAAAGAAATGAGGGATGTTGAAGATTTTGAGTGTGGACAGTAAGGAAAGAAGAAAGTAAAGGATGTGGGTGGTGCAGGGCGTGTAATGTGAGGAACAAGCAATAACAGTGGTGAGGAACACGAGGCTTGTGGAGATTATGGAGTCTGGAAAATGTGCGGTTTGGATAACCACCGTGGGTAACCACCGAGAGCGGCCTTGAGCGGGTCTATCACACCGATATTTACACATGGTTTTTCATTTCTTTCTTTTTTCTCAGGTTATTGCAGTTAAGGACCGAACAGAAGCCGGACTTTCTCTTGGAAAACTTAATGACGCTACCGCTACGGTGCTCCTTGCCAGCGGAGCACTTTACTTCTTGTTCCAGACTACTATTCGTCGTCACACGGCCAAAATCGGCCTGCATTCAAAGTGCACGTTCATCTTCAGACTTGTTGTGTCCTGCGTGATGACAATCACTTGCGCTAAATTTACTCGTTAATATTTATTGAGTAAATATAAGTAGGTTTAATTCAGCTTTGGAATTTTTCCATCTAGTAATAACGGGAAGTCGTTAGATGAGCTGATATAAGGTGATATTTCACCGTGATAATATTTGTTATTGCACAGCTATGCAAGCGAAGATCCGTCTCCACGGTAACAAGACTGACATGGCCAGGGGAAGCATTTATAACAGCCAGGTTAGGAACACTTCAAATTTATTTTCGACCCAATCGAGATCGCAACCGGTCATCTTCACTGTACGAGAGGGTAAAATGCGCGTTTTGTTGCTTTCGCTGTTCTTAATTTGCGGAGCTTTTCCTTCCCAAGGAAGACGTGAGTGGATAGAATAGTTTTTAAAATTCCCATTTGAAGATATTTAACTAGCAGGAGTTTGTTAACACAAGAAATGATGCTACCTGTTAGACTGGAGTCGCTTTTTAAGAAAGAAGCCGGAAATGGAAACATTAAGATTTGAAAAAGTTACATGTGTTACAATCAGGATAGGAAAAAAAATATTATATATTTTTTGCTGTTAGAGCGTTCGACTGCTGGTGAATTACAAATTGTAATATTCCTCACATCTTTTAACTTGTCTGGCGCGTCATAGAATAAACAAAGTCATCGGGCTAGATTGTAGGCTCTAGATAACTTTAATTCCTCGATTTAACGGTATTTCTAGTGCCAGGAAAGGCCTGTCTAAAACGGAGGTGTTATAACGAAATAAGGAAACCGGTTTAAAAATTATTTCTTTACTTTGGTTCTGTTATGTTGTTGTCAAATTTTAGTTCTGTCTCAAATCAGTCTCAATGATTTATGTTTGTAGATTCGTTTTACGACATTTTTCTTAAAAGTAAACTGTCCTAAGGTTTAACTGAGTTCGTTAAAATCTTTTTGATTCAGTGCTCAACCATCTTATTTACTGGATTATATTTTTCAGTTTACCGCTTGATAGTTAAAACCGCGCGCGCATCATTTGCCGGCACTGATGCTGTAATCCGAATCCGAATTCAAGGAACCCGAGGCGACTTGAAAGAAAGAGTAATAAACGGGAGATTTGAACAAGATGGGTAATTATGATGAAAATGATTATAATGACGGTGATGATATTACCACAGATGATATCGATGATGATCACAACGATTATAATGACAATGATGATGGCGCTGTCCGTCGCGATTTAAGATGTTGGCGATGACCACGATCGATCATACACATGCTACAGAATAAGCTGTGCTTCCATAATCAAATAAACAAAAATTTTTCTCGCATTTGACCCGAAGATGATCTTTCAGGAAAAAAATTATCCTCGTAAGGGAGCTGCAAATAGGAAAACTTAGAAATGCACTTGTCACGAGTTTGCACCTTACTGCAGAATGCGTCAATCAATTTGAAGCTTCAAGATACCCCTCTCGGGCATTTGAACTTCTGACGATTGATTTGTTCAACTTCCACCCTCCTCCTCCCAGGGTAAAAATTGTGTTCTAATGCCCCACCCAATTTTTAGTAAAAGGAAAAATTAGCAACCGAGACTTTCTACACATTAACTGAGCTCAAGAGATGATTGTGTTATGTTGCACTTTACCGCTTAATCGATAACCCGTGCGGTTATTTACCTGAATCAACCATCGCAAGATACTCAGTTATTCCTCGCGCTTGAACATACTGTTATTTTAATTCATGTTTATAGAACTGACCTCATTGATATCTACGACTATGACATTGGATACATCAAGGGAGTGGATATTAAGCGGAATAATTCTGGGTTTTTGCCGGACTGGAAACTTGACAAGGTGAGTAGCAGTTAAGATTGTGGAGATATGGCTTATATTTTGAAAATTACCTTCAAAACTTAGAAAAAAAGGTCGTGAAGTAATAAGCAACGAATGTGTAAAATATGAGCTAAATTGATAAAGTTTGCTTTGTCTAACGTTGGAAAAAAAACACAGGGAAGCAGAACAATACAGTAAAGTCGACTAAAACTTTGATGTTCCGTTGATCGCAATGGCATGCACAATCATTCTTCTCTCCATTTTTCATGGGCGAGACAGAACATTCCTTTGAATGATGAAGACAAAATTTTGAAAAGAGTTCCTCTTTATTATTAACATGGGCAAAGTGAGCGAAGGGTAGAATGTCTTATCGAAAAAAAAAACCCTTAAATGGGCCTTTTTGTTTTCCTGGAAGTCCTGTCATCAGTGATTGCACTGCAAACGTAATTCGTTACATTCGTAATTCGCCTAGATTAGCCTTTGCTAGTTGCGGGCATGCCCTTTTCTGTAAATTTAATTGGAAATTAATAAAGTGTGTGTGTGTTTAAATCAATTGCGCAGATGAAAAATCATCGTTCTCGGATACAATTTAAAGAAGTTGCGAAAAGAAGATCCGTTTAGGCTTTACAATCACATCTACTTTATTTATTATACAAGTGTCATATCTGTTATCTATTTAACTCTTTTTTTCATTTCACATAATGTGTTTCTTGTTTTTCCTGTTTATAAACATCCTCCTGGAGTAGTTTACCTTAAAGTCTCTTCCATCTCAGATCACCATCAAAGTCGCCGGTGCAGAGGACAGCATCTTCAATTATTACGACTGGGTCCCCCAAAATAAGTGGGTTGAATTACCCCGTAAGTAACAGTAGTCACTGATTTCAATGACTTTACATCATTCTGAGTTGTGACGCACGCCTATGTCCATACTCACTTTGACTCACTGCTCAACATGCTGAAAAAATGGGTTGAAAACCAGTTGCAGAGTTGCTTACACCTTTCAATTGATTTTTCTGTGCAATTTCCAATTCCTGGTGAGTAGATAAAGATCTTCCTACAAGGACGCTCGAAGATAAAACTATTGAATTAGTTTCCACCTTAAAGCTCTTAGAAAATATATGGCAATGTCAACTTGCCCACATGACTATAACGATGATTGCTTACAGATTTTTGTTAAAGTTTCAAAACATGATTAATGTTAGTCAAAGAATTCGAAAGGACTTTTTAGTTCATTGTGTCCATTCATTTTACTGTTTTCTGGTTATTTTTCTCACTAAAAATAATTATACTTTGTGTTTTAGTCTCTTGCCCGAATGGTTCGCATAAAAATGCCAAAGGCTTCTGCAATGGTGAGTGTGTTTTGATGAAATAATCGTGTGGATAGATATTTAGGAATATTTTTCACTTAGTAGTTGTTGCGACAAATTTTAGTCAACACCCAGTTACAAGCGAAATACTTTATTTAAATACTGAATTCAACTGACTATGTTGTCAGTTGAATTCATTTATTTAGCTGAATCACGTGCGAATTGTGATTGGTGATGCTGGGGCTTAAATCTGTTTCGCGGACTCAAGCATTTTTTTGTCAAACCCTCAAGACTAAATTTAACATCTTTTCTTTCATTGGTTGCAGAATGACGCGAATAATCAACCTCCTGGAGTTAAATTTATGTTAATTTATTGAAAGTAATGTAGATTACAACGGTTTATCTGATTGTTTTCCCTTCCTGGGTTCTGGTTCCTTTGTGATAGGATCATAAAATTACTTTACAAGCTGAAATAAAAGGTGAAAATAATTTTAACATTGGGCCTTGAAATTTTTTGTTCTAGGTAATAGTATATTTAGGGGTATGGCTCACAAGCTTTATCGTTAAGATTTTCTCGTCTGGAGTAGGTCTCCATGTATATGAGCTTCTTCTTCAATGCATTAATGTCATTCTAAAGTTTCCTGTTGCTACGTTGTAGTTCGCGTATAACATCTTCATTTTATTGCATGCATCCTCGAGTTCCTCCACATTCTTCTTCAGCTTCTTCGTCTTGTTCTTTAAGCTTTTGACCTTTGTGTCTAGTCTACCCACTTCAGTGTTAATAATTTTTGCATGCATCTCATCGCGTTGTGACTCGATAATATCCAGCTTTCCAAGTTTCTTCAAAATTTCTTCGATTTTACCGCCCAGGTTTTCCGCCATGATGAGAGCCTCCAATACATCGCAACACTCGGCTCTTGATTTTTTTTCGTCCGGAGAATTATTGAACTCTGTTAATGATGACGATGAAAATTCTGGTCTATTCTTTCACTTTGGAGGCATGAGAATTCTTCAATTAGGGATTTAAAGCGACCAAAGAAGAGGAGCTCAGCGAAAAGTGTTCACTTCGCCGCCATGCCAGTCCCAGTCTTCTACTTTAGCAGAGTTTCAAGATATTTAATCGAAGACTCAGTCGAAGACTAGAAACATGGCGGCCGTGTTTCGATTAGAACTTTTACGTTTTTGAGGAAGTTAAGATCGAGTTCTAGCCTAAAATTTATAGAAGACGCTGTTTTTTCGCAGATGTCAGGTCTACAGCTGAGGTGAGTGTTGGTTTTGTGTTGTTTTCCAGAAATCAGAAATAACTTGCCGTAGCTGCGAATTCATTCACGCGTACATCCAAATTAAAAGCGTTTGATTCAAGGAAAACGCATTTTTTTCGTTATTATAAATTAGTGTTTGTATGGAAAATAATAATTTTTTCAGCTACTGCCGTTACTTTTTGGCAGTGACCACTGTGAAATTTGGTTATCAATGGCCTTATCATTCTCGAGAGATAAACTTATCAATGATAGTGATTTTTGTTTGATGTTGCCTTTTTCCTATTTGTAAGTACTTGGGAACCTTAAAAAGTTTTGTAGAGAAAAAATACACTCACTTTGGCTTACATATTCTTTGAAATTTTCCTTGTAAAGCCAATACCTCTCTTCCAGTTCTTTTCTTACTTTTTGGCAAGGGCATCCCATGACTAAACATGAGCAAATCCGCACGTCAATCCCCAATGATGCCAAATGACATCATGCTTCTCCATCTTTTTAACCCATTCTTATTTTTCTTTCCTTCGGTTTTTTTCGTACCTCACGAACTTGAAACTTGTCAGACACCTGCAACTGAGCCTGGAAATTAGTGCAATGTGCGCATGCAAATCATCCTTCCATCAAGATGGGTTGAAGGAAGAATTAGATTTTGAAGTTCCTCGTTTTTCACCCTTTTTTTACTAATAAGAACTCTGTTCAGTACCTACAAATTAGTTTTTTAAAAGTCCAAAGGGCAGAAAGGTAATTTTAGAAACTGTTAGAGCACCAACGCTAGCAGCCGTTTCTCTCTTCCCCGTCCTTCTGCGGCTTAACATCGTTACTCGTTGGTACATTGAATTCGCAGTCAAGGCGAAAGAAACATTTGGGATTTTTATATTAAAGCTGTCATGTATTTGACTCCATACGAAACTACAATCCATGCAATGCGTTCCATGCGTGGAAACTGCGAAAAAAACAAGCAAACAAACATACTCAAATCATTAACCATCATTAAAGGATTTCAGTATTCCCACAATTACAGGAATTGATGATAACATAAATTCCATTAAGTTTACGAACGTTTCTTCGCAACTCTTAAATATCGTAATTCTCTTTCTGAAGGAACGAAGGAAATTCCTTCCTAACGGCGATGGCTAGCAATTTTTGTTTCATTCATGACGGGTTTTTGAAGGGTAATATTAGTTTTATTCATTGGTCAGTGACGAGTCTGTGTATATCTTACCAATTCCCATAAAAACTAATTGATTGACGTTTAGATCACGTGACCCAGCACGTGACCTTTGTGGTCAGTATTATTTGCTCGAGGTTAAAGTTCGTACGAAAAGCTATCGTCCTCGAAAGTTTTAGCCCAATCCGCTGTATTTTTGCGGAGATAGCGCCGCTTATTTTTGTAACGTAATTTACATCCTCTTGTTTCATTGCGGTTAAAATTTAAAAAATGAAATCAAAATGTGACTGAAAGCCGGCAAACAGAGACTCGCCACTCTTAGCTCTTTTAATTCCACACTTCGATCATACAATCAAGTTGAACTCTGACAGTTTGTATCTCTTTAAGTTAAGCTGAAATAGAAGAGGATGATTTAAAACAATAAACAAGCACACAAAAAGAGAAGAAAAAAAACACGCTAAAAAGCATTATGATAAGCACAGATGGGGTTATTCACATATTCAGCACTGCCGCGTCGTAAAAGTCTCTTTCCGCGCCAAGCTATGTAGCTACTCTACGGTTTGTACCAACTTGAAAATATGGTTCTATCTCCATCTCCTTTCCTCTTCGCCCATTGCATTCTATTTTAATTGTTACCTCCCCGTTTTGAATTTATAAGTAATTCACAACCTGTTATTAAAATGTGTCCCATGATCCTCCAGAGCTGCTACATCGCCGAGCGAGTAGCTGAAGCCAAAAAATAGAAAATGAGCTGAAACTTCTAAAAGCTACCGCGAAGCATCGAAACAGATCCTCCAATAGAAACACAACCGCTAAAACGACTTATTTGCTCAGCAGATAGTCACACAGTTGCTAAAAATTTAAATATTGGTCAACCTCGTCACCTTCGATTATCGTTCGGAAAGCTGAGCGAGGGTGGCCTACTCTGATGCACGTTTGAGCCCGCGGTGGTAAAAATATTCAGCGACCTACTACCATTACACCAAGAAATGCTCAATCCCGAGCCCAGGGTCATTTTGGCTCCTTTTCAGCGGTATGGTTGCCAAATAATGTCATTGAAAAATACGCAGATGTTTACAGAAACTGATGTGCAGGTCACCTAATGACTACAAATCATTCATTGCTCACGTACTTCACAAGCTTAAAAGAGGATTAAGACTGTCATTTCAGAGGTAAGCACCCAGATGTAAGGGCGAGCCAGACACAGTGGTGGCCTACGAAGAGATTTTTTTAAAATTTCAGCAGGTTAGCCGAAGGCTTTTCTATACTGGAAACGAACTCAGTGAATTGGGTCTGTATCTCTTTTATGATGGTATTAAAAATTTTAAGTCTGGAGATAAAATTTTGGAATAAGTAATAGCACGGTCATGACCTTACATTGAATTAGGGACCCATTTCCGGTGTCTAATGAAGTAGACGATGTTAAAAATAGAGAAAACAAAAGTTGTTATCGTCATAGAGACAGCTTTTTGACCTTCGTTTTTAATGTTTGGGCATTCATCACGCTATCAGGAGTACTGAGCGGAACGAATTTCACGACAAGACTGCGAAGGAACAGGATTGCAGATCGAGAGTATCGTTCAGCTTTGATTAAGTTCTGAATTGTGTGATCTCATCGCAGATCCACACAGGTCCTCGTTTCTCAAAAGAACTTCAAGTAACTTCAATGCAAGAGGTATGTTTAAAAATCTGATCAAGCTGCACTGATTAAGAGGCGAAGCAATCCCGCCGAGTATTTGAGCGAAATCATAAAATTACTAAAAGAGCTAAGGAATTGTTTTTCATTGACTTAAACCAGCGAGATATGAAGGTCCTTTGAGAACAAAATATCCAATGCGCATGTTTCGATGTTTTGTTGCGTACACGTGTGCTATGTCAAATTAACAGAATGCAAAGATATTTTGTGTCTAAGTTAAATATGTGTGATAAAATTAATAATTGATGATAATGAAACTAAGAGATGTTCTGTAAGGCTGATTGATATTTGGTAAAACGAAAAGATCTTCCGTTTTTGTGAGATGTTTTACATACACCTTATTCCATAGCTTAACATATAATACGTGGGGATATTTTGCGAGTTGCGTAGTATTTTTACAAGCCCGAAGAGACGATGAAAAATTCGAGCAATAAGCAAAATGTCTACTCGTATTATTTCTTAACCCATCGAATAAGGTATTCATTATTCCATTGTTATTTCTCTTTAATTTTTTGTATTTGAATTCTACTTTGCGAAGTACATCCTACAGCCCTATCTGTGCGTAATATCGATCGTATATAAGGAGTATGGAAAAGACGAAAACAACACCAATGAAATGATCAAGGTGTTCCTTGTGACGAACAAAAAAAATCTGTCTCGCTTAAAAGTTCATTTCTCTAAAATTCAAGCCTGAAAACGGGGAAAAAATCAAAGTTTGGAGCCTTCAGTGCGGCCTCTTTATTGCTCTTTATTTTGCACTGTTCTACAGTCTAGTCTAATACAATGGCGTATTTGTGCGTTCTCATGATCTTATTTGGTAAAATTACATGGTAGTGGAATGATAAATCACAGTATCTACGATGCAAAATGTGCATGCATGTTTAAGATATAAAAGAAGAGGAAGCGGAAGATGTTTAACTTATAATCAACATTCTTGCTTTTTGACTTGTTTCACATAGAATAAGTGTATGCAATACAACATTGAAATACGCGCATGGGATCTTTTGTCCACAAAGGGCCTTCCTAACTGAAATGAAAAATTTATATGCCTCAGTAAACTTTTACATGAAATACTGAATGCACATAGTGTTTATGATACTACAACGGGACTTCTTTATCGAAACTGAATTAAAATTCATCATGTAATAAGGCGGTTTACATTAACCGAGGGAAAAGACCGCTTTCGGTTTTCAACTGAAAAGACGTGCAGTGTTCAAAATAGAGAAAACAAAAGGATAATCACTAGGGCAGCAGCTTCGTGACCCCATCATGATTTAATGTTCTGGCATTATCAGGGTTAGTGAGCGGAAAGAATTCAGCTCAACAACAAGTCTGCGAAGGAACAAGACTACAAATCGACAGTACCGTTCAGCTTGGATTAAGTTCTGAATTGTGCGATCTAAACGAAGATATTCAAGGCTCTTCCATTCCCAAAAAACTTCAAGTACGTGCAATACGACAGGTATGTGAAAATATTTGATCAATCTGTTTAACTTAAAATACACTGCAATCCCGCCAAAAGGTTAAGCGTAAACACAAAATTATTGAAATGTGCTGAGGAATTGTTTTTCGTCGACTATGTTAAGAATAACATCTTATCACTTTGAGACCATTCAGCTGAGAGAATTCGTATAATCCGTTCGTTATAAGCCAATGAGTTTATTACTGGATGCTAATGAGAAGAATAATTAAAAACAGTTGTGAACATGTATTCAAATACATCTCGACTGCTGGATTTTCCCCAACAAAATTCCCAAAAAAACGATGTTGCAAAGGGTAATGGTTTTCGTCGGGTGTTGGTGACTGTAAAGTCACAAAA